TTTTTTTGTTCTTGTAGAAGAAATGATATAATAAAATTTCAACATTCTTATTCAGTTTTAATATCATATAAACGTAAAATTGAAGAATTGTATCATATTAGCTATTTTATTTATTTTCTTTTTTACTCTGAACTTAACATATTTCAACAATGAATTTTATAATTGAAAGTAAAACATTGAATTTATATTAGTGGCACCGTTTCAATGTTAAAATGAACACGTAACATTTATATTTTTCAGGAAATAAAATTGTTTAGCACAATTTTCTCGAAGTAGTCACGGTTACATATATTCCTGCTATAGTCATAAATAATTATATTCCTTATTTATTATTATGCGCAATAGGGGCTATTATTTATGCATAATAATATTTTCTTTATAACATTCTTTTACATTAGATGTTTATAGCTATCACACTACATATATTGTTCTAAGGTGTGTGAAAAATTGTGTTCAGTGCAGCTCTCACGGATTGATAAGCACATAAAATATTTATAACACTTAATGAATATATACAATTTATGTTTTATTAAGTTAAAGGTGATAACAAATAAGCATATTAATATTGTTAATACTCACAATTTAAGATGTAGTCATTACATATAAGATATAACATTGATAAATGTATAAAATCTTTTGATAACTATGTTGTCACCATGAATATTTGATAAAGTGTATTTTATAATTTCATTATGCTACTAATTTCCACATATTTATATTCTAACTTTTAAATATATAACTAATATATCATTGTAATTCTCATATTATAGATATCATATATAATTGTTAATATGTGCAAGCACAGGATACTAGAAATAGTACATTATTTTTAAAAATTATTTGTTATGTATTATATTTCATTAAATATTTCTTGTTCATCAAGTGGTTAGATATATTTTAAGGTCATAGAATTATACGCACATCTAAATACATTAAACATTTCCTACTACAAGGTAATAAGGAAATACTAACATTATATTTTCTTCAAGATTAATAATGTAGCATTTAATAATTCTTAATAAAATTAACTATGCTTAATAGCATCTAATATTTCTCTTAGAAAGATGGAAAATGCTTTACATTAAAACAATAATATGGTTAAAGAAGTCATAAAACTTTGTGTTCTCTCTAAAATAGCAATATATATAATATAATTACACAGTGTGTAGAGAAATGTCATTAATTTTAGGTAATGCAAATAAATATTAGTTATACCCATTCTTAGACCCAGTTGCATACTTACAAGCCAATTACATATACTACTCTACATATGAAATCATTAATAAAATTTTTTATTTATTTATTACAATTTGTATACAAAATTATACAAATATTGTTGTATACATCATTATATATAATAATGTGAAATATATTTTCGTGATATGTAAATGATGCAGCATATTTTGAAATATAAAATAAACTTATTCAATAAATCTAACGAAATATTTAGAGCAATATATATCGTAATGAAATGAGACTGTGTTATGTAACATGATGATTAAAATGATTATATACTATATAAGTAGATTTTTGGAAAATAGTAAATGGATATAATAATTTCTTTAAAGTGGGATCCAGGTTAAGTACCCAAATTTCCATATGTATTGTAGTTCATTAAATTTTTCTGTTCTGTGTTTACTGTTTATAAATTATAGTAGTACATATTAAGCGCATATTTTTATTACTGAATATTTTGTAATTTTTTGTTATCTTTCAAGTGTGCACGAAACAAAAATATAGCAAAAATACATAAATACTGATATATAAAAAAATGCATACTTTAGTATTAAAACTAAAAAATAGAGAATTAACTCTACTTAAAATATTGTTGATTTTGGTATAATATAGTTTATATGGTATACTGTGTAATTTAGATGAAAGATTCATTATATTATACTTCTAAATAGTAGAATCACTAGAAATTTTTAATAGATTTATATAGGTATTTTTTAATCCTTAAAATATGTTTGGAAAGTAGTATATACAAATGAAAGTTAATTAAAAAAATTATATTATCAATTAAATAAAGAATCAAAAATTACAATAAATTAAATATGAGATGTTTTTTTCTTTATTTGTATAATGGATTATTGATACTTGTGCTAATGAATAGACATCTATGTATCAATAATAAGCGAATTTACTTTAACGATTGTTTGACGCACCAAATTTCAATGTAAAATTGTAAATATGTAATTCTAATATAGTAATAATAAAAACATTTCAAAGATAGAAATAAATTTCTTCTATTTTTCTTATAAAGTGTATATTATTTAATAATAATTCTATTATAATACTATATACAATATATTAAGAGACATGCAATAAAGTAGCCACAAAAAAGTGATAAAACAGCGATATTGCAAAATAATATCGAATAAAGCTATTAAGGGAACTTATGCAACAACTAACATTAAAAAGAAGAAATCCTGCTGCTCTTATCTGGACATAAGTTCATTACTCAAGTTCTACAAGATGGTTTAAAAAATATTTCTTTATTTTTTTTTTTAACAGATGTTCGAAATAATATAATCTTAAAATGAAATACCACATAAAACAAATATATATGATAAATGAAAATAATAATAACTTCTCTAAAAAAGCATGCTTTTTATTAGTATTCTTTTTTATTTTATAGAATACTCGAAAAACGCAATTAAATTGTTCATTTAATAATATTAAGAATGAAGTAATAAAAAAAAAGAAGGATAATTGTGTTTAATAATCTAAAATCAATAAAAACTATTTATTAAAATAAAAAAAAAAGAAAGCAAATTTTCTATAAAAAACATAACCTAATATCTATTGCTCAAAGGAGTAAACCATCTGAGCATTTTGTTTCTAACCACTATGCTTAGAATCTCATTATACAGTGACTAATTTTATATTTTGGTAATGTCCTTTATGAGCTGTGTAATGAAAAATCTATATATTAGCTTAACAGAAAATATGTCTATTTCTGTACATAATACAAGTATCATTAATTTGTGCTTATTGAACCACCTAATTTGAAAGCAAGTGATGTCAAGTTATCAAACAAATTTATTTAAATATAAATAACAATTTGGAATAAATCCATTAAAAAATAGAATAATGTTAATGCACATTTTATTCATGTAATCAACCACAAATATATGTAGTGCTTCAAATGTTTTTTCATTTTCCTTATATACTAATCCGATGTAAAAATACATACCTGGATACAAATTATTTAGTAAATAAGCATAACGCATATGACAAAAATTGTAAATGTATATTTATATACATGTGTAACTTATAGAGGGGGAATGGTAGCAAAAATAACAACATCATAGAATTCATTTTAACATAAACATATGTGATATTTTCACAACAGCTTCACACATTAGAAAAAATAAATAAATACATATTGCAATTATGAATGAGTAAAAATTTGGAACACATATTCGTTAAGCAATTTAATTGTTATTTTGAACAAAATATTCATAATTAATTAAGAATAAAATGTTTCGATGAGATATAATGCACTTAGGCATAGTTTGTTGCCAATGATGCAATGGTATTATATACACACATTAAAAACTTCTGATGACGTTCTCGTAATATAAGCAACAGAAAAAATCATATTTTAATGATAATGATAGATATATTTATTATAAAATCGATAAAGTGAAAATAATGTATCGTCACACATATGTGTGCTTCCAATTGTGAATACATTAAAATGCAAATTAAAACATACAAATGTTCAAAATTGTTCAAGTACATTTAAAAAAATAAATTTATCATAGAATACAAATAATATTCAAAATATTCTACGATTCATACGTATCCTTAATTTTTTAACATAAATAAAAAAATATGATCTATCCCTTTTTAATTTTTTATCGTATAATTATTAGTTTGTCAGTGTACCTTTAACCGTTACTGCATCAGAAAATTCTGTTGTATTTATAATTATAATATAGATAAATGTGTCAACAATAAAAAAATTATTACAGGCAAGTAAACTTAACACTAACTTTTTTATATGTGCTACTGTTAGCATCAATGGTATATTCACGTGTTACACTTTTTATTATATTATATTTTTTTCAAATGAACATACAAAAGATTAGAATTTTTTATCTTGTCTCAAGAAAAAAAAATAAAAAATTATACATAGGGGAAGTCGGGTCGATCCCTTAAAATAGGATAAAGTGCTATATGTGGTGCAAGAAGCAAACCTTATTTTATACCTCTAGTCTGTAGTACCATTTATGAGAACATTTATAAAAAATAGTTTAGGGAAATATTTCCATGAATAGTGTTGTACATTGTAATGTTTAATGTAATAACAACCTTTATACTTTGTTCATTGAAAAATATGTAACATGAAATTCAACTTTTAAGCTATATGGTGTAATTTTACAACTAGTGAATTATGTAACAAATTGAAAATTAGCAAATATAAAAAGGAAGAATTGAAGGAAAGATAAATAAAAAAAGTTGCTACAAACACAAAATTCTGGGCGCAAATGAAAGAATGCTTAATTGCAATATTGTGTACACCCATTTGCATAATTGTTCACATGTCTAACTGCATAAAAAAAATGCGTATGTTAAATTGACATTTGAAGTTTTAACCCACAAGAGAAAAAAAAAAAAAAAAAGTTTCGTATGCTATAAACCCATGGAACAATATTTTGAGCACTAATATTTATGTATTATTTTTTTTTCGCACAAATGCATAATGCGTTGGGGGAGGAGGAAAAAAAAAAAAAATTAAACTGATTGCAATAAAAGGGAAAAGAAAATATATACATATAAACATATGCGTGTATATGTGTACATAAAACAAAAGGTAATATTAAGCAGCTCATATATGTATAAGTACATGTTGCGTTTTCACCTTTTTTTGTATTCTCAAGGGTATGCTTCTTAATATATTTGCGTCGAGTCAAATATTTTGCATGCTGTTCAAATATAATTCGTGTAATTTATATCCATAATAGTGTATCCTTTTTGCATGTTAATCTCATTTAGAGCTTCTTTTGAAGAATGTCTTCATTAAATTTGGTTTTCTTAAAGTTCGGATTTGTTATATCCAAATTAAAATCTTTATTTTTGTATATATCTGCAAATCTTCTATCAATTTGATGACTATCATTTACTTTTTCGGAGAAATTTTCTCCGTTATTTTTTAACATAACATCTTTTTTTCTTTTATTTGTCTTTTTGGTTATTATTTTCTTTATTTCTTCATCTTTTTTTTTTAGTGATTCTAAATAAGCCTTTTTCTTTAATTTCTTTTTCTGCCTTACTCTATCAAGATATTTATCCCATGGATTTTTCTTTTCTTCTTTTTGATCATTATTTTTTAACATATTTTTGAAAACTTGTACAACTTCATTATCTTTGTCACTATCTTCTTCAGATTCTGGGATTCGTCCTTTCTTTTTTTGTTTCTTCTTTTCTTTTGTTTTTTTACAGAGACTCATAGCTAATTCATTGGAATTACCTTCATCTTCATTTATATTAGAACTATATTTTTCTTCTTTCAACAAATTTATTATTTTGTCCTTGTTTGCAAAATCTTCTTCGATTTCGTTGAAATATATTGAAAAGTTTATTTTATCATCATCTTCATATGTATTTTTGCTACTACTATTTAGTAGTTCAATATTATTCTCTACTTTATGTACGTCTTCTGTATCATCTTCACTTAATAAATCGCCTAAAAGCAATTTTCTAATATTTTCTCTATTATATTTTTCCTTTTTTTTAAATGAAACACCATTCTTGTTATCATCATCCTCCTTTTCTTCCTCATCACTGCTAGATGATGAATTGGCTAAATATTCCTTTAAGTCTAGTTCTCTTAATTTTTCTTCACTAAATCTTGTTGATAACAGTTTTTTCCTTTTTGGATTTTCATCCCATGTTGGCTTGACGTGTGTGTGTTTCAAAGCTGTACTCACGGTATAATGGAATTGATAATTTTCTGGAATTTTATCACAAAACTCCTTTATTTTATACTCATCAAGAGAACAATTATCATTAATTATTCTAAGATCTAAATAATTAATGCAGAAATCTGCATCCATATCATTTAATTCTTCATATAAAAATTCTACTATTTCTTTATTATAACATTCCACTACAGCAAAATAATATCTTGAGCGTTGAATTTGATACAGTCTAATTTTTTCATTTTCTTCTTCCTCGTCATCGGTATTACTGGTGTGTAACAGGCCACGATTATTTTTGTTCTTTTTAATTTTGTCCTTAGAAGATTTCTTCACCTTTTCCTTTTTCTTCTTAGGATGTTCATCATCCTTAATGTTAATGTCATCATCTGTGCAGCTGTCATTATTTGCACTTTCTTCATCGTCTAGGTTACTATCATCATCTGGGTTGCTATTATCTGTGCTATATACATTATCTGCACTTTCATCATCCTCTCCATTACTGCCACCTTTTGCATAGTTGTTACCCTCTGTATTACTATCATCCTCTCCATTACTGCCATCCTCTGCATTGCTGTTACTCTCTGTATTACTATCACCCTCTACATTACTGTCATCGTCTGTGTTTTGGATATCATGTTCACTTTCGTTATCATCTGAGCTAGATCCATGACCTCCTTCGTCACACGAAGAGTGTGAACCCTCATCAATGTCTTCGTTATGTAGGTAATCTAGACAATTGTTTCTCCTATATACAGCATCTTCGTTTTTCCTTCTTAATTTTAAAATATCCAAATTTATTTTTGGTCCATATTTTTTCTCTTGCTTGAGCTTCTTTTCCCCATATTTGGAGGTGTATATGGTGACTTTTTTCACTGCTCTACTCCTATTATAATCTATGTTTTTTTTTTTCCTTTTTTCGAAATTATAATATGATTCAAAGAGATAGAAAATGTCGGCACTGCAAATGTTGTCCCAGTCACAACCTAGTACTGTAAAACGGCTGGTCACATCAAAGGTCATTTTAATATTTTCTTTGATTCTTTTATACTTGGCATATTTCTGTTTGTCATTTTTAGTACCATTTTTTTCCTTCTTAAAGTGAGTTTTTTTCGTTTTGTTAAGTTTTTCACTTAAAATTTTACGTTTTTTCTGTTTGTCCATTTTTTTGGACTTTCTTTTAACACGGGGATTACTTATATCGTCGTTGCTTCCGTGGTCACTTTCTTCACAGCTATGTTCACCACTTTTTTCGTCACTCGATTGGTCAACCATTTTATTGTTTTTTTTTATATCAATTTTATCGCATCTTTTACCTTTTTTATCCTTTTTCCATTTCTTCCCTTGACCATCTCGATTTATACTGGCCTCCTTTTTTTCCTTTGCATCCAACTTCTCTTCACTACGATCGCAAATACTTTTCTTTCTTAATTTTTTGTTCTTACTCTTTAAATCAAAGACACTACTTTGCATTAATTCTGTGCTGTTTTCCTCTTCACTACTATAATTTTTAGTTGAATGAATAAAATTATCTTCACCATTAACTCTCCTGTTATTTTCATTTTCCTCTTCTTCCTCTTCCTCTTCTTCATTTTTCATGTTTTTAATTTTTTTCCTTGGGGGTACTATAATCGTATAGTCTTTTGTCTCATCCGAATTGGTACAATTAGCACATTCATTTATTTTATTAATCTCTTTTTTTATAGCCATTTCGTTATCATTTTCATCTTGTCTTTTCAAATATTCCTTGCTCTTGTGTATCTGATGATGTAATTTATTTTCAGAATCCTTATGCTTTATTTCTTTTTTCCTGCTACACGTGCTTTTTTTATCATTTTCATCAGAATTTTCACCATTTCCCAACGTTCCACGCTCTATCCATTTTTCCATATTTAAAATGCTGTCATTTATTTTAATTGAATTATCATTCATTTTTTTATATAGCTCAAATTGTTTTCCCCTTGTGCATTTCTTGTTCACACGTTCTATATATTTATTCGTTGCGTAACGATTTGGGAATTATTTCTTCACATGCATAAACACGAGCCTTTCTGGTGCTATTACTGCTTACTCAAAAGGTATATAAACCTATATACATATATGTATGTATATATATATATATATATATGTATACAAATATGTGCACTAAACACAAAAGCATAGCGCGATGTTAATTCAGGAAATGGAAGCAACAATTACTCACGTATTTGCTTGCTCCTTTATGTGTACATATGTATTGCATACATACATACACTAAAAAAATACATACTTCCCTAGTGAAAAAGCGCGCCTTTATGTGTTCCGTGCTATTTTATGTAGTTAAAAAATTGGGGTATAACTGGTTCGTGAGCAGCATTTGTGCATATTTTTCTCCTCTTAGGAGGGTAGGTACGCGATTCGCTTAAGAACAATCAATTGGTATATTAATTTGTAGCTAAAATATACATTATATGTACGAATGAAAATTTACTAAAGCAATGATGTTTGGGGAAAAATAAATAATGTAATACCAAAACGATACAATTTTTTACTTATGGGAAGTTTCAAGGAGAGGAAGAGGTGGGAAAGGCACCTCTATAAATTTTATTATTTTCAAGACGTTTAACTAAAATTGTGCAAGCATACAATTATAATCGCCTGTTTTAATTTTCTCAAATAAAACTTCAATAAGGCGAATTTACAATGAAAAAGAAAAAAAAAAAAAAAAAATGACATAAATTGCCAAAAACGTAAACGTTATATATAGAATGTAATAAGGAAACGGGGCGTACTCATAGCGTTTGCAATTTAAAAAGGAAATAGTAGTAAAAGTATACATTTATACGTAAAATTCCAAATATATGTGAACATCTGTTTTAACGTAATAAGTATATATATATATATATATATATATATATATATATATATATTTTGTATATATCATATATGCATTATATGTACATGATATGTACTTAATTATATACATATTATATGCACTATACATACTTTATATTATACATATTTATTCATTTACATTTTTACTCACATAACCTTTGCATATATATGAATATGCAAGTGGCGTACATGGAATTCTATTTATTTAACAATTTTATTTACAACCATTTCACAAGAAAATATGCTATTTTATGAAAAAAAGAAAAAAAGTACTAAAAAGTGAGCTTTTGCAAGGGGAAAAAAAAAAAAAAAAAGATTTGCTCAAGATTTGATGCTGCTTCCACTCAATGAACTTTACATAATATTTAACATACTCTAAGTGCAAGCGTAACGCACCTAAAATGCTGTTATTGTGTAATACAATCCTCTAAAAAGTGGTCTTTTTAATTCATCAGTATGAACTTTTTCCTCGGGAAGCCTTTTTTTCCAGCACAGAACAAAATAGCCACTTTGTAAAACCCATTTATACCCGTCTTACCCTTTTAACTTGTTTTTAACTTTTGCTCAAAATAGGAATTTGAATTCAATGTAAAAGGAAATAAACAAAAAAAAAAAAAAAAAAAAAAAATTATGGTGAATATTTAACTTTTTTCTCAAGTGAAATATTAAGAACGCTTAAAAGCGAAGAACAGGTTAATGAATGTATTGGCAACATTCCTTCAATTAAAAAAGTGTGAAAAGGAATCAGTGCAGGACCTATGACATTTGTAAAGCATTTAAAAGGGGATTACAAACAGATGATGCTGTTAAACTGAAAATATGATGAATTATGCACAGTTCATTTGTTAGTATCCTTATTAATGTAACTTAAATAAGAGAGCTTTTTTTTTTCTTTTTTTGTTTTTATATAAAAAAATACTTGTTAATTTATTGTTACAGTGGTTAAAATGGATGAAATATTAATGTACATAAGAACTATATGTACCGATTTTATCTGGGACATAATGCTATCGTAGAAAAATGCTAAAAAAAATACTCATAAAATATGGAACACTATACAGCAGCACATAAGTACACATATATATGTACATCTGTGTATGTGTGTGGGGATTAATTACATACACTTACACAAATACACACAAACAGGAGTATAAACAGGAGAGCAAACACAAACACTGAATATATTCTTTTATGACTCTTTCGAGTTAGTTGGATCCATGTCCAAGTTGTTCTGTGTAATATGAAAGTTATTCAATACATAATTCTTTTTATGAAATTTGTTCTTTCGAAATGCATTAAAATGGTTAACTTGTTTTAATTCCTTATTCTGCACATAGTTCAATTTACTCGTTAGACAATTGCACATAAGATTGCAGTTGTATCTACAACTGTGCTGTGATTTATGTAGTGGATATGGATACCCTTTATTCATTATATTATTTTTATAGTAATTGTTATGTGTCTTGAAATGTGTTTTATTGTTCATATTTTCCGTTATACTATTTCTAAAATTGTAGCTCAAATTTCCGCTTATGTTTCCACCGTAATTTAAGTTTATTCTATTTCTTGCGTGCTGAGCAAAGCATATCTTGCAACCTCTAGGGCCTCTGACAAAAAACATTTGATTATTATTTTTTTCATGAATCTCATTTCTGGTACTGTGGTTGCTCCTGTTCAAGTGACGTATTTGTGCATTGTTATAATTCAAATTATGCATCTGGGCATAGCTTTTTTGGCTTCCTGTGTTCAGATTTTCATTCTCATAATTGTTCGTGCGTGTCCTCAATATAATATCTTGGTGGGGGTTACCTGAATGTTTAAAATAAGTAGTCAATTTTCCGTTTCTTTTTGTGCTGAAATCAAATACTTCTCTTTCTCTTTTGAAAACCCTTTTTAATGAATTATCATCCTGAAGAATATATTTGTGAATAAAACTATTATTTCTATATTGATTTCTGTGGGCTCGTGAAGCAACTATTTGCTGGTAGTGAACCATATTGTCCCTGTGCTGATGGAATTTGTGATTACGCGAATTGATTTGATGTGCATCTACGCAATGTTCGTTTCCACGGTCCAAATTTCTGTGATACAGATTCTTTCTACAATTATATAACTCATTATTGAATGCATTTTTTATATTAATGGGGGATTTAAAAGTCATGTTACTGTTATATTTTTCTGCGTTGAATGTGTCCAGTCTTTTTACATTCATGTTATATGTGTCCATAAATCCATAATTTGTGTTATGGTATGTATTCGTAATCTCTTCATTTGCATAACATTCCCTTTTATTATGTAACTGTTTTATAGGTGCAATCATATAATCATTGGTGAAATTTCCAAAATTGTTCATATTGGAAAGAAGCTCATTCCTGTAATTCATTTGAGGATTGTATGGTAAATTTTCACTCCTCTTTTCTACGTTTTTCATGTTACAGTCAAAATCATGGTTGTTACAGTTGGTTCTACAATGCATCATCTTATTATTCCATATTTTGTTATGTAAATAAATATTATTCTTTTGAAATTTCGAAAACATATTTCTTCTTTTTTCTGTATTATTATAGGATTTTCTTTCTATCTCTGTTTGATCTTGTGCTTTCATTATAAGTGGAACTAATTCCAATACTCCATCATTTTCTGTAATTTCTTTCACATAGCTGTGTGAACTGTTTGCTAATTCTTGAGAGTAAATGTTTATTCTCTTCTCATCTGCGTTATTATTTTTGTTATCGTTTATTAAATTATCATGATTCCTCAACAGTCCTTGATTGAATTTTCTAATGACATATTTGTTATATCTATTTGTGCCTTTATTTTCTATATTTGAATCTATTTCTGTTATTTTTTTCTTTTTCAAACATAAACTGTTCAATTGTCCATGTGAATTACTTGGAATACCACTATAAATAGGACATCTGCTTTTGAAGTAGCCAAAATTTATTCTCACATAATCCAACTTATCAGTTTGAACTTCCTCATCCTTTGTAGTTACAATCGAAAATTTTTTCATTTTCTTTTGAATAGCAGCAGCAGTAGTATTAATAGTTTTATTCGCGTCTATAATATGTTCTTGTAGTTTTTGCAGCTCTTGTAGTTTCTGTAGCCATCGTTCTTCTTGTTTATCAATATTAGTGGAAATATTTATTCTTCCCATGTCTTTATTTTCCCTATAGTATGCTCTTGAACAGCTAAAATTCACATCCTTACCTAATTTTTGTGCAACTCTTATTTTGTTATACATCAAAATATTATTCATGTTGATTCTTGGATGATATCCTTGGAATATGTTCCTACTTATTCCTTTTTCCATTCGATATTTTTTTTGTTCTTCATAATATGAGATTGGAGCTTCAAAAGAGTAATACCTGGATGGATTTTGAGGAGTAGAAGATAAAAAAATATATGAATTATTCTGCAATGAAAAAGATCCATTGCTAACTGTACAAGCATTGATAAATCGAGAATTTGATACATTCCTGTGATTCATTTCTTCTTTACCCTTTTCGACTAGACTTTCATTTTTGCTTATGTAGCTACTTCCCTTGGAGTAATTGTCCGTATCACTTTCTTCAATCTCAGAACTATCGAAACATCCTTCAGCCTTATTTTTTGAAGATGAGTCACTATTAATGCAGCTACTTGGGTTGTTATGTCCCTGGTTTATTTGATTTTCTCGATTGGTATTATCACCGTGGTTGGTATTTTCTCCTCCGCTAGTATTGCATCTCTTCATAGAGACTCCCTCAATTTTATCATAGCCAGCATTCCCACTTTTCAAGTTGTTTGCAAATTCCTCCTTTTTAATCGTGTTCAAAATGTTGGAAATCAATTCCTCATTATCGTCCCATTTTAACCTATTCATATGGGATCTATTTATAATATTCATATTTGTGCACTCAAAAGAGTTATCTCTCGATGTGTTAATCCGTTTAGATGCTGAAAAAACGCATTTGTTTTCATTTTTCATTTTACTGTTGGTACATACGAAATCATTCGTAATAATTTTTCTCTCGCCTTCTTCTCTATATGTCTGAGGAATATTCGAGTTGTCTGTTCTATATCCCAAATTGAGGACCTCTGAATATATGCACCCCTTTTTTATTTTGTAAAAAAGGGCACATGCCATGCATTCTCCATCTATAGATACGTGTCTGACCGGAACATCAACATTTACGGAATTTTCCATAAGTTCCTTATTTTTGTGTATTTTCTTGGTTTCTTCTGTTTTCTCCTTTTCCACAAGTTCTTCACTTTTGACCCTTTTCTCGAATTCCTCATCCCCATACTCCTCCATTTCTGTACTACTCAAACTTTCAGAACTTTCAAAACCCTCACAATTTCCAACAGTTTCTAAATTTTTTGCAATTAATTCTTTCTCAGATAATACATTTTTTTCATTGCTTGTTAGGGAAATATCTGTTCGCACCTCTGTTTCATTTTTCACGACACCTTTGCTGGCAAGGTTACTTAGATTCTTGACATATAATATTTCATTTGCATTTTTTATCTTTGAATCATGGTTTCTTTCTTCCTGAAAATCTTCCTCATCATTTCTGTCTCTACCAAGTATATTTGATCCATGATTTTCTTCATGTAGATGTTTTCTTTCCATTTGCATGTTCTCTTTATGAATTTTTAGCTCATTTAGTATGTTCTCATCTTCATTTCTCGTGTAGTTGCTTTGGTTCTGAGACATTTTTCTTTTCCTCTCTTCTTCCATATGATTCGAGTTGTCCATTTTGTTCACATGGTATATTTTGTTAGTGTGTTGCCTTTTCTTTATATGATGCATTTTGTTTATCTGATTCATTTTGTTTATATGGTGCATTTTGTTTATCTGGTACATTTGGCACATTCTGTGCATTCTGCACATTCTATAAATTTTATATGCATGCTTCATTTTGTCTATTTCGTGTATTTTGTCAATTTGATACTTTTCCTCCGTTTCGTCACTTTCATCCATTTCTTCAATTTCATCCATTTCTTCAATTTCATCCATTTCTTCAATTTCATCCATTTCTTCAATTTCATCCATTTCTTCAATTTCATCCATTTCTTCAATTTCATCCATTTCTTCAATTTCATCCATTTCTTCAGTCTCTTCCGTTTCGACTGCTTCAATGATATCGTCCGTATCGTTCCTTTCATCCTTTTCCCTCATTTCCTTCATTTTTACCACATTCTCCATTTCCTCCCTTCTTTGCTGCTCATTCTGTTCATCATTTTCTCTTTCCATTTGTTCTTCTCTCTTTGGATCGTGCATCGGAATATAACTAAAGCCATGGTAATATGTTCTTTTTGGTCTTTTCTTATATATACTATCTATGTCGTTTGGCACATCTATGTCAATGGAATAATGGGGTTGGTCATTTTTTCTTCGGTTTCTTGCTCCTGTGTGCTTTTCCTTCTCTCCTTTGTCATTATATACCTCTTCTCCAAAAGTTTCATACCTATTAGTTGGTCTCTTCACGATATCCAGCTCGATATTAGATTCCTCACCACCTTTTGTATTTGGCTTGACTGTATCGATCATTTGGAGATTCTTCATCTGCTGATTTTGGATCACATGGTTCATTTCCTCCTCATTCAGGTTAAGATGCATGAGGTTTAATTGATACGGTTTCAACTGACTCAAATTCACGTAATTCTTCCCTTTCCCAAGTTCAGAACATAAGAGATCTATTTTCACATGTTCCATAGAATTACATTTGTTATTCGTGGGGTTTTGTGAATTTCCTAATTCATTCATACTGTCCCCATTTTGGTTTGCTTCATTACATCTAAGTGATTTTTCAATCTCCTCATCAACTCCAATGTACTTGAATAACATATCTGTGTTTTTCCTCATTTCTGAATTTTTTAATACATCTAATAATTTCTCATTATTACTAATGTGATAATATCTGCCTGTTAAATTATTTCCATAACTAATTAAAGCTGCTTTTTCTGGGTTGTCCCTACTCATTAAAACGTGTTCAATCATACTTAATATGCTTTTTACATCACCATCTTTTGAATATTTATTATATATGCCATTATCTGGATTCAGGTATATGTTAATCAGAACAATATCATTCTTATAATAGATACTTTTATTAGTTTCACCACAATTCTCTCTTTTGTTATGATTTTCATTTATATTTTTTTTCTCGTACATGTTAGCAGCGTTCTGTATGTATTCACCTACATTTTTCTCCAAATCGCCATTGTACAGGTTAACAATCCCAATAATACCACTTTGATCTACATTATAATTAAAGCACTTCAGGATTGTGTTCCTTCTAAAATCACCTTCATTGACATTTCTATTAAAATTATCTTGGTCTCTTATTCCACTTGCATTTCTCTGGCTCTCTTTACCCACAGAATTGCTCTGATTGGTATTTCCTCTACTATCACAAGTATTCACAACACTTATCCGCTCGTCATGTTTCTCAAGGTCCATATTTTTCAAAAAATAATTTTCCTCTTTCATTTTTCTGTTCAATGTTTTGTGTATATATATGTATAGCTGTTTCAGTATCTGTTGTAAAAAAAAAAAAAAAAAAAAAAAAAAATTTATAGAACAAATTTAGATGTCCTACAATATCCCTCCCACAACGTTGCTTATACAAGTAGAAAAATAAAATAAAAATCTTTTTAATTAATTCGATTATAGTAATTCAAATGTATTTTCTTTGTATAATACTAATTGGGAAAATATGAAAAAAAGCGTAAAAGTAAATATATAAGTAAATATCTACGTAAACATATAAGTAAATGTATATGTAATTATACGGATACATATGCAGATGTATATAAATATATTTATGTATATGTGAGTGTTTTTTAGTTTCAATGCAGTTTACGCTCAATATTAAGTACACATTCATGTTCAATAAATTTAATTTAAATTTTGACCTTACTTTTGGTGGCAATTTTATTTTCAATTTTGGTATAAATTTTTGTTTCAATTTTAGTTTCAGTTTTGAAATTAACTAAGTTTGGAGTTTTCATCTATTTAAGCCATCTAAAACAGGTTTCGCATGTATTTTCCACCTCGGTTCTTTTATGACCACAAAATATACCGTAAATGTAGTACTCATTAAGTGCTTTTTAGCCATAAATTATTGTAGACGATGAGTATTAACATATGTGCACATGCATACCTGCATGTATGTGGCCCCGTTTTTATTTCATTGCATATTTTCACTAATGGTCTACTTTTTATAGTGACTCTACTATTATAACCTTTTTTTTTTTTTCTTTTTTTTTTTTTTTTTTTTTTTTTGTGTGGGGGTATCCTTGCATATAAATCCACTATATATGATGTTGGTTGCACTAAATGTGTTTTTGTCAACATATATTTCATTCTCTTGCATATAAAATATTTTTTTGCTTTTTCCCTTCTGCAGTTCAAGAATAACATTTTTCAAAAATGTACTTCACATTTATATCAATATAGTACTCTATAAACCTTTTTCTTCATTTAATTTTCTTTTTTTTAACCTCAAATGATATTAAAAAAGCTATAGGAGATAGTTTGCAAGTAATTTTTTTCTTGGTCCTTTTATTATGCGGCTCCTGCCTCTACACAACGTGGTTGTAGATGATTTTTTCAAATGTGTATATTCGGAATAGAAAAATTAAAGGATTTCTCAATGCACCATGCTCAGTTCGTTAAAATTACTAATTCGTACAGGCATCCACTCATTAACCACTTTCATACACTTGCTCATATGTTGAATCCCATAGAAATGAGGAGGAAAACCTTAAAAACGAGAAACGTAAGTGCCCATTTCCATTGTCTTCTCGGTTTATTAATGAATTGCTTATTTTTTGGGGCTATGGTACAGCAATGGAAGGGGCTGGGGGACATATTTCTGCATGGAAATAAGCTTTGCGCTTGTGTGTTTTTTTTTTTTTTTTTTTTATTTATTTTATTCATTTTCCTTTTGAACAAACATTAGTATTCCCCATGGGGCAAATTTTGGAGTGGTACACATAGCCACCCCTTCGATCTCTCTGAATTGCTTCAAATGCAATAGTCATATTATCAATAGAAATTTTGTTAACCCCTTAAAATGCTCCATAATTACAAATAAATGAATCTACCATTGTGTATTGCACCTTTATGGATATTCTTTGTGAAGTGCGAAATGGTAATTAGATGCATTAATAGATTCTCTATTTAGTTTTTTTCATTGCAACCATGATTTTCGAAAAAACCTCCTACGTGGCCACTTTTGTTGTTGTATTTTCAACTGCTTATGGAAAATCTCTGCAGAATGGTATAACTCTTATTTCCAAATATTTTGAAATGAATAAAGTATATGTTTATACACATAAATATATATATATATATATATATATATATGTACATATAGCTTCGTTTAATTAACCGACAAATTAATTTTGCCCTTTTCATCACCTCTTAAGTTATATATAATCTCCATTTCTCATAGTGTATATAAAAAAAAAAAAAAAAAAAAAAAAATTGTTTTTCCCATTTGCCATTTTCTGAGTAATTATAATTCAACAAATAAGCTTCTTCTCCTTATGACTTCTTAATGTTACAAATTCAACCAAACTAGGTCAACATTTACTCAAGGTTAATACATTTATTTGGTTCCATCATAAGCTCACTTAATTTTTAAGATAGGATTCAACACCTTTTATCTTGCAACTCGAATGTTTTATTTTATTTTATTATATATTTTTTTTCTCCTTTTTGATATTTCACTACATGATAGTTAACATTTCAATAACTTTATATGTCCCCTAGCAATTCACAAACTTTCAACAAATTAGAATTAATCACATGAAAAATGTTATGGGGGATCTGCAATTGTTTGGAAGATCCTACACGAATGTTATTTGGACTTAAGATTTCAATATGAAAAAGTCTATTAAATCATCTTATTTGCATACTTTTTTACCATAAATATAAGTTCCATAAAATGTGAATGAATTTTTTTTTACTAAATCCTGTTAACTATTTAAAAAAAAAAAAAAAGATTGTACTTGTATTTACTGATACGTATAGAATGTATTAACACAAGGTGGATGCTCATTTTTTCTTCCTTAATTGTGACATTCATTATATATAAAGAAAAACTTTTAAACTAAAGAAGAATTTATTTAAATATGCGTGAGGGACATCATTAAAAGTATTTTTTACGAAAAAGAGGCACTTGTTAAGATGAAATAAATGGATGCTTCTTCACTGCTAATATGAAGTGCCATATCCTTAATTGTGTTTTCTGAGCAGTAACATATATGGACACTACCATTAAGATAACCTTTCTCATAATCCTTTTTAATTTAAAAAAAATTTCAATTAATTTTATTTCGATTCGAATCGTGATTTGATGAGAAAATTATAATGCGTAAGCTTCTATTATTTATGTTTTAATTTTATTTTCCTTTCCACCATATCATACAGATGGTCTATTTCACTTCACAAAACGTACTACATCATGAATACATAAGCAGGTATTGAAATTAATTCCTTCCTACGTATTACAAGTTTCTCAAATCTTCATACTTTTCTGTAGATGAAACATTTTGTATAAAACTACTAGTGTAGTATTTAGCATATTATAAACAGCATGCACCAACACAATAATGGAATATACTATGTTCCATAATTTTTTTTTTTTTTTTTTTTTTTGATATTGCTTCTTATGTCTAACAAATTATTAAGGATCCTTCGAGCTCTGATAAAAAATGTGTGTGGATTTAATCCCATAAAGTTGTATATACCATGCTTATTGAAACGTTTTTCGTTATGCTATTTTTATTTCTCCTCCCATTCGCTGCTTGAAGAAAAATTCACTTATAAAATAAAAAAAAAAAAAATTACACAAACAAAACAAAAATGACTTAAAAACAAGCCGTTAAAGGTGAACACCATAGTCATTACGTATTTTGCAAAGAAAGCATATGTATGTCTGATATTTAAAATTTCGCGTGTGATGTTCTTTTCATCATGCTCATACTTCTATTAATAATTGTAATACTATTGTTTCAATATTTTTTTTCTTTTATCAAAGCAATGTCAACTGAAAGGATATGTATTAACAAGTACATAAATAAAAAAAAAAAAAAATGTTATGCAGCCTGTTTATATCCATAAGAAAAATTTAAGAAAAGGCATAAATTTTCATTTCTTACATTTCTTACTCATATTACATCAACTGTTCCATTCGAATAGAAAAAACGGTTACAGCTTTCCATATAGAATCTTAGATTTAATCTAATGTTGGTCCTACTTTTATGCGTTCGTAAAATTTGGTTAGTTGTATAGAAGTGGAAATTGCACATGCATACATATGTATATATATATATATATACGATAAAAAACAAGTATTGAACATGTTATAGTATAATTTTCATTCATTTTTTTTTTTTTTTTCAAGGTAAATAAGGTCCACATTACATACATAAAAGATTAAGAATAGATATCGCCCTAACAAACTGATTGTATATTTTGTTACATATATTAGCCTTTACTGTTTATACATATTAAAAATATATATGTATATAAATACTCAATATACATGTGCACATTTTGCACGTATTAAAATGTGAACATTAGTTATACGCAAAGGGAAAAGAAGTGTGTGAAAGTGAGACGCTTGAAGAGTAGTACTACTTGTGGCACATTATTAAGTTCATAATGGTATTACTTAACATATTTTAAAAATTATATACATGCTTAAAAAGAAGGAAAATAAAACAGCATACAAACAACGCAATGGCAGTAAAGTTTCCAATAAGGGGTCGAAAACACATTATGAACCCTTAAACGAATTCACGTAAAAAGTTCCATTAAAATGTAAATAATATTTTCAATGTATAAATAAAATAACGGTATTTGTGTAATTCGTTTATTTCATATTCGTGCAGCACACTTGAAAAGTATAGAACTAACGTTTGACAGTATATATATGCGATTTCATTTGCATCTATCACCACACACTTTTGTTGGTGTAATGCAACAAATGAAAAATACTTAATTTACACCATGGAAGAGCTTACACATAATGATAAATGTTTTTTTTTTTTCACTACAAAAAACTTAACACATAATAAAATTAACAAAAAAAAATGACATGTTTTGTAAAAAAAAAAAAATTACACTTCATGTGTCAACCCTTCCTTTTTTAACTTGAGGGAAATTAAATTCTTCATTATGTTTTAAGGAAAAAAACACACAACAATTTAGGTGTCAAAAAAAAAAAAAAAAAAAAAAAATTCAACCACATAAATTACTTCGTAAAAGATTGTCATCATTTATGCTAAGATCTAACAATACATACACGAAATACTATTTTATTGCATATTTAATACACATGTGTGCAAATAAAAATGTGTATGTATGTATGTATGCATTGGTAAACATATGAACTCAAAGTGTATTCATTATTCTTTTTCAAATTTCAAAAAATGAACTAGTAAACCTTATAGAGGGGTTTGGATAATAATGTTTAAGAAATTCCACGTGACAAAGATAATTCATCTTTTTTATTTTATATAAATTTTTTCTATTGAAAGTGTTTTGTGAAGTATCCATAAATTTGATGTTTAAATTTGGCACAATTTCTTAACTGTCTTATCATAAATGTTAATTGGGATTTCCCTTGAATGTGCAAAAAGAATATGTAAAATTTTGTTACATATGCGTTTTATAAAAAATGTAATGAGAATTTTTATTTTCAGAAATTAAAAGGTCCTGTCGTCCGTGCCACAAAAAGTGTACACACGCAAGGGTACACACATAGTACATTGATGTGTACAATATATGCGATTTAAATTTTTTTCTAATATATTCAAACCAAACTTATTTTTTGTAATGCTTGCATCTATAAGGTCAAAAAAAAAAAAAAAGTGGCGCATTTATCGAGAAAACAGCTCACGAAACATATATGCATCGTCATGAGATGAACTCCCTTCGCGCATACAGAGTGTGTGTAATTGTATATCCTTTTAAAACCATTTTTTATTTTCTGATTTTCACAGTTAAAATTTGCACTACTATTTTTTCTTACATATATGAATAAGCATAGAACACATTTTGTTTAGAATTTTTGGTGTAAACTCCAAATGTTCTTTAATACAATTGGTTGTTTGCCTCTCCTGATAAAGAACTAAATAGGAAGGAGTGTGAGGCATATTTGCAAATATCCATGTAAAAACATGTAGGAGAATGTGAAAAAATATATATCAGTGAAAGATAAGCTTTAAGAAAAAAAAAAAAAAAAAACATACATGCCTATATATTAGACGCTATTACCTCAAGAATAAAAAAAAAAGGAAAAAGAAAATTATGTTCATATAATCCTCTTAAATGTTTTTTCCCCGTTTTGAATAAATACAAGAAAGCAAAATGAGCAAATACGCTTTTAAAGTTTTTGGCGATGCTTAATGTGCATTAAATAAAAAAAGGTGTCCTATGTAATTCTCATCCTTACACTTAAAATAAGGTTCTTATTCTACATTCCATTTTGCGCTCTTTTACATGAAATGTGTACAAATCTGTTATATGAAACAAATTTCAGACTATATATTTTTTTTTTCCTTTTTAATGTTTCTTTAATAACTTAAAGAAAAATGCGTTAATATATATATATTTTTTTTTTTTTTTTTGTTCCTGAAAACCTACTGATGTCAATTTTGCTTATTTTTTCGTACTTCAGTTTAATATATATATTTAGCCAAGTATTTCCACACTACCAAAAGGTTTAAATAATGTGTAGACCCATAACATTTTTTAGTATACTTGTCCTTAAATATTTAGTTGTGACAAAGCATCACGGTGTGAATAATGTCTTTCTTGCCTTTTCATGAGAAATGTCCATGCAAATGTTAACTAAAGTTATGATTTGTGCATGATTTGTGCATAATTTACGCAGAGTTTGCGTATTATTTGTGTTCAGTTCTCATAAAACAATAAGAAAAAAAAAAAAAAAAAAAAAATTAACACATCATCTGTACATTTGACAAAGTTTTGAGTGTTTTTTTGTTCCTTTTTATATTAAAAAACAAATGCTAGAAATAATGCCGACGTTGATAAAACGTAACATAATAAAAGACTGATAAACGTATGCAACAAATTGAGTATACAAACATAAGTGTCTTTCCTTTTTACTTTCAATTGTTGCCAGCATTAAATGATACCGTATATCCTATAAACGATTATCCAAAAAAAAGAACTTTTTACTTTCTTCATAGTGAGGATTATCCACTTAGATCTGTAGTTAAGAAAAACAAGGCAGAAATGAATATAAACGGTGCTCGAAAAATGTTTTTTCATATAAAATTTTATGTAACAATGACAGAATATTTTTTACTTCTATGTTGATATATGTATATGTACATTTGTGTGTACACATGAAAATTAAACAAAAGGATGTCTTATTTTGTTAAATCACAAACGGTAGACATCGTGCACATATTAATTAATGTACTTTATCAAGTAAATAGGAATTAACGAAAATAGGGAAACTCACAATTTGTTAAATGTATTCTCAATCAAAAAATAAAATTTTTTCTTTTTTTTTCTTTTTATTATTATATCCCAAATGTCCCAAAAAAGTTAAATAAAAAACAAATAAACTTAAATGTAAGGTTTATTCCTTTTTTAAAAATTACAAAAGCTTACACAAAATACACATTTACTAAAAACTTACGCATAAAAATTGATATGTATATAAATTGTGGCTATTTATAATTGAAACACATATATACTCTCATGTGTTAATCCCATTTCGAGAAAACAAATTATATATGGCAGTATTTTTTATTTTTTTGTATTTGTCAACTTGAATGATAGATGCAACTATGCAATATTTTTATTAGATCAAAAATTATTTTGCATTGTCTTTTTAATAAGTTGTGGACGTACCCATTAGTGACTCAATTTGTTCTTTCTGTAAATTAAAACAAAAAAGAAAATATGTTAAAAATTGGGTATGGAAATTTTAGTTATGAGAAAAATGCGCATAGAAATGTAAACATATAAACGTCAATTTGATCTACAGATCCTTATATAACACTTTGATAAGCCCTTCATTCGATAACAAAACGCATTTTTGAGGAGACACATATATATAATTTGTGCATGTATGCATATTTGTAGAAGCAAAAAAAATAAAATTATAAGAAAAAATACGAATGGCATCTAATGTTTACTTGTTTTTTGGAATAATCCATGAAATATTTATTCCTTGCCAAATTCTGCATTTTTCCGCAAAAAGTTAAAAAATGTACTTCGGGCGTATATATGAAAATAAGCATACAATTCGTAAATACAATATATTTTGAGAAACAATAATAAACGCATTATATGCCCCTCAGAAATTTTAAACCTTTCTAAAATAATTATGAACTTTATTTTGCTCCATTTTTCTATTGTTTTCTCTAAGGAATAAAAGTATGAATTAAATGTTGTATTTCCCAAGTTTCACATGAAAAAAAAGAGTTACGAATTATAATGTTATCAGAATGAACGAATAGTTCATTTTTTATGCCTTTAACATTTCTTTTACTAAATCTTCGTTTATAATTGACTCGGTGTAATAAACATTAATGGTCGGGTAAGGCGGTTCATTCTGCAATTTGATGGTATATAGTAATAATGAATCGTATTTTTTAATTAGTAAAAAGTGAGAAAAAAAAAAAAAAAAAAAGACACAGTTGAATGGACTGTATATTTGTCTAAAAAGCAAAGAAAGCACAAAGAGGAAGAGTGGGAACAATAGATCTCCTTCCAATGTAGATTAGAAGTAGGATAAAAGGAAAACATATGTTACACTTTACCATGTCTCTATCTATTTGAACAAAAATGCCTTTCTTAGGTTGAATTTTTCCATTTTGATTCCTTAATGTTAGACTTAATTTGACAGCAAGCAGAAGGAGAAAAATTACAAGTATAGGTTTGTTTGTCATTTTTTTTTTTTTTTTTTTTTTTTTGGAACATTTGTCATTACATTATTAAAATATAAAAAAAAAGAAAAAAACTGACACAGTGTGTTTTAAATGGATTCGTATGCAGAGTTTAACTACATTAAATAGCAACAATATTGAGATATTCAACATTATAAGAAAAATTGCTTGTTCTCATTTTAACAATGCTAAAAGGAAAGAAGTTCACGCATCGGTAAATCAACACAAGTGTATATACCCCATTTATCCCTAAATCAAAGACAATTATTTTTTTTCATTTTGTACACTTTATACATTTTTTTTTTTTTTTTTCACTTCCCATAAAATTAAGTTTGCTTTTTTGTATAAAAGTGTTCTTTTTAAGGCTAAAAAAATACTTTTTATTTTTACGTTCTTTGCAATGTTTTGTGAAATGCAAAACATATTACAAGAGCAGCTGACACCTATTTGTTTACCATTTTTCTTATTTCATTTTATTTTTTTTTTTTTGCGAATTTCCAGTACTTTATAACTGTATTTCCTCTTAATCAGACTGTTGAGGATTTCCCTTATTGTGTTAATTTTTCACTATTTCAATTGCATTTTTTATGAACTCTTTTTGCTTTTCTTTAATGTATTTGCATTTTTTATTTTTTTTTAACAGTAAAATAAACATAAAGTGGAAAAAACGAAACAAACAGAAAAAGTATTTTAATAAGCTGAACCTTTTTTTTTTTTTTTTTTTTTTTCAAGCTTTTGTTAATGATCATGATCTAATGTGTGCTACATAAAAAAAGTACTTTTTGTTTCACAAAAAAAAAAAGACAAAAGAAAAGTATGTCGTATGGGGCTTAACCCTTTTTCGTTACTTATAAAATGTTTCATCTTTTGCGCTCACATAATGTATAAATGACATCAAAAAAAAAAAAATAAAATAAAACAAAATAAGTAAAATAAAATAAAGAAAAATAAAACAAAATAAGTTTAAATAAAATAAACAAACAAAATAGCAAGTAAAATGATCAGAAAACAGCAACACACAAAAAGGTACCTATGGGGTACAAACAATTAATGGGCAACATAAACAAATTTACAGCATATTTTAAAGACGAATTTTTACATCCTGAAAAACAGATCCACCTATGAGCATCATGTACACTTCGCAAACATGAATTGCTCAAGAATGCTTCTCAAAATAAAAGAACAATTCTCTTGATAGAGCTATTGGCCCCAAATGGAACAAGTCACAAGTTGCGTAAAGAGAAAAAACGAAAAAAAATAAAGAATAATATCCAACATTTACAAAAAAAAAAAAAAAAAAAAAAAACTTGCATGTTTTAGGGTCATAAAAAGCTCAAATAACCGTTCACTTTGTAACATATTTTGTGTAAAAAAAAAAAAAGAAAATTAATTAAAAATGCAGAAATCAGGTTCCCTTCTTTCGCTTTTTTAAGGAAAAAAAAAAAAAAAAAAAACATTTTTAAATTGTGATTAAATATTTCTTAATTTGTTATCATAAAAATAACTATTTTCGCATCTTTCAAAATAAAAAAATAACATAAAAATATACACGCACATATACAAGTCTTTTTTTTTCTTGTTAACACAAAAATAAAATTTCACAATTTTAAAACAAAATTTCAGTTTCTCATTTCCACAACGCAATTGCCACATTTCACATATTATAGCTTCATTCCTCACACCCCATACTCTCATTCATTTTTTTTTTTTTTTAAGAAAAAACTTATACCCCAAATTCCATCTTAAAAATGAATTTTAGTTCTCCAGTACTTAATTTACCCCAAGAAGGAAAAAGAAATAGAACGAAGCTAATTAGATTGCGAAATGGACACTATAGAAGAATAGTTGATGTTTCGAACATAGAGGATATAAAAAAACTTACAGATTTATGTCGTTGTGTTTGTACAACCCCTCGAAATGATGATTTAGGTATGTTACTTGGAATATTGAACCATTACAACTATAAATGTTCATAAATTATTAACCCTTTTTTTTTTTTCTTCTTTTTTTTAAAATGTTCCTATTATCTGCTTGACATATTTCTACTTGATTTATTTTGCCTCATTTATTATAATGCATTTGCATATTTAAAATACTTCCTCCTCTCACTGTGTGTTTTCTCGTGCTTTCCCCTTTTGCTTTCTCAAGATAAACAAGAAAAATTGGAAAAAGAGAAGAAAGACGAGACCTCAAAAGATCATGACGAAAAGAGTGATTTTGTAGAGTCAGAAATAGAACAATCATTTGACGTTGAGATAAAAGAAGATGACACAATTGACGATCAGTATTCCAGAAGTATTTCCTTAGTATCTAATGCACCCACAAGCATAAAAGGTGAGACAGTTGTGCAACGTAGGAAAATGTCTCAACTCGAATTGACAGAAGAGGAAAGTAATGAAGAAATCATAGAATCGGCTGATGAAGTAAAAGAAGATCTACAAGAGGAAAAAGAAGAAATAAAAGAGGAAAAAGAAAAAATACAAGAGAAGATTCCGCGTCCTGTCAGAAAATTAATAGAACCATCTAAGACTCTGATGAAAGGAATTAAGACAAACATTTACTTTCTATCTAATAAGGAAATGGTGCAGACAACAATGTGCTACAATTATAATTGTAATGCCGTAGTTTTTGAAAAAGATACCTTTTTAAGGTACTTGTATATAAAATCTATCAGCAATATTATACTAAATGAGCGCATGATTGAAGAGCTGTGCAAACAGGAAGATTTAAAGTATGTCTTATCAAGCAATTCAATAGTTATTGAGTCAACTGATTTTCTGAAGCCACTTATTATTGAATTTGAATCATCTGTTACTAAGAAAGTATTTGTTACGCATATAAAGTTTAATGAAAGGAATGAAATAGATATAAAAAAATACCATGAATACCTAAACGAAATTAACATTAATGAAAAATTACGTCTCCTGAAGGTTGAAAGATTTCACTCCTTCAACAAGATGGTCCAAAACAGATAGCCTTTTTCGAATGCACATAGTAGTTCTCATGACAAACTAATATATTTTATGTGAACTAGTAGCTGAAGAATTGCCACGGACGTTGGGGGACTGTGGAAATTACATATTTGTGTTTATTTTTCTCCCTCGAATTTGTACATTTTTATTACACCTTTTGTACAATACTCCATCCCCATCTTTTGTACAACAGTAGCTAGTTAAAGCTTAAAAATATAACCTTACGTAATACTTGATTATTTTGAAGGTACGTGACGTGTGAGAAATATTATTAAGGTAAATAAAGTCCTAGGGATGGAAAAGGAGGAATTTTTACCCCTTCTTTATTTTGTTTCCTCAAGTAACATATTGCTTTAACACATTCGTCGCTCCTTGTAATAAAATTGCACATGTTTTTTCATAATATACCTTATTTATTTTCATCTGCGTTTTTATGGTGGATCTACTTTTCTCTTAAATTGTGTTATAATTTATTTTTTACAATTCTCAGCTAATTTATTACATCAAGCACTTCTCACCTATTTTGTATGCTTATTATGTTTGTATAAATATAAAATATCCATGTTTTTTCCCCTACTCTTTTATTACCTTTTTAAATACTCTACTTGCTGCTTATTTTGTGAAAAATAATCAAGATTTCCTTGTCCACTTAATCCTCAATGATTCTTAATTTTTGTTATTTATTTATTTATTTTTTTTTTTTTTTTTTTGTTATATTGCTGCACTGATAATTTTTGAGTATATTTTTGCGCTAATTACTACGCATTATTTTTATGCCTCTATTTTTTTTTCTTTAAATTTTTAAGCCTTAACATTTTTAAACTTAAAGTCAAAAAAGTTAACTCGACTTATATATCCTTCCCCAAAGGTGTTAAATTTATCAGGCTATTTAATAATATCTGTAACAGCTGTTTTTTTAGCCTTCTTACTAAATTACAAAATGGAAATATACGATTCGTATGATCGAATCAAAAATAACTAGTACAATATATGATGTGTAAGCATATGACACAAGCAAAGTATAATAGGCATTGATAAAAGAAAAACTTGTGTGAAATGCTCTGAAAGGTTTGCCTATAAAAATACACCATATTTTAAATATGATTGAGTAAATTTGTTTTTTAAAAAAAGATTTATGTATTTTTATGTGCTACCATCTTCGGTCATCGTTAAACATGCCTCCCATAACAAGTCATGAGAATTTTGAAAATATTCCTGATTTTCCTACATTTAATTCATTCATTTGTTATAAAAAAAAAGGTAATTAGAAAATATGATAAATAGTTACCATATTAAGTTTAGCCTGTCACATTTGCTATGTCAGCCCGGTGATGTGCAAGACGAAGCGTACAAATGAGTAATTGGCAATCTTGTGAATATAATTCCTACTTTTTAAGGAATGAAAAACGTGTAAAAGTAACGTGAAATCACGTTGCATATTCTGATTAAGCATGTACTCATATATATATGTACATATACATGCACACCTGTTTCCTTCTTGCAACATTATACAGCCCCAATGGGAAGAGCAACAAACGTGTAAGATAAAATTTCGACTTTACAGAACGAGATATTTTAGAAAATATAAAACAATGCCATATATTCGAGACTCTGGAGAAAACCACATAAAAGAATTAACAAGGGAGCGAGTTAGACTGAGTAAACGGACAACTAATTCAATAACCCTTGGTGCAAATTTTCTGTTTATATGTAATTTAGATAACAGACTATCATCCAAGGATGTTACGCATTTTTTCAATTATTTTATCGGTAACGACAATTGTGTAGCGCGTATAAGACGGAATAAATACACAGGTTAAGAATCATATATGTGTATTGTTTTCGCTTGCATATTTTTATCTACAATGTTGAAAACACACTTCTTGCTTCATTTGTGCATATCCGTATATGACTAACACATTTAAATAAATTTATCATCTCTTCCTGTGCAGGCAGAAATGTGGGACATGGAATTTTGAAATTCCAAAAGGCAGAAGACGCAACTCTTGTTCTGCTCAATTATCAGGGAATCAAACTAGGAGAGAAAAATATTATCTTAACAGAGGCATTCAAAAACGAACATTTAAAGCAAAAAAAGCACATATGTAATATCTTACAACCAAACAGAGTGTAAAAAAAAAAAGTTTAAATCATTAATGATGTACACACATATATGTTTGTCATGTGTGTATACATGAATTTATGACAACGCGTGTGGTGAAAAAAAAAAAAAAATATATTGTGATACAGTAGTTAATTAAAATAATACGAAATAATGAACAATTCAAAATGAAATTGAATTCTATGGATTATAAATATTAATAATCAACAAGGCCCAAAATTATCAGTAACAGTTCATGCCTTTTTAACCACAATGGAATAATATGTAGAACACAAAAAAAAAAAAAAATAAAATTACAATTAATTAAAGCTTAAGTAATGGCATATTTAAAAAATGAAACGAAATTAAAAACATAAGTACATACATATTTGCATTTTTTTTTTTTTTTTTTTTTTTTTCCATACCTCTAATTTTTCACACTTTTTTTGTTTCTCTCATTTGCCCTATAATTTTTTTTTTTTTTTTTTTGTTAATTATACCAAAAGTTTAACACAATTTGAACAGCGTCAATGAGCTGTTTCGAGTAATCACTCGATACATCTACTTTATGCAAAGGAACATTGTACACTTTTACAAATCTGTTTAATATCCACCTCCTCTGTCGTTTTGCGTATTTATACGTTTTTCTAATTAAATTATCTTTGCATAAGTTAAATAAGTTTTCATCATTAATATTATTCATTTTTTTTTCGATATACATATCAAATTCCTTGTATGCAATACTTTGATTAATTCCTTTTGCGAATAATTTAACCTTTGTCTTATCGTTAAATTGTTTTAATTTTATAGCTTCATCTAAGAGCCCTTTTGAAATCATTGTGTTGACTCTTTTTTCAATATTTTCCCGTAACATATCGTCATTATTATAATCCAAATAAAAAATGCAAGGTACAAATCTGGTTTTATCAAAATTATTATTTTTGTGATTTCTCATTTTTATTAATTCACTATGTTTTCTGTTGTATGAATAAAAAATTTCTAAACTTCTGCAAATTCTTTTCCTATCATTTTTGTGTAATTGATTGGCTCTTTCTTCATCAACCCTTTTTAACTCATCATATAGCTCTTCATTTGTTTTGTTTTCATACGAATCTGTTTTCCTTTTTGTTTCTTCGGACATTGTACTATTATATGCTTCTTTCAAATCCACGACGGACTCCCATAGTAGGGATTCAACATATAGCAGCGTACCCCCTGTAACAACAGCCAATTTTTTATTTTCATTAATTCTTTGAATAATGGGTATAGTGTGAGTAATAAATTTATGAGCATTAAACTCCTCGTTATGTTCGCATACATCTAACATATGATGTTTTATATCTCTCTTTTCTTTGTCATCTACTTTGGCTATACCTATATTAAAATTTTGATAAACCTGCATAGAATCAGCACTAATTATTTCACTTTCTACATTATGCTTCAGTAATTCCTCACATAAATCTATACTAAATTTTGTCTTCCCACTGCAGGTTACTCCAATAATTATAATAATTTTTTCCTTTTTTTTTCTGTTCAAATTTGGTAAGAAAAGGTTATCAATATTTTTTCTCCTGTGTTCATTTGTGTCTCCCCCTCCTGCTCCCTCTTCAACGTTTCCGGGGATACATGCATTTTTCGAACCTTCACATAAGCTTACATTATGTGAATTCGAAATTTCTTCATCATTACTCCCTTCTATCTGGCATTCTCTTGCCCTTTTGTTCATGCCACTAGTTGGTGGTATAGAATTCATATTTTTTTCTTCTCTTGTGTCTGATTTGCTTTCCTCTTGTACTTTGCTACATTCGAAATGAGATATTTTATGAAGATTTATTTTCTCATTTCTGTTTTTCATTATCAGGGGGAGAGGTTCACAATGTATGTACAAACGACCGCTCGTTCTACCCTTAAAATTGCTTGTTACACAGTCATTTCTTTTATTAGCATTATGTTTCAATCTTAATTCATATTTTTCGTGATATGTATGTGTACATTTCGATATACTACTCTTACAAGTTTTAAAGTTAGCTGACGATAATTTTCTATATATATATATATATCTTTTAAAAATATCCCCTTGGTGTCTTGTCATAAAACAGTTAACTGTTTTATTAAAATAGTTGTTGATAAAAAGGATCAGTATTATTAGAATATTATACACATAACAAAAAAAAAACATCTATGTTTAAACTGTAGTTATTCTAGCAATTCCTGCTACTCTATTAAGTCCATGTATATATCCCACTTGGTACAACATCTCACCCAAGTTGCTTGAAGAAAGAGAATTGTGGTAAAGGCTATTGACACATAGTTTTTTTTTCCTATATGAAGAGATATTCACACATTTAAGTAGACGTACATCAATACTGACATAACAACATATGTGTATGTTTTGTGTATATTCACATATGTTTATTTACATACGAGCACGTGATGTATTACTAGGAAATGTTCACCTGCTATGCCTTTTGGAAATCTCTCAAAACAAGAACATTATAAAAATCAGTTTTTTCCCCTTATCTTACATATTAATTTCTCTCGCTATGCAACATGTTCAACCTTAAAGCGTTTAAAAGATATGTAAATAAAAGGAATACGACGCTAAGTTATTACCCAGTCAGCCAGCTTTATGGAAATTTCCATATTTATATTTTCAACTATTCATTTATAAATTCTTTTTATTTATTTATTTTTTTTTTTTTTTTTTTTTTACAACATAACCCTCTTTTCAACAACTACATAATAAAATTATTGGGTAACACAGTGTTCTATTTTTACATAAATAATCTAAAATGTAATTCTGTGCCTTCAATTCATTTTTTTTTTAAGAATGATCTCTATATTCAAGCCATATGAAGCACCCTTGCAACTCATTGAAAGATAATGTGCATGTGGGAAAGGGGAAAAAAAAAAAATAAAATGAACAAATCAAAACAAATAAAAACAAAACAAAATGATAAACGTGACAACGGACGATTATGACAAACGTTATATAGCAAAGTGACAGAGAAACATACGTTTCACGTAAAAAATTGGAGAATATTTAAACAGTTAAACAAAAGTACTTTCACAACTGTTCTTAAATGAACTACGCTTGTGACATTTTTAGCACTAAAGCATTCTCAAAGATTCCAACTTCATTGTTTCCACTATTGGTGAATATTGAGCCATAACTTTGGAAATGGAAAAATGAAGTGCATCCTTTAACATTTCACTTTGCACTTTTAGCAACTTCATTTGTAAATCTAAAATTTTTTTCCTTTCTAAATTTTCCGAAATGTCCCTTTTCTTCTGCATTTGCATCACCAGTTCGTCAATTGTGGGGTAACTGCCATTTTGCGAAAAAAGAAGTATGGTAAACGAGACAAGTGAAGTTTATAGCTTTATGCATATACACTGTCATTTGCATGGATTCTCGCACGCAAAGCGGAAGTGGAAACCACCATAACGACTGAATTAGCAACAAGAGTTGCTTGCTCCCAATAATTTACCCATAATCCGTTTGGCTTATTTTTACGTTCAGGATGTTGCCAGTGTCTTCGTTTTCCCCTTCTTCTAAAAAGGATGATTGTCTTTGAAAATTTTCCTGAAAAAATGAAAAATTGTCAGTGATTTAGGAACATGGTAGAAAGGGCCAAAGCTTTATTTTTTAAATTGTAAAATGCAAGGTTTAAAACAGTGAGTACCCTTATCTTTTCCTTTTCATCTCTCTTCTCCAGTTCCTTCAATTGCTTCGTCAAGGATCTGTGCACGATCTTTTATTAAATCAAAATATAGTGGAAGGATATATATATATATATAATACACATGCATGTGAACCTTTTAAAAATGATTTTTATAATATAAAATGAAACGGAATAAACTGTAAGACACAAAATAACCTTCTTATCAACTAAAAATGGGTTCAGTTGTAACTGTATTTGCTTTTCTAACTCTAGAATAGTTATATCCGTCAAGATGGAAAATTCGGATATAGCCATTTCGAACATCTGCAATAAGGGAAGGATGCATTTATAAAGATTCGTTTGCACATGTGCCGAAGTATACAGTCATATGCTTTTATATGTGCCTTTGCAGCATGTTACATTTTTGCATATATATATATAACGCCCATTCGCTGTCAATTTTTATGAAACAAGAAATAAGCCAATACCGCGACTTCCTCATCTGTCCTATATTGTTCCATTTCTTCCATTTTTTCTTTTATATCTACGCTAGGTTCAGTTAACTCGGATAACTACAAAAAAATCGAAAATTTTAAAATATTTATGGAGGAAAATAGTGCCACCTTCCAATTTATACGACTTTTTTGCTACCCTTCAGGGTAAAAAAAAAAAAAATAAATAGGAATAATAATAAATGTTCTAAAAATATATCTTTTCTGTGCATGCAAATTTTCCATTGGTAAGTAGTACTAGGCTATTCTTCATTTTTTCACTTCTACACTTACCGATATCTTTACAGAAGGTAAAGTTTTATTCACATAATTTTGCTGCAAAAAGGAGGTGTGGCTTCTAAGTTCTGGTGGTGGCAATGGCCCGCTTTTTGTCTGTGTACTTTTTTGAAATTTCTTCAAATTATTTTTCTCTTCTACATTTTCCGTAACTTTTCTTAAATTTTTTTTTTTTAACGCTTTCACAGAATTAGATATAACCGAACTGAGCATATTAGGATCATTGAAAACGCTTAGCGATTTTTCCACCGCATCCTGTATTTTTATTTTTGAGCTTGACAGTGATTTGTTGTATTCATCCTCCAACTTTTGCATCATCCCCTGTATGTTTACAGGACATTTTGGTTTTGTTTTTTCGATATGTAATTTGATAAGAAGTTGCACACGTACGTATTTATGTACACACATGTGTATGTGTGTGCACAAGTGGGAATTCACAGTTTGTGTGATTTTTTACCTCCTCCAATTTAAGCCTCGCAGATTCCAAAATTTTAATTTCTGCCAACACTTGTGGCGAAGGCTAAGTTAACAAAAATAAAAGCACATACATACACATATATATATATATATATATACATAGAATTATGTTAATATAATTAGGGACAAATTTCCTTTCAATGTAAGCGAAGGTAGGATGGCATTAACGTCCTTTTCAGCGCAACCAATTCACGAGATATATCTCGTATTATTATAGATAAATATATATATATGTGAAATTGAGAACATATAGATGTTTTATTCCTTTATTTATTTTTATTATGTGTATTTCCTTCTTTCCATACATTTTCTGGAGGACTCAACTTGACTTCTATAGATGGCAACGTCTTAGAGTTAAATTCGAAATCAATTGGCCACCCTGTGTTTTCCTAACAAACGGAACGGAGGAAGGATTAGGAATATAAGATAAGGAGAACAAGCGAATAATTTTATGTGTCTAAATGATGAAATCTCAATTTTTTTTTTTTTTTTTTTTTTTTTTTTTGTGGAGTTTTCTTCATCTTATCCACATTACATCATCAGACTGAACTAAGTAAAAAGTGAAAGAAGCCACAATGGCACAAGGTACAAGGAAATTTAATCTGAACAACATTTTTTTTATTATAATATTTGTTAATTAAATTTCATGAGAAATATGCTAATTTTAATTATTATTCTTCACGTACGATTTATGTAAATTAGTAAATATGACAATGTATGCACATATGTATTATAGTTGATTTTTTGTGATTAGTAAATGTATAAATACGTAGACAATTGGGAGGAGGGGGCAAGTAGACGGAAAAGGAGAAAAAAAGTACTTACGTAAAAATAACAAATAGTTGAACAAGAAAAAAAAAAAAAAAAAGGAATCAATATATACTGGTAGAATATAAAAAATTAGGCATAAATGTACATACACTTAAAATTTTGTTCTTGTAGGAAAATCTAAAATTAAGAAAAATAAAAAAAAAACACGTTGTGTCACATTTTCATTTGAAAACTACTTGACAAATATCCATTTTTTTCTTTTTAGTGAACTATTTTAAAAAATAAAAAAAAAGTTATGTCAATAGCCTTTATTTTTATTTTTTTTTTTTTTTTTATGAGTACACATATATAACAAACATAAGTCTTAAAATTATTAGTTTCATAAAACAGACAAAATATGGTATTACTCATTTTGTTTCTTCTACTATAATATAATATGCTATACTACACTTCTTCCTCTATTTTCACGTAGTTATAACTGGATTGAGATCGAGTATACATATCAATCTTGTAATATAATTATCGCTGAATCCAAGCGACGTTATTTCTCTTATTTAAATTTTGTTGCAAATAGACATATCTGCATAATGCAACTCTACCTTCCTATTTACTTTATAATACCTTTGTATGAGATGATACTTTCTCCTATTTGTATTTATTTTATATTTTAATTGTTTCATATAACTGGATTGCGCTTTCATCAACATTTACAAGTTATACCCCATTTTTGTGGATTCTGTATTCTTCCAAAATTACTATCATATTTTTTTCTTAATCCTTTAATTCCGTGTTTCATTTCCACTGTGGGATTCGCTCCCACTTTCTCCTCTATTTCCACTACCTGATTTGCTATCTCTTTCGCATCTACTTCCACTGCCTGATTCGCTATCTCTTTCGCTTCTACTTCCACTGCCTGATTCGCTACCTCTTTCGCTTCTACTTGCACTTCCCGATTCGCTATCACTTTCGCTTCTACTTGCACTTCCCGATTCGCTATCACTTTCGCTTCTACTTGCACTTCCCGATTCGCTATCACTTTCGCTTCTACTTGCACTTCCCGATTCGCTATCACTTTCGCTTCTACTTGCACTTCCCGATTCGCTATCACTTTCGCTTCTACTTGCACTTCCCGATTTGATTTCTGTTTTCTATTCTTTTGCGTCTTCCCTTAATATCTCCTCTTCATTTTGGCTTTCGCCACACCTTTTATCTTCATCATCAACATCGCCACCTTTAACTTCCTCATAATTGTTATCGCTACCACCGTTTTTCTTTTCCCTTTGATTTCTTTTGATTTTTATTGTGTAATTTCCAGGTACACCATTTTCCCCTTCTTCCTCATTCATGCTATGCATATCGTCACATTCTCTACTTCCACTTGGATTAATTTTCTTCTTGGTTTCATTTTTTTGCATTTCACTTTCGCTTCCCTTGCTTTCTTCACCATTACATTCGTTGCTATGATCATTTCCATCTCCATCACTGCCTCCATCTCTATCTTCATCACTTCCTTCACCGCTATCTTCATCACTGCTTTCGTCGCTATCTTCATCACTGCTTTCATCGCTATCTTCATCACTACCTTCATCATTTTTAGTTTTAGTCTCCCATTTTAATATTTTAGATTCCTTATCTTCTTCACTATCTGAATTTATATCGTTTTCATCCTTTTCATCTTTTTTCTTGCCATCTTCACATTTGTTTTCTCCACTTTCGTCTTCTCCACTCTTGTCTTCTCCTCTCTTGTCTTCTCCACTCTCGTCTTCTCCACTCTCGTCTTCTCCACTCTCGTCTTCTCCACTCTCGTCTTCTCCACTCTCGTTTTCTCCACTCTCTTCTTCTCCATTTTCGTTTTCTCCACTTTCGTCTTCTCCACTATCTTCTTCTCCACCTTCATCTTCCTCTAGTTTTCCATGTTTCTCTTCGTCCCCTTCGCCCACACTTACTAAACCCCCTTTGCTACTGTCCACACCATTCTTAATTTCTCCTTTTTTGTCAAAGCCTATTCCCTTGATTTTATTTTCATTTTCACCATCGTCACTATTTTGAGTACTTTTTCTTTCCTTTATTTTGGTTAACTCCTCATTTTGCACCTTTGCAATTTTTTCGACGTCTTTTGCCACTTTGGCTTCGACTACTACAACCTCTTCACTCGCTTCAACCTCTTCACCCACTTCAACCTCTTCACCCACTTCAACCTCTTCACCCACTTCAACCTCTTCACCCACTTCAACCTCTTCACCCACTTCAACCTCTTCACCCACTTCAACCTCTTCACCCACTTCAACCTCTTCACCCACTTCAACCTCTTCACCCACTTCAACCTCTTCACCCACTTCAACCTCTTCACCCACTTCAACCTCTTCACCCACTTCGACCTCCGGCATGTCCACAATCTCATCACTGACACAAGACACACATCGGCCAGCGGTATTTCTTTTCGTTTGTCCTTTTGTGTTACCAGCTTTGCTTTTTAAAGTTTCACTTTCATTACTGTTATTTATATCGCTTCGCGCGTTAGTTTTATACTTTCCTTTTTTTGACTTGTCCTCTTCACAAGCCAATATGTTTTTGTTTTTCACATTGCCATACTCATCCTTTTGGATGACAAAATTGCTTACTAATGTTTTACTTTCACATAAAATTTCAGAATCCTTAGTATCATTTTTTATTTCAATTTCATTAACAGAATTGCAATTTGTATCAATATTATTGTCTAGATAGTACTGTTTTAAGCTATTTCTGACATGCTTATGAAAATCATCATATTTCAATAAACTTTCCATGATTCTATTTACAAGTAATAAATATTCCGAATTTTTTTTTTTTAATTCATCTTTCAAAAGGAGGAATTCTTGCTCTAGTATATCGCCCTCCTCCCTATGGGAGACATTGGCATCTTTTAATAGTTCGTCAGCTTTATCTTCTCCATCATTCATCACCCTGTGCGTCATCTCATTTATCTCTCCATCTAAAACTGAATCCACAGCATCCATCCTTCTATTATTTTTTTCTTCCACCATTTTCCTTATATGTTCTTTCTTTTCTTTCATTTCTTCGCAAAGGATCCCTTCCTCTTCAATGCATGCCTTCGAAGAGTGTTCTTGTTCATTGTCCTCGTTTACCTTTTCCTCCTCTTCAGTCGCTTCGTCCCCTTCTATCTCTCCCATCTCTTGTACCACTTCCTCCTCTTCTACCACTTCCTCCTTTTCTACCACTTCCTCCTCTTCTACCACTTCCTCCTCTTCCTCCAGTTCCTCCACTTCCTCCTCTTCTATCTCTCCCACCTCTTCCTTCACTTCCACCTCTTCCTCCACTTCTACCTCCTCCACCTCTTCCTCCACCTCTTCCTCCACCTCTTCCTCCACTTCCTCCACTTCCTCCACTTCTACCTCTTCCTCCACATCCTCCTCTTCTTCCACTTCCTCCTCTTCTTCCACTTCCTCCTCCTCCACCTCTTCCTCCACTTCCTCCACTTCTACCTCTTCCTCCACATCCTCCTCTTCTTCCACTTCCTCCACTTCCACCTCTTCCTCCATTTCCTCCTCTGAGGAAGAGAAGATTTTCCTTTTTCGCACTTGCGGCACTAGGGTATTTACATTACCTTTTACGGAAGCATTTTGAATCAAATGCAAAGGAGTGTTATTTCTTTTTTTTCCATTATTGTTATGAGACCTTTTTGCTACATCATACTTCTTAGAAAGCTCAGTGTTCAGAGTATTTTCTTTTTTTAAGTGTTTAATACCTTTACTTGTGGAATTAACTTTTTTATCTCCTTTTTGAAACACAGCTAAATTGCTACTTTTTTTATTATGAATGAAATCACTGAGATTTTTATTTACTATATACTTTTTTACAGTTGTGATGCTTTTGGAAGACTGTTCTTTTTTTTTGTCTTTTAAAAAAATATTTTTTAAAACATTGGTTGCATCCACATACTTATATTCATTTTTAAACATGAATTTTTTAATATTACTAGTTACATTTTTCTCCTCATCTTTTTTTTTTTTTTCAAACTTATTCATTATTCAGTATGATGCGTATTTAGTGCTCATGGGCAGACTGCTGTGGTGGAGAGCAATGCAAGTATTGCAGAAAAGGTAGGATAAGACACTGCAGTGAGAAAGAGGATGTTACAATGAACTAAACACGTGAAAGGAAAAACTGACAAAGGATCTTTATATACACAAAAAAAACTAAATGTTCTTGTTACAAAATAGCCAACTATGTGGTCAAAATTAAATAAACGAGTTGGGAACTAATGTAAAGTGAAACATATTTTGCACACAAAAATTTAGAAGCATGTTTTAGTAAAACAGCAGCAAAAATAAAAAAAAAAGAAAAAGTAAAAAAAAAGAAAAAAAAAAAAAAGAAAAAAGAAAGCAAATAAAAGTAAATAAAAGAAATGTAAAATAATGTAAAGAAAAGAAAAGTAAAATAATGTAAAGAAAAGTAAAGAAAAGAAAAGTAAAGAAAAGAAAAGAAAAAGTAAAGGAGAGGATTATCATGACAAATGTCTGTTATTCAAAGGTTCTGCACAAAAGTCGGGATAGAAATACATCCCGAAATGCGCATTGTACGTACGTATATATTAGCAGTATGCATATAATTATATACGAAAACATGAGTTTTATTTAAAAAAGACAAAATATCTACAAATTCTACTCTATATATTCGGACGTAAACATTTGTATGTGTGTGTGTGTGTGTGGAGAGAGAGAGAGAGAGAGAGAGAGAGAGAGAACGGTTGAAACATCTGAGTACTATGAAAACTACTTAATGATGTCATATAATGCCTGCTTAACAAAATTTAGCTTATCCTCCTCATTATGCGGTAATACGTGCTTATACAAAAGCAAAACTCTGAAATTGAGCTTTTTAAATAACTTATATCTTTCAGAAAAATATGGAATAAGAATTGAGGTTCCGTCAAAAGTATTTTTGTTACCTATACATTCTACAATTAAATGAAAATCCTTTATAAAAATGGGTATAGTAAAATTATACATATTTAAGACATCTGTTTGACAATTCAATTTTGATAAAATATCAATTACTTCTTTTATGAAAAGGAAATCTAGGTTTCTATTTTGTCTTACAATAGAATATTGAAAAGACTGCAAAAAACTTAACAATAAATTATCATAATAGTTCTTATCAAACCATGAGCAGAAATCATTATGAACAATTAACTGTGTCTCCTTTACAAAATATATGTAATCCAAGTAATTGGACATTGGTATGTCAGAAGGAGGTCGTACTAACCAAAAGCTTAACAAATCATTTAAAAAAGTATTGAAGGTTGCAATTAATTTTTTGTCCTCATATTCACGTGGAATTTTTATTCTTAAAAAATTCAAAATTATTTTATACATTACGTTATCTTTTTTTTTATTGAATGTTAACACTTTTAGCCTTTTTATTAATTTATGCATATCCTCTTTCTTTAATATGATACTAAAAAAATATGTACATTCCAAAACATCCGATATTTCGTGTAAATTATAAAAACTAATATTCTTATAAATATTTTTGCTTATTAATTTTAATTTCTGACAATCTCTAAGTCGTTTGTTTTTTAGCAAAATCAACTCATTAAGCATTTTCTTTTTACATCCATCTTTAACCTTTTCCCCATATTTTCTATAATCTTCGTTAATTTCCTCATGCAAGAACCTTGTTTCATCGTTATACTCATTTTTAAATGTCTCTTCATCATTGTGTTTAGCTAATTCCTTGTGCACATAGATGGAGTACCATCTTTCCTTTCTCTGACCGATAAATATATTGCTACTTTTGCACCAAAAAGGGTCATATGTTATGTTATCGGCTGGTCGGACAAGTGCATATTTATTGTTGTTCCCAACGATCCTTCGCTTCTTTGCAGGAGAAAGAGAAATAAGAAAATTGGGAAATACTCAATTAAACAAGTGTGCAATTGTGGTAATTCAACATGAGCATGTAAGAAATGAAAATAGAAACATTCATACCCCACATGGGTGAATACATTTATGTACATATATATATATATATCTCCACCATTTCGTAATTTTAAAAAAAATAGAAAGACGAAGAAGACGAAGAAGACGAAAAAAAAAAAAAAAAAAAAAACTTACCACCTTGCGCATGGGTAAAAACTTGTTTATGCAAAGTAAAATGTTACAACTGCTCATCTTGAAATTTTTAAATAATACTTCCCAAGGAAAAAATAAAAACAGTTCTCCAGTTGAAGAACTAAAAATGGGGTGCATCTACATGAATTTAGTTAAAAATAATGTACTATGGTTTGTGAATATATCTCAAAACTTCACATCAGCGTAGTCTGTAATGCTTACCTGAATTTATTTTTTTTTTTTTTTTTTCACCTCTTGGTTCTTTTTTTTTGTTTTTTATAGCAATTTTTAACTTCTCTTCCTTTTACGGAGCATTATGATCTGAGGAATTATTAACATGTGTTTTCAACTTCCTTTTTTTTTGTGAATATATTAGAGGGCACCAATATTCATGTTAAGCATCATTTTCATGTCGCCCCATTAATTTTTAATGTTTTTAAACTTTTTATTTTTATTTTATTTATTTTATTTTTGTTTTTACGAAATTTTTTTTCCCCCTATATAACCTTAAGCTAGTGTTGAAAAAATTAGGCTAAGGGGCGCATGTTTCCTTTCCCTTTTTTTTTTTTTTTTTGGAAAAGTGAAAAATACCAGACTAAACAAACCATTTGGTGAATACAAAAAGTTCAGACTATCCATACGTATGTGTAACCTTAATAATATGCACCTGAATGAACACTTTATAATCTACTCTGACATAGAGAAAAACAATGAACCTTTTTTTTACGCATTTTTTACTTTTCCTTTTTTGTAACACATACTTAATTAGGGGGGTGAATTTAAAAAGAAAATGTGTATCTTTATTCTTAAATTGCAATTTTCATAACGTAAGTAAAAATAAAAATCACATTCCTTTGTTTTCCTATAAGAAAAAGGTAAAAGCCAAGGAACTGAGAAAGTTGACAACTGAGGAACTTGAGAAGGTATGCATAATCCCACCACACACACGCACACACATTCTTATTATGTTCAAATATATATATTATGATACATCAAAAAGTGCCTTTTTTATAATTCTTCATTATACGTAAGCATACTAGAGTACATAAACGTGCTACCAATGGGGGCTACATATATATATGTATATATATGCATACATGAAGCGCAACAAAAACATGTGAACAGGGGAGGAAAACCAAAGATAACTTAACCCTACTATACCCCGAATAACTGAATATATCCTAACAACATATCTCATTTCTTTACAGGAAATCATTAAATGCAGATTGGATATACAACAGTTCCAACAACAAGGATTTTATGATATACATAATTTTAACATATATTACGAAAAAAACGCCAGGAGAAAATTAGCGCAGTTACTAACCATATACTATGAGAGATACCTAGATAACAACATAAGAATAAAAAATTAGTTCTTTTCAAAAAGCAAAGAGTTCAACTGGATACAACGTGTGAGGATATAAGGGGAGGAATAAACAGTTGTAGTAGTGATAAAAAAATAAATAAAAAAAAAAATATGGTGCAGGATGTGGGAGATACTACGGGAAATATAATAACCTCTTTTTTTTTTTTTTAAAATATATGTTCATATAACTATACCTTATGCATATGCATAATTCTGTGTTGAACATTTATGCGTTGTGAAGATAATGAGGAATCTCATTAAAAAAAAAAAAACATATCATCATGGGTTCTGCAGAACTACATAAGAATGTTATTATGTATAAGAACATTCAGTAACATTATGCATGTATGTATTTTTATGTATGTATGTGATTATATATATTTATGTCCATGTACTATTTGAACAAGTACATTTTCGATCTGATGTTTTTTTTTTCACCATATTTTTTTTTTTTTTTTTTTTGTCAATTTGGTGAGAATGAATGTAGCATAATAATTCATATATACGTGCCATTTTTCTGCATTTGCGAACAAGCTCATTTTCACAGTACACTCTTTATATTTTTTTTTTTTTTTTTTTTTAAGCGTCCGTGAACTTTTGAATAATTTTTTTTTTTTTTTTTTTGTTTACAATATTGTCAAAAAGTATTATTTTCCTAAATATTTAAAATATATTGGAAGAAGATCTTATCTATAAATATTTCAACCCATTTTATATGGGTCATTTTGTAAATTTTTTTTTTTTTTCCCTATATTATAAAATAATTACTACTGGGGAGAATTATTTTTTATATTCTTTTGGTTCAACAATTTTTGGAAGAACATTTCTTCGGCAATGTTTTTATGTACATCTATTTGATCCCTTATGTAATGAAAATCAAGGGGTGACAAGGATGCATACGCAGATATAGATATTATATATATGTATAATATGCATACAAACTTCTGCTCGTGTTAAAAATATTGTATCCATTTTGGCTATAATTATGGCTTGTGAAAATCCATATTTCCTATTAACCCATTTATAAAGCAGATTTCAAATCGCAAAAAATGAAAAAGTCTATGAAAAACATTAAATTGAAATTAAGGAATAAAAAGAAAAAAGGAAACTTTGTCTCGTTTTATGATAGAATTAAAGAAATTAACGAAAAAGAAAAACTAAATTTATGTAGTATATTAAGTGGAGAAAACTATGATGACAACTTCGTGTCGCACAAAATAAGCCCCGAATCCAAGGACTCTGAATGTACAGACAAATAATCGATAATTAGCAGAACACATACATATGCATATACATGTGTATGCATATATAAGCAATTATACATATGCATACATTTGTGCTGTGTGCATTATTATAAGTGAATATTTTTAGGAGTACCCATTTTCTTTCCACTGCGAATACATAAACTCTGCCGTGATTAATCCAATACGATTACAAAGATACTAATTTGTGTTATGTTTATGGACATTTGTGTGAACAAACATTTATTCACAAATGAAATGTACTCCACTTCTTCACGAATCGCAATTCCAGTAACTTGGGATTTGCTCACCTGTCCTAGTTTACTATTATTTTTTCTTTTTTTTTTATTTATATACTTTTTTTTTTTTTTTTTTTTTTTTTTTGTTGACTTCCCCCTTTATAGATCTAAAAAGGACCAATTTTTACTCAGCTCTTCAGGAGTATCCCCAAAATTGCCACAACAGTGACTTCAGAAAATGCTGCAGAGAACTGCAACCATATGCAAAAAATTTAATGCTAATTTTGCTGAATAAAGATAGAATTTTTGGGATAATTTTAAAATATATACATAGTAGTAAAATCCAGAATGACGAAGCTTATTTTTATAAACTACTGGTTATATTGATAAAGGACTTAAAAGATGAAAGTAAAAAATATGTAGAACATATATTAAAAATATTATATGACAAAATTAATTTTAATAATTTAGATTTATTGGAAGAAATATTTAACACATATGCAAACATATTTCGAATAATGAATAGAAGAATTATTAATAACGTGGATAAGTATATAAAAATATCTTTACCATTATTACATCACAGGAACAATATAGTAAAAATTTTTATTGCTGATAGTTTTTCTTATTTATTGAGAAAATTATCTTTACACAATTTAATAGTATGTTTTCAAAAGTTGTTTTCGTTTTTCAATTATGTAAAAATGAACAAATTAGGATATTATTGTGAAACAATTAGTCTACTAATGCTCGAAGCTTTAAAAGTTGACAAAAACAAATTATCAAAAAAGACATTACCTTTTTTGAAATTTATAATTTACTCTGTGTTTTTAAAAGAAACTTATTATTGCAAAGAAAGTGAAAATTATTATGATCCAATTGAATACACAAACCGTATTAAATTTTTAGAGAAAGCTATAGCATCATTTTTTAGAGATTTATATAATTTTACAAAAAATGGAACGTTCGAATTTGTGGAAATATTTTTAACTTTTATTTTGAAAAATTATTCCCTCTTGTATATCAAGTACTACACCGATCTGTTAGTTGTATCAGACCAAATTACAAATATCTTACATTTGTTAACTGGTCAAAAGGATCCAAAAGTACTCAATTCGAATTTTCCAGTTTCAGCCATTCCAGAGGGGAATAATAATACCAACCAAGAAATAGGTATAGAGAATAATTGTCAATTTTGGAATGACAATGGAGCAGAAACTTCTCCCAATTTTTACATAAAAAATGACAAACATGATGGAAGTATCATATTAGGGAAGTGCAACAATATAGTAAATGATGATGAATCACCGTTTTGTGATGCTAACAAGAAAATATTTTTTATGAAAGAAATTTTTCATAAGTCCACAAATTTTTTTTTAAAAAAAATATTAAATATTTGGATAGAAAAAAATAATGAAAAGAAAAATATCATAATGGAAACTACTCTGGGTGAACTCAGTAAATATGCACAACGTATGAATAATTTAAAATTAAATTATATTACATATTTTTATATATGGAATATTTACGATAATATGTTCTTTTTACTGAATCATGATGTAGTTTCTAATGAAGGGTTAAAAAATATGTACATTTCACTTGTCAACACATTTATGAACATTATGACCGAACAACAAGAAGAACAGGATAGGTATAATAAAACTATTCATAACAATTTTTGTAATTCTCTATTTTGTTGTTTCATTCTAAAATTGGATGAAGTGATAAGCAGAAAAAATCAAGGCGGCTATGATATTCACATGAACAATTTTTTGAGACATATATTTGTCAGCATAACGAAGGATGTCCAAAATACAGATATATTTCTACTTGAGCAAATGTGCCATATGTTTGACGAACGGCAGGGGTTAGATACATCAAAGGAATTGACAACGAATGAAAATACATGGAACGAAATTGGTTCTAATAAATTCTCCCACAATTTTAATGACAAATGGTCCCAAAATTTCACCAATTTGTGCTTGGGAAAAATGTTGGTTCTATATGATATTTTAAAAATAGTAACAAAAAGAGGAAGAAATAGTTTAATCCAGATATCTCATAAAAGGACAAGTTGCACTGAGGTGGAGAGTGAGGACAACTACAAGAAGAAACGGAAAAGCACCAATGCATGCATAGATGAACCAACGAAAAACTACAGTTCCAGTTGTGAGCCAATTTATATCATCAATGAGAATAATACAGCATGTAACAGCAGTAGCCAATGTGATTCTGCAACACAAATAAAAACTGAGCTTCAGAATTTATTCTTCTTCATCTTTGAAAAAGTAAAAATGATACTTATAATTATAAAAGGAATAAATAATTATTTGAATATAGAAAATTCCTTAAGCGTTACAAATTTGGAAGAAGATGTTTCATCAAACGAACAAGAGAAGTACCTTCAATTAGTAATACAATTTTTATTTGCATATGTTAGTCTATTAACAGAGATAAGCACAGTCAATAATAGTATATTACTGAGATGTATACAATGTAGTAGCTATAAAAATGAGGAAGATAATTACTTTGACACATTTAGAAATATATGTGATAATGTAGAGAAATTGAAATGTAGTAATTTCGTACAAAAGAAATTTAATAAAGAAAACCTTTTTAATATGAAATTTTATATGAATAGCATTATACTGGATGCAAATATTATAATGACCACTTTATCAAAATGCATACAAAATGACAGAACAATAGTTGAAAATGTGCTTTCAAGTAATAACACGTTTTTATACAACTGTTTAAGCAAGTGGAATAGGCACGATATGTATTGTGGCAACTATTTTAATAAAATAAAAAACATACTTATGAATTTACACGAAATGAAATATTTCGAAAGTAAAATGGATGATATATATTCATATTTGAAAGTTCTGAAAAAACTGTTCTTTTTCTGCGATATAGGAAATAGGAAAGAGTTTCTACAAATAATCAAATTCTTAATAGGTATATTTATTGAACTAAAAAATATGAATAAAAGTTATACTACAAAAGAACATGTTAATGTATCGGAAAGAATTAACTTTACATGCTATGATAAGCTTCTCCCACTTTTTGATTGCATGATATATTTAGAAAATCAAAAATATATAGCAACACACGAAAAAATATATGAATCCAAAATTGTGGACATAGTAAATTATTTAACATTTTTCAAAAATTTTAACATTTTAAAAGAATATGTGTTGAAAGTGTCTATCAAAATATGTATTGTCGAATTATTTATGTTATTAAATGTCAATTTGGTAAGCATTCATAAGTCCGTTATTGTTCACATGAAAAGTTTTATGCGTTCATACAGTATCGAAAAAAAAGTGGACGATGAAAAAAGTTATTACTACCAATTGGATTACTACTTTTACATACTAAATGGCATATTCAAAATGAGTAAGAAAAAGCTGTACGACTTGGAGGGAACCCTGGGGAGGAAAAAAGCGCAAGCTGGTGAATCCGTGAGTTATAGCCATGAGGAAGTCTCAAGTTTTGCTGAGGGGAAAGAAGCGGACGAAGAGGAAGTGAGCCAGGAAGAAGTGAACGAAGAAAATGAGGACGAGAAAAAAGTAGACGAAGAAAATGTGGACGAGAAAAAAGTGGACGAGGCGAAAAAGCAGAAGGAACAGAATGCCATGGACACGTTTACCCACCATGTCGATTTAAGGAACTTCATTTTGCATAGCATAGATGAATGTGAAAAAGAAATGCGCCAGTATCTATATGTCAAAAAGACCATGGACACATCCCCTTGGTCAGGAGTAGAAAATGTGAATACAGAAAATGCCTTCAAAATTGTGTTAATGTCTCTTGATATGTTGATAGTTCCTCAAGCAAATAGTATTAACAGATCGTACAAAATAAGAATTTTAGACATGTACATTTGGATAATGGAATATATTAACAATAGTCTTATCTACTATGTACACGAGTTAAAATATTATAGCATGATGAATGTTCTATTCGACATCACTAGTAATTTGAATGATTTGTTTCAAGGGTACAGAGATGACACTACAAATTCAATATCATCTGCATTTATTATGAACTCTGCTAAATCCCAAATCAATGAAATTAAGTTGTGCATAAAAACTTTTGTTACCAAATTTATGCACAATATGAACATTTTGAAGATTCCAAATATTTTAAAGTTTGTACATATTCTTTGCTCATGCAACAAAAAATTAAACAATTACAAAAATGATATTGAAGAAATATTGTTAGAAAAGAATGTTAATATCACAAAATTATTGTTAAATATAAAAGAAGAAGATAGCAACATTATTACCCCCATCTTGATAAAAATTATTTTTTGCATATTAAGAAATAAAATGAAAAAAGGAAATTACAAATTAAAGAAAAATATAATTTTTTATTTGTCGAGCATTTCTTGTGAAAACTATTGTCACATACTTATATCAGTTATTTATCCATTTGTAAATGTATACAAAAGCAAAATTGACTACAACAATTTGCTTAGGCATGGAGACAAAGAAAAGGTGTTAGTAAACTTTCTTCGTACATGCCAAGGGAAATTTTCGAACCATTGGAATTATGAATTTGATGTGATAAATATGAACCTGAAAAATTCTAATATTAAAAGCATGAATAAATTAACCTTTCCCTACGATGACATATTTAATTATTCTAGTTGGCACTTCAACGATTATATAATTGAAATAAAGAAAGACGCACTTTTTAAAAATTTTCATTTCAGTAAAAATCTTAATCTATTTATTGAAATGTTAAAAATTATGAAGTACAAATTGAACAACTACTTCGAGTTTTTTTTTCACGTATTTGTCACTATATCATATTACATCAATGGGTACTACTATATAAAAAAGAAGGTCAAATCAAGGAGTATATATTTAACAGTTAAAAAAATGAATTTCAGAAAATACAAATTCTCCACCTGTTCTGCTAGTCATGATTTATGCTCAAATGAGGAGAAAATACAGAACGTCGAAGCGCATCACATAATTAGAACTTCAGGAAAAAACAGAGAAGGAGAAAACGAGAGCTATATCGATGGAGAGGACTATTATCAGTACCACCATATTCATCCCTCCAAGGATGAAGAATGTACAAACACAGTTGAAGAAAACATTGAACTTAAAATAAAAAACTCCTATTTGAAGAATGTTAATAAGAAATGTATTGAGCATATTCAGTTCATTATGCAGAACTATGAAATTATGGAAGACAATTTGATGAAGGCTAAAGATTTCTTTACCTTTTTATTCTACAAAAATGTAAAAATAATGGGGAAACAAAATGGATTTCTTAACATTTTATTTAATATTTGGAGCAAAAACGAATCATATCATGATTTTTACAATAGTATAATACCCAATTCTATATTGGTTCTAATTAAATCCATAAATAACAAAACAGTTATTGATCGATTAAATTATAACGAATGGAATAATATCACTGAAAAGATATTCAGTATTATTCTACGCTTATGTGGTTATAACGATATTGCTTTAAACGATTTTGAATTACACAAGGATGGTAGTGCAATCAAAAAAGAACAAAATAAGAAAAGCAGGAAACATAGGGTATCGCAAAATCAATTAATAATGAAAAAGTGTTCTGATATGTGTATGTCGAAAAGTATGAAGATATTAGAGCCATTCATTTTAGATATTATAATATGCATTAAAAGGACTATTTTAAGAAGATACACAATTTTGTTAGCGCAAAAAAAGAATGGAATTACATTTGGTAGAAGAAGTAAAATAGATGAATTAAAAATTCTTAACAATAAAGAATTGCACATATTAATTGAATTATCATCTATGAATAAAAACCAGTTATACAACATGCATGTTATGAATATAATTATGACATTTGTGCTAATCAACGCAAAGTCTTTACATAGTACAAATCCTGAACATATTCAAAAAATAAAACTAATATTAATAGCCTTAAAGAGATTAATTATTAATATTTCAAAAGGGGAAAATGAACTAACGAATTGGAGGCAAAAAAATAAAAAGTGGAATTTGTCTTGCTACAAAGAAAAAGACCATGCTTTACACAGCCATGCACATCTACCTCAAATGAACAACGAAAAAAAAGATAAAAAAAGAATAAAAAAAGGCATATGCTTATCTAAGTCACACTCTATCAAACACTTACACAAAATGTACATATGTTACAAATTAAAAACAATGGTGTACGAAATTGTGCAAAGATGTTATGATATAACATGTAGGAACATCGCAGGAGAACTTTTAATTATGGTTGGATGTATCTTTCTAAAAATTAGAAATATAAACAAATATTTACAAAAATTTAAAAAAAATATGGAGCTATTTTTAAGAGAAAATAATGACCTAAATTATAACTCGAAAGGAGTTTTAAAGCACATTATGAAAATTCCATTAAGAAATGATGAAATAAAAAAGAGCAACTATTATTATACGTTTCTTCAGATCACACAAATTTTTTGTGCTATGAATATTTCTATTGAGAGAATTTCACAACATGAGTATGATGCGGATGCACAATTTCTAATTTTGCTGGATTTAAGCAATGTTAAAATGTCGAAAGTTATAAATAATTATGCGCAGAAGAGGGGTGTTAAGAAGGACAATTACAAAACGACTAGTGTGTGCAACCAACCGGGTTCATTTCCCTCAGGGAATGAACATACAAACCAGGTAATAAAGAACAAAAATGGAGAGATCAAGATGAAGAAGATGAAGCGCCAAGAACTTACATTCAGCCACCTATTTTTAAATAGCCATATTATATTTTACGAAGTTATAGTAAGACACTGCGCATTTTTAATTTTCAACGAAAAGACAAATGAAATGGTAAGGGATAAATCTATTCAGTTCATTCTGTTCTTTATAAAATTGTTGAAGTGTTTATTACAAGCATATGAAAAAGATGAAACAAATGATAGAAATGTTAGGAATGATAAAAATGACAAAAATGATAGAAATGAAAAATATTCAGACAATTCCAACCTTGTGAGAGATATTAGAATTTGCACACACTTTGTTGTAAATATTATAATACCCAAAGCGCTGAATGCACTAAAGAAGAATGCAAACGATTTTACAAGAATTTCTCTCCAAATTATTCTTACTGCCTCGAAGCATGTCTGCCCCCATATGAAGATACTGAGGAAGTTAAACATTGGTTCCTTTTTAAGAGATGTTAAAAATTCCCTAATAAGAAATTATGTATTAAATGAAAATGATAATTCTTTATTATGTTTTAACGCAGTAAAGACAAAACATCATGAGGAAAGTTACAACAGAGAAAATGGCAACAACTATGGAGAAGATGAAACGAGCAGTAAAATTTTAGAAAAGTTGTTGTTTCACGATTTATATTACAACGTAATTGAAAATTTTCATAAGAATAATTCTCAGGATAAAGGGATAAAAAAAAGAGAGAAGTATAAAGAATGTTCAATAATTCAAAATATAATAGATATAAAATCAGAAAACAATTCGAAAAGTGTAGAAAAATTAGTTATGATTACCCCATATTTATGCTTCTACACCATTTCTAAGATTATTATACCACTATCGTTAAATTATATTTTACAAACAAATTCTAAGAAAGAAACATACAACAAAATTCTCAGCTCAAATAGTATAAAATTACTTGGGGCATGCACCGAAAGGGTAGGAATAAAAATAGTTTATAACTTATTAGAATTATTGCTCTCAGAGCTGAAAAAAAATTCCTTTAATAAATTATACATTGAAAAGGCAATAAGCCATATCGTGAGAACGTACGATTTTAGAGAATTTCAGGATTACCATGTGGAGCATAACTGTGACCCCAGAAGCGAAGGAAAAAGAAGGAAACGTGGGGAAATAGCCCATCCAATCAGAAAATTTTCGAAAGAACTTCAAAACTATGGTAAGGATGATAGCGTTGTATACGTGACTGAAAAGAATCAATTTGAATCTAACACTATGGAGGCCAAACTGGAGGAAGCCAAACTGGAGGAGGCCAAATTGGAGGAAGCCAAACTGGAGGAGGCCAAATTGGAGGAAGCCAAACTGGAGGAGGCCAAATTGGAGGTAGCCAAACAGGTGGAGGCCAAATGCATGGGAGAAACCAACACACAGAACCCGTTTTGCCACAAGTTCATCAAACGTATACTTCCGCAGCTAAAATTTTTAATGTTTGACAAATCGGCGATGAATAATAAGAAAAAACAAAAGAGCTACATAAACGATTTGGTTGTGGACTATAAAAACAAAGAAGCAATAGCCAAATCAGACCTTATCATATCTTTTTTAGTAATTTTAAACAAAATGAATTACAATTTTGAGAAAGAGTTGCACAGAATAATATACAAGTTATGCTTTTGTTTATCATCCAAAATTAACAATGTAAGAAGCGAATCGAAAAAAACATTATGCTATATTTCCATGTATCTAGGATTGAATTACTTCGATTTGATCATTAAGCAAATGTCGGATTATCTAACGAAGGGATATCATGTACCAATATTTTTATGCACGGTTAACTCCATCCTAGAATCGGTGTTAAACGAAAAGGAAAAATTTTTAGACAAAAATTACTTAAAAATTGGCTTTAACACATTAAACGAAGGAAATTTAAGAAAATCCAAGAAAATTTACCCCGGATTCTATAACAGAAGTAGTGGCACTTCACACATCGGTGGTAGAAATAATAACAGGGAGGGTAAGTCTCACTCGAGCAACCCACTAGATTATAGTAGTGCCCTACACGATACACTTTGTAGCAACATTTTTAACATGGTTAAATTAGAAATAATAAACGAAATTGATAAAAATACAGAAGATGTTAATAAGAAACATATAAAAAGAAAAACAAAAGAAAGCAAAAAAACATATGGAAAAAATATTATCAAACTGTTAACAAATATAGTACCAGAAAAATGTATAGAAGATAATGTTTTGACATTTTTAGAAAGTTTATTTAGTGGTGAATCATTCGAAAATTATGAAGTTGATAAAAATTTTATATTTAAGAAAAAATATTTTTTTATCATTTCTTCATATTTTAATTATTTTGTAAAAGGAATAGAAGAGAATAAAAGTTTGTCTCCAAAATTTATCTTAAATATTACGTATAAACTATTCACAAAATCAATTTATTTTTTCAGAGGAGATAATTATAAAAATTTACTAGCTGTTATGCAAAATTGTAAAATTCTGTTTTTTAAATATAACATGTCTAACGAAGCAATACATAGCTTTGCTAGTTTCAAAAAAAGTATTCAATTTTATGTATCTTTAAAAACAACGGAGGAAAAGTGCTTAGGATTTAATTACCAAAATAAATGTATTCAATATCCTATCAAAGGAAATAATAATATGAACATTATACAAGGATCATTTCAGGAGAAAAACATATATGATGCTATAGGAGAGACAAAAAAATTTGATTTTCAAGTACATGCGCAGGTTCTAGCGAAGGTTTCACTGAAATTGTTATTCCACATGATTAAGCGGGCGTCTAGTTTGTTTAATGAGGGGGGAAACCTAACCACCTGTTTAAGAACTTCAAATGGAACTTCTAATCGAATATTAAGAATTAGTGAAGAAAGAGATTCAATGGATAATGTGAACGGCGATTTTCGTAATGACTGTGATATCGATAGAATGAAAATTAACAATAATCTAAATGGAGTAATAAATGAAGTGCCAAATTACCCTTCTATTTATACTACAATTAATGATATATCGACTAAAGAAAATACTAACATTCAGAAGGAGCAAAAAAGTGCAAACCACAATGACAAATTAAATATTGTAGAACATATTAAACCTATTCACGAAAAAATAAATTCCAAAATAGTAAGTTGTGATTATTACCCCTTTACGAACTTCCCCGAATTTATTCGTCTAATTGAACCCCTGCTTGTCTACTGCTTCTGCTATGGTAAGGAAGATGTATTTGTGTTATCATCCAAGTGCATTAAAATTATTAAGAAAAAAAAATTATGCGATTTCAGAAAATTTGGAAAATTAATAATTTTATCATCCGTTGACATATTGAAAAATATACCCAACTATTACAGTAAAGAATTTGACAAACTGATATTGTCCTGCATTGATGCATTGACATACTTAATAAGAGGTAATAATAAAAATGATATTATTTCTTGGCTAAATTCTGATTTATCCAATCGTGCTAATCCTAATGAAAATGTCGATAATTGCCCAAATCAGAGCCCTATTTCGAAGAACAAGAAAAGAATAGAAGATACTTCAAAGGGAAAAAGTTGTCATTCACAGAAAGATAATGCACATAGTCTTAAACGACAGAAAAAACTGAATTATTTACTTGACGAAAATGTTCTTTCTACATATTACAATAATAATGAGGAGAACGAAGATGGATGTGATTCATATGAAGAATCGACAAATTCATTAAGATATTGCTTAATTAATCAGATATCTCTTCTACTGGAAAGTAAAAATCATGTATGGGAGTTGTTAATATTGTTCAAAAATTGTATGCTACGAGAAGATATAAACAATATCATCAAAAAGGGTTATATTATATTAAAAATGAATAGCTGCGTTGACCAGATATTTACAATAATGATTGAAGAATCTCACAATTTGAAATTATCATTTCTGTGTGGTCAGATTTATATCGATTTTTTAATGCGTTTTCCTATATCAAAAACAGAAAAAAAAAAAAAGTTTTTTCAAATATTAAACAATTTAAATGATGAAAATGATGATTCGAGGATTGCAATATTGAATGCTTTGTATGTATTTCTTAACAGAGCTAACGCAAAGTTATTAAAAGAAGAATTTTATTACATTACGTTTGCTAGCATTTTAGCTCATTTTTCTAATGAAACAAATTACAAATGTAAGAAAATGTATATATTCCTAACCACTTTGCTTTTCCAACAAGTAAATGATTTGATATATGTTTTTAATTCGTATAAAATTTTAAAGCACAATTTGTTATTTTGTAAAAAGGCCTCTTTTACCTACACATACCTGTATATATTGCCCATCTTTGCGTCCATTTTTTTTGAACGAATTCCATTGTACGGGAAAATGATTTTAAGTGACGACAAACTAGCGCAGGATGAGCTAAGGCTAGTATCGAAGGAGTATCAAAAAAGTAGGCGCGAGAAGATAATGTTCTTAAAATTGCAGGAAAGGGATACTAGTAGAGAAAATTACGAAACCTTCGAAAAAGGTCAAAATAGTCAAGGTGAATTGAATGAAAGAAATGTATATAACATCAACGAAACAAATTCGTCAAACCAGGTCGATACTATTAGAAATTATTTCATAAGCGAATTATTGAAAAGTACCAAAGGAAACATGAATAAGTATAACCAAAATGGCAACAACGAGTTACTTACCTCTCCACATGATATCAACATCATTTTTATGAAAAATCAGTTAGAAGACCTGTTCTTATCATTCATCTATCATTTAATTGATACAAGATGCTCTGATATAAAGGAATTTATGAAGGAAGACAAATTATCCTTTCATATTATTACTTCAGTACAAAATATTACCTATTTTTGTGGTAAATATGATATATGTGGATATATGGGCAAAGATTTAGTACACCTATTTTACAAATCACTGGAGCAAATATTTTCCTATATGGATATAGACATTATAGAAAATTTAGTGCATGAAAAATATGCTCATGAAATGTACAAGTTATACTTTTTAAAGAAGGGTCATTTGAAATATGTCAATGGAAGTGACACAAATGTTGAGAATAAACAGGATCATTACACTGTAATTAATGGAGAGACAATTCATGAAAAATTAATTTTATACTTTTTATACTTCTGGAATTTGATAATACAAAACGGATTATTTAATAAAAATCCATATGTGCAAATAATATCGTTAAAAATATCTCTGAATTATATAGATAAGAAAATGGCATATCCATTTTTTCCATTGCTATTAGTCAAGTTATTTTCTACCAATAAATTTGTGATAAACCTGATTTTAAAAAAAGTCTTATCTCTACTTTTAAATTCGTATTTTCTCGAACATTTCTATATATATCATAAGGATATCAGTTTTCTGCTTGCAAAAATTTGCATATTATTGGTGAAATTTCCATGGATTACAAACGGGCTTGATGACAAAAATGACGTTAAAGAAGCAAGTTACGAAAATTACTACTCAGCAAGTGATGAGAAAACAAATTATCCCATTATTTCACATAATAATAAAGATACAGATCACTTACCCATGAGCTTTATACCAAACAGTACTACACCTGGTGACCCATCAAAACATAACGAAAGGAATGACCATTCCAGTGACTCAAGTAATGAAGAATATGATGAAGAGTTCAAAAAAGTTAATTCAATTTTGGAAAACGGACATAATTTGGAAATGACTAAAAATACATACAACCATTCATTCATCCAGCCACACAATCATACTAGTAGAATAATGACAGAAAATTCAAAGATTACCAAGGAATTGCTTTCTTATAGCAAATTTTTTCTGGTCATCGTTACCCTATCACGTGCCATAAACATACATTTAATAAATAAAAAAAAATCATTTGCAAGAATTTTAACTATATTGCAGACATACAAAAATATAATTCAAGATTTTCCCGAAGATCTTTGGTCTCCGGAGAACGAGATAATTAATATTGTTCTTTCTTCCTTATACAAAATAGCCTCTATGTTTAAAAGGAAGTAAGTGCGGACTCACGAACCGTTGCACATTATATATACACGTCGTGCATGCACGTATATATATATATATATATATATATAACAATTCTCAATATGCGAATAAAGCATATTTTTTTGAAATATACACTGTCCAAAGCTGTCATTTTTTACCCAAATATCCCTTTTTAACAGATTATTTGTTCAGGATGAAAATATTTTCGAAGAAACCAACTCATACAATAAGTTTGTTTATTTATCGAGCTACGCTTGGGATATTATTTCACTTCTGGAAGAAAAGTTGCAGAACAAAAGAGGCACTTTCAATAAGGCCTTTGTTCAAGCGAGACAGGTAAATCTATACAGGAAAAAAAAATGTTCATGCTTTTTTTAATTTTATTTGCTTGTTTATTTGTTTATTCGTTTGTTTATTTGCTTGATTATCTGTTTGTTTATTTTTTTGATTATCTGTTTTTTTATCTGTTTGTATATTTTATTATATTTTATTTTGCTAATTTACACATTGTAAATATAAGGATTTTATTATTTAATAAAAAGTGGATTTTGCACTTATTGCAAGTGCCTAAAACACAAATATATACGTACGCATATCTGTTTTTTTTTTTTTTTTTTTTTTTTGCCCTTGTTCAGAGGATCAACAGAATCAGGTTTATTAAGAAAAGAAGGAAAAATATCTTAGCCTTGAAAAATCCCAAATTATTTACCTTAAATAAATTAAAAAGGAGAGAGAAAAAAAGAATGGAAAAGAAGAAGAACAAAATGGATTTTTAGAACATATCTACATTTCTTCCAAATTATCAAAAGGGATTCGTGCATATATATATACATACATATATTTACTACTAATATTAAATTTCATAATTATGTTTATTTTTCCAATATGAACTAATTTATTTAAAATTAAAAAAAAAAAAACACATATATGAGAAAAACTTTTCACTTTTTTTTTTCAATTATAAATTTTATTTATATTTACAAAACATCAAAGCAAAGTTCAACATGTTTATGATAACCTACACACATGTTGTTGTATACATTTTAAAAAACATTTTAGGATTTTACACCTTGTAAAGAAAGTATCAAAAAAAAAGAAAAAAAAAACGCTCATAAAAAAAAATTTTTTAGAGTTAAAAAAAAAAAAAAAAAAAAAATGGAAAGGTAAGATAAGACAAGATAAAATTAAGCCCAAGTTATCGTTGTTATGTTATAAAAAAAATTAATAAAATTATTAACACATATTACACCGAACAAATATGCAGACAATATGATAACAATAGTCATGTCTTATTTATAAATCATATTAATTTTGATCATTTGGTGGGGGAAAAAAAAAAAAAAAGTGTGAATGGTTATGGTGTTGTAGTATAAACTCATAAGTATTAGACAATCATAAAATAGAGTTTTACGAACATGCGTCTTTCTTTTTTTTTTTTTTTTTTTTCTTTTCCATTTTAGAAAGTAGGAAAGTATAACTTATTAAAATTTTCACATTTTTATACAATAAAATGTTTGGTTCATTTTTCTTTTCTTCCTTTTTTCTTTCATTTTCCCTGTTCTTTATTGTAAATTTTTGTTATCGTATTTTTATTACAATTTGTATTTATCTAAAAAAAAATTAAAGAACATATTTGTGAAGCTACATGTATCAATTTCATAGGGTTCTGTGAGTAAGATGTGTGCTCACGGGTGTACTTTTTATAATGTTACACGCTATTTAATTTTAAGTGCAATTCCAATCCATTTTTTTCTTTTTTTTTTTTTTTTTGGGAAGGGATGGGGAAATTTTTTTATTGTTAATTTTTAAAATTATAAATTCTTACAAATGACAAAAACAGAAAGATCCGTCGTTTCCTGTACGATGCTTTTTCTTTTTATATTTCTTATTTTTTTTTTTGTCTCAACACACGGTATTATTGTAAGAAAAAGAAAAACAATACATGGAAACCCCAATTATGGTCTTAACTGCAACTTGCACACAACATATACCTCTTCAGGAGTATGTCTAAACAGCGTTTTGAGCTTTTCATTAGATACAGGGATAATATGCACTTCAAATGTGATCAATTATAATGAATTAATTAACAAGAAAAATTGCACCTTTGTTACATGCCTTAATAATGATTATAGGTAAGATGCTACATCTATTTTGCAAAATTGATTGACTACGCAATCTTGCATGGAATGAGGAGTACATTACATAATTCCTCTCGGGAAAAAAAAAATATTGTTAAATGAAAGTTTGTGTTAAGCGTGAACTCATGGGGGATGTAGAAATGGAGGACATTTTAAAATAAGCGAATGTGTTTCTTTGCTTAAATTTTTGTCACAATAGTTGTAAAAGGGGGATCGAAAGTATGGTAGCATGTATAAGAATGTGTACACATACATGCATGTATACATATTTTCGTGATTTTTTTTCCTTTTCGCAGATGCAGAGGACTTAAGTTGGTTCAGGGAACGGTGATGAGGTGGCAACATCTACAGGACATAGAAACCCAGTGGGAAATAAAACATGTGAATAATGGATTACAGAAGAAGCTGAATTTTTTACTAACTCATTTTGTACTCAATGTGGGCACAAAAATCGTAAAGGTGAGTGAAAATTAATTTTAAATTGTGTTTTTTGGTTGGTTCCATGGGGAGAAATTTACACCTATATATGAACGCATGCATGTATATATATATTTTTTATCCTTATTCATACGTATGTGTCCCGTGTGTGTTGCTAACTCTTAACATTTCTTCTGCTATGGAACTTTTTCAAAATGGAGCAATTGTAAACATTTATTCAGGTACTCTGGAAAAGAAGCATATATAACGTACTCAACACAGTAAGCAAGAATATCATTCTAACTCTTAGGAAATGGCAAAAAGAAAGAGGTAAGAAGACAAAAAATGGAAAAAGAATAGATTATTATTTGCAAAAACTTATGGTTAAAGGGGGTACTCTTTTAACAGCACATAATACAGGGAAAATTGGATACTTTTTAGAGACAATTCCTTCGGTTGGTACGTTATTTATCAGTAGATCATTATCAATTCAACAAAAAAAGCGAAATGTGTATAATAATTTTTGGTCCATTACAAGGAAATCATCAGGGAGGTGCCTTGAGGAATTAATAAATTTAGATACAAATGCAAAAGTTGAAAAAAAAAGGAATTCAATAAGAAGAAAATATAAAAAGGAGAAAGAAACAGAAAAAAAAGTAGATACACACAAATGGGAGGAAGTCACTAGGAGTATACACAGGAAAGAACATAAAAACAATGCTGAATATAAGGTGGAATATGGAAATAATGGAATAAGAATAATAAAACTATTAAAATCTATTTTTTTAGATGGAAAAAATCCCACGAATATGCCAAAGGGAAAAAATAATCTTTTGAAGAATATTGAACACGCAACTGAATTTATTGAAAATTCTAAAACTACCGTTAAAGCTGCGACCACATACTTTTTGTCTAACCAAACATTTATAAGAAGTAAAAAAACAAAAACTACGTTAAAAATAAAGGGAAACGGTCTAGACAATTTTATATATAAGGAAATACTTATTTTTGATTCCTTTGAAAACTGTGAAGGGAATATTATAACTAGTATTGCCATAGAAGAAACAACAGCTTTTCATATTTTAACAAAAGTTTTTGAGATAAATGAATTAGGGACGTTTACTGTTTGTATCGTTATAGATACCCCATTACCTGTTGCATTGTTAAATGTACAAAATAAATTAATTCAACAAATAGAATCATTAAGTGATACAAATTCTATATCTACATTTAATTGTTCTATGGATGATTATTCTATATTAATTCCTAACAACAATAATGTAGTAATTGTAAAAATAGATGATAGTGGTAATTTGTCACAGAAATCGAAAAATATTGAACAGTTCACAAAAATTTTACCAACAGTAACAAATATATTAGCTTGTTCTTCTTCCCTAAATTACATTGCATTGCTAGATGTAAATGTTGTCTTTATCTTCAGTAAAGACCTTAATGTTTTACATGAAACAATTGTTCACCATTTGACTAACCCAATTGGGATATTTTTAGATAAATATATTATATATATTACAGATGCGGATAGAAAAAATATTTTCCAGTATAAATCAAAACATATATACACAAGGTTGCCTATTTCATCGGAATTTCAGAATAAAAGTGAACATATCAAACTGGAGAAAAAGGGAAAAACAGAAGGAGACAAAGAAGTTAAATATTCTTGGATTAAAAACACAAATGATGATAAGAAGAAAGGTGAAAACATAGAAGTACCAAAAAAAAATTCTTACAGAGACCTCATGGGGAAAATTTTTGCATCATCAGCGAAAGATAAAAAACTAGATTTGAAAGTGAATGATAATAATTTGGAATTAAGCGAAAGAGAAGAATTATTTAATCTGCTAAAACATAAAACAGGAACTGTACACCTCAACGGCCTGATGCCTAATTATGTCACGTTGGTTTACCCTGCAGGTATTGTTGTAGAAGAAGAAAAAGTGTATTTCGTGGATTCAGTGCAACATGTACTATTTTGCTATTCGCTGGAGGAGAAAAAAATTATACACACATTTGGTTATTTAAATTCTCCAATCATGAGCAATATTGGTTTAAACAAGCCATTTTCGTTATCCCTATTTATAGTGAAGGAAAAGAAAAAAAGTCTCTTATTTTTGAGTGAATTGTCTAGTTCAACAATATTAATATTTGAAATAAATAATTCTATTAAATTGTATCTAACCTATAGTGATATTGCCCTAGATATTGCCACTTCTATAGTAGTAACATCCAAATTTTTAATCGTCTGTGGATTAAAACGAAATAAAGAAAATTACGTAAGCTATGTTACATATATAAAAATCGAAGAGTTATCTGAGCTCGAAATCGAGTATAATTTATTTTCTTATTCTTTGCACTACGGTCAAATGGTACGCATGACACCTCTAAAAAAAAGTAGTAATATAACAACATTTGCCTTGAGACAATATGATGGAAAAACAAATGAAGATATAGACACTGGATTAAGTATAAATAAATATAATGGAATTATAAGTGGTAAAATAAAAATCTCTGCTTGGTTTCATATGGAAATAAAAGTATATGATTATTTTAATGAAAAAATATTAAGATTCAAAAATTTTGTCTCCATGTGTGCTAAAGGATTTTTTTTTAAATCCAAAATTTGCGTCCCATGTCCTGTAGGATATTATAGTGTTAATACAGATAAACTCATTTGCTCCAACTGTGAAAAACATAAAAAGCATTCAACTACATCATATAGTGGATCAATTAACAAAAATGAATGTTTATGTAAACCTGGATACTACTTGAAGAGTAAAAAACAATGTGAAAAATGTCCTGCAGGATATTATAAAGATAAAGTAGGAGATTTTAAATGTCAGTACACATGTGAACATATGAAAATTAGTGTCGTTGAAGGAGCGACTAGCTATGAAGGCTTAAAGTGTGCATGTAAGGATGGATACTATACAGATAATAAGTCGAAATGTATTATTTGTCCTATCAATCATTATTGCATATATAATCCAAAAAATCTTATACAAAAAGCGGATATTATTCATTGTCAGGAAAATGCCATTACTTTAACAAGAGGATCAAGTTCACCTAAAGAGTGTGTATGTGCCCCTGGGTATTATTATGATGAAAATGCACATACCTGTAAACAATGTGAATACAACACCTTCAAACAAAACGGTGGTAATAAGTCATGTACACCGTTTATAACTAACCCAGTATCTACACAAAAGTTTTTACCTAATGAAAATTATTTTGAACATTCAAATGTTCTCTTGAGAAAAACAACAAACGATATTTTTTCTCCAAAAAGAGGTTCATTCTCTTTTACTAGTGCTAAGTTATGCGAAACAGGCTATTTCTACAGTCATAACAAGTCCATTTGTTCTATATGCAGATATAATGGATATTGTCGAGGGTTATATGAAGCAGTTACTGCTTGTCCTAAAAATTCATTTACTGTGAAATTAAAAAGTGTTACACCTCTGGACTGTTTATGTGAAAAGGGATATGGAAGAGTAGTTGTGAAAAAACCAAAGTTTTTTGATATATTTTGTGTCCCTTGTCCATATGACACATTTCAGCAACATCATTCTTATGGCGAATGCATTCCTTGTCCTGCTCATACATTCACTATTTCCACAGCATCTACTTCTATAACAGACTGTTTACCCAAAAATGGATACTACAGCTTGTATTTTCAGTATATATATGAATATTCAAAAAATAAGTTAATTCAAAATATTCCTCGTTTTTTGCAACAGTATCGTCAGTATCTGAATGATCAATACAAAAAACTGGGGGGAAAATATTTTAATATAATGCAACAAAAGGGAGGTAGTTATAATGACTTAAGTAATTATGACGCGACAATAAGGGATTATACTAATAACATTTGTTACCCTACTGATAATCAGAAGGATAAGGAAAAGTATGTGAATAAGAAAGAAGACCTACAAAAGGATCACTGCAAAGTGCACGATAAATGGAATTATGCAAATGGATATAAAAATGCTAGTTCCAGAATTAAAATTCCCAAAATACAAAATAATATACGTAATTTAAAAGGAATGTATAATAACGTGTTTCATACATGTTATCTGAAAAATGTTATTCTCATGGACAGGTCAAAAATCGTTCAATTTATTCAACAAAAGGGTTCTATATTTTCGCTAGCCAATTCGCAAGTAGAAAACAGTCATTCACAGAAAATTCAGAAGAATAAAAGTTATCCCTTTCAAAGAAGTGTCTTCCTTTCTAGAGAAGATAAAAAAGTGAAGTCTTCAAAATATGAAAGTTCATCGTTGAACAATGAAAAAAATACTATATTGAAAATTCATAATAAGGGAGAAGCACTGTTAGATGCAACAGACAAAATATATTTAGAGGAACCACATCAGGGTGATACATCGATAATCCCAACGAATTTAAGGGAAGTAATGATGAGGTCATATGTACGAAAATTTAACGCCATCGTACAGAATCAAAGAGATATAGTGACTCTGATAAAGACAAGAGAAGAAACTTACATTGACAATAAACAAAAGGAAATAATATACACATGTTACGAAATTGATAGGGAAATAGTTCTAGAAAAAAATGTATACATGTTCACTATCCCTGAACTAGATTTAAAAAGTTGTCTAAATGCATGCATATCTAATATGTACTGCACAGGTATAGAAATGAATAGAACAACTTATAAGGGGAGAAAAAACTTATTTTTCCTCTTAAATACAAGTTATGGAAGAGATCTGATACATTATTACAAATGCAATTTATATTTATATGAGGAAATTACCTCCTATTATGAAAAAGAAAACATTAAAAAAATTGAAAATATACATAATTATGATGACTCTGAAAAGATAACTGGCTGTACAATTAAAAAAAACGAGACCCTAAATTTGTGGAGAGTATATGCTTTGGAGCTATGTCCAAATAACTATTACTGCAACAAAAAATCATTTAAAAAAAGGAAATGTCCCTTAAATTCTGTCAAAAACAGCTCCCAAGGAACGATTAATAATTGTTTATGTTCACCTGGGTATGCATTCCAGAAAAATTTAAACTCATGCACTCCATGTGAAAAAGGAACTTATAAAAGTTCTAAGTCAAATGACAAGTGCAAAAAATGTCCCCTCAATTTAACTACAATTTCTGAAGCATCTAATTCCATTTACGATTGCATATGCCGAGAGGGGTATTATTTTGAGGGGAATTTTAACGTTAAATTGGTAGACACCAAAATAGAACAAAAAATTTTGGAAGCTATCAATAAAATGAATAAAAATGAAATTTTATTTCTACCAAGTGGAGGTAATAAAGTGAAGGATTCATTTTTTCAAATGAAGTCAATAAGAAGAAAAAATATACATCCAAAAAAAAGGCAAGCAGTTTTGAGTACTATTCCACAAGGGATGAAAGAAAAAACGTGGAATGGAAAAAAGGAATCTTGGGAAGAGATTAACATACATATTTTAAAAAATAGAGAAATAATAGCTTCAGTTAAAGATACAAATTTTATACAAACAGAGCACACACCACGACACATTTTTCACACCACCCATTCAGTGGAAAAACACAACAACAGGCTAATTAATCCAAGGGTTGAGGCTAAAATAGTTCATGGACATACAGAAAATTTGTCTTACGGAATGTGCACTAAGTGCCCTGATAAAATGTTTTGTCCAGGTTTTTGGCTTAAAAAATTCGAAAGGGAACTTCACCACCCACCAATATTTTGCCCGAAAGGATCAACAATACCCAAAACAACGTTAGAATCTACAGATATAAATAAATGTATATGTGGAAAAGGATATAGTATAAATGTAGGAAATAACAACAACAATGGAAGTAATAACGAATTGTGTGTAAAATGTAAAGAAAGATACTACAAAGATGTAGTAGATAATTCCCCATGTTCTGGTTTGTGTATGGAATCTTCAACTTCCTTCCATGGATCAATTAACAAAAAACAATGTTTCTGTTCTAGAGGTAGTTATATGATACATGAGTCTTCCCTCGAAATGAAATGTGTGCATTGTCCTAAAGGAGCCCTATGTATTGGAGGTTTAAAATACCAATCGTTAAAAAAATTAATCAAAGATCCAAATTATACTGATATAGAAATTAATGATCACATTATTCCATTCCCTCAGAAGGGTTACTTTGCCACTCTTGAAATAAAACATGTAGATTTTTCATGGTCTCCATTAAACTCACTGAATCAACAGATAAATAATTACGAAAAAAGTGATATAATAATAAAAAAAAAAAACATCAAAATGATATTTGGTAAAAGGATAAAATATATTACCCTCGATAGAAAGAGAATAACAAACGAGCAGAATAATAATAAAGAAATAAAATCAGGAAATAAAATAGAACTAGATTATTATACGGTTGAGGAAAAGAATACACTAGACAAAACTGGTACAATACGTATTTTGGTCGATGAAAAATTGGAAAAATTAAAATACAAAAACGAGTATTTAACTGTGGATAGAATACCTGATTTTCATTTGTGTCCGATTAGTAAAAGATGTATAGGAGGAGTAGACAATTTATGTTACCAAGGATCAGAAGGATATTTATGTAATAATTGTTCAGACAATTATGATATCACTTACTTTAGATCTCAGTGTTTTAAATGTAAAAAGGCAATAACAGAATTGTTAAATTTATTAGTTCGCAAAATATTTTTTTATATGATAATAATTTTTATAGCGTATTTAAATTATTTTTGCTATATAAAAAGAAATTTGGTATTTATTGGCATATTCAAAATATGGTATTTTTTTATCATATGTTTTTTACCTTATGTTTATGTAGTAGAGTCAAAAACTAATTTACCCCCAAATTATCTCTTATATTTCGAGTTTTTTATTACTCTACCTATGAGATTTATTACACATTATTTTAAATTAAATTGTTTCGTTAACTATTATAGCAATAAAAATTATATATCCATATGGTACATTCAAAGATTCATAAAAATTGCAGAACCAATGATTGATTGTTTCCTTTTGACTATAGTTTTTTTCTTGTTTTATCTGATATATACCCATTTAAATCGTGAACGAATAACCAAATCTCTAAATGTAATCACAAAGCAGATAAATCAAGTACACACTAATGGATATAACAAACACCTGTCCAACTTCTACTATCATTATTATCAAAAGAATGTTATTGATACTATTAATAGTAAAAACAAAAAAGACAATTTCTCGTCTAAGATATGGGATAAGATTGCATTTACGAACAAATATTCATCAGGTGAAGATACATCAAAAAGAAAGAAAAGCAAGCATAAAGAAAAAAAGGAGAAGAAAGAAAAAAATGTAAATAAAAAAAAAACAACAACAAAAAATCCTCTACATGATAGTAGCATGCGTTGTGATGATAGTACCCAGTTAACTACATCTGAAGATTTTTCATCCAGCAAAAACTTCTTGAAGAAAAAATTATCCTATAGTAATGAAAACATGTATAATTTTGATGAAGAGTTGCTAATGAATGAAACATCCAATTGTTCTATGGAGGAAAATATAACAAAGGGTACATACTGGACTTACATGTGTTCATTAAACATATACAATATCATGGCCTTTGGTTTATTTCGTTATATACATCCGCCTAATATAAGCACGTGCAGTAAAATAAAACGCATTATCTCAGATTTAAAAGTGATTTACATTATTATTTTGTATATATATTTTCCATTTACGGTTATTAACCTACTAGAACTTGTGTGGTGTCAACCAGTAAAGTACAAAAACAAACCACCAATTCTGATTCTATATCACATGCCATCTCAAGTTTGCGATTGGAGAAACAAATTATTTGTATCAGGACTTATTTTTTCTTTTTTTTTTTTCCTAATATATATATTTTTATTTATTATGTCGCTTTATGGAACACTGAAAAATTTTAAAGTATTCGGATCTTATGCAAAAAGTGTCAGGAGCTATTTCTTGTTTAATGGATACAACTACCAGAATAGATGTTGGGATTTTTTTAATATAGTCAAGGTAATATTCGTAGCATTTTCTTTTACTTGTCAGTTACATACAAAAAGAAGTAATAATTCTAAGTATTTCATTTGCTGTTGTGTTGTATTTGTATTAATTACAGAAGTTACCTTAATTTTAATGTACTCTCCTTATGATAAAAGGTCTAATGATATTTTACGAAAGTTAAGTTTATTATCCACATTTTCAATACTTATAACATATTTATCTGTCCAGTTTAGCTTTTTCTTTAACTTTTATATAATTAATATATTGCCCTTTATATTATTTTTCTACTTTCACATTTATATGTTTAATAAAATTGTGCTCGAATTTGCAATTTATAAGAATATTTTAATGAAGATAGAGGAAAAGAAAAATCAGCCAGATGAAGAAAATATGACAGAAGGATTGTTAAATGATCAGTCCTTTATCAATTTTTCAAAACAAAAAAGTAAAAAGACATGGAACAACATTGATGATCATGTAGGTAATTCCGCTAAAAAAGGAGAATGTAATAATGGCTTCTCCAACGGAAGGGAAGTAAAATTTTTTTTTTTCAATTTTTGTTATCCATCTATTATGAAGCACTGTAACTTATTTGATTTCCTTTTACGAGTAAATAATATCCCGTCTTATTCCATTTTTTTTAACGAAAAAGAGGAAGAAATTTTTGTATTTAAAAAAGGTTGTTCTGCAAATACATACGAAGAAATAGCAAATAATATAAAAATGAATACCATCAAGAGATCACAAACAGGTGCAATTAGTTTGGATTTATTACATTCAGATTTGCTTTATTATAATATTAGAGAATCTTCAAAACATTCCAATTCTAATATTAATGTTGTAAACTTAAAAAAATCGAACACCAATTGGTTAAAATTTGAGAGTAAAAAAAGATTGTCTAAGAAGTTTGAAAATTTCATGAAGAAGGGGAATAATGTCTCTATGAAAAATATAAGCCATTTAAATGGTAGTATGAATACAGAAAATTCAGAGCACTATGATACCCAATCAATCAATATAACGCATTTTACAAATTGTTTAATTGAAGCTATCAACATTCTGTTTGTTAATCAGTCGTACAACCAAATAACCGTAGAATGGATTAGTTTTGTTACACGATTTTCTATCTGTTTTATACACTGGATGAAAAAGCACGACGAAAAATTAACTAACTTCGTTCCTATAAATACAAAACAATTCGAAGTGAAAAAAAGAAATCTCCTATTTTATTCATTATTTAGTTCCTATGCAGAAATGTACACTATATATCCAAACATTAGTAATAATAAAAAATTCGAAGAGTGCAAAAAGAAGTTTATCGAAGCAGAAAATTTAGAACAATTTTACTTATACCTAAATGAGTCAAACAATATGCACAATATAGAAGAACCACGCATAGGCAGCCAAAGTGAAGATGAAGATAAATCCGAAAGTTACACACCTTGGAATTTTTTGGGTGATGAATTTTTCAGATGTGAACATGATATTGTAAAAATGCTTTTTGATGAAAGCGTATTTAAAAATTTATCCATCTCTATAGTGGAATTTTTCTTTGCTATTTATATGATTCAATTTATTGAAAGTAAGAGGTTATCAATTTTAATTTTTTTATTTTGCGAAAAAAAAAAATATTTAAATAACGAAAGGCAGTTTTTAAAAATGATAGAAGCTAGGAAAATGGATATTCAATATATTATGTGTACACAGGACAACAACCTCATGTACGATTTTGTGGAATATAACTATTTGAATGAATATAATCAAAATATTAAAAAAAAAATTAAAAAATTAAAAAACTTAATTAAAAAGAAGGAGAATTCCTTTGTGAAACACGAACAAATGAAAATAGTGGCTTGTGCACAGAAAGATAAAATAAACAGAATGAGCAACGCAAATGCTTTCTTCGTTCAGACATTGAAGAGACTATTGGACGATTCATCCATCAAGCACGTGGGATAACAGCTGAAGAAGTGTAAACTAGGATGAAGATTAGATCCTAAATTAGAATATGTTGTCGGTAGGAGATTGACCAAAAAGGGTTCTGAGCAAAAAAAAAAAAAGAAAAGTAAAGTAAGATAAAACAAAATAAGATAAAGCAGAGTATGATAAAATAAAAGGAACATGAGGGAAAATTTACCTATTCACCAACTACCATGTTGATCTTTTATAACTCAGTCACTCGAAGCATTTAAAAAGAATAAGCTGTCGAAAACGTCTAACCTTATGAAATATGTGTAATGTGCAAAACTGCATAACGTGAAAAAATACATAGTGTGACAGGTGCATGGCTCGTATTGATTGCAACTGTGCCAGTCGCTTATGTAATTGAAAAACTTTTTCACTTGCCTGGAAATATGATACGGAGAAAATATTTTTAGGTACCACAAAAAAATTTACCTTGGTCCTTATCTCATTCTGTGAATACACATGTACACGTAACATGGATTTTATATAACTTTTAAGGGCATAAGAAATGCATACATATATAAAACACATTTATATTTGCTACTATGTAGAAACGAAAATTTTTGTCACAATTTTCGTATATTAATTTTTTCTATTTATGCATTTACTGAGTAAAATAATATGAGTGCCAAAGTGACACGTTATTGTTGATAATATTTGAAAATACACAAATTACATGTACACATGCCTGATACATGTTGAAACATCCATTTGCTCTTTCTGCATAATATAGAGATGTATTCACGAGGATGTCGGTTGCATGTGCATATATATATTTATTAGTAAAATATGTGCCCCAATAAAAATTGACATCTCTTCTTGAGTCGTAACAATATCTAAATGTATGGAAAAAAAAGATACAATTTGACCCTTTTCTTCTGTATGAATACTGACATTTACAAGAAATTTTTAACCAATTTTCAATTTCGAAATAAAGATATATAGGAATAACCATACTACTCATACGCTTAAAAATGGAAAAAAAAAAAAAAAAAAAAAAAAGAGAAAAAAAAAAAATTAAGTATTTGTTTCCTAGCTAAATAATAGTTATATATTGAACATAACAGTGGTTCGAATGAAGGAAGAGTGTTCACATTTTTATACATCTTGAGAGAATCACTAGTTCCATTTTGAGCAACGGTCAATTGAGGGGAAAAAAAAAAAAATTCATATGTACACGTAATACATCCTATATACACAGTGAATTTACCAGCATATACACAAGGCATATCACATGTTACATGCGATAACCCTACCGCACTTCCGGTGTGTTCTTTACAAAGGCCAGAAATCATTGTCGTTTGAAAATAAACGTAAACAGTGGAAAAATCGCCCCAAAGGGATATCTCTTAAAACAAGAAAAATATATCAAACACGTATGACATTTGAATGACATAGGCACAATTCAACAATTGTGAAAAAAAAAAAACGAAAAAAAAAAAAAAATGAGGAGATACATACTTCGAAAAGTTATAATTAATTACAAAAGTGTAAAAAACTGGGACAGGTGTAAAAGAGGATTTGCTAACAAGGTTCTGTTAAATAATGGAATGATACACAATTATAATGGGTTCCATATAGGTGGTAACAATTTGTTTATAAAAGGCGAAGGAAAATCTGCTTATTTTTTTTCAACAGAGAAAAATGAATTGAGTTCATTTAGTAAGGAACAAATTGAAGAAAAGGTTTTGACAGTGTTAAAAAAATACCTGCCACCCAATGTTGAAATTAATTATAATGAAGAATTGGAAAAATACAAAACGAAAGATAATAGAGCTTGGGACTTTTTGGATACTGTCGAATTTTTAATAGATGTAATTTTGTGTTGCGTGTGTGCTGCTAAATATATATATTGTGCATATACAAAATATGCCTTTTTGATGAAAGTTGTGAAATTGTCTCTTTTTCTTTTTCTTTTTTTTTGTATGAACATGTCCATATTTATTGTTTCAGTCATAAAATATCATAAAGAAAACGATAATTTTCATCACATCATTTGTTCATATTTTTTTTTTTGCATACATATATAATCCATGTAACATTTCACTACCACCCCCAACACACCTTCGTTCATAGATCGAATCTGAGTTTAACATTACAATACCTGACGAAACAGCAGATAATATCAAAACAATGCAAGAAGTAATAGATTATTTGGTTCAGTTGAACATTAAGAAGACCTAAATTTTTTTTCCCATTTTGTCTTATATCTTATGAACGGCGCCTAATATAGTTTTAATAGTAATTGTGAAAATAAGAAAAGGATTTTATAATTAAGGACTTAGCACATGAATTATTTTCCTTAATGCTTTTTGCTCCTTCTTCGTATAACTGCTTATCATATTGCTTCCCTAAGCGTATGTATATATGTGCATACTTCGAATTTATAGACACTGACTCCTGATTTTTCAACAAATTTGAGCTATTTAAAAATAAGGAGGAAAATTTTTTAATTTCGTTTTCGTCTACTTTTTCCTTTGCTTTTACACTTTCATTTTTTTTTTTTTTTCACATAAAACAGTAGAAAGATTTTGCACTTTACACGGGGATTCTGACATCCTTTGTAACACTTGAATTAAGTGTAACTCGTAGAAAAGGAAGGAAAAAAAACAAAAAATTAATAAGTGCAACATTTAACAGTTATATATATATGTATATATATATATCGATAAAATTTTATACACATATGTACAATCTAACTATTTGCAAATTTTAACGTAAGGCTATTTGCTTAAGTGAAAAAACTTAAAGACAAAATATTTGCTTTATGGATGCATTAAGAGGGGAGAATGTTATGCATAACACCTATCCATAATACAAGTTAAGCTTAATTTAAGAAAAATTAAGTTTAACTTGTATTGTGAGGCACTATATTAGTATGTTATGTATTGTTATGTTATATATATATATATATATATATATATATATATATATATATATATTTTTTGTACAAATATGTGAGCTTCTTTTTATAATTTCAAGGATATACGTAGTAAATTACAAAATTATGTACAAATATTAATTAGATATAAATTTGTTTTGCAATTGCTCATTTGTTATTTTATTTATTTATTTTTTATTTTTCACGTGGGCTTATTTTCTTTCAAATATGAACGAACATAACCAATTGTACACAAATAAACATGTAATTCAATTTGACTTATATGTATATATCCCCACCAATCAAATAACATCACAATTCAAAAAGGTTTCAAAGCGCACTAGACATTAAATTAATCTGTTAGCATTTCAGAGGATAAACATATGTCAAAAACTCATGTTTCTTTTCTTATTTGTTTTTCTACAATTCTTAAAAACGTACGGATTACGTAGGGGAATGAAGAAGCGTTTGAAGCCTGAAATTATATCATGTACATATTTATCACAAACAAAGCATTACACAAAAAAAATAAGCAAAAAAAAAAAAAAAAAAAAGAAAAAAGAAATATTATGTCATAAAATGACTTTCATAAATACCAAATGAAAAGAAGCACCTTTTTTTATTTATTTATATTTTTTTTTTTTTTTTTAGGTCTAAATATTATAATTGTTCTGTTATATGCACAATTAATGAATTCTTATTTAACTCACCTGTTATGTTCGATGGAGTTTAAGGTGTGTATACACATACTTTTTGGAAAATAAAGTATTACATTCATTTCAATGTGTTAACGCAGGAACTGAATGATATAGCAAAAAAAAAAAAAAAAAAAAAAAAAAAAAAAAAAAAAAAAAGGAAACGAAGCGAAGCTAAGAAAAGAGCAATCAATTTAATAATTATCCATGATATACAGAATTTAATTCTCTTGAGTTTTTAATCCCTTATAAAAAAGCTGAGGCGCAAGAGAAATCCTTTAGTTATTCTAAAATGATTAGTGTAATTAATAAAAAAAAAAAAAAAAAAAAAAAAAGCATTCCAAAATTCACACTTTGGCATTTTTTCTTTCAGTATGACAGAATCACCAATTTTACACATTTCCCCAATTTTTGTAAGTCCTTCAAATATAAGAAACCATGTGTAATATAAAACATAACAATTTTTTTTTTTGCAACTAAAAAGAGAGGAGCTGCATATATTTGTGTGCATCTTGTATGCCTGTTTTAGACAAAAAATTCTAGTGAATCTTGTAATTTTTTTGTTTTTCTTTTTTCTTTTTTTGTGTTGTTTTTTATTTATGTGATTTCTGAGGAGATTAAAATAGAAATCCAATCTTTCCTTGAGTGAAGAGCTACAAAAATTGATAAAGCATAAACTTGGGTGAATAGAGATAAGAACAAATGTACAAGTAGGGACCATAGCAAGGTTAAGAAAATGCCATATAGCAGTAACTTGTTTGAAGCATTGAATATAAGAAAGAAACTGTAATAATCAATATGCTGCAATAGAGAAAAGGTTGGAGGGACGAAAGAAATATACAAGAAAGTAGATTGAATAATAGTTCACGAAGGTGTTAGTGTGTTTCTTCTGCCTGTTTGTTTGTGGGGGAGGGGGAAGGTGGAGATATTAATAGTGATAATACATATTAAACAAGGTTATAGCACGAAAGTAATTAAACTATAGAACACTTTGCAAAGAACCCCATTTTTAAACTTCTAGTAAAGGAAAAAAGACAAAAGAAGGATGGGGAAAGGACACGTATTTTGTAAAATTCAAATGAAGGATGAAAAAGGAACACAGTATAAAAATTTAGAAGAATCTGAAGGAAAGATTAATGCACAAAGCGAATACGAAAAGATTAAGACACAATATAATGATAAAAAGGAATACATAGAAAAGGTGAAAAGATTGAAAGAAAATAAATATTTTGGAAATAAAACGATAGGAAACAGGTACAGTTATGTATACCTAATTAATCAAATATTTGGTTCTGGAATTGTGTCTATTCCATATATGTTTAAAAGTTCAGGGTGGTTACCATGTCTAATTACAAATATTTTAATATGCTTATTAACTATATTTAACACATTATTATTTCTGAGAGCAATGACTATGATACCAAATAATATCCATTTTAACAAGAGATACGAGTATATATCAACAGTGTGTTATTTTTTAGGAAAGAATAATATATTCTTTTGGATCATGCAAATATGTTACTATGCCAGTATTTTAGCAAGTAATATAATATCAATAGTTATAGTGTCCCACGCAATGGATTATATAATAATAAATTTTATAGGATACACAGTTGGATTTACCGTGTACCCAAACTTTCAGTTAAAATATATTAAGGATATAAATGTATTATATTATGGTAGAAATTATGTGCTATGTGTAACTGTAGGATATTTAATAAATGCTATAATATCTATATATTTTTCTCAATCAAATTTAGAAGACAATATGAAAATACAGCTATTATCTTTCATATTTTTAATGAGCACAATATTTCAAATGATTTTTTTAAGTAGTCTTAAAATATATCGCTATAATGCTAGTAGGACAATAATAAATAAAGATATAAGGAAATATGCAAATATAAAATATCCGACAGCTTTTGGAGATTTTAATTTTAAACAACTTTTATCATCCTACATTTCTTCTTATTCAGCAGTAACAGTTATTCCTTGTTGGGCAAATGAAATGAAATCAGATGTAAAAATAATCAAAACTGTTTGGATATCTAACCTTTTTTGCTGTTTTGTTTATTATATATTTGGGTATATATTATGTACAGCTTATCCTGATATTAATAATGATAATATATTATATGACATACTACAAAATCCATTTATAAATGTCTACATGAAAATTTGTATATACCTTTTTGATTTACTAACAATTGCTCCTGGTATATATGTATATTGTATAGCAACAAGATATAATCTAATTAACAGCAATATATGTTCAGAAAAAGCCGCTTTTATTCTGGGAACCATTTTCCCATTTTTAATTTCTTGGCTTTTCACCTCAAGAGCTATTTTTGAAAATATTTTTACTTGGTCTAGTTTGATTTTTTCATATGCATGTAATTTTATTACACCACCTATTATATATCTTATAGCATGCAAAAATATTCCCTACTCAAAAAAAAATCCACTTCACCACACCCTTGTCCTATACGATCCGAAGGAATACAAAATGAGGAAATCCATATATAACATTTTTTATTTAAATGATATAAACAATGAAAAAAACACAATAAATCATACGTCTACAAAATTCAAAAATGAAGAACAAAACGGTGTTACCATGCAACATGGTGTACAAAACAATTTAAAAATACATCCATCTAATCATATTCCTCTGAAGCAGTATCCAAAGGAAACACCACTCTGTTTACCCACATTATCGCATAATAAAACACTGCATACACATTTTTTGAATAACAATGGTAACGACACTAATATATACCATAGTCGGCAAGGGGGGACTCAAGAGTTAAATAACAGAAGTGTCCTTCCAAGTCATGAAGAGGCTAGTATTAAAAATGGGAAAGATATAAATGTTACCATGGTTCATTCTGAGGATTACGAAAAATGTAAAATAACACAACCACTTGAAAAATATCAGAAAAAACTTCTCCTTTCGGATGAAGAAAAACCAATGGAGAATCACCCCTTGGATGATTTCATAATTCCAGTAAAAGTAGAACCAGAAGAAAATTCTCTTCAAAGGGAAGACCAAATGAGGAAAAAGACGAAAAAAAAAAAGAGCGTCTCATTAAGAATAAATCCTCGGCACGTGCGAATTCATATTGAAGACGCAAGTGAAGCGGAAGCAGAAATCCATGGTTCAGAGTTAGACAGAAAGGACAGTTCAGGTGTAAATAAAGGAGTAGACGAGGAAATAATTGGGGAGATAAGAATAGATGACATAACATATAAGAATCATAACAAAAATTCTGACATCTACCACAAAACGTTGGAAGAAAATGAAAAGGTTTTATCGAAAAAAAATGTTGAAAAAAAGAAAAAAAATTCAAGCGAATATCATCGTGGAAGAAAGAAGGGCACAAAGTCACTAGAACTTCGCAAGTATCATTCTATGTTTAGTACGAAGGGAAATAATAGCAACCTCATAGAAAAACACAAAAATAATAGTAGTATTAGAAGATCAAGGAAGCACAAAACAGTTATGGGGTTTGAAAAGAAAAATAAAAAGTACAAAAATATTTTCATTAAAAATGAGCATGAAGAATTTTCTGATTATTCGGATATTACTGATTATGACCTTTTAAATGATAAAATAATAGCAGATTTGTCAAGAGATATATACAATGATATCAAAATAATAAAAAGTAACTACGAAAGGGATGAGTATTTAATAAAATATTCGGATATTTTCGACTCATTTTTAAATCTAAAATTATTGTTGGAAAATAACACAGATGAACAAAACGACTTTTATGACATCTGCAACACATGCACTTTATATAAATTATCTAATACTTATAACTCTACTCATGGCCACTCATTGGGCATTTTGAACACTTCAAGTGGAGATAATACATCTTTCGGTCATTTGGATTCTTCTGCCCAATCGTATAACTATGATACGCATAAGGAACATGTGGAAACGTTATCATCTAAGGATCTGCCAATTCAAGAATGGAAATTTCCAATTGTAGAGGATGATAAAAAAAATGGTCCCAATACTGGGGAAAATGGCGAGAGCAAAAGTTGGATAGATGATAAAACATTTAATGGAAATAAAACAAGGGTAAATAATGGAAGTAAGGAAGAAGGTAAAAAATCAAATGAGTTACTCAACAGAATTACAAAAAAATTAACCAAAGTGAACAAACAACGAATTAGAAGCAGTGTACCTAATGGGGAAAATCAAAATAAGGACGAAATGGAAGAAGCACAAAACGGGATGTGCTTAAGTGATATATATGAAGACAAATTAAGTGATAATATAAAAAATAATTTCCATATGTTTATTAATAGAATAAATAATAAGAAAAATTTAACTTGGGCTTTCGATGGAAATAAAAATGAAGATGAACATAACCTATCACCAAATAATAACAATCATGTAAATGTATCAAATGTAGAAAATATTTTTCATTCAAATGAAAATATAAATTTATCATTTAGAAAATCCAAAACTGATATTTTTTCTTATTCTATGAATTCTTGTAAAAATATAGATAACCACAATGATTATGTGGACGAAATAAATGGTATGGCCCTTTTAAGTAAATTACATTCTTGTAGGAATTGCCCAATCAAAGATAGAAAAAGTGAGGGTGATTTGATTAACTTGTTGCAGACTAAAAGTGTTGATAACTTGGATAAATACAAGTTTTCATCTTCACTGCGTAAAGAAAAAGAACCTGTGCACTTTTCACAGCAGAAGGATTTTGATATAATGGGAGAAAATGATAAACATGAAAAAAAATCAATTGAAGACACTATGAATAGTTTTGAAGAAAATTACCATACATATAATTACGAAAAGGGAAACGATATCCATTTAGGTACTTTAAACAACACTGAAGTGGGTGTTACAACACACTGTAGCTACATAAACAAGTATGAAACATTCCCCCTTGCAGATCAAACTCAAAAAAAGAAATTTAAAAAAAATGAAGATCAACAAGCGGATATAAACAGGAATAATGATCAATCAAAGGACAGATTTTTATACTTCTTGAATTCGTATAATAGAAAAAAAAAAATGTATAAAGATGTGAATACACTAACAGTACCAGATAATGTATATAATGTGATTCCCAAAATTAATAAAGGAAATGAACAAGATAATTTCGATGATACTATAAACAATATATTCAATTATTACAAGTATAATTTCTTACTATCTTTCAGTGAAAAAAATAATAATGTTAACAGATATAAAAATATTAGAAATTCTTACTGGACATGTAGCTATGTAAATAAAGAAAGAGAAAACAACAGTGAAAATATAGGGAGTACACAAAACTGTCAAGGGTATCATTTAAATTTATTCCATTCCTCAAATGAGGACGTTATCTCTTACAATGATAACAAATCAGGGCAAACTACATCAAAAAAAATGATTTCATTTCCCAACTTAAAGTGTAATTATGTAAATAAATTTCAGAATGATGAGAAAAAGGAACCATTACTTATGAGTCATGAAAAGGAAAACCAATGTGACGACTTACCAACAATTAATTTAATTTGTCCTGAGAAACCTTTGCATGGATATGAAGATGCTTATCAAATAGATGACTATGTGAATGGTGAAATTAATGAAAACATAATTCATGTATACCCTTCTAGGTATCTAAGAATTAAGCACGCAAAAATAACAGAGGTACTTTTATTCATTGCAGTACTAGTGTTGCTTATTTCTGTTTTATATGATTTTACATATTAACATGCATGAGCATAAATAATTCTAATTTGTTCCTCAAATGTATACATGTTGCCGGATTTTTTTTTTTTTTTTCATCTTTCCCATCTCTTCCCTGATTTTGTTATCATAATAAACGTTTTAAAAAAAAAATTACGTACATATATATTCCTCTAGTACAAACGTTCCATGTCCCGACCATTTTCGGTACAACTAAAATTATTATCATGTTTCTTCACCCACACTCAATTGTGCATTTTGCCATTAGTATCTGCGTGTCTTTGTTGTAACCATGTTCATTGTGTTACTATCTGCTTTTCTATGAAGTACGATGTTATGGCTTACGTTGTTATGACTTATTTTGTCATGCCCTTTTACTCTCATGACTTATTCTATTGTTACCTATTCTGCTATGATATATTTTTTTATTTCATTATTTTACTTTTTTTTTCGTATAACATAAAAAAAATATGCTTTTAAATTCTATTCCATTTTTTAAAAACATGAACAAAAAAATAATGGCAACTGTGCAAGCAGCTGCGTAGTGAAAAAAAAAAAAAAAAATTGAAAAGGTGTAATTACACGCAGTGTTCGTATGTATGCCTTAATGCACAGCTGTGTGCAACAAATAGGTCAAGGTAGAGGATACGTAAACAAAGAGAGCAGCAAAGAGAGAAAGAAACAAAGAGGCAAACAAAAAAACAAGCAGACAGACAGACAAACAAACAAACAATCATCCAACGAAAGTGACAAACAAACGCACCGAGGAAATAGCATAACATAGGAACATCTCTTCACACACATATATATTCATACTGCATCTTGAGAGCTAATATATTTTTTAATAGTTGAAGAAATAGCTGTACAGCTCCATGTCGTGGAGGCGAAGCACATTCCTCATTTCAAAATATGTTTCTGTGGACACAGCCTGATTGCCAAGGAAGTTCCTGACATTTTGTTTTTGCCTTATTCCGTTTTTTAGGTATTTCAAGTAAGACGGGAAAAAAAGAGCTATAAATTTTGGAGTAATAAACGATTCCACAAATGAAATAATCTCCGTGATATGTTCCTGTCCTTTTCTATTTCCAGGGGTGTGTGGATTGAAATGATATATTATTTCGCAGAATTTGTTAAAATAAAATCTGTCATTTGAGAGTGTGTCGTTTTTAGACTTGCAGCAAAACAAGTTTTCATCGTTCTTTTCCTCCACTACATTATACTCACATGAGTATTGACTATTCCAGAAATGTATAATAAGTAATATATAGCATGGAAAAAAACTTGAAAACAATTCGTAATTTCCGCGTAAAAAAAACAGATATCTTGTTGCAACATCATCCGTGTTATTCACATTTTGATTCATTATTTTCCGAAGCACAATCATAATATATCTATCATATAATTCTTTTCTGACTAGGCTAAAATGATAATAATATTTATTCATGGAATTCGTTTTAAGTGAGAAAAACATTTTAACTTGACAAGGGTTGGATGCACAATGATTTATTTTATTTTTTTTTCCTTTAATTAATTCTTCTTGTGATTTGTTCTGTACATCGTTCGTTATTGACATGTTATCTGCTGGATTTCGAGGGTTACTATTACAGGTTATATAATATCTATAAGTTAATCTGAAATGTTCATTTGTAAATCTTGCTACATCATCACTCATATTTTCGTGTGCTTTTCTCATTAAAAAATTTGAGCAATCAATTCCACGAAAAGAGTGATTAATAATACTTAGGTTCGAAAATAATCTGGCTATATCTGATAAACTGTTATAAAAATATATAAAATTTTCTTTTAACAAGGATAAAACTTGGAACTTTTCTGATATACTCATCATATCTGCTTTATCATCTAATTCTTTGAAAAAGTTCATGTAGTTTTTTTGTTCTCTATGATTATTTTCTTCATGTTGTTTATTTAAACCAATCATCTGATATTCATTATTCTTATCGCTACTTATCGACATTTTGGTGACAACTCTCAGTCCATTTGTACAATTCTCCGATCCTTTTTCCATGAAATGATTCATTCCTCTCTCACTTTGATTGGATGAAAATAAGCAAGAGTTATCAAGTGTTTCCCTCGCGTTTGGTATGTCTTGGTGCAAATTGTCGATATTCAAATTTATACAACTCACGTCAAAGTTGAAAGAATCTGAGCTTGACAAATAATTCATCGAGGTTACACCTGATCCTATGTCTCGATACAACACCTTTCTTGCAAAAGAAAAAATATCATTTTGACACAAAAGTGTAATGTCATATATTTCTTCGAGGGACATATTACCCAAATTTGGAATTCGATTTAGTAAATCGAGAGTATTAAAACAAGACCGTATATCTCCACTACAGTTGTGTGTCATTTTTTTTATAACTTGTTTCACATTTTTATTTAAGTTTGTCATTCTACAATAGTATCTTTCTGATAGTGTTTTTTCCAAAAATAAAGGGTGTATTTTTTTTAATTTTATAAAATAAACATGAGGGGAATTGTTTATATCAATTCCTAGTAAAGTATTAACAGTTCTGATTTGTTCATATGAATTTATAAAAATTATCATGGGATGTATTGCATAACATTCTTGAAATTTTTTAATGCAATTTTTTTCCCTCATATATTTTAGATATTCCTGTTTACAGTAGTTGACACGATTAAATATAAATTGCATCGAACTAACACAACTTACTCTGAATTCTTCTGAATATTCTAACTCAGTTAATGGCAGTTCATCAACAATTACAGCACGGGTATTTATAAAATGTTCTTCATAATAATTTTTTTTTTTCTCATCTTCTCTTTTTTTTTTAAGATCTATATTCATCAATTGGGTATATAAATAACTTCGTGAAATGAGAGTATCCATATGTTTCTCTAAAGTATTTGGTAAAAACGACTTAACTATAGCATCATTTTGATCTATATCATCTATAAGAGCACAAAGCAGTTTTTTTTTCACATCCCTGTCTTTGCACAAATTTATCATTATTTCTTTCATTAAATCGATGCACTTTATTAAATTATTGCCCATTCGTTTGTTCAATTTGTAAAGTTCATCACAATAGTTTACTATTTTAATTCGTGCCTTTTCTGGCAGATGTAAATCATCACTTATTCTTCCTGATGAGTTACTGAGACACATTAAATTGTTTGTGATATTCTCTAAAACGTTCTTTTCATCTTCCATTAAACGTTTCATATGTGTGTGGTGTGTATTATGGTTAGACACATCAAAATTTGTTGAGATATAATTCATCGAATTGGGAAATAGTGAAATCAATTTTGTTTCCATTACTTCTGAAAAAATTTTGGGCTCCGTCTGAGAACTTTCATCACTTCCTCTTTTGGGTGAATTATTTTTCTTGATAAGATCATTAAGAACTTCTCCCTTTAGATGACTTACAATGGTGGAATTGATAATCGTTACATCTGACATAGTGTTGCTAATAAATACATTGCACAGGATTAGTCCTCTTACATTGTTCATTACATGAAAATTGTTAATTAAATGTGTATAATAATCATTCAATATAATTAGATCTATTGCACTTTTACTTTTTTTACACTCTTGTGTCATTGCATTTTCTATTCTAGTATTTATATAACTATGCAAACTACCACATTCAGATAATTTATTTATATCCTCACTTTCGAGGGTTCTGATAATATTTTCACGCCTGTATAATTCATTACTGAGGTTTAGGTATTGCTTCAAATTTTTCTTTAAATTTACAGTTTCTGCCAATTCGGAGATTATTTCCTTACATTTTTGTAATTCTATTAACTTTTTAACTTCACTGTTCAGGGTATCATTAATCGATATGGTATTAATTTGGTCTCTTTTTTCTTTTGGAATGTTAGGAAAAATTGTCCATTTGTTCATTTCTTTTAGTGCTAATTCGTTTTTCTCCTGGTCATTTTTGAAAAGCCATTTTCTTCTGTATAACATGAAATTTTCAGTTCTTTGTCTAATTTTTTTTTTTTCAATAAAATTTGTTAATTCTTCTCTTAACGTGTTAGCCAAAGAGAAATCATCATTAATTTCTTCCTTTAAGCTAATGTACAATTTCAAAGTATCAATAACAGATTTGTTTAAATTGTTTGATTCGTTTGCATTTATGCTGATATGTTCATGTAAATTACAGGAATGGTTCATTCTGTTAATTGTGTACTCGCTATGATTATCATCAGCAAACATATCAATTATAAATTCCTTTTTTATTTTATCTGCTTCTATAGAATTTTCCAAAATGTGCTTTTTCAAATTATGAGATGATGTTAGTAATTTATTTATTTTTTTCCATATTTGGTTCCCCATTACGTAATATTTATGTAACAATTTATTAAAATTGTTAGATATCCTAGGAGAGAAAAATTCATAATTGCCTTCTTCATAATATGTACTTCTTCCAAATGCATGATTGAATATATTCATAAGTACACTATACAATTTAAAAATTCCATTGGCTATTTTCCCATTCATATCGTTACATTCTACCAAATCTTCCACAATTTGTTTTTTAATTCTGTTACTAATATCTACTAGTACAGATTTGTTCATTTTTCCATTCCTTGGATTGTTCTCAGATTCGGATTTAAAGATTTTTTGTAATTGCCAGTTTTCTCTATGTTCATAATTTTTCTTTCTCTTGTTATTACTAACCAATTCATGGTATGACGAAATATTAGGTACCTTATCCTTTTTGACAAACTTGTCTTCTTCATGTTTTTTTCCCTCATTCATTTCCCCTTTTTCCGTATTACCAACTTGGCAATTGGAATAAAGTAAAAAATTATTATACGGATGATAATAATACTCATTTTCTTCATTTGCACTTCTAACAAAATTTGTGTGTTCTTGTGATTCGGGTTCATAATAACATTCTTTCATGTTTAATTTTTCACATATATATTTTACTAGGGTACTTTTTCCACTTCCAGGAGATCCCAAAATTATACATATATTCTTTAAATTTTGCACATCCACATGTTGTCTGACATTACTAAGATTTTCTAATTCTGTGCTTAAAATTGGGTCATTGTTAAATTTTATCAAATTTATAAAAAAGTCCAAAATGGTTAATTTATCCTTTGGGTGTATCAATATTTCATCGAAACTTTTTGGCATATAATTGTTCATTTTTTTCACACCACATCACAGTTGATACTTTGTCCTTGGGGTTGGAGGTGTTTTTTTTTTTTTTTTTTTACTTCCCCAATTGCAAGTAGGAATGGGGAAATAGCTAAAAAAAAAAAAAAAGGAAAAAAATATTAATCTATACGCTTGGCCTTTTTTTCTTTTTTTGCAGCGAGTCTGAGTATTCATATTGTCAGGCTATTACAAATGTATACACTTGGAAAAAAAAAAAAAAAAAAGTGCTCTGTTCCATAGAATTGTTGCACTGTCATTCTACATATAACCATAGTGCTCATACACATACATACATATATATGTATGTATACACATATTGTGCGTATTTTACGAAGGGACGATGTTACGTTTTTTTTTTTTTTTTTTTTATCATTACAATTGAACCATGAAAGTAGTTGGAAACAAGTGTTGGATAAGGATTGTATTTAGAAAAAAAAAAAAAAAAAACGATACAATTAATAGTTTGAACTCAATTTTATTTAATTTAGCAAAGTTGCATTTTTTTTTTTTCCTTGTTTGAATAATTTCCCCTCGCCTTTTACTTTTTTTAAAAAGCACAAACCCTACTCCTCCAAGTATGTAATGTATACAATGTTCTCCCTTTTCTTAAAAAACATATTCCCCATTTTTTCGAAAGTTATACATGTTTAAAAGGAAAAAAAAAAAAAGAAGAAAAAAGCAGCTTATTAGTAATATATATATATATATATATACAAAAAAATAGCATACCTAAACATGCATATGTATGTATGCCTATGTATATATAACGTACATATGAAATTTCCTGTTAGCACTTGTTTTTCTTCTTATGAGACTGAAACCTTTTTCTCTCTCTTGTATAGAACTATAGGAAACACCGAAGAAACCGTTAATTTTGAACTCTTAGCTTTTCTCCATGCCTAATCAAGATGAATGAAAACATAAGCAAAGTAAATAGCACTGTGGTAGAACTACTGGGTATGTCTGATTTGTTCAAGAGAATGCAAAACACATGTTGGGGAAAATGTATACCAGATGCTAATGATTCGTTTCTTTCCGTAGGTGAAACAAGTTGTGTTGACAGGTGTGTTCATAAATACATGGAAATACATACACTCGTAGGGAAGAATTTGCAGGAATCTCAGCTTTCCAAATGAAGCAGGTGTGAGAAACGACCAATTTCCGGAGGTGTTGTTTCGTGCACAGATACCTATATGTAAAACTAGATGTTTATACTCATGAGCTTGTTTATTCCAGAACACGATAGTGTATATGCTTATGCAATCGCAGTCATTAGATTTTTCTCTCACTTTTTTTGCTCGCTTTTTTTTTAATACGCGTGAAAATACGCACATGAAATAATTTTATGAGGAATCTCTTTTCTTTGAGCTTTTGACGTATTCATTTAAACATATTATTTAACTGCATTATTTTATGGTTAATTCTATTTTATACACATATCTAGATATCTGTTATTTTACCCCAAGTTGCCCCTATTTACATGGTTATTGCAGCATTTTACGTCTTTTTTTTATTTTTATTCTATTACTATTTTGTGACTTTTTTTTTTTTCTTTTTTTTTTTTCCAAAACGAATAAAAACAAAATAAAATAAACATGCGCACTATTTTATCTTTTTAAAAAGGAAAGATTTTATTGCTTCTCCTCTATAAGCAATTCAAAATGTGTATTAATTAAAGGTTGTTAAAAAAAAACACAAGCTTCAATATAAAAGTGCAGTTACAGCTTTGCACCTTTAATTTTAATTTTATATTTGGGGTGATTAAGCACACATGTGAAACTGTGGGGAGGTGGGCGTTTCATAGTTGCACCAAAAAATGGTTGCCTATTTCATTTTATATTGCATTTTGTATTTCACCTTGTATTTCATTTTGTATTTCACCTTGTATTTCATTTTGTAGTTCACTTTGTGTTTCATTTTGTAGTTCACTTTGTGTTTCATTTTGTATTTCACTTTGCATTCCATTTTATATTTATTTATTTTTTTTTCTTCTTATTCCCCACGAAACAATTTTAAGCGCCATCCGTTATGTTTAAAACCCAAGTCGCAGAAATTTAATTCTTAAGTTATAGCACCTACAATTTCTGCTGCCAATCTTTTGGTCATTTTAAGCCCATTAAATTTCCCCATTTTCGCGCGCACTTTTTTTTTTTCCTATTAACATTTCGTAAAGGAAGAAAAAAATACCTAAAATGTAAAAGCATTACTTCAAACCGATGTTGGCAAAATTGATGAGAAGCATCAACACATGTAATAATTTCCTTAGGAGTAAAAAATATGAATTTCAATTTGTAAAGGAAAGGAAATATGAATCTATTATTTTTCGAAAGAGCATCAGGAAACTGCTCCTTTTTTTTTATAAGGAAATACATCCAGACTTGACACAAGACTTACCAGAAGAATTAAAAAAGGTAAACGGTGAATCGTTAAGTGTTTTAAATTCTTATATAGATATTCTGAGCTCGTCATCAAGAAGTGAGAATAACATATTTATAGAAAAAAAATTAGTTTTTTTCAAGGTGTTCGAAAACTCAGAACATCAAATTATTAAGGGAAGGTATAAAAACATAGTCATTAAATTACAAACTCTATCGAATAATTTATCTTCCCAAGAGAAAGAACAAATTACAGCAAAGTTGATTTACGAGATTAGGAAGTCCCTAGATAAAATAAAAAATGTGAACATATTTAATGAATGTGATAATGAGAGTGCTGAAAATTTGGGTGAGGACTTACTGAATTATGAGAAAAATGGGAAAAATGAGAAAAGACAAAAGAGTTATATAAATTCGTTATGGGATGATTTAACAAACCACGTAAAGAACACACAAGCATTATTCCAACCATCCGAAGAACACACCCTATTAATGCAAAAAAGAAGAAGCTACTTTTATTACATAAGAAAAAAATTAGAGGAAAAATACCAAAAGATAAATCATAAGAAAAGAAGGAAAAGAAAATTACTAAAAGTGAAAGAAACAGCAAATAAAATAACACGGGAAAAATTTCCAGACATTGAACATAAAAACTATGAAAATGAAATTCTCGATTGCAGTTATAAAATTATTCAAAATGGATTTGATCCAAATTTAATTTTTTTTCATAAAGACATAAAAACGGTAGAGGAAAAAAAAAAGGCTATAGAAAATATATGTGGAATGCACTTAAAGGATGATGCCGATAAGTGGTTGCTAGAAAACTGCCTCAAACTTTTAAAAAATCATCGAACTCAAATTCCGTTAGTTATCTGCATGGACAAAAAAATTTCTTTGTCTTCTACCTTTGGATTTATTTACGTAATTAACTTTTTTATGTGTGTTTCCAAATTTTTGGAGTCTATGCAATTGTCAGTAGGAAAGTACACCTATTATGATAATACGTCTACCAAGATATACATAATGTATATAACACTCCTACATTGGTGTACAAAGTTTATCTTTTTTTTTTTTTTTTTTCTTTTTCTTTTTTTCCCAGATACCATTGGAATTTTGCGTGAACGATTTATTTAACTTTCTAGAGAACAATCTTCATCTAGCAAGGAGTGTTAGAAGAAAGGTAATAACAACGAGGAAAATGGAATACACCGAGAGAAATAAATAAAACTGAACACAGAACTGCATTTATAATACATGCAAAGATAGCCAAATATGCTTACATCATGCTTAAATCACTTTTGTTTATTTATTATTTATTCATCCCTCTTTCCACATCGCAGGTTTTAACAAGCTTTGACATGTGATCCTGCCGAATGGAAATATATAATGCACATAATTTTTTTTTTTTTTTTTTTTGTTTTGTTTTCATAAAGCTAAAAAACGGTACAATTATTAATTTAAAATATATCGCATTAGTTATAAGTTTAAAATTATTTTAAGTATATTTAATTTTATAAATATGAATAACTTAAAAATATGGAAATCATTAAAGTACATTTGAATAAAAATAGTTGTATATGCATGATTATATGTATTCTCGTATCATATACATATGTGTATCTTTTCTGTTGTATAAATTGATAAATCGCACAAAAATTATATACACAGGGGATGGGGTTAAGAAGATAAATGTAAACGAAAAAAAAACAAAAAAAAAAAAAAAAAAAAAAAAATATACAGATGAGATACATGGATATGAAAAGTAGAAACAAATGGAATTTATTGTATCATTCCAAACATTTTTCATGTACTCCTCTAAATTTTACAATGTAAAAGGGTGAAATATGGTGTACCCGCTTTGAGATAATCCACGCCCCTATCATGGAGCGTGTGTAACTTAAAGCATACAGGATAAGTGGAATACGTATAGCCACCTAAGCAAATGACTGTACAAATTTGTGACGATAATTAAAAAAGATAAAAACAAATAAACAAGTAGAATAACAAGGGGGAAAGAAAAAAGAAAAATAAAAAAAAGGCAAATGACCCAAGGGTTGTGGGTAATGGGTGGTGAGAGTAACGGGTAGTGGGGTACAATTTCACATTGTAAAACGGAGCTCAGAGTGCCAAGGTATATTATGCATGTCCATGCACGTTAACAAACCTTCTTATTTGGCAATTTGCCACCTGGATATATATTCAGTGCTTCGCTCTGATGGTCAGTATGGTAACAGCCTGGACTTTTTTCTGATAATCCTCGTACGATATTTTGTAGACATTTTTAATGGCATCTCGACAGAGAGGGCAATTTGGAAAGGAATCTTTCAGTTTCAAAGAATTAAATATCATGGATCTTATGCAGGTTTCACAGAACCCTCCGTGCATGCATGGGTATAATACTACATTTTTAAAACGCTCATCACAAATTTCACAATATTCTAATGATGATATGACTGGGTTGTCCAAACTATTATTTTGGTCAAGAGCACCATGATTATTATTTTCATTTCCGTTTTCGGCTTCCTTACTACTATTAGACACATTTTTGAAAATGTTTTTCTTCTTCAAGTATTTCTTATTAAACACATTCTTCAAATTAAATATTCTATTCTTTTTTTCATGCCACTTTTTACCACCTCCTGTATTATCTACATCCATATTATCACCTTTGTTTTTATTTCCATGTTTTTCTGAGATACTCTCCAATGTAACTTCCTGATAAATATGTTCATTCATTCGAATTAAAGTAAACTTTTTTCTTTTTTTTTTTTTATTTTCAATTATGTAGTATTTTTTTTTTTTTCTTTGTGGATTTGTTGGGAATTCTTGAAAATTCGTTAATTGCATCTGTTCCAAATAGGAATCATTTAGAATATCAATAAAAAGAACAATATCTGTCACAATTATAGTAATAACAATTGCCTTATTTATATTTAATACTATAAAAATGCAAGCAAAAACTATATTCATTCCAAATAGAAAATCATGTATATATTGTAATGAATATGATATTGCTGAACAGTTATTGTGATCATGTCTTTCTGCGCATTTTCTAAATATTTTATAAGTGATGCATGATAAAAGACAAAAGAGAGAAATGTACCATATAAAATATTGAAAATAATAATTAAAAATTGGATCAATATCATGTAACCACCATACAACACAACCATCACCTAGTATTACTTCAAGAAATAGTATTGTGCTGACAGACCACATATATTTAGCTAAATATTTCCTTTTGCTTTCAACTGATAATCTATAATTTTTAAAACACACGAATAAAACAAAGTCGTAAAGGATTCTTGATAATATGAGTGCTATACGCAAACAGAAAAAGAACAATGTTAACATTAAAAACAAACTGCTAATTTTTAGGTGTTTTTTTTCCATTACAAATAAAAATATATAATTATTTCCATTATTTAGTGTTCTTGTGCTTATTTCATTACACGGTTCTAACAAAGACTCCATTACCCTATAAATGCACATGTTTCTCTTTTTTAATTCATCGTATATTTTGATAGATTTTTCAATTAATTTCTCTTTATTTATTTCGTTATTCTTATTGTAGAATTCTAATAAATTATCACAATTTACATTTAATTTGCTAATTACTTCACACATATTATTATGTAGCATATAATTTCCTTTCGTTATTTCGTCCTTTATAATATCATTTGTTAAATGCCAATTTTTTAATTCTTTCTCATTAAACTGAAATAGAAAATTGTTTACAAAAAGTTTGTTATAATTTGATTCCACTAACAAAAATTGATTTTCTTCTGTCTTTACTTTTAATAAGTTATTATATAATAGAGTAAATTCAATACTGAAAAGTGCCAAGAGCATGAATATAAATAAAATTATCCTAATAGCTTTATTCAAATTGTATTCTTCCAAAATTGGCTTTATTTCATATCCTAGTAATTTCCAGATAATGCATCTCTGATAAAAAGATAACTCAAGACCTTCATCATTTTCATATTCACTTTCATTCACATTAGTATTTCTTAGATCTCTTATTGTTAAAACATAGTAGTCTAACTCCTCTTGGTTAGAGGCGTTTTCTACAGAGTTTCTACTTCTACGTGTGTCATTTACTACCTCGTTTCGATTCTGCATGCTTGTGAAAAGTTCATTTTGTGTTTCTATATTTCGCTCAATCCGGAGGTCATTCGTTGGGGGTAGTATATGATTGATGGTGTCGATGTCTTCGTTTGGCGCACTCTCACTAGGTGAATTTTCCATAGGATCATGCTCAATTTGTTCAGTTTCATTCGTAACATTCTCATTCGTAACATTCTCATTCGTAGCATTCTCATTCGTAGCATTCTCATTCGTAGCATTCTCATTCGTAGCATTCTCATTCGTAACATTCTCATTCGTAGCATTTTCATTCATAACATTTTCATTCGAATTTCCCTCATTTGGAATAAGACAATTTGATTCGTTATTTATAACACCGTTTCTGACCTCTTCAAGATTATCCCAAATGTTCCATAACTTCGTATTGTTTACTTCTTCATCATTAGAAGTTTCATTGGAACATTTTTCTTGATTTGTTTCATTTTTTCCGTATGCATTTACATGCACAGGAGAATCTCTCGCCTCTGTATTTTTGCTTGCCTCCTTTGTGTTTTCGTTCTCTGTCGTTATGATCGTGGTACAATGATTGGGATCCTCGCATGATAGATCATCATTGTGATTATTACTAGCGATATTATTAATGTTATAATTTGTATTTTGATGAACATTGTCATTTGCAGTATTATGCATTAGATTTACATCAATGGAGGTGGCATTATTATCTCTTTCATTAGATCCATTATTATATGTCATTGAAGAGTTATTTTCTGCACCGTGAATATATATAAATTGAAATTTGTTTTTCACCCTTAGGTTAGCAATTTCTAAATCGTATACATTGGATTTAGATACTTTTTCGTTAAGCATTTCCTTCTGATTATCATTTAAAGAAGTGGTATCAATAATGTCTGATGTGAACATGTGGGTCATGTTGCTTTTATTATGGCCATTAGGTTTATCATTTTTTTTTTTTGAAAAATATAGGCTTCGAAATGTTCCCTTTCTTTTCGTTCTCCCTCTTTCGTTAATGTTTGGAATATTTTCCTTCATTTTGTTGTTACTGCTTATTATCATTCGAATGAGAAAGCCATGCATATGTGTATATGTATATATATATATATTTATTATGTTAACAAAGATTCATTTGTGCACAATCGATCCCTTCGATTTATCCGTTCTTCCAAAATGTTTCATTATGTTACTTCTCATGGATCATAAGTGCACAAGGGAAAATGGTAACGTACATACATATGCAAATATATGTATGTACATATATACACAAATGTATGTGTATATTGATGCATGCATCCTTTTCTGTTTTTTCTTTCAAAATAATGTTATTCTGCTATTTCTTTTGAGTACACATAATAGGTAATTCGCACAATATGAAAATATACAAGCGAAAAATATATTTCCTTTACAATTATTTTTATCAAATTAAAATTCATGTATGTTAATGGATAAATTAAATAAAAGTATTTTATTCTCACAGTGACAGTTGGGTTTTTACTCTGGCATTCTTTGTTCCACTTTGTTATACTCTATTTTACTTTTTTTTTTTTTTTTTGTTTTTTTCTTTTTATAAATAGGGATAAAAATGTGCAGTATATGTAATATGCTTAATATATAAGTAACCTGCACGAATGAGTGCGTACATACACACGTTCGCAGGTGCACATTTGCATATTATGCCTTTGCCTTCCTTTAAACATTTGTCACCACAAAAAATACGCTTGATACATAAGTTCAGAATGAAGAAAAGAAACAGCATGCATATAGATTTAAATAGAAAAAAAAAAAAAAAAAAAAAGCAACAACGTAAAACAGTCACAATTGAAAATGAAGTTCGCGTTAATGTAAAAATTAGTGCTAATTTTCAAATTAAAATTAAAGCATTTTAAATCAAAGCGAGTTTACATGTAACAACAGAGCTTGCAGCTACAATTGTGCTGTTGGATAATTTATTCAGCAGGAATAAAAAATAAATCTCTTTTCCTACTTAAAAGGTACTCGTGCTATATATGTATACAATATTCATATGTAACATATAAACACATAATATTTTTATACTTATAAAGACAAACATACGGATGTGTTCATAATACAACTGCACAATACCCTTTTCTTTCTCCACGGTATATTTCAAGAAAAATCAAACTTTAAAACAATAGGATTTAGGGAATTTCGGAAAAAAACTGTAATTTTAACGTCTTCTGTATTGTGTTCATGTAGTCTTGGTATTTTTCCATTTACAAATGGTAAGGTAATATGCAAATAATGTGTGAAAATATATATACACATACAAGAGTAAAGCGGTTTTTAAAACGGGCGTAAAATACACTAAAAGTGTGTGTATTCACGTAAATACTCAAGGAAGAACTATGAACGAGAATGTGTTAATTTATAGATACACAAATATGAAGTACTCAGAGCTCATAAATTTTTACAATAATTGTTTTCAATCTTATACACAAAACAAATATATATATATATATATATATATATATATATATGCGCGTGCGTGTTTGAATATGTACATTCGTAGTGATATGCAACATGCATATATTCGCTTAAAGAGCGACGTGCGCGAAGTAGTACGTTTTCATATTTTTATAAGTGTGGCCACTCGGTGGGTCATTGATATTTTTTTTTACTCTATTCATTTTATTTCATTTTATTTTTATTTTATTTATTTTTATTTATTTATTTTTTTTACATAACATTAAATCATAATATTCTAAAGAATGAAATCCTTTTTTTTTTTTTTTTTGAGAACATAATTTTTCTCATACAACCCTGTCAATTCGAAGGCGAATATGAAAATACCTCTTTATCCATCTTCAAAACATACAGGTGAGAATTGTTTCCATTAAAAAAAAAAAAAAAAAAAAAAAGCCACAATTGCCATAATATATACGAAATGTATATTTATTGCCCATGTTTTTATTAATAATTTATTGGGCAAATAATTTTACAATTTTATACAAGCACATTTGTATATGCGTACGCGGATAGGTTGCGGTACGTGACGAGCATATAGCTTTATGCATATATAAATATGCTATATATTTATTATTGTATTTTTATATACATCATGCTTCAAGTTTATATATACTCAAAAAGCAGCTTTGTCGGTCATTTGTAAAATTTGTAAGCTTTCTACTGTTTCAAGTTTAAAAGGAAAAAAAAAAAAATCGTATAATTAAAGTATATATATAAAAAACTTGTAAAGAACATTTTTCACTTTTTTTTTTTTTTCCCCCACTCATATTTCATATTAAAATTTTTTAATTTTTCCTTTATTTTGCATGTAAAGAAAATTTGAAGAATGATGCGAAAGGGCTTTCGGGAAGTTTTGGGATTTATAATCAAATGTAATCATATTACTTTTATGACTGACCCTTATTTATTGTTCCACCTAAAAAATTTTATCACTAGCCATGGTTATGAAATGTATAATGCATGCAGAACAAGTGGTCATAAAATAACATACTCATAAACGCAAGTACCCAAAAAAATATATATACATATAAAATACGTTCTTTTAAGCCACTTTTTCGATATTGTGAATTTTAAAAAAAAAAGGATTATAAACCTTTTCTGGTTGCACAAAATATGAAACATAATTTTTATTTGTTTCACCCATTAATATTTTTACAGCACGATAAATGCGTATTTTTTTTTTTTTCTGTGGATTCATGTATATATATATATATATATGTTCACCTTTTTGTATCTTATGACGTTTGTTTAACATCATTTGTTCATATATAATAAGTCCTTATTTTATTTATATATATTTATATTTCATGTAGTTTGAGCAAAACAACATATCCTTGAAAATATGATTGAATAAAGAAACGACATAAATGCTCTGGGGACTATTTTTGTAAGCTGTTTTTTTTTTTTTTTTTAAATGCAAAAATGTTTTACCATATGAAAGAAACCCCTCCCACCCTCATACACACATCCCCTTAAAACGTCTTAATACGTATAAAAAAAATGTCAACGGTGATAGGTGAATAAAATGATAAAACGTGAAATTAAAAAAAATGAAGTACAAGTGGAAAGAGGTTTTTTAAGAAACAATTTTGTGATAACATCAAAAAAAAAAAAAAAAAAAGGAAAATTTCACCCCCGTTTAAGAAAAGAATTACATCTAGGTTTATATATCACTAAATAACTTAAATAAAATTTTTTGGTTCAAAAAGTTGATAACTAAAAGCTAAAAAACAATATGTAATGTAAATGGTTATATGCCTTAAAGAAAGTGGGCAACGAAATTGTTAAATATATTTTTAAATGGCCGTTCATACGCCCACTATTATAAACGCACATGATGTTAGCATTCGCCACATTGCACAAACGTATAAACAAAATAACATGCGTCTGAAAGTTCTTATCATCATTTTAATGAATTGATCAAAGATGAATATATAATCCTTTTAGGAAAATGTATATATTGACATAATAGCAATCATGTAGATAAAAAGAAAAAATTAAGAAAATTACAGATACCCAGGAATGAAATATTAAGGAACAATAAATGATCCTTATATCTGTACAAAGATGCTAATAGTTATATATTTTGTCATGCACTCAAGTGTATTCTTATAACATGGAACTTATTTCCATTTTCAATAAAAATTGTCATAATGAATTTCAACAAATATTTTCAAAACGTTCAATTTTTCCCGCATGCTGTATATACTTATAAAGTTACAGTGAGCATGAAAAAGATAGTTGATAAGCCCCAAAATATGTGTGATAAAAAAAAAAAAAAAAAAAAGAGGAATAACATATGTGTGAAAAGGTATGGAGTGTGTCTTAAGAGGGGTAAAAATGGTACAAAGTTTCTGGAAAAAAAAAAAGGTTTGTAAACATGTTGACAAGAGGAACTTTACACATGTACGCATGCATATCCATTTCTACAACTGGCATGTATATATGTGTTAATTTCTTTAAAATGCACATTGGTGAACATGTTTTTCAAAACTTCGACATTTGCTACTGTTGCCTATTTGTTTCATTACGATTTTTTTTTTATTAAAAAAATGTGAAAAACTCTATTTTTTCATTAAAATATGAATGCAAAGGAGGAAAAAAAAAAAAAAGCAAAGTAGCCATTTCTTTTTTTTTTATCATATTATGGGTTTCCTTCTTTTTCAAAAGATGTTCCCTATACTTGTAGTTAGGTTACATAGATTTCCCTCTTTAGAGCAACATAAAGGATCATATTTTTTAAAGGTAGTTATTTTATTTTATTTTTGACATGAAGATATTATCTTGGCAGCTCAGAATTGCTTAAGCACAGAGGGAAAAATAAACAAGAGCATGTCAATATATATATACATATATATTATGTATATGTACATGTTCTTTGTATCTGTAAGCATGCTCAAATGATGGTACTTGCATAATCGTGAACTAACCACAAATACGCTTTTTATAAACACATATTTGACAAGTTGTCGCGCCTTAATTTATGAGTTAATAAAATATTTTAATGCAATTATAACTTTCATAAACAATATGATTGGATGGGGAAAAATCCTTGTAGTGAATGTTACAGCAATATGATGTGAATTAATAAAACATGAACCATTTGCCATGCTCATCTGATGCATACATGAGCATGTAATTATGTATTAATATACGTGTGTTGAGATAACAGCACTTGTACTACTATTTAACGATTTTTAAAAAGCATCATCCTTGGGATGTCATTAAAAATTTGGTTTCGTTTTCCATAGTTATATCGGTGAAAAATAAACATTTGCAGAAACATTGTTGCATCTTATAATGTACATTTTGCATTGTTACATAAAGACAATACTTCATTTGCGATCATATTATTTGTTTACATACATGTACATATGGTTTATGGATGTATATATATATATATATATATATACATCCATATACACCTATGGAAGACGAAGCAGTTTTATATTGTGTTCTTTCTCCTTTTTTTTTGCTCAGAAATCTTAAAGCAAAAAGGTTTTTATGTTTTCTGTGTTTTTTACACATGGTTCACGTATAAAACACAATTTCAAAAGTATCGAACACTCAAAATTATTAAAAATGAAACATAACAAAAGTGAGAATTTTTTTTTTTATTTATTTTTTTTTTTGTATAATTTAACATAGAAAAATGTGCTAAATTTTAAAAGGACCTGATAATCTATTGCCAGTGCACTATGATGCATATTTCTAGTAATAGAGAGGAAGTTTTTTTTTCCTCCTTTTTTTTTTTTTTTTTTTTCTTACTCATTCTTGAAAATTTGTAAAATAAGCAGAAGTGTTGTTGCAGAAAGTGGGAAACAAAAAGAAACACGTGCTTAAGTGTGTGCAAATGTATACAATAGTCTGATTGACTATACATGTGTACATAAACATGCCCATTGTCCCCCAACAGATCGTTCAAAAAGCGATCAAGATACTACAAAATAATTTGAGAATTTTTTTCTTAATTTTCTTAAGCATGATACATTTTACACATGGAACTGCTTTTTTTTTAAGGTGCTACTGCTCTAAGAAGTCATTCTTTCACGACTTGAGTTTATTTTTTGACTTGCTTGCAAATTTGCACACCAATTTATATACGCACCTGTTTAGCACCTCTTTTCCAATATAACTCTTTCTATGTAGTCTCTTTTTAAGTCTCCCTTTATGTATCTTTTCACTTTTCCCATTCTTATTGTGGTATATACAATGTAATAAAATAATCACTAAGATATGAAGTTACCCTTCTCAACTCCCCTTCAAAAGGAAAAAAAAAAAAAAAAAAAAAAAAAAAAAAAGTAACCTTTTTGTAACATTTACGCTGTGTACATTTATGCAAAACATTATATAGTTCGGATTTCACAGGACACTTAGAAAATTTACACTTAAGGATGAATTGATAAAATTCGTAGGTAACATATTTATGCGCTTGTGCCTATGCTTGAATATATAGGTAAATGTGTATACAAGCTCCTATTCGCTTATGAATAAGTGTCCTACAATGCAAGCACACCATGTGTTATAAGCATATGTTCAAATTTTTCTCTTAATGCACAGTGGATAAAAAAAAAAAAAAAAAAAATTCTGCATAACAGTATTTTTTAAAAGTTAAAATTTTTTTTTATTTTTTTATTTTTGCCGTAAGAGAATTACAAAATTAAATAAAAACGAAAAGATAAAGAAAATATGTGTAACCCCTCAAAAAGCTACATATATTTTGGGGAACAATATATACATATATATATATGTGTATTTACAAAATTTGTGTTTTTTAAAAACAGATGAAATTAAGCCTAAAATTAAGAAATAATTAAAAACTCATACATATGAGGTTCGTGCTGAGCATAAAATGTATTAAAAAATAAAATAAAAAGGTTAAAAAAATACATGCGCAACAATAATAGTTTTCCATATAATTAAGTGATATTCTGTATGAAAAAAAAATGTATGTAATATATGTATATCTATATATGTTTATATATATGTGTTATAATTTCCTCACGTGTAAAAATATTCATATAATATACAAATAATTATATACATGTGAGTGTATACAATATATATATATCCTCAATAATGCTATATAATCCATAAAAAATAAGCACGTATGTATGCATTCACACATGCATATATAACAATTGATATAACGTAAATTACTCTTAATTAAAATTTCATGAAAAGAGAAAAAATAATTAACCTTTTTTAAATGAAGAGGAAAAAAGGAAAAAAAAAAAATTTTTTTATTTGTGCTAGTATTTTTGCATTTTATCGTTATTCTTTTTTTTTTCTCAGAACTTTTTCATAGCAAAATATAGTAGCACGTTTTTTTTTTTTTTTTTTTTTATAAATATTAAAAAAAAAAAATAAATGGTATTTTGTGTGCTGTGTTTGTATTTTTTTTTTTTCTTTTTTCAGTAAAATGAACATATTTTATGTACTATATTTAAAAATAAGTCATAAGCATAAGGCACACATTGAGGGACTAAAAATGTAAACACGCAAAATTATAAATTTTTTTATCGCTTTACCATCATTCACCAATAGAGGAAACACATACATACATACCTGCATGTATGTATATATACGTACGTTTAATTCATGTACAATTGTGTACATCATACATATTGATATTTTATATGCATACACATGTCACCTACACATATTCTTCCGTGCATAATAATGATAAAACATGTACACGCACATACATAGGTATATATATAGATTGGTAATATATAAAATATAATCATGCATGCTCTACAAGGAAAAAGAAAAAGAAAAAAAAAAATTAGAAAATGAAATATATTAAATTAAACATGTAAGATCAATTATACCTGCACAAGCGCATGTGTATATGTACAGATCTATAATATATACTTTCGTTTATCATGATATATACATGTATTCACACGAATTCATATATATATATTTGCGTTTTTACAGGCACACGTATGAGTTTATGTACAACTTTACTGGTTTACATATATTTTACCATTTATACGTACATGTAAGTGTGCCTCTGATGCATATAAATGAATTAAATATAAATTAACTACATCATGTCATGGAAAAAAAAAAAAAAAAAAAAGCAAATAAATTACGAAATCGAGAAACTCTTGTATAACAATACCTACAGCATTATAAAAATAAAGGTACATTAAATTATAATTAAATTTTCATTTATGCATTAGCGTATTTATTCATATGTATATACTCAACTACAAGCTCATTGACGTAATCATTTATACATGCTTCCCCCCTCTAAAAGTAACTGAAACATCCAGAGATATATACATATATACACACATTTATGTACTCCTACGTGCGTTCACATACATATATATATATATATATATACACAATATATGCCTGTGAATGTACCTCCGAACGAATTAAAAATTAAAATAATAACACACATCAAAAAGGTACAAAACACCCTATGACGAAATAGAGAAAAATAAAAAAAATAATAAAATAAAGTAAAAAATTTCACACACATCATTAATGTTTCATATATATATATTTCATTTTTATTATATTTTTAAAATATGTTTTAATAAAACACCCAGAAGTATATATTTATGTGTATGCATATGTACACTTTTATGTACATATGTGTGTGCTTCGATAGGCATAGGTAGCTAGATAAATAGTACATTTATGTGCATATGCATAAATGCTTATATAATAATGTTTATACTCCCTCCTAATTCATTCGATTTTATGACCTTTCTAGTTTAATAGTTGCATATACCTACCTATATGCGCATGTGCAAATACATGCATACATGTGCATATAAGTACATGTTTGTAGAATTCAAGTTTTACCGTCTTTGCTGCATCTATGTTTATAGCCCACATCCGATTATATATATATAAACTCAAGCACGTGTGTCCACTGAGCACATTCCTTTTACATGTATACATGTGACACCTTAGCGCGTACATCTGTTTTATGTGTTGTGTATACATGCTTTTCAGTTTCTACATTTATATTTCACGATGGAATTCTTGAGTAACATTTATGATAAGGTCCTATCGGGTTATGTATCAACTGATGTGTTTAAATATAAGACGTGGCAAGAGAGCGTAATAGGAAAGGATAAAAATAATTATATCAATGGAGGGAATAATGATGTTAGTGGAAGAAGCAATAACAATGGAAATGAAAACAATAATTCCAACAAAGGAGGAAACACGGATGAAAACGGAAGTGATTCGAAATCTGTGAAGAAAAGATTAGAAGAAATTTTAGGAACCTTTGTAAAGAATGGGAAAATGTCACACGCATTATGGGCCCAACACAAAATGTTCATAGGAGATGAAGGCATATATCTCCTAGGAGAAGTCATAACCATCTGTCAAATTTTGGAATTTATAGATTCAGATGATATGGATGATATAAAATATGATGAAGAATTCAAAACGAACATTTTAGAGGAATTAAAAAGGAGATTAATTATTAAAAAAAAAACAGAAATGTTGGAACAGAAAATAATTTCAAATATATCCATGTGTAACAGCAACAGCAATTTTGATGAATATGATGACGAGGAGGAGGAGGAGGAGGAAGAGATTGATGAAGATAATGGTGGAGATGGAGGAGGTGGAGATCTCGGTTTCAGAGAATCCAGTAACAACGATAAAAAGAAGACGAATAAAAAAAACAAGGATAGTTATAATGATAATGGCAATCCACATGATGACTCGAAGTTAGGAGACAAAAATGCAGTATCAAATTTTGTCGAAATGTTATGTGCAGGAAAAACAAATAAATTTGGATTTTGTGAATACGACCAAAAATTTAATGATAGATATAATTTAAAGAATAGTAAAAATGATCGCAAATCATACAAATCTTTAGAAAATTGCATATTACCGTTTCGTGAAGATTATGAGCATAAATATGTATGTTTACTGTTGAACCATTCAGGAAAACAAGAAGCCAGAATATTACGATTTAGCAGAAATTGTGTAAATACAAATAAGTTACTTGACACATTAAAAGGAACGGTTAAATTTTTAAATGAACTTCGATTTTTATTTAAATTTTTTAGATCACAAGTTGTCTTAAAAGATAGGATTTATGGAGAATTTTGTGCATATATAAAATTTCATAGAAGTGATCCAAATTTTAGTGCTACGAAAGCTATAAATGAATTTTTTAACTCATTAAATGACAGTGCACTGAAGCAATTATTTTTTGGCTTGAATGAACCGAATTTAAATTTATTGGAAGAAGCTATATCTTATTGTCCTATTGCTACATTTTCATTTTTTAAAAATATTAAGCTCTTGAAGCAAATTAATGTAAATGCTACTAGGCGCACATGGAAAGCTGTTTGTGGATTGCAAAAATTGTATAAGAATTTGAAAAGGATAAGGAACAAATTAGCTGTAGAAGACACCAGGCCTGTTTCCGACGAATGTAACTCTTCACGTTTTAGTAATAACAACAATTATTACAACAATTGTAACAGTAATAAAAATCCTACTACCAGTGAACACATGCGACCGTTACATTTACAAGGTAATAACATGCACTCCAACGAAATGAAATTGTTGCACGAAAGAGAGATAGCCATTAGAAATAGCAGTAATGGTGTACATGCTAGTGGTGCAGTAAGTAATGGAGCCTGTGATAGTACAATCGATAGTACAACTACGTGTACTAATGCATGTTCTGTCGCTTGCACCCTTAACAACTGTGACCACAACAAGAGTAATAGCATGTGCTCTGGCGACATAATAGGCCTAGGCAATAAAAAACATAAGAACGATTTATTTACGGATAAATCAGAAAATAAAGAATACTACGACACAATGTATAATAACTCATTAGATTTATATACAGAAGAAAAAAATTCTAAAATGTTTGAAATTAATAAACTTAATGATACATGTTTATATGTTACCTCAGATGAAGAAAGTCAACAAATTGGGAAGAATAATGCAACCAATGAATTAGAAGAAATGAACAGAATGTATGAGGAAAATAACAGAACCTTGTATGATCAAACTGATAAAATATCCACCGATGGTAATTACAAAAATGCTGCAGATGAAATGGAAAAAAGATTGAGTGAAAATACATTAATGAGGAATAATTCGATGGATGATATAAGAAGCAATATGATTAAATTATTCAAAACATATGGAGGACAGTGTCGTATTGGGAAAGTGCAAGGTAGATGTGAAGACGCTACTTTTCAAACGGACATACCTCCTGCATTTGGAATATTTGATGGAGTAGGTTCATGGAGTCTTGAAGGAATAGATGCTTCTAAATTTTCCATTGGTTTGTCTTTAGCTTGTCAAAGAGAAGCAGAAAAATTATCTAAAAATTTAAACGGATATGCAAAGGTGTCATACAACACAATAATCAGATCCAAATTGTTATTAAGAAATTCTTTAGAAAGTGTGAAAAAAGAATACGCAGATGCATATGGAAGCTCAACAGCCATTGTAGGCTTAATAGATGAATATACAGGAAAATGTGGAATAGCTTCCTTAGGAGATAGTGTATGTATGATACTTAGAAGAGAGTTTTTACCAGGTGATATAAATTTTGAAAGAGAAACGTATCCCAATTTTCCTGTGGAATCTTTTCTGTATCATAATAACAAGGGAAGAAATCCATCTATAGTGAGAAAAATTATATGGAAAACAAGTGAGCAGAAATGGGAAAACGGAGCACCATATCAGCTATCAAATTTACCTGATCGTAGTCAATGGAAGGATTTAGAAAATAGAGGATTACACAGTTTTGTGAAAATATTGGAAAAGGTAGACATTGATGGAGACTCACCAGATGCAGCTGTAACACCACCATCCGAAATTTTATGTATGCCAGGAGATTTGATATTACTAATGAGTGATGGGGTGAGTGATAATTTGTTTGATGAAGAAATAGAAGCTTATTGTACGTTTGCTATAAGCCCAGAAGAAGCATGTGAATTAGGAGATCCAAGTGCATTTACCTCTGCCCAGGATATAGCTTATTCCATTACAAATATAGCTAAGAGAAGAAGTGGTGATAAACTTCATTGTAAGCCATTTTTCCCGTTTCTTGGAAAGTATAGAGAACCAAATCGAATATACAAAGGTAATAAAGTAGATGATATTTCTTGTGTAGCTATATGGGTTGTGTGTGAAACAGAAGAAAGTGTAAAAAATTTCGTTTCAAATCCTGATGAACCATCCATATTAGAAACAGATAAATATTATTCGAATAATTATTTCCAACACTTTAACAAAATAACTGATATTTGCACACCTACCAAAAAGTTTATTAAAGAAAAAAACAGAATTGAACGTGTCAATTTACAACATGTAAACATAAATTCGTCTACAAAAAGAGGAAGTGAAGCACCACCACGACACTCTAATTTTAGTCAATCCAATGGTTCAAATCTTCCCTCTCAATTTCCATCCAACTTCTTCGACTCCTCGGAAACGCCCATTAAGTTTAGCCTATCAGATGACAACAAGTACCAGGACCTCAGCGATATTGTTTTGAAGGATGAGTGTGAAGAGGATGAAGATGAAGGTGATGATAGTGAAAATGATCACAGCGAAAATGATCATGACGAAAATGACCATGGTGAAAATGGTCTTGGTGACACCAATGCGAGTAGTGTAGGTGAGAGTGATATTGATGATAATATGGATGATGACGACAGAGATGATCAAGACGAAAGAATAACAATTCCACAGATCGAGCTAATTGTTGGGCAAGAAGCAGGAGTAGGCCCCGATGGAATTGGTATGGACAAATTAAGAGACGATATGGAATCAATGAAAACTCCGAATAATAACAGCTTAAAGACAAAATTTAAAAATCAAATTTTTAATCGAGATGATTTTGATCACACACCTAAGCAAAGAGTGTCAGATGATCATTTAGAAGAACATATTGAAAGAATAAATAATATGTATATTAAAACCCCTATATTGCATATGGATAAGAATTTCAAAACGAATAAAGCAAGTGTAAAAAAAAGTAAATTATTTAACAAAGGAAAAGTAAGAAGCAATAAAAATATAGAACAGAGTGGAATTCCAAATATTTTAAATTATGAAACCCCGAAGAAGAAAATGGTTGGTAGCATGATGAAGGAAAAGGCTAATGTAGTTACAAGTATGAATGAAAACACAGTTATAAATTCTTTTATAAATAATGAGACACCTGTTAAAGCATGCAACACGAAAGAGACCGCATTGAAAGTAGATAAGAAAATTACAAAGAATAAGAGAAAATCAATATACAATTTTGATAAAAATGACTCTCCAAGCAAAATTGGTTATGCCAAAAAAAGGAATAAAAAATCTTAGTAAAAAAAAAAAAAATTATGAATTTAATACATATGTTTAAAAAAAGAAAAAAAAAATTATGAACTTAATACATATGTTTAAAAAAATAGAAACAAGAAGATGAAATTATTATTTTTTTTATTATTTTTATTTTATTTTTTTTTTTCCTAATAATTTTAATAATATATGCAAATAAATGTACATCTTCCACATTTGTTGGACAGTATTATGCATCATAATTTTTTTTTTTTTTTTTTCAAGTATTTGCTACTATATTATAAGATTTCTTGTATAATAGAAAATGAAAAAACAAAGCTAAATTGAAAAATGTATGTATGGGTGTAGGTGTGTGTGCTATGTATTATGTATATGCCCTGTGTACATATGTATATGTACATATTTATGCATATGTATGGCTACATACATATTTATGTGTACCTATACATTTGTGTTTTAAAGATTTGGCTATAAAATATGTGCAGTTTATATGTATATATATACATACCTATTGTAGTAGGTAGATACTTGAATGTGTGTATGTGTATATTTACAAAGTATATGTGACTTCATATATATATTTATATACATGTGTGTTTGTGTTTATGATAAATAGGCCAATGAGGAATGAAAATAGATGTACATGAACAAATCTATTTTTGCATGCAAAGGTGAAAGTGAGTGTGTATATACAATATATATACACATTTATATGGAAGAGCATTTTTTTTTTTTTTTTTTTTTTTTTCCTTTATCCATGCTGTTCTCCTACCCTTGGAAGCTCCCATGTCTATTTATTAGGTTTTGTGAAATATTACATATATGCGCATTATAAAAAAAAAAAAAAAAATTAAGGTAGCCAACAAATAATCTTTTTCTCTCCCGCTCTCTCATTCACCCCCTGTCTATACATTTTTTTTTTTTTTTCTTTTATATGCTTTAAAGTTTATTTTTTATTGTGAATTTTTTTAGAAATTTTATAATTTCTTAATATGATCGTCGTCTTAATGTTTTAGCAAGTCCCATGTTTCCTAAATTTTTTTTTTTTATGGAGATATATGTGCACGTATATATGCATATACATACGATTGTGTACCCACATATGTGAACAGCTGTACATGCATACATATATACGCACACGCCCATATGTACACGTATTCCCCATTTTATTGTTATTAATTTTGCTTTTATATGATGTAAATTTTATATTTTGAAAAGTGTAATAACTTAAACTAATAAATATATGTAAGACTATATTAAATTTTTAACACATTTTTTAAGTAAAATTTAGCGAAACTATCAGTTTTTTTTATTTTCCATTTTTCTATATGCATACGCATGTACAATTGTGGACGCATATGTGTACATATATATGTATATATCCTAAATAATAATGTTCAAAAATTAGGAGATACATTTGGAGAAGATACCGGTTGATGGAAGTGTGCCGGTTACAAAAAATGTATTGAACTCAGTTGTGGGGGAATAGAATGGTAGAATGTTCTTTCTCCTGTGCTCTTGGAAAAGCGGATTACTCTATTTATATTTTATTTTCATTTTATTTTTATATTATTTCATTTTACCCAACCCTTCTTATTTCAAATGCACGAACAATGGAAATTCTTAAAAGCATCGAGGGAAGAGCAACAAACCAGAATTATCAAGTAAAATTTTCGCTCAAGGGGCTTCTCAAAAGTGTATAATACCAACTGGGACGAGTACAGTACTTATATGCATGCACATGTGTATATATTTATAAATATATATGTATATATACATTTATCTATTTTCCCATCCCTATTTTATTATTAATATTTTAACCTTTTTATAGTTCCATTACTTTCCCATTCTTAAGTGAAAGGCAAAATAAAATTGTCACATCTGCATATTTGTTTAAATTTTTTAATTATAGATTTGTTCACAAGTACCATTGTTTTTTTTTTTTTTTTTTTTTTTTTTACAACTCACTGATAACCATTTGCTATGCATTTTTATTTAAAAAAAAAAAAAATGTATACACTGAAAAAATTCTATTTATATTAATAAAGACATAATGACGTCAAATCTATAGTGTGACATAAATTTTTTTAAGGTACTATTTTGATTATTATAAAATGTATAGAAAAGTATTTTGTTGCGGATTTATTTTTCAATTTTTCTTATATGCACATTTATGTACCCTCATTCTTGCAACATGCAATATGGTAAGAGGTCATGTTATATAAAAATAAAATTGTACTGCTTAGCTAACTTTTTTAAAAAATTAACGTTTATAATTCTTTGTTATTATTATATCGAGAGTTAATATAATCCATATGAAAAAAAAAAAAAAGCTTCAACGCGTTTAAAGTTTAATTTGTGTTCAATGAAAATCTATGCAATACATTGGTAAAAAAGACAGAGGTATACAAAAGGAGACATGGATATCCTACACATATGCAGTTATTTGCATATGCATCCATGCATTTCAGTGTATATATATATATATATATATATATATATATATATATAGATTGATAGATTTGTACTTTTAAAAAAACAAAATTAAGAAAAAAAAGCAAATTATTCAATTACAAAAGAAAATGGAAAAAACTAGCACTGACATGGGGTAGTGTTAACTTTTTTTTTTTTTTGATTTGCTTTTTCTCCAAAGACATGATAAAAAAATAATACTTTAATAAGGCATTTGACAAAAATTGTTCTAATTAACTCTCAACTTTTTCATCATCACCTTTTTTTTTTTTTTTTTTCTTTTTCTTTTTTAAATTCTTCGCCTTTTCATTTTCCTTGTCATTAACAGGGTTCCACCCTGGAACTTTCCTCTCAGTACTTTTATTAGCCAAATTCTTCAGAGAACTATTCGTATAACCATTTGATCCTGTAAGAGCATTAAAGGCATATAAGTCATTTCTATTGCCACTTAAAAATCCATTTGTGCTGGAGCTTACATACTTGCTCTTATTTTGCTCTTCTAATATTTTTCCTTTAACTTGATACACACAATTCTCTTCCTAGCATTGAAAAATGAAAAATGAGGCAACATTACATACATGTAAATTTAGTTGTTAACAGAAATGGTTGTGTAGAGACGAGAAAAAAAAGAAAAAATGGGAAAGGAAGTCAGAACGGACAAAAACTGGAAAAGTTGGTAACACTCTTTCCACAATATGTATTACTTGAGGCATGTAATCTGTTCTCACACGGATGGTTTTTCTAAACGTTCCATCACTCCTCTGCGTTCCTTTAATAAATTTTTCATTTGTTCTTTCATTTAATATATAAACATCCCCTAGAGGAGTTACGACTTCTTTTAGGTAATTTTCTTTATTATCGTTATTTTCAAAACAATTTGATACGTTCCCTATCAGTTTGTTCTCTTCAGCATTTCTTCTATTCATCTTTTTCTACACTGCGTTTATATTTATGCGACCAAAATAAAATTCAGCTATCTCAATGGTGTAATATTAGCATGGAATGTAACACATTGGGCAATGTGCATATGTACATATATGTGTATATATATATATATATATATTTACATACGCTCGTGCGTTACGAAATTGTGCAACTTCCATTCACGACACACTCCCCCAATGAAAACAAATATAACAAAAAAAAAAAAAAATAAATAACATATGCACTTGGGTAAAAATACATAAATATACATGCACATACAAGTGTTCTACTGCTTAGGTGAAATAGATATACACCTGACTAAACCTGCACAACATAAACTAGACGTATTCATATATAGTATATAATTACAAGGATGTTGGTATGCATACGAAAAAAATAGAAAACATTTCGTGGTATGTAGGGAACATAAAAAAAATAAAATCCTGGTGCAAGTGCAGTTCTATGGAATGAACTTTTGTTTTTAATTCCAATGTTTTAAATGAACAAATAAAATGCTTTCATAATTGAGATTCTCAGAATTTGAAAAAAAAAAAAAAAAAAAAAAACAACTTATATACTAATTTACTAAAAAAAATGTTTTTTCTCAGCTTTTTTTTTTTTTTTTTTTTTTTTTTTCATTAAATGTGACATATAAATGTAATTCCATTTTTTTATGGAATTTTTTTTTATTCATGTTAGATATGTTCACAAAAAAGGATTCTTTTTATTCTGTTCATTGTATCGGCGGGGCTACAGGGGAAAATCAAAATCTCCGCATATAATTTTGTGGGTTCATTTTGCGTGAAAACGGGTAAAAAGTGCACTTGCATGTAAGGTATTTCACATATTCATATATTGTATTCTGTATCAATATGAAAAAATAAGATTGTCATGATCCATGATTATTACCTATATATATTTTCAAAGCACTTGTTATTGTATATAAAGAGTTACAAACAAATAAGAAGTCATCAAAAACGTTGCATTGTTAATTCAAGACCAGCCTTTGTTTTACGGTGCTATAAAAAGGAGGTTATATGTGTGTAGAGAGGTAGATGTATATGTGTGCCTTTTTTTCACATTCGTTTTTATTTCTTCTTTTTACTTCTTTTTATTTCTTCTTTTTACTTCTTTTTATTTCTTCTCTTTACTTCTTTTTATTTCTTCTTTTTACTTCTTTTTACTTCTTCTTTTTATTTCTTCCTTTTACTTGTTTTTTTTTTCACTTGTTTTATCATATTTTTTTCTTTTTCAATTCTATCGCTAGAAATCGGAAACAAATATTTAAGGCGCAATAAAGAAAATTTTCTTTGGGGCATAACGAAGAATCATAATTATCCCAAACAACTTGCTTTAAAGGGAGTAAAAAAGCCGCGTATGTTTACTTCATATATCTTAAGTTCATATACATGTATTTTTATTTGAATTTTTTTTTTCTATTTTTTTTCCTTAGCATTATTATTACTATCAATAGTACTATTACTATTTTTACGATGATAAAACGTGGAGAGCATTTTTTTCTGGCGTGGGGTGGGGAGGTGGGTACTAAAAAAACTCTTGACGAGAAATGAAAAAAAGGAATTTACAGGTTTGTGTAGATCCTCTTTAATTTTACATAGACGCTTGTTTTGGCATTTTAATAAAAGTAATCTTAATTTTTAAATCGTGTTTTTATATTTATAACACAGAAAAAGAACAAAAAAAAAAAAAAAAAAAAAGTGATAAGAAACTACAGCATGTTGATCCTTAAGAAAAATTGTTAACATAACAAAATGATGGGAGTCCTTTACTCCAAAATATTTATAGCATTATAAGACATAAAAAAAAAAGAAAAGAAATATGCATATATAAGTATTTATACATATATGTATATATCCATATACATCATTTCACATCAGGCATGAAGCATTGTTATTGTAATCGGAAAGGACAAAACAAAATGGCATACTGTACACTAGGAATATGTTATAGTTATATGTTCATGAAATGAAAAATGGGATAAGCACAGTAGTTGCCATAAAAAAAAAAAAAAAAAAAAAAAAAGGGGGGAAAAAAAAAAGCATGTAATCTAAGGTGAAAATTTCCTTCAGTGTTTTGCATTTTTGATTGCGCCTGCTACCCCTTAGTAATAGTAGACATACCCATAGTGATTGCTGCGTCTGAGATGAATATATAAAAATTTTGAAGAAGAGAAAAGTTTTCCACAACAGTAAAATATTTTATGTGTTTTCACATGGACAAGGTGTTTTTCTAAATTTTTCAAATTTTCAAATTGTTCATTGCAATAACCACATTTGTTTGTCATTAGCATTTTGTGTAACCACAAGGGTCTTTTTTCTCGTCTAGCGGGGCTAAGCAATTGTTTAAAGGTGCAGTAATGCCTTGGTATGCACTTACTATAGTCATGTTTAAAATGTTTTAAGTAAGTCAACTTGTTGTATATCTCCGTTTCAAGGTTATTTATATCATTTATGTCGCTTAAGCCGTTTAAGCTGTTTATGCCATTTATGCCACTTACATTTTCGTGAAATTCATAAGGTTCTAACTGATCATTTGATTTCTTCTTGTTATACCTTTTATTCATGAAACTGTTTCTATTTTGCTTTAAGTAAAAACTATTTCCGTTATAAAATTTGTGATAACCCGTGTTATTTTTATCATATTTTTTAATATTAACACAAGTTCCCCCTTCATGCGTACCTCCCACCATTTGACCCTTAGCACAGTTGTAAACCTTATACGGAATAGTTGAATAAAAAGTAGAGTCATATTTAACATGATTGCAAGTGTAATATTCGCTTTTCTTGTCTCGATAATAGTATTTTCTGTTGGTCCCCAAGGTGAAATTGTTGAAATTATTTGTATTAAATTTGTTCAAGCTGAAATCATACTTATTATTAAGACATTTTTTTCCATGCTGATTATAAGAGTAATACTTGCGGTCCCATTTGCTTCCCCCTTTTGTGTGTTTTTTTTTACCATAATAATTGTCCCACATTCGTTCATATATTTTTTTCTCATAATTATGCTGACATGTTACGTGTCTTTGTCCGTCTTTCTCGTATGTACTTCTTTTCTCGTATGTGCTTCTTTTCTCGTATGTGCATCTTTTCTCGTATGTGCATCTTCCTTTTACGTTTCTCGTGTGTCTGTGTTTGGGACCATGGTACTGTACGGTGTTATTTTGTATATATATGTTAAATGTGTTTGTGTTTTTCGCGCAATGGGGCATTTCGTTTTTCATATGATTATCCAGTTTTTGATAATCTCCCATTTTGTTAACGTTACTCTTCATTTCATCAAACAAGGACTCGATTGCATGTTCATTTGTACACGCTTTGCTATCGATCATGTCATCCTCCTGTGAACAATTTGGATGATCATTAAACAACGCTTCTTTGTATCCTCTCTTGAAGTTGAGTATTAAACCTGCATCATCATTCTTTTCATAATTTAAAGGGAGTTTATTTTTACGACCATTACACTTTTCCCCTTCGTTACAAGAATTACCTATCTGTATATTGCATTTTCTTACTTGTTTCTTTTCCAATACGTCATAATTGTTCACCTTCATATATTGGAACTTTTCCTTGTTTATATCTTTCCGGTTGGAAAAATGCATATTGAAGAAAAATCTCGGTTTGTGATATGCCTTCTTCGTACATAAAATATCACACAATTCTAGACATTTTTTATTATTTTTCTGGAAGTTACTATAACATGTAGAAGAATTTTTTGTGGAATTTATATGATCAAATGGGTTGTTAAGAGGAATAATAAAATTGCTTTTCTTTCTTGAGAAATATTTTATGTCTTGTTTATTACAAAAAGAGTTCTCAATCAGATTGTTTTTCTTCTCTCTTATTTTGTCTTTCATCTTACTCCTCATATGAGAATTATTTAGACTTATCTTTTCCCCATTATTCAGCTCTCTCTTGATGTTATTCAACTGATGTTGCGTGGGCGAAGACATTTCTTCCTCTGTTTGGTATACCTTTTTATTTTTTTCGATGTGATTCTCTTCTTGTTCTTTATCAGTATTATTGTGCTTTCCTTCATTTATTTCTACACCCATTTCTACACCCATTTCTACATCCATTTCTGCACCCATTTCTGCACCCATTTCTGCACCAATTTCTACACCAATTTCTACACCAATTTCTACACCAATTTCTACATCCTTGAAGTTTCCATCTAGATTCTTGGGGGCATCGGAAAAGAAACGATCAACATTTGTGTGTGCCCCCACCTTCTCCTCCTTTTCAGAAATTGCTACTTTAGGGATGGAATTATCACGGGGGGTACCCCTTTTAACTGTAAAACTTTCTTTTCTCTCAAAAAGACATTCTTTCGAAGCTGCGCTAAATTCTTCATGAATAATTTTGTTAAATGGGTAGAATTTTTTTAATACACTTTTGTTATCCATATCTTTTTCCTTTAAAGGAATTCCCTGATCAATTGTTATGCTAATTGGCGATATTTCGTTACCATTTTTGTAAAAGGTATTCTTAATATGTGGATTTTCCTTTTTATATTTTTCAACTTGATCTTGCTGAAACTTGAACTGGGTTAAATCCAACGTAGTAATTTGAATATTTTTTTCATTAGATACGTTTGATAAATGATGTTCTTTTTGTATTTCGACCGTTAAGTTATTTTTTATTTTCGTTTTAGTTAGTTTCGGATTTATTTTGTTCATCGCATGAGTTTCCTTTTTATGATTGGGGAAAAATATATCTTTACATTTAACACCTTCCAAAAACGATTTGTCATTTTTGTTGAAAAAATCAATTTTTTCTTTTACAGTTAAATTATAATTGTTACATAAAATTGTTTTATGTAGAACGTCATTTGATTGATTTAAAAAATTGCTAGTTGAAAATAAGGCACATATTTCATCTTGTTTTAAATTACTTTTACACATTTTGTAATTAACTCCACTTAACAATTGTATATCTATTGTGACTAGTCCCTTTAACCCTATAATACTTATTTTTACATTGTCTTTTGAAAACTCATAACTATTCTGTTTTCCGATATTTTCTAACCAACTATGTTTCTTCGCATTTTGTCTTATATCATTTAAATTTACCCAAGCATCATTTTCTTCACTGGGAACTGCAATAATAACATCAGTCATATTATGTGAACAAAAATTGTGGTATCATTCATGCCCTTTCTAGTGACATACAAAAACAGTATAGCAAAAGAGGAATTGCAAATTGGCCTATATAATTCATTCAAGGCAGAAATACTTTCTTTTAATTTTTGTGCGTCACTCTTTCGAGAATGTACGTAAAGTGTGAACACGCATATATATATATATATATATATGTATACATATGTATACATATTATATACCTTCTATCATTTAATCTACATTTCAGGTGTCAAATCGACGAAAAATTACACTCACGCAATTGTGCAATGGCCTTTTTATTCTCTTTCGAACTAAATGGGAAATTATGAACAAAAATATGCAAATTATATTTATTACGAGAAATGCTTTCGTGAAAGGGACAAACATAGGTTTGCATTTACGCGTTATAATGAATAGGAAGCATTGAGAGTTGGAAATAAAAAAAAAAAAGAAAAGTTGTCACTATAAATTTGCGTAATTTTGCAAAATAGAGTTTTCAAAATGGGGTTTTATGGTACAGCTATTTATTAATCTATCCTTGCAGCCACTTTTTTTTTCTTTTTTTTCATTTATTTCTCTGTAGACAATTTGTTACATGTAATGATGCACAAATTTGCTAGAACAGTACTTAAAATTGTGCGGGATTACAAAAATATATATATATATATGTATACACATATATGTGCATATATGTGTATACGTACATGTGACACCAAAGCACTGTGAAATCATGTGCATATTTATATATATACAACATGTGTACACAAAATGCACATGCATGTGTAGTAGAACTTTTTTAGAATGTTCCACTGCTGCTATAGAACAAAAAGGATATATTCCTCCATCTGCGCTATCCCCCCAAAAAAGAAATAAAATAAATATTGTACTATTTTAAGCAAAGTGGTAGTGTGCTATTTAAAAAAATTAAAATAAAAAAAATAGAGCGCAGTAATGTTGTTATTTAGGAACAATAAGATAAGCGGGTAAAAATTCCCGCCCCTTTAACACCTTCCCCCCCCAAAAAAAAAACGTGCAGCAATTCTACGTTTAAAATTTATGAAAAAAAAAAAAATGAATGAATGAATGAATGAATGAATGAAAGAAAGAAAGAAAGAAAAAGAAAAACTTATAAAGACTATCCTTGCATTATTTTCACATTCCACACAAAAATGACAAATACGTTTTTGTATATACATTATCCCCCAAAATAATACGAACTGTTTGCAGTGGGCACGTACCACATTATGTACTGACGTAGTTTTAGCTTCTAAAAGGGAGGAAAAAAAAAGAAACAAGCTTGGAGCAAACTTATTTGATATTCATTTGTTTACTAATTCTCATAATTCTACGTAACAAAATTGAGCCGAAACATAAGCTTTACTATGAAGTAGAATTTATAAATACTTCGACTTTTTTTTTTTTTTTTTTTAATAACCTTGTAAATTTCATATCAAAACAATCTATTGAAAATCTTGTAAAGGGTAAAAAAGAACAAAAGAAAAGAAAAGGCTCCTTATTTTTTTTTTTTTTTTATTCTTATGTGAGTATAAGACTAGATTCCCTTTAAAAATAATTCCCACCTACATCTCATGTGTTCTCTTAAATTAACCAGACTTACGTTTTCCAGAGCTGAAAAATAATTAAATAAATAACAGTTCCAACAATTGAGGGAAAACAAAGCATAACAGAAGTACACATCGTAACACTTCTTAACAAGCACATCATTAGTCACGCATCCCATTTCACGGAACCTCTATTATAACAAAATGTCTACAATACCAACGACCCCAGGATATAACAAAGAAAACAAATTCGTGACAGACATCAAGAAATTTATGAACCAAAAGATTCGCGTCAAGTTCGATGGCGGAAGAGAAGGTAATCACTATATGGGATTGAAAAAAAAGAAAAAAAAAAATACATATAAATATACATATAAATAAATATATATAAAACAAAACATATACTCAGTTGTATACATAAATTGAAACGTTTAAAAAGAAAAGGATGCCACAACACCATGGCATCGTTTTATTTACATCAATCCAGTGGATTTTTCTGCCAAATTTAATCAAAAATATATTGTATTTATGTTATCCATTTTTACACAAAGGCATTTATTAGATACAATTTTGAAAGATTATATTACAATTTCCATTCTCTATTTTTTTTTTTTTTTTTTTTTTGTCTTTTCTGTGCAGTTGTTGGTAATTTAATTGGTCATGATTCAATTTTCAACTTAGTGCTTGACAAAACTGAGGAATTTATAAGAGGTAAAAGAGGATACAGTAACTATCCCCTCCCCATCGCTACCCCTTAAAAAGAGAAAAAGGAAAAAAAAAAAAAAAAAAAAAAAATGCAAAGTACCTGACCACATAGTTCATTTTTTTTTTATTTTTATTTTCAGATCCCAATGACAGTTTTGTTATAACCGATAAAACAAGAAATATAGGCTTAGTTGTAGCGAGAGGAACATCGGTAATTTTTATTTTTCTATCACTTTTACATAAATGTGTATATAGTTCGATGCATAACCGTTTTCTTTCATTATGTCCCATTTTGGTATATTTCATTTTATTCAATTTTTTCTACTTATGTTCACTATTTTGACAGATTGCCTTAATAACACCAGTGGAGGGGACACAAGAAATAGCGAATCCCTTTATATCAGAAGAGAAGTGAATTATATATTTTACATTGGAATATTTCCCTAATTATGGAATACCAAGCACTTTTAATTTTGCATTGTCATTTTACCAAACCATTTTGTCTCATCATTTCGCTTTATTAATTTTTTTTGCATTGCCATTTTACCAAACCATTTTGTCTCATCATTTCACTTTATTATTTTTTTTTGCAATACGTTTTTTCCCCATACATAAACTTTATAAATAAAGAATTTATCCTAGTATATAATCATTTTAAATAGAATATTTTTAAAAGTAAAAAAAAAAAAAAAAAAAAAAAAAAATTCCGCTAAGCGTACACGAAAATGAATTATATGAGTATGCCAACGTTTTTACAAAGATAAATGAAAAAATAAAATCATGTTGCTTCCTTTTGACAAGAATAAAATGAATTTCTCACTGGATGCAAGAACAAAGAAGCTTTTTTCATAAATAAATCCGCATAATCGTTCATACAAAAAAGAGAGTGTATGAACACCATATGTTGCTTCGCACACAATGTGTGGCTATGGGGTATATATATATACACAAAAGCATGCATAACATGATCAAATATGCACGGATGGGTAGACATATATATATATATATATTATCATCAGTGTAAATAACTTGTTTTGAAAAAAGGGAGAAAAAACGGGAGAAAAAAAGGAACAAAAAAGGAACAAAATGAAGATATAGGGGCTAGCAAAAATGTGAAAGGGTTGATTATGTTCAGTTTTCGAGCACGAACAAAATCCACGTAATACACACGTATGAGTGACATGCGTGCAAGAAAGGATGTTAGGGGGGGGGGGTGAGAAAGGAGTATCAATAATACGTGTGTAATATTTCTGTGCGGCTATGCTGCACCATAAGAAATTGAAAGCATGTTGATTTTCATTTAATTATATAAGCAAATGATTAACATATATGCAAAATTTTATATGTCAATAAGTGAAAATATTTTTGGAAGTGCATGCTCTGGGATATTCATATACATGCATATGTATACAATTACACTTGTATAAGCATACAGGTGTGCATATATACATAAAGATGCACACATAATGTATAGACATGCTTTAAGCACAACGTGGAATGTTTCTAGGGGATTTCCAAAAGGTGTTTCGTTCATGCTGAAAAAATATACCCATTGTGTTGGCACAATAATTTGAAAAATAAACTCTATTCGATTTTTGTCATGGATGAATGTTAATGTTGTGTCTCCTGAAGGAACTTCTATAACCAAAGGACATATTACACTTGGAGCAAAAAAATCTCTTGACTCGATGATGAAAATTTATTATATGCTCCTTGAGGCTAAATTCAGAAGAAAATTCTTTGCTGCAATTGCTTAACGTGCATTTATAATTTTGTATAATGTTAAGATGTACTTTCCTGACGTGCTTGTTATAACCATTTGCGTGCAAATATATTTTATTACATTGTAAACAAATATACTTTTTCTTGAAACAAGTTCTTTTATGTTGTATAAACTCTTTATATATTAAAAACTTCTTAGTACAAACAGGGCATGAATAAAAACGATTACACCTGTGCTTATTTAAATGATATTTCATTTTCGAAATAGTTGAGTAAGAGTATGAACAATTTTCATATGGGCATGTCGAATGCCTTATTTTATGTGTTCTTAATTCTTTTGGAGTATCATAACTTATTTGACAAATGGAACAAGTGTATTTTACTCTTTCTTTATTATCCTTATGTGTTAAAATATGCTTCTTCAAATGATCTGATCTTTTATAAGTTTTTGTACATATTTGGCATTTATAAGGTCTCGATTCTGAATGTACACTCATTAGATGCCTTTTCATTAATTTTTTATTTGCAAAAACCATGTTACATACATTACAAGTTCTAATTTCGACAGAAATATTATTCGGTTTGTCGTACTCCTTCTTAACACTCAACCCTTTCTTATTTCTGTGGGTTTCATTTGGTCTTGTATAGTCTTCGGATTGTTGTGTGATAACCAACTCATTATTTACCTGTTCAGGTACTGATTCTTCGTTACATATGTAATTCTCATTACTACACGTTTGGTCTTCTCCTGCAGCATCCTCTTCACTGTTCTTCCTTATCTTACTACTGGTAGTATTATCCTTGCAGTTATTTGTGTCATTCGTATTGCTTTCGCCCTTCTTTGAGTTAGTCAACTCATCCTTCTCCTCCTCATCCTCCTCCTTATTATTATTATTATTATCAGATTTGTAAGGTGCACTACATTCCATTTCACCATTATCAAACATTTGTGCATTGCTCTGAATATCTTCTCCTTCATTCTCAATTCCTGACATTGTGGAGGCACACTTATCCTTGTAGCATTGCATATGTTTCAATTTACAATTATTTAACTGCCTTGTTGTTGTAAAAAATAACTGACAAATGGAACATTGATATTTTTTCCCTTGTTTATTTATATCATGTTTTATTCTATGCAATTTTAAGTGATCTGCTCTTTTATATCTCTTAAGACAAATGTCACATTCATATGGTCTTTCATCCGAGTGGACACTCATAATATGTCTTTGCATTAATTTACTATTTGCAAAAATGGAATTGCATATATTGCACGTTCTTGTTTCAATTTCGGGTAAGCTATTTCCATTCATGGGTTCTTTCTTTACTGTGATTAATTTTTTTCCATCAGTTTTCCTCGTCCCAACAGATTTTCCCGTTTTTTTTGTTTTGCTCTTTATATGCCCATCGCCAATATCATCATTATTTCTATTTTGATAAATGTGTGAATTATCATTGGATTCATCCAGTTTTTCATTCCTCGGATTATTATTTTCAAAACTGGCGTCATCGATGTCACCCCCAGACTGGTCTTTAAACTGAACCATTTTTCTCAATTCGACACCTTGATCCTTTTCTTGTAATTGATTCTTTGAATCTCTCGGTTCTTCTGTGTCCTCTTCATTTACATCATTCGTCTCATTTGGTTCATCCCCTTCATTTGCACCGTTCGTTCCATTCGGTTCGTTCGATTCAACTTCTTCGTTGGTATCAGCACAGTCATTCTTTTGATTTTTATTTTCCTTCTCCTCATCACTTTCCGAGTTTCCACCTGATTCATTATTGTTAGCCTTTTGTGACGAAAAAAAAAATATCCTCGATATTTTATTTGATACATTTTCGTAAAACACATTTCTCCTTTTGCTTTGCGAGTTCTCACTAGTTTTACCACTAGAATTTCCATTCATATTTTCGCTGACCCTTTTGGAACAGTTGTTTTCGTTCTCGCTTTGCGATATGTTCTTTTCTATACTATCGGCCATTCCCTGTGCAGAGCCCTTTAACTCGCCTTGTTGCTCCTTCCCCTCATATTGCTCCTTCTCGTCGTCCCGCTTATCCACATCCTCAGATTTCATTCTTATGCATGCCGGAGATTCTTCAATCTCTTTCTTCGTTCTAATAGTGTCATATTTCTCTTTCATTTTGTCAATCTTGCTTACGTTGATATCATCTAATCTTTCCTCCTTTCTGATGTCACTGTCAGAATATTCCTGTTTAACTATAGGCATTGTGACTGGTACACTTTGTTCGTTTCTATTTTTTTGGATTTCCATTTTGACTAAGGAATTGATGTGAATTAATGTTTCCTTCCTCCCTGCTTGCATTACTTTTCCTATCTCTTCGCTACCTGTTGCTATAGGTTTATGAATAGTGTCCAAGAGTTCATTATTCGAGTGTAGGCGTTTCCCCCCATCCTTTGTTTTAGCACTCATTCCATGGTCCTCAATTGTAGGTTTCTTCTTATGTACGAAAGAAAAATTATTTTCCTCTATCGATGCATTATTGCATTCTTGAAAATTTTCCTGTTTCATCTGATTGACGTTAATTGATACATTTTCAAAATTATCCACGTTTTTTAGAAAATTCTGATTTTCTTTATCACTATCAAGTGTTTCTAGATCTTCCTCCCGTTCTACACATTTCTCTTCTTTAATTTTTAATTTTTCATTTGACACCAATTTATCATTTTTCTTACAAGGTTTCATATTAGTTTTTTCCCCTTTTGTTGAAATTACCTTGTTGCTTTGTGACCCTACTTCTTCGTTTATTCCTTTCTCTACTTCGTTCATTCCTTTCTCTACTTCGTTCATTCCGGTCTCTATTTCGTTCATTCCGGTCTCTATTTCGTTCATTCCTATCTCTGCTTCTTTTAATCCTTTCTCTGCTTCTTTTAATTCTTTCTCTGCTTCTTTATTTTCTCCGATTTTCAATACATCTATTATGTTCCTCTTATCGGCAGTATGGAACGGTGTGTAAAACTGGATATCCTTTTCCAGTTCTATTGAATTTCTCTGTTCATTAATCAGCTGCATTTTAGCCCCCCAAAAAGCATCGTCAAAGTTACTATTGTTTGCACTGCTCATTTTAGCATACGTCAAGAAATTACTGTTTTGTTCTCCATTGAATAGATAATTACAATCATTACCTAATTGGGAACCTTGCATTTCATCGTTTTCATTTTTATTTAGTTTATTATTGCCTTCTTCAATCTGTTTGTCTTTGGTATTATGCATATCAAGAACCCCCTTCAAACTGTTTGTCTCAAGTGTGGGATAATTTTTCGGTGTGTTATTAATTAATTCTTCTTCTTCTTCTTCCTCTTTCTCTTCTGGTAGATTATTTAAACTTGTACCATTTGTACATATTAATATGTTTTCTTCGGGTCTATTTATATATTCATTGTCCATAAAATCTCCTGACTTAAATTCTTGTTCATTTTTTTTTTTTTTTTCATTTTCAATAAAATTTTTATAACACTTTTTCATGTTCCTCGTTAGGATGAAAGAGCTTTTAACATCTTCAAAACATGTATCGTATATTTTATCAATTCCGTTTACATCTCCAATTTTATAGCTCCCATTTTCATACCCCCTCAGATCTGCCTTTCCAGGGGCGATGGGAGAATGTGCACCATAACCATCACCATCACGACAATTATCATTTTTGCCAACTTGAACCTTAACTTGGGTGTCCTCCTCATGGAAGACTTTTCCTCCCGCACGAACCAGTCCATCGGCAGTACTGCAATTATTCAAATAGAAATTTTTATAATTTTCGACAAATTCGAAATTGTATTTGTTTTTAAAACCTTCTTTATTTATACTTTCAATTGACATTACATCATCATCCTCTGCGAAAAGTTCAGGTGATGACATTTTTTTTTTTTTTTTTTCATATTCTTCGGATAAATGGCTGTATTTTCTTTTACTTAAAACAAACGTGTCCTCACTATTTGTGTGCTCTAAATTAGAAATCTCTTTCAAATTCAAGGGTTCCAAAATTTGCAAACTTTGGTAACCTACTGTTACATTGTCATAGTTGCTCTTATCAGAACAGTTGTTGTTTCCATTAGCTTTTTCTATTATGATGCCATTACTACTACTGCAACTGCTACCTTCTTCATTTTCCCTATGACTACGTTTTAATACGTTTATTTTTTTCCAATTTATATTATTTTTTAAAAAAATTTTCTCACTTTCACTGTACGAGTTACTATTCAAATTTTCATCGAGGTAACAAAGTACAGTTTTGTTTTCGATATTTGTGGTCATTCTTTGCCTCAAGCTGAGTTTTGTTATTTTAATATCTTATTTTATTATGCATATATGTATATATATATATATATATATATATATATATATATATATATATATATATATATATATATATATTTTTATACTGATATTATTAAAGTTGATTTTTTTATTTTTCTCCTTTTTGAAGTTCTCCCCTTCACTTTGTCATGTAAAGAAAAAAAAAATATCATAAAATAAAGTGTTCTAAATTTTTTTTCGCCGTCGTGTTCGGGATAAATAAGAGGATAATATGCTATTCTTTTGTCACTTTTGAACAAAAATGAGGCTTAAAAAAAAAAAAAAAAAAAAATAGAAACTTAAAATTACAATTAAAAAATAAGTGGTAATAATCGTGTACAGTTCTTGGGTTTCTTTTGTTTTTGATTTAAAATACATTATGTTAGTCATAAATTTATTTTTTCAAGTCATACTAAATATTTAAGCTTTTTTTTTCTTTTTATATTTTATTTCTCCTTATAAATAATTTATGTCATTCATATTTTTCGTTACATATATTTGACGTGATTAGAAAAAGAAAAAAAAAAAAATTCACGTTATAATTGTTCCAGCTAAGCTAAATAGTTCCTCATATACTTTTTCATACAAACGTGAAAAAAAAAAAAATTATGGGGTATTTTTAACATTAGGAGTGTTGTATGTGGAAGTTTGGCAGCATTGTTTATACACTTATTCTGGACGCTTTCTTGCTTATACAATCGTCCATAATTCATACCAACATTATATATATACACATATATATACCTAAAGCACATGTGTCTTATGTATATAATTTAATTACATAAACATCCATATATATAAATGCTGCACCAAGAATGTAAATCGAAAGGGTCATATTTATGTGGTCCATAAAATAGTACCCCCCCCTCCCAACACTCTTCAGTAACCATCCTTTGTCGGACGGATGTTTATACGAACATCTCGATTTGTACAACAAATTAGATAAGTTTCCTTCGTATAATAATTAATTTTAAAGCTCTAAAATGTATAACATTAAGGAAAAAAAAAAAAGGGGGGGAGTCTTCAGGAAAATAATACATAATATATACACATATATGCATGAATATGCAGGTATACATATATGTGCATGGAAAGATTGAAACTAGTACAAATCAAAGAAAATAACCAAATGAGCCTGCTCAATTGTGAACAAAAAAAAAAAAAAAAATAAAATAAAATAAAAGATTAAACTAATTATTATGTATGTATAAGTGGATACATAAGTATACACATGCTGCTAAAACAAAAGAGGAGAGAACTGTTTTCTTAAACCAAGGTAAGGTAAACATGCGATGTGCGCCAGGCAAATCGCTCGGAAAATAAATCCAGAAATGATCACAATAACAGTGACATGTGAACGAAAAATGCAAGAAATGTGAAAAATTATTTTATTTTTTTTTTTTTTTTTTGTGGTGCGTTTATAGGTTTGGAATTCGTAGTATTTTATTTTTCAGTATTAGAGAAAATATACAATTTTTTCCTTCTCATTTAAAATTTTCTTTTTTTATGCTTCACTCCTATTTCTCTTTCATCGTCAAAAAAATAATATAATATTCGCTCAGTTCTGTGCAATTTTAATTTCTTAGAAAATTAATTATATCCCACGATATTAACTATTTAAGTTGTTAACTTTTCTTAAAGTTTCATATAAAAATAAGAAAAAAAAATTGGAGGGGAATTTTTTTTTTTAAGTTTATGCACGCAAGTTATACAAATTCGTGAAATATGTGACCCACACGTATGTGTATTATTAATACGTGTGTAAAACTAAGTTTAATAATGCATTCTTTTCACATGCATACATTCGTAAGGAATATTTTATTTTTTCGACAAGAGTAAAAGGCACCTCTGTGCTGCAGCAAAAATATAATTTATGGCAAATTGAAAGAGTTAATGTGTGAAATAAAAAAAAAAAAAAAAAAAAAACTTTTAAGTCTAAACTATTATCAATAGTGAAAAAGCTAAAACAACCATAACTAGCAAGCGGTTACAGTTCAAACCTTGTATCATCACGCATCATTCAGTTTAGAAGAAATTACAAATGACAATTTGAAGTTGTGTGATGGGTCTCTTTCCTCCATTTAAACTAAACGGGTACAATACACGGCATTCAAACATATGGATACCCTATTTACATTGTATTTTGTTGCATACACATATGTGTCTATGGAGTAATTGTGCTATATATCTATTTGCAAATTTTTTAAAAGACTTTGGACTTATCCAAATTATCTCTTTTTCCATGTCATTTTATTTTCCTCGTTGTTTTTATATATCATGATTCAATAGCACTAATAGTTACCTTTTTGATATTGTTTTCTCATTATTGCTTTTCTTGTATTTTTATATTCCTTCTTTTTTTGTAAAATATTAAATTTATAAAATTGAAAAATAAATCATACGCATCGTAAAAAGTGGAGTAATACAAGAAATAGTCTGATGTATGCGGGCACGTATGTATACATATATATACGCACAACTTGTCACATTCACACATTTCCCAATTTTCCAGCGCAAAGGAAAAATATATTAATTATAAAATTCATTTGGGGAAAACACCTGTTTCGTCTATTTTGTCCAAAGTTTGTACGCAACAAGGGAGATTAACTTGTTGAACTTAATAACTATTAAGTTCATTTCATATTTTTTATTTGAAAATATAACGTTAATCTAAAATTTAAATTATTACCTTAATTTTTTTCATTTAAAAGAAAAAAAAAAAAAAAAAAAAAATTCCCCGTGCGTAAATTATAGCGCTAAAAAAAAATATATACATACGTAACATTCATTTTTCTGTTTTCCCGTTTCCTTTTCTTTCAACATTTTTAAATTATTTAAACTAATTCGTTCATCTTTTCAAATGGAAAAAAATGTTAGTTTTCAGATTTGTGAAGAGTTACGAAATTAAATGTTCCATCTTGCGAAGTGTTAACATTTTATTATTTTATTTTTTTTTTCATTTTTTTGTTAAAAATTATCCGTTTTATAATTTTGTTTACACACACAACATATTTAATATTTAGTCCCTATTTAGTTAAAATTATATAAAGAATTAAGTAAAATAAAACCATGCCAAATTATTACCTTTCACGGAAAATTAATTTGTGACTTCTTACACGTGTAAGGGTGTATGAATGCACTAGTTCAGTGAGACATAAGAATGCCATTTTATGCTTTAATGAATAAATAGAAACATTTAAAAAAGAAAAGTAAAATTTCGTTAACATAACAAAAGTAGTTGCGCAATGGCAGCAGAAGTGGTAGTAGAATTAAAAGTAGCAATGACAGTGGCAGTTTCAAATGCAACTGGTAAACCTTTAACCCTAGATATCCACTTAGCACAAAATTAATTTTTCCATTTCTGCCAAGGTATAAACCTTATTAGGTGTAATATAAAATGTATCAAAATAAAAATAACTGCACCAACGCGTGTATCCGTCGTATTTACGAGAGTCAATTTTTTTTTTTTTTTTCATAACTATATTCTATGAGGAGACATTGCAAATGTCTAATTGACAATATGCTTGTTTGTACCATCATGTTTTTGTAAACTTCACACAATTAGTAACACACAGTAATCATTTCTTTTTCCCCAAGGAGGTATAATAACACATAGATAATTTGCTCATAATTGTCCATAAATGGGCAAAAATGATTTATTATTTGCACGAGGTACTTTGACACACCTGATGGGGGAAATTATGCGCATACATATTTCTATACAAAACCCGTTTTAGTATTTTTCTTAAATGGGATAATTTGAAACTTTTTCATTATCATGAATTTTATTTTTGAGTTTGTGATAATTATAAATGTATGAACATGAGGAGACAGTTGTGTTCCCAAGTTTTTTTCCCATTTTCCAGAGTTATTCACTTTTTAAAATCCCCTTTTAAAACGACTTAATTTTTTTTTTTAAATTATCCAATTCATGCTTCTTCTTAACATACCTACTAGGAGAAAAACAATCTGTTGTGAAGAAGAACAGTTCTTTTTCTCTTTTTCTTTAACAGTTGAGTATAACTCTGTATTAGCCGCAAGCACATATGTTGTAGGGCAGCAAATAATCGAATGGCAAGGAGTAGACTGTCACTTGGAAACAAAAGGGATACACACACACCATTACACACAAGTGTGCATATGCGGAAGGAGGATATAAATTCATCATAATAATAACAAGGTATCCAGAATGACAATAGAGTTTGTGGTAAATCTGGAAAATCACAAGAGAAGGATTTGGAGCATCTGCTGGAGTCCCGATGGAAATTTCCTTGCATCTGTAGGAGCAGACAAGTATATAACCATATGGATTAAAAAAACTAATAATAAAATAAAAAATGCAAACAGTAATAGTAAATTTATGAAAAAATTAAAAATGTTTGGTGATATGAAACACAAATCAGGTAACATAGAATTTGATGTGTATGATATTATAGAATCAAATCACGAAAAATCCTTGAGACACATTGAATTCTCTAGGGATGGAAGTTTTTTTGTTGTTGCTTCATTTGATTCTAAATGTTCTATATATAAGAAAAATAAAAATGAAAAATGGGTTTTTTACAAATTTTTGGAAGGTCATGAGAAAGAAGTTAAATGTGCTTCCATTCATCCAACTAACAAATATATAGTAACTTGTGGAAGAGACAAAAGTATATGGATACATGCCAAAGCGGATGAGATGAGTTGTGGTGGAGAGGATGGTGGTCAGTTGAAACAAAATATGACAATCAATGATGAACATACTGGAAACACTACAAATGATGAAGAGCAAGAGAAGATCGATACAAACATTGACGAAGCGAATGGAAACTCAGGGGACAAAGACTCATCACAAATGGATAACAAACTTGACTTCAATTTTGACGGATATTTAACGGCACATTCTGAAGATATAAAATATGTCGCATGGTGTCCCCTAAGCGAGAATACGTTCATTTCACTTTCGTATGATAATTCTCTAAAATTATGGAATAAACAAATAAATGAATGGAATTGCATACAGACATTAAATGAACATACTTCTGTTGTTTGGTGTGTTGCTTTTAATTTTGATGGCTCTGAATTTGCAACATGTTCAGATGACAAGTCAATTCGGATATGGAAAAGTGAGAAAAAGACCTGGTATAATAAACACAAGTACCCTTTTCTCTATCAGCAAATTGTAAAGGATGCAAGAAAATCATCAAATGATAGTTCTCTCACGTGTCTTGTAAATAAATCAAATGATACACTAGATGTTAATGCAACGAATGACAAAAATAGATATGCTAATGATATCCACAGAAATAGTAACCATAACAGTAGATGCAACGGAAAGGAAAAAGGGATAAACGAACTCAATTTGATGGAAAAAAATAAAAAAAATTTTGAAAAATCAGAAGAACCGAAAGTTCATGTAGCAGAAGAAAAAATTTCCTGTGCAAATTCCAGTGTTCGAATATTAGATTATTCAAAAGAAGAGAAAAATGCACACACAGTTATAAAAAGCGCCATACAAAATAATTTTGTCCCTTTGTATTTCGATCATGGTCTTTTCAAGTTTGTTTACAAGTATGGAGATGTTTTGGGAGAAAATATGGAAAAAGGTAATGAGAACAAGAGAGAAGAACAAGAATTAGGACACCAGGAAAAAGGGAATCAAAACGAGGAACATTTCGAAACACAAGATGGAATAAAAAACGCATCGCACAATACATCTCATAATTCGACACATAATGCATCTCTCAATGCATCACCAAACGATGAAGAGAACGGATGCAAGATGTCCAAAATGGATGTCAATGAACTGAGAGAAGGAATCCAAAAGGGAGACGATAAATCAAGTAGGAATAACGAAGACATCACAAAGAAAAACGAGGAAAACAGGGTGTTAATTATGAATGATGGAGACAAAACTGATATACAAAGTACAAGTAAAATTATCCATGACGAACAAGAAACAAATACTCCATTTGCAGAAAGCTCCATTTCTTCCATGAGCATGATTCCATTTTTGAGTGACAAGGAAAAAGATTTCAAAAATATATCATTTGATGATTGGAAAATCAAACATGTAATTGAGGGGTATCATAAAAGAAGTATTAGTTACCTAGACTGGAATGCATATGAAGATTTACTTGCAGTGTCTTCTTTTGATAATTCTTTAAAAATATTTCAGAAAAATATAAACACATGGAATTTAATAGATAACATTGAAAATGCTCATTTGAGTGATGTTAATTGTGTTGTTTGGTGCCCACAAAAGTATCAAGATTATTTCTTGCTAGCAACGGCAGGGGATGACTGTGTCATTAACATATGGAAGTACACGAAAAATTAGATGTTCATTGTGTCTTATTGTGGTACTATTATTAGTTGTGTTCTTTATTCTCAGTGCTGTAATATTTTTTTAAGTTATTTTTGCATCCCTTTTTTTAGCCTATTTTTAAGTTTTTTTTTTTTTTTAATTTTATTTACTCCTTTTTTTATTTTATTTACTCCATTTTTTATTTTATTTACTCCATTTTTTATTTTATTTACTCCATTTTTTATTTTATTTACTCCATTTTTTATTTTATTTACTCCATTTTTTATTTTATTTACTCCATTTTTTATTTTATATACTCCATTTTTTATTTTATTTACTTTTTTTTTTTTTTTTCTGTCTCCCCCAATTGAGTAACTTTAAATGATCTCGCCATGACACTACCACACACATTCACATGGAAAGATGTACATGTGTGTATATATTCCCAAAATAATATCCTTGTGTGAAATTCTTGCTGCTCCTTACTTATGAAGACAAACTTTTTAGTTACATTTCATTACATATATATATTTTTACTTATAATAATGCGTAAGACCTACTTTCCCCCTTTCCCATTTTTCTTCTCTTTTTTTGTCATTCGGAATATAATTATATTACTTCTATCTACATCTTTATTTATGTGAAAATTTATTTTTCTCTTTTTATGAATGTATTAAAACCCTAATTACCCAGTATGGTTTACGCCGTACCCCACACCGACTTTTTTTGTTTTGGTGTGATGGTATTTTCATTGTTCTTCATTTAAACTGGACATGACAAAATATGCATCGGGGAAAATGTTTCACATAACTGTCAGTTTTTTTTTTTTTTTTTTTTTTTTTTTACAACAAATGTGTGTATATAATATATCAGATTATTATATTTTTCCGCTTATAAGAACATGCATTACATTTGGTGAAATTTTTGATCTTTTTCCCAATCTCTTTATCTTTGTAATATAATGGCAAACTCAACAGGATGAATAATCAAAATTATTCGACTATAGGATACATTAGTTGATCTATTTCTACCATAGGTATCTTGAACACCTAAATGAGTATGATGAAAATAATTGTGTGTTCATGTAAATTTTGTTAAGTTTCATATCGAGTTTGTTTTCTTCACTAAGCCAAGACCAGTGTGTTGCGTCAGTGCTTGTAGGGAACAGTCCCTTTGTGAAGAGGCAGCAAGAAAATTAAATTATTTACTTATGCTGTACTTAATTTTTTTATTTTTTTTTTTTTTTATATCCTCTTTATAAGTAGTAGCATAATTGCGATATTTCGAATTGAAAGTGTCTACAGAATTTTTCAATCATATTCATTTATAAATGTCTGAAAAAGTAAACATCTTCAATTCGTATAATTTTGCGCCTTGTTCACAACAAAATAGCATTGAAAAAAAAAAAAAAAAAAAAAAATTTCTCATTTTTAATTACATGTGCACTATACATATATTTTTCTGAGCATCAAATGTAGAAATCGAATTGTGAGTGTTTTTCCCCAGTTGAATTTTTACAAAGGCATTTTTCCAGAAATAAAGAAAATGAGACAATTGCATGTTAGTTTTGTGCCAAGGGGGAGAAAATAAACAAAACAGAGAAGAAGAAAACAACACTATCCAAATGGTTCAAAACAGGAAAAGCGCAACAAAGAGGAAATGTAAATTCCTGTTTGCTTCTCTTAAGGGTTAAACATGTACATGAACACAATTCCCCTTTACCCACACACTCGAATTTTAAATGAGCGCGTGAGATGTGTAATATATGAGACGATGCAACTTTGCAATTTTGCTTTTTTTTTTTTTTTTTTTTTTTTTTTCTTAAATAAAAAAATCCCGAATATGAAAATGTAGCATTTTTAATGAGGACAAAAATGTAAAACTACGAATATAAGTACAAAAAGGAAAGCCAAAATAACTGTCTTAAACCTTCTATATTTTATGAAGTCGAGTAATTAATATCATTGTTTTTTTTTTTTTTTTTTTTTTTTTTTTTTTTTTTTTTTTTTTTTTTTTTTTTTTTTTTTTTTTTTTTTTTTTTTAAAAAAAAAAAAACGTGAAACGCTTTTATTAGCATTAATAAAAAAAAAAAAAAAAAAGAAAAAAAATTTATCTTAAAATTTAATTGTTTGTAAATAAAGATGATAGAAAAAGTGGACAAGGAAGGTAATCAACCTTCAAAAAAAAAAAAAAAAAAAAAAAAAAAAACCTCAGCATGTACAGTGTCTTTCATAAAAATGAATATGAAAAGGAAAGGAGAAAAATAAATATGCAGACATGCATATCTCACATCCCTCCCCACTCCCAAACATACATAAAAAAATATACACATGTGGATGTATTTTTTTTCACTTTTTTTTTTTTTTTTTTAAAAAGATGGTGCTGGGAAAAACGAAACTACACTAATAAAAAGACACAAATCGGAAAAGGAGATAGGCAAACCGATGAAAGAATATGAAATAAAATGTGATGAAGATTCCAGCAACATTTCTTTATTACATATGTGTTCATTTTACACAAAAAAAGAATTTGATGTTGTGAATATGAAAAATTATTTATGGATAAAAATGAAGGACAAAGCGAAGAGGAAATCGGATTCGGAATACGACCACTATGTTAGCAGGAAATATTTGAAATTTATATGCTTCGTGAAAAAATATATAAAATATTATTCTGATTTGAAAATGAGAAGTTACAAAATCAGTTCTTATGCAAATAATTCCAAATGTTTGAGCAGTCTTAGCAACCCCCTCGACAGTATGAAAAGAAACTCTAATCCAATTGTTTGTACAAAAGAGAAAAATGGTTTGTGTAAAAATAATTTCAAGTTAAAGCATAAAAAACATTTATCCATATGGCAAAAATTCCAAATATATATTTTGAATAAAATGAGATATTTTTTTATAAGTCCCTTTTTTATTCCTCATAATGATGACAACAGAAATAGTAGTAACAATAACAAAGGTGACGAAATAAAACAATTATTAACATTCAGAAACGAACATTCTGAAGATGTATTTATTGACAAATTTTACTCTTCTCTTCCCTTCAAAATGATATTATATTCAACAATTATGATTTTAATATCGTCGATTAACTTTTTTATTTTACATTATGTTGTATTTAATATTGTACATAATGTAGGGAAAGCAGCAATTTACCTTAATGCGTCTAAATTATTTTTTGATGTTTTATATTTCTCCTTTTTTGTCACATATATCTTTTTGTTCAGTTCCAATTGCATAGATAGGATATTATATTATTCATATAATTCTTGTTACATATTTGCTTTTCTCACGCTTTTAAGTAATTTTATTCTGTTGCAGTTGTTATCTCCGTCTGTGTCTACTAACCTAGTTAAGCACTCTCAACCTGGTGTTCTTACTCATATTTGTACATCCATGCAAACAGACGACTTCATCAACCACATGTCTCCACACGAAACAGCTAAAGAGAATCTATCTATCCTACCCAGAACCCATGATATAATGATCATGATGAACTATATATATTTATCCCTACTGTGCTCCTTAAGAAATTACATGATTCTTTACGATTTTTCTCTAAGTTTTAAATTTTCCATTTTTTGTATGTTCTGTGTTTTCATTTTTTCCACGTATTCATATTTTTATCTACAATTTTCATACAACTACATGGTTGTTTTGTTTTGTTTGTCACTTTGTTTGATTGTTTTTTCCTTATGTTATGAATATAGCTATGAGAAAAGATGCAGGTGTTTGTTCATACGGGGAAAAGAAGCGGAAAAAGCAGACGTGGATGAAGCGAACAAAGAAGACGAACCAGTGAAAAGAGACGAACCAGCGAAAGGAGACGAAACAAACGAAGAAGACAAAGCAGATGAAACAGACAAAGCAGACGAAGCAGACGAAGCAGAAGAAGCAGAAGCGGAAGAAGAAGTATACTCGAAGAAGAGGCCTAACCATTACATGACGAAATACTTCTCGATTGAAAACTCAATTCCCATGTCCCCCATTGAAGATATTTTGAACAACTTGAAGTCTTTGGTAGATCAAATGAAAAAGCTTGAAGAAGATGCAGATGAAAAAAAATTATCAGAAATAAGTAAAATGCTAGAAAAAATAAAAAAATGTGAAAACATTTTGAGGACGCAAAATTTGAATGAAGTCCAAATATACAAATACAGGAATTTTGAAAGAGTATACAACATGTGGTGTTTAGATAAAATAGAGAGTACTTATTGCGAAAAAAACGAAGAATTCAGATCCCTATCTCAAAGTCTTAATAGAAAATCTTTTAATTCTTTTTCAAATATTCAATCTTTATTGACATACAAGTTTCAAGAACAACATAATGAATCCTATGAATGGAATGCTGATATAGAACTTTTGTACAAGCGCAATGTTTTCATTTCCATTGGCTATAAGTTACTTTTTCCGCTTGGGGTATTAGAGGCAAGTTTTGACAAAGAGAAGTTGAAGAATTTTCTTACGAAGATGTATTCACTTTACAATGAAGTCCCGTACCACAACAGCTTGCATGCTGCCCAGGTATCCAATTGTGCATGCACTAATGTTTGTGCGTCTGTATGTATGTGCTTCTGTATGTATGTGCGTTTGTATGCATGTGCGTTTGTATGTATGTGCATCTATATGTATGTGCATCTATATATATATGTACCTATTTACACACACGCATGTGCACATCCTCACCCCCCAACCCCATTTTAAGGTTGCGCATTTCAGCAAGAGCATGTTGTTTCTCCTTGAGATAAACCACAAAATATCGGCAATCGATGAATTCTGTTTACACGTTTCTTCCCTGTGCCATGACGTAGGACACCCTGGGCTGAACAATTACTTTTTAATAAATTCAGAAAACAACCTAGCGTTGACATACAATGATAATAGTGTTCTAGAAAATTACCACTGCTCATTGGTTTTTAAAACATTGAAAGAGAAAAATTGCAACATTTTCGAGAATTATCCATATAATATTTTTATTACTTGCAAAAAAAACATCATTAAGGCTATTTTGTCAACCGATATGAAAAATCATTTTGAATACATTTCAAATTTTCGAACATCAAAAGAGTTTATAGATTTCGATATCCTGACAAGCGATCAAATATGGCAGATATTTTCCCTCATTTTGAAGGCAGCAGATATTGGACATGCAACTTTGGAATGGGATAAACATTATGAATGGACAATGAAAATTAATGAAGAATTTTACTTACAGGGGTTGTTAGAAAAATCGTTAGATATGCCAAAGAGCTTTTTATGTGATATAACTACTATTGATAAATTATCTACCTCACAAATTGGGTTTCTAAAACATTTATGTTGTCCTCTTTTCACAGAGTTAAATTCAATTGCGAAAAATAATGAAATTTACATTCATTGCATTTGTTCTATTGAAAATAATATAGAAATGTGGGAGAAAAACAAAAATAACCAGAAAAACCTAGGATTATATGAAAAATACAAAAATGAGAATTTAGCTGACAGATTTAAGCTGTTAAAATTTGTGTAAACGTGTGGAGTGCAGGGGTTGACGGTGGAACTCTTTGAACATGCATCGAATTGTTTTATTTTTGTTCTGTTGCTCTTTTGCTATTTTGCTGTCTTGCCATTTTATTTGGCTGCTTTATTTTGTTATTTCACTGCATTAAACTTTATTTCTCTTAATTTCAGTTTATTATTATATATTTTTTTTTTTTTTTTTTTTTTTTTTTTGTTCTCTACGAAAATGAATTGGCAACATTACACATCCTTCTACATAACTTCTTTGTTTACAATTTGTATGAAAAATTGGATATCCCGTTTTTAAAATTTATTCACCCATCTTTACTCTTTTACACCAACTCTCATTGGGACAGGTTTTCCATTCTTATGAATTCAGGAGATAGGAAACATGCTTATGCAAATTCTTTCACAGTTGAATGAGCACAGTTAAGTGTGCACAAAATAGATATGCATACATAATTAATTGAAATGAAACGAAATCGTCTACGATTTATTTATAGAATTCCAATTTTGCTTATTTTCATGTGTTAGAGACGATGGAAATTAAGTGAAAACGACATTGATAAAGGGGGGGGGGGGGGGGGGGGGTTTTTAAATGCTGCTGTTTTTTTTTTGTTTGGGTGTTTTTTTTTTTTTTTTTTTTTTTTTTTTTTTTTCCCCTTTTTTANNNNGGGGGGAGGTTATTCAATGCTGCTGATTTGTTTTTGTTTGGCTGTTTTTTTTTTTTTTTTTTTTTTTTTTTTTCTGTTCCCTCTTTTAACATTTACTTGCAGTGGATAAAAATGAAAAAAGGTTTATTATATTTAACAGGCTTTTACGAATGCAAATAGGAACAACCAAAATATGTACCCTTTTTGAGTGAAAAAAAAAGAAAATATTTTTTCATTTTAAGCCCTCCACGGATGCGTCGAATGGGGACATGTATTTATGATTGTATGAATTGTAACGTATGGATAATATTTGCCAATTGACAATAGACCTTATATGTGCACCTGTACGTTCATACGTTAGTGCATTCATCTGTTCACCCCTCTCCTGTTTGCATTCTTATGTTTTTGCAAAATTTGCATGATCGAATTTTTCCTTAGACCACGCACAAACCATTTGGCCGAAACAGAATTTTTGTACATGTGTAACAAAGACAAGAATGCATATATTGGCTTTGCTTTTGCTATGTACATGCACTTCCATTTATGTGTGCAGAAATGTTCATTTAATGTATAATAGCTTTGTTAATGTTCATAATTTAGGTCTGCAGGGAAATAAAAATCTATATATGAAAATAAATTTATGCAGATACAAGAATTGTAAAAAGAAATTACAACATGTTCATGTTGGTCAAGAAATAATTATCGGTACTCGTGATTCCCCATTGGCAATAAAACAATCAGAAAAGGTGAAAAGGAAGCTTTTAGCACATTTTAAAAAAATTAATAAAAATGTGAATGTTATTTTAAAGCCAATAAAAACAACAGGTGATAAGATATTGGATAGAAATGTTGGATTATTTGGTGGAAAAGGTATATTTACAAAAGAGTTAGATGATCAGCTAATAAAAAATAATGTGCATATCTGTGTGCATTCTTTAAAGGATGTTCCAATGGAATTGCCTGAACAAATACACTTGTCATGTTTTTTGATAAGAGACACAATAAACGATGTCTTCTTGTCGATGAAGTATAGGACCTTGGGAGACATAAACAAAATGAAGGTGGATAATAGTGATAATTATGGTAACGATAACACAATGGAAGAACACTACAAACTCGCGCAGGAAACACAAGAGTTGCATAAAGCTGATGCATATACAGGGAACTACAATTTTGATCAACAAGATAAACTATCAAGAACCATTGGAACATCTTCCTTGAGAAGGAGAAGTCAAATTAAATATACATATAAAAATATAACAATAAAGCAAATACGGGGCAATATAAACACAAGAATTGCAAAAGTGTACAATGGAGATTATGACTCCATAATAATTGCAAAATGTGGATTAGAGAGATTAGTAACAAAAAAAGCGATTCGAAATATAATAAGTAGAAAGAACCGTTTACTCAAGAAACCTATTATTATTAATTATAATAACACTAATATAGATTTAAGTCTTTTTAATATACAACAAATAAATACTAGGACAATATTCCCCGCTTTATGTCAGGGGATTATAGCGGTATCATCGCACAAAAATAATAAAGTCATTTCTGATATTTTGAAAAATATAAACGATGATAAATCTGAAATCATGGCAAATATTGAAAGATCGTTTTTGTACCAAATCGAAGGTAATTGCATGATGCCCATTGGAGGATATACAAAAATTGTGAAAAAGCAAATATTTTTCAATGCTGTAATTAATGACATTCAAGGGCGTGAAAAATATCACGTTCGAGAAATTGGACATGTACACAATTACGATGATATTGCAGTAAAAGCTGCCATAAAAATAAAGGAAAAAATAGGCATTGAAAAGTTCAACAAAATACGGGAAGAGGCAGCTCTGTATTATGCATAGCATTTTGTCAGAGAGAAAAAAGAAACTCAAACCCAATTCAAAGCAAATTCAAAGCAAATTCAAGAACAAATTCAAGAACAAATTCAAAGCAATTTCAAGAACAAATTCAAAGTAAATTAAAAAAAAATTTCATTTACATTTTCCAATTTTAGATACATATTATACATGTACATATTTTCCTCTGGAGAAGCGGAACATAACTTTCCTAAGTCGCAGTGCACACATAAATTCACAAGTATAAATCTGTATGATGTGCGAATTTAACCGTTTTAATACATTATTGGAGAAGTTACATGTGACATGCACATGGGTAAATATAAAAACATAGCTTTTCCTTAAAATTTCTCTCAATCAGAAGTCGTTTTATGTAAAATTGGGTTACTTATTTTTTTCTCATACGAATAAGCTTTATTCCATGTGCACTAAACAACATAAACACAATTGTTTTGCATATATTAGGTATGTTCCATCTTTTTTCTTAACCATTTTTACTAGACACTTTTTCCTTTTTTTTTTATTTTTTTTTTATTTTTTCTCATGAAGCTATAAAAAAAATTCTCTCTTTTCCCTCATACAACGAGAGGAATTTCCTTCCCGAAATTTTTTAACAGAAGTCTCTGCAATGCATCAGGACATTGAATATGGTTTGGGTAAATCTATGCTTGAATAGGTACATATATACATATGTATATATTTTGCACATGTGTGTAGCACCCAACTGGTTTCGAAAAGCAATTGGGTATTGAAAGAAGACTTGCTTTTATTATGTCATAGGAAAGAGAGTACATATAGTGGAACTACATGTAGCGAATGTGCTTAATGTATATGACGCTCTGAAATGGTTTAAAATTTGGCAGGAAAAAAAAGATATCATTTGTAGATATATGGATATATGAAGATATGTTAACAAAAAAGTAGATAATAATTTGCCTCATTATTGCTGTAGTTTTTTTTTTTTTTTTTTTTCTTTTTTTTTTTTCCCTATGCTCAGCATGATTAATTTTGAACTGATATCAGAAAAAGTGGGGAACATTTCAGTATTTAGCGATTGCATATAAAAAGCAAGGAAAAAAAAGATAAAAAAAGAAAAAAAAAAATATGAAGAAATTCTTCCTTTCATTTTTTAAATATAAGGGTGATATATTTTCCCATTCATGAGCTTTATTAACATTCCCGCAAAATGAAAACACTTTTATTGACTTATTTTTTTGTTTATTTATTTTTTTTTTGTTTTTGTTTTCATTTTTTCATTTTACAAAACATGAATTAAGCTAAGTATTTCGTATGCAAACGCTGAAATATAGTTCATTTTTACTTAAGAAAATTTTGATTAACTATCATTTTGTCTATAAAGGAAATATGCACAAATGGAGAATGGTAGAGAGAGTGAAAAAATTAAGGTTAATCTGTTTACATGTTTATAAGCTTCAATACAAATTTAAAAAAAAAGAAAAAAAAAAAGAAAAAAGAAACCTGCACACAATACAACGTTACACATGTTATACAGAACATACAAATGGTATATATATCTCATCTACAATGAAATGAGAATGTATCAGTGTTATTACAACTCTTTTTTTTTTGATCCCTCACACATTTTTAATTAGATCAATATGAAGGAACATCAATGGAAAATATTTGAATATAATATGAGCAAATGGATGATTGAAAATAAATACATTTTAGATAAGGAAGAAAAGAAAAAATTTTACAAGTGTGCAAATTATAGTATAGGCACTGGAATGATAAATGCGTCGTTAGTGTATTATTTTTGCAAAAGAAATAATAAGTTCTTCACACCTACGTCAAGATTATTTCTCGTATTTTCATTGGGTATTTATACCTCCATGGTAGTTAATAAAATTTTTAGACGCAAAGCATACATGGAGGTAAGTTAACCAAGCATACTCTTTTGTGTTTATGCAACGTGTCCATCCATTGAATTGTTCGTGAAGTGAATGATAAATGATAGAGTGTGTGTCAAATTGTGAGTACAGAAATGTGTATACGAAATTGTGTGAAAGTTTGCTGGATGTTTGAGCACACGTTCGGTTACATCTCCATTTCAATAGTTATTTTCTTGTTTCCAGTAAAATTCCTCAAAACTTGGAAACATTCTGTAAAATATCGATATTTACCCTTCTTTTTTTTTCTGTAAAAAGATATTAACAGAGAAAACGACAATGACCGATAAGGCAAGAGAAGTCATGAACGACATCTTGAATGTAAAAGAAGACATTGATAAAACGTCTTCAAGTGGTAATGTAAACAAATTAGATAATAAGAACACTTTAAATATATATTCCAATGCCTTACATGATGATGGGCAGGCTGGACTAAATGTAGGGGATTCCCACCCGAAGGACAATGTAATTTTTTGTGCATTAAAAATATTTTATTGTTTGATTGCATACTATTTTGTGTGTTTACATACGTTCCTATCAGCATTCATATATATTTTTTACATGTGAAAAATTCTTTCTCCTCATTTTTAGACAAATGCATCTTTAGTTCAAGATTTGTAAGTTTAAAAAAAAAAAAAAAAAAAAAAAAGGATATTTGTACATTATGTGTATGGTACATATATATATATATATATATATATATATATATATATAATACATATGAGAAAAATGCATGATTATGTACCTATTTTGTTAATTCCATTTTTGCAGGAATGAAACCATTTTAAATGAACAAATGAATGATGAATTTGAAAGGTACAAATACACTACAAAAAAAAAAGAAAAAAAAAAAGTTATCAATATTTCACAATTCTTTTTAAATATGCTTTACACTATATGCACTTTATATATTATGGGATCCATGAAAACTATTGTTTGTAGGTGCAAAGATTTATCAATTTGCACAGATGAAAATTTAAAAAGAATAATAAAATCATTAGAAAAAAATTCTTAATGTGTTTACTATTATTTGCAACACATTACGTACGCGCCTATATGTGTACGTACCTCCTGAATGTGGATGTAAACATATCATATGAATAAAAATTCTTCTATTTAAAATGAGCCATATGCATGAGAGAATGCCAGAAAAAAGAGATGCAGATAAAAAAGAAAAAAAAGAGGAAAAAAAAAGGGAGAAAAAAAAAAAAAAAACTACATTACATTCTGTAAAAAAACATATCAATGCATACATAATTTGCAGGAAAAAAAAAATTGAATGAAATAAGAAATGCAATTTTTTAAATTGTCCATTTCATATTGTGTGCATGAGGCACAAGAACATTTACAGTGTCTTTTTATTTTTCCTCAGGCAAAATTTATACATTTTAAAAGAACCTAGGGAAAGTAAGAAAAAACAAATAAAAAAAAAAAAAAAAAAGCACGAGTGAGCTAATTTTTATACCTCCAAAATTATTAACTTGTCATGTAATAAAATGTGTTTACGACAGCAACACAGGAACGAGTCCATACGAATTTATGTACACACACACACATAATTAAACATTGCCACCTTTTTACTTTTAAGCCAAATATGTCAGCTGGGATGACATAAGAAGAATGAATAAGTGAAAAACAAGAGCATGCCAATGTATATCAAGAAAATTAATACATCACCAATGAGTTAACACGTCGCAAATGAGTTAAGAAGTCACAATTAAGTACTTTTAAAACATATGCTTAAATTTATTGAAAAAGCTTTCATAGTGAAAATTTCTGCTGTCATTATTAAATTTGTTAACATACTGAAAATAATTAAAGTCCGAATAAAAGGACAAGATGTAATTATAAAATTTAATGGCTTGATTTTTTGTAATTGTACTATTTAGAATATTTAATTTTGTTAAAATAATTTCCTTATTCTTTAATTCATCAAAAAAATTTAATGTTACATATGGCATTGAATTTGATCTAAATTTATTATAATCTCCAAGAGCTGTGACGAATACCAACTTGTCGTCAATAAATTGGCAGTAGAAATTTATGTACCCATTTTGGTTCATATGTGGAATAATAAAATGAGAATTATTTTTACAATTATTTTTAATCAATTCATATTTATTTATAGTTATATAATCTGTTACGACATATTTGTCATTTTTATACCTTTCCTTCCAGATGTTTATAATTTTCTCTTTATCCTGCCTTTCGAGTAATTGCAGTTTTACTATATTTTTTAATTCTCTCGAGGTGGGTAATGAAAAATAAAATCTTTTTCTTACACTATATATATGCATATTGGTTTAGTCTTCTTCTTGCATAAGCTTAATTCTGTGAGCAGCGCTTAGTGGGGTTCCTTGGGTTGGCAGGGTTGGGGGCTAATGTGTAGAGTGTTTATATGGATTTATCCACTTTTTCTTGGACAAACAAAAAAGGCTTCATTATTCAACATTTAGCTGAAGGATTCGATAGTCTTATATTTCAATTTTTATATCTTCTTTCAAGTATCCCTTTTTTTGACAACCTCATTTTTTTTTCCTCCCATCCCCATGTAAGCGAAGTACATGATAATTAAACTGAAGATTTACTATAACTACGTAAACAAGTCATCTATTCGTCATTTCATTTGCTGCAACATTTATATTTTTGTTTTTATTCTTCGCTATACAGTTTTTTTTTTTTTTTTTTTTTTTTACATATTACATAATATACGCTCCTTTTGCATATATATTTAAAAAAAAAAAAAAAAAAAAAAAAAGCACACATAAAAAGATTGTATATACATATATGTATGCACAACTCAAATGAATGTAAAAAAGGATATTTTCAAAATTAACACGGCAACGCTAATACACACAGGGAGACCAATTGTCAGTGTCAAGAACCCCTATATATTTATCAACTTTAGTGACGTGGTTTTTTGAGATGAATATATATATATATATATATATATATATATATATATATATATATATATATATGTATATATATGTATATACCTACACATGACGAGCTAAAAAAATAGAATAAACGATTAAAGATCGAGGAATTGGAAACACATTTTTACCATTCTAAATAAGCAAAAAAAAAAAAAAAATTACAATATAACTTTTCTTTTCCTCAAGAAAGAATACTCGTGTAGGGCACAAGCTAACATGTAAAATAAAAAGTTTTTTTAGCGAATGTCGCACAACAAAAAAAAAAAAAAAAATTATAAAAGTAATTAAATGTGTGTACATGCAGCAAACATGGAAAGGTAGCACATATAAACAATAAATCTCATTCTTTTAAAATATTTTTCTTTTTTGAGTTAAAAAATATTAATAAATTATACCTGGCGCATAGAAAAAAAAAGTTAAAAGAAAATTGGAGGAAGGGGTAAAGAGTGAAAAAGTACTTAAATAAATTGGGATATTTTCTTGTAGGAACAAAAGAAGCATAAGGAAGGTATTATAACAACTTGTTATATAAGGGAAGAATGCAAAAAAAAAAAAAAAAAAAAAAAAAATACAATTTTGTAACATTAAAGAAAGTGATGAATTTATAAAAAATAATTATTTTTGTGGAAACAACAGGTTCCCAATTATATGTGCGATTTACGTGCATCGATCATTGTTTTCTATATTTGGCAGATTGTCCTTGGAGGAATTCCCTACCCTCTACACACACACATGCGCACGCAACTACTGAGTGGTCACGTTCTGAATGTCAGAATGCACTCTGATTCAGAATCTGCCTCAGAACATCGCAAGGGTTTTGAAGCACCTTGGTTCGCAAATCAAACTGTACCATACATCCATCATTAAGCACACCAATATAATCGACAAAGTTTAGCAAATCGAGTCTGTGCGTAAACACAATCGATGTTTTCCCTTTCATGTATTTAAGTAATGCTTCATTTATTATATTTTCTGAAAGCTTATCCAGGGAAGACGTGGGTTCATCCAAAATTAAAATTTTATTATTCTTAAGTAAATTTTGTGCAAGATAAACTCTTTGCTTTTGACCACCGGATAAAAAGGACCCATTAACACCAACATGAATATCATCGTAATTTGTATGTTTACTTAAGAAATCATGAATATGAAAATCTTTATATGTATCTTGCAAAATATTTGGTGTTATTTTTTTAGAATTTTCTTGCACATTTTGTATTTCCTTTGATATGTAGTTGTGTATTTCTGTGAGGTCATCAATTTCCATTTCTTGTGCTAAAGTGGTATTCTGAAATGTCATATTATTATCCATCGTTTTGGTATTATTTAACGAATTATTTTTCTTTCTTTTTTTATTATACTTTTTGGAATTTTTAGCCTCCTCAATTAATACCATTTGTTCCTTCAACATTTGTTCATATGCCTTTTGTGGGTATAATAAATTACCTTTAATAGATGAATTAAATAAAAATGGGTTTTGTGTAATAACCCCTTGGATATACCTCAAAGCAGATGAGTTTATTTTCTCGATCTTAAAATTTCCTATTAATATGTTTCCTGAATTTGGTGCATTTTTTTTGGACAATAGATTTAGAATGGTTGTTTTTCCACTTCCACTTTTACCAACAATTGCAACCGATTTATTGTGTGGTAAAAAAAAACTTACATTTTTCAAGGCATAATTATTTTTAACATTATTTTGAATATTACTAAGATTACTGTTGGGGCTAATGCTACTACTAGGATCTGTAGGAATATCGTACTCATAAATTTTTTCATCAGTACTGTAGGAAAAAGAAACGTTGTCAAATTTGATAGAGTAATCCTCACTTTTAAGAAAATGAATTGTGTCCTTAGACCATGGTTCATTGAACTCACTCTTCGGTAAATTAATCATCTGTAAGACCTTTGAACAAGAACCTATACATTTCTGCAAATCACCAATCGATTGCATGACTCCCTGTATACCACTGCCACAAAATAATGAATACATAATTAAAGAAAATAAATCTCCTGTATTTATATACTTATTAGCTATTAAATAATTTCCATAATAAATTAAATGTAGCAAGAAAAGGGATATGATACTAACAAACATAAAATGATTTCCAGCTTTGACTAAAGAATATTTAGTACCTGCTTTGTATACTTCATTTAAATAATTTTTAAATTCTTTTTTTTCAAAGGCTTCTCCATTGAGTAATCTGACATTATTAATATTATGAATTTTTTCTGATGCAAAATCAACACAATTACTTAATTTTTCTTGTTTTAAAATGCTAATTTGTTTTACTATTTTTCCATATGTTGTACCAATTAGTAAAGAAGCAGTGACAGGAAGTAAAAAAGGTTGAAACAGTTTGCTTGGAGATATATGTAATGCACATATTCCTCCAACTATTGCTGCTATAAAATTTCGAATCCCAAAAGATATATGAATTAATAATTTTGAAGATACTTCAATATCGTTGGATAGTCTATTTATTAATTCACCTGTTCTCTGTTTTTCAAAAAAAGACAATTTTTGGTTTAGTATATTTTCAAACAAGTCATTTCTTAACCTTCTTGTTATTTGTTCAATAGATGTTTCGATAAAATATATACGAAAAAAACTGAACGTAGATATACCTATTATTAAAAATACTGTTTTGTACACTTCATTCATTACATATTTTAATGATTCTTCTTTTCCTCCATACATATTTATTATTTTACTTATACACATGGGGAAAAACATTTGCCCTAAAGATGATATTAACAAACATAGAAGGGCCACTGCTAAATAATTTCTCTCCTTCTTCAAAATATTATAAATATCTTTTATCGATACTCCATCTACATTTCTGTTAATCCTTTTCTCAAATGACTCTCTCAAACTCTTTCTTAACTTCAAAATAGTTTCCTGAGCTCGATTCATATGTGTTTTGAACTCTTTCCCTTCATCCATCCCAACATCTGTTTCTTTTCCATTTTCACATCCACCTTTGTTATTATCCCATTTAATACTCGAGAACAATCGTGCTTTCCACCTGCTGTAATTCATTGACGTACACGTCGTCCATTCCCTCTTGCTCATTTCCAACTCACGGGGCGAGTTAGTATTCCTGTTTTTCTCTCCATGAAAACTTTTGGTGTAATTCATGTTCTTGTGCAGGAAAAAGATATTGCTAACGCTTCTGGTGTTTCTTACTTTTTTTGCACTTTCTATATTACTTACATTTCTTACTTTTTTTGCACTTTCTATATTACTTACATTTCTTACTTTTCTTGCACTGCCTACATTACTTAAGTTTTTTATATTGCTTATTCTTTTCAAATTCAGATCATTTGCATAATCTTTCGCCAAGTGCATAACATTGTTCGCTTTATTTATTCTGAAATTTGTCACATTATTGCAGAAGGAGTCTCGGATATTGGCCACCAAGTGGTAGTTTATAATGCACTGTTTTATGAACATTGTCTATCTTAGTAGAACGAATACAAATAAAAAAAAAATTCGAAGTGGGCATTATATATTGCATGGTGCAACATAATGCAACAAGTTCGGGGCCAGGGACGAGGGAAATCAGTTCTACGCTATCGATCTCGTAAATAAAAACATAAAAGTAGATACATACAAACACATATATATGCATATATATATATACATATTTAACGGGGGAGGAAAATGTATAAATTGCTTTTTCCAAGACGAATAACATCCAGGATAATTTCACTTTCGACAAAATTTCAATGTTTCGCTCGTTTTACCTTATCTAAGTCCAAAGACGTTTCGTTTTCTTCTATTATGCAAAATGGTTGCTCACTAATATATATTTTTTCTTTTTCTCTTTCTTTCCTTTTTCCCCTTGCACTTTTCAGAAAAACGGATAACTGTGGCTCTTACTATTCTTCTTCTTCTAATTTTTTTTTTTTGCTTGAACTTATACGTCGATTTATTCTCATCATTACTTCCCCTAATTGTGTGTTCAAAACGTTATAATATTATATACACACACTTTAATCTTACGTATGCGTGTAGTGGGATGCATACTTGTCTATCTTTTTGTTTCATATTTGTTTCTTCATCCATTCGAAATGTTGTGTGTGCAGTTGTGTAGCTTAAAAGTTTAGATAAAATCATAAAAATAAGAAGTAAAATTAAAAGCAAAATAAGAAGCAAAATTAAAAGCAAAATTAAAAGCAAAATTAAAAGCAAAATAAAAAACAAAATAAGAAACAAAATAAGAAACAAAATAAAAAGCAAAAAAAAAAAAAAAAAAAGCAAAAGAATGGAAAGAAAACTACTTAGTCCTTTAAATCTGTGTTGCAAATTCACACGCTACACAATTTCTTTTTACTTTATCCTTACGAGATAAAAGATGTAAATGCTGGTGTGTCAAACATTCGTGTAAAATCTGCTATTCCAGTTTGTGTAACCCATTTAGTGTTTTTACAGACTGGACAAATGTGTCATCCTTTTTTTATGTATACAGTCGATGCACAAAAATGCGTAACGTAATTATGGACATGAAAGTTTTTTTCAGGAACAGATACTGTGATGATAATAGTTGTGATTATACCGTTCATACTTGCATTAGAGCTCTATATTTTTTTTTTTTTTTTTTCCAATTCGCTAAGTTTTGTAACTGCACGTATTCAGTGTTTCAGGTTAAAAAAAAGATGGGCCACACAAAATAAAAATGTACGTAAACTTGTTTCAAAAATGTGGAAGAATTTTATTTGAAACGACATTATAGTCAGATCAACTCTACAAAGAAATGTTACATAGAATATATGCATACAGAAAAAAACATATTGTTCACACAATTCTTCTATGAAAAATTGGCCACAGAAGAGGAAATAGGGGAAAAAGGCTATTCCCCTCTCATTCTTGTGTTAACTATGCTGAAATTATGCAATTTTAAATAGCCGAAAGTGCAAACTTATGTTAGTAGTCACAAGTGTACTTAAATGAATGTATGTACATGTATATGTATACGTAAGTATGTATATATATTTTTTTTTTCTTTTGCTAACGAATATCTTCACACAATATGTACGCAATGCATAAGAAGAGGGGAGAGGGGGGGGCAAAAAAAAAAAAAAAAAAAAAGTAGCAGCAAAAGAGAAAAACAGTTGGAAGTAGGGTAAAAAAAAAAAAAAAAAAGGAAAAAGAAAGAAAGGAAAAAAAAGTTATGGAAACTGTTTTTTTTTATTATTTTATTTTTTTGTTGTTTTCTCCTCTTGTCACTACCCTATACTTCTCCAAATTTTTATGCCACTATAATTTATTTCCACTTTATTCAAGGGGTTCATTTGAAAAAATTGCATTTTCTTCCCTTTTTGGATGTTTTCTTTTTTTTCTTTTTCCTGTTTTTTTTTTTTTACGTACCTATTTCAACTGTTTTTCTCTTTTTCTGCTACTTTTTTTTTTTTTTTTTTTTCTTAAAATGTATTCGATATAATTATAATTGGGGGTGGAGGAACAAAAAAAAGAAGAAAATTGACTTATCTTGTTAAGCCTACACGTGATGCTTATGTGTGTACATCTATGTTGTTGAGTACACAAGAATATTTTTTCCTTGTTTCTTGTTTTTCCCAATAAGGTAGATGCAGGAGATATATGATTTCTTTCGTTTGACAAGCAGATGAACTGTGTGCACCATAAACTAAGCACATTGATTTGTTCTATAAGTACATGAACATCTCTTTCCATGTATACGTTTATGAATATCATCCATCTTTGCTCTCGTATTCGTGCGGTCCAAGTTGGATCCTAAAATGAAAGAGAGGTAGAAAAAAAATGCACCTGAGGAAAAAGGTTTTTTTTACATCTCCACGGAATGAAACAACAGAAGAGAAAACTCAAATAAGGATCAGCAATTATACTGTTTAAAAATAAAGAAAACGAAAGAAAACCAGCTTGGATGTGTATTTCTTAGTATTTCTTAGTATTTCTCAGAATTTCTCCCACTTCCAATGGCACAAAGAAAGAGAAATTAAGAAAAACAAGTGTGTTTTATATATCCATTATATGAAATTACACGTGAGTATAAATATGCTCTGTTCATATCTATGTGTCCGCTAGAAGAAGTAGATAAGAACTTTACAGAGCTAGAGAAGTTAACACACTATACAAGTCTCATTTTGCATAGACACTAATTTGGGTACAACGTAGTTACCAGTTTTGTATATCAACCCTTCGAATGATATACAAATGGATCGAAGATATAACAATACATATAATTTTATTCTCATAGGAGTAAAGTGTTCATCGAGTATGATTTTTTTTTTTTTTTTTTTTTTTTGTGATCTCATATTTTGGCCCCATTTAAGAAGACCAACCAAATTGAAATCAGTTCTGTCTTTATTTCAAAAACAAAAATATTTATGAACTTATCAAAATATAATGACTAAAAAGTATGGGTATAAAGTACTTGTAGAATTCGTTTTCCTTTACATATTAGCATCCATTAGTATCATAGAGTGTTACTTAAGAAGTAGAATTAACAATAAAGAAATAATCAGTTCGAATCATTTTAATAGTATCTTCAGGAAGGTGGGAGACAAAAGAAAGTGCATTCCATGGTTAAGGAGAAGTAGTGTGACTTGGTCTCTTGTGTCGTTAGGTGCATCATCACGTCCCCAACTTCCACAACTTCCTCAACTTCCTAAGCTCCCACAACTGCCTCATCAGCCTCTGTCACAAATTCCATCATCACAATCGGCATTTCCAGAAGAAGCCCCACGCAGTGGTAGTACCCCCCAGAATGAAGTAACAGAACATGTCAAACTAAAAAAAAAAGACAAGAAGATATTGAAAAAGTACAAAGATTTTTTAGACATTTTGCCCAAGAGAGACACAGAATATGGAATCAACGACGCCATAGAAAAAATAAAAACCTTAGCTATTCATAAATTTGTTGAAAGTATCGACATTTACTTATCTTTTAATCAGAAGAAATCAAAAATGACTAAAAATGATAATATAAAAACGTTCATAACATTTCCGCATAACTTGAAAAAAAAAAGAGAAAAAAAGGTATACGTTGTGACTAATAAGGATCTTCAAAAGAGGGCCACTGACTCGGGTAAGCACTTACACAGGGGAGGCATGCACAACTGAGTTCTTACACAACTGAATTCATACACAGTTGAGTTCCTACACAAGCACGTCTACAAATCCTTGTATATGTGTGCTTATATTATTGATCAATTTTCCAACCAATGAGAAAAAAAACTCGTGAAAATAACCTTTGATGATTCCAAAAATTTTTTTACATGTTCAGCATGATATGTCTCTTTTGTGATTCTGCACTTTTAAAGTATAGAGATAGATTGGGGGTGAAGGTTTTTCTTCTTCTCACCATGACTACATGTGTAAAAATACGTCCCTACACAGTGACACGAGAATACAATCATACATAGAAAATAGCGTAAAAAAAAAGAACAAACACTACATATATAAGTTTTTCCGAGTACAAAATACATCTGAGAAGATTGTATAAAATACAACATGCTCTCTTTACATTAGTGTATACTTTTTGCCGTGTTCTTTCGAAGTGCGCTATTCACTTTACGTTAATCCATTTAAAAAAAAAAAAAAAAAAAAAAAAAAAAAAGGACAATTTTTATGGCTAGCCATTTTAGAGGTAATTATTTTTGTATTTTTCCTGCCCCATAAAAAACTCAGGTGCCGACGTTGTAGGAGAAGACGATTTGATCAACAAAATTAAAGAAAAGGAAATTCGACTAAAAAAAAAAAATAACAATTTTTTGTTATGCACAAATGATGTGATACATAAAATGACGCGTATTGGGAAAGAGGTAGGAAGTAAGGGACTGATGCCAAATGAAAAATCTGGAACATTGGTAAGTGAATTTTTATTAGAAAAACACGTGAAATTATTCAAATTTGGGAATTCTTATATATTTAAATTAAATAAATTAAACACATTAAATTTAAATGTCGGTGATGTCAACATGTCTAATGATGAGATACGAGAAAACATTTGTTACCTATTTGACCATTTAGATAATTTGGAGTTTTTTCACTTTAATTCCAAAAATCTCAAATCCATTTTTTTGAGTAGCACTATGGGTTTCCCATTCAAAATAAAAAAAAATTTCTTATAAGCTGGTTGGGAGGGACATGCATAGGAGTGAACGAATGCAACAAATAAATAGCTATCCCTCAATATATATATATATGTGCAACCAAAGGGGGGTGAGGAAAAGTGGATTTTTTTTTTTTTCCCCAATTAGTACCATATCTCCGGGTAAGTACATCTGCACATTAGAGAACAGGATTCCCCCAACTCATCACCCACCTTTGTGTGCCAGTGACATTATGCCGTTACATCCTTTTTTTCCATCCATAAAAAAAAATAGACCTTATGCTCGTGTTCTAAAGGGTGCTACTTTTAAGGCCATGTCATCTCCACTGTTGAATCCCGATTTGCATTAAAATTGGGGTTATAACCATTAACGCATTTTTTTTGAGTTTTTCTCTTTCTTTTTCTTTTTTTAATATATTACGAACTATGCAACTCTTGCTTTTTACAAAATTGGAATTATGTTAGGTACAAATGCATGGCTATATATATACATATATACAGACAAGCGCGTTGAACATAATTTTGTGGAGACCTTAACTTCTTTGCTAGGATCTACTGGTGTACTAATTTTTACAAAAAAAAATAAATAAATAAAAAAAAAGCTATATAATTATATGAAAAGCTAGCTTTATTATCTATATGAAAAAAAAAAAAAAAAAAAAAAAAAAAAAATAATTTTGTGTATATGTGTGTATGTATGTCTACTGGTATCGAGATACAAGGTTGGTTAAAAATGGGGCGAGTGATATTCACACAGATATAGAAATTCATCCGGACGTGCGATATTCATTCAGATATAAAAATTCATGCAGACGTCTGATTACATATGAACTAAAAGGATATTAAAAATTCATAAAATTAACAAAAAAAAAAAAAAAAAAAAATACCGGACATGTGGGGGGAGGGATATGGGCAAGGTATGTGATATAACTGCACCTTTGTCACGGAATGGTCGTGATATATATAAACGATTTATTTTATTTTTCATATTTAATGAAACATCAATGGGTAAATAGGGATTGCACACAATAGATGCACGTTATTAGCATGTCCACACAACCAAAATCGAAATTATAACGAATACTGTGCTGATACAGCAAAATGTAGCAGTTGTAAAAACTGAACAATAATGTGCATAATACATTTCCATAAGTAACATCATACCAAGTACTCAAAAAAAAAAAAAACAAACAGATCCTCTCTTACAATAAAATATATTTCTTTCTTAAAACATTTACAGGGGAAGATATGAACCTTTTTAATATACGTAAAATTACTAACTGAACACGGACAGGTGGAACAACTTGAAATAAATAAAGTATGTAAATATAAACAATGTTATAACGACAAGACACCATGATAATCTTTGCTGTCTCACATTTTGATAAGTTTTTTTTAATTCCTTAGAACTATTAAATGTATTTATATTAGCATCATATATATTGTTATTCAAAACTTCTATATTTTCTTTTTGGGTGAATACAAGATTTGCCAAATCTTTAAAAACTTCTTGTGCTTGAGCAACTTGACATTGGATTTTTTTAATTCCTTCGAATCTCTGAGTAGCTATTTCACTTTCTATTAAAAGGTCATTTTCGTTAAACTGATCTAATTCATAATCATAGACACTGGCAGATTCTATGAAATCATCATTATCCACAAAATCATCATCTACGTGGAGAATGAAGTTATCTTCGGTAGAGTTGTTTGTTCCAAAAGTGTTCATACTGTTTTTTTTCAATTTTTTATTTTTTGCATTTTTTATGTTGCTATAATTCATTTCTCCATTTTCAATATTAGGCAATTCGTTAGCAGCTTTTTTTACATTGATGGATATATTTTCTAGTTTATTTACTTCATTTTTAAAATGGATATTCAATTTTTCAAAAATATATTTTTTCTTTTGTTTTTCAAAAGGGTTTTCAGCAAATTTAATTTCCCATTCACGAAATAAATTTTCTGTTTCGATAACCTTAACATATATTTGTTGTATTTCTTCATGCAAAGCTTCTATAATTCTTTTGGAAATTAAATTATTTTTTAAGTTCTCTAAATTCTCTTCTGCGTATATCATATTTTTTTTAATCAACAAAATGTTGTCCTTTATTTTTTTTTCGTTCTTGTCTACCTTTGCTTCCTCTGCTATTGCGCTGTTTTCATTTTGATAATTTTTGTACGACATTTTGGCTCATCGTCTTCGCCACTTTGCATTCGTTTGCAATGGTCTTAGTTTGCCTGCATAGGTCTGCATTTGTCTACATTCGTCTCAGTTCGTCTCTATTTATCTACATTCGTCTCAGTTTGTATTCTATTTTTACACACTTTTTTTTTTTCTTTTTTTTGTGCCGTTTTGCACAATTATTTTCCCTCTCCAAAGTTTTCCTTACTCCTGTTCTCAAAAAAAAAAAAAGAAGAAGATCATAAATATTTATATCTACAACTAGTAGTTAATCAGAAAATTGTATGAGATTATATATGTCTTCTAAATGTTTAATCAAAACATTCTTTTGAAAAAATCAAAATAGGTTCATATGTCCATTTTAATTTTTTTTTTTCTTTTGTTTTTCAAAGCCAAAATAATTCAAGCATTTTTTTTTTTTTTTTTTTTTTTTTTTTCTTATTCAAGAGATAAAGCTATATATATATAACGAACTATGAACAAAAATGACAAATAAACTCTGTGTTCATTATTATGCAATCCTATACTTGATGTAATTTCATATATACACAGATCAAAAAAAATGTAAAAAGATTATGTGCAAGTATATGCATATATAGGAGAACTGCAAACACAGAAAGAGTACTTTTTCATTTAATTCGTTTTTTCAGGGTCATAAAATCGAAGCTTTCTGTTTCACCCTTTACTTACCCAAGGTTGTGTGAACAATTGTGGGGATACGTTCATGTGAAATAGCTGCAACTGCAGTGGTACATATAATTGCAGGTATAATAATATACACAGTCTTGAAAAATTAAAAAAGTATGGGAAAAACCAACAAAACGAGGAAAAAATCAACAAAACGTGGGAAAAACCAACAAAACGTGGGAAAAACCAACAAAACGTGGGAAAAACCAACAAAACGTGGGAAAAACCAACAAAACGAGGGAAAAACCAACAAAACACAGGAAAAATAAAAAGATTGCGGGAAAAATAAAAAGATCGCGGGAAGATAAAACAAAATGTGCGAAAAAATTAACACAAAAATGGGCAAAGAAAAGGTAAAACGAAATCCATGCAGCGCACTGTACATAGCATGCGTTACATGAGTTTACGAAATATAAATTGGGACTAAGACGTAAATGGGGGAAAGAAAACAAGCGTGAAAATATGCAAAATCTGGTATATATTTATATAATTACGAAATGATTGTATTTCTACATTTTTCGTGGCCTTTTTTTTTTTTTTTTTTTTTTACCCCGTTGAAACAGAAATTAATATCGTCTTTATTTGATTTTACTTTATATTATTTTTTCATATTATTGTTCATTTTATTTTTTTTTATTTTTTCATAATATTTTTCATTTTATTTTTCATTTTATTACTTTATATTTTTTCATATTATTTTTCATTTTGTTTTATTTTTTTCACCCTTTTGTTCATTTTTCACTTTTTAGCTTCACTTTTTTATTTTTTTTTTATTTTGCCAAGTGGGGATTTTAAAATATGCGAAAAGTGGGTCAAACGGAAAATGCAAAATTTAAGCACATGAATGAAATGCCAAAATAAAATACGCACAAATAAACAAAGGCACAACATATAATGTAACACAGAGTGAAGAATCAGTAAAACAAAAAGAGAAAGAAGGTGTGTGCCATGAAATATGCGCATCAAAATAATATAAAAATTATAGAGCGTTTTTAAAAACTTGCTAATTGTATATAATATCGCGTATTGGATATGGTTCGAAATGGTATGAAGTGGCACGAACCGGTTGGAAAGGGGAGGGGGAGGATAACCCCAATGTAAGGAATGCTATCCGTACATACATAAATACAACATAATGGGTTTTGTGTATGTTTTATTTTCTCATTTAAAAAAGCACAAGTTTATGCAAACGTAAATCAGATTTTGTGTTATTAAGCAATACGAATTTGTTAGGTAAATCGTTATGAACAATACACACCATTCCTCCTTTTTGTAGTCCGTAAAAGGATTATTGTTATAGTTTTATTTAATTTAATGTATCGTAACTTTTTTGTAGTATATACTCCAACTCAATACCCTTTTCCTTATAATAACAAAACTTAATCAGTGTCCAATGGTAAGTTTTCCACTTCTGTGGAGACCAGAACGACGCTAATCTTGGAATCTTTCTAATAGAGTAGAGGAAGAGAAGGAGCAAAATACATCATGAGTTCATTGTTACTGCATCAAACGAAAGGAAAATGGAAAGATAAAACAACAGTCTCAATTGTATCACAGACGCTTGTCTTAAAGAGACTGGGAGAGGAAATACAATTATAAAAAAAGTATCAAACATTTTAAGTGTATTTTTAGTTTAATTGCCTTTTCATAATTTTATTAATATTAAGGAAAAAAAATTTTACAAAGGGAAATGTAAAAAAAGATAAAAAAAGAAAGAAGAGAAAAAAAAAATTGTGTCAGCAATTTCATCCTCTTCTTTTATAAACACGTCCACTTCGTAAATGACAACATAATATTTGTACACAGCAACCCCATCCTCAGATGGACATAACTCATATGTAATCACATATCCAGTAAAGGTTATACGAATTGTTCATGTGAAAAAGTGGAATAATGAATAAAAAAAAAAAAAAAATTCAGTATCGGTGTTTTTTTCCATCCCATAATTACATCCACATCAAAGATGTGCTAATTTAAGATTTCCATTTTCTCCCAGTGAGCATAGAGAATATTAAAGGAATATATATATGCGTCAAAATTAGGGGCCCTAATTTGTTCCATTTCGTTTCGTAATAAGGCAGAAATATTGTGTGTATTTTTTAAATAAATCTAATGAGGAGAGAAGTTAATCTTCTCTTGTTTGGCTACAGCAATGACTATACTCAGTAACGTAACGTTTTTTGCACATAACAGTGGGTGCCACTAATATCCATGTTTCCAAGGCGTATGGATGATATACTTAATGTTCATCAAAATAAAAATATATTTACAAGTTCCGTTTATCAGTTGAAGGATTTCAAGTTCTCTTAAAGAAATTTTTCTTATAAATAATTAAAGATAAACAAAAATAAAATTGTATCCTTTTTAAGCAACGACAAAACAATAAAAAAAAAATAAAAATGAAATAAATAAAATAAAAGAAAAGTAGTATGGGACAAGGGAAGAAGAAATGTGTAGAACAATTCAAAAGATAAACGCGAAATGGTTGAAGGGAAAATGATGGGGTATTTTTAATTATATTGATGATGTAACATTTTTATTTAAAAAACAAAAAAATAAATAAATAAAATAAAATAAAGTAAAATAAAAAAAAAAAAAAAAAAACATTTAAAATTTATAATAAATAAAATTTTCTTCAAAATAATTTGATTACATTGAAAAAATTCTCCCTAACAACAGTCATCAACAGTCTGCTTCAAGTGTGGTGCTGGAAAGCATAGTACCACTCGGACGAAAAAAGCAAAATGGGGAAATAGCAATGAGGGAAAATAGTTAAAAGAACAGCATTTATGGAATTACCAAAATTAGCAAATTGGCAAATTAGCAAACTAACATATACACAAATTAGCAAACTAACATATACACAAATTAGCAAACTAACAAATAGACAAATTAGCAAACTAACAAATTAACAAATAATAGGTATTTACAAATTAACATATTAGCAGTATCTACAAATTAACAAAATAAGGGGACTCAAAAGACACACGAATACCAAGGCATGGGTTACAATCGCAAATATTTTTCATCTGTATACATAGGCCCTTGTGCCATGGGAGAAGTCATAAAGAATTTTGCTTGCATGAAGAGCTGTGGGGAGAGGAACATATTTACACACAGATTATGTCATTCTAGATCATATACAAAGGTTTCTTATCGGGAAGGGGGCACTATATAAACTGTAATGATGAATTAGTACGATTTTTTTTTTTTTTTTTTTTTTTTTTTTTTTTTTTTTTTGGGCGTTGGGAGGGGGTTTCTTACGAACAGCTCATTTAATCAAAATAATTTGTTTTATATGTAGACATTACATAATCATACATTGCTACAAGGTATATATAGAAATGTACTTATTTACTACGTTCATCTCTATCGTATCTACTTCATGGTGACTTCGGTCAGGTGTTCAATTGAGACTACTCATATTGACAGATTTAGAAATAGTAAAAAAATCATCATTTTTCTTCTCATTCATCCATCCATGAGAAATCATTGGATAAACAAATTCGTTCAAATTGGAACTCGAGTTCCAAATATCATTTTCATTATTGCCTTCTTTTTTATAATTCGAAAAATCCATATTTAAGAGGACACATGAGTTTTCATCATTCAGATCAGCATTTCTAGTACCGACATTATGCCCATTATTCACCTTATCAAACCAACTGTTGTTATTATTCTCTATATTATTATTATTAAGAAATGTGAGGTTGTGAATATCTGGTATAGACGTATTGCAATTTGATGTGGAATGTACAGAGTCATTAAGTTGAATATTTTTTTTAAGCAAATAATTATTTTCATTCAAACTGTTAATATAATTTATGTTTTTCATACTAGAATGTGTATTATTGATCTCATTATAAAGTAATTCATTTGATATTAAACATTTTATTTTTTTTAGAATGTCATATTTGTCATTAATGAAGGGGGAACTCTTATCCATGTTCATTCCATTATCGTTTAGATCAGGGAATTCCCTTAAATTTAGTTTTGCATTTTTTTCTTTCACCATAGTTGTGCTATCTCTTAGTTTTTTCTGCATCAAGTTTGAGTTCACCATGTTCGAACTGTTCATGTATGAGCTATTCTTATTTTTGCTGTTACTTAGGTGAGGAGGTATTTGGTTTTTTCCACAACTCCTGCGCTTGTTGGCTTCCCCCACACCTCCGAAGTTGTCATTTATTGGAAAAGCTTTGGTGATAAAACCGTTGGTTGAAAATCCATTCATTGAATGTGCGTTGGTCGAAAATCCATTCCTTGAATGTACGTTGGTCGAAAATCCATTCATTGAATGTGCGTTGGTCGAAAAGCCATTCACTGAATGCGTGTTGGTCGAAAAGCCATTCACTGAATGCGTGTTGGTCGAAAATCCGTTGTCCACAATCCCCCGTACGTCATCATTACTTCCGTTACTTTTCATATAGTTAAGGTTGCTGAGATCACCAACACTATCGTGATTGTCAATGGCCCTAGTTTTCTTGTCATCCCTCAAGAGAATCATTTCATTTTTCCACGTGTCTATATCAATATTTCTGCTTAATTCGTCTTTGTTCATTTTCTGCATTTGTGTTGTTTTTTGCTTCTGGTTTAGCGTCAAATCCTGGTTTGGGAATTCCTTATGGTGTAAAGCAAATGGACTGAAATCTTTGAAGGGGCCAAGTTCATCTAATTCTTGCAGATGGGTAGTGAAACTCGTGCTTCTAACGCTTTTCTTAGCATTGATCATGCTTCCATTGTCCATACTTCCATTGTCCATACTTCCATTGTTCATACTTCCATTTTCCATACTTCCATTGAAGGAAATTCCATAGGGGATAAGTCGTGATACTGGGCCAACAAACTTTTCCTCATAGCAATTCTTTTTCTTCCTTCCTTGTGGTTCATAATTTAATATACTTTTCTCAAATGCCTGATCCGAGACATCTTGCTCGATTATATCACAAATTAGCTGTTTGGAATTATCTACTATGTTTTCTGAGTTAACATTTGGGTATGCATTTCTTACACTTTCGAATGATTTCAAATTGCTTAGTAAATTTTCATACTCTCTGTTAACCATGTCACTATTATTCTTAACCGCAAATGCATCTTTGTATTCGTATGGACTATATGTATCATTTACACTTGGAAATGATTCTACATTTTGTGATATAAGAATATCATCTATGGTTTTAATTATGTTATTGAGATTGTCATCTGCCTTCATTTCATCGTCCAAGTTTGACATTATATAATTTGGATTCCTTTTTTCATTTGTGAATAAGAAATTATTACTAACAACTTCTGGAAGCACGTATTTGGACAGATCGTCGCTGTTCATTTTGCATTTTGAGTTTTTCTCTTCTGCTACCATGGTGGAAGTGTATCCAAAATGTGTTTCATTGCTGTTTTGGTTGATGCAATTTCGATTGGTGCTGTTTTGGTTGGTACAGTGTCTATTGGTGAAGTTTCTATTAGCGTAGCTTCTGTCATTGTTCATACTATCCGGTTTTGTCCCTTCCATTTTCATATCACCTGATATGACATCATTGTGCTTCATTCTCATTTTCTGCGAGTGTTCTTCTTCCACGATTGTGTTAACCTTCTCCTTTTTAATGGACTCCTTTAAGAGGTTATTTTCATTCAGGAGATACTTGATAACTTTCGTGTACTTGTCGTTATTTTCTATAAAAGTAGAGAGGGCAATGTTTTCAATTTTGTTTATAACTTCTTTAATTGAATTTCTATTTCTGCTAGCACAAAACTGTATATTTGCATCTGTTATTTCCTGGCGTAAATTTTCATTTGTATCTTGTGCAAGTACTTCGTTATTCGAATGAAAATTGTTCGATTTATTTTTTCTTTTCGTTTTTTCATTATTTGTTATGCTGCTTTTTAACATGAAAATATCTGTATCTTTATCATACGAAGAAGACACATTTGTATTTTCAGAAGATGCATTAATTGAATAGTCACATGTGTTGAACGAGTATGTGGAAGCTGTCCCTTGCTTCAAATCAGTAATGTTGCTTTTGATTTTATTTTTATTTTTCTTATTATAATTTGAACATTCAATCATATCTATATTTTCATTCGTTTTTATATCTTCCGTCCCGTGTGCAAATCTACATTTACTCCCATTAAAACATTTTCCCTTTCCCCAGAAGCTACATATTGTGGATTTGTAGGTAGCCAAATGCACACTAGGTTTTAGTGTGTCAATATCATGTGCAAATTTACAATTTATGTTTCGGCAAGGCATTTTTTTCTTTACATAATCACACAATTTGGTATTTCTTAAATCTGGCATTGGTTTTAATTCATCGATGCTGTGTGCATAGTGGCAATTTGATTCGTTTAGACAGTAATTCTTATTTTTCTGAAATGGACACAATTTAGTTTTGAAGAATTGTTTCTTTATAAGCGACAACGTTTCCGATTGCACCTGGTGTGCGTGCTTGTGGCTTTTATCGTTCATTTTTTTTTTTTTTTTTTTTTTTTTTAAAAAGGGGAAAAAAAAAAAAAGGGAAAAAAAAAAAAAAAAAAAAAAAAGAAAAAAAAAAAAGAAAAAAAAAAAAAAAAAAAAAAAAAAAAAAAAAAAAAAAAAAAAAAAAAAAAAAAAAAAAAAAAAAAAAAAAAAAAAAAAAAAAAAAAAAAAAAAAAAAAGGGCAAAAAAAAAGGGGAAAAAAAAAAAAAAAAAATGTGGCAAAAAAAAAGTGGCAAAAAAAAAAACGGTAAAAAAAAATATTTCAAATAATTTATAAACAGTCAGATTTTCCCAAAAATGGAAGATGTGGGGAAAAAAAGTTCACTATATATATAAGGGTAAACATCAAATGATATACAACTAAGCGAATTTTCATATATATATTTTTTTTTGATTTATATATACGCACACACATGCATCTCTACTCTTTTTTGTTATAATTTTAGCTTAAGTTTTTTTTTTTTTTCTCTCCCAGTTTTACAGCTATTTTCTTATTGTATGTTCATACTTTTTTTTTTTTTTTTTTTTTTCCCAATTTTAGAGCTATTTTCTTTTTACATGTTCATTTTTTTTTTTTTTTTTTTTTTTTTTTTTTTTTTTTTTTTGCACAGGGGGAAAAAAAAAAAAGGGGAAAAAAAAAAAAAAAAAAAAAGTGGCAAAAAAAAAGGGGAAAAAAAAAAAAAAAAAAATGTGGCAAAAAAAAAGGGGAAAAAAAAAAAAAAAAAAATGTGGCAAAAAAAAAGTGGCAAAAAAAAAAACGGTAAAAAAAAATATTTCAAATAATTTATAAACAGTCAGATTTTCCCAAAAATGGAAGATGTGGGGAAAAAAAGTTCACTATATATATAAGGGTAAACATCAAATGATATACAACTAAGCGAATATACAATCAACATATAATTGTGTAACAGCAAAAATTGTACGCTGGAAACACCACCGGTAAGGTAGAAAAGGAAAACACATATAAAAATGTATATAGATTCACACAATTATACATACGTATGCCCATACAATCATACATACACCCGTGAGTACATAAAGCCGTTTAGATAATGTTGTTTCAAGTCATAACAGATAATATCATAGAGAAGAATTATCTTTTTTCGACAGTGTGTATGTATTCCCACATACATAACTTCACTAATCTGCATACACAAAAATTCTTTCGGAACAAAGAGAGGATGTGTGTAAGAGATTTTTAAGTGAAAATATCTGAACTATAACATTTTCATTTTTCATGTCTCAGAGTGTAAAAGATATAATTGATGTGTTTTTTTTTTTTTGGGACACAGTTTGTAGAATATAAAACACTAATGAAAAAATAATTTAATGAAAAAAGCTTCTTTTTTTATTTTTTTTTTAACTTGTATGAATTGATTGTGCTATAAAATTGTGAGCCATATAAAAAAAATGAAAATGTAGAAGACAAAGAAAAAAAAAAAAAAAAAAAAAATTTAAACAAATTGGAACAAAAATAAAACAAATAATTGGGTGACAAGAAAGACTTAATAAAATTACTGTATTTGTGAAACAAAATTTGTTGATTAGTATTAATTAAGAAAGAAAAAAAATAAAGTAAAATAAAATAAGATAAAGTAAATAGTAATACCGTTCTGAAATAAAATAAAAAACAAATTTCATTAACGAATTTGTTGTTCAGGCTTGTTAAGTTGTTTATCAATTGTGCCATTAGGGGGGGGGTAGCAAATTGTTTTTTCGTGCGTGTGTGCGTGTATGTATGTGTTATATGTATTTATATGTGTGTATGCGTTTACTTATTAATGTATGTACCAGCATGTGTACGCTTTTCTTTCTTCCACTATACATTGAGAAAGCTTACATATTAGTGCAAATAAATGTGCAAGAATACAATCACTGCGTGTATGTAAAAAGAAAAAAAAAAAAAAAAAAACACGTATGAGAAATGAAAAACACTAGACTAAGTTGACATATAAAGCACAAACAAAAACAAAGACACGTGCTTAACTTTTTGTATATTTATAATGTATTATTTATATCTATAACGAAATAAGAAAAAACATATCGACGGTAAAAAAGAAGCAGTTTATCAAAAATACACAATTAAATATAACTAAATGGACAAGAAAAAAAAAATTGAAATAAATGTAGGTTTATAAAATATGTCAGTGAACAATCATCAAATTGGTTGACTTATTTGTGTTACACATCGATGTGTGGATGTACATACTGATGTCGTTTTTTTTTTTTTTTTTTTTTTTAGATAAACATTCTTTATAAATAGTTCTACCATGATTTTTTAGAAAAAATTATGCACCACATGTTTACACGTCTCATATATCACATAAAAGTATTTTTTTTTTTTTTTTGTGTGTGTGTGTGTGTATATGTGCTCCTGTAACTTTTTTCCATTCAGTATAGGGGTAGATATATATAGAGATGTTCATATGCATGCACTTAATCATTTATACATAGGTAACACATTTAAATTGCAAAGGAAAAAAAAGAAAAAAAAAAAAAAAAAAACTTTAAGTGTGTACCAAGTTGTTAGAATTTATATATTACCTATAGAAACGAAAAAACAAAATTGTTTATTATTTATGGTGATCAAGAAAAGAATCCTGTGTGTGTATTTAAATCTATCGTTCAGTTATACAAAAATAATTGATTGTTGGGAAACCAAAAAAAAAAAAAATAATATAATATAAAATAAAAACATTTCAGTGAAAGATTCTTACAGAACAAATAGAGTAAAATTAACAAGAAAAAAAAAAAAAAAAAAAAAAAGTAAAATAACTGGATACAGATGAGGAAAAGGAAAGGTTGAGCTGATAGAAACCTTTTCTGTACTCAGTTCACTAATCCATTTTGTGTGAATGATATATTTTATGTTTACAAACCTTATCTTTTCTGTTCTTTTTCCGAAATTTATATTTCTATAGCACGTTGATGTGTTGTTCATTGACGTGTCATTCCTACTAGAGTGAACATTTTCCGTTCCATGTACCGGCTACCTTTACATGAGTACTTTAAATATGCTTTTATATAGGAACGTAATTATTTTACCTTCTTTTCTTTTTTCAAAGGAACCTTAATTTTTATGATAATCCATTTTTTACGAAACAGAAATAGCTGCGGGAAAAGGTATTGTCTTTTAAAAGGGTACGCCCATGTAATGTGAATTACAAGGGAAAAAAATGAAAAAAATACACACTCATCTTATTTAGCATATGCTTAGATTTATTTTATTCCCTTTTAATGTTACATCTTTTGTAAACAGAACGGGAACGAAAGCAAACAAGCATAAACAAAATTTGAATTTTTGGAACACTTTGTTGTTGTTGTTGTTGTTTTTTTTTTTTTTTTTTTTTTTTTTTTTTTGTTTTGTGCACTTTTTTACTTTTTGGTATGTGTTTTTTGGCTTGTTTGCATTTTTTATATTTTATTTTTTTTTCTTTTGTTGTGCTCTAGTGTGGACCCCCAAACAGGAACTAAATTTTCACTATTTTCTTTCATGCGGACGTTCATATATATATTTTTTCCTATTAAACTTTTTGATTCTTTTGTTTTCTTTTAGTTTTAAGTGTGCACCTAAGAATTTTCCATGTATGTACCCACATCACATGTGAATTCTGGTTATGTTACAATAGGAAGAAAAAGAAATATACATACCTATATACCTATAGCATAAAAAAATATATACCCTTGCGTCAATACATACACATGATATACATGTGCGATGTGCATATGTGCACCTAGGCATGTGCGTGCGGAAACCAACAGGTGGTTCCAAGGGACCATTCATTGCAACCTCCATATTGCAGTTACTTGCATTTTGTTGAAATAGTCACATCAAAGTTTTGTTACTTTTTTTTTATTTTTTCCTCTTTCTAAAATAATTTCTTTCCTTTTTAGCATTTCGTTATTTCACAATAAATTTGCTTTGAAACAAATTCAACTTTTCAATATAAGCAAATTATGTAAAAGAAATAAAACACTTAGAGCTTCGTGTCACGTTACACGTGACGCTTTTTATAATTTCGGAAAGGTGCGTGCGCTGCGCATTGGTAGAAATATCCTTAGAGTATCGGAAACTTTCAACCTTCAGAGTGGCAAAAAAAAAGAGGCCCATAAATAGAGCTTCAAGGAAAAAGTAAATAAAATATTACCTACTTGTTTATATGTTGGTATATAAACACCTATGTTCTCACTATTTTATGAGGGTTAAATTTTGTGCCTTTATATATATATTTTTTTAACCTCACGTCCACCTTTGTTCATGTGCTTAATTATTTAGCAACTACACTGACAAACAATAGCAATAAAAAATAAAAAAATTCATTTTACTAATAAATTATAAGTTTTTTTTTTTTTTTTTAATACATGTAAAAACGACTTATTATAGAGGATTCCATTTAATATAGGGCATAGAAAATTATCACAGCATATGATCATCGGCAAGTGCATGTGAAACTTGTATGGAAGAATATTAGCACCTCCCCCTCACGTTTGTCATCTTTCGGGAATACTATACATATATATATATATATATATATGTGCATAGAGAGCAAGGCAGTGAAATGCATTACCAGAGTTAGCACTTTCTGAAAACGAAACTGAAATTTTAGCAGGATGAAAAAGGAACAACATACATATCAATGCAACGAACCGAATGAATCTCTGGCTAGTAATGGTGGTTCAAACTACGCAGAGGGTTTTATGAAAAATGGAATAGAAGAAAGAGGCTTCCTGAACTGTAATGACAATTGTCATTATGAAAATAATGAAATGAAAGACCCCACGAGACATAAGAATAAGGGCATTTTGAATGATAAAAAAAATGAACAATTTAGTAAGATAAAAAAATCCCCAAATAATGCAATGCCAATGATAAGGAAAAAAAATGTGAACATTAATCATAATGAGGAGATTGTTCCATATGTATGTACTCTAGTTTCGTACAAAAATTACACCATTTTTTTCATAACACCTAATGGAAAATTTGCTGTATGGGTACATTCCCACAATGTCATTTTTCCCTTTTCGGTGGAACAAGAAACTGAAATAATTTTTGGTGAAAGGAATTATCCCTTTTTGGAAATGTTCTGTGCCAAATTTATGAAAGATCATGCCCCTTTGTTAAAGTACAAGCCTATTATATTTGCTATATCTCTTCACAAAATGTGCTTCGATGACACGAAAGTTTTAACAGATATATTTTCCACGTTAAGCTCTATGGTAAAGTAAATCTCGTGCTCCACGAAAATGATCGATTTAGAATATTTTAGTACTAGAAAAACTTGCACATAGGTTTTTATCCCTTTTACATATGATTATGTGCAAGGTTTTATATGTTTGTTTCCAAATTTATGGAGGACGACCATTCATTAAAAGTGTAATTAAGCATGCAATTCTTGTTAAACCCTAAACCCGGAGCATTTTCCTCCTAACCCACTATGTTTAGTTATTATATTTTTATCAAAAATGAAGAAGAAGAAGAAGAAGAAGAAGAAGAAAAAAAAAAAAAAAATAGTTCCTGTAGATCTCGTAAGACATTTTCAAAAGACACAGTAAATTTTTATTTATTTTTTTATTTCTTTCATCCGTTTTTCTATCCTAAGTATGTGAACATATATACATATGAATGGAGAATTTCCTTATCATGTGTCATGTAATTGTGCTAACAAAGGAGCTATGTAAGATTAAATTTTTTTTTTTTACATATTTCTGTGTAACGCTGTGTGTAATCTAAAAAAAAAAAAAAAAAAAAAAGCACCTGACTAGGCAATATTTTATTATTATTATTTTTTTTTTTTTTCATTGTGGAGAGCTTCCCACTTAACTAGCTCCAACTGCATATCACTTTTAAATACTAAATTTGTCCAAACCCTTATATGTTTCCATTTTAGCAAAATACTTTCGTCTTTTAATATATTCAAACGTAAACCTGTAAAAATTATATATGCATAGAAGTTGCAATTATTTCGTGCATTTAAATATTCATTCACTTTTTCGTTAACTTATTAAACCATTTCGCCGTATCCTGTTTAAGCTTAGCTGTTTTGTTAAGAGTACCTCTTCGTAAATGTTTATCGCCTTTTCAAATTTTATGTCACATTTTCCATTTGAATATATATTCTCCTAATTCATGTGCTATTACTAAGCAGGAGGTTCACATGTCTGCATATGAACTCATGAAGGTATAGAAATGAAAAACGTTCCTATTTTTGTGTGTACACAGACACATATCATATGTATGTTTCTATATATTCTAGTTTTTTCCTGACACTGCTTTAAGACTCTATATTCTCCTTTTTTTTTTTTTTTTCAGTCTTATTTTTTCATATTTTTGCGAGCACATATGGATGTTTGTTTTTCTTTTGTTGATTTATTTTGATTACTTATGAAGAAACAAAAAAATAGGGCATATCCCAACAATTTCAGATTCTTAAGTAGTTGCGAAAATTTTTTTTTTTTACTTAAATATAATGTTCCATTATTGAGGGTATTTTTTCTTCGATAATATTCATTTCCTTTAGATCTTCGTTTCTTCAAGTTGTAGGAACAGGTTTTATATTTTACCCCATTTTGGTGAGTACGAATGTTGTCTTGTTCAGGAGAATCACCATTAGAAACCGATTTAGAATGGGCGATATAATCATCATAGGAATTAACATCACTATTATGTGTCCCTCTTCTATGCGTAACACGCTTACGAGCAATGAATCTCGGATCATCGTTCCCACTTTGGTAATTTTCTTGGTAATAAGGCCTCCTAAGGGGAAGAAAATAATGGCAGCACTTTTTTCTCAGTTCTTCTTCCATATAATGTTTATTTGAGAGACACACATCTTTTAAATAATTTTGGTATTTTAATATGCTTTTATTTGTCGAATACAAATAATGTGAATTTTTGTTAACTTTGTCTGCTGTATGAAAACATTTATCATGAAACTCGCAAGGGGGGTGATCATAATGAAATGAATAATTTCCAGAATTATTGGAGCGATTGTAACTATGTTGATTTTCATTACAGTTATACCTATTAAAAGATGTATAGTAACTGTTTCTGCTATTTACACAGACTAAAGGGTTGAAGTTCATTACGCTATTTGTTATTGGGATATTACTGTTGCTACCTTCCTGGTAGACACCATTTGACATGTACTTCATTTGTAATTTTTTATTTTTATTACTATTTGGGTGATTTGTTAAAATATTCCCATTTCTGAATCTTTCTACATTGAATGGCCTAATTCCATACACTTTAGGAAGCATATATACTTTTTTATCTTTTTCGAAATCATCATTTTGGTTGTTCCTGATTGAGTCCAATTTCAATTTTTGTCGTGAATGGGAAGATTCTAATGATATTTCACTCATTGAACACTTCCTTTTTGAGAAATAGTCGTAGTTCGTTTCATACATATCTGCAATACTACCATTTGAAGATAACCCTGTGTCGGTGCCAGACATAAGGTTATAATGTTCAATCCAGTTACTTTGTCTTTCCCACGATTTTTTTTCATTAACATTTGGTTCTGCAGCCAATTGTGTATCTGCTTCATTTACCTTTTGATATATTTTTTTCTGTTTTTTATACTTTTTTTCACAGTTAGGGTAGTCATTATATATGTTATATTTTTCACTCCTTAATTCTTTTTGTACTGGCACATTTTTTACTAACTCTGTATATTCTTTTGATACGTAATGCCTCTGCACATTTTTAATATTTTTATTTTTTGACTTGAAGTATGTTTCTGCTATAGGAGCAATTCCCGCATCCACTTGGTTAACGTGCATTTTCTTCTCGATTTTTATATTCCCTAACTTCTTATCACTACTTCTGATTTTCTTTTATGCGAAAAATTCATACTTTTTTGCTTTGAACTTCTTTTAGAATTTTAAAAAGTTGTGTGTCCGCTTTATTTTTGTTGTTCATCGCATATGATGCTGTTTCGTTACTGGGGTAGTTTTTGTCTTTGTGTCTTAAAGGGGGAATAAAAAGAATAGCAAGAAAAAAATAACCAGCAAAAAATAGCAAGAAAAAAATAACCAGCAAAAAATAGCAAGAAAAAAATGACACCAAAAAATAGCAAGAAAAAAATGACACCAAAAAATAGCAAGAAAAAAATGACACCAAAAAATAGTAAGAAAAAAATAATAATAAATATTTTCTGTTTAATGGTTTCGAAACGCCATGTATTAACAGGTTGATCTGGGTGTGTCATAAAATCCACTCGTTGTGCATGATCTTCCTCGTTTTTGAATGAATTTGTTTGTTGTACATATTATGCATGCACACATACGAACACGCAAAACAAATTTTTTATGAATGGCCATTTTGAAAAAACGCAAAGTTCTTTCACATGTATGAGGGCCTCTCGTTATCCCACGATATGAACGTTTTTATATGTGCATTCATAAGAAGTGTAACATACAAATGTTGTTATTATAAAATGTAAGAAAAGTGTGCATTACTTATAGAAACATATATTTTATAAAACTTAATCATAACAAAAAAGGTGCTATGCTATTCCTTAACATAAATGGTTACTTAAAGTGAGAGTTTGTAGCAAGAATTAATTTACAAAAAAATTTAAAATCCAATTTGATTGCTTTGTTTTAATCAATTTGGAAGGAACAAATGGGAAACATAATGTATCATATTTATACACTTTTTCTCGATTTACTAAACTTGTGCAGATATATTCTTGTTTTGTGATTAAATGAAATTATTTGAAAATTGCAAAAAAAAAGACAGGTAATAATGTAGTCTATAATTTTCCATGTAATGTGCCTTTTTTGGAAAAACATTTAGGCAACAAATTTTTAAAAATATTCATCCATTTTTGTTCAAAAGGAGAGGGGTTGTTACTTGTCTTTAGTTTTCTTGAAATCTTTTCTATTTTGTGAACTTTTATATGAACAATTCAGAAAAAAAAAAAACTTGCAGCTACGAAAATAACCTTAACAATATTGAAAACAATGAAATAAAACAAAAATAACTCAAGCCCATTTATAGCTACATTTTACCCCTCGAGATATTTCCGTTTCATTTTTAAATAACGCAACATGGACTCCTAAAGAATGACGTTTTTTACAAATGAATGAGAAAAAACGCTTTGAGTAAAAACCCAATTGGGACATGTACTTTAACGGAAAAGCGAACCATCTTTTTTTCTTTTTTTTTAAGAGATGTTAATCAGCTGTTTTTTTGTTTAAAAAGATTTTCATGTGTTTTTGAAAAATAGGCAAAATTTTAATTAAAAATGTATATACATATATATATATACACATATACATGTATTTATGTACACATTTTCAACACATGTGGGACGAATGAAATTGGAATGGAATTGTGGGGAAAAAAATAACGAAGCAAAAATAAAGTAGACCATACAACAATGTAAATAATAAGAAAAGAAAAAAAAAAAAAAAAAAACATTAATTATGCCTTTATAATATGTGTGCATAAATATAAATCAAAAAAAGAAAAAAAAAATTCGACTGCGTGTGTTTCCCATTTATGGGTGCTAAAATTACAAGAATGGGAAAATACATTCATGCATGAACACAAAGTAGACATTAACACTGTGTAGGTGAAGTTTCGCATAGGAAAAGAAAAGACAAATGACTAAAAACAGTATGCAGATTACAAGTAATGGAACTTTTTGCATTTGTGGAAATTTAAAACATTACATACTCTGCATAGAAGAAATTGCAAGAAAATGTTAATTTACAGAAAAATACATACTGGGACTCGGCGAAATGGGGTGCAAATTTGAGGAATGGGGAACATATATTACTCTAAATATTATCCCCTCACTCCTTGATTCTCCATCCTCTTCCTCAGATCTGGTAACCCTAATTATTCATTCTACTGCTTCAATGCTTCAATACTTCACTTAATGTGGGCCCTCCTCAGTGTTACCGCTCTGACAGACAAAATATCTCTAATTTTAGCTATATCCTCACATTCCATCCATCCGTATTCCTTTGTACATATTTCCTGCGTCTTCAAATTTAATAAATGATCTGAGACATTGTTGTCATATATGTCTATATACTGATATACGGTTGACAGTTTTAGGGGTGTTATAGAAAAATGTGTTTCGGCAGAGAAACTTTTTCTAAGATGAAAAGTAATTGATTTTTTTAAAAACTGAAATATATCATTAATTTCTTCATTCATTTGTGGGGTGATTTCATCAACTGGAGAATCAACACTTGAATATATGTCGAACATATTTTTAAGATCATTTATGTCTTTTGGATATTCACTATCAGTTGATGTATTGTGAACTGATTTGTCCCATTTTTGAGTATCATCATAATTGTCATAATTTTCAAAAACATTTTGTGACCATTCGGAATATACATTAAAATCTCTTTTATCATTTTTTTCCATTTTAATTTCTTGCTTTTTATCTACAATATTAATCTCCCTTTGAGAAGCATTTATTTTTTTACCTTTTGTATGTGTTTTTTTTTTCCTAATGTTGTGCAGATTTTTGATTATTTTTGTAACTACATTATCGATGAAATTTTTTTTTTTAACAATAATTCTGCTGATTTCATTTGCACTTTTTGTCTTAATTTCTTTAAAATAATTATCCCTAAAATCTATAGTTTGGTAAATATAACTGGATGGGTCTTTCCGAGGGTCATATCCATACTTACAATATGTACGTCTCCATGGCCCGTCAGCGAAGTAAAAGCAAATTCGTGAAAAACAACTTTTGAGACAGTAGGTGCTCACATTTTCAAGATGTTCCAATATAACTTCCTTTGTCCATATAGGTCTAACTTCAAAGAGTTCTTTTACCTTTTTATATAACTTGTCAGAAACGTATTTTTTTAATGCAGAATCGAAAGGTACACATGGGAGGGTAGGATCATCAAATTTGGCTATCGGATTACAGTGGACTGTTTTTTTTATTACTATAATTTGGTTACTAGGTTTGTCTGATAAGTTCATAATTCGACTTACGCTTCTTGATTCATCTGTTTCTTTTTCACCCTGCAGGTTACTACTGAGGGCCGACGGACGTATAAGTAACTCTTCTTCATCATTGTACGCGGGAGAAAATATTTTACTGTCACGCAAAGCTTGAACATTATGTTTATGAGGATGCTCTCCCACGCTTCTGCCACCTGCAGCAGAAAAAGTCTCTCTATCAAGGATATTTTTATAAGCGTCTTTCACATCTTCGTTATGGGAATGTGAATCCATGTTCTTATGCAATTCTTGAGTGTTGAGCATTTCTTCTTCATACATGTCATGTCTACTTTGGGAAAATTTGGCTGTGCTCTTTTGTGTGGCACTAGCTGATTGACCTTTTTCAGTTTTGCTCATGATTAACTCTTGAATGAATTCTTCCATTTCACCTGCACTGGCTTCAACTTGTGAATAAAGAGGTGAAGTATATTTACTTATTAAATATTTGTATTCCCTAAGATACTTGCTGGTTGTCTTAGATTCATAATTTCTGTAAAAATAAGGATTTGTACATTTGCTATGAATACAACAATTTAATTCATATCCTTCACTTTCATCTGAAGAATATTCACATTCTTTCACTTTATCAAATAGTGTAGTGTACTTATTAGAATCTATTATTTTTTTATATATTTCATTTTCATCTGTATCAGTAAAATAATAATCATCTTCCTGATTATCGGTTTGCACCATGTAGTTATCTCGGCAGTTTTGAAAGAGGAATGATTCCATATTTGCAAAGTATGGTTCGGTACTTATATGTGCCACACTTGATTTTCCCCTTATATTTGCTCTACCAATACAGGCATTGTTCATTTTCACATTTTCTCCTATTATTTTTCTTACACTTTCGCTAACGGTTCTTCGATTCCTTCGAGCTTCTTTTCCCTTCACATTGTGGCTCGAGTCCCTGCTGACTCGCCGGCTCTTGTGTGGACTTAAACTTTGGCTTCCACATGGGCTACCATTTCTACTACCATTTGGAAAAGCGCTACCATTGTAATTCCTCCTATTGGGATTCATTTCATAAATTTGCATGTCTGTGGTGGAGACCTTTTGTCTATTTTCTATTCTTTCTTCAGGAGCAATTGCGTAGATATTATCTCTCGATTTCCCGCCTACATATGCAATTCCTGTATTCGAATTAAGGGCATAGAAATTTAAATTATTTGTATTACTCCAATATTTCTTCAAGAAGGAATTCGTGTCTTTATTATGATCCCTATTAATAATATTGTTCATATTTGTGGAATATCTATGTTCGTAGGTAGCTATATTTTGAGGGTAATAATTTCGGTTAAAAATGGATTGTTCATATGGGTTCATATTAGGATTCATCAAATTCACATACTGCGTATTAGAGTTATGCATGCACATATCTGTCATATTATTCATGCTGCAACTTTTACGACTTAAAAAATCGTTCATATGGGACATATTTTCTTTGTCACCATTTTGATGAGGATGAAATTGGTTTATTGTAATATCGGTTAATGCTCCTTTATTTTGAACATATGATGCCTGGTTATGTATGTTTTCATTGATTTTAAGAATGATTAGATCTTTACTACCATTTTGGTTAATATTTTCTACAATGTCACAAGTGTTGCCTTTTTTTCTCACTCTTTCTTCCCCTTTTTGCTCTTTTTTTTTTTTTTTTTTTTTTTTTTTCCTTTTCTTTTCTTGACTTCCTCTAGTTAAATACTGCATATAATTGATGTCGTAATCGTGCCTATTGTAAAATGTGGGGATGTAGTAAAAATCGATCATATTGTCAAAATAGTACAGATATCGAACAAAGCCGAGAAATTCAAATTTGTATACATTTTTCCTTGTTTTTTTAATTTTAATTAACACATTATACACTTTTGCTGAATTAGCTGATATAAATGATGAAAACATATCATTACTATTTACTGTTAAAATTAAATTTTCATTAGTTCTGTATCCATTGTAATGAAAATTGAATAGTTCTGTCATTTTTTTTACTCCTCCTAAGCTTTCAACTGCAGACAATCCACTACTTCCCTTTTTTACTCTCCCTGGAATTTCTACACAAATGTATTCATTCTTTCTTACTTTCTCAAAATAGACGCTTTCATTTCGTTCACTTTCCCTTGCTTCCTTTGTGTACAAGTCGTCGTTTATAGTTTCAACTTTTTCCCGGCTCATATCAGTACTTAGTTCTAAATTTATATGTGCAGTTTGGCTTTATACACGCCCAAGTGAAAAAAAAAAAAAAAAAAAAAAAAAAAAAAAAACACACGCACACAAGAAGAAGAAGTATATGTTACATTACACATATCATGATAATGGAAATATTTTCTGGTTTTAACGCATATTTATGTACCTCATCTTGGGCTATATTTAAGATATAAACTTAGGAATATCAAGTGGTGTTTTATTTTGTTTTTCCGGCCGGAAGATGGCTAAAAATGGAACTCCGTTTTGGGTGATGACTTCCACAATCTCTCTTTTTTGCACCTCTCTCTGTTGCTTCTCTCTTTTTTGCACCTCTCTCTGTTGCTCCTCCCTTTTTTGTTCCTCCCTTTTTTGTTCCTCCCTTTTTTGCTCCTCCCTTTTTTGGCTCCTCTATTTTTTGCTCCTCTCTCTGTTGCCCCTCTCCCTGTGTATACGTGTGCTGTGTAAATGTGATTTTTATATTCTTTAATCCCTATTTCATTTTTGCAAATTATAATATTGCTATGAACTAAAAGAATACCCTATTCGACCAATTTAAGGTAGGTGCAAAACAGAGCAAGAAGAGTTAATACATTGGGTAAATGTCACATGGGCTAACATTCTAACCATCACGCTGCTGTGACAAAATTGAGAGAGAAAAAAATAAAACATAGTTAAAAAAAAAAAATAATTAGCAATGCACACGATAACATGCAAATGTGTATTTATCTATCTTGTTCTATGTGAAAAAAAATTAAACCAGTAATATATGTTATGGCAAAAAGAAAGAACAAAAAAAGGAAGGACATTTACAAACTGGTGCATATGTAAAGTGTTTACATAATTTGCGTTGTAAATAGGGCCAAATCTCAAAAGGGTTACAAGGAGGGAAATATAAAAACATATGTATGAAGTGTAGATAAAGAGTAATGCCTGAAAAATGCAAAAAGGGGAGGGGAATAACTTTTCTACGTTCAAATTATGGTGTTTAAAAAATAATATACAAAATAGTGAGTCCGCAAAAAGAAGTGAACATGAAGAAGTGAACATGAAGAAGTGAAAATAAAGAAGTGAAAATAAAGAAGTGAAAATAAAGAAGTGAAAATAAAGAAGTGAGCATGAAGAAGTGAAAATAAAGAGCTATCGAAATGGGAAGAAAATCGCTTTGAACGGGGAGTAAATTAGCACACAGTTTATAAGAAGCTGACAAAGGTTTAAAAAAAAGAAAATAAAAAAAAAAAAAAAAAAAAAAAAGGAAGGAAGGAAGAAACAAACGAAGAGGGAATAAGATTCTCTTCTTTTTCAACCATTTTCACACACATTTAACGTAGGACATTTTCGCCTAACATACACGCACGAATGCCATACGACAGGGGAGAGAACCAGTGATCACACAAATAAAGAATGCTGAGATTTGAGAGAATAAAAAGAACAAGTAACACCCATCGCTTCCTATTAAACGATGTAAGAAATAGAATCGACGTGGCTTTAAACGAATATGAAGACATCATACCAAGTAATAATAGCAAAAGGTGCAGGAATAAATACAAAAATATACAGAATTTGCACAGAATTATTCAGAATGGTGTGTTAAAGGGGCACAAAAATGTGTACTTTTACAAATATTTATTACATATTGCAGAAAAAAGAAAAAATGATTTGAGCTTATATCAAATAAACATAATTTTAAAAGCACTCATAAGAGCAAATATTTATAGATTTGTGTTATTACGTTCTTTCGAAATCCCTATTTTGAAATATGTAAACCATTTAAATGTTTTAATTAACGACTGCAATGTTAAGTGTAACAAGTGTGCACAAACTAAGTATATGGGAAAAGGTATCTATAGTAGCAGCTGTGATGAGGGTAAAAAATGCACAATTGAAATGAAGAAAAGGTTACATTTAATGAAAGGAATACAGAACTTTAAGAAACGCGATCATACAGTAGAGAATAATCTAAATGTAGAAATTATTTCTGACCAGTTTAATATCTTACTTGATATTTTTAAAAACTACATGTATGTTGTAAATTTTCACTTTTCTTTTTTATGTGAAACTTTGTTCTTCTTTATAACCAAGAATTATGAATACGCACATGATAGACAAAGTGTAATGCATATTGTGGGAATGTATTTAGAAAGATTTTTATCAAATTATGTCAAGACAACTCAAAAGGGAAATTATCTGCCTAACCCCAGAGAATATAAAACACAAAATATGGTATCAACTCCAAATGAAAAATTACAACTTTCAAATTTGTATAGACATAAATACAGACAAAACATTAATGTAAAAATGGTAGGAAACTATATCATCGTTTCTCGTAAAAGTGACAAAAATAAGGAGGGAGAAAAAAAATCCCATTATTTTAATCCAATATTTTGTAAAAACAATATCCTTAGCATATGTAAATATATGATAATGCTAATTTTGAAAAATAACAAGTTAGTTCTATATTGTAAGAAAATAAGAAGTAAAGAGATGACAAAAAAAAAAAACATATATATATCAAATGGGTATATGTACAAAATGAAAAATGCAAACTCCGTATTGAATTTTCAACCGATGAAATATTTATTAAAAATAAAATTTATCGATAATATAGAATTCCTTAAGGGGAGATATTTTTCGAAAGACTTAATGAGCAATCTTCATTTTTTACTAAACCTTGAGGAGTGTAAGGAAAGACTAAATTTGAGATCTAATATTTTTACCAATTATGTACAAAAGGTTTGGAAAACACAGAAAAAATGCACTTCTAATTTGCACAATTTTCCATTTATAGTTGAACACTCGAGATCATCAAATGTTGCATGCAATTATCATTAATTTTAATTGGGGAAAAATGGGAATTATATCACGAAGGGCTGAAGAGAAATACAAAAAATAATATATGAGGTTATGATACACATTTAGGAGAACCGAACCTTAAAAAAATGTACAAAAAAAAAGAAAAATGCAATCCGTAGGTAATTTGAACAAGGCTAAACTTTATAGGAGGTTTTTTTTTTTTTCCTACATCAGTAAGAACAGCAAAGCAGTCGGGGTTGAAGTTGGGGTGGAAGCATATATCTTTAAAAATCGATTGTTATTTTTCCTTATAATTTTCATAAATAGTGGGAAATATATATTTTAAAATGTGATTCGCTTCATTCATAAGTTTGTTACACATAAATAAATGTAGAATATCATATGGTGTGCATGAAACGGATGAAATGAAATATACGGGACAAAATCAGAGAAATAAAATGAGTCAAATCAAAAAAAACATTATATTATATCAAACAACATTACACAAATTTTGGGGACTGTTAATTTTTGTCATAGCATATATCATAACGTATTAACAAAATGGTGTGCAGACATGTGTGCACATTAGCAAAAGTGGCAGGTGTGGTTATTTTCTCTATCTAGCTAAATGTTTTTTTTTTTTTTTTTTGCCAATTTGAGAATAAATTAACCTACTGTTTTATTGTTTTGTTTTACTTCTTTATTGCTTTATTGCTTTACTGCTTTATTGCTTTACTACTTTATTGCTTTACTCCTTTATTGCTTTACTCCTTTATTGCTTTACTGCTTTATTGCTTTACTGCTTTATTGCTTTACTGCTTTATTTTTTTATACTTTTTTTTTTTTTTTTTTTCTACCCCCTACATACGTTGAGCTATTTTTCACTCATTATCCTGCTTAATCGATCTTGCTCAATCAACTGCAAGCACTTTTCTGCTGTTTTTCTACGAACTCTTTGATTTGATGTCATTCTTTGTGCGTTACTACTACTTTCAGTTTGGACTTGCGAATTTTCATTGTTGCCATAATTAACACTGCTTACTTCTTTTTCGTTATAAATAACATCTCTATTTGTTGATGAAGAATTGCACATTGTGTTATTACTAGCAATAATTTGTGGGCTATTTATTAATTGATCCAAGTTGGTCATACAATGATCATATATAAAAATGTTATTGTTATTTGTAAGCAAATCCAATGAATTGTATTTTCCATTGAATATACAGTCGAAGCCATTGAAGTAATTATTATTTTTATGTTCACTACTAGGAATGCCGTCTTTATCCAGTATTACAGTTTCGTGCATACTACAGGACGTGGGGCACTGTGAGTTTATGAGGTCATTATTTCCGATTTGTTCAAAAGGGAGATGCTGGTGATGGTGCTGGTTATTATTATGATGATGTTGATTATAATTATTATACTGCTTATCATTATGATGATGATGATTGGGACTGTTATTTCCAACATTTCTGAAATTTTCGTCTACTTTATGCACCATTTCATCCTCTTCATTATTTTTCATGCCAAATATGGAAGTGGTGGGGATTGTTTCCACTCCTTCGTGTTGCAATTGAGAAAACTCATTATTTTCAATGTTCCTACTTTCCTTCTCATTTTTGCTGTTTGTATATGGAATACTCTGAATGTTTTCATTCGATGCCATATTTTTGTATGTACCAACGTTTTCCATGGACAATTCACTCAAAGTGTTTTTCATTTCCGAATTTTGTCTTATCACACTGCATTCGTATTGGTTGTTCAATTCATTCGTGGCCATGTTCATTATATCTGCCCTGGAATGATTCATTACATTTTCTTGTTCATTGATAATCATTTTAAAATCTGCACTATTGCAATGCTTGCAATTGTTATTGCTGCTGAGGTTATTGCTGTTGAGGTTATTGCTGTTGAGGTTATTGCTGCTGAGGTTATTGCTGCTGAGGTTATTGCTGTTGAGGTTATTGCTGCTGAGGTTATTGCTGTTGAGGTTATTGCTGCTGAGGTTATTGTTGCTGAGGTTATTGCTGCTGAGGTTATTGCTGCTGAGGTTATTACTGTTGCGATTAAAACTGCTATGGTTAACAGTGTTTATAGAGAGACGCTGGTTCCCTTCATACAAGGATTGACAAGGTAGGTTTTGGTATGAACTTTGTGATATGCCATATGGCATGGGTTGAACTGCGTCGTATGACAAACCGTGATCTTCACTGTGTGATAAATGGAGGCCTTGGATGTATGTTAAACCATCACACACTCCGGTATAATCACTAACAGTTGCTCCCTCAGCAGAAACGCTTTGCCTTTTGAACATGCTAAGTAAATGTGAATTTTGGAGTTGCTTAACATTTAAAAGTTGCACCAACTTTTGATAATGGTGCATCTGTGATTTTATACGAAGATTTAAATTGTCATTCAATTTGATCTGATAGAGTAAATCTTTTTCTAATTCCATTTTCTTATTTTGTATTTTCACAATTTTTTTATTCATGCGATTGTAAATATTGTCATCTGAATCCACGTCTTCTTTCAAAAACAAATTGTTGTTGTTATCATCAAAATCATCCCCTAAATCTTCTTTCATTTGGATACAAACAATATGAGGGTTAATATTAATAGTTACAAAATTACTAGGCATAAAATTATTATTACAAGATACATCAGTAAATCCTCCCCATGAATAAATTGTTTCATTTTTTATAAAACACTTTAGGCATGCTTTAGCACTATATTCATTAATATACTGAAATTTTTTATTTTTAAAGGAATAAACAGCTGAAGGCATTTTCTCAATATATCTATATTTGTACTCTTCTCCACCAATAATAAATATGTAATTATTAGAACAAGCCAAGGAATGACATGATCGATTTTCATTTATCGGATCTACGTAAACTGGCAAAATAGACCAATACCAATTATTTCCATTATTTTGTAAGGATAATAATCTATTACTAATACTTGTTCTGTTTTTCATTTTCCCTCCATATAAAATTAAATTATTCACATTATTTTCTCTGTCATACCATATGGTAGTAGCATGGAAATATCTCCCCAATGGATCAATCGTTTGATATTCTATTTCTTGCCAGCTAAAATATAAAACTTTTTTCCTATTTTTATCATATTTCGTTTTACACTTATTTATATTCAGTACCCATAGATCATTTTTGAAAAACAAATTTTCTTCATCATATATATTTTCATTTCCACCAAAGAGAATTAGATGAGGATATAAAAAGTCTAAGGTGTGTCCATATCTATTGTTTGGTTTTTTTCCTGCAGTTTTTATATGAACCCACATTCTTTTCACTTTTTTTAAACTGGATGAGTCATCCCCATCATCCGTGTTGTCCTCAGATGAGGCACTGCTGCATGAGAGAGAATTTTCCTGCATGAGTAAACTTTTAACTGGAACTCTCGAATTTACAAGTACATGATCATCATCATCATCTTCTTCTTCATCTGCTTCTTCTTCTTCTACTTCATTGTTAAATTGGTTATTTTCATGAATGTACATATTAGATCGAAAAAAACGGGAATTACATGGTGGCAAGGAATTAGACGACGAAGATGACGAAGACGAAGTCACCAATGCTGATGCAGATGATACAGAAATGTTTGACGCAGAGAACAAATAAGATGAAGAAGATGTCCGTTTTCTCTTTTTATTATTTAGTAAAACATTTGTTTCTTGCGGAACATTTCCTAGCTGTGGTACATTTGCTTTTATATCGTTTGACGATTCCTCTTTGTGACAAAATTTTGTTGCAGTAGTGGTAGTAGCGGTAGCAGTGGCAGTAGTGGTAGGACTGTCTATACAATTGCTACTTTTTCCGGTAAAATGTTTATTGTTGTTCCATTTTTCTCCTCCCCCATCAACATCCCTTTTTTCACTTGTCACTAATGATACCTCTGCGTTATCCTTATCTTTTTCTACATTCATGCAAACACTGCTTTTGTGAATAAATGATTTTTCATAATTTCCCTCCTCTGCTTGGCTTTCTCCGGGATGACTCTCCGGAGGCTCATTTGCAGGCTTGCCATTGTTGTTATTTTTTTCATTTTCACTATTTTTCCCATTTTCATCCCAATCATCTTTAATAACAGTTTTGTTAAAGCAGGAACTTTGGTTCTCTTCCCGAAAGTTAGCATACACAAGGCGATCGCTCTCACACTCGCCTCGACGATACTTAGTGCTTCTCTGTTTAGGAGATTTAATTTCTTCACATGCACTACTAATACTTGTTGTGTCACTTTGATCTGCCCTTGTGTACTCACCGCTGGCATGGTGGCTGGTTCGTGCACTACTATTGTCGCTTCTCATTCCTGCACGTCGAACAGAAATTTTGCTTAAGTTCAGTGCACATAATCGATTATTGGCCAATTTATTATTCTTTACTTTTCCCCCGTGAATAAATAAAAAAACCCCATCTAACCCTAAATTGACAATACAAGAAGCATGGAATGCTCTCGGTTCTGGTACGTTATGAGTCTTCACCTTGGTCCAGTATTCAAAATCATTATTTTCTTCTTCACATATGTATACATCATTAAAAGTTTTATGTAGATAATTTTCCATAAGCATCATATTACGTTTGACGTTATTAACATCTTCATCTTCTTCATCTTTGGATTGTAAATATCCATTTGAATAATTGTTTACAAATTCTTCTTCTAATAAAGCACCACCAAAAAGGACAACTTTATGCTTTCCATAGGTGAGCATATTATTATGCTCCTTTTTTACCTTATCCTGTTTATCACACAATTCGTTATTATTTCTTAAAAAATTTTCTCCATTCTTACAATATTCCAATGATACTTCCATTCCTTTGAGATTCTCCTCCTTACATTGCTTGCCCATGTTTTGGGTATCTCCTCTCTTGTTTCTCCCTTCTTCCTTCTTTTCCCCATTTGCGTTTTCTAGTTTTCGACTAATTTCTTCTTTTTCCCACATTTCTGTCTCTCTATTGATATGATCCTCGTATTTTCCATTGTTTATATGACTTTCTTCATCTCTTCCATTCTCACCATTTGGATCCAAACTTGAGTTTAATGTGTATGCATATGGAGTTCTTATTTGTTTCACTTCATCCACCTGGCCCCGTTCATCCAAGAGGTCAGTGTCTTCACGGGGATGTCCTTTTTCCTTTAAAGAAAAATTACTTATTACATCGGTTGAACTTAGCTCATAATAATTGTGTAAGGAATGACCTACACGACCAACAGGTTTGTTCGTGTCCAAATATTTTCTCCTCTTGTCATTACAGAAAAGTGTTAGTGACATACTTGAAGACAAGTTGAATTAAATATTGCTTTCATGGGTTAAGGACATTACATGAGGTTTTTTTTTTTTTTTGTTTTTTTTTTTTCCCCTTTTTATTTAAAAGCATTATAGGCATATGCGTATATGTTTATGTTCTACGCATATATGCAGTACTTATGTTTGTATATACTTAGTTACTATTGCATATTCACATATGTATATATACATGTAAGAAGTTCCCTAAATATATGTATAAGTCTTCACATACAAAAAAATAAAAAAAAACCAAACAAATGCATATATGATAATATATCTCTTGCTCTACGTTTTTTTTTTTTTTTTTTTCCTTCTTCATTTCTATCATTTTTTTTTAAAAAAACACTAAAAAACAATACTTTTCAAAGATGAGTGAAATGATGAAGGAAAGAATAAAAAAAAAAAAAAAAAAAAAAAAACTCAAAGGGAAAGAGTGCCAAACAATTAATTATAGGTGAATCATCGTTCTCTTAATTTAATTAAAAATCAAAAACAAACGCTAGGTAGTAATATATGAGGTAGATAAACTAAAATGTTATGCCTCTTTTATAACATTATATATGTATATATAGGGACTTATTTGATTAACTGCATGACATTTATTTATATATTTGACCCTACTTGAGAAAAAAAAAAAAAAAAAGAAAAAAAAGTGTGATTCGTACAAAATATAAATATGTTTTAAGTGCCATAATTAAACTAAATTTATTCGTTCTACAGTTATGTAAAAAAAACAAAAAAAAAAAAAAAATCATTTTGCCATAATATTTTTGACATAATCTAAAAAGAACAAAATTATAGTATGGTTTGTATGGTTTTAATTTTTTCTGTATTCGTGAACTTGTATAATGTATATGAAAACTTATATGAATTGGCACATTTTCATGGCACAAAAGGGGCTAATTGGTATAGAAGCATAAAAATATATACCTATATATATGCATATAATATTATATATATATTTATGCCACATACATATGAACTGAGCATAGGAGAGTACCCCACCGAATTGTGCAAATTGCACGATTGAAGGCAGGGACACCTAATAAAAGGAAATTCATGGATGTTGCAAAATAAAAATAGTAAGGTTAATTTTTTTTTTTTTTTTTTTAAGTTAACATTTTGAAAAAATTATTCTATTCGTCTGTTTCCGAAGCGGAAGTCTTGTAATGACTTATTTTTTGATACAAAACAATTTCTACCAAGTTTATAATCATTTTGACAACAATATTTTAAAAGTATCGTAGATTTGTGCTTCCAAACATTGTATGGTCACATGTAAAAAAAAAAAAAAAAAGAAAGAAAAACAATATTTTGGAATGCTTATTGTTGTGTTATGTTATGTATTTATTTATATCGGTTTAATCTACAGAAAAAAAGGGCTTGTTCTTCGTTTTTGTATAGAAATTTCTGGGTTAATAAGAAAACACAAACATCGTTGCAACTTTTTACGTGTCGATTAATGGCACCACAATCTCCCATTTGTCTATTTAAGACCCCAACAGGTACATGCAATTTTAGTAAAATGTTGTGAGTATATTTGAGATATCGAGTAAAATGGCTGTAATACCAAAAAAATACAAAACCTTTACAAAGGAATGATTTTAAGCCATTTGAATAGGGTCACTTAAGAAAAGGTATGTTCGACCATTTTTTGTTAATTTAAAAAAAAAAAGCAAATCATAAATTTTATAATTCTGCTAACAATTTTGTAGACGAAAAATGATATATAAATATATTTCACAAATATTGTGGGATTGTCCAAGGGACTTAAGCACATGAAAACAATTGCGCAATTCCACATTTGTTCTTCCTTTTTATACAAAATTTAACAAAATATTATGCATAGAGAAAGGTGGAAAAAAAGACTATGATGATATGCATTAGGCGTGTTTGTGTTCATGTATGTGTGTGGTACCAAATTGGGTACGATATTTATCACACAGCTCATTTTTGTGAAAAAAAAAAAAAAATGAAATTTATTTGAAAAAATGAACAAATAAATAAAATGAGAAAAGTAAGCTGAACAAAATGAATTCGTGTAAACTACTTGAACGACGCGCAGAAAACGTATCACAATCATAATAAAACAATTTAATAGGTTTTAATAATATTAACCAAGTATTTCCTGTGTTGTAAATTGCGAATATCCCAAACGTGAAGTTCATCTTCATATGGTGGATATTCCCCTAAAATGAAAATAAAAATGGGCGATTATTGCTAGGATTAAATGTTGTGGCATACGATGGTGCACAAATGAATACAAGGCATGACATACAAAAAAAAAAAAAAAAAAAAAAAAAACATACACACGCAAGTACATAACAAATGAACAACTCAAGCATAGAATTACCAAAAAGAACTAAACCCTTGCTGTCATAATCTTGGCTCGAATTTAATAACCAACCTACAGGGAGGGGAAAAGAAAACGGGAAAACCAGCGTAGGAACAAATGTGCATATATTTATTTATGTATATATATATGTACATGCATATTGCACATGCACAAGGGGAAAAACTTACCAGAGTAAAATTCTCGTATTTTCAAGGTGTAATAAACGAAGAGTTTGGAAGGAGAAATGAAAATAAAATTCAGGAATCCGTTGATTTCATGTTGTACTATGTAGTAAAAGTTGGATTGTTCATCAAAAGCTATGTGTATGGGGGGGAATACACTAAATTCGGGTTTGTTTGTCATATATTCCACATATTCAATTATATCTCTGTTTTCTGATAATAAATTAATTACAGACAAACAATAACTTATTTGAAATTTGTGAGAGTTGCTATTATTTTCATTTTTAATATAATTATTAAAAGGATAAAATTTCGCGTACTTTTGGTATTCTTCATTTTCGTATTTTTCCGTATTAAATTGTGCCTTATTTTGTTTCCTCTCTTCTGACCTCCTTCCTGAACTGGGATTATTCTCGTCGTTTGCAGGTTGGTTGTGACTTCCGCTTGCAGACTGGTTGTGACTTCCGATTACAGACTGATTACCATTGTCAGTGCGTCCACTCTGCCCGTTCTGATCTCTCTTATCAGAGGATTGTATGTATCTCTGAACAAAGAGCAACCTACCATTAACAGCGTCTATGGTAGCGATTTGGTTAATAACATTTCCGCAAAAGTGTGTAATTATTTCGACGTGCTGCATGGTGATATTTTCATAAAATGGGTCCTTTCCTATCAATTTCTTGTTTATAAATTCATAAGCGCTTTCTATCTTGGAACTAGCTAAAATTACGTAACAATAGTTGTTCATTAAGAAGAGATCATAATTTTTAACAGAATTGTTCATGTGACAAGAATAGGATAAATTATTAAAATTGTAGCATTTGTTTTTTTTTAATTCAACAAATACGAAAAAACAAAGTGAAACATCCTTTTCGTTACAACTTGAAATTTGCATATTTCGAAACAGAGTAGTATCAACTAGTATGGTATTAATTATCCCATAAGAATCATTTATATCCTTTTTATTCACATATATTCCACTTTTCTGTTTATTATTTTGCTCTGCGTAAATATAAAAATTACCTTTCACTTCATTTATTCCTACTGATAAATTTTCAAAATTGTGCAAAATGTTATCATACCCTTCTACATATATAGTGTTTTTATTATTAAAGTATTTTATACTTGGAATGATTTTTCTGTTTGGTGATATATACACAGCTGAATCATATCTCAAAAAGCTGATTTCTCTTAAGTAGTTAAAAGCAAAATTTCGGTAATTTTCATTTTGTCTTAAATTCATTTTAGTTCTACTGTTCAATTCTTCTTCCTCTTCTTTCTGTTTTCTTAGAATCAGCATAAGAACAAATAAAAACATAAGGGTTAAGAAATATTTGAAGCACGACCTTCTTTCATCCACAGTTCGTTCTCCTCCAGAAGTTATCATAATATATGCCGCTTAACAAGTCTTTATGTTCAGGCTATAATTATATCACGCACATGTGTACGTATGTATGTGCCGTGTGCACATGGGAAAATATGGGTATATATATATATATATATATATAAATATTCACACTTGAGTCCAGTGCAATCCTATTACACAAACATGGAAAGTAAATAAAAGGAAATAATAAAACTGAAAAAGAAAATAGACCAAAACGTGTTCACATGAGGTAGGTAATTCAGATGGATCCATTTTTTTTTATATATTCTTATTTACACATAATTTTTTATCTGTATGTGTAGAAAAAAAAAAAAAAAAAAAGTTAATCAAACGGATTATTAGAGATGCTGAAAGGGTTAATATATATAGTACTTATAAAAGGTCTACTATTGTGAGCGCGGGGATTGCCACACCCCTATCCTAGTATGAGGTAGCCTGATTTGTGCATTTAATATAATAATAATTCCGATTCATGCTGAGATCAATATACATATAAAGGTCATGAGCGACGAATTGTTTCGCTGCAATGTTCCTTTTTCATTTTTGGAATAAAATAATTTTATTGAAAAGAGGAAGAAATACAATTAGTTCAGATCGTTTGGTACTACTTAACACAGGAAGAAAACATTTTTAAAACTCTTTTATTTACATGTTCATTTGATCCCCCTTGAGAAGAGCTCAAGCGGAATTTTCACCTAAATTTAATGCTGTAAAAAGCTTTCTCCTGTTTTTATTTTTTAATAAAAAAAAAAAAAAGAACTCGTAAAAAAATATTCTGGGCTGAAAAGGAATAACATTATATGATAAATTTTTTTTTTTTTTTTTTAGCATAACAAAACAAGAATTAAGTAAAAAAAAAAAAAAAATTGACACACCTTATCCTAGTACATTTTTACTGCAATTACAACGGAAAATTTTGTTAAACCTTGTAAATGCGTGTTGAAGATACATAAAACATTGATACATTTGCACATTGGCACGGGTTTGTTTACATGCTACAGTTCATGTATTTTTTTTTTTTCTTCCTTTTTCGTATTTTTCTCTTTTTTGTGTTTGTCTATACCCATTTTGAAATAACCCCAAATCTGTCTGTATACCTATCCATGTTTCGCTTTTTAGCAAGATCAATTTTTGCGTCAATTGGACGTGTAACAAAATTGAATAAGTATTGGCAAAGAAATATATATATACAGATATGCTTATATGTGCAATCCCAGAATATAGAGTGCTAAGAGTTAGCAAATCCTTGTACATATTTACACGCAAATTCTTTCAATTTTATTAAAACGCCTAGATAAAATATTCAGGAAAAAGAAGGTACTAATTTAATGTGCACAAATAAATTCTGAATCTTGTACATTAAGGAATAATCATTTTAACATAATACGATTAAATCAAATAAATTTCTTTTTCATATTATAGGACTTTAGTTTTTGTGCATGCAAGGGAAGCATGCCGAATGAGGAAAATATTAAATACGAAATCGAAGGAAAAAAAAAAGAAAAAAAAAAAGAGGAGGATCCTTTACATATTACATCATATACTAATATATATATACACATGATGTATTACATAAAAATTTGCAAATACATAGCTATGGAGATAAAGGCATCTATGCACACTATCTAATCCTAACCAGAAGAGGGAAGGGTGCTCGGAAAAAGAAATTACTCCTAGTAGGACTAGAATAACTGTTCATACGTTGTGAACCAGGGGGGATAGAATATGGCCATAAAATATTTCGAATAAATGTGTGTTCTTTTCCTTACATCCTTCACACTTTAATTGAATTAGAATAAATATTTTTTAAAATTTGTCAGTGAGAAGATTATGCCATCATCTTATGGTTTTCTATATATATATATATATATATATATATAGAAGACATTAAACGTGTGTGTTTCTTTTCTTTTCTCTTTTTTTCATTTAAAAAAAAAAAAAAAAAAAAAAAAAAACATTTGGCCTAAATAATCAGCAACAATATGTCATCATTCAAAAATTAAAAAATATTTAAAATAAGATATTTTCCGATGAAAAATAAAGATTTTTTTTTTATTTTTTTGCTATAATGGATATATACGATGATATAGTTCCTTTAAGGGGAAGTAGTAAAGAAACAAAAAAAAAATAACGTCTTGTTTTTTTGTCTTCCCTTCACATTAGTCCATCTTTTCATCTAATAAAATAAAAATGTTATTTTTTTATATAAATTTTTGTGTTCATACGTAGAAGGGAAAATCCTTACATTTAAAAAAAAAAAAAAAAAAAATAAAAGTGGGGGTCACTTTAACAAGGTCACTATTGTGCATACATTTGTTCAATCATATAAAAAAGTAAGGAATACCCAAAAAGGAAATCAAAAATAAGTAACTCTCAATTGAGTAAATGTTCATTTCGCGAAATTGCATATATATATGGAAAACAAAATTGTAAGGTGTTCTTGTTTAAAAAAATAAAAGGGGAAAATTGAATACGGGTTGGTAGAAGAAGAAGAAGTATGCTCGATAAATAAAAAGTGAACATGATCATTTATATTTTTAAACGTGAAAAAGTTTTTTAAAAAAATAAAACAGACAAATACGTGAAACAAATAAAATTAAATAAAAACTCCGTTGAGGTGATACGTTTCTTCAGGCATAAAACACCTTTGCTGCTATAAGAAACAATTTTTTAAAATGAGAAAGTTCGCGGCATTATTTTACCTATGTTCATTAAACTGAGGAGATGAAGGAATCAATAAAATTGCCAAGCTGTGTCCTTCGTCAAAAAAATAAAATAAAATAAAATAAAAACAAAAAAAAGCGCATTACGAAAACTTGATTTATATTTTATGGAAAAGAGAAACTTTTAATGACTTTTTTTTTTTTTTTTTTTTTTTTTTTTTTTTTTGCATTTTCATGTGTGGGTCTTTTCTTTTTGGAGTCTTGATAACTGCTTGTTCGGAAATAACCACAATTGTAATAATAATGACACAACTGCAACGATTATGAATTTATTTCCCCCGTTTTTAAATCATTTCCTAAAACGCTGCCCTCTGCATAAGGTGCATAAAAAGGAAATTTGCACAAAATAAAAGGCGTTGAAATGGAATGAAAAAAAAAAAAAAAATCTTTTGACATTCAAAATTAGCAAAGTTAAACATTTATGAATCGAATAAAATGGTGTGATACAGAGTGAGTTTTATTATATTTTTTTTTTTTTTTTCCTTCTTTACACACGGTGTGGAAAATTCCTATTCTTACAAAATAATTGTAATGGTTCACATTTTCCCATATTTGAAGCTTCAGTTCCTTTACCCCCACTTCTAAACCAACGTACGTGTCCATTTAGCATGAGTGAAATGGTGATATAAATAAAAGAGAGATGAGGGGAAGTTCTCCGGATATATGAGCACCATTTAGAGGAAAAATCTCAAATAGATTCTAGAAAAATGTTACTATTGTCTTCACCACTCCCCAAGATACAAAGTTATAAATCATGAATGTATGTGTTTTAGCGATAATCTTTCACAAGCATTGTAAACACTTTCATTTTTTTTTTTTTTTCTTCTCCTTTTAGATAAAAAAAAAAAAAAAAAAAAAAAAAAAATCCCCCCTTAGCACATTCTCATCAAATAACATGAACATAAATGAATGTATAACTTGATCCTTAAAATGACCAATGTTACACCAAAAGAATCACAATTTTACGAAAAAAAGAAAAATACTAGCATTGACAACAAACATATTAAAAATGTGACAAACTTAATATACTTTCTAGGAATTACAATACGTATAATTATTTATTATTATAGCTTGTGGCAAGATAACAATTTGGATGTAAAGTTTACAGATGTTGATTATTATGTTTACTCAGATGCTGCCAAGTATGTACTAAGGAATGAATCGCCATATAAAAGATACACTTATCGATATACGCCTATACTAGCATACATAATGCTACCCAATTTTTTTCTCCATTTTTCTTTTGGAAAAATTCTCTTTTCATCCGTAGATTTTCTTATCAGCATTGTTATAATTAAAATATTGCAAATTAAATATCCCTCATGCAAAAATTATATTTTTTATGTGTCCTTATGGATTTTAAATCCCCTGGTTATCATCATATCGATTAGGGGGAATGCCGACTGTATTCCTTGTCTATTCGTTTTATTAACGCTCCTTTGTATTTATAAAAAAAAAATTTGCCTTTCAGCTATTTTTTATGGGCTAGCTGTTAATTTTAAGATATACCCAATTATTTATGCCCTCCCATTAATGCTATATTTAAATAAAAATTATTTGACTAAAGACAAAATACTCCAGTCAAAGAAGGATAAAAACTGTTTTGTAAATCCAATTACTCACACCTTTATAATAATCAATCAATTCTTTGTCGAATTGTTTAAACTGAATCGTGATCAGTTAATATTTTTTTTGTGCAGTTTTTTTACCTTTCTAGTGATAAATGTGCTTTTTTACATAATGTAAGTGAATTCTCTCACGCATGCGACATCTCCAATATGAAGATTAGCATACTTTCATATGTATATATGTTATAAATATATATATATATATATATATACATATACTTGCATTTGTATGCACATATACATTTTTTTTTCTTCCTCATGATAGATACGGATACCAGTTTCTTTACGAATCCTTCATATACCACCTCGTTAGACGGGACCACAGGCATAATTTTTCTCTCTTCTTTTATCTTATGTACCTAGGTATTGAAGAAAATGCAAAGGTAATGAAATATAAAGGGGATTTCTCTGCCTTTTCCACATACCCCATATTTCTTAATAAATAAAATGTGGAAATTCACAGCAGGTTATATTGTACTCTGTAAAAAAAGATTAATTTATTATTTACATTTTTTTTTTTTTTTTAACGTAAGTTCCTCCATTTGAGCAAGCGTTGCAATGTATTCATGCATTAGTATGTCCTTGCATTTTCAAAACTGTGCATGCATAAATACATGTAAAGGAAATAAATCCTTTTGCTCCCGACACATATGTAATAGTTCTGCTTTTCACCTCGCAGATTATTCCCCTTATAACATTTGTACCGCAAGCAATTTTAGTAGCTTTATTCGGTTTTAAATACGCACGACAAAATTTGGAGTTGTCTATGTTCCTACAGGTAAATATGTTAATAAAAGGAAAAGCCCGCATGGAGCATATATTGATACATATCCATGGGCTTTTACTTATATATTTTTATTTATTTTATAGCTATCATTTTATTGCTACTATTCTGTTACTATCATTTTATGGTTATTATTCTGTTACTATCATTTTATTATTTATTTTTGGCCTTCTTCGAAGACGCTGGCTTTCATTGCTATGAACAAAGTGTGTACATCTCAGGTAAGAACAATAGAAGAAACACACCCATGCATGAAGTTGTAAGATTTCCCAACTGTGTTTATATTATGATAGGCACCAGATGTATAAGTACACAATATACATGTCAACACCCCCTACCCCCTCAACCCACTGTTCATTTTTAAGAACAATGCCATAGCAAGGGCTTATACTGCTTCTCTCCATTACAACATCGTTACATCCGTAGTTTTGCATTTTTTTCATCTCTTTGAACAGTTGCATATTTCGATAAAATATATTTCCCATCTCTTATTTTTCAGTATTTTATTTGGTCCCTCCCATTTATCCCAGTTGTCCTCCATTCCATAACGTTAAAGGGGGTAAACGAAAAAGAAAATATTAGTGCGTGAAAGTACAAATGTTCGAAAGCATTATGCAAAAAAATCGTAAAATACACACATGTGCCTCATTCACCCCCGAAATACACACATATATATATATGTATATATATTTTTAAAACTTTTAATAGAAAAATTTGATCCTTATCGTGAGTACGGTATTCTTTTTTGCTTTAGCGAAGGTTTGGAAAAACATAGAATAAATTTACAAGTTTATACATGCACAAGTTCATATGTTCACACTAGTCATTTTTTACCATTTTATTTTCTTGGTCAAAGAGACAAATAGATAATTAGTTAAACGTATGCTTGTATTCATATGTTTTCCTTTGTAATATATATGTGACCAAACCAATTTGCAAAATTTTCCATCATGCGCAGTCTAACTGGCTCTTATGGGCATATTACCTTGAATTTAAAGGATATAATACCTTTTTGCAAGTACAATTTCAACCGCTTCCTAATTGAAAATTGCATAAATGTTAATAATTTAGGATGTATTAAATACATTTCACAAATTATCAAATAGTCCACACATTTATTTTTATCTCCCTTTCCCAAAATTCACAGTTGTTTTATTCCTCTATTTTATTCGTTATTTCTGAGATGACAATATGTTGGGTTTTTATGTATCTACATTTTAAGGAAAAAAAAAAAGATATATACTAAAAAAAAATTTATTTAATTTTTACATAACTGTACGATAATTTTTTTTTTTTTTTCGTTTCTATATTTTATCATTTGAGTAGTTACATGTGAAATGTTAATGTTTCCTTGTAGTGAACTTTTTAAATGCCTAACTTTTTATTTTTTATGTTACGTCATTTTTTTTTTTTTTTTTTTTTTTTTTTTCATATGATGGGATAAATTTTTTATCATATAATAATCTAAGGTACGCAAAAATATTGTTATTGATATATTTTATACCTTACTATTCAGGCAAATTTATTTTTTTTGCTAGCTAAAAGCTAAAAAAAAAAAAAAAATAATAACTTGACACTCAAGAATTTAATATCAAACAACAATATGCATTCTGATATTGCAACAAAAAAGAATTTCCGTGAATTTTTAACTGACTTAATAAAGAATTATATTGCCTAGTTTTATCCTTTTTCTATAAAACACCATAATTGGTCTTGTAATTTCTTTTTTTTTTATCTAGTTTGTGAAATATTGAAACAGACTTATTCTGAACATAACATACAACATCATGCAAGTATTAGGTATTTTTAGCAACTTAAAAAAAAAAAAAAAAAAAAAAAAAAAATTAATTAAAAAAAAAAAAAAAAAAAAAAAAAACATGAATGTTTTTAGTTCTACTTCCTTTTTTTTTTTTTTTTTTTTTTTCTCACATAACCATTCATGTAAAAATATTTTTTATGAACATAAAGTTTCCTAAATTTCCGTTTTTATAAATTTTCAAAAAGTCACAAAAGTATATATGTGTATATATATGTATACTTGCATACATACACGCACGTATACTTTTCACATATACCTGCATAGACGCACTTTTACACACCCCTTTGTAACAGTATTAAACACATTACACCCGTGCACACGTAATCCATTTTTTTTTATAAAAAAAAAAATAAATAAAACTTCAAAAAGGATGAATAGTGAAGTACAATTAATTACAATAAATAAACTGCATGGTTCTATTCATAGTTCCCCAATTCACAATAATGTAACATTATTTTAACATATTTTTCGCGAAAATATCTTTGACTTAAACTTAGTTTGAAGCAAAGTTTTAACTTCTACATATCTTAATGAAATTCAGAACAAACTATTTTGTGTTATTCAATAATATTTACGTATTTTCCCAATCTGCAAAGTTTTTTATTCATTATATAATTGCGGCAGAGAAATTGATTCATGTGTTGAGAATATATTTATAAGTATTACCCTATAAGCCTCAGTTCATTATAATTTACCTTGAGGGATTCTCTACTTATCTATCTCTACATATGCCTTGTCAAGATTTAAAACATTCAAAGATGCATAGATGCCCGAGTTCAATTTTCCAAGACTTTTTTTTTTTTTTCGTAATTGAATAAAAGCATTAGCAACTTGTTTGCAAAACGACCATCTTGGGGGAGGGTAGCCTCAATTTTATATATTTCGAAGAATTTTGATATATTTCATGAATTTTTTGTTCTAGAGATTTTTTCTTTTTTACCAGAAAATGGATGTACATAAAAATGAAGAGAAAAATATTATCAATTTGGATGGGTTGGAGGCTGAGTCTTCCTCTAAGGAGGAAGCAATTAGGGTGTGCACCCGTATAAGGCCTCTATTTGAAAAAGAAGTAAGTGATCGTGTAATTATGTGCATACACTTGTAATTATATTTTTTTTTTTTTTTTTTTTTTTTTTTTTTTTGACCGTCTGTGTTTAACAGATATTATTGGGGAGCTATCAGTGCAGATGCACATGTTGGCGTGTGCATATATACATATATATATACACATTCATATACCTACATATGCACCTCCCCCCCCCCCCTTTCCTCGTCCTTTTTGTGTTATTTTTTTCAGGTCAACAGTGGCCACTTGAAGGCATGGAAAATGAACGAGACAAGCATGCAACTAGTAGTTGAGCCACTCTCCTTGACCGAAATGCTAAAAGCAAGAGTTCAAAAGAAAGGAAACAAAGTGGAATTTAAGAAGAATGTGGAAAAATCAGAGGGTCAAAAGGCTGTTTTGCAACGTTTCTATGCATTCGATCGATGTTTTGATGATCATGGTAATTCATAAATTGTAGAATGAACGAATATATCTGGAAATTTCACACCTTTTGTATATTTTTTCTTCCAATTTGACAATTTATTTTTTTTATTCTAAGGTGTTAGTGAGCTCATGAATTTGCACCACCGTTTTTCGAGTTTATATATTTCCTCTATATGTGTCGTCATTTCTACTTTTTATCCAGCTCGTGCTAGCTCTTTCTTTTTTCTTTCTTTTTTTTTTTTTTTCCAATTTAATTTATTTATTTATTCATTCATTTATATATTTGATTATTTATTTATTATTTTATTTTTACCGCCCTTTCCCCAGTTGGCAATGAAGAAGTGTATAAACACTTAGCCAAAGATATCGTTCTTGACACGTTTAAAGGAATAAATGGGTGTATTCTTGCTTATGGACAGACGGGATCAGGAAAGACGCACAGCGTTATGGGAGTGCCTACAGATCCTGGTATGCTACCGAGATCGCTAGCGGAATTTTTTAATGGTATTGAAAACCCCTCATCGTTAAATGAGGATAGTGACAATATGAATACTGATGATGAGTCAAATAACAATACGAAAGAATTTTTGATGAGTGTGACATATTTAGAAGTATATATGGAAAGAGTAAATGATTTGTTACAAGAAGGGTACAGAGGAGGGGCAACTGAAAATTTGGATGTAAAGGAAGATCCTAAAAGGGGTTTTGTTGTAATTGGTATTCAAGAAGAAACAGTAACATCAATAGATGAAGTAATGCTTTTAGTTGCAAAAGCTGAACAAAGAAGACACATTTCTCAAACAAATTTTAACGAAACTTCTTCGAGATCACATACTATTTTTACTGTCATATTGGAATCAAATCAAGTTATAAGTGATGGAACATCTATTAATAAAAGAGGGGAACTAAAAATAGTAGATTTAGCAGGGAATGAAAGAGCAGGGAGAGCTGCTGAAGGGATAGAAAATGCAAAAACTCTTATCGAAGAAGGAAAAGCAATAAATAAAAGTTTATTCGTTTTAAGTGAAGTAATTTCAAAATTATCAAAAAGAGCTCAAGCTATTGCAGCAGGGGATGAGAAAAAAATAAAAAAAATACAAGAAGATTTGGTTTTTATTCCATGGAGAGATTCTAAATTGACCAGAATTTTAAGTAAAAGTTTGGGAGGAAATTGTCGTGCATCTGTCATTGTAGCCGTACATCCTTCTCACTTTTATTTGGACACATCTTTTTCTACCTTGCGTTTTGCTTTAAAATGCAAGACAATCAAAAAGAAGATAGAAGTGAACTATTTATCAGCAGAGCAATCTGTTATTATGCAACAAAAGGAATTAATAGCCAAGCTACAAAATCAGTTGAAACATTTGGCTACTGCTAAAAATGTAGATATACAGTTATCAGAGGGAGGTAACAACTATGCAAATACTAGGAAACCAGAAGATGATGAAAAGATATTGGCTTTAAAACACGAATTGGAAGAAAAAGTAAAAAAATTTCAAAATTTTATATTAAAATCTGAGTTTAATGTACATCCAAATAATTATAGAACATTGAGATCTATAGACGCAAATACAGAAAAGTCGTTGAAGTATTCAATGACTATACCAACTAATATAAAAAATGAATATACTTGGCTAAGATCATTTGACACACAAGAGTATGATTCCAAATGGGATGGCATGGACAAATATGAAGACCAAAATGCACAAGAAAATATCAATATTTCTAAAGCTATGGATTATTTGAAAAATAAATCTCCATATAAATTAAATTCATCAGAAATTAGTGATGGTGCATTGTCCAGTGGATCTCAAAAAGATGACTTGGTTTCTTTGAATTATTTTAACGAATTGGAAGAGTTAGAAAAGATGGAAAAAAATGAACTAACAAGGAGAAAAAGGAAAGAAAAGGGGGATGCTACAACCAGTAATACGTCCACCAATAGGGTATATGGAGAATTGAGTAAGTTAAGTGCTATAGAACATTCCAATTTGATAGATGAAGAAGAAAAGGTCGATACTAATAAGGGAAAAAAAGCGAAGAAGAAAAAGGGGAAAAAAACAAACAATGTTGATATTACTAATAAGGATACTACAGTATTGGTTAAAGGAAAGGGTAAATTAAAGGGAAAAGGAAACAAGGTGTCTACTAACTACATTAGGAAGAAAAAAGTTGTCATTAATGGTAAATATAAAAAGGGATCATCTGAAAAAATATCCAATATGCATAAGATAGAAAGCGATACGAGAAGTGATACAGGTGGGAGAAGTGACATATGTAGAAGAAGTGATACAAGTGGAAGAAGCGAAACAGGTGGAAGAAGCGAAACAGGTGGAAGAAGCGAAACAGGTGGAAGAAGCGAAACAGGTGGAAGAAGCGAAACAGGTGGAAGAAGCGAAACAGGTGGAAGAAGCGAAACAAGTGGAAGAAACGAAACAGGTGGAATAAGTAACATCGATGGAAGAGGTGATATGGAGAACAATGGGGAAACGAATCGAGAGACTAGTCAAGGAAACGATAACAAGCAGAACAATGAAGTGAAGCGGTCCAGTGAAGCTAACATAGTCATGCGAGAGTACTCTATGGGCTTGTCATCTAAACTGAAAGAGCAAGATGACAATGAAAAAAGAACGTCTATAATATCAAACCTGAAAGAAAAAATTGAAGAAGATCTGAAAAAGAAAAAGAAAATTATCAGCAGAAATATCGAACTTAACAAACAAATAAAATTTATTATGAAACTTATGCAGAAGGTTGGATTGTCTACAATATTAACAGGCGTTGTTCCTCCAGGTAGAAATATAGAAAATGTCTTAAAATTACAGGAAAATTTGAGGGAGGATTTAAAGTTATGTGTAACCAAGAAATCGATAGAGTTTCTTAATGGAAAATTAAACAATAATAATGATGATAAAACTGCCTGTACTCCTTCTGGTGCTTATACTACCAATAATAATTACGTTGATATTGCCATCAAGAGCTTCAATGATAAGGAAATAATGGATGATGTGGAAGAGAAGGAGGAAGAGATGCTATGTGGCACATTTGATGATAACGAAAATGAAGCGAAATACAATGAATCTATATCACACGTGTTCATAAACGAAATGTTTTTTTCGTTCATACTCAGAATACAACAGAGAAAAGATTCAAGTGATTATTCCTTAAAAAATATAGAAGAAATGCTAAAAAATGAAGAAAAACCATATGACTTGTCCAAAAAGGCGCTGGAAGATATATTAGGCAGTACAATTGCAAATAAAGTCCATGAGCTCGAGGAGTCAAATCCAACAAAAAAACATATAAAAGATGAAAAAAATAAAAAAACACTTGATTCTATTTTTAATATGCTCATGCCATGGGAACAGAAAATATTAGCACTGCTATATGAACAACAAAAAATGAGACAGAGTGTTCAAAACATTAAGGAAAAGTTTTCACAACGCATTCAAAATATTAACATATTTATTAAAAAAATTTTAATTGATAAGGTTGAAGTGGAAAAACATTTTAATCGTATTATTAAAGCTACTGAAAATTACAAAGATGATATGTTAAAAACATCGGATGTTGATTCAAATTTCAAGTTTGCTGGATTAATGAAAAAGTTAGAAGAGCTGTCCATTTCGTTGGCGGAAAAAACAAGAGATTTCAATGTGTTAGCAGAATTTCATTTAAATTTGAGAAAGCAAATGGAGAAAAAAGATTCTTTAATTAAAGAACTGCAAGAAGAAAACAAATTGTTTTATCTTGTTCCGAAATATAATGAACTGTTGCAAGAACTGTGTGAGCAGGAACAAAATAGCAATACAGCAACCAGGGAACTGAAAAGGGAATTCCTTTTAATGTATGGACGTTTAATATTTTCGAGAAAGAGATTACAAGAAAAGGAAGTTATAGAGAATGATATGAGAAATTTAAATAAAAGAATTTACACCGAGTTGGTAGAGTCCATATCAATTATAAAAAATTTGGAATCTCAAAATAAATTCTTAGAATTTAAATTGAATATGGAAAATAAGAAAAAAATCGAAAAAATAAAGAAATTGTTAAACGAAAAGGAAATGCATAGCAAAATCATAAGTCAAATGGAGAAAATGCTCGATGATGCAAATATAGACACGAGTAGCCTGAAGAACGAAATAATGGGTAGTTATAACAACAGTAATATGCATGCATACGATGAAAACAGTGAGGAAGGGGGAGATTTGGTGTCCCAGCACGAGAAGAAAAGGGATCAAGGGGGAAAAAAGAAGAAGAGGAAAGAAAAGGAAAAAGCCATAAAAAAAAACAACAAGGTTGGTAATAAAAATGACGCTAAAAATGTGGTAAAAAATGAGGCTAAAAATGTGGTAAAAAATGAGGCTAAAAATGTGGTAAAAAATGAGGCTAAAAATGAGTCTAAAAGTGAGGTTAAAAATGGAGATAGAAACCATGAAAAAAGCTACAAGGAAAAGGGAAATTCAAAGAAAAGAGGAACATCACAGGAAAATGCAACAAAGGAAAAACTGACAGGGAAAAAAAAACAAAACAAAGAGAACATTCCTAGCACCACCTATTCTGCAGAAAAAATTTTAAAGAAATCAGCAAGTAAAATAGACACCAACTTAAATCACAAAAGAGGAAGTATAAAAAAAAGGGTTTCTCAAGATAAAAACAGTTTAAACGATTTGTATGAAAACTTGAAGGATGTTTCATTAGAAAAGTTCTCCAAATTAGAATCTAATAAAAAAAATGTCCAAAAAAATATAAGTAAAATTAAGAAAAAAAATGAAAATAAGTTTGGGGAAGTAAACATATTAGAGGAAATTAAGTCATTTGACAGGGTTCCCCAAAAAAAAAAAAAAGGAAAAAAAAAAGTAGGAAATGATGATTTATCAGAGGTAAATTTTATTGGAGAATTCAAGTCAAGTAACAGTATTAGAAAAAAGAAGAAAAAAATTATTAAAGGGAGAAGAAGAAACATATTAAAATACTTAAATAAAGGGGGTGACAGTAAGGGCAAGGAAAATATGGAAACGGTGTTATCTGAGGAAAATATATTTCAAGGATACAAAAATGATAATTCTACAACGGACTTTGAAACTAACGAAATTCGTCATATGCTAAACAAGGAAATTGAGAAGAAAAAAAAAATTAACAAGGGATAAGGAATCATTTTGATGCAGGGCGAGTTTATAAAAACAGAAATGATCCCACGAAAAGGCGCATTGAGAGAAAAAAAAAAAAATATGAAAAAGGGTATATAAGAAAAAAATTACATCTTATGAACATTTTTATATTTAAATAACCATATGTGATCTATGACAGATGGATTTTCTTCTTCTCAACCTATATACATTAAGACATAATTTATCGGATCAATAGTTTTGCTCAAATAAGTTATACGTACGTATGCATTTGTACATTTAAGCTATTTTTCCCTTATTATGATGGAAGTATTGCATTGCATCTTTTTTTTTTTTTTTTTTTTTTTTTTTTTTTTTTGTGTTATGTATGTGTTTTTAACGTGTGTATTATATGCTGTACCTTGGCTCATTTGTTTATAAAGTTTTGCATAATTTTTGCCACTATTGTATTTCATATTTTATTGTTATAATATGAAAAGAGAGATACATTTTTTTAATTGTTTCAGTAGCTATATATTTGTATGCTAAATGAGCATACTGAACTTTAAACATTTCGGCGAACAGTGGGAAACAGACGGAAGGATGATAAATGATAAATCAAAAAACATGCATAAGAATGTTCCTGAAATTTAAGTTGATTTGTTGATCTCATCCATTTTGAATGTGTAAATAGAGGAGCTAGCCATTTTTTCCAAGTGTATGATATTTTTTTTTTTTTTTTTTTTTTTTTGTTATTGTTGTTGTATTAATGAATGGCTACCTAGCTAGCTAAAATTTTAGCACCAATTTATTGTAACTCATAAAGACAAGTTAAAAATTGTTCTATTTAATAAAATAAAAGAAATTTTATGAAATAATATTTTTTCCTTATTCCTTTTTTTTTTTTTTTAAATTAAAAATTTTTAATTTTAAATTCTGTTTATTTTTTCCATTATCTTTTTTGTGGCTTTTATGTGTTTAAAATTTTTTTCCCCATGTACTAGACTTGTATTTACCGCAATATATATACATATATCAGAACTGCAATACATGGAAAGATTAAAGGCAACTTTTTGTCTCAACCTTAGATTAATTGTTATTATATTTTATTTTATATTACATTATTTTATTTTGTTATTTTTATATATTTTTTTTTCTTTATACATTTTATTTTCTACCCCCTTTATTGATAACATCCCAAAATTCGTCATAATGAATATGGAAAAACCAAAAGTTATAATTGAATCGACAGGAGTTCCCATTATGCAGAAAACCAATATTCCCATATTATTATCCACACCTGTTGTGAAAAATATGTATAGCACTTATTCATACAGTAACAGCAACCCTATCTCCAGTTCATATAGCACATCATCTAATCACAATGAGTATAAATATAATTGGACAAAATGTATGACAAAAACACCGCCACATGGCAATGAAAATGAAGAATACATAAAAACGTTTGATGGACGATTAAGTGGATTATATTACGAAACGATTCCCTTAAAAAGTAATACAAATAATATTTTTGAAATAACTCCACCAAAAGAAGACTTAAATAAAATAAATTATAATCCTAAGATGGAAATTTATTCTACTTGTAATTTTGCAATTATAATGATGGATTTGCCAGGCATTTCTAAAGAAAATTTAAACGTTGAATTTGAAAACGGTTTATTAAAAATGTTTGGACATAAATATAAAGCACAAATGGAAGAATTAGAAAAAGAACACGAATATCACACGAAAATAATTGAAAGAGTTAGCGAATATTACTTCTGCAAAATGTTCCAAATGCCACCAGCCTTTTCTCAAGGACAAAATATATCATGTAAGCTAAAAGACGGGGAACTCATACTTAAAATTTTGGCAACTGAATTGAAGACGCAGAAAACGATTGTTGAGATACAGTCTTAGAGTTAGAGGTTTCAAAATATTTTAGAAGAGTACTCGGAGGTGGGGGTGGGGGTACAATCATGCTAAATGTATTAGCACACACATATGTATTATATAATCATTCCAGCCAGATGAGGCATTTTTTTTTTTTTTTTGTATTTTTTTCCACGTATGCTATATATCTGTGTCATATATTCCTGAGATCTTTTACACACACTGGAAGTGTTTATAAGTGGTCTTTTGTGTTTATGTATATTTTTGCAAGTTTATTATTTTAACAAATTCCCCGTCACACAGTAATTAAGGGTAGTGTTTTGCTTTCTACGCACACGTAAGTGCGTATTAATGTGCACACTGTTCCTTTACTTGTTTGCAATTACACGATCCCCTCCCCCTTGCAACTATCGGCATGCGAGGTGGTCGCATCACCCGAACTTCTCAAAATACTAAATCCAAAAAAAAGCATAACAAAAAAAAAAAAAAAAAAAAAAAAAAAAAAAAAGAAAAAGAAAAAACATATATAAAAAAATGTTATTTTCTAAAGAAATCCATAATGCAGTGGTTTCAAAAGGATATATGGAGAGACACATAGAGTAATTAGCGAGACAGGAGTGACGCTCTAAGGGCTGACATTGAAAGGTCCCATGCTGCCATAAAACCTGATTAGTACATTGCTTAACACAACATGCAACAATATGACGGTAATAACTGTCACACAGATGTGTGTGTGTGTGTGTGTGCAAGTGGAAACGAAAAGGTCAAGTATTTTCTTGGGGTTATAACTCACACCCACTACCGATCTTCTTCGAAGCCTTTTTTTTTTTTTTTTTGTGTAATACAATCACACCTTCAACGTTGTATATTTTTTTCTAAACTGCTCAGAATTTAGAAAATTGTGCAATAAAACTCTTTTTTTTAATAAGGTAAATTTTTCCTGAATTAACTTCTGCTTTTGATAACATAAGTTCATGTCATTTATTAAAATATTGTTTTTCTCTGCTAATGCTTTGCTCATATTTTGAATGGTGATATGAGATTTTATGAAATGTATAACGTTATGTGCTAATGAATGGATTATCCTTTTTTTAATTTTTTTAAATTTATTTTCATAATAAGAATTTAAATCCAGAAAGAAGTAATAAAGTTTAATATATTTTTCTAAAAGGTATATTTTACTCTTTATGTCACTTGGTTGCATGTCTAAATTAATATTATTTTTTTTTAAATAATAGTCCTTTACATGTATATAGTCATTTTTTATTTTTATTAATTTTTTCACTAACAAGTGGCACTGTACATTCTCATTCTTATTAGAATCTCCCCTTAGTATATGGTTCTTTATATCATTTATAAGATTTTCCGGATTTATTTGATCAATCATACTATTACTGCAACTATTGGTTCTTCTGGAATTGTATTTTTTCCACACAGTCGAAATTATTTCTTCGTTTAATCTTGTATTTCTGTTTTCCAAAAGACTTTCATCATTTTTGTCATTAATATGCAATATGGTAAATGCATGTTTCAGGAATTCTATCTCTTTACTTTCCTGTAAAATATTAGGGTTGTGGTTCCTTTTGAAGTGCACATCAGGTTCATTTTTCATATGATATATGTAATTAACTGCTGGATTTATTAGTCCCTTTTTGATGTCCCTACTTGAAGTCATGTTTCCTGTATTCCCTTTACATATTTCATTATCTTGTTCACTCCACATTCGGGAAGAACTTCTTTTATTATACTTCCCCATGTTTCTGTTATCATTCAGATATGTCATTTGTGTTGATATATCCACAGGAGAATCATCATTGTGCATATATTTAATCATTTTTCCATCCATTCCTGTGCTTGCATCATTATTTAAAGGATTTTTCCCCTTGGAATATCCATTACGGTTAATTATCATCACATTCGAAAGAGTTAATTTCCCTTGATAGAAAATGAAATTCTTTTTTATTAACATGTTCATATAATCGTTACATCGTGAATTTATGTAAAAAGCAAGCATATTTGTATACAATTTCAAATCTACTGAATCATCATCAACACTTTCTGTGCTGATGTAAAAATTTCTAAGCTTTGATTGTCTGAGGATAGGACAAAAGGTTTTAACGTTTTTATTTTTTCCCCTTACAAGTAAATGGGTTGTTATTCTTTTATCCGGATCTCTATTTTGTATATCTTTCTTAATGATATGGAGTTTAAAACAATCGTATATTAAGAACAAGTTTTTATACACTGAACATGTGAAGAAGTTGATATTATTACTCATGAATAATTTCTCTTTTCTTTGACTATCTAAATTTATAAAATGAGTAAAAATAAAATATACATCTTGGGATTTTTTTCCTTGAAACATCACATCTTCATCTTCGATTATTATTGGGTTCAAAATATATTGCACCTTGTAAAGAATGCTTGATTGGAAGTGATCGAAATTTATCTGAGTGTCTGTTATGCATTTAGAGTTTTTATTAGTCAAATTTGAACCGATATCTCCAGAAAATAAATGAACAAAGGAATCATAGGAAAGCTGCTTAGTGTGATCAAACAGCAGATAAGTATAATAATCGAACTGATAAAAACTAATGGTTGCCTTATAAATGGTAGTATTAATATATAGTCCATTTTTACACATTTCGTGAATTAATTTGGCTGATAAGAAATTCTTCAAATAAATTATGTAAAATATAACATTTACAAATTTTATCCACACTAAATGAAGTAGTATAATTTTATCAAAACTAAAACATAGCAAATTGTGACTATTCAAAACGATCGTTCTTATATTGTTCATCCCTGTATAATATGTGTCAAATAATAGGACATTTAACATATTATATTGAATGTTTATTTCTTCATTTATTTCTTTCTCCATAATTTCTTTATCGTCTTCGTAGCATGAGAAGAAGTCTTCCATCTTGTCGTCTGATTCGTCTGATATGCACACTTTTCCGTGTATTGGATTCGTTTTATTCTTTGCCTTCTCCTTCCTCTTCTCCTCCTCCTCCCTATTATTCTTTTTTGCAAGCACTTCTACGTATAGGGACTTTTTTTTGCTTAATCCATGGCAAATCGAATCGATTTCATCGTCCCTTTCTGTTTTTATGATCTGATTCAAAGTTTTTCGATGCACCTCCTCTAGATAGTTATCTTCTATTCGTACTTGTCTTTTTTTTCCGGAGGTTTGGCCATTTTTAACATTCTCCAGAGAATTTTCATCCCTTTCAGCTGCTTCTCCTTTTTCAAGATTTTCCCTTTCGACAGACTCCCTAACGTGGGTACTTTGCACCCCTGGTGAGTCCTTTTGGGAGGCATTTCTCTGGGCCATTTTCCGCCTGAGAAAAGACACCTGATAACTGTTGTTCATTCGATTGTAGTACTCATCATATCGATCTTTGTTAATTAAATTTGTCAAATTGGCTAACGTCATTTTTTCAAAAATGACATTTTCGTTAATATTAAAAATATTAAAAAAAAATAATTCTTTTTTTTTTTTATGTGATAACATATTAATTGCCTTTTGAAATTTACTTTCCTTTGGTTGTTCTTTTGTTGTGTTATCGCTACTCACAGCAGTTGACATACTCATACTGGGAGTGATATAATAATTTAACATAATAAAAGATACATATCCAAACTTGTCAGAAACACAAATAAATACTAACTGATTGGTATACAGTAAATTGATACATCGGTAGGTTGAACCTTTCATACAATTAATGACATATGGTGCGTATGAAAACGTGGTATATGTATGGTGAGAAGGCATGTTTCTTCTTTGTGTTGTTCTTCCACGGGGATTGTCACCATTTCTATCAATGCTGCTTATTCTAGTGCTATCACCATGTGTGTTATTCTTTTCTTCATTAAACTTTATGCATACAAACTTTTCCCTATATTGTGTAACAGAAATGTTTTTAAAGTATTCATAATGGGAGAGAAAATCCTCAGAATATTCTTCATTAATGCTTTTGCTATCACAGTACGCACCATCCGTGCATTTATTTTTCTTTATTCTTAATTGCTGAATTCTGGTTATCTCCTCGAATAAGGAGTAACTTATGTAACACTCATTTGTAATAATAGGTGTGTATATTAATATAATTCCATCTTTTAAAAGAACAAATAAGCAGGTTTCTACCCATAGAATATTTTCACTAAGAGAACCGAAACAGTAATCAACTACCAAATTTTTATATTTGTCCTTTTTAGATAAATATATTTTTTCTTCATTCTTGGCATGGTCAGATTGTGTATTCTCTCTAACGTAAATTACTCCTAAATCTTCATTCCTATTATGGCACGTGTTTGAATTTTTTTTCAACTCCAAATTTGTATATACCTTGCTCATTTTTTCACAACTGTTTTTGTCATGTTCTCCCTGGTGATAGTTTTGTACTATATGATTGGACGAAGCTTGATCCCATGTCTCACTACAATTATAGTGCTGGTTGAGATTCTTCCCTTGCATCTGAAGTATTCTATTAGAATCTGTTTCCATGTTTTGAACTTCTCCCGTGTTCGACAAGTAAAGGGAAGAATTAATTTCTCTCATTTTATGTAACTCCTCTTTGATGTTTTCAATATTTTCATTTCTAATCTTACGATGAAAAATATCAATGTCCGGAATGACTATTTTTATTTCTAGATGAGGCTCTTCCTTGATATTAATCAATCGAATTACTGATCGAAATTTACAAGGGTAAAATTTATACACTTCAGTCTGTTCATATGTTAATAAGGATATAACATTGGGAGATTTAGGGAACCATTCAGTTTTCATTATTTTTCTTTTGATGGGAATATTTAAAAGTTTATTATGTAAAATGAATTCTCCTTGAATGAAATTATTTTTTTCTTTATTTATATTTCTTATTAAAACAATTTCATTGTTTGATAAGAGGAACATATATTTTTCACTTGCATCTACATGTATCTGTACATAAAATCCATCCTCTTCTACATTATAGTTCACCATTTCTACTGTCATTTCTTCATATGAGCATCGTGTATTATTTCTATGTTTGTGTATACCTATAACGACATAGCTAATCGGTACATTCTTTCCTCTGCCCTTGTGGCTACTTGCTCGATTATGAAAAGTTCTATAGAGGGAATTTCTCCCATATGGAGTGCTGAACCCATGTGGTGTATTTTCCCTATTCAATTTATCCACTTCTACTCTGAAGTTATCTTCCCTTTTCAGGTCTTTTTCCTCACATAAACGCTCCTCATGGTGAGGCTGCTGTTGACACCACTGCCTTAATATGAAGTATGCAGAGCTCTGATTCCTCCCTTTCCACTGATTACAATTTGTTTCTATTCCTCCATTGTTTTCATGGCTTCTTGCAGTGTGACCATTACTACAGTGAATATTGCTAAGGGTGTTATCGAGCGAATAATTTTGGTTCGATTTCCTCCTTATGTGGCAAAATTTTAAATCCAGGAGATTATCATATTTTTTCTTTTTGATCAAGTAAGACTCTTCATAGGGTATATTTTTCTGTACACAATTAATTCTGTTTTTGTTAATTGTTAGGAGAGCATATTCTAGCACATGTTCAGATGGCTCATTTTGAAGGTGCCTTTTCATTTTATGCTTCCAATTTTTGCTTCTTTGCCTTTTTACTTTTTTTTTTTTTCACAGTTTGGTACTTGCGTAGGACTAAGTTACATACGTGTGATGCAAATGTGTGATTGAAGCTACAAGTGGATATGGTGTATCGCTCGAATGTTTATACCTCTGCATAACTGCATTTTTATGCATCCTCTTTCACTTTCAAAGGATGGCAGGGAAGCTTTTAGTGAAGCAGTTGAAAGTTCAAGAACATGGGTGATAAATAAAAAAAAAAAAAAAAAATTCCAAACTGGATGATGCAATGGAAACATGATTTCGACAGGTGAAAAACAAAAATATAAAATCAGAAAAGAGTTGCACTAAATATTCTATTAGGGGGGCAGAAAGGAGACCTAATATGTATACATATATATACATACACACGATATAGTATATGTATATATTCTCTCGCGTTCATCGAGATGAAAACACATATATAAAAGCGTACTCTTCATATAATATGTATTTGAACGACCTTTGTGACGTTATGCATGTTGAATACAACTTGCAAAAGTTGGCCTTTTTTGCTCATTGTTTATGGTTTTTTTGTTTTTATTCTAGCTAGCTATATATATATCTACCTATCTATTTATTTTACTTGATTCATTTATTTTTTTTTACTAATAAAGCAAGCAGAATGGCAGTGAAAAGCCTCATTCCTTGTTGAGTCACATAATTCCGATTTAAGAAGGTTCGTCGTTTTTTTTTTTTTTTTTCTTTTTCTAAAAAAGCAAATCTTTGACAAGGTAGGATAAAACGAAAAATACGCTTTTTAGGAGCAAAAAAGAGAAAAATAAGATTTATTCATCTTTGTCCTTTTTTTTTTTTTTTGATGTGTAGGTGTTTACTTATTTTGTGTTGTTTTCCTATTTTTTTTTCTTAAATGTTACTTAACATTTTTTGTAAAAACATTTTTGGGAAACTTAAATTGTTAGCATATATAGGATATAAAAATGTGAGAATAATTTAAAAAGAGAAAAGAAGTCACAAATAAAAATAGAGAATATAGTAATTTTTAAAAGAGGAAAACAAAAGTGTAAAAGCCTTTTACTTGCATGTATACACAGAAAATATGATCATCTGTAGTATATACTTGATATATTCTCACAATAAAAAAAAAATAAAATGAACAAAATGGATAAGATTCAATTAAAGTATAAGGGCGGTGTGATTGTAGGTTAAAATAAAGACAGATTTTTACCAAAATAGAGAGAACCAAAAGTTTGTTACGACGACTTTTTGTTTCATTCCTTGCCCTGTACACACCCACGCACGCATTGGCGAGGGCCAACAAGAGGAAAGGAAAAAAGTCCACACAACTCTGTATGCAAAACAGTACGTAAAGGTGTGTGCACGTGCGTAAGTATATATATATATATATATTTACATATGTATATTTAATTATCCATATTTAGTTATATATATTTACCTATATATACAACACACATGAAACTCCTATGCTTGTAGCCCCTGGACTGCTGGGAGCTGCTTTCCATCCTGAACTAACGTAAGTAAAATGGATCTACCTGCCAGTACTCGCCCTTATATAATATAAATCCATCGTTGTTAACTACAAAGATGCACGTAAAATAAAACAAACAGAGATGCATAAATGAAATGATCTCGTTTAATGGTAATTTTTAAAAGCAAAGATGTAGGAGATGATATATATGCCTCCTCGTACATCCATATACCATATGGCCTAGGACGACCATTAACATGATTGATGTGTGTGTGGGTAGGAACCCCTCTTTATACACACAAACACACAAACACGCAAAAAAACGTAATTACAAAATGACACACATGAGACTAGAAACATAAGGAACCATGGTACATTTCAAACAGCATTGATATCCACACCTACTAAGTTCTCTTTGGACGTGTATATCAGCATGGTAGCAGAAAACAAGAAAAGTAATTCCTTGGGGGAGTATTGAATCTTGTCTAAGTTCAACAAGCACTATGTGACATAAACTTACCGTAATGAATTAGGGCCTCGTCTGATATGTATGAATCTGCTGAAAGGATCACTGACTTTGCCAAGTTGTGCAAATCCTGCAAAAAAGGGAAAAAAAAAAAAAAAAAAAAAAAAAAAAAAAGTAAAAAATGGCTTAAAAGCATAAGAATCATGTGAGCGAAATGTGAGCGAAATATCAGCAAAATATAAGGAAAAAAAAAAATAAAGGTAGAGCAATGCAAATAATTATGCCATCTTGTAAAACAGTAGAAAAGCAAGTACGAGTTTTTCTCCTTAATGAGAAATGCTCAAGCGTAGAATCTCTCGCATGTGTAACGACCACGTACTGGTCTAGAAAAGCAAAATCATTGGAGATGTGATATGCATAGCATGGCTCTTCTCCAACGAGGTATATCATTCGAAGGAGCGTAAAATGAAATGAGAGTCTCTCTTAGTATGGATGACAAGAGAGAGAAAGAAGAAGGATAGGATGAACAATCCCCATTGGGCTAACCTTGTTAAAAATTTTGTTTTCGCGATGCTTGGCAAACTGAATGATACTCTCCTTGAATGCATTCGAAATGGAAGAAACAGACTTCCCTTTCTTAACTTTGGAACCACTTTTTTCTCTAAAATTAAGTGTTTTTAAATATAAGGGGTAGAATATGGTTTTTTGGTATATCTCGACAACTTCCTTTGCATGATATAACGTTACAACATTTGATAAATCTCCTCTTGCGCGAGCTTGGCAAAGTCGAATTAGGGATTCTAACTGTCTTATGGTGATGGGTGCACTTATATTACTATGAGTTGCAGAAAGATTTCTAAGATGTAAATAAAATTTTCTTATGTATTTTTTAGCTTCAATTGATAAGGTTGGGAATATACATTTTCTGCAATATTTAATGAAGACTCCTAGGAGTTCAACAGGCAAATAACTTTGCTCATCTATTTGTTTGCATTTATGCAGTAGATCATTTTTTAGAGAAAACATATTTGTGTCTGCACCTTCACTATCATCATCATCATCATTGCTAGTGTATGAAGTTGTAGAAGTATCGGATGTGTCGGAAGGAAGAGTGTTAAGACCTCTTCTGTGATTAGTACTATTATGTACAACTTTTTTATGTAACTCTTTTGACTTTTTTTCTTTTCTTTTTCGTTTTTTTTTTTTTTTTTTTCTTCTTTGTTCATCATAATTTGAACTTATTAAATAATTAGAAATTTGATAATCTTTTTCCTCGGACATTTTATCAGTTAAGAGAAAAATTAAGTCGAATCTGCTTAACAATGGAAAAGGAATTTTTATGTTTTCAAAGATGGTTTTATTGTAATTATATTTTCCTTCCTTTGGATTAGATGCAGCAATGATAGAACATCTAGTTTTGAGATTGCAAACGATTCCAGCCTTGCTTATATTAATACATTGGCTTTCCATGCACTCAAGGAATGATTGCTGATCTGTTAGAGAAATCTTATCTAGTTCATCAATACAACATATACCTTTATCTGATAATACTAATGCACCTCCTTCTAATGAGTATTCATTATTTGTTGCATCTTTAAATGCACATGCTGTTAATCCATTAACACTTGTCGAAGTGCTACAAATAAATAAACTGTTTTCAATTATATTACTCACATATTGAAGAATTCTGCTCTTTCCTAACCCTGGATCTCCAATTAATAAGTTGTGTATATTTCCACGTCTTTTTATTTGTTTATATTCATCATAAATTGTTTTCCCTCCAAGAAGACTTAATAACATTCCAGCCTTTATGTAATTGCTCATAATTATTCGTGGACATAAGGATGCCACGAGAAGGTAGAATTTGTTCTTTCCATATTTTTGCATATCTCGAATGAATTCCAAAACATTTGAATCGAAATCTTTGCTTTCATTAAAGTGATGATCTGTGTTTCTGTTATTCCCTTGGATCATCTCATCTGTATGGTTCGTTTCGTTCGTCTGGATAATTTCGTTAGTTTCCTTTTCGCTATCACACCAATTCAGATTAAATTTTCCTTTTTTTCTTTTTTTTTCAGTTTCTGCATTTTCATCATGGATATAATCCCCGTACATACACAATTCGTCACCATCAAATTCGAGTTCATTTAAAATTGAGTAAGTCCTATGATGCTGGTCACTCCTTGTGAAGGTGCTTCCAATTGAATCATTTCCTTGGTTATTCGAAGTAGAAACTTTTTCTGCTTCATCACCAAATTGAGCAAGTATATTTGTGTTATATCCTGAACCGCTGATTGGCCCGCTGACCGAACCGCTACCCATATGGTCGCTCAGCAGTGCTCTATTATTTGGATCGATTAGAACTTCATTCGTGCTCATTTCGATAGAATTATTCACTGTGCTAGCATCACTACATATATTCGTTTTCGTCTTTATATATATTTCTCTAGTTATGTCATAATTTTCTGCAATGGATGGAGGAGTGTTAAATCCTCCAATGGGTTCTAGCTTCTTAAGTTTAGAAGTCATGGTTGTTAGATGTGCTTTAAATGGAGCATGATCAGGTAAAGAAATTTTTTCTTCTTCAGCTGGATCATTACTGCATTTAGATTTTTGACATTTATTAATTTTTCCACATTTAACGTCATTAAAATATAGAATAAGTCTTTTTGAGATTTTATCAATATAGGATTCCCAAAGAAAAGAATTGTAAAGTTTATTCTTTGTTTCTTTCATCTTTTCAAAATTGAAAGAACTATTATTTAGATATTTTTTAGATGACAAAGGGAAAATAGATAAGCAATCTACGTACATATTATACAAAGAATTTTTTCCATTAATGAAATAATTATTGTTGTAGGATATAACTTTTAGAATTCCTAACACTTCAACATAGTTACCTGGTATACATGAATTTACAAAAAATTTTGAAACTTCCAATGTGACTGTTAAATTTTTTGCATTCGATTCATCCATTTCGTTCATACTGTTAAGAATTTTTTTATTTTCTTTTAAAATTATTTTTTGATATTCCACAGATTTAGCTGATTCTCTAATTGGATGGAAATTTCTGGAATCACAATTTCGATTTGGACATTTTTTTGGAGTCTCAAATTTCCCATCTATAAATTCTATTTGGATTATACCTTTACATTTTTCACATATAAAGTCTAGTTTTGTAATTAGTAACTGGATTGGTGATACTCTTAAAACACTACCTCGAAGACATATCAGTTGATTTACTTTTTCACTTTTCAAACTTTCAAATTTGTTTATCTTATTCCAGTTGTATATATAAATGGTTATTCGGTTTGTTAAAAAATAATTTCGGAAAAATTCAGACTCTTTATGTCTGTCACATTTTAGTTCATTAATTAACATGTTGTCTTTTTCAAAATCACTGATTTCATCTCTCCTAATAAAGGGGTTATCTCGGCCGTTACTATTAGAATGTGTAGTTTCTTTCATCTCTTTGCTGTTATTCAGAACATTTTCCTCCTTACTGTTCTTAATGTTATTATTCTTCTTGTCGATACTGTTCGCAGAACTGCTGTTACAAATGGTACCACTACACTCGTCCTCTTTTCCTTTCTCTTGGCATTTCTTCTGCTCAATTACCTTCTCATTAGATTCATCTTCTTTGAGCGTATCTATATCTAGTAACTTGCATAACAATAAATGCAAAGCAAGTTTCATGAACTTTAAAACGATTTCTGGATTCTTCTTCAATTCGTGTAAATACACGTGATTATTTGGTGGGGCATTTTTATTTATCACTTTTTTATTATCTAAAAAAAATTCCAAGTTCAGAACTATTTCCTTATCTACATTGAATAGAAAGTTCCAGTTATTCTTGAAGAACGTGATCCAGTTTAAAATTAATATTTTAACATCACCTAAGGAGTTTTTTGTAGGACATATAAACGGGAGAAATATAAAAACACATATATATGATCTCTTATATCGATAGGGTATTTGTAAATGTATTAGTCAATTCCACGTCAAAAAAAAAAAAAAAAATCTGCCAACTGAACAGAAACGAAAGATCAAAAATGAGGAAACTCCTGTCTTACCATTTAATTCAGACTTGTTGAAATAAAGTTGCACCAGCGCATCCATTTCGATATCATTCCAAACGGTAACTACAATTATTTAATTATATTATTTTTTATTTTTATTCTGCTGGTGGGTTAGTTATTACTGCTGAGGTGGAACATTATTGTGTCTGACAACACAAAAAGTGCACGAAAAATGGTTAAAAAAATTTGAATATGCAATTTGAAAGCATTCTTTTCTTCATCAAAACGAATTGCACACTTTGGTCATATACAAAAGAAAAAAAAAAAAAAAAATTCATATTACCATGATGATTCATAAAGAAGACATTTTTATTTTTCAGTTAAACTATCTGTAGTACCATTCTTTTTTTTTCTTCTTTGAAGCTATTCGAATTTTTTTCAAAAAAAAAAAAGTGCATACATTTTTTTAAAAATGTGCCATAGAACGGAAGAGAAAAAACTGGCTTCTTGATGTATATTGTGTATATACATGGATAGGCTGAAGAACATAATATTTGCACGTTTTTTTTTTTTTTTTTTTTTTTTTTTTTTTTTTTTTTTGTTTACGAGATAAAAATAAGAATTTGGTGTTTCTTTACATGTGTAAATATTTTGGGGAAAAAATTTGTTACTTTTTGGTTGAACGTATATTTCCTTATGCATTCTAAGAGCATATATTTTAATATACTCGTTTGTAGTATTTTATCTTTCTTTTTTTGTTCGTATCTCCAACGTACACACAGAATGGTTATATTTTGTTTAAAATAATTTTTGAGTGCACATGTTTGTAACTAGTATGCATATATATATATGTATATATCTGTGCATGTGTTTGTGTAGGGAAAGTGGGAGGGTAGGGGCGAAGCAGTCCTTTTGGACATGTAACATGGTTTACACCAGAAGAAAAATTACAATGGTTAACTTAGATGAATAATCAGACAAATGGTGTGGAAATTACCTATTCATAGTGTATCTTGAATCAACTGTTTGATAACCTTACGGGAATTGTTGTTAACAGGATTGTAAAAACAAAACAAAAAAAAAAAAAAAAAAAAAAAAAAATCATCGAGTAAAGATATGTTAATATTTGTATAAAATCAAACGATGGGAAAAAGTATTACATCAAACTCGCAACGAAAAATGCGGGGAAATTACGAAAATTGTTCACGTGCAAATGTAGGTAGTGTAGGGAAACACATATATTATAATGGATATATATATATGTACATATATATGCTTGTGCATGTGATAGTTATGCAAATAAAATGAGGGGGATAGGGGGGGAAAACGCCCTTTCATGGCTACTTTCAATGGTTTCCTTTCCCTTTTTTTTAACTTTTAACGTCCTTTTTTTTTTTTTAAAAAAAGCTATTTTTGTCTCTTCACCAATTGAGTGTAACTCCAGATTGTGTTCTATTGGATAGTTTGTTTTTTTCTCCCTTACATTCAATCACGCTTCTGCAGTAACACTTTTCCATTATCGGGCTTCATTATTGAAAAAATTTGAAGTTATGTTGTGTAACTTTATGATACTTTTTAAGTGTGGGAAAAGCATATAACCTACTGAACTATTTATAAATTCGAAATGGTTTCACTTTTTTTTTTTTTTTTTTTTTTTTTTTAAATCTTTTTAAATAACAATATGGATGTATAAAACCGTAAATGAATATTATGGAACTTTAAAACTAATTGTGACAAAAAAGGAACATAGAGAGTGACTCCTTACTCAAATGTGTCAAATAATACTCTCCATAATCTTGCACAGACATAAGTACTCACGTATGAACATACAAATGAATATACAATAATTTATAGCTACCATAGAACTCACCCCATCTTCTATATAAAAGGGTTAAAGAGAAGAAAAAAAAAAAAAAAAATGCCAATTAGGCTAAAACATTTCCTCTTAAACGTGATAATTTTTTTTTTTTTTTTTTTTTTTTTTTTTTTGACATATTCTCTTTTTACCTAATTTTGTGTACATTTATATGTATTCCTTTTCCCCATTTAACATATTTACACATAAAACATACATATACTTATGTTCGTTCCCTTGTGCATGCATGGAAAAAACAGAACACACTTTGGTGGACGTGGCATTTCCTGTTTTTCACATATCACACGAGCATAAGTAGTAATTATTTTCAAAATGAGATACACAAGAGAGGACATGTAACTGTATACATATGTGTACATGAATAGAAAACAAATGAATGCAATACATAGAGAGGATAGGTGGGGGGTAATGAGAGAAATGAAAATGCTCGAAAAATATAGCATATTCATCCCATGTGTACGTATTTATATTCACATGTAAAAAGTGAATGTACTTCATATACAGTCGTAGTACTTGCATATGTATGAAATAGGCTAAACTTTTTTTACATTGAGAAATCGGCGAAGCTTTTTTTACATTGAGAAATCGGCGAAGCTTTTTTTACATTGAGAAATGGGCTAAGGTTTTTTAACATTGTGGAATCCACTAAGCTTTTTTCACATCGTGAAATCCACTGAACTTTCCACATTTTGCAATCTATTGAGCTTGTCACATATTCAAAAATATACGTATCCTTATGATTCCCTTTTTTTTTTTTTTTTCTTTTTTTTTAACGCAGCTACATTGCATTGTTATTTTTATGATCAATTGACAGTCCATTCACAATTTAAAAAATTAAAAAATATATATATATATATATATTATTTTTTCCGAAAGTTGGCCATTGCTTTTTCAATTTTTTACATACCTTAATTATATGTTACGTATGTATATATATATATATATATATATATACATAACGTGTACATATGCAAATTTACGTTGAAAAAAAAAAAAAAAAAAAAAAAAAAAAAAAAAAAAAAAAAAAAAAAAAAAAAAAAAAAAAAAAAAAAAAAAAAAAAAAAAAAAAATAAAAAAAAAAATTAAATTTCTATATAAATTATACAACAAATTTACGTTTAAAAAAAAAAAAAAAAAAAAAAAAAAAAAAAGCAGAAAACCAGCAAATGAAGGAAGCTAGGAAAACAAAAAAAACAAAGAAAACAAATTAAATGAAAAATAAATTTACATTTCTTTGTAAATTATTCCTATGAAAAAAAAAAAAAAAAAAAAAAACGTTCAGAATAATTATACAGCTACCTCCCTCTCCACAATCCATTCTCCCGAATATATATATATATAAATCCTTACGTGCGTCATATCCCCTACAAACAAAAAGATATACATATACATATACGCATACATATTCCATCGTCCTTGCAATATATACATTACACACACATATATATATATACATATATATAACAAACTTGCGAGAACCACTGAATGATTATTTATTTGATCCCCAAGTTGAAGGAAAACAAGGGTGTTGATCCTCTATGTCAAAATGTCAAAAAGGGTGAATTATTATGAAGTATTGGGGGTACCACAGGATGCTGATATAAGTATAATCAAGAAGTCGTATAGGACCCTGGCTATGAAATGGCATCCTGGTAAGTTTTATTTATTAGCATTGTTGGAGATCGAACGGAGTGAACTGTAGAGTGTACACATACTCAATGAACGATGTTATATTTGTGTGTGTTCATGATAAGTGTTTCAATATATCTACTGGATGCGTAACATTATTTATCTTATTATGTTTTCACAATGTGTGAGTTACAAAAAAAGGAAGAATCCAAGTTTACAGAACTGGGTGAAGGAATCTATACAATGTCCACATTGTTACGTATATTCCTTCAGCACATACCCCCACCCCCCTTTTGTTTTTCATTACATATTTGTTTTTCTAATTCATGGTTAAATATGTACACGTGTATTCTTTACCAGAACCATCTATGCACGACAAGACTTAACCGTTCAAGTTATATATGTTTCGTTAATAAGAATAAACGTGTGATTATCGAAAAGCTGTATGTTACTTACACATTTTCACTCTCTCTCTCTCTCTCGCTCTCTCTAACACACACTTGTGAAATTTGTTTTGTTATAAACTATTTATACTATATAGCATGCTTAAAAAAAAAAGGCTTCGTCAAATGGAATAAAATACTTTCCAAACAATTAACTTTTATAACACTTGTTTGAGAAAGAATGATAAAATAAATATAAACACTTATTTTTACGCATTTCATCGCGCACTCATTCATTCACGCACTCTCTCTATCTATCTCTTTTTTTTTTTTTTTTTTTTTTTCACGCTTCATAGATAAGAACCCAAATAATAAGGCCGAAGCAACCGAAAGATTTAAACAAATTTCCGAAGCTTATGAGGTTCTGTCCGATCCTAAAAGGAGGAGAAAATATGATCGTAATAAAATTGAAGCTTTTAAAAAAAAAAAAAAAAAAAAAAAAATTAATAAAATAAAAATAAAGCACAAATGAAACCTATACAAACGCATATATATGTAAAAAGGAGAATTATACATTTTAATTCCTGATCATGTGACGCATTCCCATTTTTACCATTTTTTTCTCACATTTTCTTTCCCTTTTACTCCCACAAACATTTTTAGTATACGGAACTGATGAGAACTACGTGACCGATGAAAATGACGAGTTTTCAAATTTCCACAAAAATTTTGGATTCAACGATGCACAGAGAATTTTCGAAATGTTCTTTGGAGATTCTACTCCGTTTGGCAACGATTCCTTTTTTAGTGATGTTATGGGTTCCCCCTTCGCCGACAAGAGAAGAGGAAGAATGCCAAGATCGAATGACCCATTTGATAACTTTTTTGGATCATCTTTTAATATATCCTTTGGTTCCTCCAACTTTGACAGTAGGTTTTGTGTTTCAGTGTGTGGAAAGTTTATTTCTTAAGAGATATAGAAAGAGATAGAGAAAGAGACAGAGAAAGAGATAGAGAAAAAAAAAAAAAGAAAAAAATCACTGTATATATGTGTGTCAATTTTTCACAATTTAAATGCAACAACTACCCCAAAGAAAAATACATTTTGCGTGTAACACGTATACGTGTATAACAAATGACACCTTTGCTGTTATTGCACATTATATAAATCTCTCATTATTCATCAATTTCCCCTGAATTTTGTAGACTTTATGGATGGAGGTTCTTGCTTTACGTCTGTAGAAACATCCACATCGAATGGAGGTAAGTTCAAAAATCGAGTTGTAAAAACATCAACATCCAAAACGACCTCCATTGTTAACGGGAAGAGGGTTACCAGAATCGAGACTGTGAAAACTTTGCCAAATGGAACCATCGAAAGGACTGTGACAGAACGAGAGGAAGACGGACGAGGAAATGTTAATATGAGGCAGTTACCAGCGCATGAAATGAGACGAAACAAGAGATAAGGTTCCTATTCGTAGGTTATTAATCGAAAGGAAGGTCAAGGGAAAAGGAAAAATAAAATGGACGAAATGAGGGGCGAATAAATAATGTTCTAAATTGCCTACCCCACGTATACATGTCAAGGACAAGTGATAAACATGAACGATTGACACCATGGACCGATACAATCGATTGGCATCCTTTTTCATTTTAGAAAATTTCTACATGTATAAAATTAAACATACACGAATGAGAACAGAACCAGTTGTGGAAATGCATGTAAATAATCCGTTAGAAGCCATATTACAACAAGAGTTCCCATATGTTACGATTTGATCAAGTGGTACAAGCGCCCAACCCTTTCCTTGCTTTATAGAGAGAAGTTACACTTGACATGTTAAACACATCATCATAGACAGAACACTCAGATTTTGCCATCTGTCCAGTTTATTCATGAAACAATTTTTACCTAATTGTTTCGAACAAAACTGAATGAAGAAAAAAATGAAAAAAACAATTCTTACAAGTACAGAACAGTATGAGGAAACAAATTACAAATTGTTCATTATGCATTACTTACGATGAATTTCTTTTGCGAATATGCATCTCACATTATTTTTTTATCAGTATTTTTCTTATGTTTTTTTATTTTTTTAATTTTTTTTTTTTTTTTTTTTTTTTTTTTTTTTTTGCATTTTTTAAAATATTATGCCACGTTGTCCCATTTGGAAACGGCAAAAATGCACATATATCTAGATGTAAGCATTTTAACATGCCACTATATGCATGTACGTTATGTGTATGTATATGAGATCTCTATATCGGTATATATATACCTCTTCTTATCTATGCGTCAAAAAGGAAAAAATAAAAAAAATAAAACGAATATAGCCAGCTCCTCTTTACTCGAAAGTTGTGTATACGTACAAGTATACATGCTTGTAGGAGAACGGGGAAATTTCATAAATACAAATATGTATTAAGTATGTTATAAGAATAAATATCTTTTTCTTTTTCTTTTTTACAAATGCGTAGACCTACTGTACAAGACAAGAAAAAAAAAAAAAAAAAAAAAAAAAGGGTATTAACTATATATATGAGTAATGTTTTGTAAAAAAAATGTTGCAAATACTTATAATGCATGCATATATTTATATAAGATAATTTTGCAGTCATGAACTTTTTTTTTTTTTTTTTTTTTTAATTTTTTTACAATTACAAGGTAAGGACAACTGTATATGTGTTGAATTTTTTCCATTATCAACTTTTTTTCAACAAGGTATATATTTCTGCCCCCTTTTTTTTTTTTTTTTTACGTTGTTTTTAAAAGTTGCTGAATGTGTATATATGCACATTATTACATTTATGTACTATTGTGCAAATATATAGGCGTACACAGCACAATCGAGTTCACTGTTCATTTTTATTATTTTTAATCCTAAACATTAAAGCAGTTATACGGCACATCAATTAGAGAGGCTTGCTATGCCTATCACGTCTCTTATTATTTCTAGTACTACTGATGGGATTGCTGCACGTGTTAAAGTATTTTAGCACTCGGTCGCACCAGTACGTCTAGGCCATTATATATACATATATATGTATATATTTTATTTTATTTTATTTTATTTTTTTTTTTTGCACCTCTTTTGAGCAGTAGAAAAAGTGAGCCATTGTTCAGCCGAAGAGACAGTTATGAATTGCCAACATAGCACTACTTCAACATGATTCGGCTGTTCACGTATATTACTTTATTGCCTGATTGAACTTGAAATGGGGTAGACGTGTAGAGGAGTTGATGGAGGATCCTAGTTTTTACAAATTGGTGCAGTACACACACCATGGTCTGATTGCATTATTATGTTAATTATATAATTGAAATGCATTTTTAATAAATATATGTAACGTGTGAAATTGTGAAACTTGGGGAAAAAATAAAAAACGAGAAATAAGTATCCCAAGGAGTTATTATAGTAGCAGTAGCTGGTGAGAGGGACGTAATATTATGACTCAGCCTAAGACACATATAATTATTTCTTCCCTCCATTGGAACATTTTGGAAGTGTTCAATCGATTTTGTGAGTAAAGATATATATATATATATATATATATATATATATATAGTTCTATAACTAGTAGTCAAAGAAAATGAGTTAAAAAGATATATCCAAATATGCCACTAGATGTCGAAAATTTCTATCACTTTTGGTCTTTTTGAAAAATTACACGATATATATGATGGCATAAAAATGGCATTGTTATGGGTTACACATTCATCTTATGTGTTATGTGTAGAGATGGATAAGCAGAGGTTGGATGTGAAGAGATATTCATGCTGCTAGGTTTTCCCATTTTGCTACTCCATTTTGGTTCACCATTTTCTTCCCCATTTTGCCGCTCCACCTCGCTCGTAGGCTATGGGCTTAATCCATTCTCGTAGTAGTTTGCCGTGTACTTGTGAAAGACTTTGTTAAATTTTTTCCCATTCGGGTTTTTATCCCCATGTTTATTCATGAAAATTTTCGTGCACCTGTTGTTGTTGTTGTTGTTCTTCTTCTTCTTGTGTTTTTTTGGTAGATTGGTGGGAGAAATATCTGTAATAATTTAGAGACGGATATCTATTTATCATAACTTTAAGAATGGCTTGGGCACGCAGATCCCTGTGTTCAATGTAACGATGTATTAATTCATCGGTAAGCAATTGTAATGGATCCATCAAAGGGATGAGATCGTCTTTATCAGGTTTTCTATCATAGGGATATAAAGCCATTCTACGGGCTATACATATTGATTTGAAAATTTGTATTTGTTGCTTTCTAGTAGTAAAATTAATTCTACGTGGTAAAATAAGACCATTTTCTCCAATGAAATTATGTAAGATATGTGTGTGCCTCCATATAAACGGGCATTTTAAATTAAGTATTTTTTTTTTATTAAAAGAAGGGTTCCAATACTTTTCATTTTTGTCATTACATGTAATTGAATCATCTGTGTTCGTGTTTTTGTTAAAACCTACATGTTCATTATATTCATCCGAATAAGGGTTGTATAATTTGTATTGTTCTTTTAGGGACCTCTTAATTGCACGCCTTTGTTTTTTCACTTCAACAATAGATGCCAATTTGGCATATTCATTAAATTCGTAAGAAATTTCTCTTCTCAAATCTGTTACTTCTTTGAAAGGGTTCCAATATGGATCTATATAAATGTCTTTATAACTTAAATTGGAGATATGTTTTTTTTTTTTATTAATTCTTTCAAATATATTTTTTGTTATTTTTATTTCTTCTTTATTTAATTCTTCTATAACTGGAGATATATCATATTCCACACTATCTTTATCAACTTTTTTTTTCATTTTATATATTTCTTCTAGACATTCATCAAATAGTGCATTACTTGATGTTTCTTTTGATACTTTTATATTTTCCAAATTTTCCTGTAATTTTGTTTTCCCCTCCTCCTCATGTTTCATTTCACTTTTGTTTCTATACTTTGTATGAAATTTCTTGCCACTAATAACAAGTTTACTGTTCATACGCAATGTCCATCTCATTTCAGTCAATATATTTGATAAGATATCATTATCGAGTAATTTCCACGTTTTATTCATTCTTCAATCGTTTGTTAAAAAAAAAAAAAAAAAATGGTGCAAAACATTAATAAGTGGAATAAATTCACGAATTGTTACATAAGGGGTTAGTTCGTGTGAAATGTAACGGAAGGAAAAGTTCACAATTTTTCTTTCTGGTTCTACAATGAGTGGTAGTGCATGTGGGGTTGGGGAACCTTAATGAGTTAACCAATTCGGTCTACTCTATGAGGGTTCCTTTCATCCGTTTAATTTCGTCCCTTGGTCTCTTCCTTTTTTTTTTTTTTTTTTTTCCTAGGAGGAAATGTTCCTCTGGTTAATAATAGAACCGAATTGACAACTTGTAAGACACAGGTTTGTCACAAAATGAGAAAGCGAACATTTTATTTCTCTTGTGAGGCATACTAAGTAATATCTCATCCCTTTTTGCACTATGTAGAGCTACTAGCCTTCACGGAAGCACTTTTTGTATACTACACTATATATTGCTTACTCGATACACCTGCGATCCTTGCATACCCTAACACGTATCTGATTCTATTTGTGATTGGGTACCTTATAGCACTTTTGATTTGGTTTCTGGTTTGGTTTCTTCTTAGGTTTCTTCTTAGGTTTCTTCTTTGGTTTCTTCCTAGGTTTCTGCCTAGGGTTCCCGCTTAGTTTCCTGTTTGGATACTTTCTACCATTTGTGTTTGCATTGTTGCATATTTGAAGAACCTTTTTTTTTTGGGGTAGTTGTGGACTAAAATGTTCAGAAAAAATGGAAAAAAAAAAAAAAAAATTTCCTCTTTGTGCCCTGTTTTCCAATGTATATTTTGTTTTATTTTTAATTATATATTTATTTTTTTTGAGATAGTTGGAAATGCATCTTTTAAAAATTTTAACACATTTGTCAACAGGAGAACTTGAGAACATTTGTAAATGATTTATTATTATTATTTTTTTTTTTTTTTCTATTTTCAGCGAATTTTATCTTATTTTACTTCGTTTTATTTTATTTTATTTTATTTTATTTTTTTTGTGTGCATAACAGGCATCAACCTGAGCAATCACATTGCTGTACATATTATTGTAAACAATCTTATTAAATCACACTTGACCAACTATCTTTCGCTTTTTTTTATTTTTAATTTTATTCTGTTTTATTATTTTATTTTTTTTGTTTTATTATTTTATTTTTCTAATGTTGCATATAGAAGACAGTTGTCGCTGTATGCAGTGCCACTGCACAATACTCCCGATATAGATTATGTGTATATTTATTTTACACAATTTCTTATGTAAGCGCAAGATGCTTATTAACCAAAGGGGTTATGTGATCCCGTGATTGGTAATCCTTTTTTCTTTTTCCGTTTCTTTTGTTTTTTGTAATTTCAATTTATTTTTGTTCTTTTCCTTTTTTTTCCATTTTTTTCCTTTTTTTTTTGTGTACAAAAGCACACTCCAATGTGTGAGTGTACATGTACGGTTAAGATATGGTATTTCCTTTATTAAAAAAGAAAAGTTGCATGATTGTGTCTTTATGATGTCCTAATTATTGTGCTGCAAGGAGGGATGTTTCATTTTCTGCGTTTGTTATGTTTTGTTTGATAAGGTATGAGCAATTGTTTTCTAAGTTTTTTCCACTCTTTCTATATCTTATTCTCTTCGTTTGTTACACCTCCTCTCTATACTTTCTGGAGAATCACAATTCCAAAAAAAAAAAAAACACTAATCATCTATCATATTGTCCTTTTGGGGAACATTTTGTCAAAATTATTGAAGTGCACGTAAGAGAGACTTTCACCTTAACTTTACACACAAGAGAAAAGGCATCACATGTTGGGGAACACACGTGTAGAAGCAACGTCGACATCAATCACACCGTTAGCAGCTACAACCACAGCAAATGAACCCGTAGCTACTACATCCATAGGAACTGCACCTACACTTGTGAAGAAGGATGCATAAATTGAAAAAAGCCAAACAAAGAAAGTACTCACACATTGGAGTATAAAATATAAAAAAAAAGTATGTCGAAAATGTTTTTAACCGAAGCAAAAGGTAAAAAAAAAAAAAAAAAAAAAACTACATATCATAAAAAGGAAGACGAGAAAAGATTCTCTTAGGAGGAATGAAACATATCTTGTCTTCTTTAATAAGAAGTTTTTATATAACTTTAAAACATAGTTTAAAGAAACGTTCACCAAAAATACAAAATTTTGATATACAGTCCTCACCCATTTCTTATAATTTTTTTTTTTTTTTTCAATTATTTATTGCTCTCTGTTCCAAATTTTCCCTTTTGTCTTATGCTTTAAAGTAGGACTTTTCTTTTTAAAAATAGGAAAAATACAGAACATGTTATTTTTCTCTTCTCCTCGAAAAGGAAGAAATGAAATAAAAACGCATGTACATACACAGATACGTAGATGCAAAGTCACGTGCAGAAGGATGTAACCTTTATAACATTTTTTTCTTGAAATATTTACATTCTTAAAATTGAAAACGTTTCCCAATTTTATTCTTCAAAGTGATTTTTTCTAAAAAAAAATGTTATGTTGTTCAAAAAGAGTCCCAGGTATAATTCTTTTTTTTTTATTTTATTTTTTCTGAAAACATTGAATAAATAAAATATATCCCCGGGTGGGGGTGGGGGTAAAGAAACAGAAAGATGTGTCTTATATTTTCTAATTTAAGGTTGAAATGTTTGGAGAACAGAAAATTGAGTAAAATTTCTTGAGTACGTCAAAGCATAATTGTGCATGATATGATAGTTCGATAAATTTGAATACTTTTGGAACTAGTAGAAATGACAAATGGGTGAATGAAACAAAAGAAAGGAAAAGGAAGAATATCAGAAGTATATGAGAGATGAGAGACATGCACGACAAGAACAAGAAAAGGTGTATCTAGAGCTGAAGCATGAGATGCTGGAACGTCAGACGATGGAATACCAGACGATGGAACATCAGACGATGAAAAATCATGAATGGAATCAAGGGGAATCAACGGAGCAAGAGAGTTCACCATCCATGTATGAAACAACATATGAGGGTCACGTGTTTCAGACAAAAAAGAAGATGAAAAGGAAATTTGTTCCTATATATTGGAAGAACAATTGGAAAAAAAAAACATTATCAAAGGGTGTGAAGAAAGAAATCTTGAAAGGAGGAATGTTATATAACTTCATCCATTAAAATGGAGAAGAATGAACATGCCAAGGATATTCAAACTAGAGGAATTATTTCAAGAGAGAAAAAACTGTGTAGATGTATCAGAACTGGTTGGAGTCAGATGCAGGGAAGAGGTGACAATCTTGGCAGATGTGCAAAAATGAATCAATCTGAGTGGTATCCTTAGATGGCTTATAGAGGCACGTACATGGGGAAGCAGTGAACTTAATAAATCATTGGAATTTAGTCTTATTGGAAGAATGGTAAGCGAAAGAAAAAACCGATATATATGAAGAACCACATGCACGTAGTGGAAAACATAAGGACATTAAGGAATAAACCAGAATATAAAATTCCCGACATTGGCAGCCGTGAGAGTAGTGCAATCCGTTACAATATCGACAGCAATTACAGCAACTACATCAGCTGCAGCAGCTTCAAAAGTGGCAGAGGAACGTCCATCAAAGATTCAGTTGCATCAATTAAGGAGGAGTATGTGTTGGGGATAATAGTGAGGGGAAGAATAATGGCACACCTTTTGTAAGATCGAATGATGGAAGAAAAGGTAAGGAAAAATTGCAATGACTTAGAATAACAAGGAAAGATTTGGAATGGAAGAATGAATGCAAGCTAGTGGGTTACACAGTAGTAATCAATTGTGAAGATGATGATGATGATGGAGATAATGGAGCGGTGAATGATGTACAGATTATGAAGGTAAAAATTCCACCCATGGGATGGAATGACACATCATTGGAACGTACGATCAGAAAGAAGAGTAAGATTGATAAGGGAATTTAGGAATGGATGATGAAATTGAGGGAAGAGGGGATTATACCTAGTGAGAAAGTCTACCTGCCAAGAGGTCCAAAGGAGTGGAAAGAAGAAGAAGAGCCACTTATTAAACAAATAAAAGAAGAAAATGAGAAAATAAAAGAGGATAAAAGGATATATTAAAGGAGGAAATAGAAAAAAGAATAAATATACAGGAAAAAAAAAAAAAATAAAATAAAAAATTCACAACTTAAGTACCAGTATATGAAGATTAAAACTAAGAAGAATTGTATTTCAAAGCATAAAACACACGAAGGAGCAGATGACAAATTTATTTCAAAAAATATGTCCACGGAAATGGCACAGGGGGTTCAGAAATTCAAAAGTATGTAACAAAAAAAAAAAAAAAAAAAAAAAAAAAAATATGGATGGAGTTGTGGAGGTCGGGATTCACAGCAGGAGCATAGAGAGGTAGAAAAGGTAGCACAGGAAGGAGCAGGAGTTGTACACGCAGAGGACTTATCATACATTAGAGACATAGCACACGCAGAGGACATATCCATACATTGGCGTAGGAAAAAAAGTCTTGGGTCCCTAATGCTCCAAAAGAATACTTAACGATGATATAGTTTGCCCATGGAAAGTGTGTCGATGGAGTAATCACTCAAGACGAACTAATGAGTTCCCCATATAGATAAGAAAAAATGGATTAAGGAAAATTCTTGGGCAGAAACGGATTTACATTTATACAAAATTTCTAGATACAACATTGTTATACACATTATCATTGAATATCAATTCGAAAATAAAATTTCGAGATGGCACTGCAAGGAATGAAGATGCTTTTTTTTTTAATGACACTTGTTTGTATCGGGGCGCACCTTCAAATGATAGTGCTTATGTATTAGGGAAAAATGGTGAAAAAAAAATTTACTGCAAATAGAAAACAAAGCTTTCGTCATTTCTTGTATTCACATGGGAATAAAAAGATGTGGAAATTCTAAACCAAATGGAGAAATCAAACGAATGTATCATGAGGAAGAAGGAAAATTTTGCCCTTGAACATAGTTATGAAAAATGGAGAAAAGAATGTGTAAAAGATAATACGAATAAGGGTGCTACTGATGAAGGAACAGCGAATGCTGTTATTCACAGTAAGTATCAAGGAGAAAATGGAAATAATACCAATGATGCTAAAAATGATGCCAAAATTGATGGTAAAAATGATGCCAAAAATGATGGTAAATATGATGCCAAAAATGATGCCAAAAATGATGCCAAAAATGATGCCAAAAATGATGCCAAAAATGATGCCAAAAATGATGCCAAAAATGATGCCAAAAATGATGGCAAATATGATGCCAAAAATGATGGCAAATATGATGCCAAAAATGATGGCAAATATGATGCCAAAAATGAAACTAGTAAAGGCGAAAATAATAAAAAGAGGAAAAAAAATAACGGAGGAGAGAAAAAAAAAGAAATCAAAAGATTTTCCTTGTTTGGTCAGGTAAAACCAGTGGATGTAATAAACAGAGGAATTGATGTGTATCCATATCTGAGAAATGAAGAAAATTTATACGTGGATGTTTTGATCATAGGTTCTGGAATTTCAGGACTAGCTGCTTCATACTACTTAAACAAATGCAATGCGGACATATTAGTAATCGAAGGAAGAAATCGAATTGGAGGAAGAACATTTTCCACAATTTTGCCTGAACGGAAAATAAAAAATAATGTATTGTCTGAAACGATAGTCGATTTGGGTGCAAATTATTTCCACTGTTGTGAAAATGAACATTTGTCAAGTGACAATAACACAAAAACGAAAGAGAATAACAAAATAAATGAAATGGATAATACAATCAAGAAGGAGTTATTTTCTATGTATTCAGAAGGAACTATTGGTACTGAAGAAGGGACAATGAGAAAAGGTAAAAGAGGGAGGAAAAGAAAAATTTTGAAGAATAATGCCACAAAAATGAAATATATGCAACAAATTGATAAGTTAAAAGGTAAAACTTATTTAGACTCCTTTAGGAAAGAAGAAATGGATAAAATATTATCTGAAAATGTGAATCTATTCAAACAGCAATATGGAAAACTGTTAAAAGAATTTGGGAAATTTCCCACGAATTGGGGAACAGATGGTATACACAATGAAAATTCTGAGTCAAACAATAAGACTAATGGAAAGAAAAACAGATGTGACGTGCAATATATGCAAAAAAAAATTAGTAGACATATGAACCAATTAAGCACAGTTGAGGAAATAAACAAATCGTGCAGTGATTCTAATTACTTGTACATGAGAAAAAAAAAAAGGGAAAAAAAAAAAAAAATAAGGAAAAATATGCTTTTCATGTTGAGATATAACATTGATAATATTTGTTCTTTGTATGATTATATATACAAAAAGAAGGAAGCAGAGGGTGAAAAGAATAAAAAAAATGATGTGTTAACTTTTTTAAAAGATATGGATGAAAATGTAAAACTTTATACTTACCTAAGTGATAGTTGCATGTGTTTACCACCTAGTTGTACCAGATATTCAGAATCCACACCATTTTGCAATTATCCACACATTTCAAAAGATGAAAATAAGAAATTAAAAATCCTCGAAGTTAATAAAGACACAAGAAGGAGAAGAGAATTTGATAAATCAGTTACACAACTTGCTAATAACTTAAAACCGAGAATTTCTTTAGTATGTGGTAAGGACAATTGGGAATCCACTTTTTATGCTTTTTGGTATAATAATGAAAATGGGAGAAAAATACAAAGCTTTAAAATATATAGGATGAATTTACTATGTGATAAAATTAGAATTAGAGCTTACAGAAAAATAAAATCTTTCTTATTTATTAACAACGTTAATGGATATAATAATACCGTTGATAAGTATCCACACCCCGACATTGAATTATACGCACATGTATTCAATCGTTTGAAACAGAGAAGAAATCACAATCCAGTTCTGACATATGGCCAAAAAAGACAATTTCAAAAACATGGATCAAATGAAGAAGAAAAAGAGAAAAAAAAATTAAAATGTTTATCACACCAATTTGATTTAATCCATAGGAGGGAAAATGGTATACAAATGATCTCACCACATAAGTATCAACAGGAAGAGGATGTAAAAAAACGATCCGATCAGACAAGTGTTCAAAATGTTGAATCGTCTATGAGGAGTAAATGGAATTTGTCTTATCAGAATGTTGAAATTGATTCCATGCCGAAAGGTTGTCATCACATAAGTTTGCAAGGGACTGATCCCGTGAGGAGAGTTTTTCCAAAACTTGGCGAATCTGATAGCACAGAAAATATGAAGAGAAAAAAATCGAAACGAGTTTATAAGCTTATGAAGAAAAAATCATTCATTGGTAAGGACATTGAAAAGTACGACAAGGATGCAATAAGGTATGGTAATTATTATGATTATGGAGAGGAATATTACAAGATTGTTAAAAAAAAGAGTGATAATATGTTTATAAGTAACAAAAAGAATATAACAAAAACGTTTTTATATAATGAAGAAAACAAAAGGAGAAGTATGTGGGATTTATTAATGGAATGTACAGAAGAAATAATTAATGAAATGAATTTGAATCAACAGAATTTCTCACTTGAAGAATGGAAAATATTAATGGTAATATTGCAATCAAGATATGGTTATGGTAGTGATTTAAGGGAAACATCTATATCCATGTCTAGACTCCCTTTTGTTAATAATACAGATATTGATATCTGTCCAGATTATGGCACTGATGATTACATTTTAAAAAATATAAAATATTATAATAGAATTAAAAAATATGAACAAGTTCCTCACATTACCACTTTTAAGGACACCACCAGTTCTGATCAAATTGTTTTGGATGGATGGAAATGGTTAATAAACTTTTTATCTGAGGATATTCAAAATAAAATCCTTCTCAACACGGTTGCTGAAATGGTGTGTATAAAGGAGGAGGACGACACTCCTGAGGGGTCAAAGAACAACCTTGTAAATCGTACCTCCGTTCAGGCTTCTACTGGGTCTGAGTTTGCAATGTCTACTGTTGTCGGAGGTGCTACGTCAGCTGTTTCGATCGTTACATCTGATTCTCTCGCTACTTCTTCTCTGGCCACTCCTCCCCATGATAGCGAGGACAACCCACTTGGGCATTCCCAACCGAGCGGTTCCCCTCCTAGAGAACCTCAGCATCGTGACAGAGGGATTATCAAAGTGGAAAATATAATCAGTGGCGATAATAATAGTGCTGCGTTTGATAGAAATAATGTTTGCACTCTCACAGAGGAAAATGTGAAACACAATAAAAAAAGGACTCATCCTGAGGAAGAACGATGGAATGGGAATCAGATTCGTCATACGAGAGTTTCAAAAGTAGATCATAAATTAATGAAATTGTGTAAAACGAACGAAATAGTAGAGACATTAAAAAAATGGTATGAACCGAATGATGAGATAGAAAATTACCATGTTATGGTGAAGTGTAAAAGTTACGATACTTGGATGAAAGATATTAATAAGAAATTTCATGGAACATCGGATTTAACAAATTGCAAATATACCAATGTGAACATTTTTGCTAAATATGTTATTGTTGCTTTGCCTCTTGGATGTTTAAAAGAAGATGGGAAAAAAACAAAAAAGAAAAATTCTTATTTACAATTTGAACCAAAGTTACACCCACTTAAGGTTAAAGCACTGAATAATTACAAAATGGGCAATCATAATAAAATAATTTTACGATTTTATCCTTTCGATTTTGCATGGCCATTTGATAGTTTACAAATAAATTGTATTGATCAGAAATTTCAATTTCTTAATCTACATGCATATGGAAAACTTGGATGTATATTAGTACACTGTTTCCCTCCTTGGTCATGTACTTATGGGCATATTAAAAAAGAACGTTATATAGTTAATGAATGTTTATACACTCTACATAAAATGTTTGAAAAATGTGAGAAACAACTACCTGTACTTGTTGATTATATTGTTACAAATTGGCAAGATGATAATTTTTCTTGTGGTTCATATACATATCCACATATCAATTGTACCGACAACGATTTAATTTATTTGAGATCTCCACACCCTCTTAATAATCCAAAGGTTGTTTTTTGTGGTGAATATTTATCAAAAAGTTACTTCCAATGTGTAGATGGAGCCTACGACACAGGCATACGAGCTGCCGAAGACATTGCACACATTGGATTGAAATTAAAGAGTTTCGATAACAAATATTACAATACAGATGTTTTTTTCTTCCCTCAAGGCACTTGTCCATTTACTAACATACCTTTACCAAAGATGAAAGAGAACCTCCTTGGATTTTACATAACCGATGGTAGTGATGAAGCTCTAACTGATTATGAAAGTTCTTCAGAAAATGAATTCGATAGCATTTCCACTATCCCTTTGTCAATACTCAAACAGGAGCATGATTTTTTGTCTTATTCATTAAACAAAGTTGTGGACTTTTTTAACCGTTTGAAGATTGAACCTGTTAGTAAAACTTCAGAAAATGGTCATACAAAAAAGACAGGAAAAAATGCAAAATTTAAGCGAGAACAACCGGAAGAGGATCCCACGAGTAATGTAATTAACGAAAATTCTCCAGAAAAATTAGTATGCCAAGATAACGATAAAATTGGTAGTGCTTCTGTCGATAGAATGAACTCCACTGATATTCACGAAAGTCAGGCACTAGCAAATGATAACGACAAAACTAGTGTGATCCCATTATCAGAAGAAGAAGAAGAAGCAGGAGCAAATGAAGAAGAAAATGTAAGGCAGGGATGCACACTTAGAAATGAACACAAACTTGATTCCGTTTCAGGGAACATTTTAAACAAAAACATAAATTTGGATAAATTGAATAAGATTATTATAAGTACGGAAGGTGAAAATATGATATGTTTGGATGAGGAAGATAGCAGTAATGATAAAAAAGTTACTGCTGAAACTGGTATCCCACCTGAATTCGAAAATAGAGATTCAAGTATGCTTGAGGATTTATCTCGAAAATGGTTCATATCTGGATCTCCACAGTTACCCCACGAATTGTTCACACAAGGAGCGTTAGATTTACCCATAGATTGGCTCACATCAGGGGAAGCAGATTTACCAGAAGATTTGCGGCTGAAATGGATAATATCGTGGTCAGAAAGTAAATTTCCCGCGAATAGCTTAGTAAAGACACAGAAGAATATACATAATACACATATTTTACACAAAATTGGAAAAATTGAAGAATACACATTTCCAAGCAACTATGAAAAGTTCATTTTGTACGTGGATAAATATATAATAAAATTGAACGATGTTATTTTCCACAATTATAATAAAATTGAGATAAATTCGTTAAAAAATAATATAACAATACCCATTTTTTTAAAATTGAAATTTATGCTATGCGAGTATTTATCATGCGTGCAGAAAAAATATCATCATTTTCAATATTTTATTCAAAAGGAATTATTTTCCAAAATTGAAAAGTCTAAAGATGTTCTTATGAAACATTTAGACTTGAATGAGGAAGCTAACCTGGATACACTGTTAAAATTTTTGGAAGGAAAAATAAATTATCAGTTAAGTGTCGAAATAGGGAAAGAAAAAAAAAAGGAGAATGAAAATGTTCACATTTTGCCTGAATATTCAGATCATGTGGAAAAATGTGCAAATAATTTTAATCATAATCATAGTTCTTCGATGAATAAAGAACAAAATGTTGAAAGTTGCGGAAAAGACGATGAGAAATCTTACGATATCACGTCACAACATAATAGAGAAGGAGCAAAAATGCTTAGGGGAAATATGAAGAACGGTTCAGATAAAAATGAAGAAAAAATTGTGGAAGAAAATAAAAAATTCGAAAAAAATATGTACAGTTCAGAAAAAAAAAATCAAAAGGAGAATGTGTGCAAAGATTTAGATATATACGAAGAACAGAAAATAAATAATATGTATGTTCAATATAAACAATTGTGTGAGCTGAACAAATATATGAATTATTTTTTAAGTCAAAGGTTCATGTCAAGCATAGGTGCAAAACAATGTATTAATTATTTAAATGAATATCACAAAATTAAATTAAATTGTACGGGTTTCCTTTTTTTTTTTTGTTATCTTTTGGAATATATAATAAAAGAAATAAATTATGACACACATCATCATTTTATTGATTCTACTGTAATTATCCAGTTGTTATGTGATTACCTATATTACTTGATATTTTACAAAAATGATGTTTTGTGCTATAAATGCATGAATGGGGGGGAATTAATCATGTGTGATTTTGTCGGATGCACCCAAGGATGGCATTCTTACTGCTTATACACGAAAGCAGATGTAGACGATAGTAAATCAGAGGGTAGATGGGTTTGTCCCAGTTGTGTTCGTACTAATTTGTCCCAAGTTTTTCAGGTAAGTTAAGCAGTTAAAAAAAAAAAAAAAAAAAGGAAATCGAAAATGGGCGAGAAAAAATGATCTAAGCGAAAGATTGGTGCGAAACTGTGCAGGCACACACTTTTCACATGCCAGATGATATTGCCAGCTACGCACACTTGCACACATTTATTCCACTTCAATTTTGCACATCTTTTGTACATATTTTATGAATGCTACAGTAATGATAATTCGTGCCATTTTTTTTTTTTTTTTTTTTTTTTTTTTTTTTGCGTTTCCCCAACTTGATTTTGGTTACATCATTTTGCCAACGTCATTTTTCTGACACCATTTCCCCCATTTTAACTTCCCATTACTTTGTGCACCTTAGCGTGGATGTTATAACCAGAATGAAATCATACAGAACTACTGGAATAGACGAGTTTATATTTACAAAATAAAGTTTTTTCTTTCGAGAACACGAAGAATCAGAAGGAGATTAGACATGTTGCAAACAGAGCTGTCCAAAAGGATCAAATGATGTTTTTTTTTTATTTTTTTCTTCCTTTTTATAATATGCTATAATATATTATATATACAAAATATATATTTTTTTTTTTTTTTGTGTATACTACATTTGGGTACCTTTTTATACACCTAAACGTTAGTACCATATTTTACTCATATATTTTATTCGACACTTTTAGGGAAGAGTAAGGGGGGATAGGTTAACATAATTTTAATTGGCTCTTTATAACTACTCCTCTTTCCCTTTCCCTTTGCATTTCCCTTTTTTTTTTTTTTTTTTTTTTTCCGTTTTTTTGTTAAATGTTTCACATTTAAATAACGCACCTCTTTGAATATATTAAGAGGGGGAAATTTTAGAAAATTTGCATACGTAAAAATACATGTCCATTTTGTCATGTTATGTATGTATGCACTTATGCATATGAGCTTCCGCTTCGAGATCTTTATGTTTGCACAAATTTGACCCTCATTTTGATGCGCATTTTTATTTATTTCTCTGTATAACTCCGTTTTTTCATTTGGAATTTTCAATGATGGTTAAGTAGACAATGTAAGCACATAGACTAACGGGCACACATGAACCCCTTTATGAATATACTAACACGCATAGGGGTAAAGTACAATTATGCACATTATATGGGACACATTTTTATAAAAAATGGTTATCATATATCATAATTATAGTCCTGCGCAATCATTCGAAAAATGTACGAATTTTATAAATATAATATTGAAAAATATATATATATATATATGCTTCACAAGAATTAGATGGTGTGATATACAACCAAATGGGAAATAAGTTCATATGTGGAAAATTAAGCTACAGAGAGAAAAAAATAAAAAAAAGAAGAGATGATAAATAAAGGAAAAAAAAAAAAAAAAAAAAAAAAGGGGTATGGATAGGATAGGGAAAAGATACAAATGTTTACTTTTAAAAGTATATTCTGAATAATTGCACAGGACCAAAAATTGTGAATATGAAAAAGTGTGGACTTCCCTTCTTTTCTAACTATCTCATGTTGCATAATTTCCTTTATTCTATATTCCTCGTCGCAGGTGTATAAATATACATTTACACACACACGCATACTCAAAAAAAAAAAAAAAAAAAAAAGAGTATAATAAAATAGAATAAAATAATGCAGTAAATAAATAAGAATAACAAAGAACCGATACCTGCGTCACAAATATGTATCACTGGTTTGTCTTCTCTTAAAAGTAGCGAATTATTTTGGCCTGCTTAAGATTGACATTTGTGAAATGTGAAATGGCAAAAAAAAAAAAAAAAAAAAAAAATTAAATTAAATTAAATTAGGTGAAAAGGGCATATAATATATGATAGTGTGCATTTTTCTCATTTTTTTTTTTTTTTTTTTTTATCCTCGGCACAAACATGAATTGACACATGTGTGAGGAGCATTTTTTGCACGAAGCGAAAATAAGTTAAGTTGTTAAGCTTCATAAAAAAAAAGAGGATAATATGCAGTGTTATAAGTTGAATACATTAAATAAAACGGAGAGAATGTTTTATGTTATGTCATTAAGGACGGGAACAATTCGAAAGAGATAACATCACTGGAAGTATTTTCTTTATTTTATTTTATTTTATTTTATTTTTTTTTTTTTTTTGAATTTTTTTACTCCCCATGGGAAAATATATGAAGTACATTTTGAACACTGTCGACGACATTGATACAGCCAAGTGTGTCAATCGTTTCACACAATTTTGTTCACCAAGCTGAGAATCCCTTTCCACTACCCTGTCAATTTGAACATTTCCTTTTACACATTTTTTGAAGCAGACGTGTGTTTATTTTGTTATATCAACATTACTCCATCAGCAAACGTTTGTTAAACAAAAGAGGAAACCCCCTCTCCCCACAAAAAAAAAAAAATAAAATAAAATAATTCACACACACATGAGAGAGGAGGTACTATATACATATATTACATGTCACACTCGTCTGGAAAATAAAACAAGAAAAGTATACAAAAAATAAAACAAAATAAAATAAGCAATGCGTCCAAATTTGTATATGGAACACACTGTTCATGCCTTTTTCTTTTTTTTCTTTTCTCCTTTTTTATGATATGTATGTCTCGTACATGGGGAAAAAAGAAAAAATAAAAGTTATTCTATATCGAAGAACCGTGAAACTTCTTTCAACTAATGAATATAATTTTTTTTTTTTTCAGTAAATACTTGTTCAAGAACAAGAATTAATATTTTAGACATATAAGTTGAAGAGATAGATAAGAGATTTTTTTTTTTTTTTTTTTTTTTTTAAAACTCCGTTTCGTCTTTTTGAAAAAAAAAAAAAAAAAATTCCAAATTTTGAGTAAGCAAATAGGGATATATCCTGCTCGAATTAGTTATTTCATTTTTACAACATTTTGGAGATCACTTGGACGGCATTTTATTACAATCGGGCCATTATTTTTGGATAGTTGCCGTTTTCATTTTGGTATAATAATATATAAACTCGTTGTGAAAGGCCTGAAAGTGAAGATAAAAAAAAAAAAAAAAAAAAAATGTTAGGAATACAGGAAGGAAGGGCATTTTTTAATGCCTCGAGAAACCCAAACAGTAGACCAGAAAATAATATCCGAATCGAAGAGAATCTTCCAAGTCTTAATGAAGTATATAATTATTTCCAAGATTTCCTATCTAGGTACTCATCAAATACATTAAAGGAAGGAAATTTAAAGAGAACGTTATTTGAAAATGTAAAAAATAATAATTTCACGCTAGATTTAAAATTAGACGATATATACAAACAACAAACAGTGTTTGAAAATAACGAAATAAGTGCCACACCGATATCGGAGAGAAAAATGAAAAAACCAGAAAATTACTCAGCTATTTTAGCAAGAGCTTTGTCAGAAAGACCATTAACCTACTTACCAACTGTTGAAAGAGTATGTTATGAAGTATGTGAAACGGCTAATATATTAACTGATGAAGATGAACATTTAAATTATATACAAATTAATTTATTGAATACATTCATCAGACCAACAGCGATAAGAGGATTGTTAGCAGCTACTCAAGAAAGATTTGTTGTTGTTCCTGGAATTATAGTTCAAGCTAGTAAACCTCAACATAAGATGAGAAAAATTACATTACAATGTAGATATTGTGATCATAAGATGTCAATAGATGTACCTTTATGGAAAGATAAACCTCAGTTACCACCTTATTGTCGATATTCTTCTACTATGAAATCTTCCATGGGAGTTGCAAATCCTATGGATAATCAGTTAGGTTGTAATGGAGTGTTAGAACCATATGTTATTTTACCGAATGAATGTACATTTGTTGATATTCAATCTTTGAAAATGCAAGAATTACCTGAAGCTGTCCCAACTGGAGATATGCCAAGACACTTACAATTAAATGCTACACGATATTTATGTGAAAAAATGATTCCAGGAGATCGAGTTTATGTACATGGTGTTCTGACATCGTATAACCCGAATCCAAAACCGACAAGAGCAGATGGGACAAACTTTTCCTACTTACATGTATTAGGATTCCAAAAATATGATGATATGACAGGCAATGATTTAAATTTTGATGTGGAGGAAAGAAATGAATTAACTTTGCTTGCTGCTGAACATGATATACATGAAAAAATATTTAAATCCGTTGCACCTGAATTATATGGAATGGATGAAGTAAAAAAGGCTTGTGCATGTTTATTATTTGGAGGAACTAGAAAAAGAATTGGGGAAGAAACGAAAATTAGAGGAGATATTAACATGTTGATGCTTGGAGACCCTTCAGTAGCTAAATCACAGATTCTAAAATTTGTAAATAGATGTGCACCTGTATCAGTTTACACATCTGGAAAAGGTAGTAGTGCAGCAGGATTGACAGCAGCTGTTATGAGAGATAGTCAAGGTGTTTTTTCATTAGAAGGTGGAGCTATGGTTTTAGCAGATGGTGGAGTTGTCTGCATTGATGAATTTGATAAAATGAGAGATGATGATGTTGTAGCTATTCATGAAGCTATGGAACAGCAAACTATATCAATTTCAAAAGCAGGTATTACTACTATGTTAAATTCAAGATGTTCTGTCATTGCTGCAGCTAACCCTTCCTTCGGATCATATGATGATTCACAAGATACGACAGATCAGCATGATTTCAAAACTACTATTTTGTCTAGATTTGATATAATTTTTTTATTACGCAATAAACAAGATATTGAAAAGGACACTTTGCTATGCAATCATATTGTTGCTTTGCATGCATCAAAACATAAATCTCAGGAGGGAGAAATACCTCTCTCGAAACTTACAAGATTTATTCAGTATGCCAAGAAAGAAATTGCACCTTTACTCTCTAAGGAAGCTAGAGATTCTTTGAGAAATTTTTATGTTCAAACCAGAGCTGAGTATCGTGGGGATAGACGATCGGTCACAAAGAAAATCCCTATCACTCTGCGTCAGCTTGAGTCATTAATTCGTTTGGCAGAAAGGTCTGTGCGAATGAGAGGGAATATGGACATATAACACGATACTCATTTTGTGTGTGTCTGCATATTGACAGGTTTACTGTCCTTTGCTATATATCATGGAGCGGTGTTTTTTTTATTTATGAACCGGGTGTATAGTTGTACATGTGTTCATAGCTTTGGCTTATCTTCACTGTGATCGGTCTTTATATGACTTAAGATTTTGCTAAATTCTTACTCCCCTTATCTCCCCTTTCAGTTTTGCAAAGATGGAATTATCTCAGTTTGCTACGGAGAAGCATGTACAAATGTCTATAGATCTCTTTTCGTCTTCCACTGCAGAAACAGCAAAGCAATGTTTGATCTTTGAAACAATGTCCCCCTTGGAACAGAAGGCTGTGAAGGTTTTCGCGATGAAAAAAAAGAGAGAGATAGAGAGAGAGAGAGAGAGAGAGAGGGAGAGGGAGAGGAAGAGCCATAATTCACATTTACCACATTTCACTCAACCATAAATCATATGTACATTCACATCAGTACCCTTTTTTAGCGTTATTTTATTTATTCATTCATTTATTTATTCAATTATTTATTTATTTATTCAATTATTTATTCAATTATTTATTTATTCAATTATTTATTTATTCAATTATTTATTTATTCATTTATTTATTTATTTTCCTTTTCCCCGTGTATCCACGTTAGCAAGCGGAAGATGCCATATTGGGTCGACTAGGAAAGGGACAGAGAGCCTCACGGGTGAATTTGTTTAGGGAATTACAGTTACGAGGTTTTGATCGTTCTGCTTTATCAAAGTAATTAAAAAAGAAAAAAAAAAAAAAAAAAAGCGTCCAAAAAATGTCATATGAAGGTCATTTCATTTGTTATAAGGACAAATCGAAAGTGGCACTTATTTTTGACAATCCATATGTGCGTGTGGATATAATGAGGAGCGGAAGAATTGTTTACTTGTTGTTGACACACACCCCTGTGGTGCCCGTCACCAGTTCTTGTAAATAAGTTTTTACCCTAATATACACACCACAACAAACGAAATAACCCACATGCTCATTTTTGCATGTATAAATAATTTTAATCGTTTCAAGTGAAATCGAAATCCTTTATTTTGAACGCATGCATCTATATACATATATATATGTATACATATATGTATACATATATCTATACATATATGTACAACTGAGCGGACTAACATTACATTATTATCTTTTCCTTCTGTAACGCTCACAGGGCTTTGGCTATTCTCATTAAGAAAGGAGAACTTCAGGAGAGAGGAGATCGTTCTGTTAGGCGCTGTTAAATGAGATCATTATTTTTTTTATTCGCACTTTCACATGTATAGAATGCGTGTTACTATATATTACCTGTACCGTACATATATATTCGTGTGGAAATATTTTTTTTTTTTTTTTCTGTTTACCTTTCTCTTTTTTTTCCTTTTTTTTGCATAGCTACACCTTATATAAATATGCATCATATCATGCCTCCCCTCGTCTTACACCTTCCTCCCATATATGTAGTTCCACTTTTTAATTACCATTTTTAAACTGTAAACCTGTTTACAACCATTTTAATACTTCCAAAATAAGTGTACATTATTTATTTTACACATTTTTTTTTTTTTTTTTTTTAATATTTTAAAATGTAAAAAAAAAAAAAAAAAAAAAAAAAAAGAGTGAACATACTATTCAAAATTATAACTAAAAAAAGAAAAAACGTCATGGGGGGTGGGTATACACTACCTTTTAACACTGTTTAGCTATACGCTCACGATGGTGTTATAGATGAGTTGTACATATGTACACATATATATTTTTGCATTACATGCATATAAATGTATATGTATACATATAAACTGATTGGGAATATACAACTTCAACTGCTCCTCGGTTGCACATATGATTGCATAAAACATTGAACGTGTTATTTGTACAGCAAAAATTTTATGTAGATTTTTCTATCTCTACAACTCGTGATTAAATATTTCGGAGAAGTTTTTTTAAATTTCCCTCCTCGCCCCCTTTTCCTTCCAAATACGTTTAATATTTTTTTGTACACAATAGAGGGGTTGGATGGGGCTATACATTATGTGATATACATATATATATAGCTTTTGTTTATATATTTTACACTGCTTGGGTTAAGTTTTGCATGTGGTCTTCTGTATGTACATACTCATGTATATGTATGCACTTTTTCTAGCGAGTTAGCACAATTTTTTGATTTCCACCAAATAATGGGTATGCAATTTTATGAGTTTCTGTCTTTCTAACTAAAGGATAACATGTCAACATAAAAATTTTGCTGTGGACCAGAGTTGCACTAAAACTGATCATTCTCTGTGATCATATGTTACTCATGCATACATAGTCATATTACGAGACATCGGTTACACCTCTTAACATTATATGGGATGATGGAGAAGGTGTTAATTAAATGTTATACTTATATATATATATATATATATATATATATATAGATATAGATATAGATATAGATATAGATATAATGTATAAAAACATAACGCTGCCAAAATTTGAATTTGTTAATTCCAATTTACGTTGTAAAGGAACTTGGCACACTATAAATTGAACTAAGCGTTCGTTATTAGCACACAAAAAAAAAAAAATAAAATAATAAAAAAAAAAAATCTCAAATTACATTTGTTTTTTCTTTTTCTTCTACCCTAGCTTTTTCTAATATTTGCATGCTTGTACACAAAATGATAAAAAAAAAAAAAAAAAAAAAATGTGAACAAATATGTATCCGTGCAATGGGGACATACATATTATCATATGCATATAAATATCCATCCCCATTTTGGCCCCACTGAAAATGGAAAAAAAAAAAAAAAAAAAAAAAATATTTATGAAGGTGAAAAATAAAAAAACACTTACCTTTCTTTTTTTGTTTTTTTCTTTTTCTTATTCTTTTCCTCTTTTTTTTTTTTTTTTTTTTTTTTTTTTTTTTAGCATTACTACATTGTACTTTTATTTTACAAAATTACCTCTTCATTTTATATTTTGTTTCTACTCCATACTTCTTAAAAATTATTTAATCATCAGCCCCAAAGCAGCGAAGAAAAAGTCACATTTTTTTTTTACTTGATTTATTTTTTTTATACATACTATATATATATATATATATAAATTAACAAATATATATATATTTATTTTTATGTATGAAGGAAATTGATTTTAGCAAGTTAAAACAAATTTATGTTAAAATTGAAAAGTGTTAACAAAATTGTAAGGAAAAAGGGAAAGTTCATATAACTATCCATTGGACTGGACGTATATATAATATATATTGTGTTTTATTGCATTTTTTTTTTTTTTTTCACTCTTTGTTAAAACAAATCAGTAAAGTTTTTCTTTTCTTTTTTTTTTTTTTTTTTTTTTTTTTGCCATTGTATATTCTGGAACCCAATATATATATTATATAATTATATACTCGTGCGTGCACATACATACACAAGGAGTATAATTTTTCTCAAAAAAGGAAAACTTTTGCAGAATCACTTCCAAGTTTATTTATAAGAACAAGATAACCAAGCCATTTTTCGAAAATGCAGATCTTTGTGAAAACTTTGACAGGTAAGGGATGCTAATTTCTATCACTTCCCTTTTTTATATCTTTTTGTGTGTATGCATTATCTCGATATGTGTATTTTATGTAGACCTATTTAACTCATGCTTTAGTGTTCTCACAATTATGTACATTTGAACATACACGTTTTACTCTCCTCCGTTATATGTTTATTGTTTTACTGAATGGTGACATTTTATCTCAAGGCACAGATGAGTCAAGCTGTGTGAGTTTATATATGCATATGTGTATGTGCATGCTAATTTTGGCACCAGATCGAATGAACTAAATTTATAGCTAGCTAATGATTTTTTTTTTTTTTCTTATGTTAATACATTTATGCATATGCACTTAGCCCCCTTTATATTGATATATATAAATTGTAAATATTTATAAAATAATTTAACATGTCACAGAACTGCCATAATTACAAAATTTTTTAAAAAATATCAGGTGTATGTATATGCTTGAAATAGTGTTATTATTTTTTATTATTGTTGTTTTAATTTATTATCCATGTATAATTGTTTATATAACATAATAATTATGAACATGGAATATATTTTTTTTTTTTGAAGTTAACTATTTGCTCACAAAAATTTCTAGGTCCATCCAGCTAGCCATTTACACAAAATGTTTTTTTTTTTTTTTTTGTTCAGGAAAAACCATCACACTGGACGTTGAGTCATCAGATACAATTGAAAACGTCAAGGCTAAAATACAAGATAAAGAAGGAATTCCACCTGACCAGCAAAGATTAATATTTGCAGGAAAACAATTAGAAGATGGAAGAACATTATCAGATTATAATATCCAAAAGGAATCAACTTTACATTTAGTTCTCCGTTTAAGAGGTGGTATGCAAATTTTTGTAAAGACTTTAACAGGAAAAACCATCACACTAGACGTTGAGTCATCAGACACAATTGAAAACGTCAAGGCTAAAATACAAGATAAAGAAGGAATTCCACCTGACCAGCAAAGATTAATATTTGCAGGAAAACAATTAGAAGATGGAAGAACATTATCAGATTATAATATCCAAAAGGAATCTACTTTACATTTAGTTCTCCGTTTAAGAGGTGGTTTTTAATTCTCTTTTTTTTTTTTTTTTTTAAACCATTTTTATTATATTTTGATATAACCACAGATCTTGTTAATTTATTTTATTTATTTATCTCCTTTTTTTTTTTTTTTTTTTTTTACGTCCTATTTAACATAAAAATACATTAATTATGTAACTTAATTAAAATTTTTTTAAAAAAAAAATTACAAGGTTTGTGTTGTGTGCGCGCACATACAGTTATATACATTTGGAATTTTTTTTTAAAGAAAGAAAAGAAAAGAACTTGTCCCAAAATACATTTTGTTTTCATTGGCTTTTTTGTATTCTTAAATTATTTATAGTTTTTCTTATACTGTTTATATAGTGCCTAGAACCGTATTACTATAACATATATCTTTTAAAGATGAAATTGGTTATATTCTCTACTTTTTTTTTTTTTTTTTTTTCTTGTTATATGAAAAGGAATCTGAGCAAAAATGAGCTTTTAAGCAGGTTGTGTATATGTGCATATTTGCGTATGTAAATGTAAGGATATAAGAATGTTGTATACAATACAATTCGTTTATGTCTAGCGGCTTGTGCGTATATATGTGTATATGCATATGTACTTAATTTCAAAGTAAAATGTAAAAATAATGAAAAACACAAATTTTAATGCTAATTAGCTTTTGAGAGTTGTGTATGGGCCAAAGTGGAAAAAGTGACAAAGTGGCCAAAGAGATTTTATCAATATTCACATCAGAGAGTACAGACACCCACAATTGATGTAATGCAGCAGAATGTACAAAAGTATGTGAGGATAATATGAGTTTTTTTTCCTTATTCTTTGATATTTTTGTGGATAAATGTAAATTAAGGAAAAGTTTTTTTCACAAAAGTTTGATAGAAGTTTGTAGGTTTTTGGTTGTATTTTTTTTTTTTTATCTTATTTCATATTTTTTATTTTTTTTTTTTTTTTTTAAAGCAAAAATTTTTTTCATAAGGGTCTTTTTTTTTTTTTTTTTAAATTGTTAAAAAAAAAAAAATTCATACAAAATTTACAAAAAAAAAATATGAACATGCATAAATATGTGCACCATATATATATATAGTGTTTAAATTATGTATATATACACATTATATTTTAAAAGTGTTACATTAGGGAGTAGCAGCGAATAAATCTTTATATATAGACACATGCACGCATACATATATGCATATAATCATGCAAAAACCTATACACGGCTTTGTACATATAAAAATACACGACAAACACACATACACGTGGTATGAGAGTATGTGTATGCAACATGCGCGATAAGCGCAGTCTATGGATACAGATCAAATCCGTAAAACAAAATATTAAATACAAATAAATATGCGATTATTAAAACATAAAAATAGGTATAGGGTACACGGTGCATGCAGTGCTTATACGTATATTTATGTGTGTAGTTGTGTGTGTAGTTGTGTGTGCAGTTGTGCGTGCATTGGTGTGTGCATTTAAGTTGTCAGTTATGTATGTAAACACAGAGGTAAGAGAAGAAACATGCGTGTGAACAGTACTCAGATGTGACAGTGTACTCATGTATAATCACAAAATCCGTCTTTTTGCACATGCACAAAAGTGTAGGATGTACGCTTCAAATGGATTTTACATTCTGAGCGTCAGCACATTTGCATATATACAATCAGCCGAAAAAAAATAAAAACTAATAATGCGTAATACAAAGCGAGCAAAATAAATAAAAAATAAAAAAAAAAAAATAAATAAATAAAATAAAATAAAAATAAAAATAAGACATAAAATAAAAATAAGAAATAAAATAAAAATAAGAAATAAAATAAAAATAAGAAATAAAATAAAAATAGAAAATTAAAGAAAAAGAAAAAGAAATAAATACCCAAACTACTCAACATAGCGGTAATATTATCACCACCAGCTTCTCCCACTTGTCCAAAATCCGTTAGCGTCTCTCAAACCAATACACTGATAAGGGATGCAAGGAGAGAACGGACATAAAATGTTATACACAATGGAGCCAACAAAATGGATAAGTGGAAAAACAAAATTAAAAAAAAAAATAATAAAAAATAGCTATTGTATTGTATATCCCATTTTGTGTTTTTTGCTTTCTTTTGCTTATTTTTTTAAATCTTTTTACTCTTTCTTCTCTATATTTTTTTTTTTCTGCATTTCTTCCATGTCTTGTTCCTCAAAAGATGAGATCAACTCTTGACAGACATATATTTTCTACGATACATAACCTTTGGAATAATTTCGTCTAGAATTAAATTGAGAACTGCCCACGAGATGCCAAAGAGGTATTGCCACCACAGTAAACAAGTAGTGTTAAGAACGGAAGTAATTCCAGGTATGCATGTAGACAAGAATGTCATGGTGGCTGAAATGCTACATGCTAAATGCATCCACATGTTTCTATTAAAGACTTTGTAAAATGGTTCCCAACTTCTAACAGTGTAAGCTCTAAGCATTTCGCACCAAATAGCGGATATAAATGCCATAGTTCTACCTCTTTTTGATCCCTTAGATGCAACGTCTTCAAAATTTTTAGGAAATGTTCCATCTATCTTATCATCTTTTCCTCTCACAGTAGCATCATCACGTGGTTTACACCATCCCCAATCATCTTGCATTAAATTTTCAGGACATCCATCTTCCATAATAGTTCTAATATGTGGATGTATTTCATTTGATTGGGGACTTATATTATCTATCTTTCCTTTAGCAGCACCCCAAAATGTAACAGTTTTCTTTTTTTTTGGATGCCAAAAATTGATATTCGTTACCCATCCAACATATTCAGGGGAAATTCTATACTCATATGTTCTACAAAAATATTTAAATTCGTGTTTTATTTGCCCATTAATTATTTCAGGTAAGTGTACAGTTTTGCAAGAATTGTGAATATCATTAAGAGTGTAATTTCCTGTGCACAGATATAAAGAGAGTGCTAATGACAAAAGAACACATAATGCTTCAAATATAGTATGTGGTATGATTCCGTAGAACCACCATCTTTTTGTCATAATAGGTTTTTTCTTAGGCCTTGGTGGTGTTTTCATATTATCATGATTTGGAGGTTCTCGTGACAAAGCGACAGCTGGGCATCCATCTGTCATCAAATTTAAAAATAAAATTTGTAAAGCCTCTAATGGGAATGGCATCTGTGCAGCTATTGCAATGGAAAGGTAAAGGATCTCTCCTATATTTGTACCAAGTAAGAAACAAACAAATTTTTGTATGTTTGAAAATATTGTTCTTCCTACATCTATTGCACTAACAACTGTACAGAAGTTATCATCAATTAAAATCATTTCAGATGCACCTTTCGCTACTTCTGTTCCGTTAATACCCATTGCAACTCCAATATCTGCTGCTTTCAAAGCTGGTGCATCATTTACTCCATCTCCTGTCATTGCCACAAGATATCCTTTTCTTTTCAAAGATTGAACGATTGTAATTTTATCCTCTGGTTGGGCTCGCGAGTATATAACTATTTTATCTGTGAATTTATCTAACTCTTCGTCTGGTAATACGGGTTCATTTGGGTTCTTATTGATGTGTAACTCTGAACATTCAATTGCTTCGATATTGTACGAGTTTTCCTCGTCGTCGTTGTCGTCGCCCTCCTCCTTCTCTTCTTCTTTACTATGAAATTCTCCATTCTCGTTTTCTCCTTTCATTTGAGAATTTCCATTTGTGAGACCAATAAGCTTACCTATAGCAATGGCCGTTGGTTTCTGATCACCAGTGATCATAATAACCTTTACTTGTGCATCTCTACATGTCTGAATTGCTTCCTTAACACCTGATCTTGGAGGATCAAAAGAGGCTATATATCCAAGTGGTATGTATCCACTGTACTCATTTGAATTAACAAAGTTCAATCTTTCATCTGCATCATTTAAATTTTTTAACAATGTAATATGTTCAGCAGTAAGTGGCTTAACACAAACTGCCAATACTCGTAATGCCTTTCGTGATAATTCTAAATTTTTTTTAGCTAAGATTTCTTTTTCATTTTCTGTAATTTTTTTTTCCCAACAAATTTTAGGACCTTTACTTGAATCCTCTAACAAGTGTGTGCTTCGATTTAACAATTTATCCGGAGCACCTTTTATTAATGCAATGTGTGTAAATTTTATATTTCCTCCTTCTAGATGTATATATTCAAACTCGTTTTCTGTTTTCAATTTATAAAAAGTAATTTTCATTTTTCTGGATGAATTAAAAGTTACTTCCAAATCGTCTAATCGTGTGTATTCCATTTCACACAAATTATGATTCTCGTTTGTGATAAAACTGTAACCTGCTTTTGCTGCTGCCACTACTATAGGGCCTTCACTCATATTTCCATGTATGGCCCATTTTGACGTTTTGGAATCTCTTGTCAATGTGGTATCGTATGAATTTAGATATGCAGCAAGCATGAGTGATCTTATTTTCTTTACATCTATGGAATCATATTCTGGATTTCCATAGTTATACAAAATGGAATCATAAGGTATACCTTGATTTTTCGCAATAACAATTTTTTTTTTTATTTCACTTGTTAATTCATTGGAGTCAAAAATACCACCATATGGTTCAAATCCTTTTGTTGGATAAAAATCAAAAGTTTTCACTAATTTATTATTTTCATCACTTAGTGTAGAATTTTTTGAAAATGTTACAACATTGATTGCTGTCATTTTTCCTTCTGTCAATGTTCCTGTTTTATCTGAACAGATGACTGAACAACAACCTAATGTTTCTACAGCTGGTAATTTACGAACATTTGCATTTTTTTTTACCATATCTTTTGCACCTGCTGATAAAGTTATAGTTACAACCATTGGTAATCCTTCTGGAACTGAAGAAACAGCAAAACCTACACCTATTATAATTATTACTAATAGTGGGTCCTTATCTGCATGTGCAGGATCTCTATAATTAATAAGAACTGCTAATGTAATAATGAATATTAACACTATAATGGCAATCATACCAATTAATCCTCCTAACTTATTTAATGATACTTGTAGAGGGGTTAATTTACTACCTTTACTTGATCTCTTCAATTGAGAAGCAATTTTTCCTACTTGTGTTTCTAAACCTGTTGCTGTTACTATACCTCTTCCTGAACCATTTGTAACAGAGGTTGTAGCAAAACATAGATTTGTTGCAAAGGGTGTAGTGTAATCATCAGGTATAAGTGTTTTCTTTATATCTTCAGATTCTCCTGTTAATAAACTTTCATTTGTTTTTAATTCTATTACTTCTATTAATCTTAAATCAGCAGATATGGAATCTCCAGTATTTATTATAACAACATCCCCAACAACAACTTCCCTTGATGGAATTAAAATCTTTTGTCCATTTCGTAAAACTGTGCATTGAGGAGATGCCATTTCTGCTAATTTTGCTATTGCATCACCTGATGATTTCTCCATATAAGTTGCCAAACATGCATTTAGTGTAACTATACTAATAATAGCAACTCCTTCTACAATTTCATTTAATATTAAACTAGCTGTTGCAGCAACAAGTAGTAACATTACAACAGGGCTACAATATTGTGATAAGAATATGAGCCACAATGGCATAGCATCCTCTTTTTCAATGTAATTTTCTCCATATTTTTCTCTGTTTATTTTTACTTGTTCTATTGTCAACCCGGAGCTGAGGTCTTTCAAGTCGAACTCTTTGCAGAGATTTTCAATACTTTCCATTGCATCATGGTTGTACCCAACTGGGTTCTTCTCTTCTTCGTTCTTCTTCATGGGTTCTATCAATTTCGAGCTTTTTTTCTTCAGCTTTGTTGGTTCGTCCTTCAGCTTTGCTGGTTCGTCCTTCATCTTTGTTGCTTCTTCCTTCTGCTTCGATACTTCTTCCTTCTGCTTCGATACTTCTTCCTTCTGCTTCGATACTTCTTCTTTCTTCTTCGTCACTTCTTCCTTATGCTTCGTCACTTCTTCCTTCTGCTTCGATACTTCTTCCTTCTGCTTCGATACTTCTTCTTTCTTCTTCGTCACTTCTTCCTTATGCTTCGATACTTCTTCCTTCTGCTTCGATACTTCTTCTTTCTTCTTCGTCACTTCTTCCTTATGCTTCGTCACTTCTTCCTTCTGCTTCGATACTTCTTCCTTCTGCTTCGATATTTCTTCCTTCTGCTTCGTCACTTCTTCTTTCTTCTTCGTCACTTCTTCCTGTCTAGTTAACCCTTCCCTTCTGCCCAATTGTCCATCGTTACCTTTTTGAGAAATGTTTACACTTTCTTTCTTCTGTCTTTCTTCCTTATTTTCTTCGTTTCTTCCTTTGGGTTTGTCATTGATTATTTCCACATCTTGGATAATCGATACATTGTCATTTTTCTTCCTAGATACGTTGTTTATTATTTCATGGTCTTTTTTTCTGTTGTTGTTGTCAATTCCCGCCTTCGGTTCTGAGTTATTTGAATCGTTCTGTGTATTTTCTGAATTCATAACTTTTTAGCAAAATGGAAAATGGTGAAAAAGGGCACAAAAAGGAAAAAAAAAAAAAAAGTTAAACAATAAAATTGCGAAATGGAAAAGGGGCTTAATGGAGAAGTGTCGAAAAAATAGAATAAAAAATAATTCAAACAGTTATTTCATATTGTACTGTTTCATTTTATTTTTTATCGCTATCTTCCTTGCGGAATGGCTGTGAGCGTGTTGTATCAAACAGAGGATTCCCCAAAAGATTTCTCCGTGTGTTTTTTGTTTTGCTGAAAATTATTGACCTTTCGATAGTTCGCTATGCTGTCAAATGAAAGTTCTACATATACATAAACACACCCTTGATGTTTTAGCGCTTGGATCAGTAATGCATACAAAAAAAAGTAAATTTAAAAGCGGATTTTTTCTTTTCTTTCACTTTCTATGTAGGAAGTATCACTGTGAATGGATATTTTTCGCAACTTCTCCACTTGGATTTAATGTTAGTATTCTGTGCTATGAATTTTGCAAATGTATAAGTATGCAAATGTATGTATGTATATATATATATATATACATGCTGTGCAGGGATAATCGTGCTATTCGATCGCATACCTGCTCGTAACCATTCATCCACCCTTGCGTTTCATGTACTATGGTGTGGGGAATAAGTATGTCAGTTAGAAGCAAATAATAAAGGGTGGGGATACATAATTGTACAACAACAAGTTTTATTTCTTGCATACACAAAATATATACAAATAATATGAACAACTAATGGATTGACTAAAAACAAAATATGTTCCATATTTGGTTAAAAAAAAAGTAAAAATGTTTATAAATATATAAATTCATTAAAAAAAAAAAAGAAAAGAGTAAACATGTTTATGCAATTTCGTTAAAAAAAAAAAAAAAAAAGTAAACATGTTTATGCAATTTTGTTAAAGAAAAAGAAAAAAAAAAAAAAAAAAAAAAAAAAAAAAAAAATTTTTTTAAAAATTTTTTAAAAAAAAAAAAAAAAAAAAAAAAATGTTTATGAAATTTTTTTAAAAAAAAAAAAAAAAAAAAAAAAAAAAAAAAAAAAAAAAAAAAAGATAAACATATTTATATAATTATTTCCTTTGAACTTTTTATTTTATTTTTTTGTTATTTTTATACTTTATTCGAATTTATTGTGTATACGTGTAAATGTATTTTCTATTTGCAAATGTTTCTGCTTCAGTATATATATGGACTATTAAGAAATTTAACTGAAAATTTACTGAAAATTTACTGAAAATTGACCGAAATTTGACCGAAATTTGACCGAAATTTTTCTCTTTTTTACGACAATAATTGTTGTTATTTTTTTTTTTTTTCGAAAAGAATTGCAAAAAAAAAGAAGAAAAAAAAAATTCAAACGAGAGTACAAGTGTGAATACAAATTGCATTGCAAAACACCAGTGCAAGTGCAAACTTTTATGTATCAGCAATCGTATTTGTATATTATTCGCTGCTGCACATGTAACAAAAATCCTTTGGGAGGTGGATTCTGTGTGGGTGCGTCGTGGGATGAGTAGCAAAATGACATCACATATATATAACGACATTTTTTTTCTCACTCGTGACAACAATTTTTTTTTTTTTTTTTAAAAGAAATTATATTTAACGTTTTCCTTTTTTTTACAAATTGTGATAGAATTGGAAACTTGGTTTATAAATTTTTAAATATATACATGTCATGCGTTGCTACTGCTGCCATCGTTGCTACTGCTGCCATCGTTGCTACTGCTGCCATTGTTGCTACTGCTGCCATTGTTGCTACTGCTGAGAGTATCGAAAAGATCTACTCAGAGGAGAAAAGCATATGCAACTGACGAAAGTGCATATGTATACATATACATCCTTTTTGCATGTTGGAAGTAAAAGTGCGCATATGTATCCCAGAATTGCACACAGGTAAGTCGGTAAATTGTATTACACATATATTTTTGTCATGTGTGCATGAATAAATAAAGCATTTACGAGATAAGCACAGATGATGCCTAACTTATAAGCACACGAGGATTTTTGTGTACACATTTAATAAAGCAAACATACATGATTAAATGCAGACAATGATGTGTTATATGCTCGTTGCCCTACTCTTTTTCTCTTACACCATAAATGGAAAAAAAAAAAAAAAATTAGAAAAAAAGAAAAAAAAATGGAAAAAAAAAAAAAAAATTAGAAAAAAAGAAAAAAAAATGGAAAAAAAGAAAAAAAAATGGAAAAAAAGGTGTATGTTTTTACAACATTTACAATATAATTAAGCAGACGAACTGAAAGTCAGGTATAAGTAAAAAAGGGTATATCTTACAATCTCAATTCCAAAAATTAGTCGGAGTGGTGTGTAGGGGTAAAAAAATTCATTTCTTACTTGGACGCAAGCATGTGCAGCAGGTAAATTCCATCTATTCAGTTTTATCATATATATATGTATATGTATATATATATGTATATGCATATGTATATATATGTACAAATTTTATTTTTTACTTGCTGGAGCAGCAGACGGGTTTTCCCTTGTTTTGTTCATTTTTAAACTTGGCAGGGCTCACCTAAAGTGTTGTGAACACAAGAACATGTGCATAAGTGTACATTCGTATACGTGTGTATACATGTGATGTTGCTATTTTTATAACTTTCATTTTTCGGGGCTTATGTTTAACCAATTACAGGGTCAAATTGCGTGTTCAAAATTTTCACAAACTAAAAAAATAAAGAAATAACATCATACTAATGAAGCTGTAAAAATGGTACAGAAAAAAATAAACAGTAAAAACGAAAAAAAAAAAAAAAAAAAAAAAAAAATGGTATTCTCGCATGAACATACATAAAACTGCATGAAATAAACAAATATAATAAAGCTATTGTAAGATTCTTATTTCTAATAAAGGGATAACAAGACAGTCTCCCCTTTCTTTGTGCGAAATTCTATATTTTCTTAAACAATGATAAGGCTTTGTGCATGTTCATTTCTATCTGTTTGTACGAGTGTATGTGTGAAGCAATATTTTTTTTGTTTCAAAATGTATAATTGCTACTGTTACGTGTAAGCAAGGACGAATAGAATGTAAAAATAACAGAACACAGCACTACGGGGGTAATGCAATTTTTGCTATTTTAGTTGAAACAATAAATCTCTCTCTTCAGCGCTTTCCTATTGTGACCTTCTCCTCTCTATGTATCTATTCTTATATAGCTGTATATATTTACATTTCTATCCCTTCAGCTGTTTCTTACTTTGTTGAGAATTAAATGCGTTCGGGGATCTCAGCACTACAATTTTAAATACATGCAGAAAAGAAAATTGGACGAAGCCACTACTCATACGAATTAAGAATTATTCAAATTATTTCTTCTCTTTTTTTGTATCTCATTCGATTTTTATAACAATTCGTTAATGTATTTCTCAATGTCCAAGGGATTTGTTCTGGGAGAATAATAACTGATTACATTTCCTTTTTTATCAACTAAAAATTTTCCAAAATTCCATCCGATGTTTTCTAGAGTTCCATGTTTATCATGCATCTTATAAATGGACAGAGCGGCGATTAAGGAAGGGATAAAAAAAAGAAAAAAAAAAAAATATGAGATATTACACCACATCGTTGAAATAGTAATATTTTGTTCTATAAAATATGACTATTCTTTGGAACAAGAAGTTTTTTTTTTTTTTTTTTTTTTTTTTTTTTTTACAAATGTGTCGAATAATTTGGAAAAGAAGAAAACTTACATTATCACAATTGGCTTTCAAGAACTTGAATAACTCATGTGTGTTTTCTCCATTAACTTCAATAGGAGCAAATACAGTATATTTAATTTGATTCTTTTCGTTAAATGTAGAAATGTCGCATGTGTTACTAAATTCTTGATTTAGAAATTGGCTAGTCGGGAATGCCAAGATCTGCACACGGGGAAAATATAAAATGTATGTGCAAATGATGAACCAACGTGGGAAGAAAAGGAAACGAAAAAGGAAAAGAAAAAGGAAGCGAAAAAGGAAAAGAAAAAGGAAGCGAAAAAGGAAAAGAAAAAGGAAGCGAAAAAGGAAAAGAAAAAGGAAGCGAAAAAGGAAAAGAAAAAGGAAGCGAAAAAGGAAAAGGAAAAGAAAACGAAAATGAAACCATTTTATAATCAATCATTGACATAGTCATCTGCGCTAATCCAACGGATACTGGCATGTCGAAATGGAATATAAATAGAAGGAGACGACGAAGTCATAGGTGTCTCGTTTATCTGGTGCCACGGACCTCCAACCCTCGAGCGTTCATACGATCATGCAATTCGTTAAATTGTTTAATATGGTTCTTCGTTAATCCACATTTCGATGCTGAATTCACAATAAGTAAAACCTTATTTTTGTAATTAGACATCGGGATTGTTGTGTTATCTAACTTTTTCACATGGTAATCATAGATAGACGGTAGCAATTCACTTTTTGAAACTGTTATTTTTTTATAGAAGAAGCTAAACATGCTGACCGTGTTTTTTCTTAAAATAAGCAATACAACAATTAGCTTTAAAAATAGCCACAGTTTCATTTCTGAAATCGATTTTCCAGGGATTAGTGTTGGCTTCTTTAAAAAATTGATATTTATTTTATAGTGAAGTGGTATGTTTAGGGGAAGTGCTCTTTGATTTGAAGCTTCTTGAGGAGGAAAAAAAAAAAAAAAAAAAAAAAAAAAAAAAAACTGCTTGGTAATATAATAATTGACACTATTTTATTAATTTTTTTTTTTTTTTTTTTTTTTTTTTTCATTACAATTTTTTTATCTTCTATGGCAGCATTTAAGCAATTTTTGTAACTTTAGCAAAAATGTTGTATTATTCTCTTGAGGCATAACCCAGTAATTTGCAACACTCTTTCACTTTTTTAACATTTAACTTAGCACGTGCAATATTGTAGGAAAAAAAAAAAAAAAAAAAAAAAAAAAAAAAAATGGCAAAATTGGAAAAAGCAGTTGGAGGAATTTTTTGCTAATGTCAGGAATGGAAAATGTAACGAACGAGCCATGCAAAAAAAAAAAAAAAAAAGAAAAAGGAAAAAAAAAAAAATAAAAATCTAAAGGGGAATTTTTTTAATAAAAAAAAAAAATAAAAAAAAAATTTTTTTTGGAATTATTGGACAAATGGTGTATTTTTTGATTTCAAGCGTTTTCCTTTTTTTTTTTTTTTTTTTTACACTTCTCTTTAGGTTCTTTTTTTTTTTTTTTTTTTTTTTTTTCATAGTTTTGCTTAAAAAAAAAAAAAAAAAAAAAAAAAAAGAAAAAAAGAAAAAGCAGGAAAAAGAATAACAAAGAGAATAAGAAAAAAAAAAAAAAAAACGAAGATCCAATATGTGCTTGATAGCAAAAGGTTTCCACAAGTGGACGAACGACAAAACGAATTCATCTACGGGTAAAAAAGCAGCAAATTGTGAATTCATAAATATTAACCCCTACCTTCTGTCCCCTTCCTTTTCATTTTTCCTACTGATCTACCTCAAGGGGAAGAAAGAAAAAGGTCACACACCCAGACAGTCCAAATGAATGGAAGCAAAGCATTATCACATGAATGCACGAAAGACATTACCACATGAATTTACGAAAGACATTACCATATGCAAGATCGTGCAAATGTGATAGTATTCTTGTCTGGAAAATTTCCATTTCCAATTAAGGATGCATTTTCCCACCCCTGAATACAAAAGAAAAAAGCAGAAGAACACACACGCACACTAAGACGTACACGCGTGGCATGTTATTTTTCATTAAGAACAAGCCGAAGCACACACCACAACATGTTATTTTTAATTAAGAATTCATTTCCACACATACTATTGCTGCTTATAGTGAATAATATATATCTGTATATTAATTCGAAAAAATGGGAGGGGCTAAAAGTTTGTAGATTGTTAAAGGAAAAAAAAAAGCCACATTGCATGTACGATAATAGGAATAAGTGGCTATCTGGGAAAAAAATTAACTGCAAGCCGAGAAATTACCTGTACATTCATAACAAAAAAAAAATATGTATACACGAATCGTATAAGTTTAACAAATATAAACTATGCTCAATTTTTTCACTTTTTGATAAAAAGAACGATGAGAAGAAGGGGAAAAAAAAAGACACACATGAGGGAAAGTCAATTGTAGGAGGATATACACAAAAGAATAATGAAAATAAGAAAGAAATGAATAAAGCAGGAAAAGAAACAGATAATGCAGCTCCCATATCGGTAGTAAATATTCCAGAAAAAAGTACGAAGCATGGAAATTTACTACCCACATCAGATCAAACGATAAATTTTAAAGAAAATTTGAAAACGGAAAAAATATCCCCAAAGGATTTCAATACCAAGAAGAACATCTCACCATGCATTGGTATGGAGAAAGGACACGACAAAGAAATAAAGATCGAAATTAAAGATACTATGAAAAGTGTTTATCCAAAAGATGCACTTAAAAATGTGGAGGAATACAAAAAGCATTTGCAAATGATTAAGGATAAAATAATTTTATCAATTCACAATATTTTTTCTTCGTACAGAAAATGCATAGATAAGAAAGATAATTTGAAAAATTTTGTTCTAAACCTACTAAACGAGTTCGAACATAAATACGAAGAATATACATACATAAAAGATATAAAAAATATGAACAAGGAAAAAGTGAAAGAAGAATATTTACAAAGTAATTATAATTGCTTCCTAGAAATAGTAAATATTATTGAAGAAAATTTGTTCAATCTGTTCGTTTATAAAATCCAGTCTGTAAAAGTAAAGGCTCTTAACGAAATAAAGGAAGCAATAATGTCACACAGAGAAAGCAACAATGATTACATTTCATACATTAATCATGTTAGTAAAACATTTCGAAATTATGAGAAAAAGTTAAAAAATTTACTTGTTCCAAGTTTTAAATTTACTTTATATGACAAAATAAGAGAAAATGAAACGAATGTTAACAATTCATCGTGCTTAATAAATTTTATGTACGTTTTACCAGTAGAAAAATATGAAAAGTTAATAAAAAAAAATATAAATTATGTAAAAAAATTATCATACGATTTGACAAGAAAAAAAAAAAAAAAATTTATGAAAGAAATTGAAAGAAATAAAAATTATCAAAATATTTTACAAATTATTGACAATCAACAAAAACAAATCGAAATTTTACAAGATCAACTTGAAGCCAACGTTGAAGGTATAAATGGAAATTATTCTCCTTTTCATTGTGCTCTTGCTTATAGGATACCCGATACCAACTTGAACATTTCAACCCAATACATGAAGGGAAAATTTAACATCAAATTGAATTGTATACCTGATGATTCTTTACATTTGTTAGGTTCCTATGGTTTTGTCAAAGCCCTTCCATTTGGAAATTTAGGGCTGTCTTTTTCTTTAAATTTTTGATTAAAGTCACTTTTTTGGTGTCATGTTTGTTTTTATTTATTTTTTTTTTTTCCTTTCATTCGAGTACCTTATAAATTAAAAAAGCGTGCGCGACTTTTCTGTTCTTTATTTTGCCACTCTGCTTTTTATTTCACCACATTGCTGTTTTTTATTTGCAATATTTGCACACGCATGCAAGTGTTCAGTTGTGGTGAAGCATATCATTTGCATGTTTTTCATTCCATGAATCTTGTCCATTTTGCCCATTCGCTCGATGGGTCATCGCTACCAATTTATTCATTTTAATTTTTTTTATTAACTGACTTTTAAGTTGTTCAAAAGGTTTTGGAGTATACAAATTAAAAAAAGAAAAAAAAAAAAAGAAAAAAAAAAAAAAAAAAAAAAAAAAAAAAAAAAAAAAAAAAAAAAAAAAAAAAAAAAAAAAAAAAAAAAAAAAAAAAAAAAAAAAAAAAAAAAGAAAAAAAAAAAAAAGAAAAAAAAAGAGAGAAAAAAAAAAAAGCAGTTATCATTTTATTGTGTCCAGAATTTAAGGTGCGCATTTTTGTGCAGCCTCTGTTTCCTCCCCAATTTGTTACAAGGGAATATGGAACACACATCACTCTTACTGTCAGGCTGTCATATTTTGCATATCTAGTCTTCTTTATCATGTTCAAATTTAAGAAGACAAGACAAGGTATCGCACACACACACACACATACATACATCAGTAGAAGCATGTGTAACTTTTCAACAGTTCTTGAAATTACAGGTCATCTATTTTAACATTGGGATAGTATAACTGCAGCAACTTGTTAAAATTTTGTAAGTTTTGTTTTACGAAAACAAGCCACTTTTCCTTGTTTTCAAGGATATTATAAACTATTTTATGCTCTTTGAGAATATCAAAAAATATTTGATAATTTTTGTTTTTTTGTGTAAGATCCAGGATTTTTTGCCTCACAGCTTCAATATGTTCTTCAGTTTTTAATCCAATGAAGAGATCTCGCAATTCTTTTGATTTCATTAAAAGTTGTAGTATCTCCTTCATGGATTTCCATTCCTCACTCACGTTGTCATCAATATTAAAATATTTTTTAATAACACTTGTGTACTTTCTTGTTTGATTGGAAATGGTATTGTAAAAATTCTTCATTGTGAAGCAGTCTGTCTCCATACTCTAAAGGAGGGGAAAAAGAAAAAAAAAAAAAAAAAAAAAAAAAAAAAAAAAGGTAAATATTCTGGAACTAAGAGGTACCATAATAAGTACTCCATTTTTGACATGCTTACTTGGTCTGATAAGAAAACATACACATTTTTGTTTCCTGTTCGAAAATTTTCAGAATTGAAATACATTTCATTCATGAGTTTTCCATTGTTCCATATAATCAAATCATTCTCGTGTAAACTTTTATTCATTAAATTGTTCTCTTGCTTTATCAAACTGATGGAGTCATTTACCAAATCGACCCATGTCTTTAGGGGTACTTTTTTTATCACACTTTTATGAATAACAGAAATTTCGTTCTTAAATTCCTACAAAAAGGGGTCCAAGAATTGTTTGTAAAATTGCTGAGCAGGGATATGAACGTTAGAATGCGAAAAAGCACAAGGACAAGAACGAGAACAAGCAGAGTCACTTCATGCATGTATATGTACATATATATGTATATAAATATATATATATATATATTTTTTTTTTCTTTTTTTGATGTGTGTCCGATATGAGCTGCAACTTCCCCTGAACTCTCAAAAAAAGACTTTGTGTTTAAGTCTATTGTAAAATTTTCTTTCATGCCAGAAGGAAGACTTGGAATTTCACACTTCCTTACATTTTCGATTGCATAAGACAACATAGATATAAAAAGGAGATTGATATACAGAAGAATTTTCATGTTTATCTGGGGATGTTCACTTATCGAGGGTCGTGGATTTACTACTTCAGATTTGCTACTTCAGAATTGTTACTTGGCATTCCTGCATGTATATTTATCTGCATAAATAAGTTAGGCTCAACGTGGGGTGCGACACAAATGTTGATGTATTTATTTGTGCATGCACAAGGTTTTCGATTTGATCTTGACCAAATGTGGTAGGGAACAAGAAAAAAAAAAAAAAAGGTTCTCAGCTGGACTTTTACCCTTCCCTTTAATCCAGCCACACACACAGCATATCTTTATATTTACTACGCTGTTTCTGTTTTTTGCTTATTCTCTTCTGGGGAATGAAGGAAAATATGTAACAGTATCACACGAATATTAAGGAAAGAATTCTATACTCGTTTTGATAGACCGGAAGCTAGCAGCTGGAAATGGTGATATGTTTTTATTCTATGCAGATTTATAAAAAGTTATACGATGGTACACCGGTGTAGGAAATTGGAAAAGGAAGGACATAATCCAAGTAAACAAGAAAGAAATTATCTCCTAATATTGTATGGATTATAAGTGCATTAAGATTTATTTAAACTTAACCATTTGGTAATTATACATATTATTACAAGAGAAAAAGAAAAAAAAAAAAAAAAATAGTAGTGTAAATTGGAAAGAGTCATATGATTATTATAAATAAGCCTGTCTGGTGAAGGAAATGAAAACATGAATAAAAAATTTAATTTTGTTTTTTTTTAGTAAAATATATCGATGAATGTTTTTCCTTTTGTATTACTTATCCTGTTGGATCTCCTCTCTCGTTTACCCTTTTTTTTTTAATTTTTTTTTTTTTTTTTTTTTTCATACATTTAAGCCACAATTTTAGTGGCTCTTCCTTTGTTGTACTCTCATAGTGCAAAACATAAAAAAAAAAAAAAAAAAAAAAAAAAAAAAAAAGACAAAAATTGAGAATAATTGAGAAAAAAACGGAGAAAAAAAAGAACATAATTTGTAAGGAAATTTTTTTTTTACGCCTTTTATAGCTTCACATAAGATGGAAAAAAAAAAACAAATTTGACATGTAACAAAAAAAAAAAAAGAAGAGAAAAAAAAGAAAAAATGTCAAAATTTGGCACTTTTCCCCAGTATATATATTCGATCAGAAAATAATGAAAAATAAAAAAAGCACAATGTTCGGATTTTTAGACCAACATGAAAAAAGGTTACCCTACACAATATTGCTCTATTTTGAAATTACCACCATTCTCTGTTTATGTTTTGTTTCAAAGTGATATTACGGGTTAATCATGCATTTATAGCAAAAATAAACTGATCTGCAACAGTAATTCACGGGAAGTAAGCATATAAGCATATTCATACATGTGTGTGAGTGTGTATATATTAATGCAAACAAATGTCTCAAAAAAAAAAAAAAAAAAAAAAAAAAAAACATACGAACAAGGCGTTTGAATTTTCCCCTCTCTCCTCCATAACTCTGAAATAATCGTTTAATTTTTAGTAAAAATATGCTAAAATATCTAACTGAGCAAGAACCGTATTTATATGTGCCTGAACAAATGCATTTAAGGATGTGCACATTTGTGGTTTACGTAGAATAAAATTGGTATGATTCAATATGACAGTACAGGAAACGCAATTTGTAGATCATTCGATATATTCTTAATGGAATATTATTATACCGTTTAGATTTTCTTCCATCCCCACACATACACATACGTAATAACAAGTCCAAGTAACCCATTCATAAGAATGAATAACGTTTGACAAAGTTCCACACACGCATATGTAACATCATTATCGTTATCATTTCTTTGCAAATTATTAACGGCAAGGTAAAAAAGAAAAAAAAAAGGTGGAAAAGTTTGAACGCGTACGTTGCTGACCTTGTATCAGTTTTGCACCACATCGGACGTATACATATGTGCATCCTACGGGTGAATTTCTAAATCTTATGGCACTCCTTGAGCGCTAGAACAAATACATGGAAATAGGAGAAGAAGACAAGAAATTACATAATATTATTCTCCATTTTAGAGAAAACATTCATATGTATTGATATAGATTTGGGGAGCAATTATGTTTATATTTTACACAACAGAGTGGGAAAGATACTGTAAAAGACTGAAGGAAGGGGTAAGAGGGAGGTGCATGTGGGGTGATATATATTTCATTTTTATTTCCTATTAACTGAGAAAAATACACTTCTCATTGTAAAAACAAAAAAAAAAAAAAAAAAAGGAATACCACACTATATATGTGTGCATTGAGAAAAATGGAAAAACCAAAAGAAGAAAACAATTCATGTGTAAATTAAGTATCCCCACGATATTACTTCTATGACTTCAGCCGTATTCTGTGGAACATCTCCCTGTTTTTGTGCAAAATTTTCGAAAGGGAAATTAAATATCACGCTACTGGGCCATTTTCAATTATTTGAGCGGTGTGGAGAGGGCTATATATATATATATATACATACATATATATATTATTATTATTTTGAAGCATTATTAGGAAAAATGTGGTCTATTCTCTCATATGTACGAATTTGCAGAAACATTTGAACAGTTGGTAGCAGCATGAACGTACATGTACACATTATCACAAAAGGATTTAGCTGTCAAAATGAAAAAGAAAAAAGGCTTATGTTTGGCTTGTAAAAAAAAAAAAAAAAAAAAAAAAAAAAAAAAAAAAGGGCGCCTTTAAGCAAAGCTTTATTTGTACCTATATTTTGTGGAAAAAAAAAAAATGGCCACACAAGTCGACACAAAAATTGTATTCGCTCAGGGAAAGGAAAAGGAGAAGAAAAATAAGGTACCCATTTTTTATTTCACTCCTTTGTGCCCATTTTTTATTTCACTCCTTTGTGCCCAATTTTTTATTTCACTCCTTTGTGCCCAATTTTTTATTTCACTCCTTTGTGCCCATTTTTTGTTCCACTCCTTTTTTGTGGCCATTTTTTTGTTACCGATTTACGGTGCTAAAAATTCCCGTTTTAAAAATAACAAGGAGAAAGATAGAAGATTAAAAAATTTGTATCAGAAAAAAGAAGAAAAAAAAAAATTTATAATTTGGTAAAAGTTTTGGATTTGCTGGAATTTTTTCTCCCTGCTCCTCTCGTTTGCTTTGTTGACGTTACAACAACTATTAACGGACTGTTCCCTCTATATTTATATTTTTTATATCACGGGAAATATGCCATCAAGGAAAAACTTCCTTGTATATTTATATATAATGTGAATGATGCCAGGGGAGGAGGAGAGAGAGTAAGAGAGAAAGTAGTTCAGTTGAATTTGTCACAAGATCCTTCAACTGAGGTGACAGTTATAGGTATATAATACACAATACTAGATGTATAATATATATATATATATAGAGAGAGAGAGAGAGAAAAAAAACACAACGAATATAATACAAATATACCCTATATTTTGAGTATATCGAAAAGGAGATTAAAAGGAGCGAGTGAGGTAGAGAGGATCTAACTTGAAGTAACCCCCAAGCACTGCTCGAAAAGTAGGAGAGAGTGACAGAGAGAGAAGAAACAGCGAAATACAGAAGCGGAAAGCAATGAGTGCTGTAGATGAAAACAAAAGTAACAACTTGTACTTCCTAACGTTCAGTAAGAACAAAGTGACCATATACGAGTACGACGTTAGTTTGAGTAGTTGCATAATTGAAGATATTGAAAATGAAATAAAAAAAAGTGAACAGAATGTAGTAAACGATACAGAAAATGGTAAGCATGCTAGCGTGTATAAACACGTCAACAATGAGAACAACAAACGGGAATGCACTTCTGAGAAGGACGTGAATCGAAATATAATTGAACCCAATGCACAAGTAAAAAAATCGGGAAACAAATTTAACAATGATTTTTTACTTAATAGAGGTATTAGAATCTACAAAGAATTTGAGGATGTCGAACTAATCACATGCACAAATGATTATAAAAAAATTATTATTGTCAGAAAGGAAAACTTAAACGTGGCACAAGTAATAGATATAAAAAATAAACAGAAGAGAAACGATATTTATATTAGAACCAAGACACCGATTAAGGGAATTACAACAAGCCCAAAAGACACTCACATTGTCCTGTACTGCCAATACAAGCCAGAGATAAGTGCCCACAATTTATTCGTTTATAGGTTGTCAAATAAGGGTGTAAAAAAGAAGGAAAAAAAGAGTGACAGTGTCAGTGTCAGCGCCAGTGCCAGAAGTAGAGGAAAGAGGAGTGCACCTCATGCTGCGGATCGGAATGAGAATATTGTAATTGAGAAACAAAACTCTGACACTGACACTGATGCTGCTTCTTCTGCTTCTGTTGACGGGGACACTCGTGCAGATATGAGGCGTAGTTGTGAGACAAACCACATTGACGAACCCGTACGCGTAGACACATTAAAAACGTATAGCAGTAACACATGGCCATTCTACAAGTGGAGTGCGAGTGAATCCATTTGTGCTATTAGAATAAATAACAAGATTTGTATATATAAAGAAAACGATTTTTCTTCGTATGTACAACAGCTACGTTTAGAAAATTTGGAATTTTTCGACATTTCACCTGAACAGAGTAAGAAAAAAGGAGTTTTAATTGCGACATACGAAAGAGGAGGAAAAGGAAAACCATCTGTTTTTAAGATTTTCAACTTATCGAATCTAGAGAAATATATTTATTCAAAAACATTTTTCAATTCAGATGAAATGAAAATAAAATGGAATAAAAATGCAAGTGCTTTATTGTTAAATGTACATACACAAGTAGACAAAGAAAAACAGTATTACTATGGATTAAGTAATTTATTTTTTATTGATACAGAAAAGTTGAATGAAGTAAATATAATGACTGATAGAGGGCAAATATATGATTCCATATGGTCATATAATCAAAATAAATTTTATGTATGCAAAGGTGATATACCAGCCGAAATTGTAGTCTATGATAAGCATGCAAATGTTACACATTCCTTTGGAAGACATAAATTTAATACCCTTAAATTAAATTGTTCAGAAAAATTGTTACTTACTGCTGGGTTTGGAAATTTAAGTGGAGATATTTCTATATGGAATACAACTACAAAAAAGGAAATTACAAAAACAAAATCGTCATGTGCTGTAATTTGTGAATTTTTTAATGATGGAAAACATTTTATTACAGCTACAACACACCCCAGACTTCGTGTTGATAATAATTTAAAAATTTTCACGTATGATGGATTTATAGTTAGTAGAATAAACTTTGAAGAATTGTATAAGGTCATAATTCTACCCATTAACAAAATAAAATATCAAGAATCCGATGCTTCTTTAGGTGTTCATATGGAAAATTCGAATAAACAATTTTATATTCATAAACAGCTAGGCATCGATTCGAAGAAAATTGGAATTTATCGAGCACCCGGTACGTCAGGTGCACTAAGCATTACGTTAAATGGATTCATGAATTCGAAGAAGCCAGCTCAGAAGTCTAGTAAACCACCCGGATCCAATTTTGTTCAGGATCAAAAGAAGAAGACATCTCAAAAAAAAAAAAAAAAAAAAAAAAACATAAAAAATGAGGAGGAGGAGGAAGTTGCAGATGGACATGACGTCGAAGAGGATACCTAGAGGGATAAAATCATATGAGTTAAGAAAAAAGAAATCCCTCTTTTATTTTCTTATCAATGGTCTATCATTAATGGTGCTAATGTATTCTTGGAGTTATCTCCCCAGTTGTCTAGCAGGCTCTATGATGAGCAAGAGTTTTTTCCTATTCACACTGTATCTTTTTTTTTTTTTTTTTTTTTTTTTTTTTTTTGATTTATTTTTAATTATATGAAGGGAGGTTTTCTTTTAAAAGTTGAAATGTGTACTAGTTGTGTATGTATGTATGTGTGTATGTGTGTATATGTATATGAACTTATGTATTCATATATGTAATTACGAGTGGGGCGTAAAAATAGAAATAATATTTACGTGTGTACATGGGGGTGGAGGGTACGAATGTGCTTACACATTGTCTGTGTATATCCATTTATGCAAAAATATAAACATGTACATATGTGCATATGACTATATACACACGTGCGTATATAAATATATATATGCATATAGGTGTGTATATGTATGCATATAGGTGTGTATATGTATGCATATAGGTGTGTATATGTATGCATATAGGTGTGTATATATATGCATATAGGTGTGTATATATATGCATATAGGTGGTGTATATATATGCATATAGGTGGTGTATATATATGCATATAGGTGGTGTATATATATATAAGTGTGTATTTATACAGTGTAATGTATACGTTTGCATGTGCACGCATAGCGACACAAAATTTGGAGGTGGGGAAAAAAAAAAAAAATTTTATTTAACTTAATAAAATACAATATAGCACAATTTAGCACAATTTTAGACAACTTAATTTAATGCAACGTAATTTATTCCTTCCCTCAAGACACATAGTTAAACCAGCTATGCAACGAACCAAAAAAAAAAAAAAAAATTCTTAATGAATATCCTTTAGTCATCTATTCACTCCTTTTCTACTCGAACACGTCAATTCTTAAAACTGATCCTGTTATTATTTTATTCTCGAATCCGCCTTATATGCTTATTCACGTGTGCACATATATATATATATACATATATATGCATATAATGTAAGCAACTTGTGCGGCACACGAAACATGTATAATTATAGGATTGAAAAGGTGGGGAAAATGAATCAATGTTTTTTATTTTATAATTTTTTATTATTATTTTTATTTTATAATTTTTTATGTTATTTTTTTTTTTTTTTTTTTAAAAACTACATTTTTACACTCCGTGTCCTACTGATTGGCTCATACTACATACATGCGTTACACAGAAATGGTTGCAGGAACAGCAAATAATAGTTGAATTAAAAATAAATATAAAGCCGTTTTTATTCTGTATGGGAAAAATTCCTCAGGTGATTAAAGAAAAATAAACACAACATAGTGCCAGCAGTATACTTTTTTCTTGGCTTTTTTTTTTTTTTTTTTTTTGACTTTTTTTTAACTAGAATATGCCCGCACTGGATACGTCATCTGATTTGCATTTCTCCTTCTGAGACTTGCAATTTTTCGTACAAAATGTGACTTTGATTCTTGTGGCTCATCCATTTACCCCATATATACTTCATTTTTACATTGCCCTGTTCTGCATCGTTTTGAATTTCATAATTTTGTGCTGTGTTTATACTTATGTAGCATTTTTGTGTGAACGCCATTGATATCATTGTAGATACAACAACAAAAGTTTCTCTCTCCCAGAGAGAACGGAAATTTCTACCGCACACATCAATAACACACAGACACACACACTCCATAAAAAAAAAAAAAAAAAAAAAAAAAAAAAAAAGCAATCCCTTCGAGATGCATAAAAATATACAAATGAAGTGTGTGTTATCACTGCTGAGCGCAAGCCACTCTCTGCCCTTCCATCTCAGGTTGATGATCTTCATCATCATAAGTTTCCTGTTGTTGTTTGGTGAGTCTCTGTTTCAAATATTCCTTATCTACAGATTGTGATGTAACAACTTCACATTCGCTATTTTCTAAATCGTATTTCTTTTCATTTTCATTTTGTTTTTTTAGAATTTTCAATATTTCTTTTTTTTCATTTGTTATGATTAAATCCATGGGATATTCAACCTCGAATGTTATATATAAATTTCCTTTTTTGAATGGGTCTTTATATGTTGGCATTCCCTCCTCGGCTATCTCTCTTATGTCTCCATGTCTTACAAATCCTGTATTTGTGCAATCAACTAATATTTTTCTTTCATCCAAATGATTAATTTCTGCAACAAAACCTGTTAGTGATTCGTATAAAGAGATTTTATGCGAAATAAATAAATCTACTCCTTCTCTTTTAAATAGCTGATGTGGTTTTTCATTCAATATTACAACAAGATTACCTGTTATTACATTTGGTTTTTCATCTGCTTCACCATTGAAAACAATTTTATGTTTGTTTGGTGCACCCTTTGGAATATACACTTCAATAATTTTTCTTGTCTTTAAAACACATCCTCCTTTACAATTTGTGCACTTATCTTTTTCATTAAATATTTTACCTTTTCCTCTACAGCCATTACATGTTACTTCGGTCTGATGTAAAACACTTGAATGATATCTCATATAAGTTTTTGTACCTCTTCCATTACATTGCTTACAGTCGACTTTTGCATCTTTGGGTCCTCCATGACCTTCACAATTTGTACATATAACATCTTTGCTAATTGCTAATTTTTTAGTAGCACCGTTATATAGCTGCTCAAGGGTTACTTTTACTTCACTTACAATATCTTCTCCTCTCTTTTTTTTTCCCTTTCCTGCATTTAATATGAAATCAAATAGATCAGTTGCATCGGCAGGTTGTTCTCCATTTTCTAATCCTTCTTCTCCATATTCATCATATAATTTCCTTTTTTCTTCATCAGATAAAACTTCATATGCTCTTGATATTTCTTTAAATTTCTCTGGATCTCCACCTTTATCTGGGTGATGTATTATTGCTAACTTCCTGTATGCTTTTTTTACTTCATCCGTGGTGCAGTTTTTTTTTAGATTCAAAACTTCGTAATATTTTGAATTATTTACCTGAACAAATGGGGGGCGGAAAAAAAAAAAAAAAAAAAAAAATGAAATAATTGCATGAACTGTTCATACAATTTTTATTTTATTTTCCTTAATTTTTTTTCTTTAATTTTTTTTCCTTAATTTTTTTTCCTTAATTTTTTTTCCTTAATTTTTTTTCCTTAATTTTTTTTCCTTAATTTTTTTCCTTAATTTTTTTTCCTTAATTTTTTTTCCTTAATTTTTTTCCTTAATTTTTTTCCTTAATTTTTTTTACTTTATTTTTTTTATTTCATTTTATATATTTCATTTTATATATTTCATTTTATTTATTTTTTGCTAGCTGTGGGTTTTCCCTGTGAGTGTGTGTGTAAACATGTGTAACTGAAATTCTCTCACTTCTCGCTTGTGTGCAAAAAATGGAAACATGGGAAATGAGCAAAAACAATAACGCTGGTATAACATAGGAAGTTACTAAATCAGTCCATATTTTTCACTTTTTTTTTTTCCATGCACACAATAACACAACACACAGCACACTTTGGATTTTCTTATTCTCTTTGCACAAATGTACCACATATAAACGAGCATATTATGTGCATATTCGTTTTAGTTCTATATTACTATTATAACACATACGCAACATGAATTGTGTTATCAAGATTTCAGGTATAAATATGTTGTGAGTCAGCTTAGCGCAATGTATATATGCATGTATACACCTTATTTGTACATGCATACATATCTATATTTATATTTACATGGGCAAATGTGCCATTTGACAGTTTGGAGTTTTCGCATGCCTCTCATTTTGGTTTGCTTACTTCTCTTTTCCTACGGGCTTGTTGCCCACCCATAGAATCAAAGGGAAAACCAGAGGAGAAAAACATTTTTTTAAATTAATTTTTTACGTATATGGTTACGTTATATTATATTATGAAAATAACAATTTTGGGGAATTCTACAATTAAGAATTCTGTTAATATATATGGAACTAAATTTGTATGACAGTATTTTTTAGGGTAAACTTTTAACACAAATTTTTTAAATAAAATAAGAATGTTTTCTCTCCTTCCTTTTTTAGGGATTTCCTTTTTTTCTCTTAAGCTTTCCCTTTTTTTTTTTTTTTTTTTTTTTTTTAACTTTTTTTTGTGTATATATATGCGTTTACATGTATGCATGTACATAACATATGTGAATACAAGTACGCTGTATATATATGTATATTTATGCTTAAACATGTAAAATGTAAAATGGTAGGCACAGGCATCAACAATTGCTATACTGTACGTTTATTCTTTTATTCGTTTATTCGTTCATTCGTTCATTCGTTCATTCGTGCATTCGTGCATTCGTGCATTCGTGCATTTGTGCATTCGTTCATTTGGTTCATTCGTTCTCTCTTCAATGCTTTGCCCCCTTTTTTTCTTTTCCTTGGCTTTTATTTTTTATATATTTTGTTTTCCTTTGCTTCGCTTTGTTTTGGCTTTACAGTGTTTTGATTTTTTTTTTTTTTTTTTTTTTTTTTTCTCTTGCTATTTATTTTTTATCGCTACATGGGAAAAAAAAAAAAAAACAAAAAAAAGCCTCTGGCAGCAGCATCAGTCAATTTATTTTTTAAAATGGGCCCCATCAACCCTTTATGGAAGCTTACGTGTTATTTGTAGGATTGTTATAAATCGCACGAAACGCTTACATATATATAGGAGTATGTGGATAAATAATATATATATATGGTATATGAATACATATTTACACTTTTTGTTAGAAAGCAGATCATGTATTTTTTTTTTTAATTTTTTTCTCCCTCTTTGAAATGAAGCCTCTACTCACTATTGGCATATATATATATATATATACAATCCTTCCAGTTTTTAGCAACTCAGCATTGCACATACGTATATGTAAATGTTTATGGAATTCTTATGTTAAAGCACATCACGTTGGCTTCTCTTAAAATGACTAGTAAGATGATAGTGCCATTTTGTTTTGCTTGATATGTGTTTGTATTGCATTGTATGCATTGCATATACATATGCATTTAATGCAAAAAAGTACATTCAAACAGACTCCGTTATGGTTATATATGTATCTATAATAACTAAATATATATATATATATATATATATGTATATATACATGTTTACATATGTGGTATACGCGTACATTTAAACACTTAGCACTTCTACATATTTTGTTTATTGTTCCTTAACTGCATCTTACATTGACAAAAAAAAAAAAAAAAAAAAAAAAAAAAAAAAAAAAATCGTTATTTCCTCTGGGGCAAGCATAATGGTGTGTTTAAATTAATATTAATGTATTTTATAAACATACATGTTTTTAAAAAAAATTTATTTTTTTGTAGAAATAGACTTTTTTTTTTTTTTTTTTTTTTTTTTTCCATTATAACCACTTTTCGACAATTTACTTCCACATTTTCTGCACGTCTTAGTTGAAATGGATTTAATCCACACTACACTATGTGTGTGTTCCACGAAATAATTCTTAATTTTTTTTTTTTTTTTTTTTTTTAAACAAGGAGAAAAAAGCTTCCCCCTTTTAAGTACACATATTACAAATTTACCTAGGGGTTATGTATAAATACATAACATTATTAATGTACATTTTTTATATGCGAAGAAAGATCAACACAAGAGTAAAAAAGAAGGTGGTTTCTTCATTCATATATACATATTATTCTAAATTAATACTATTCATTTTCCGTTAAAATATATATACCAAATACTAGAGATATGAGTTCAAATGTACACACAAAGTAACTGCTTCAAATCTTTTGCAGCATTATAAAAAATTTATGACTCTGTTTTTATAACAACCAGAAATGGTATGAATAAGGAAAATAACATTATACAAAATAAGCCTATGAACGGAAATGTATATGTGACCCATGAGGCATAAAAGGGAAAAAAAAAAAAAAAAAAAAAAAAAATTATACAAATACATGTACGCATGCATACACAAGCATAAACAAGTACAAACACATGTACGCATGCATACACAAGCATAAACAAGTACAAACACATGTACGCATGCATACACAAGCATAAACAAGTACAAACACATGTACGCATGCATACACAAGCATAAACAAGTACAAACACATGTACGCATGCATACACAAGCATAAACAAGTACAAACACATGTACGCATGCATACACAAGCATAAACAAGTACAAACACATGTACGCATGCATACACAAGCATAAACAAGTACAAACACATGTACGCATGCATACACAAGCATAAACAAGTACAAACACATGTACGCATGCATACACAAGCATAAACAAGTACAAACACATGTACGCATGCATACACAAGCATAAACAAGTACAAACACATGTACGCATGCATACACAAGCATAAACAAGTACAAACACATGTACGCATGCATACACAAGCATAAACAAGTACAAACACATGTACGCATGCATACACAAGCATAAACAAGTACAAACACATGTACACGTTACATGTATATATCTAAACATTTAGGATACAAAATGAATTCACATGGAATGAAATGAAAATGTTCACAATGTATTTAATCATATTGCCTTTATATACACACCTACTTAGTTCTTCTGTGACCCATTTTAACGAATTTTATATATTCAGCTTTTCTCCTTTTTCCTTTGCATAATTATTTCGAAAAAGAAAAATTTATTCATTATCATTATTGCACCGAATGAGCGGCTTTAATGTTATCCCTTTATTAATCGATAAAATGGAAATATATACAATTTTTTCATAACAAGCTAACGATGAATGATGAATGATGAAGAAATTTTTTTCATTATTCATTTTTTCATCTCGAAAGCTATATTCTCTATGTGTCAAAAAATAACAGACGTTTTGCACCCCACAAATTGTGGTATTCATGAGTATCCCTTCATACATTACTTCTTGTGTGTATTGAATAGAATCCAAGCTACTTATTACTTGGTGTGTCTATTCATAACATCTATTCTCCTTTTCATCTAAAATGGAAAACGCATTCGCAATTGTATGTTGCATTGTCTTGTTACCATCTTTTTCTGATTATACTACGGGGTTATTAATTCGTAAGAAAATGTAATAAACGCACATACAAGGACAAGCACAAGGACAAGCACAAGGACAAGCACAAGGACAAGCACACACAAGAACAAATAAAAACAAACGCTTGTTTTATCTACCCACATACGGGAGAAGCAGTATGCATATATATGTGCATACTATTTTGTGCAAGCTGATAAACCAAAATGGAATTTGCTTGGCCCGAATTGGGCGTACGTTTCTGTCAATTTCTCCCATGAGTTCATACTGAACTAAAACATATGCACATATTCAATTTAAAACTTCATTTAAAAGATGCAAATGTTTTTTACGTTTTTCCATAACAATAGAGAATATAAATAGAAAAAAAAAAAAAAAAAATTCTACTAAAAATTGCTCACAAAAGTGCAACTACGCCCATATTTGTGCCAAATTCTGTGATTTATTATTTATCACATATACATGTGCATATATGTATGTGCATTTTTAATTTTCTACAAATTTACAAAATATAATTTGCTCGATGAGCCAAAAAAAAAAAAAAAAAAAAAATATAATTTTCATATCTATATGTGTAGAGTGAAATCCGTTGGGGATAGTGGTAAAGGGTCATTTTGTATTCTAAACCTTCCAACTGTGTGGTGCAGTGAAAATATATATTACTTTGGAAATAAAAAAAAAAAAAAAAAAAAAAAAGGAAAGGTTGATAAGAAGGTTTATAGAGGACTTACATGTATATATAAAAGTTTGGAAAAAAAAAAAAAAAAAGAACATATTTTTTCGTATTTTTTTTTTTTTTTTTTCTCTCTTCCACTTATACAAAATTGGATAAAAAAATATGAAAAAGAGTTAGTGTTGTTAGCACTTATACATTTGTTTTATATATATTATTCTAAGGAAAAGAAAAAGCATACTTAGGCATAGTCAAAATTTTGTTTATGGTTCCCCTAGTTAATTGTAAATAGTAGAGTAAAGAAACATTATAGTTGTATTGTGATAGGAAGGGGGATAAATGATTACGTTTATGAATTTCCACAATAAAACAAGAACATGTATAGAGGGGAGGGAAGCAAAATATGTTAAGTTCAAGCATGCATATGTGAGAAGGTGATAAGGCAATAAGGCAATAAGGCAATAAGGGGTGATGCTGCAACACTCACTTACGCACACACACACACACACACAACAACTCTGCCATGAGAGCACATCTAATCCTGTAGACGAAAATGGATAAAAAGAAAAACATATTGGAACTGGAACTTAATAGAGTTCCACAAGATGTAAGTTTGAGTGCATTCAGCATATTATTTAGTGAAATAGTGCAGTACTGTTTATGCAAGAGTAAGAGAGGATATCGAATTGAAGATTCCTTACATGAAATGGGCTTACGAGTAGGATATAAACTGAATGAGTATCTTCCATATAAGAATAAAACAAAAAGGTTTATAAACATTATAAGTGCATTGACATTTTTGTCGAAACATGTATGGAAATATTTATTTCAACATTCATCAGATTTACTTAAGTCACAAGATAGTGTATATGAATACATGATTTGTGATAAAAATATTTTGCTGAACAAATTTATAACCGTTCCTAAAGATTATGGAAATATAAATTGTGCTTCCTTTGCAGCTGGAATAGTAGAAGGATTTCTTTGTAGCTCAGAATTTCAGGCAGAAGTTACTGCACATACCGTTTATGAAGACGAGAAAAATTTCAACACTACAATTTTTATCAAGTTCTACCCTGAGGTAGTGGAAAGGGAGAAGAATCACTGATACATTTGTCCCTCTGCAAGAGCCGAGCTTTTTGTAACTTATCACAAACTGAATAGAACATAAAAATTTTCAATAGCTTAGCAATTCCACAATTTATAGATGTGATCTTACCAAAAGGGTAATATAGTTCGCACCTTTGGATTTATAACTCTAAGAGTTTCGCACATATTGCAATGGGTCAAAAATTTAAATGCCATCATGATGTTGCTTCTGATGATTTCTACCTCCCTCCTCGTTTTCATATAGAAATCACTCATTCTGCTGCACACGAATACTCAGACATGCTTATCAGATGACAACAGCATTAGGGCAGAAAAAAGAAAGAACAAAAATACATAGGAATCTTTAAGAAATTGTAAATTTTTCGAAAAATTCCTATGTAATTATTTTCTTTTTTGGAAGAATCCTCAAAATGGATTTTTAAACATGAAGAGAGTATGTGCTTATGTCAAACAAATTTGCCAAAATCAGACTTGAACAAAACTACAATGTATAAAAATATACCTGGAGAGAGAAGACGTAGCAAAACATACAATATGGTGGTAGAGGGAGTGAGAAACAATATTGTTATATACATCCTTTTCTCCTCCTTTTTGCATTTTTTTTTCTTCCTTTTTTTTGTGAATATGCTTTTCCACCTTTGGTTAGACAATTACACTATACTGAATTACTTTACATCGAGTTGCACTGCATTGAATTTACATCACATAAAAACACTCCAGTAGATGAATATCTTTTTTTTTTTTTTTTTTTTTTTTTTTCACATGTGCAAGAACTTGTTTACCAATTAGCAAAACATTATGAAAATCGTTTTATTCATATACCTTGTAAGTTTAAAAAAGAAAGAAAATATATGACACCCATGCCATGTTTCGTGTATTTATATATTATAATAGTACACACTTATATCATTTTATGAAAAAAAAATGAAACAATTTTTCGTACCCATAGGAAATGGAATATTATATCATTGCGTTCAAACTTATACCATATTTAGGGGTTGTATTTTCTCCGCATAATAAGGTTTAAAAAAAAAAAAAAAATTTTGTGTTCACAATAAAAAAAAAGGATAAATATATATGTTCATATTGGATGCATCATGTATATTGGAACAACTGAAAAAAAATGTACATGCATAAACATACCACAAAAAAATATAAAAAGTTTAGGGACATTTTCGAGCTGTGAAAAAAGAAAACTCAAAATTAGCTCAAATTCACATGAGGTAATTCATTTTACTATTATATATTTTCCTCTATTTAATGTGGGTTAAAAAAAAAGAGAAGGAAAGAAAGGATAAAAGATTAGGGAAATGAAAGCAGAAACCAGATTTGTTTCTTCGAATTCCTTAGATACATCTAATTCACCCAAATTGTAATTTAATCACATATGCACACGTGGTTAAGTTGGTATATTCTTATTTACATATATCGAATTGTTTGCACCACATACTACCTATAAATTGGATGCACTCTGTCAAGAAGCTTACTGAAAAATATTCAAGATAATTCTAGTGTGACTTGGTGTAGGGTGTTTATATGTGTGTTCATCTATTTCTTATAACAAGCAAACATAGAAAAAATTATTTTGATTCATGTATATATGTGTATACTTTTGTCATACCCCATCATACAGTACATTTGTGAATTCTGCAGATAATTAGATAAAAAAAAAAAAAAAAAAAATGGAATAAGGAGAAGAAAAGGAGAAATGCTTATGAAGTATATATATATATATACAGAAAAAAAAAAAAAAAAAAAAAATTAATACATTTTCTTCTTTCACGTTAAAAACATATAGGCCCATAGTCAACTATCAGGTAAATTTTTTTTTTTTTTTTTTTTTTTTTTTTTACAGAGAAGTAAAATCTAAAAGAGGAAACACACCAGATATTTTTTTTTATGTATGCTACATGAATAAGGATACATATAAAAAAAAAAATAAAATAAATAAATAAAAAGATTAACATTTCTTCCCATTTGTAACAATCTAAATTTACACATAAATAAGACTTATCCTATGCATATTAGTTTGTAATATTTAGGGTATTTTAATGTATTTATTTTTTTCACCACATAAATTTGTACATTTCCAATAGGTGAAGAATTATTCAAAGTGAAAAGAGGTTATCATACATCCCTCCACCCATGTGAGTTCTGGGAATTTTGCAGTTTTGGAGTTTTCTTTCCTGCCACCGTTTGGTGTTTCAATTTGGTGCAACAACGTGTCATGATTGTTTATCCCTATATGCACACCACGCTGTGTTCTGAATTTATTACTTTTTGGTAATCCATTTTCCAACCCTTTTGCCAACCCATTTTTTAAATACCAGACTAGCCAAAATGATGATTAGCAAGAGAAACAATAGATTTGTTGTCCTGAAGAATTACTACAGTGTATGGGTAGGATATAACCAAAATGTACAACAGACAGGGTATTTTAAGAATAATTTGAATTATGTATTCAAACCAAAGAGTATAAGTGTCATCGGGGCAACAGAAAGAAAAGGATCGGTTGGAAATTCCATTGTTAATAATCTAATGAAAGGAGAAGAGAATTATAAATTATATTTTGTGAATAGTAAGGGTGGAAAAGTATATGATCGAGACAGCTATAAAAGTATTGTAGATATACCAGATGAAAATGTCGATTTGGCTGTAGTAGCTGTCCCAAGAAATCATGTGCTACAAGTTATGAAGGATTTGAAAAGTAAAAATGTAAAAGGAGTAGTAATAGTTACAGCTGGATTTAAAGAAACGGGTTCTGAAGGATTGGAATTAGAAAAACAAATATTAAATGTTGCAAAAGAAAATGATATTAGAATAATAGGTCCGAACTGTTTGGGAATTATTAATTCATATCATAATATGAACGCTTCGTTTGCTGACAATAATATATTAAAAGGTAATTTTTCTTTGCTTTCTCAAAGTGGTGCTATCTGTTCTGCTGCCTTAGATTTGTCATTACAGCACAACATTGGTTTTTCACATTTTATTTCTGTGGGTTCTATGTGTGATGTGCAATTTTATGAATTAGTAGAATATTTATTTTATGATGAGAAGACGAAATACATTTTATTGTATGTTGAATCCATTGGTGATATGAGTAAATTTGTGGCCGTTTGTAAGAAGGTATGTTTATATAAGCCAATCATTCTTCTAAAGAGTGGAAAGACAGCCAAAGCTGCAGAAGCAGCCATTTCTCATACAGGTTCTATGGTTGGAAATTATGAAATATTCTATGCATCTATGAAAAAAATAGGGGTTCTAGTAGTAGAGAATTTTGAAGAATTATTTAATATGTGCAAAATTTTAAACTTTTCAAAATATCCAGAAACTAATGAAGTTTGTGTTGTAACAAATGCAGGAGGTCCAGGTGTCTTGCTTGTAGATAACATTATAAAAAATGATGGAAATTTAACAAATCTTAATTCAAATTTGAAGAAAACATTAGATACATTTTTACCACATTCATGGAGTAAAGCTAATCCTGTCGACATATTGGGAGATGCATCACCAGTGTTGTATAAAAAAACAATCGAAGCATTAATAAAAGATGAACAGTTTAAGAATATTATAATTTTGTTATCTCCACAAAGTGTAACTGATCCGTTAAACACGGCTAAAGAAATTATAAATGTTAAAGATGAAGCAACCAAACAAGGGAGAGTTATCTTATGTAACTATTTAGGAGGAGTATCTCTAGAAGAATCAACAAATCTACTGAATAGGAACAATATACCAACATTCATACACCCTGAACATTCAGCTCAGAATCTGTTAAAATTATACAAAAATATGATACATATTCAGAACCTGTATCAGGAAATACCAAATTTCCTCTCGGATGAACAGCAGAATTATTACATTAATATGATTATTCAAAAACATTATTTTGAAAAAGGTACCAATTTTTGCAATTCTTATGGAAGTGGTGAAATTCAACAGAGCTTGTCAACAAATTCGAATGAGACAAAGTTAAAACATAATACCACTCCTATAGATGTAATCAAGAAAGCATTTGAAAAGAAAAACTACATCTTAAACGAATTTGATTCCAAATTAATTTTACAAAGCTACGGTATATCAACAGTTGAGACACAGATATTTCTTACCTTAGATGAAATTGAAAATTACACAAAATTCTCCTATCCATGTGCTATGAAAATTTACTCAGATACAATTACACATAAGAAAGATATTGGAGGAGTTATTTTAAATATAAACACTAAGGAACAGTTAATTGAATCATACAAAAAAATTGAAGAAAATGTTAAAAAACATAATTTAGAAAAAGAATTTAAAGGTGTTACAATTCAAACAATGATAAATACAAATGATGGAATTGAATTAATTCTAGGTTACTATTTTGACAACAACTTTGGCCCCGTGTTATTATTCGGTTCTGGTGGTTCATATGTAGAAGTATTCAAAGACAATGTGTTGCTAATACCTCCTTTGAATTATTCTTATACTCACCATATGATTAAAGACACCAAAATATATAATGCTTTATTGGGAAAATCTTCTAGATTCAAAAAATGTGATATGCCCAAACTAATAACTACCATTATGAATTTTTCAGAATTAATTTTGGATTTACTTCCATACATTAACGAATGTGATATCAATCCCTTGTTTGTTTGTGGAGCTGATATAATGGCTCTAGATGCAAGATTTACTCTCCGCAAAAATTTGACACCAGAATCGTTTCAATCAAGTAGAAGCAGTAGCAGCAGCAGCAGCAGCATATATGACAACTTTGAGAAGAAGTACCCTATCGACATGGTATTCTTTAATGATATCAGGGGATTAAATAAGATGATGAACAATAAAGGAGTAGAGCAACAACAGAACGCAGGAAACCATTTAGATTCTATCACGAGATCTGTTCATGCATACGATGTTAAATTGGTGCATAATTTTCTCAAAAATAATGCAAGTGAATTACATCTAGATACTTTCTTCTTTACAAAACTAGAAAATATAAAAACTGAGTTGTTTGCATATGAACTATGCAATGCAGATTACGATTTTTATAATGTTATACTTCATTTCTGGAAAAATAAAATTAACGGATTGGTTAAAACGGAGAAGAGACAAGATAAAAATCACTGTTATATTTATGCAAAGGATAAAGCAACATTTAATCATTTAATAGAAAAATTACACATATTTTCAAAAAAACAAAATTGTAAATCTATCTTCCTCTACCTTAACAAAAAATCTCCCTATGCGAATGAACTCAAATCGTTGTCTTACACACTCGACTATGCTCATGACAATTTCGAATGTTATGTTACTTCAATCTAGACAATAGAACCTCACGCATATTCAGTGTTCTTATTTTTTAACCGCACTGATTTTTGCAGAGCGAGCATATTTTCTTCGCAGTTGCTTATTTTTGTTAGCAGTAAAGTGGGTCTAGTAGGTTTACTAGCTCTAGTAACTCTGTTTATTTTTTTTTTGCACATTACGGGAAAAAAAAAAATTAAAAAAAAAAAAATTAAAAAAAAAAAAATTAAAAAAAAAAAAAAATTAAAAAAAAAAAAATTAAAAAAAAAAAAAAATAAAAAAATAAAAAAATAAAAATAATAAAAATTAAAGAAAATTAGCCACAATACATACGTACATACATACATACATACTTCCCACTCATAGCCGAAAAAAAAAAAAAACTTGGAAATTTTCAATTGTAAAACATTTTAAAAGAAAAAATAAAATTATCTAAAATTATTACTCCCCATTTTCGAAATATCTCCCGCCCTCTTCTTTCCTTTTCTGATCCATGGGATACATTTTCACCCCAATCAAAATAGTTCAAAACATGTATGCACTAATTGTAAACCTCAGTAGAATAGTGGCACATCACGATAAAGCATTTTTATATCATGAGTGCTGTCGTACTTGTTAGTCAAAATGGTCTTCCTCAATTTGACACTAGGGAGTAACGTTTCATATTTGCACAGGTCTGTGGCAAAAAAATCATTTTTGCTAAGATAGAAGAAAATGGAATTATCACTTTTACTTTTTAAATAGGATGAGCTTGCACACTTGATAACTTTTAAATTTTCGAAATTTAGATTATCATACGATGATGGCAAGAGAGAGAAACAATGATTATGAGTTAAATCTTCATGTAATTTTTTTAGCTGTGGGTTTTTATTAATACTGTTCTTATGGTATAAGAAACAGGTGTGTAAAATTTTCATATCATTTATTGTTGCATTTTTATATACATGTTGAAGGTTTCTAAATATTTGATGCGCAGTTTTTTCTAATTCATCCATTTCTTCCGTGCCTTTATTTGATCGCTTTCCCTCCTCCATGAGGAGTGTGCATGTATATAATAACTTTATCAAGTTGGATGTATCGTATAAAAATATATAGTCTATAATGCAAACGTTGAGTAAAAGTTTGAGTGTGTTTTTTTCTTCATAGTTCAACAAGGTTAGTAACACTAGATGAAACGGCAGAAAGTGCAAAATGTATGCGTTATAAAAGCTTGGCATATTGTCCCTTTTAATCTCTTCAATTGGAAATGAAAATAATTGTTCTTCTCTAGTCTTATGTCGATCTCTTTTTCCCACATGGTAAAGATATTCATGATGATGTTGATGATGGAGTTGGGGTAAATACAATTCCTCTCTTTTGAAGACTTGATTTTCGCCCTTATTGTTTACGTAATTTTCCATGTTCATAATCAGTAAGTCAAATAATCCTTGGTGTCTGAATTTGGTTGATAACATCAGAAGAAGAATATACGATATATTTTGTGGAGATAACAATTTGATGTTGTTTATTTTTTTTTCAAATTGAGTATGTAAGTATGTATTTTCTTTTAGACCTAATCTCTTGCATGCACTTAGAAATTTTATAAAATTTTTTAAATTACAACAATTGTCACTTTTATTTTGTATCTGTTTTACCTTTTTGTCAACCAAATCGATGAACCTTTCATTGGGTTCATCTAGTCTACTGAAGGCTTCAAATATGGTAAATATGTCTTTATCATAATATTCGTAATTTATTATGAGCCTGTTAATAATGTTAGAACACGTAATTGAATCCACGTGTAAATAGGATATATTCTTCAGTATAGATACTAACTCATTTTTGTAATCATTTATGTTACTATTAAGTTCTAATAAAACACGCAATTTAACAATTGGATGATGAAGATTTAATTGCTTACAAACATTAATCAATGTTTTTATTCTTAAGCACGATCTTATACTTACTAAATCTTCTACTCTGTTACATACTATTCCAAGTAGAGTTTCATCTGAGTATTTTAATTTTACATAATTTTCTAATATTTTAACCAACTGAGGGCAGAAAAAATCATCACTAAAATCATATATATGATTTGTTATACATTTCACCATTTCTACGTCGCATCTCTTTTTTCTACACACATCATTGAGCAAACTTATCACTTGTTCAGGATTCTTATTTCCAATATTTAACATCTCCTCATACTGGTAGTGTATGTCGCTCTTCCTATATGAGCTGAAATGCAAATTCGGAAAATTGCCCTTTCGTATTTTAAGGCACTTTCCGACAGACCTTGCCAGAGCAGCCATACAAATTGGGGAAGAGGTCAAATTGGGGAAGAGGTCAAATTGGGGAAGAGGTCAAATTGGGAAAGAGGTCAAATTGGGGAAGAGGTCAAATTGGGGAAGAGGTCAAATTGGGGAAGAGGCCAAATTGAGAAGTGGCCAAGTTGAGAAGTAGTAACGGTGATGAGTAGCTTCCTAATAAGAAAACTTCTAAACGAAAGAAAAAAAAAAAAATGCAAACTACTCATCTCCACATCACCCGTATATTCATTTTCTATAAACCGAATGTATGTTTATCATTACGTTGCATTTTTTAGAACTATACTTTTTTTTTTATTCCACCCACAGGGTAAAAAAAATATTTGTATTGGATTTTATAAAGCACTTGAACATTACTAACATACATAATAATTTGAAAAAAAAAAAGTGAGCAGCACATCAAGGAATTTCACTTTATCACTCCAATCTGGTTTAATTATATTTAATGAAGTTTAATTTTGTTTTTCCATCCTCCTTTCTTAATCTATAAAATGTTGAAAATGTTAGCATATGCTGTGTTTAGCTGTTACATCATGTGATATAACCCCTTTTTCACCCTAGCATTCAGTATTTCTTTCTTTTACATCTCTATTTTCAACATAAGAATAAATAGAATTTTTATTTTTTATTTTTTTTTTCTATTTACAAAATGGTACGAATAGGATTGTGTGTACTTGTGTGTATGTAGAATTGTGTATATTTAATTTTTTTATTTTTTATCTTTCTTGATATTTCAAAAGCGGACGCTATCTTTTAGTAAACTAGCCATTTTGTGATTTTTTTTTTTTTTTTTTTTTTTTTTTTGTCAAAGCCCAAGGCACAAGTGTGCAAATTGATGAAGACATTAATAAACTAATGCCAAAACAACAGGACGAACCAACACAAGAGTAAACTACGTCCACTGAGTAAATAAAACCTTTTTCTTACAGAGGTGTATATGTTTTCCAAAGGTTCACACAATGGTGATAAAGAAACAGTACAAGAACATTAATCTACTAAATCTGAACTGTTCAGGTTGTTTTAAAAGTTTTATTCGTCTAGCTAAAATACACACAAATGTTGGGTGCGCAAATATAAAAATGGGATAAAAGGGTGCACATGTGTGTGAATGTTTGTGGTGGGAGGGCAGAAGGCCAAGCAGTGAAGTGATATCAGGTGATGGAACTGTCACACGATGGAACAACCAATGTCGTATGCAGTGTCGCACGAGACCGATACCACATTCGATATAGACCATTCTGGGAATGATAACCATGTTATTAAAATAAAACACAAACACAACCAGAAGCACAAATATATGAACGTATGACGCACATATGCACATTTGTGAGCATAACAAATATATGAAATAAATTAAAATCAATGAAGCTGAACAGGGCAGGTTAAAAACAATAGGGAAATAAAAAGGCACGCAATAAGACCTTTTTTCTATGGGCATTTTTATTTACTCTTTCGAAACAAAATAAAAAAAAAAAAAATTCAATATGTAAAAGGATTGCACAATTCTTGAGAGACAAAAATTAAACCAGACAATGGTTCGTAGGTGCTGACTCTCGAAATTTTCGAATTTATGCATGTAAAACGTTAAAAAAAATGAAAATGAAAAATGAAAGTGAAGAAATAACTTCTAAGGTGGGTAAATTGGCAAAATATACCAAAAGGTAGGAACCAAATTAAAATGGTTGCTAAGCTGGTGAATATTCCAAAAAAAAAAAAAAAAAAAAAAAAAAAAGTTAATCAGTACCATTTATATAAATAATATAATCAAACCAAGTTGCCAATGTAAAGATCGAACTTCCCACGATATACATATAACATGCTTGATTATAAAAAGTGGGATAAAAAAAAAGGATACTAGCAATGGTAAATAAAAGTCCTCCAATTAAATTAGAAATATAAACAATTAAAACTTTATAATCCACACTTTTTATCTTGTAAAAATCTAAAGTAATTATAAAAAGTATGGCTCCAATAAGAAAAAAAATACTCCCAATTATGAATGTCATAACTGAAAAATAATCGTCCTTAAAACAACAGTAAATCGAACCAATTATAAAAACTATACAACCGATTATGTAACATACATATCCACAGTATTCCCTTTTCTTTTCTCTTCCAATGTTAATTGCACCAATTAGGTTACTATACACACACATTACACATGCTAAGCAAAAAATTATACATCCAGCTACATACAACTTTGGGTAAAGGAAAAAAGCACTCCCTATTATAAATAAAATCATACTAATGAAATTCGTGTGGAATTCCAATGGGCACTTGAAAATATCTGTAATTTTTATTGTCTTATTTTCATTTTCTCGGGTATCTTTGGTCTGCTTCATTTTTCCTTTTCCAAGAAATGAACTTTCGCTATCGGCGAAAAAATTACAAGCTTCCATTTTTTTTTTTTTTGTAGAGTTAAATTCATTTTTCGAAATATTCCCTTCTTCCAAATCCATTATTCTCGATTCTGTGGTTGAGTTGCAATCGAATTCCTCCGTATGACTTGTTACACTTTTAAGTTCATACATTTCTCCAATGCTAACGTTTTATGTATATATTTTTTTTTTAAAATTTCCACGATTATTTTTCTTCGCGTTGAAATTAATTAAGAGCATTTTCCCCGATTCCAGCGTCTTTTGTTTTATACCATAGAATTCTTTGCGTAGCCACACCTGCAGGGGTGCATGTTCGAGGGTGTGTGTGTGTGTGTGTGTGTGTGTACATCCTTAAATGTGTGTACATTATATATTCGTGAGGATATTGCCACATTTGCATTGAATAATTTATCATTGAAGCACGAGCAAAATTCCTCATATGTGCAAATTTTTATTTTTACAGTTATTACTTACTGTTGTTCTGCTTGTACTGCTTTTGCTACTTTTTTTTTTTTTTTTTTTTTTTTTTTACAATTAGGATAAATGGAAACAAGGTATTTATGTCTGTTTTCTCACAGTCAAGCCGCTAGCAACTGTGCAAGTTTTTATGCATTTATCTGAATTGTTATTCGATTGTTTGCCAATGGAAGGGTACACAACAATTCGAAACAATGGTTTAGTTGTTCTTTGTTTCACGCGTCAAAAAAAAAAAAGGGCGAAGCAAAAACCAAACAATGAGCAGAAAAAAAAAAAAAATTATTGAATTAGGGGAATTATTAAAATTGTGGGGATTGTAGAAATTGTGGGAATTATGAAAATTTGGGGAATTATGAAAATTTGGGGAATTATGAAAATTTTGGGAATTATGAAAATTTTGGGAATTATGAAAATTTGGGGAATTATGAAAACTTTGGGAATTCTGAAAATTTTGGGAATTCTGAAAATTTTGGGAATTATGAAAATTTTGGGAATTATGAAAATTTTGGGAATTATGAAATCTTTGGGAATTATGAAAATTTTGGGAATTATGAAAATTTTGGGAATTATGAAATCTTTGGGAATTTTAAAATTTGTAAGAATGAACAACCTTTGCGGTGTGAATATTGCTAGTATCGAATACAACAGGAACACAGAAAACGCGAAAGAGAAAATAAATACAAAATAAATGTGCACAACAAAAAATGAACTCTTATTTTTTGCCCCGTTTTTGAGTTCCCCTCATTTGGACGCTTCATGTCGTTTTGGATAAGGGTTAGAAAAAGTGTGTATAACGTTTATGTAACAAAAAAAAAAAAAAAAAAAAAAAAACAGAATAAAATAAAATAAAGGCAAAATACAGTAAAATAAAATAAAACAAGATAAAATAAAGTAAAATAAAAGGAAAAATAAGGTAAAACGGAATTCTAACACTACTTCTACCTGTCAAATAAGGGCATTTTCCCCAGCGGTTCGACAGGTAAAAAATGCGGAAACAAATGTACCCTTTGTTGAAAACATGAAGGTGGGAAAATAGCGACAAATTAAAGGAATTCGGTTATGTTGATATTCGCAAAATTATGCTAATTCGTTTTTGAAATATGATAAATAAAAAAATATGTATTTTTGCATCAATTTATTGATATGCGCAAAAAAAAAAATAAAATAAAAAATAAATAATAAATAAATAGATAAATAATATGACTTGTTCAGGCGATTTTATCATAAAACTCGTTTAACGCGATTTTGCGTGAAATGTCGGAAAAAGGGGATTTTTTATCAGGGCGAAAATGCACGCATATGGCACATACATGAGTGTGTAGTCGCATTTGCAAAAAAAGGGGGAACTAACTCATGCGTGGAATGTTTAAAAATAGAGAAAATAAAATAGTGAAAAAAATAGCAGACAAAATGGTGAAAAAAAAACAGTGAAAAAAGTAGCAGACAAAATGGTGAAAAAAATAGCGGACAAAATGGATACTCAAAAGGATGAGCAGGCTGTGCAAGGCAAATGCGTCTCTGCAGAAGCTACGTAGATCCAGCTATTCTATTTACGAATTAAAAATGGAAAAAGTTTCCATAAGCTCATCTGTCCCAGGGCAAGGACTGTATAGCTGAACCAAAACTGCTCATGTAGGAAGAAAATTTACAAAAATGTAACTGCTGTTCATTGTGATACATGAAATTTATAAGTATTTTCATAAGTTCCAAACATGTTGAGTTATCCAAAAGATAACCTGAAAAAAATACGTTCTTAACATTGTGTAATTGACTATGAATATACGATTGTTGCGCCATGTTAAATATAGCCATAGATAATAAAGATTTGGATAAGTCGCATTCATAGCTGTTCAGATTTTCTTTCTGTGAATCGTTTGCATTATCATCTTGATAATAATTTCCATTGTTCTTCGCATGGTTCAAATGATTAACCTGTCCATTGTTATCTTTTGTACATTTGCCTATGATGCTTGTCTCCCCCATGTTTACAGGCAGTTCGTCAATCGCTATTCTATTTGTGCCTTTTTCCTTTACACATTTTTTATTAAAGTTCAAAAAATTTTGCCTGACTTGTTCATAATTTTTTGGAGATTTTTTTTTTCTCTCGAAACTCTTTTTATATGAATTGGCTAACTGTAAAAAGTGAGCACTTTTTTTCCTTCTTCTACAAAAATTTACTTTTTCGCATATATTTAAGTCACATTCAGGAGCACTTTCACATTCTTCCTTAACTATGTAAGAATGTTGTTTTCCTTTAAATTTTCGTGTTCTATTATTTTGCATACCACTCATTATGGAACTATCAGAATAACTCTGAAACTCGAAGTGGGGAAAACTAGTGCTACAGATGCATATATTCGATGTTCCGGAGCCGTGACAGAGGATACAGTTCGATTGGACAACATCCTGAGGATACTCTTCTTCAGATTGAGAGTAGAAGGAGTGTTGACTGTTTTGGATTCCATGTTCATCACTATCGGATCCACTCTCACTTCCGGTGAATGATTCCTCCCAATAGGAGTTCTTATAATTTGAATTTGCAATAACATGAACATCCTGGAACAAAGAATCAAAGAATCCTTTAACATTCTCAATGATCTGAGCTTTACCAAAAAATGAGGCTGTTAAATCGCTACTAAGTCCTGCATTGCCGTAAGAGGTTCCATAAATATCCCCAACAGTCATGTCGAAAGTTTGATTTTTTCCATTTTTGGCTAGATGACAGATTTTTTCCATGGAATATAATTTTCCTGTTATTAAAAAAAAGAGACCCTGAACACTTTTATACGAAATAAAACAAGAACCAACTCGTTTAACAACATTTTCTTCATTAACTAAATAATAACTAACATCTCTTTTTACATTAACAATTAAATATGGATATATATTAGTTGTTTCCATTATGTTGAGGAAATGATGACTGAGTGCATTTCTATTTTTGTTCACATCATTATGATAATCTTCTTTTTCACATTTGTTTTGTTCTTTTACATATTTGTGTAAACTACTTGGATAATGTTTTGCTAAAAATAATAGTGCGTTTGTAATACATTTGATTTCCTTCTGAGAATGTATGTTATTTACTTTTTTAAAATCATAAATTTTTTTCTTCAAGTAATTGCTTTTCCTTCCAGTTATATTTATAACTGTATACATTATTATCTCCTTTTTGCATTTTTCTATGGCTTCCTCTAAACTAGCTAATTTTATGGTCAAAAAATAAATTTGTGCAATTTCATCATCCAGTAGTGGATCACTCTGTTTAGAACTTTTTCTGATCCCGGATCTTTGATTAACTAAATGATTATATAGAAAAAATGGTTCCTCTACTAATTGTTCCTTTTTCATGTGTTTAATGTGTTCAGTGGGTGAAAATTCCAAATGTTCGTTTTTTTCTACATTTTTGTGTAATATTACTACATGTACACTACCTGAAATAAGGTGTTCTATATTTAGAATATATTGGAACATATCTTTTTGCATTTGGACATAATTCTCATGCGGTTGCATAGGAGCTGATTTACATTTAACACTTTCATTAACATTTAAATTTCCTATAGATTTGTTGAATCTAAAACAGTTCGCTTTTTCCTCTTGAGTTTCACTATTATATGTATAATTATTATGATCACCCCTATCTGTGCCGATTCTATCATTAAATATAGCATCACTGCAACTTTTCATTTCCCTCTTTACTACAATGCTTGTCAATCGAATATAATTGAATGAACATTCGATTCCTATCGTGTTCCCCATTTTTTTAATAAAAAAAAAGATAAATCACTGTTAGTTTTAAAGTGGAGAAAAAAGTAATGCAGAGAAAATAATAAACTGAAAGAAATGATGATGAAAAAACAATTTTAGTACTTCTACAGTTCTACTCTATTACTGCTATTTCCTATGAACACAAAAAAAAAAAAAATTTCATGTTTTTTTCCCTCCATTGAGGAGTATGTCAACAAATTTGCACCTTTTATATACAATAAGCTTTAAGATTACCCCTTACAAATACGTATCTTTTTTTCTGGAAGGAAGGTGTGGTGGGGTGGGAGTAAAAGTCTATAAATATAAACAGATCACAAAGAATGAAATGGGACTAATGCCAAAAAAACTAAAAGGTTGTAACTGTTCTAAGGTGTTGCATTAGATGTATTGGAATAGTGATGCCGTGTTTAGGGTATATACATCCCCCTTGCCAGTCGTCATATATTTTACATACATGTATATATATATATATATATATATATATATATATATATATATATGTATCTGTAACTATAGCTAAAATTATGCTTATATATGTCTCCACGTAAACATATAAGGGAGTTGCATCTAGTAATTTATAGGATTGGTTGATTGCTTATTTTGCGTTGCATTCTAATGGGTATCTCTCCTCGTGCAAAATGGGTCGTAGAAAAAAAAAAAAAAAAAAAAAAAAAAAAAAAAAAAAAAAAGATATAAATTTAGAATATATAGGGTGTAAAATATCCAAAGTAGAGATGTTCCTTAAAAGCAAAAAAATTATTGACCTTTTTTTTGTTAATTCAACTCTCTAAATCATCAACTCATGAATGCATAAATTCGTTTGTTCATTTTCTTATGTTTATCTTCCGGTATAAAAAAAAAAAAAAAAATGAACAAAGTTGGCTTATCACAAATTAGTAAAGAAGAAAACATATGCTGCTACCACGCTGTTTAATTATTTTATTTTTTTTTTCTTTCCTTTCTTCCTTATCCCTTTCTGCACAGAACATTTTTATTTTACCATTTTATGAATCACTTTAAGAATAATATTTATAAAGCTAAACTCGAAAACGATCCCAACATTAAATTGAGAGTATCACCATTAACCTTTTGCTCTCACAGCAGATGTTCCTGATTTAATGTTGTTAAATTTGTTCAAAAGGGTATATCCTTCCACATTTATCTTTTTTTTGTTAACATGTCGATGGTGTCACTTTTTTTTTCCCCCCACTACCCATATAATGATCTTGAATTCGTATTTTTTTGTGCATAAATATCTCGAAACAAAGCAAGTAGATGGTGTTACAAATAAATCAGTGACATAAAGAGACATTTTTAATTTTATTCCAAATTTTTTTTTTTTTTTTTTTTTTTTTTTTGGGGTGGGGGAGGAGTCATCAATCACCCTAAATGTTTGCATTTTTCTCCAAGTAGGAAAAAAAAAAAAAAAAAAAAAAAAAAATATGTTGTACTTGAGAGATGGCAACTACATATTTATTAGACCTTCGTGTGGAAACGGAAAATTGTTCAAAAGGATAGGTTCAGAAGTTGCAAAAATATAACCATGGGTTTAGTATGATGTTTTTTTTTTTTGGTGGTGGTGGTTGTGGTGGGGTTCATTCCCAAGGGGTTTTCAAATATTTTGGGGAAAAGAGATTTGGGCGTACATAAAATTTTTACATGTGTGCGAGTAAGAGCGGTGTATACACGCATATATATTTATATATATTTATTTATATATATTTATTTAGATATATTTATTTATATATATTTATTTAGATATATTTATTTATATATATTTATTTAGATATATTTATTTATATATATTTATTTATATATATATTTATATATATTTATTTATATATATATTTATATATTTATATATACTTTTATGACGTCAGTGTGTTTTCAAAAGAAGACACAAAAGTTGACATATCAAATGGGTGTACATGTGCCACTCCTTTCGTTAATACCCGTGCCCATGCACGTATTGTTTCCTTTTTAGATGTATGCTGGGGTTATGTATATTTTAATAACAAAGACAGAAAAAAATGAATTTCATATTCTCTCTTGTAATGACTACTATTAGAAAGTATAAGAACTGATACAAAATTGTGTTATTACATTACTAGACACTTTGTATTTTTGTCCAATTAGGGGTACGCAATTTTCGAACACCAGCCAAGGTATTCTCATACACATCTGTCAAAGCATGGACGTGTGCATATGATGTAAACGGGTGGTGGGGGCAAAATGACATTTGTGTTATAAACGCCACCGAAAAAATGAAAAAAAAAAAAAAAATCGAAAATTGGGCACGTTAAGTAGTATGAAAAAAAGTATATTTGGTGCACATCCTTTGTTCATTGTTTTTTTTTTTTTTTTTTTTTTTCGATCGGCACTCTATTTACACAATAAGTCAATAAAAATATATATATATATATATATATACGTTTCATCGGACAAAGGAAAAGTATACTCCCAGACGTTGCCAAGGAGAGTTGTCTAATCACGGGAAACGCATGTGGTTATTTATTAACTATATATTGTCTATTTATTGGCTATATATTAACTAAATAATTATTTATTATATTCTTATTAACTAAGTAACTTTTTATTTTTTTAGTAATTATTTATTAATTTTTTGCTCATATTTTTTTTTTTTTTTTTTTTTTTTTTTTTTTTTTTGCACGTTCGTTTTAGAACACGAGTGTATTTTATGCAAACTAAATTCATCTTTGGGGGACAAGTCGGGTGCTAAATAAAACTGACCATCTGATCGGTTAATTACATAAACTTGACCATCGGATTGGTTAATTTTTTTTTTTTTTTTTTTTCAAAAACTGAAGAATGTTTACATGCTTTTGAAGCAACAACAAGAGTCACGAATTTGTTTCCTCAGCAGAACTCCCACAAAATTGCCCTAATTTGTTAGAAATTTTGGGAAGTTGACGGAAGTTGCACCAAAATGGATTCACAGGAAGTGAAGGCAAATTTCCTTTTCCTTTTCCTGTCTTTTAAATTTGTTCCCAATTTTTATGCACTCTAATTTGTTCCCAATTTTTCATGCGCTATATTTTGTTCCCAATTTTTCATGCACCTCCATTTTTGAGATTCAATTCTGCCCCCACGGGGTATCGCCATTTGTTTTAGAGTCCTAAATTTGCCAAACTTGTTCCATCCATTTTAGAATTGCACGAAAACTTCATCAGCATCTGCAAAATAAGTTCCTTGTCACTTGGAGTTTTTTTTTTTTTTTTTGCATGTTTGTATTTCTTCTTTTGTACCTGACTCACTATTTCGATAGGCAAAGATGCATGCAGAATCTAGACAGGTAGGAAGAACAAGAGAAACGGGTTGAATTGTAGAGGAAGAATACCTGTATATCACAAACTTATTCCTAGTGTATCTCCCATTGTAATTACATACATATGTAGAATTTCCACATTTGAGAAGCACTACAAACAGAAGCATGTCATTGCTGTGTAGTGCAAGCAGCGTGTGTAACAAAAAAAAAAAAAAAAAAAAAAAAAAAAAAAAAAAAATACTTCAAAATTGCTATGATCACATATATGATTAGCTATTTATTTGAAAAATACCTTAACGTGCAGGTGAATGCCACAATGAGGAAGTGCACGGAAATGGAATACATGTGTCGTCTTTACAGCATACAATTAATAGAGCAAAGAGAAAGAATAAACAAAATAAAAAAAAAATTAAATTCGTATAACCAAAACATACAAGAGCAAGAAAATATTCTCAGTCATTTAACAAAGTACACTGGTGGATTTTTAAATAATGTCATGTAATTCTTTTCTTTTTTTTTTTTTTTTTAAAATACAAATATTTTCTTTTTCTGTTAGCTCTTATGTGCTCTCAAATTATCATGCTTCCTTATGAGATAATATATCGCTTACCTAGGTGCAGAAATAAAAATTGTAATATCATAATCATATCATCAATTTTTTTACTTGCCACCTTCACAGGACGTTCGTTGAAAATTTTACAAACTCTAAAAGGCTTGGAATGTTAGGTAGTTGTGCTAGGTATTGTCTCGTGGACGACAGGGTTAGACTCTCTACTTTTAGTAAATTCTGTCAGATGCGCGCGACATATATATATATATGTATATATGTATGCTCATTTCTTTGGAAAAACCTCTCATTATTGCATGCACAATGTTTTATTCATTCCTCAATAATCAAATGCAACTGCTAACACACACGGCCTCTAACAGCCGCTAACACAAACAACTTCGTCTTTTTTTTTTTTTTTTTTTTTTTTTTTTTTTCCTTTTATAACAGAATGAAATAAATGTGAAAGAAGGGAGAAAGTCAAAGGGTGCAAAACGTGATAAGAATGGAATGAATATGCTGAACGGAACAACCAACTGTCACTGCAATTGCAGGTACAAGCAAATAAATTCCAAAAAATGTGTCAGCAACCAATGCCAGAATACCATTGTGTACAACAAAACGAGTTTTTATGTAGAGGAAAATGCTAATAGAAAGAAAAACAAAAAAAGTAAAAGTAAACTTAAAAAAGGATTGAAAAAGAAATATTTGCAATTAACTGAGAATATATATAACCTTCATAAACCATACGACACAGTTGAAGTGAAAGACTTGTATGACATTTACAGGAAACAGAAATCAACATATTGTGACCATTATTACATAAATTGAAATCATTAAAATGATAGTGTAAATGTGATGAAATATAATTGCGTTTTTATGTGTGTGTATCTATGTGTTGTTGTTTGGGGAGGGCGTATGTCTTTTGGTAATCCTTTCTCCCCAACAATTGTGTTTTTTTTTTTTTTTTTTTTTTTTTTTTTAATTTATTTAGCTTTGAGTTTTACAATTAGTGTTTAAAAGTGTTAACGTAAAATTTTTTTAATTTTTTGCCTTTAATTTTTTATCTTTAATTTTTTATCTTTAATTTTTTACCTTTAATTTTTTACCTTTAATTTTTTACCTTTAATTTTTTACCTTTAATTTTTTATACTTTATTTTTTTTTTTTTTTTGTTTCTTGCTTTCACTTTTGGCTTTTTCTGACTTTTTGAAAATCTTTGTGTGCACGTATTCAATGGAAACCTAGTTCTTGCTCTTTAAGAAATTGATTTTTTTCCATTTTAGAATTTGAGTATAGTAATGCCTAGGTTTTAGGTCTATGATTTTGTATCACTACCATATAACTTTGAAGTTACCATGGTATATGAATGCTCCACGATTATTACCTGACCTGTTCATATTTTTTTTTTACATAAAGTCAGGTGAATTTGTTCTATCCCCCCTTTTTCCATACTTTACTACCATGTAATAGTTTCGAAAAAGTAAAAGCATAGTGAAACACCTGCATGCTTGTATTGTTTTTTCTTATGTTTGAATTTTATAAACTTTTACATGTACGTCAATATATATATATATATATATATATATATATATATGTATTGTAAACGTGTACATAAATATATTATCTTTTTCTTGAACTAATGTACAGGTTTATTTTTTCAACTACTATTATTATTTTATTTGTTTTTTTTTTTTTCTTAGCAGCGGTGCTATTCACCGCCATGCTGCAGATACATACGTATGCTATATGAACATATGGATTTGTAAAAGGATCAACAAGATTAAGTATAAATTTTTTTTTTTTTTTTTTTTTTTCATCCTTTTCAATAATCTATATTTACTTAAAAGATCTCTGTGGGTAAACGTAGTAATGCATTACATTCCCTTTTGTTTATAGCAAAGAATTGTTGAATGAATATAACGTTGCGGTACGAATAAAATATAGATACCCATTAGGATTCTACATTTCTCACGTTACCACATTTTTCTACATTTTCAAGAACTCCAAAATTCTGTGATTTTTTTTGGTAGTTAAGAATAAATTCCCACTTTAAACCAAATATATATATATGCATGTAATATATCGAAACACCGTTCATGTTTCTGTCACAAACGTAGTTATGAAGCGCTCTCATATAATTATGTTTAGCTTATCCAAATATACAACTAAAATAATGATAAATATCATTACAACTTTTTGACCCCTTTACATAAGGGTGTAAGGGGCAATAGGGATAGAGATAGATAGGAAGAGATAGAGGGAAAAGAGAAGCAAATGAAATTTTAATGTGGCGAAAGGAGCAAAAAAATGCGCATACTTGCAAAATTTGAAAGCTTCTGTTGAGGCCGACGGGATTACTGTCATCCCTTTTTATTTATTTTTTTTTTCGTTTTTTCGTTTTTTCGTGTTTTTGTTTTTTTGTTTTTGTGAGTGCCGTATGAACGTGCAATTTGCATACATGAACACACATACGTAAGGCGAAAAATATGTTAAATAAAATCACCCTTTTTTCGGCGCCTTTGCCAAGTATGGTAACTGCTCAGCATTTTATACTTGTTCCTTCAAGCGCACTTATGCAACTCGGGACATACATATATATATATATATATATATATCCCTGTGAATGATATCTCTAGCATCGCTGAGCTACTTCAAGTGACACACACATACACACACACACACATGCTTACGTGCATACATGAATACATGAATACATGCATGGAGGTTGTTGCGGGGTGTGGTGTGCATGTGAGTATATAAGCATGTAAAAAAACGAGTGCTTTTTTCCTCCAGCATTTGATAGCTTTTTTATTTATAGCATTTCTTTTATCATTTTATGAGCTTTATTTTTTATGACACTATTTATTTGCTATTTCTTGCTTTTTCCTTTTGCCTTTTTTTTTTTTTTTTTTTTTACCCTTCTAGCACAGCCTAGATTGTGTCCGAAAAAAAAAAAAAGGCACAAAAAATAAAATCAAATAAAACACCAAAAAAGGGGACAGAGGGAAAAAAAAATAAAAGTTTTAAAAAAAACACATGGGTAACAAAGTATGAGAGCAGATATTTAAAAAGTGCCAAAAACGAAACGACAAAAAACAAAAATAAAAATACATGAACATTTTGAACAAATGAAAAGAAAAAACAACCCATGTTTTTATTTATTCACATTCTCTTTTCATTTTAATGGTTAACCATAGTATATAAATATTTATACATTGTACATATATAAATCAAAGAAAGTTTCATTATTTTATTTAATTTTTTTTTTTTTTTTTTTTTTTTTCATTTATGCATTGTATCCTTGTTTTTATGACCTTCATTTCACAAGAATGTATATTTTTTACATAGCTGTCAAGGAATGAGTAACTGGCTTACAAATACAGCAGTGTTAAATTGTAAATGCAACATGTACATACATAGGTGCATGTATTAGTAAATCTCCGTGCTTATGAAACTTACACGGTCTTCGTACGATCTCTTCTCAATTGCACGTGTTTTGGGTTTAACTTTTTTTTTTTTTTTTTGCAGCAGCAGCAGCAGATAAATATCTTTCACATCATTATATTTACCTTTTTTTTTTTTTTTTTATTTCCATAAATGCGTATGGCCATTTGGACATTTAAGTCTATTCCACTCGTGTCCCAGTACACCTTTTTCCTTTTTCATAACTTGACAATTTTTTTAAATACTTGTTGTATGTATGAGTTCTCTCATACGTTACTATTAGTCCATGGTGTTTGCATCAATCCATGTGGCTTGTATCAGCCCATATGCTAGTCAACGCTCCTGTGACTCGAATATGTACATATGAACACAGATGTAGCTGACTTACTAGTTGTACTGATTTTGTCAATCGAACATTACCATTTGACAATGCTCATGGGAATGATGTTTTTATAACTATTACATTTGTACTGTTTATTTTAATTGTTGTACATGTGTGTAACTTATCCTTTCCAAGAAAAAAAACAAAAAAAAAAAAAGAAATTCTTTTGCACATTCATCATCATAAATATATCTTCATGTGCAGACAAAGAAGTATCAAAGGGAGAAAAGAAAAAAGGCAACAGAACTTTCCTATTGCTTTTTTTTTTTTTTTTTTTTTTTTTTTTTTTATTTTTTATACATTTTTTAAAATTTTTTTTTTTTTTTTTTTTTTTTTTCTTTTTTTTTTTTTTCCATTGATTTTCTTACTTTTTTTTTTTTTTTTTTTTTTCCCTTCACAATTGTTAATTATTCACATTCACAACCCCCAGCGTTCACAAAATGATGAACATGTAAAAATTACAAACGGGGCCTTTATGTGTCAAGTCTTGTCGTACATATTTTTTCATATGCATAACATGCGTATATATATATATATGTGTAATTACATATGTATGATCGTATACCTGATATGTTAATCTAACTACTGTGGAGAAAATTCCCTAGTGAATTTTTGCAAACATCTTATAAAATAGATATAATGTGCAGTACCTGCTCCAACGCGTGAGAGATTCCACAAGTATAAGATAATTTTTTTTGCACACGTATTATGCCTGCAAATCGAAGATATACATTTTTTCTAATTCCCTCTTGTATTTATCAATATCATTCAAAAGGTGACAAATAATTTATATATCAAATTAATCACGCTATGATGAAATTATATAGTTTTACAATATATATATATATCATCCGAGACACACACACACAAAAAAAAAAAAAAAAAAAAGGATGAAAAAAATATTTTTTTTTTTTTTTTTTTTTTTTTAGCCCTTATAAAGTTACAGGAAGAGGAATTTTTTCTAATTTGTTAACGGATTTGTAAAGCATATTTAAATGTGCAAAAAAAAAAAAAAAAAGGAGAGAAAAATAGAGAAAGAGGAATGTAGTATCATTTTTTCTCCATATTCGCACTAATAAGAACTCCAGTATGTAGTGAAGGTTCAATTTTACATATTCAATATTATTGTTATGAGAGAAAGTCTAAAGATATGGGTTTTTTTTATAGAGAGAATAAAAGAAAGATCATAAGTTTTTAAGTTTATGCTTACGATTATTTTTGCATACAGAACTCAATATATTTATATATAATACTCGCAAGAGTATTTACTATCTCCATCCACGAACCCTTGTCTTATTCGCACGCAAGAAGGAGAGTAATAAAAAGAAAAAGAAAAAAAAAAAAAAAAAAAAATGAAAAGTTAAATTTTGTGTGCTCCACATAAACATTTGTGTCTACGTAAAAGCGACGTAAACAATTTCCAGAGTGAATATTTAAAAAAAAAAAAAAAAAAAAAAAAGTTAAAAATCATCCATTTTGTAAATTCTCCAAAACGAAACACAAACACATAGACACATACATAGTGTGTATATATACCATTTATGCGAATGTTTATTTTATCAATCCTATAACGAGTAAGTGACAAAAAAAAAAAAAAAAAAAAAGTTTTATTCCCGTTTACAAAGAATTTCAGTTAGGACATCGTACGTTTTGCTTGAAATTGATATTCGCTGTTCGAGTAAGTAATTATAAATGAGATAACTTAAGCGCGCTTACGTGTATTTATATATATGTGCAGATCTCATCATCATTACCCACCCATTGTTCTTACCATTACAATTGGAGATTACAAAATAGAGGGGAGAATAATCCTCCAAATGGAGAAGTAGTGGTAACAATCGTGTGTGGCTTATCAAACCACAATTATAGCTTCTTAGAAAAGAGATTCCACATTATGAGGTGTATGTGCAATCATCATTTGGATTGTACATACATGCTATTGTAATATAATGAGTATCTCTTATTTTTTTTTTACCATTGAAGAGTTTTTACATATCCATTGAATCAGCACCTTTACTGACGTAATCACGTTTCTTTGAAAAGACATTCGCAACTTTTCATGTTTAGAATGACAAAAGAGAGTAATAGCTGTGAAGGGGAACGAGTGGATGTAATGTCATATGATCAGTCTATCTTGAGGGTGAAAAACTTGGCATAGAAACGTGAACACGCATGAGTAACACATATGCACACAAATGATCGAACTTATGTGTCGAAATCCATTTTGCACGTGCAGAAAATACAATTGAAATTGTTCACCATATATTGAGATTCTGCCACACATTGCTTCCTCCACACACATTGCTTCCTCCACACACATTGCTTCCTCCACACGCATTACTTCCATTATAAGCAGAGCAAGAATCCGACCCAGTGATATTGCCCAATTTAATAGGACAAATTTTATAGTGACACCGAAAGATGGCAGAAAATGAGAAGAGACTACCAATGACACAGGAAAGTTTAGAAGTGAAAAAAAGTTCTTCATGGAGAATATCCGATGATGGAATTAAAAGAACTCCATCAGGAAAACCAATTCAAACTATGTATGTCTTGAATAGAAAAGGGGAAGAGGAAGATATATCATTTGATCAAATTTTAAAAAGAATTCAAAGATTATCTTACGGATTACATGAATTAGTAGACCCAGCTAGAGTAACCCAAGGAGTTATAAACGGAATGTATAGTGGAATTAAGACATGTGAATTAGATGAGCTAGCTGCTCAAACCTGTGCATATATGGCAACTACCCATCCTGATTTTTCTATTTTGGCAGCTAGAATTACAACTGATAATTTACATAAAAATACAAGTGATGATATAGGAGAAGTAGCTGAAGCTTTGTATACGTATAAAGATGTAAGAGGAAGGCCTGCAAGTTTAATAAGTAAAGAAGTGTATGATTTTATTATGCTACACAAAGATACATTAAATAAGGAAATAGATTATACACGTGATTTCAATTATGATTACTTTGGTTTTAAGACATTAGAACGGTCATATTTACTACGCATTAATGGGAAAATTATTGAAAGACCACAACATTTGTTAATGAGAGTATCTATTGGAATCCATATTGACGATTTGGAAAAAGCACTTGAAACATATCACTTAATGTCACAGAAATATTTCACACATGCAACTCCTACATTATTCAATTCTGGAACTCCAAGACCACAAATGTCTTCGTGTTTTTTATTATCAATGAAATCAGATTCGATAGAAGGAATTTTCGAAACATTGAAACAATGTGCATTAATTAGCAAAACAGCTGGTGGTATTGGAGTTGCAGTGCAAGATATAAGAGGTCAAAATTCATATATTAGAGGAACGAATGGAATATCCAACGGATTAGTACCTATGCTAAGAGTATTCAATGATACTGCTAGATATGTAGATCAAGGAGGAGGGAAAAGAAAAGGATCTTTTGCTGTATACATTGAACCATGGCATTCTGACATTTTTGAATTTTTAGATTTAAGAAAAAATCATGGAAAAGAAGAATTAAGAGCTCGAGATCTTTTCTATGCTGTGTGGGTTCCAGATCTTTTTATGAAAAGAGTTAAAGAAAATAAAAATTGGACTTTAATGTGTCCAAATGAGTGTCCAGGGTTAAGCGAAACATGGGGTGAAGAATTTGAAAAGTTATATACAAAATATGAGGAAGAAAACATGGGGAAAAAAACAGTCTTAGCACAAGATTTATGGTTTGCTATATTACAGAGCCAGATAGAAACAGGTGTCCCTTACATGCTTTATAAAGATTCGTGTAATTCTAAATCGAATCAGAAAAATTTAGGAACTATAAAATGTAGTAACTTATGTTGTGAGATTATTGAATACACATCTCCTGATGAAGTTGCTGTATGTAATCTGGCATCTATAGCATTATGCAAATTTGTAGATACAGAGAAAAAAGAATTTAATTTTAAGAAACTTTACCAAATTACAAAAATTATTACACGAAATTTGGATAAAATTATAGAAAGAAATTATTACCCAGTTGAAGAAGCTAGAAGATCCAATACAAGACATAGACCAATAGGAATAGGGGTTCAAGGATTGGCTGATACTTTTATGTTATTAAGATATCCCTATGAATCAGATTCTGCTAAAGAATTAAATAAAAGAATTTTTGAAACTATGTATTATGCTGCTTTGGAAATGTCTATGGAATTGGCTCAAGTGTATGGACCTTATGAAACATATCAGGGTAGTCCAGCTAGTCAAGGAATTTTACAATTTGACATGTGGAATGTAAAGGTTGATAATAAATATTGGAATTGGGATGAACTAAAGACTAAAATAAAGAAACATGGATTGAGGAATTCATTACTTCTGGCTCCAATGCCAACTGCATCTACTTCGCAAATTCTGGGAAATAATGAATCCTTTGAACCATATACTAGTAACATCTACTACAGACGTGTTCTGAGTGGAGAATTTTTCGTAGTTAATCCACATCTGCTAAAAGATCTTTTTGATAGAGGACTTTGGGATGAAGACATGAAACAACAACTAATTGCCCATAATGGAAGTGTGCAATACATTAGTGAAATTCCAAGTGATTTGAAGGAACTCTACAAGACCGTGTGGGAGATCAAGCAGAAAAACATTATCGATATGGCAGCCGACCGAGGGGTCTTCATAGATCAGGTAGGTTGAGAGGCGAACATGGAGGACAACTAGGGAGTAAGAGAATCGGTTTCCCCAGTTTAGCTCCTCCACTCAGTATGCAAATTTTTTTTTTTTTCGTTCACACGCTTCCGTCTGTACTCCATCAACATGATGAACATCTAATATCATGTATAATCACATCCAACACGTGTATGACTCCTGATCACTTCTAATCACTTCTAATCACTTCTAATCACGTCTAATAACTTATAATCACTTATAATTCCTGCCAACCACTTCTCAGTCCCAATCGCTGAATATTTACATCCAGAAGCCAACATTCGCAAAACTCTCAAGCATGCACTTCTACGGGTGGGAAAAAGGGCTGAAGACAGGAGCCTATTACTTAAGAACCCAAGCAGCAACAGATGCAATTAAATTCACAGTTGATACTCAAGTAGCTAAGAATGCTGCAAAAATGAAGAATGCTGAAGGAGCAGGAGGGGTGTCTATCACACGCGAAGTTTCACGGGAAACAATTTCAACGGAGTCCACAGTTACACAGAATGTTGTCTGTCCCTTACGAAGGAACAACGACGACCAGTGTTTGATGTGTTCAGGATGAGCTCTATCCACGTGCTAAAGTGATTCTGGGCGTGCATACACATAGTTACATATATGTTATACATATGTACATGTACGTTTTTATGTGATAACGGAGCGGAGCAACCCCTCTTATATTTTTTCGATATTATTGCACATGTAGAGATACCATTTTGCACATATAAGTAATTCGTAAAGTTACGACCATCTACACAAATTTGGAAAGAGAAGAACAGCAGATATGATAATTCGTGAAAATTGTGCTTCTTATTATGTTATATGTTGTACTATTAAAAAAAAAAGAAAAAAAGAAAAAAAGAAAAAAAAAAAAAATATATATATTAAAAACGCAAACTATTAGGGGGCGGGGGTGGGAGCGAGAAATGGAAAGATGTTTCGTTAAAAAGTACTTAAACAAATAAAATGAAATGTCATGAACTGAAATAATAAAGACTATGGTGTATAGGTGTTAAGCCATTTTTGAAATTACAAAAGGGGTTATATATACAAGTTTGTGAACAATTAAAATGAAAGCAGAAATTTTTTGCTTCTCATATTTGCAATCCACTTGGAAAATTATTATTTATTTTTTTTCTTTTTTAAAACGTGTAGTATTTGTGCAAATTATTATCCTACTATATGATGTGTGTGTGTATGTCACGTCTTAGGTTTATTTTGTGTGTTTGTGCATCCACTGTGCTTTATATATTGTTCCAAATTTATACTCAATTATGCATGTGCAACGCCTGCACGAGTTATGCACTCTCCACCTGTCCTTTCTCATCCTTACATCTAAATAAATCACAAAAAATTGGGCTTAAATTGGGATTATATCAGTATTATATCGGTGTTAAATTGGGATTATATCAGTATTATATCGGTGTTAAATTGGGATTATATCAGTATTATATCGGTGTTAAATCGGGATTACATCAGTATTATATCAGTATTATATCAGGATTTCCTAAATTTTCAAATCCATCAAATCATATGAGAGAAAAAAAAGAGCCCCTTCATGCAGGCAATTATTTCAGCCGTTATATTTGTGTATCACGCATAGCCGTATTAAAATAGATGAAACTTTATAAAAATCGAATTGTTACATATTTCTTTGAATTTATGAAAATATTGTAAAAATAGTCATGTCTTTTTTTTTTTTTTTTTGTTACTCCTTCGTCTGATGTTTGTTCATGTTCGATTCACCACAGTTGGGACAAATAAGGCTCTGCAAATTTTATATGATTATGGGAAGGGGAAATAAAATGTCATGATGTGGAACATCAGTTTTGGTATGTTGAAGAGGAACAGATTAGGGATTGGAGTGGATATGACAACAATACATATGCACATAATCATAAGAAAAAAAAATGACAACTTTGAAATGATGGAGATGCAAAAAATCTTGGTAGTGTCAAAGGGATTTGTCACGAATTTTTTTCTCTCTTTCTCTTTTTCACTATGACATATGTAAGTCCTCTTACATCCTTGACAAATCTCTGCTCTCGTCCCTTAGCTGGAAATATAACTAAATTACACTTCATGCATTTATATTTAAATAAGTTCTCTGATCCTGTAGATTCATTTGGTTCTGTCGTCTTTTCTTTTTTACGCTTGTATAGAAAGCCTATCCCAGTGTTTTGTATTGTACGGTCGTAAAAATGTGGCAAAAAAAAAAAAAAAAAAAAAAGAAACGTGAAGAAATGGAAACAAAAATGTATGCATATATCCATGTATGTGCATATGCTTTTATCCATGTGCATATACTGGTACGTGTGAAATGTTCAAGCGCAAACGTGTGCAGGTCTCGCAGATGTGAATTTTGTCGTGTTTCAAGTCAGTCCTTACCAATTAGGGAACTAAAAGCAAAAACGATAAGGGCTAAGTTGTATGGATTGTTAACTCCATTGACAACTTTGGTTATGTTGAACTGAATTGTCTTGAAATAATTTTGTTCTTTATGAACATTTAAAAGGTTCTTCTGAGGCTTTTTATTTGTGTATATATTTTTTAACGCTTGTGTGTGGATAAAATGAATACTTTTTCTTTGGATTTTAATTGACCGTGTTGAGGAGAGTGCCAAAACGCACATGCATATGCACCACACAAAAATGTATGTTTTCATTTTTTTTCCCCTTTCGTTTGATCTACTTAATAAAGTTATCTCCTTCTACTTCCTTTTCCTTTTTATTATTATAACAAATGGAACTTAATGCATGTGTGTCATCTTATGCGCCATGAATTTATCATCACACAAAAGGAGGAGATGCAGGCTTACTTCTCCCATTTGGCACAATCAGATATTTTTCATCTGATCTTCTATTTCATTTAAAATTATACAGTTTTGAAGAAATTTTTTTTTTTTTTCACCTCTTAATTTAAATAAACCATTTTTTATGCCTGATGCTTTCGTTAGTTACACCCCTTGTAGGAATAATATGATTAATTATTCCCAAAAAGTAAATAAATAAATAAAAAAATAAATAAAAAAATAAATAAAAAAATAAATAAAAAAATACATAAAAAAATACATAAAAAAAAAAAAAAAAAAAAAAGGCATATATTCCTAATCTTATACACCACTCCAATGAAATGAAAAATTAATTTTCCACGTCGACACAGAAATGTACACATTAAGAAAAATGTAAATAAGTCAAAAAAGGGTTTGAAAAAAAAAAAAAAAAAAAAAAAAAAAACGGCGATATTTCTGCTTCCCCCAATTTGTTCTCTTTTGGGGATAAACTATTCTCATTTTTATAGTAAAGTTTTAAAAGCTACTTTTGTATTTCTTATAACGTTTTTCTATTATACACCTACCCTTTTAATGAGACTTATTCTGTTGGTTTTTTTATTTTTATTTTATTTATTTTTTTTTTTTACGTAACTCCTATCACCATGCACATGTAATGTAATCAAGGGAGAAAGAAGAAAAACATATACAATGAAACATTTCTGAACAATCTGGAAAAGTTTTCCATATGCACATGGAAAAAACAAAAAGTTTGCATTAATCAAGAATGCTATACAAGTTTTGTGGAGCGGAAAAGAACCTTTTCACATTGGCTTCAAAATGTATCATTAGCCATGATAAGACGAACGAATTACCAAAAAATAATCAAATGATGAAGTCAGTTTTTCCTAAACTAATCTCAAAAAATAAAATAAAAAGGAATAAAAAGGAATAAAAAGGAATAATTAATTTATTTTCCTTTTATACAAATAACCTCTATTTTGTAACGTTTATAGGGCATTACAACAGTTAGAACATGCATCTTCTTTTCTTTTCTTTTTTTTTTTTTTTTTTTTCCATTTTGCACATACAAAATGTGAAAAGACAACTCAATTAGTGCATGTCCTTCTTTAATATATGTTCTTGAAAATACGTTATAAACCATGTTCAAATGGATATATAAAATACAAAAAAAAAAAAAAAAAAAAAAAAAAGGACACCTGTTAAGAAATTATTTCAATCCAGTATATTATTTGTATAGCTCTTTATATCTGCAAAAAAGGGAAAACAGTGAATAAGATTAACTACGTAAGAGTTGTGTTGCAAACAGAGATACATCTATGTAATTGTAAACGAAGCATTTTATACAAGTGCGTTTGAATGAGGCCATAGTGAAGTATAAAAAATGAGGTGGCAGGAAGGCAGGGAACAGACGGGGGACAAGTTATGTAACTGACAAATGCAAAGAAACAAAGGTGACGAAATGATGGTTGTGAGAGGAGAGTTAAAAAAGAGCGCTACATAACAAAGATTTTTTTTTGACAACTTGCTTCGAAGTAAGATTCGAATTTGCAGAACTGAAGTTAAAAGGTACAATGAGCAGAAAGGATTTGTTAAAAATATATATATGTGTGTATATGTATATGTATATGTAGATATAGAAATGGAAAAAATGACATAACCGACTGATAAGACAGAAAAATGGATCAACTTTTTATAAATATTTTTTTTCTTATTGAAATATTTGAAATGCATTAATAAACGAAAAGGAAAAAAAAAAAAAAAAAAAAAAAAAAAAAAAAAGAATTGGCATTAACATATGGCATTAAAATAAGGTAGGTGGAATGTTGTTTTTGATATGATTGAGACATTGAAATGAAAAGAATAAAAAAACAAAAAATAAAAGATAAAAAATAAGGGATCAAAAAATGGTGATAACGGATGGGCCAAAATATGTCCATAAAAAATTACTACATCAAATGGGTTTACGAAAAATTGCTCGACACTGCCGATGCACGAGACAGGTTCACATGCCAATTTGCACAACCGATTTGCATGGCTAGTAGCACGAACGGCAATTATAGCAGATGCACGTCCCTTCCCTCCGCCCCAATATGATTATAGTCAGGTTTCAAATTTTGTTTGCTACAGAACAGTGTAAGCCTTCCCCTTCCCTCGTGTGGTACCAATATATATATATATATATATATATGTATGTATGTACATATGTATTAACATATGTATGCACATATGTATGTACATATGTATGTACATATGTATGTACATATGTAGGCGTACACAGATACATAAGCACATACAAAGATTTGCATGTTCATGCTGGAGGTCCATCTGAAATGGGATGAAACATGCCGAACGCGAAAAATAAATCAATACTCCCCTAAATTCATCGATTTCACATAGTGATTAGTACCTGAAGAATTAAATTTGTAGAAATCGTCCTTGTTAAGAATTTTGGACCATATTAATAAGTCTCCACGCATTAATCCTCTTCTAACAATTTGTGATAAATTAAATCCATTTTGTTTGACAAAATACAAACTATCTGTATTTAAATTATTTGTAAAAACTTTTAATTCTTGATAATTTTGTTCATGCGCAAAATTTTCTAACTGTGTTAATAATCTACTTCCAATCCTCATTCTTCTATTATCTTTTTTCACTACCATCCTTACCAACTGTGCAATGGAATTATCTCCTTTGAATGGTACAATTCCTACACATCCTACTATTTTTTTAGTCATGAAACGAAAATTTGAATCATCATCATCGTTCGTTTTTCTATTGAAAATGTTTTTTCTGATTTCATTTAATCTGAATGGAACTGTTCTTCTACTTTCGATCAGTTCCTTATTGGAAATTTCTCCTATATTACAAAGGAGCTTTGTTTTTTCTTCACTTTCATTGGATTTATTATTTTGTATATCCATGTTGTTATCTCTTATACTACTGCTGCAATTTCTATCTTCATTTGTCACGCTGTATGTATTTCCTCTAACATTATACTCCTCTGTCACCCCAGTCGTCACCTTCGTCTCCTCCTCTTCATTGTTATTTTCCTCACAGTGTCTTGTTTTATCATTTTTTTTTTGTGATTCTTTTCCTTTTATGTCACTACAAGTCGTGCTATCAATATCTGATTTATCATCACTACTGACAACTCTACCTTCTTTTTCTTCCAAAATATATTCCATTTTGGTATTATTCATATTGTTGATGTCTACATTGTGTGCTTTGTTACTGTGGGTAATAACGTTACCACTGTCATTCTTATCAGTACCATGTGTCAACACATCAACACCAGTAAAAGGAGAATTGTTATTTGTTTTGTAATATATATCATTATAATTTTGTGGGGTGCATTCTTCATGATCTATTATGTTGACTAAATTTACTTTTGCTCCATTGTCTTTCCAATTTGTATTTTGACAAGTGTCACTATTTTTATTATCTCCATTTTGGTGTGTATCTTTTTCTGTTTCAGAATTGTTAGAACATGAATTATTTTCTTCATTTTTGTTTAATTTATTTTTATTTAATGTTTTCAGTTCATTTGGTTTTTCACTAGGATCAGAAATTGCATTCTTAGATGAGATGTCATTCAAGTATTTATTATTTTCTTCATCTGAATTTTTCATTTCCATATCACCCCTATCATTGCATAGCAGCTTTTCTTGCTCCTCTTGTTCCAGTAATATCTTGTCTCTTTCGTGTATATCACTACATGTAGTTCTGCTAGCTGAACCAAAATTATTATCAAATACTTCAGCTACCCAAAAATTACATCCTTCCACATTTATGTAACTTTTATATAAATTTTCTAAATCTGGACAATCTTTCCTTATATGATTTAAAAATTCTAATTTTGCCCTTAAATATAAATATATTAAAAATATAATCAAAAAATAAAATATCTTTTTTAAATCCAAAAAAAATATATAGTTTATAACAACTATGACTAGCAAGTCATAAATATGTTGTATAGACCAATATATAACAGCTGGTAGTGTTAGCGAGTTGAAATGATCATGTAGTAATTGTCTCACTTCGTTTATGTCTTTTTCTTCCAGTTGTCTTATTGTAATGAGCGGTTCTGGGAATCTTGTTTTTTGCTTATCTGTCAAGGAGAAAGTAGAAATGTTTGTTCATATGGAAATTGACGAAAAAGGCCAAAACGTGAAAAAAAAAAAAATATTCCACGTTCAGGTAAAAAGGTAAAAACGGAAGTTAAATGTTCAGGTAAAAATAACTACAATAAATTATTCTGCCTCCATGTGAATAAATAAAAAAAAGAACAAGAATAATGCAAACCAACTGGACGAACACACTACTTGTGTGAGTAAATTTCATACACAACAATAATCTTCAAGATATACATGAAATACAATCATGAAAATATCTCTTTGGAATGACTTTTTATATATTTTACTCATTAAAATATGAGATATGGAACTTGGAGCCTTTTCCTTCTGCTTAAATATATTCATTTTGAGCTGTCCTTTTTTTTTTTTTTTTTTTTTTTTTTTTTTCTTAATACCCTTTTTAAGACACTTTTTTCTGTGCTTGATTATTGTGGAAATTATTATTATTTTCTACTATGCTAACGACAGATGGGTTGGGGAAAAAAAAAAAAAAAAAAAAAAAAAAAAAAGGGAAAACAAGAATTTTCACGAGTGTTAGGATCCAGCGTTAGGGTTGTAGGAGCATTTCAATTGCAATACTTTTTAGTACATAACTCTGGAGTTTGCATAGACATTTGCATTGGAACTTTCTTTGGAATTTACATTGGTACATTCGTTGGTGTTTGCATTGATACTTTCGTTGGCAGCTGCGTTGGTACTTTTGTTAGTATCTGCATTGGTATTTGCTTTCGCGCTTGCTCTGGCATTGCTAAAATCGCAGTAGCATTGTTCTCATTTCTCCAACATTGTCATCATCACTATGTCTCACTGAATGGAGTAAACGTTGAGGATATAATCCTTTCTTCTGATGCAATTCAAATTTCAAATAAATAATGTGAAATGCATACCACAAAAAATACACTCGTACTGAGGCACAAAAAAAATTTTTTTTTTTTTTTTTTTTTTTTTTCCTGTGAATTCTCTTTCTTTAATGCAAAAAAATTATATATTATTATGCATATAAATGTTAAGCAAGTGGTGAAATGAAGGAAGAAAGGGGCAAGCGGAAAAAGGAAAAAAAAAAATGTAACTATAAAAAAAAAAAAAAAAAAAAAAAAAAAAATTTTATATATTTATATTCACCTGGTATATATGTAAGATATTCATATATTTATTTTTTTTTTTTTTTTTAAGTGTGGCTAAAAATGCTATGAAAAGTCGCTATGAACGAAGCATATTAAAAATGGCATAAAAAAAAAAAAATTTAATAGGGAAAAAGTTGAGAAATTCAAAATTTTGCAATTCACAAAATGAGGTAAACTTCAAGGAATAACATGAGTCAGTAATAAAAAGCACAATATTATTGGAGCGTTTTTTTTTTTTTTTTTTTTTTTTTTTTTTTTTTTTTTGTCATATACAATTCATGCCACCACCACTCAAAAAAAAAAAAAAAAAACTGTGGAAAATATTTCATTTTGGGGGTGACGTTGAGATGATTTAGATTATACACAATACATGATTAAATAGATAAGTAGTTAAGAAACAAAATAAGTAAACCCTTAAATTGTTAAACATTGATACAGTGAAGAAGTAGCTAAATAAATGAATTCATGTGCATAAACATTTTTGGATAAAGGATACACAGTTGTATACACATAATCCAACGGCACAATGGTTGATGAGTTTTTTCATCACGACCAATATACTCTTCACAATTAAGCATATACACATCATTCAAAAGTTTTATCATAATTAAAAAAAAATTTTGTGATATGTGTGAAAAGACCTTGTTAGAGAACCCCACATCGGCTTGTTATGGCATATAAGATGTTAACATAATTCTATTTTGTGTTGGTATTAAAGGGTTAAGCAAAGTGAAAAACTTTCCTAAGGAAATGAAAGAAAAAAAAAAAAAAAAAAAAAAAAAAAAAAAAAAAAAAAAAAAAAAAAAAAAAGAAATTTTTATAAGGCAATACTTAATACCTATTTAACTCATTTTTATAATTAGGTCTTCCAATTTGTTGATCAATTCTATGCGTCCATTTTATGCGAAAATGGAAAAGTATAAAGAAATACTAACCAAATTAAAATGGAACAAAAACAAAAGTTGTGACAGGTACCAATTTGGGATGTTCGAAATTGATAAGAGAGAAGTGTTCATAACAACAGAGCACTCGTACGGATTTGTAAATAACAAGCCACTTCTTCCGGGTCATATATTATTAACAACTTTAAAAAAAAAGGCAAGGTATAATGATTTAGATATAGAAGAAATTATAGACATTAATTTGTTGTCAAATTTTATGTGCCATGTCATGGGAGTTTTACATAACACGACAAATTTTTCGATAGCAATTCAAGATGGGAAGGATGCAGGTCAAACGGTCGAACATGTTCATATTCACATAATACCAAGAAAAAGTTCTGACTATCAGAACAACGACAATATATATAAAGACATGAATAAATTAAATTGGGGTTATGGGCGAGATGTCATATGTACATCGTGCAACAATTTTGTAAAGGTTCCTTCACAAACACACACCGAGGAGACATTTAAATTGGAGGAATTCAAGTAAAACAAAATAAAAAAAAAAAAAAAAAAAGCAGACCTCAATACATTTATTGATGTTTGTTTTTTTTTACTTCCCAACGTCACTTAGGCAATAGCACTATTTTTTGCCATTTTTATCCATTTTCACCTTTGTGATGTATTTTTTTTTTTTTTTTTTTTTGTTTCTCCCCTTTTAGCACCACACTTAGATCCATTGAAGAAATGGAAAAAGAAGGACGCATGATCAAGTCTTACATTGAAAACAATTTTGCAAAATCTTAAGCCTATTCTGTTTGTGGATCAAAAATTGCTTCTTATGCATTTTATGAAGATGCGGGAAAAAAAAAATGCTATAAAAATTTAGGCGTTGTAACCAAAAGAGTATTTTTTTTTTTTTTTTTTTTTTTTCATCTTCCTTTTTTAGGAATATATGGAATGGTGAGGCCTCATAAAAAGATTCTTATTCCGACGAACTTATCTATAAAAATTGCATACTTCGCACAAAATTGTACACTTCGCACAAAATTGTGCATTTCGAACAAAATTGTGCATTTCGAACAAAATTGTGCATTTCGAACAAAATTGTGCATTTCGAACAAAATTGTGAACTTCGAACAAAATTTCTGGCTCCTCTCCACAAGCATGTTCGTTTAAAAATTAGATGAAATTACTCCCGTTCCTTCACCCCTTACGTGCACATTGCTTGCCCTGCTGCATCTGAGATTTCTCCTCAGCGAAAAAAAATTGAGGAAAATACTGGCATCTATTGACATGCATTATATGCACAGGTGTACCCTTTTTAATGTATTTTTTTTTTTTTCTTTTTAAATAACTGTACACAAATATATTTTTCTCTTTTAATAACCATACAGAAATATTTTTTTCTTTTTTAATAACCATACACAAATAATTTTTTTCTTTTTAAATAACCATACACAGATAATTTTTTTTTTCTTTTTTTTTACCCCAGTTGAGGTCATTAGCTTCTATCGCGAAATGTATATTTTTTCTACATGAAACGTATTAGCACTAAGATCTCTACATGTGGACAGTTACAAAAACGGATGCTGCACATGTTAGTCGATGCACATGTTAGTCGATGCAAATGTTAGTCGATGCAAATGTTAGTCGATGCATATATTAGTCGATGCACATCTTAGTCTCCACACATGAGAGGCGCTCAAAAAGCGAATTATTTACCACATTTGGGATACCCTTTTTACTTTGCAAAGGCTCAGAACGAGTGACACATGAGATATATATGAGCCCTTGTGATATTGCAATGGGTACTTTTTGAAATCGAAAATGAGAACACTTGTCCTCGTTCTTGTTGCCACCATAGTCATTTGCCACATATGTGCATGTAAAAACTTGTTAGGAAGAAGAAGATATCACTATATTATACAGAGGGGAAATATAAAAGGAGGTAGAGGTGGTAATTTAAGAAGAGTCCAAAGTAGTGTAAGGTTTTCATATAACGAATACAATCAACAGAATCAACAAAACATTAGCATACCTTCTATGCTGCTTTCCAAAAGAATAATTTTTCTTTCTTCACCTATATATCCACACATACCAGAACAAATAATTTCTCAATTATTGTACCTAGAGTATGAATCAAAAAGAAAACCTATCCATTTATATATTAACAGTACAGGTGATTTAGAAAATAATAAGATAATAAATTTAAACGGAATAACAGATGTCATCTCTATTATTGATGTTATAAATTACATATCATCTGATGTATATACCTACTGTTTGGGAAAGGCGTATGGAATTTCGTGCATCTTAGCAAGTAGTGGAAAAAAGGGATTTCGATTTTCTTTAAAAAATTCATCTTTCTGTTTAAACCAATCGTACTCAGTTATTCCGTTTAACCAAGCTACTAATATTGAAATTCAAAATAAGGAAATTATGAACACAAAAAATAAGGTCATTGAAATAATTGCTAACAACACAGAAAAGCAGAAGCAGTATATAGAACAAGTTCTGGAGAGAGACAAATATTTTAGTGCCAACGAGGCTGTTCAGTTTAATTTGGTCGACCACATACTGGAGAAGGAGTAGCACTATTACAGCGGGGCCAGAATCACAGCGGAGGCAGTATCGCAGTGGGAGCAGTATTGCGACTGGAGCAGTGCGAACGGACGTATAGTGAGCCTAAAAGAAGAATCAAATAACACGAGAATTTTAAGTTGTAATGAGAAATATCCTTAATGTTTACAATCCAAGCAGTAGAAAAAAAGGAAAAATATATATATATACACATATATGCATGTATATACATATATATATATACATATGCACGTCGGGAGCACAGAACGAAACGTAAGCAAGCCATCTTCAGCTGAACATAGTAAATACAGGGTCATATTTAGAGAAGCCAAGAAATATAATTAGAAAAAAAAAAAAAAAAAAAAAAAGGAATGACTAAGATAAAAATATTGGCTCCTCTAAATCTTGTTAGACAATATGCTTTAGGAAGCAGAGGAAAAATAACTTTGACGAAGAAGCTCTTATTCTCTCTTGAAAGAAAGAATAAAGAAGGGTTCAATAAAGATAGGAAGGGTGAGTATGACTGTACAAAGAAGAAACTTGATAAAAAAAAGGATGGAATAAAAAATTGTGAAAGCGAAAGTAGTGCTTCCAAAAAAGACAGTGATGCTTCTAGAAAAAACAGTGATGCTTCCAAAAAAGACAGTGATGCTTCTAGAAAAAACAGTGATGCTTCCAAAAAAAACAGTGATGCTTCTAGAAAAAACAGTGATGCTTCTAGAAAAAACAGTGATGCTTCTAGAAAAAACAGTGATTCTTTCAAAAAAACAGTGGCCGATTTGGCAAACAAATTTAAGGAAAAGAGCGCACCAAACATGCTTACCAATTTAGTGATTACAATTTTGAAAGAAAGTTCCTCTGAGCTGTCAGAGAAAGAGAAAAAAATGGCGATAGATAAATATAAAGAAATTGCATGTGAATATTTACAAAGGGGGGGGTACTTAAATAGTAGAGATAAAAAAAATGATATAAAATTTGTGGACATTTTTGCGACCTTGTATTTATGTTACAGAGAAAAAATATTCGATTTAGATTTCTTAACAAAAGTAAATGAAGCATTTGAAATATTGCTTAAAAATCGAAATGAGAAGGAAATATTAAATGATGTTACTATAAATTATTGGATGATCATGTTTTATTATTTTTCCTTTTTAAATATGAAAAATATGACTATGTGTAACAAAATAAGAGATTTTATTATGAACAATGAGGTGAAACCTTTGGTTATTTACAAATATTTAGAATGTCTAAGCCTTTTATCGGTATCCAATGATAGAAAATGTAAGCAGGATACTTTTAACCATATTATTACCATAATACAAATTTTTTATGAAAATTTTTACAATTTCAACAACTACTTGGTATTGCACATTTTGTACTTTCTGCACAATCTGAATTTTGCAAACAAAGACATATTTCTTTTTTTAACAAAAAAAATCAATAAGAATGTTTATAACGAAAATGCAAATAGATTTGAACTATGCATGTTGGCAAGAATCTACGCATTGTACAAAATCGAAAATATCACATTCATTAATTATGTGTGTGAAGATTTGATAAGAAGTTTGACTAAGTATGAAGACGATTTTCAGAATTATGCACTTGATGAGAATTTCGATTCGCAAGGGGATCAGAATAAGTTGGAGGATCCAGAACTAGAAATGCAAATATCTGGCAGAACAGCTAGTGGCACCGATGCGACTGGCAGAACAGCTAGTGGCACCGATACGATTGGTAGAACAGCTAGTGGCACCGATGCGACTGGTAAAACAGAAAAGAACATGGAAATTCGCACAACAGACGATGATACGAACATTTGTGAACAAAGGGGAGATTCGAAATGGAAGAGAGATCACCCATCGCAGAATGATGGAGTATACACACTCGAAATTGAAAATATCAATCGACAGAATTATGCCATATTTAAGCATAATTTGTACAATGACGGTTTGAGTTTTTACTCCTTTTTTGCTAACTGCAAAACTACAAATAGGAAAAGATTTATGGAGAAAGAAAACAGCTTGAATATGATTTTTGTTAAGACTGAAAATAAGGAGAAATCATGTGAGAATGTGAATACTTCTGTGTCAGAATGGCACAAGCTGTTTGTTTACGATGAACATAAAGAGAAAGATATAAAAAATGAACAATTCGTGGAGTTGGAAGACACAGAAAAAAAAAAAAAAAATGATGATGATGATGATGACCAAATAATCGATAAATACAATAAATTTTTAAAAGAAAACTTGCATTACGAATTTGATCATAACGAACTGATAGAACTGTTTAAAAATGCAAGCGAACATATGGACAATACAAAAATTGACTTTATTATTTCTAATGTGGAAAGAGCTAGTGATATATATGATGAAAGGGTAAATGAGTATAAAAAAAAACTTCTTTTTATTGAGAATTATTATATAGGCCACATATTCCACATTGTAGATTCTTTATTATCTTTGAAGGTACATCACAATTATGCTAATTTTAAAAAATTAGAAAATAAAATTTTAAACCTTGTAAAAAATAATGAAAATTATATAATTGACAACTTTGACAGTAACGAAATTAAAAGTCTCATAATTTTTTTATCACATGCGAATAGACATTATAAAGAAGCATTTATATATTGCCTTACTCACCGAATGGTGGATTTGTACATGAACAATTTGTGTAAATCTAACGTATTGTCCATATTTCTATACAATTTATTAAATTTTACAAAAAAAAAGGTTGTTAAAAAAAACAAATTTAACCATACCATTAGAAATGTATTATATGATAGCTATTCCTGGTTAAATGATAACAAGTACGAATTTCAAAAGTCTGTTGATATCTCTACGCACAATTCAAAACAGACAGAAAAATCTAACACACATTGTGTTATCAAAGCAAAAAATCACACCCTTTTACAGCTTTTGTCTATGCATGTATGTAAAAATGTCTATTTTATGAGTCTTTCAACCTTAGCTTCTATACTAAGATCAATATCATACTTGTCTTTTAGGGAAGCCAATTTTTTCAATGTCTTCATACCCTTATTTATGAAGCACATTGCTGATCTTAAGAATGTCGACATTTTGAATATAACTCAGGTATTATCATGACTCTCACTCGTTTTTTTTTTTTTTTTTTTTTTTTTGCCTCTTAGTGTATATATGTTTTAATATGTACACAGGAGTACGTGATTAAAAAGACATCGAAAACATGTCGTTATGCTTCTCCATCCATAATTCACATAATAACTCCCTACCTGTATTTGTGTGAAATAATGACTTAATAACAATTTTTTTTGCTTTTCACCTGTGCAGGCCTATAACAAACAAAAAATCCAAAACAAGTACTTTTATTACTTGCTCGGGAAGCAATACCAAAGCAACAATGTGGGAGAAAAAAAAAATTCAAGTCCGAAAATTACCTTAATTGGCTAGTGCTATTGCATATGTATAGAATATAGATATAGATAAATATTCCATGTTCAGGCAATTTTAACAACCTTAATTTATTGTCTTCGCAGCACACACAAATTGTGTGTGCAGGAAGAGTAGAAAAGCCACATCTTCACAGTGTGATAAACCTGATACCAATAATTTGATAGGTATAAGGAGAATCATAATGGGGTGATATATATTTACACATTTTTTCCGGTGCAAGGAAAACGCACAAGACTTAAAAAAAAAAAAAAAAAGCAACATTTTAATACGTATATTAACAAAGTCCCTTTGCTAATCATCAACTGTTGACTTTTTTTTTTTTTTTTTTTTTTTTTTTTTACAGTTATGTTATGTGCTCTTGTTTTAGTATTATGATCTGGAAGTTACGATTCTCAAGGGGTATCGATTGAATATTTGTCCTATGTGTGTTGGTGTCATTATGCTTCTGTTTTGTGTATTCATAATGTGTTTATAATATGTGTTGATAATCTGTGTGCATGTATATGTGTGTAAAGCATGCACATCATCAGCAAAAGCAGGTGCTTGCGTGTGTGTAGACCAACATGACAAGAAATTCTTAAGTGTGTGTTCGTCTGGGCCATGAGTGCACGTAAAAAGTTGCTTATTCAAAAGGGGTACGTCATTTTTATTTACTATTGCCGTGCTTTCTTTATTACTTATCATTTATGCATTATTTTATTTTTTTACTTATTTTTTTTACTTTTTTTCGTGTGTGTGCATCTCTTCAAAGTGTGACACATTCCCTACATGTCTCCTTAAGAACAAATTAAAAGAAATGCGTTTGTCACGTTGAAATTCTCCTTCTGATTTGCAATAACACACTGTTACAATTTTGATAGTCTTAAATAATGCAATTTTATAGAAAAATTGAGAAAGTGCTGATAATACTGAGTTGTGCATAACACTGCGAGTATATTATTATGTTTGACTAATTTGGGTGCCTCCAAAAGATGTCTCATTTTAAGGCGCATTTGTTTCATATTACGTGTGTATATATATATATACATACATATGTATATGTATACATACTTTATAAATGCTGAACGAAGAAGAGGATCTATTGAGGAAGACTGCTGTAGGTTTAAATATTGTATGTACCCTACTGTTGCAATCTCGATAATTCTTTGATCTAGGAATTCACAAAATTATGTGTGCGTAAATGCCCTTGCACAAGGGCTTTTTCGTTAAAAAAAAGGCGCAAAAGGGAAAAAAAAAATAAAGAATGAATGAATGAATGAATATATATATATATATATATATATATATGCATGTGTGTATGTAACCCCCTCAGACAAAAAGGAAGAAATGCATTTCGACAATTGCATGTGGCATTCAACAAGGTGTACCCTATACTTCATGCCAGTCCAAACTACGTAAAAAAAGGAAGTAATACAGCTTAGCAGCGCTTTTCACGTGATATCCATTGCTACATATGTGTGTACATTTACAGGTGTGTACATTTACAGGTGTATATATTTACAGGTGTACATATTTATATATACATTTTCTTCTTTTTTTTTTTCCCTGGCCTTGCAATAATGTCATGCTTCAGCTTAAAATGGAGGTTCACTATGTTTCACAAACATACTCTAAAAAAGAATACGATATGATACGTGGAAAATGGTGCTTAAGTGGGAAAACCAGCTTTGTTAAGCATAACATCTAAAAATTACACAAATGGTGAATAAAGCGATTGCTTAAAGGTGAAAAAGAATTCAATGGATACGTGAAGGCAAAGTGAAGTGCCACTCGCTTCTTCTCCCTAACCTTTTAAAATTATTTCACCTTAAAATTTTTTCAAATTCACACCATGCTACTGAATTTTTTTTTTTTTTTTTTTTTATTTCGATATCCACTTGGCATTATTTTTAACTTTTTTGAGTAATTTTTTTTTTTTTTTATTTCGTTTTTGTTTCTTTTCCTGTTTCGTTTTTGTTTCTTTTCCTGTTTCGTTTTCGTTTCTGCTTTTTTTCCTTCTTCTTTTTATTTAACCTAGGAGCACTACAATTTTCCCAAAATGTGTGACTCTTATAGCACATCATCCCCCCATCTCAATCCTAAGCATTTCTAAATTTGTGAAAATATCACTTTTTCACGAATACACCTTTTTACACATTTTGAAAAGTCTGTATACCACAAGTTAGCAAAAAAAAAAAAAAAAAAAATTTAATGCTTAAGAAGAAAAAAAAAAAAAAATGGGTGAAAATGGTGACATTCCAAAGAAGTGGTAAGTATGAAAAACTATGTACATGTGGTGCCTACATGAACAATTTCACAAACATGATAAGAGAACCATAATGAATTTAGAATTATCTATATTTCTGAATAATGCGTTAGTATGCACTTCTTACAACGTTGACATAAATTTCACGTATTTCACACACACATGATCATATCAACACATCAACATATCAATACGTGAACACATCAACACATCAACACATCAACACATCAACACATCAACATATCAACACACAGACATTCTCCAGTTATGCATATGGGAGTTGCACACATCTCAGTTATGTACACAATGTGCCACACCAAGTGAACTTTTTATAAATTCAAAAAAAACATATTGTGTATGCCACTACCTGTATACCTGGTTGAGAGAAACGGGATGAAAAAGAAAAAGTCAGCAGACGTTCATATACATATATATATATGTGCACATACAAACGTGTAGATTTCCATTTGTGTAACCCTTTTTTTTTTTTTTTTTTTTTTTTTTTACGCTACTCATTAGCTTGTTATCGCTCTTTTCTTTGTTTTTCCCTATTTTCTGTACATTTGCATGTGCATAAAAATGGTCGTTCTGATGAGGTGTCCACACCCACCTGCATGCTGAGGAGTCACTAACACAACTTCTGCACGAATCTTCTGCATGAAACTTTTGCACGTCTGCAGAAAGCAAACATCTACACGCGCTCCTCGTTCCTTTCCAATTTCACTGCAGCAATGAAAGGAACAAGAAGAAGGCCATTTTTTCAAATGATGATTTTTCAGGGGAAGACACTTTAATGGAGGTATGCAAACGATTGCATTGTTTCACATTCATAACTTAATTACAAACAAGTAGCAATTTTACCACGATATGTCTTTTTCTTTTTTTTTTCACCCCCTTTCCGTGCCCATCTCATTACAGGAACATTTGCAATTGCGTGAAAAATTTTCAGAAGATATTGATATGATAAAGTCTTCCCTTAAAAATAACCTCGTATGCAGTACACTAAATGATAATGAAATACTGACATTATCTAATTATATGCAATTTTTTGTTTTTAAAAGTGGTGACCTAGTAATAAAACAGGGAGAGAAAGGTTATAGAAGCATGAGTCTTTTGTGCTCCCTTTTATTGTGATGTTCATTTCATCAACATATGGATATGTGTGCAGTGCCTATGTCCATGGTCTTTGTACACCGCTACATCTTTATGCTTTGTTATGTTATGTTATGTTTTTTTTTTTTTTTTTTTTTTTTTTTTTTTTTTAAAAGCCTTGCACAAGGTCATATATATCTCAAAGGGGTAGAGTTGTAATGCACCGGGAATACCAAGTATAAACCAATAAAGTGACACCATTTCGACACATGTTTCGTTTGTTTTCACATTCCGCTTCCACCACATACACAGGTTCTTATTTCTTCATAATAAACAGTGGGAAATTCGATGTTTATGTTAATGATAAAAAGGTGAAGAGTATGGGAAAAGGAAATTCATTTGGAGAAGCAGCTCTAATTCATAACACACAGAGAAGTGCAACAATAATAGCAGAAACAGATGGTGCATTATGGGGTGTACAAAGAAGTACTTTCAGGGCTACACTAAAACAGTTATCTAATAGAAATTTTTATGAGAATAGAAAATTTATTGATTCTGTGTCAGTATTTGATATGTTAACAGAAGCACAGAAAAATATGATTACGAATGCATGCGTTATTCAGAATTTTAAAGCGGGAGAAACAATAGTCAAGCAGGGCGATTATGGAGATGTGTTGTATATATTGAAGGAAGGTAAAGCCACCGTTTTTATTAATGATAAAGAAATAAGAGTTCTTAACAAAGTAATATCCCCCATCTCTGCAGCTACGCCCATGACAGGGAACAACATGCAATGGGCGTGGCCACGCTGCTACAAAAAAATTTTACACGAATTAGAAATCTTGCAGTTGTGTGTACAGTGCAATGTGTAGTGATTGTGTATGGTTGTGTATGATTGTGTATGGTTGTGTATGGTTGTGTATGATTGTGTATGGTTGTGTATGGTTGTGTATGATTGTGTATGATTGTGTATGATTGTGTATGGTTGTGTATGGTTGTGTATGGTTGTGTATGATTGTGTATGATTGTGTATGGTTGTGTATGGTTGTGTATGATTGTGTATGATTGTGTATGGTTGTGTATGGTTGTGTATGATTGTGTATGATTGTGTATGGTTGTGTATGGTTGTGTATGATTGTGTATGGTTGTGTATGATTGTTTGCATGTGTTCGAATGAGGTTACTCTTTGGGCCTTGGGTGATTTCTCATTTTTTTGCAAATCCCTGCGTGTGTTCTGCCCCCCAGTTTCCCTCTGTTGGTGCATGTGTTTGTGTGTGCTATGTATACGTGTCTATGTACCCAGCTGAAGCAAATGACAACTCCTACCTGACTCAGCAAAAATGGAAAATGCTTCCTTTTCACTCGTTCTCCCTTGGTGGGATCACTATTTTACAGGGTTCCTATTTTGGAGAACGAGCATTGTTATATGATGAACCGAGAAGTGCAACAATAATTGCAAAAGAACCCACATCATGTGCATCTATTTGTAGGAAGTTGTTAAATGTAGTGTTAGGGAATCTTCAAGTTGTATTATTTCGAAACATCATGACAGAAGCATTGCAACAAAGTGATATATTTAAACAATTCAGTGCAGAACAATTGAACGATTTAGTAGATATAGCTATTGTTAGGGATTATCCAGCAAATTATCACATTCTTCATAAGGACAAAATAAAATCTGTAAAATATATTATTGTATTAGAAGGTAAGGTAGAATTATTTCTTGATGATGAATCTATTGGGATATTAACAAGAGGTAAATCGTTTGGTGATCAATATGTTTTAAATCAGAAACAGAAATTTAGACATACCATTAAATCTTTGGAAGTTTGTAAAATAGCTTTAATAACGGAATCATGTTTAGCTGATTGTTTAGGAGATAATAACATAGATGCATCAATTGATTATAATAATAAAAAAAACATTATAAAAAAAATGTATATATTTAGATATCTAAGTGAACAACAATGCAATTTATTAATTGAAGCATTTAGAACAACAAGATATGAAGAAGGAGATTATATAATCCAAGAAGGAGAAGTGGGTTCAAGATTCTATATCATAAAAAATGGTGAAGTAGAAGTAGTAAAAAATGGAAAAAGATTAAGAACTTTAGGAAAAAATGATTATTTTGGAGAAAGAGCATTATTATATGATGAACCCAGAACTGCAACTATCATAAGTAAAGTAACCAATTTAGAATGTTGGTTTGTGGATAAAAGTGTCTTTTTGCAAATTATTCAAGGACCTATGTTAACACATTTGGAAGAGCGAATCAAAATGCAAGATACCAAAGTAGAGATGGAAGAATTAGAAACAGAAAGAATTATAGGAAGAGGAACATTTGGAACTGTTAAATTAGTACATCATAAACCAACGAAAATTAGATATGCATTAAAATGTGTTAGTAAAAAAAGTATAATAAGTTTAAATCAACAAAATAATATAAAATTGGAAAGAGAAATAACTGCAGAAAATGACCATCCATTTATTATACGACTAGTTAGGACATTTAAAGACAATAAATATTTTTATTTCTTAACAGAATTAGTAACAGGTGGAGAATTATATGATGCTATTAGAAAATTAGGTTTATTATCAAAACCTCAGGCACAGTTTTATTTGGGTTCTATAATCTTAGCTATTGAATATTTACATGAAAGAAATATTGTATATAGAGATTTGAAGCCAGAAAATATTTTGTTAGATAAACAAGGTTATGTAAAACTTATAGATTTCGGTTGTGCTAAGAAAGTTCAAGGTAGAGCATATACATTAGTAGGTACACCTCATTATATGGCACCTGAAGTTATATTAGGGAAAGGATATAGTTGTACTGTCGACATCTGGGCATTAGGAGTTTGTTTATATGAATTCCTTTGTGGCCCACTTCCATTTGGAAATGATCAAGAAGATCAGTTAGAAATATTTAGAGATATATTAACAGGTCAGCTAACTTTTCCAGATTATGTAACAGATACAGATAGCATAAATTTGATGAAACGATTATTATGCAGATTGCCTCAGGGACGAATTGGCTGCTCGATAAATGGGTTCAAAGATATCAAGGAACACACTTTTTTCTCCAATTTTAATTGGGATAAGCTAGCTGGACGTTTACTCGATCCACCTTTAGTATCCAAGGGAGAAACATATGCCGAGGACATCGATATTAAGCAGATTGAGGAGGAGGAGGAGGATGATGCACTAGATGCAAATGATCCTATAAACGACGATGCCAATTGGGACATTGATTTCTGATTCATTCCCCTCACCCCATGAAATTTTTTTGCATTTTGTACGTAAGAAGCCAATTTGAACAATTTCAATCTAATGATACACACCAAAGAGAATATATATACATCCTAGGTTTGTAAGGAATTGATATGAATAACCATGAGATATATTATACCCACCCACCCCATGAGTGGTTATGCCCATCCTGTATAGTTACACAATTTTTTAACACGCATGCATTTTACCTTTATTGTTTTTTTTTTTCATATCCCAAGATTTTATTATATGTCACATGTTTTTGTGAATTGTCTACCTGTGGGATACGATTCATGCAGTATTCATCTAACATCGTTCTTCATGAAACGTCGCGCACCTGGTATCTTTCAGTAGTTTTCATAACAATGTTGATAAATCAAGGGGAAAAAAAAAAAAAAAAATATATCTCGAAATTTATTTTTATGACAAAAAAAAAAAAAAAAAAAAAAAAAAAATCCTCTTTTTTTTTTTTTTTCTTCTTCCTTTCTTTTTAACGTATATACCCTCCGTGTGTATGTATATGCATTCGTACATAAAAATGATGCCTATTATTATGCTTACATTTTTGCCATATTTTTGCGAATTTTTTTTGTGAAAACTGGGATACATGTTTCATCACAACTAGTGTGATAGCCGATTCGACCATGTGGCGTTGAGGCAGTAAGAGAAAGGAGATGAGAGAAAAAAAAGGAAAAGTAAACGGGAGTGATAAGTAAAAAGGGGGAGTGAAATGAATAGCTGACAATTGGATATGCGCTGAAAATTCTGCCAGCTGTGTGGCCTTGCATTCTAGAGCAGGCCCCGGAATGGCTGCGGGTTATTCTGTGCATCGATGGCAAGGGGTTCCTGAGAATTGAAATCAAAGTACGTGATGAAATCTTCTTTGCTATGGGGAACAGTGTCCAAGCAAATGTGTCCAAATAATCCCAAGCGAAACATATCAATGAAATAACGACATCCACCATTTATATCTAAATATTTATAATTTCTGCATAGATTTAACTTGGTGGATATGACATTACTGACAAAGCGGATATCATTTGTTGGTTGTTCTAATCCAATCATTTTAACGTAATTAAAATTTTTATGTTTGTTTAGAGTGAAAAGAATATAATCACCGACATACATATGGTCATATTTGTAATCTAGAGCATTTCCTATAGCACTTAATTTAAGACTAATTTCTTTATCTTCCATTTTTGGTAAATAAATACCTGGGGTGTCGATAAAATAAAGTAAGGGGGTATTGGAAACTTTGTAAGTATCAATGATCTTAGTTGTCCCTGCAATTACATTTGTTTTAGCCTTTTTTCTATTCACTTCAAATGATATTTTATTATTTTTATGTCCATATTTTCCTAAATTATAAGTTATATCTTTAAAGGAATTTATAATGCTTGACTTTCCAACATTTGGTAATCCTATTAACATAGCAAATATTCCAAGACTTTTAAATTTTGGTTTTATTTCTTTACATATATCTCTAATTTTAGATATATTTTTATTGTATTTTGATGATATCAATATGCACATATGTTTCGTTTTTTCTTCGATAATATTCTTTGCATTTACAGCTACTCCCTTGGAAATTAAGTCAATTTTATTTAAAATTATAATTCGTTTTTTTTCCTTCCTATGTTTTCTTAAACTGTCAATAATAAAATCATTTGTGCTTGTAAATGGTAGTCTAGCATCTCTCACTTCAATAATCAAATCACAAATGTCAATTTTTTTTTTTATATTTAATGATGACTTGTGCATATAATTTGGAAAGCAGGTTATATTTTCATCAAATATAAATTTATCTCTGCACAAGAAATTCATGAATTTCTGATTTTTTTTTTTCTTTCTTTCTTCTTCATCTTCAATGAGACTATTATCCTCAGCCTCATCATCATTGTGGTGTCTTTTTTGATTTATAAATCTGTTGGGATATATGTCACTTTGTTTATTTCTCTCTCCATCCTTTGCAACCTCTAAATTTCTTCTTAAAAATATATCCTTCAAATTTGGCCCAATGTCTTTTTTCCACACACTAATGGAACATGAGCTACTCCTTATATTTCTCTTCTTAATGCTCATTTTTCCTTCTTACTTTGTGAAAATGCATAAGATAAGGCTAACGTGTACATGTGATTCGAATTAGAAATAGAGTAAAAAAAAAAAAAAAAAAAAAAAAAATTTTATCTATGTTTGCTTATTAAAAGGGCGACCACTTCTTATGCCGCTGTTTTTTTTTTTTTTTTTTTTTTTTTTTTTCTTCTTCTTTTTTTGAACCGATCTGATCTCAATATTGTGTCCCATATTTTATGGGATTCCCTTTTCTACATAATTCTTTTCTGTACTGGTAGTGTATTGAGGAGAAAAAAAAGTAAAATAAAATGAAATAAAATAAAAAACTCTTATTATTGTTTCTAGCCTGTTTACCACATCGGCATTCCCCGTTTTATGTTTTCATTTTTTTTTTTTTTTTTTTTTACTAAAAGTTGATAAGAAAATTTTTTCATACAATGGGAGATAATCCCTTTCTTAAAAGCGTATTCAGGAAAAAAAAAAATAATAAAATCAAATAAAAATGAAATGAAACAACTACCAACGAGAAAAAAACGATTGCGAACAAGAATAATCTACACAAGTGACGCAGGGCGCAATTTTTAACTCAAAAAAGGCTTTAAAAATGGGCTTTAAAAATGGGCTTTAAAAATGGGTTTTAAAAATGGGCTTTAAAAATGGGTTTTAAAAATGGGTTTTAAAAATAGGTTTTAAAAATAGGTTTTAAAAATAGGTTTTAAAAATAGGTTTTTTATTGATTTTTTATTATTTTATTATTATATTATTTTTTTTTTTTAACGGATAATTTGACCTACAAAATGTTATACCGCAGAAAGGGAGGCATAGGGTCAAATGTGCACCATTTGCGCAATTCAGGATATTTTCACATTAAGTTCTCGTTCGTAACAATGTTTTCTTGAGATGTCAAAAGCGAAGGTCTCAACTCTAGTGTGTATACATGCAAATATGCACATGCAAATATGCACTTGAAAATATGCACTTGAAAATATGCACTTGAAAATATATACCTGCAGTTTTTTATCCCACGCCTTCTATCCTCCCCTCCAGTTCTGCAAAGCCTTCTCACTTCTGATAGTCTTTGAAATATTCTCATTTCAGCAATTGGGACTCTGCGACCTTTCTATATTTTAAGCACGTTGCACAATGTATGGGGCCCCTCTATCACCCAGTAAACATCACACACATGCATGCATATATATATATATATATATATACGTAATGCCTAAAACGCGCCTAGACATATTTTCTGAACAAATTTATATGTACATATACATATACGTATACGCACATATATGTTCACATATGAGCTACGTTTTTTTTTTTTTTCTTTCCCCATCCCTTCTTTTTCATTGCACGGTTGCGAAATAACATTCCTGTTATTTTTTCATCCGTTTTTTTTTTTTTTTTTCCTCCCTCATTTGTTGGTAAATACATGAACACACAAAACTTACATACTGCATCAAGTGAAAAACCTTGCGTAAGTCGTTTGGATTATTCTCGAATTCCTTGTACTTATATAATGAAGCCGTATCACAAAGAATTTCTTCTCCCCATACATTATTTACCATACCTGAGTTGTTCATACAATCAACTGGGGAATGTGTATCATTCAGGTTTTTATCCTTTAATGAATTGTGATGATTTCCTCTACAGCGACACACGCGTTGTACCAAATCAAAGTACTTGTCCAATTGGTTTACTATTTTATACCCATAAAGCAAAACGAGCTCGAACTGTTTGAAACGATTGGCAAATTGTTTCTCGTCAGGTTCTTCTCCTAAGATCCCCCGCATGCTAATACTGATAAAGTGTAGATGAGAGAAAGTGTGCATAATAAGATCAAGAATTTCCAACTCTTTCGCATACTCGTGCTGTGAATGAGTCCTGTAGAAGGAATAGAGAAGCAAATCTAACAAAAATTTTTGACAAATATTTAACAAGATGGTATACTTACTCATGTCCAATAAATCTGTATCATTCTTTATATAGTATCTTTCTTTGATATATCTGAAGAGATTCTTTACTTTTTTTTCATACTTGGACATTCCATCATTATCTGTGTATGTTTTTCCATTGTTATGTACGTGGTTAAGTGGTTTTCCATGGTTCATATACATTTGATTATAATTAAGTATAAAATAGCGATATAACAAATGATAAATTTTTAAAAAATTTATTGTTAAATAATTTTCTTCCACTAAATGCACAAAACAGTCTTTTAAAAAATTAATTTGATTTTCACACACAATTGGGCATGTATTATACACTAATGTTATTATATTATTCATTTTTAAATAATATATTTTTTCTTTCAAAACGAGAATAATTTTTTCATTTAAATTTTTTATCAAGTATAGGTTTTGTTTATCTGTATCATTCTCCTCCTCGTGGTTACATCTCATTTCACAAAATTCTTCAAAAAATTCCACGTCATTAATGTTTGCTTCGTTTCCATTTCGAGTTTTACATATCGATGGTTCTATTTTTATGCATACCTTTTTTGTCTGCATTCGTTTCTCCAGGCTCGTACCATATGTGATCATCCAACTTGAACCTCCAAACCTTGTTGCCCAATCTGAACCATCAAATAGGCATGTCTCATCGCTATTAAGATGATCCATTTTTGTGTCTCCCCACTTTGCCCTTTTAAACTCCTTTTTGAATAGTCTATTTATGTATACATAAAAATAGCACACATGTTTTAGGTTCATATGTGAAAAATTCGTTTTGTGTAAAATGTGCAAAAGGGAAGAAAGAGAAAAATTTTCTCCCTCTTGCTTCCCCTTTTTGATAAAACTGTTTAGCATTTCGTATATTTCTGATTGTTCATAGGATTCGATATTTTCTATAATTCTATTGAATAGAAATTCATGCAAATCCTTGTCACTTAACTTTACGAGACACTTAACAAATGAGGAACTTACCTTCCTGTACTTGGATAATTCTGCGTTCAATATCTTTTTTAGAATTGTTCTGTCCAAATGGGTCAGGTATTTTTTATGCTTAAATAGGACTTGGCACAGTTCTCCCATGGAGCAAATTTGACAAATTTCCTCAATTTCGTCAATTTGGTTAATTTTTTCAATTTTTTCATCAATTTGATCAATCTGAGATATTCCAAATGGGTTTTTATTTGCGTTGATCAATTTTTTCTTCACGTCCCCATGTGTTGAATGCTCATCTAAGTCTCTTAATTTGCATATCCGTTTAACATTCCTGGTTTCCTTATACAGTGTCTCTTCCTCCTCTTTTGGGTACTCAACATGATGTCTTTTCCCTTTTTCTTCTTCTTTTTCCGCTCCTTTTTCCGCTCCTTTTTCCGCTCCTTTTTCTGCTCCTTTTTCTCTTTCATTTCCCAAAGCTGAGCGGAGGTCATAATTTCTACTTTTTAAATATATGCCCATTCTCCTCTTCAGTGAATTGTAAAAATAAGTGTGCAAATAATTCAAAATTCGTTGAAATTTCTTCGATAAAGAATGGAAATTATTCATGCAACTGAGAAGGTAGAATTTATTAATCGGACTCAGTGACTTATACTTATTGTCCATAATACTGCATAACTGAATGATGAGTTCCTTATCTACCATATTCACTTTGGATAGAAGATAAGCACAAGATAGATATATATCAATTTTGCTTCTACTCTGATAACTTGTATTATGTGAAATCATCGTTTCTTTTCTGCATGCCCTTTTCAGAAGAACATAAACTGCGATAGTCATGTTGAATTTCCTCTTTACATGTATCGTTGTATTGTACCCAACTAGGAGCTTAAAGATAATTATTGCATGCTTCATCCATAGATATTCTAAATCGTTTAAATTGATAATAGTATTCATTTTGTAATGTTGCTTATCTTCTGTGTGACACGTATTTGATTTTTCTTTATGGTTTATATTCTCTTCATACTGGTTTAGTAACTGTACCTGGACATTTGATAAGACTTCATTTTCATTCTCTGTACAATAATTTGTATCTCTCTTTTTTGTATATTTTTTACATTGCTCATTTTGATCCTTCATTTTTCCACATTTGGTTATTTCTCTTCTTGTTTCCATTTCTTCTTGCTTCAGTAGTGGGTGGTGCCATATCTGTTTATTACTTCTGTGAAATGCCTTAACATGTTTTTTTAACAAATCTACAGACATTTTGTCGTAATACTTCCACTCTGACGTGCTCTTAGTATTCAAATCGTATGTAGTACCTCTTCTTGGAACTCCTTTGTTATTCATCAATTTGTCAACATCGTTATGGATGTGAATATGGTTAACACAATCTGACTCATCCGTCTTATGAGATAATCTTTTATTTTTTTCATACACTATAAGGTTTAAAATGTTGTTTATGTTATCATGTATTTCTTTTTCAAGAATGATGATATGAGGCCACTTTTTGACATTTGCTTGTTCTCTGACAATTCTTCTGATTTCCATTATCCTTTCATTGTGTACTTAAGGTTTCATGCAAAAAAAAAAAAAAAAAAAAAAAAAGTGACATATAATTGTTTTTATAACTACTCAGATAAAGGGTATATGTTTTGTTTTTTCATTTGATTTTCCCTTTCATAGTGTTATACATCCAGTATAGTATCGAGAGGCTGGGAGACATCTGTGTAAAAATGAGCATCTCGCTGTGTTGATATGAATTATCACATCATGACTGTTTTGTTCTTATTTGTTTTATTTTATTTTACTATTATTATTACTGCTTTGTTGTTTTATTGCTTTATAACTTTTATATTTTTTTTTTTTTTTTTTTCTGGCACTAATATTTCGAAAGCAGATCAACCTTCGCAGCGACAATCGCAGGTGGGGGAGTAATTTTTTTATACCAGAATTTTGCCCATTCTTAAGAATTTGAAGAAAAAAAAAATAAAATAATAACATCATAGAGGGGAAAAAGTTGCTAATCTACATACACATAAGTTACTACAGTACTTGTCGGTTAAATTGTGTACAATTTTTTTGACGCATTTCATAAAATTGGCAATTCTGTGAAAACCCTTTTTCCCCTTTTCTAATAGTATAAAAATTACACATACAAAGAGTTTTTCTTTTTTTTTTGTGGTTTATTTTACTAAATTTTTTCGAGTCTAGCTTTTTTCCTTCGGCACACAAAAGTGTACCTGGATGAACCCGTGAAAAATACGCTCCTATAATATTCATTGCAAAGATGTGTTTTGTACACTGTCCTTAATTTTGTTGTCAAATTAGTTTGTCTCATTTTATATAATCCCGTTACATGAAACAACAAAAATGAAAAGGAGTTTTTTCAGTTTATGCGGTTTACTCAGATTAAACTCGCGTTTGCACAGTTTCAGCTGGGTAAATATTTCATATTTTAATTTTTAAAATATCAAATTCAAATTTAATTAAAAAAGTTTAAAAAAAAAAAAAAAAAAAAAGCACGGATATTTTATATAAATTGCTCTTCTTTTTTTCTTCTACATATTCTTATTCTTACTCTTATTTTATTTTATAATAATCAAATGGACACATAAATCAAATGTGTGTACATGCACGTGTACCAACTTGTATACACAATTATATGTATACGTACTAAACTGAAATAATGATGAAAAAAGGAGGAAAAAAAAAAGGAGGAAAAAAAAAAGGAGGAAAAAAAAAAGGGGGAAAAAAAAGGAGGAAAAAAAAAAGGGGGAAAAAAAAGGTTGAAAAAAAAGGTGGAAAAAAAAAAAAAATAATAGTAAAATTATAATCACATACTAAAATAAAAAGAAATATATGTACCAAAGGCAATAAGAATAAAATCCTAAACAACACTGCATCCTACCACTATATATCACTAATGGCAAAAATGAAAATTCATATATCAACAGAAGGAATAAAATAAAATCTCCTTATAAAATTAATTCTATAAAGAAAATTTATATCATGCGAAATATTTAATTTGGGAATTGCGAATGACAAAAAGGCTGGATTTGTGTGTGTGGGGTGGTGGTGGTATGGGTGTGTCGTATGAGAATTCCCGAATGGACGAAATAAATGGGAATCCAAATGAAAAGATAAATAGGGAATAAAAATAAAAAATAAAATAAATAATAATAAAATAAAAATAAGTAAATATGATTAGAATGAAAGCGTGACGAATAAATAAATTGGGTGCTTTCATATCAAACGTAAAAATTCACAATAACGTTTTTTTGGTTTGAATTTTGTTCTTGTTTTCGGGTGTCTTTGTATGCAACTTACGATGGTGAAAAAGCTGCTTTCCATTTTTTTTGCTGGACCAAAAGTGCCCCCCCCTCCCCTCACGATCTCTGTTAAAAAAAAAAAAAAAAATCGAAAAGGTCTTCCATTTTTTTTTTCTTTTTTTTTTTTCTGTAAACTTGGTTAATCAATCAAATGGTTTGGCAATGCTATATATATATTTACATTTATTATGTAGTCAATCATTTCATAATATAAGTGTAGATGGTGGGGGGGAAATTTTTGCCTCTTTTCTTCTTTCCTAATAAAAAAAAAAAAAAAAAAAAAGCTCGGTTGATAATGGTACTTCAACACCTCATACAAATAGCTCCTTTTTCTCTCATATATCATCCTCTTCGTCATCCTCATCTTCATTCAAGGTTTCTTCATTTGATTCTTCATCTTCTTTTTCATTCGATCCTATAATGTTTTTTCCATCGAAGGATACATATCCTGGAGTATTACTATTAAAAGCAGAGGAATTAACTCCTCCATTAGCAATATTTTCACCAAAAGTGTTATCTTGAGCTGAAAAAGAACCAATATCACTAGTATTAATTAAATCATCCCCATTGTTGTTGAACTGTTTTACCATATTATCAAGCTGTTCCTTAGAGAATGTTTTTATAAATCCATTGTTGCTGTTAAGGAAACCATTTTGTTTCAAGAATTGTGAGTGGTCTATATCGGTACTGTTATTACTTTGCATTTCTTGTTTTTTTTTTAATTTTAATTCTTTTGCTCTTCTTTTTTTCAAAATTTTGAATGCTTCTCTTCTTCTATATTCACTTAATTTTTTCATATATTTATCATAAAATTTGGATTTGTAAGTTCCACCTTGGGCTGTGTTAGCATCCTTGTCTTTAGAGTTACCATTATTGCCACTTTCATTATTCGAATCCGAAACGCCATTACTTCGTTTTAAGAAATCGATTAGTTCTTTCTTTTTGTCATATATAGATGTAAATACATAATTATTACCAATTAATTGTGGAGCATCATGATAATAATTGGATGGAATACCTTCATATGAATTTTTAATTTGTTTATAAGCATCATACATATTATCATCTTCTTGATCTTCTTCTTTTTTCTCTGCTTTTTTTTGTTTCAAATAATCAATTGCTTTGGAATCATAACTCATATGATAGGATCCATTTTTTCTTAAAAATGCATTTAGCTGTTCATTCGATACACCAGATGTTTCATTCAATGATAAATCTTTTTCATCGCTTGAGTATGGAGATAATTCATAAAATACATCATCAGGTTTGGCCAATTTTTTCAATTCTTCTTCTGTCAAATCTTCATATGTTAAAATACCTTCACTGATTAATTTCTTAATATCCTTAACACTAAATTCGTTCATATTTAATTCAGTTTCTTTTCCTTTACTATTCTTCTCATTTTCAAAATCAGCATCGTCCTCATCTTCATCATCTGCACCACTACTACTTTTATGGTTTAGGGATACATATTTTTTTATAACTTCTTCCATTATTTTTTTATTAGGAGTGTTGCTAAAATCTTTTACTAATTGTTTTAAAGCATCAATTTTGAATGGTATTTGACCTGGTTTCTTTTTTTTTAATCCTTTTTTTTTCTTTCCTCCTTTAGATTTTTTTGTTATATTATTCTCATTTTTTACACCTTGTGCATTTCCTATATTTGTCTGATCATGATTAGAACTAGAATTTTGTTTTAAATTGTTCATATCTAGGAATGCATTGTTATTGTCATCAATTTTTAGGTTATTTCCTGCCATTTTATTGGCACCTTCTTTACTTCCAGATGAAGATGCGATTAATTCTTCTTCAGCTTGATCTACTACGTCATTGTTGATTCTTGCATTTTTCACATCTTTATTATGTCCATTTTGATTTGTAGAAGTTGTGTTCATGTTACCACTTCTCGATTCATCAACATCATCCTTTGCAGAATCTCCATCTGATAGATTTCTATTTATGCTATTTGTAGTCGTCTCCAATGTGTTATCACTATTTCCTACAACATCGTTCATGCCATCATCAATACCGTCTTCATCATTATTCATACTTAAAAGTTGAAAGGTTACATGATCTTGTTCTTCTTCATCATTTAGTGAATTAAATTTATCTGCAAATTTCATGTTGTTATTTTTTGAGTTCATAACAAAGGCCTTATTCTTAGAATCGCTCATATCATCATTATTATGTCCATGAGGAGATAAAGGATTATTATTACTTCCGTTCATATTGTGGCCTATGCCAAAGTCATTCATATTCATTTTTCCTTGATTTAATTTGTTAAACATATCCATCATTTGGCTTGGATCCATATTGAACATGTTTCCGTTATTTCCACCCATCATGTTATTTAACATAGATGGGTTCATTGACATATTGGATAAAACATCTTTAAATAAATCTTTGTTTTGTAAAAAATTTTCTTTCTGCATATTCTCCTTTAACTGTTCAACGTCAACACCTACATTTTTTAACACATTTTCTAACTTGTCCTTCATATCGTTTATTTTGTTAAGTTGATCTGGGGTTATTGGTATGTTCTGTTCTCCTCCTCCTCCTCCTCCTCTTCCTCCTCCCCTTTGATTTTTCTGGTTTGCTTCCTTGGTTTCATTATCATTGCCACTAGAGGTGGCACCCTGCATATTATTCATACTGTTTAATATATCTTTAAACATATTTCCAGATGCACCTTGTTGGTCTCCATTTGGATTACTTCCCATGAGAGAATTAAAAAAGTTTTGAAATAAATCGCTGTTCATAATATTTTCTATATTTAAACCTTCACCATTTCCTTTAAACATATTATTCAGAGGATTATTCATCATATTTTCGATTTTTTCATTCGATCCAGGATTGTTTTGCATTCCTCCTCCTACTGCACCTGCAGGTCTCTGTGTTCCTCCAACTTTGTCTTTCTGTGAATTACCATTTTGTATATTTCCACCATTTATTATGTGTTGCGCATTTCCCTTTTTCCCTGTATTATTGTTAGCTCCATTTACATTATCATTTTTTCCAGATTTGTGACATGTGGGTTTCACATTCAAATTTCGGTTTCCATTTGATGCTGCAGAAACATGGTAATAATTAACAGAAGAAGACAAAAGACATAAGGATGCTATTACTACCAGTTTCATCTTTTTCCTATAATACTTAAAAATATTGTTACAAAAATACTGTCACGAGTTGTGTGCACAAAAAATTTAAAAGCTTCGTGGAAAGGAGAGGGAGGGGGTCTATGATGTTCTTGTTACACAGTCTTGTAACTTTGTATATTTGTAGATTCTTAAAATGAAAGCGTCCTGTTGGTGTACTTATAGAATCTCGGCTAGAGGTATATATATATATACACCTATATACATATAAAGCATATAACACTTACAAATTGCTCATGCACATACATATAGGTATATGCAAATGGCTTAAGTTCAGAAAAAGAAAAAAAAAATAAATAAATAAAACGACAACAAAAGAGTAATACTTGTGGTTGTGGCAGTACTCAATGTTGTAGCATTACTCAGTGTTGTAGCATTACTCAGTGTTGTAGCATTACTCAGTGTTCTTGGGCTTACACTATATTTCTGCGTAAAAAATGACAAGTCAAAATTCAAGAGCACCATGAAGCCACCTTTTCGGTTGTGTGTTTTTCTTTAAAGCAAAAATATAAATTAAAAACTCGCTTTCATTTCATAAAAATTAACATAGAACATTTGTAAATAAATAAATAAAAAAAAATAAATGAAATAAATAAAGCAAAATATACAGGGGCTAAGCACTGCTATAAAATAAAAAAAAATATATATATATATATAAATAAAATCTAAAAAATAAATTAAAAAAAAAAAAAAAAAAAAAAAAAAAAAAAAAAAAAAAAAAAAAAAAAAAAAAAAAAAAAAAAAAAAAAAAAAAAAAAAAAAAAAAAAAAAAAAAAAAAAAAAAAAAAAAAAAAAAAAAAAAAGGAAAATAAACAGGGGGGCTAAGCACTGCTATAAAAAAAAAAAAAAAAAAAAAAAAAAAAAAAAACTCTCTACTGTAATAAAAATAGTAGGAGTGTTGATAAATCCTTAAAAGAAATAACAAAACTTAATAATAGGGACGAATGGATTTTCATCATCAAATTAGCGATTCCTGTATATAAAATAAATGTATCATATATAAATGTGAGGTATAATGTATATATATTTATATATAAATATACATACCAACAAGGGTCTTTTTTCATTCCTTATGGTAAATAAAATATTATACTTATGAAATGAAAACGTGTATATTTATATAAAATATACATACGTAATTTTGCCTTCTTGTGCAAATAGATATGTATAAAAAATTACATAATTGCGAATTTATACCAATATTTATTTATGCATAAACGTAAAAATGTATATATATATATATGTATATTTTATGTATATGTAGGGTTAATTTATATAAAACGAAAAAATGAGGAAGTCAAAAAGCAGTTTTAAAAAATGACGTGACGAAAAAATGAAGCGATGAAAAAATTAAGTTATAAAAAAGTTATGCAATGAAGAAATTATATAATGAAAAAAGTGAAGTGGTGAAGAAAAAATGTAGAGTTATAAAAATGAAGTGTCGTAAAAATGAAGAAGTGAAAAGAAATTAAAGCAAAAAATGAATGAGCAAAAAAAAAAAAAAAAAATTAAAAAATAATAAATAATAAATAAAATAATATAATATATAAATCATAAAATGGAATAAGTTAAAATGAAACAAATGAAACAAAACAATTAAGTAATTAAAAACCCAAGTGGGGGGGGGTAGGTAGGGCTTGAAGCGAACATGCAGAGCCACAACTCATGGTTTCATATGTATAAAAAAATAAATAAATAAAAAGAGCAGCGTTGTATAATTTTTATTTATAATGAAATTAAATAACGTCGCGCCGTATATAGAAGAGGGTGAGTTGAAAATGAAATAGAGAAGTAAACACATGCACAACAAACTCTCTTTTCTTTTGTGAGGGCACAAAGTATAAAAGTTCAATAAATAAAGTCGTCTCTCCATAAATTTCATCTCTTCTAATATGGTGAGATTTATGATGAAATTACGTTTGCTCTTTGCACTATAATAAGCAATTAAATAAATCAAAAACAAATAAATTTTGAAAAAAAAAAAAAAAAAAAAAAAGGAAAAAGTGGGGGAGGGGAATGTGCAGCGATATATTTATAATGTAGGTGCCAATACATAATAATATTTATATGCATCATTAAAGAAGTGCTAACAGAAAAAAAAAAAAAAAAAAAAAAAAAAAAAACTATTGTATACATAATTTAACATCATAATTTCAGTGAGTGTAGCGCTTATTTTTTATATGGGCTTAAAAAAAAAAAAAAAAAAAAAAAATTTGCTATTGGTAATATATATAAACATATATATATGTATGTATTATATACCTTTTAAGCATGTTTGATTGCGTGAACGTAAATACATGCTTAAGTGACCACCACAAAAATGAACACTGTATATGTGCAACATAATATACAGTTGATAGCAATGTGCAATATCCATATGTATATATGTTGAGTTTAGTTTATACGAGCGTGTAAATGTAATAATCTGATACCCCTAAATTTGATTGTACCTTATTAACATTATACCAACTACTGCATGTGGGTCCAACTATTGGGGTAACGCTAATTTAAATTAAATCTGTGCATGCGTATAATTTAAAAGGGCAAAGCACATAGTTGTAATATAATACCATTTGTCTTAGTATTTATAATAATATATATACATGCATATAATATAAATATATATGCACACACTAATGTTTGTTTTTTCACTCTTCATTTTTTGGTTTCTATATTTAAAAGGGAAAAAATTAAAGGCTAAGTAATTATACATAAAAACTGAAAAAATGAAATAAAAAAAATGATAGATTCGGGGAAAAAAGGATAAGAAAACATAGAGATGGATACATATATATATATATATATATATATATATATATATATGTGTAGAGAGAGAGAATGAGAGAAAGGACCATATATAATGTTACAAAAGTCACGTTTTATAAGCGCTAATGTGGGGGTAGCAGATACAGTTTTTTATCACATAAAATAAAACCTCGAGGTGTTTAATCAGGGTACGGAATAGGTGGCGTATACATATATATATATATATATATAACATGAAAACAAATTGATATTTATGCATGTGTTTAGTGGTTCTAATTCACAAAGAATTAATTCTTCGTTAGCGTGACCAAAGCAAATCAATTCTTGTGAAATTTAATTTTACACATTAACTTCTCAAATAATTATGTATGAAGGGTAATATGTACGCGGAGAGATATTTATTAAAATGCTGGATATGAAACTTTTTTTTTTTTTTTTTTTTTTTCTGTGCGCAGAATAATTACACGGAGATGGGGCTATATTTTTAAAATGTCATAATTAATATTTTCTTTTTCATACCACTCTCTTGAGTTGTTCTGTTCTTATTCTTCAAAGTGGTTCCAGTAAGTGCAAACATGGAATATGCATTATCCTTATGTCTACCTAAGTATAATACAAGTGCATAAATATGTAGATATATGAACAAGACTGGGTGTGTTTTATGCATGTACATATACACGATATTATACATGCGCAATACTAATCAAATGAAGATTTAACATGAGTTCATATGATATATTTGTAAATGTACACCCCTTAAAAATGCTTATTAGTTAACAATTTAGTTGAAAGTTAATAAAAACAGCATGTAAAAATGGATGGTTAAAACATTTGTAAAAAAAAAAAAAAATAAATAAATAAAAAATAACCATAATAATATTAACTTGTAGGAAGTTATATTTTATTTTTGCTACTCTTATACATTCTTCTTTTAACGTGATTAAAAAATAAAACAAAACAAAAAAAAAAAAAAAAAAAAAAAAAGTAATAATAAAATAGAAAACAATCAATATCTCATTATCCAGAAGTTATAGGAATAACAAAAGTATATACAATGTATTAAGCCAGCTTCGCAAAAGTCATTAAATCAAACAGATGTGTAAGCATAAATATAAGCAAAAAAAAAAAAAAAAAAATATATATAAAACGAAAATAAAAGTATGTAAGACTTTATAAAAAAAAAAATTTTTTTTTTTTTTTTGATACATAACAATTGTGGGATGTGAGAAAGGCCATTTTGTCAACACTTTTTTTTTTTTTTTTTTTTGTTTTTCCCTTTTTTTCGCGTCCACTTGTGTGCTATATTTAAAACTCCATCTTGTCAACACTTTACTAGTGAAAATAAAAACGCACATTTATACGCACTGCTAAAAGTAGACATTGTACCCTAAACTAAAGGCGTTACGAAAAGAGGAATCCTTTCCATCTGTCGAAGATTTCTAATTAATTAATTATGCAAATGGACATGATCATATTTGACGTTCGCATATGTGAAATGTATACATATACACATGTATATATGCTTATAAATATGTATATACCAACATTGGTACAAACGTTTTTGCATTTTTAGCTTGATTTATTCAGAAAAAAAAAAAGAAAAAAAAAGTTGGACATTGCTAGAATTTTTTTTTTTTTTTTTTTTTTTTCTTTTTTTCACACTTATCAAGGGTGTTACGAAATATGCATACATCCCTCAGTTGATTCCATTTAAGGGATGAAATATAAAATGAAGCAGCATATCACCTAATAAGAAAAAAACATTTCCTCCTATTTTGTGTGTACATTCAAAATTTACTTCCATTACTTGGGCGCAATGACATCATTACAACTGTTTAAAATTTTCTAAAAAGTAAGAAAAATGCATATCTAAATGTTTACATTAATTTCCTTGCAAATTCGAAAAAGGGTGATCCATTTTTAAATCACTAAATTTAGGTCCCTTTTCCCCTCTGGGAAGCAACTATAATGGCACATGGCATGATACCTATAGAACGAGATATCAACCTAAGAGATGCTATACCACACATATTATATGCACATGTGCAGATATATATGTGTGTGTGCCTCTACTAACTCTTGTGAAAACGAATATTCTTTTATAAACATTCACTACCACAATTTTCCCCTTGCATGTAACTATTCCATTTGTTCTATGTAGAGGAATTGTTGACTCAAAATTGTCCGAGTGAATTTTCCACCATACAACTAGAATTCGGTATAAGAAAAAAAGGAAAAAAAAAAAAAAAAAAAAAAGAAATGAATAGAACATAGCAGAAAAAAGCAGGGCAAAACAGAAAAGAATAACCACTTCTAGATTACACATTTATTCAGCATTCGCCCTAAAATGATGCAACACTCATGGATGAACCTTTTATGTGTTATTAAAACACCTTTTGCTTCCCCTGACAATTTCCCATGAAGCAAAATAGAATGCAAGGAACAATATTAAAATTTTGACTCACATTATGTAGAAATTTTTTTTTTTATTTTTACGAGTCAAAACTTTCAAGATGTATTGTCAGCTTATTTCGTAAAACAATAATATATTCGTTACATGTATGCATCCATACAGCTGCAGTTTGACATTTCCAATTTTAGTACTTACTATTTTCATTGAATTTTTCTTCTCCTTCTCCCCCTCTCCTAAAATCAGCATATCTACAATATTTGCGCATTTATGAAGCATCTTATTTTTTGTTCCTTTTTTTTTTTTTTTTGTTTTTTTTTTTATGTATATTCATTGCTTCACCTTTTCTACATGTCTGCACCTAGTGCATCATAAAAATTACCAAAAAATATATAATCAGTTTTATATGTAAAACTTAAAGGAATATCATCATACGTTTAAATATGATTTAATAACAACTGTATTGTTGCGCACTTATTCAAAGCTAAAAGTACGCTGAGAAATTAAAAAAAAATATAATAAAAAAAAAAAAAAATATCCATTTGGAAACATAGTATACATATTTAAAAAGTGCGAAATGGTATGCTTCACTTGTTACACATTTATTGCACGAATTTGAAAAATAATAAAATAGTTAAAAGAAGGAAATGCAAACGAAACCAAAAGACGCTGCAAAAAAAGTGATACAAAAAAGTGATACAAAAAAGTGATGCAAAAATGTGATGCAAAAATGTGATGCAAAAATGTGATGCAAAAAAGTAATGCCAAAAAGTAATGCCAAAAAGTGATGCAAAAACGTGATGCAAAAACGTGATGCAATAACGTGATGCAAAAAAGTGATGAGAAACAACGATGCAGAAAAAAAGGATAACAAAAACTACTCAACTTTTTAGTTCAAAAATGTGATAAATAAAAAATAAATACATCTTTTCGAATCATCCTCTTTTTTAAATGACACTTTTTTTTTTTTTTTTTTTTTTTTTAAATGCATAAATTAATGTGGAAGCAAAAAAAAAAAAAAAAGACAACACCATACACAGAATTGTTCTATAATAAATATAACGTGTAGAAATTTTTTTAATCACACAAACAACAACAAATAAAAAAAAAAAAAAAAATTTTTTTTTTTCATGAATTACAAATTTTTAGCTGAAAAATGTAGCACATGAAAGTGGGAAAAATAGCATAAAAAAAAAAATTATAAAAAATATAAAAAAAAATAATAAAAAATAAATAAATGCAGAGTTAACATTCGCCTCCCCCTCCTTTTTTGTGTAATTTCAAACTAATCTGACCATATTAAAGCAGCTCCTTCAGTTATTGAGGAACATTTTCTCCATCAGAGAGAGGCGACAAGAAAAGTTCTTATAAAAAGGGCTCCTCCTTATTTCATGCGTGAGCATGCTCATGTGCATACCGCACAGAAGGAATGAAAAAAAGAAAAAACTCATATATGTATGCACTTCCCCAGATGTATTCTGTGAATCCTAATTGCTCATGAGGCATAAAAAAGAAAGAAAGTAAGAAAGACAAATAATTATTCCACGAAAATAAAACACACACAGGCACAGGTGCAGATACACACGCAGACATATACCCAGGAACACTTAACGCTCCTCCCCTATGTGGTCATATACAATGGAAAGTAATAGCAAAAAAAAAAGCGTCTATTCATACAAGGATAAGAGTCAAAATAGTTTGAGCAGTCGAAAGTCCAAAGAAAGTATTTCAAGTTTTGACGATTATTTAAATGATGAAAATAACAAGACAAGGAAGGCAAATTTTATGAGAAATTACTTTTGGTTTTTTCAGAGTAATAATAATTCGAGAAAAAGTTTGTATGACTCATTTTCTTATGAAACCAAATGTTATAATGGGAATAATACTAGTAGTCATTTAGATATAGAAAATAAAAATGTGAGTGCAGTAGTAGACATGGGTGAAAATAGCAATTTATTTAACTCTAATAAGAGTTCATTCGAATACATAAAAGAAGAAGCAAAAGCTATGTCCTCTAGAAAATCATTTTATTCTATATATGATTATACCGATGAAAATGAAGAGAGTGATTATAACACTTTGAAAGAAAGTGAACAAGGGGATATATTCTTCCATAGGAAAAACTTAGATCCAGTTGTAAAAGACAAATTAAAGAAAAGAAGATCCATTGAAAATTATATGCATATATACGACACTGATAATTCATGCAGTAACGACGCAAGTAATGATGATACAGATGAGGGTAAATCCCCTCATGTAAGACGACATAATACGTGTTCTTCACAAGTTGATAATGTGCATTGTCAACAAGTTCAAAATATACAAATGGAATATTTTGAAAAAAACGTTCAACAAAAGGGATATAATAAAAAAACAGCAACATGGTGTCCCACAGAAAACATAGATAAACTAGTAAAACGCTATAAAATAAACAAAGCACAAGGAAAAATTCACTATGTTGGAATTAAATCCATCCTAAATAAATATATATATATTATAAAGAATGAAAATGTTTTATTTTTTAAAAAAAAATTAAATAAAAAAAAAATTCTTTTAAGTAGTAAAATTAAGAAAAGATACAGCAGGTGTAAAACATTTTACTATACACAAAAACAGCAAAAAAAAAAAATGGAAATAGGGAAAAAAAGTGATAAAATAAATAAATGCCAATTTATCAGATATTTATTCTATTGTATGCTGAAAACAAAATTTAAAAATTATTACAGGAATAAAAAAATGAAAAAACTACTGAGGTATGTAAATAAACAGACCAATAAAAAATCATATCTAAATGAGCACACAAAAGGTGGTGTCCAAAATTGTGAATATAAAAACATCAGGAAAGAGGAAAATGACATAAATGGAAATTGTCTTAATGAATTTTTCCCCAGAGATGATAAGAAGAATAGTGAAGTATTTGAATTTGTCAGAAGTAACCTTAATGATTGTGAAAGGGGAACGGAAGATTCTTCTCTTCTTCTTGCCAACAGTGGTACCAGCGAAGATGCATGCATCCAATTTGAGGGAAGATCAAACGAATCAAACAAAAATATAGTACATCAAAATCTGAAATGTGAAATAAAAAACATGACATATGACAGAGCAGAAGACAATTCGATAGGGTATAATGAAAAATCGAATGAACTAAACATAGAACATAGTAATGAAGAAAAAGACATTGATAGATATAATGCAACACCTAGTAGCTGTAACCTTGGAAATGATATAAAAAATATGCCCTTACACGATTGTTATAGTAATAAAGAGGAAGAAATTTGCATTTGCCAAAGTTGTAGAGAAGTATACATGGATTATGTAATTCATAATGGGGAACCAAATAAATTGAATAATTCTATGTTATCAGAAGACATAAGTACCATAAAGCAAATTGTTCTGTCTAAAAGAGACGAATATGCTACCAAATATCAGCCACAACTTATGAATGCATCTGATTTCATACAATGCCAAAACAGACACAATGATGTCCAAAGAAACTTATGTGACAGTGATTACAAAGAAGAGAAGTTAAAAATGGAATCAAATGAAGAAAGAGAATCACATCTACATATTAAAATGGATTCAGTCGATGAAAATCAATGTTCCAGTAGAGATGTTGTTGGAATCATTTTTAATGAGAGCCCTCGAAGGGGAAGTCTTCTTTTCGATTTAGAAGAAAAGAACAACATGATGGAAGAAGAGGAAAGAAACAATAGAAATTGCATTCAGATGGAAGAGGTTGAAAGGATGAAAGGAAGTAGCGAAAGATGTAGCAGATTAATTGAAGACAGGAAAAGTTCAATGTTGGTAGAGAGTAGCGAAATTTTTGATTCCAACGAATTGCAAGAGGTTGAAAGGATGAAAGGAAGTAGCGAGGGATGTAGCAGATTAAGTGAGGACAGGAAAAGTTCAATGTTGGCAGAGAGTAGCGAAATTTTTGATTCCAACGAATTGCAAGAGGCTGAAATGATGAAACAATGTAACAAAAATTGCGCTTCTAAGGAATTGGAAGATGATGAAAGGATGAAAGGAGGTAACCAAAGTTGTGATTCTATCGAATTGGAAGATGTTGAAAGGATGAAACAATGTAACAAAAATTGCGCTTCTAAGGAATTGGAAGATGATGAAAGGATGAAAGGAAGTAACCAAAGTTGTGATTCTATCGAATTGCAAGAGGCTGAAGGGATGAACGAAAGTAGCGAAAATTTTGATTCTGACGAATTGCAAGAGGCTGAAAGGATGAAACAATGTAACAAAAATTGCGCTTCTAAGGAATTGGAAGATGATGAAAGGATGAAAGGAAGTAACCAAAGTTGTGATTCTAACGAATTGCAAGAGGCTGAAAGGATGAACGAAAGTAGCGAAAATTTTGATTCTGACGAATTGCAAGAGGCTGAAAGGATGAACGAAAGTAGCGAAAATTTTGATTCTGACGAATTGCAAGAGACTGAAAGGATGAACGAAAGTAGCGAAAATTTTGATTCTAACGAATTCGAAGAGGTTAAAATGATGAAAGAAGGTAAAGAACGTTGTAATTTTTCACTTAGAGAGAAAGACAAAAGGGAAGTGCAGAAGAAGAAAAATTATATGTATAACAATAGTAGCAGCAAGAATGGATACAATAAAAACGTAGAACACACCGAGTCCTCCTTTATGGAAGAAGTTCACACAGATGAAAAAGAATATATAAGCGATAACAACAATGGAAATGAGAAAAGTGACATCACTTGTGGAGTAAGTAATTTCGAAAATTACTCTCTAACAAAGAACAAAAGTGACATTGGAGAAAATGGAATAAGTGATACTTCAGTGAACACAGTTGAGTATGGAAAACATAGGGGAATAAAAAATTATAACAGTGTAGAAATAAATGAATTATTGTTAGAGAACATGATTAATAGAGAATTTTTTAGTGACTCACGAAATAAATGGACAAGCGGAAATGAAAATATATCAGATGAAGACTACATAAAAAATGAATCGCAAAATGGTGAAAAAAATATACTTGAAAAAGAAGTAGAAAGTGACACACGTAAAGTTGTTAACTCTGAGGAGGATATTGTAAATAATATGGAAGTGGAAATAAAAAAAAGTATCGAAGAAATATTCAAGAATCTTTTCGACAGTGACATTATAAATGAAGACTCTGAATTCAAAAAGGTGGATGAACCTTTGGACAATGCGTATGACAAACAAGCCGGGACAATAAGGGAAAATATAGGCAGCGGTAATGGGGAATCATATTATTGTAAGGCTGACAGGATAGATGATCAGAATTATTCTGAATCTGATGAGGTAGAAAAAGACGAACCTGATGAGGTAGAAAAAGAAGAACCTGATGAGGTAGAAAAAGAAGAACCTGATGAGGTAGAAAAAGACGAACCTGATGAGGTAGAAAAAGACGAACCTGATGAGGTAGAAAAAGAAAAACCTGATGAGGTAGAAAAAGACGAACCTCGTGAAGTGGAGGACGAATGGGAGGATACAGGCCGGGAAAAGAAAATCAAACTACACAACGGATCCGGAATGGAATCAATTAGCAACTTTTTTCAATCGTTCGAGAGTATAAACAGCAGTTACCTGGAATCGGATATAGAAGAGAGAGAAACGAGGGAGAAAATTCTAAAGTCGCTTCCAAAGAAAAAACAGAAGAAAAAGAGAAAACTAAAACTACGAAAAAAACTACGGAAAAAAAGAACAAAAACGAAAAGGGTGGAGAAGAACGTGAAAAATGGAGAATCAAAATTAAACATGAAGATGAAAAACTCAAAAAAGGAATCAGAAAAAAATATAGACTACAGACACAAGATGATAGCGTCAGAAGAGGAGAACACGTTGTATGCTCATTTACAAAATCGAATTATTAAGGATTTTAAAAAGGGGTATCTAAAGAAAATGAAAAGACTTTTTAACAAAAAGTACAGACAAATGGAAAAGGACATTACAGAGAATATCAAAAGTATTGTGTATGACTTTAACAATCGAGGTGAAATTCTTGAGGAGAACGTTAAGGGTATGGGTAAAATAAAGATGGAAGAAGATAAGTCCATTCATAATGTAAGCACTATTGGTGTATTGATAAAAAGTGATATAAATATTGAGACCAACAAAGACACAGTACTCTCGATTGGAAATACAATAAATAAGCATAAAAATATTTCTCTTGAAACAACAGGAAATGACAGCAACAACATGGAGAAAAATTATGATAAAAACAGAAAAATGGTCAGTTCAATCTCTGATGTATATGCGAATGAACCAAGGGGACAGGGTGAAACGGGTGCATTAAATAGGATAGAAGATATCCACAAGGAAACGAATGTAGACATGCCTGAGCAGTACATATATAGGAATTTATGTAAAAAGCATAAGAAGGAGAAAAAAAATACAAATGAAAAGATCGAGAAGGATAATCAAATGAGTTACAATGAGTGTGTACCAATTAAAAGTAGTATCATATCTTTCCAAAAAGAAAATTGTGACGATAAAGAAGGGTCAGAAAAAGTATATCATGAGAGTAAGGGTAGTGAAGATGTTGTTTCATCCACAGCTAGCCAAATAGATAGGACACAAAAATATTTTTTACAAAAATTAAACTGCGAAAAAATATGTTTATTGACAAAAAAATTAGGGAAGAAGAGTAAATTATTCAACCAAATAAATAATATGACAAAAAAATGCATTGCAGATATATTTATGCATAGAATGAATAGTATTAGGAAAAATCAAAATAAATGGAGTAACAGTATAAACGACAAAATGAGTCAAACCAGATTAAATGATATGAAAGGGGTAAATTTGGCTTCGAACCATAAGCTAATGCTACTTAACGATGATTGTAACAATCATTTAACTGAAGGAGCAAAGAAAAATAAAAAAAAGCACCCAAATGAGTACCCACTCGAGATATATGAAGCAAGACGAGAAGCTCATGAACGTGTGAAATTAGATAAAAATGAATATGTAGGAGAGACACATTTCAGTAATGCACACAACCTAATGTGTAGAAAAATAAGATTGCATGTATGCGACAAAAATTTTAAAAAACACTCATTTCTAGATTACATCAGACAAAGGTTACATAAATCAAAAGGAAATCCAAAGCGTTTTAATATCACTCATTTGATGAAAGGTTATCACCCATATACACAAGTGACAAAGGGTACAAGCGGCACAGTGGTTTATGCGCATCATCCAGCGTGTAGCAGTGTTGGACGTGTTGGAAGTGTTGGACGTGTTGGACGTGTTGGACGTGTTGGAAGTGTTGGAAGTGTTGGAAGTGTTGGAAGTGTTGGACGTGTTGGAAGTGTTGGAAGTGTTGGAAGTGTTGGAAGTGTTGGAAGTGTTGGAAGTGTTGGAAGTGTTGGAAGTGTTGGAAATATTGGAAGTGTTGGAAGTGTTGGAAGTGTTGGAAGTGTTGGACGTGTCGCTAGTGTTGGACGTGTCGCTAGTGTTGGAAGTGCTTCTAACACTGGACGTGCTGCTACTGATGAAGGTGGGAGCATCAGTTGCAGCAGTAGCATTGGGACAATTTATGTTCCCCAATACAAATGTCGACAGGAAGAAAAAGGTATTTATAAAGATCGAATAGAGAGTGAATTAATACAATTGAATTATTTCAATTCTGCAAATGGTGACAATAGGAACATTCCATACTTTGTACAAATTTGCAAAGATGATAATTACCATCGCTATAGAACGAACAAGAACAATGAAATGAGGGTTCAAGCAAATTTGCTGTGCACACTTAAGGATAGATCTAATAAGAACATAATTACCAACCAAGTAGGTAAGCATTACCTGCACCTTAACAGAATGGATCTACGTCAACAGAATCTATATGCGCCTTACTCAGTTGAATCGGTTGGCACTAGTGTCCCGTTGGAGGAATGCAAAAGTGTGAATAAGAAAATGTGTGACAAGGCTAAAGTGTATATAAATAAAAATAATCATATTATCAAGAAATGCAACAAGCGGGATAAATGTAACATGTACAAACAGTGGGATGTAAAAACAGGAGTAAACATTTTGACAGGTATAAAACCTAGGAGGGTAGATACTAAAAAGGATTCTATTAGACACCACATAAAGGAATTAAATCAGGGTGTGTCTTTTGAAGAGACAAAATTTATAGACAGCAGAGCGAATATTCGTTCGGGAAAAATCGAAATGGAACTAAATGTTAAGGAGAAACAGGGATGGTCAAATTGTTTAAACCAGCCTGTTATGAAGCAACAAATGAATAGCAACACAGATGGAATAAACTCTGTTATCTTCATGAATTATAATAATTCTTCTCCCAAGAAAGTAGGCTCCAGAGGAGTTGGTCAAAGTCGACAAGAGACTCAAAGGGCGTATATCCCCATGGAACATGATATGCACAAGAGGAGGTTTTTTCAAAGGAAAGAAAGTGACAAATTAGGAATTTCTTATTCTGGGTCGAGATTAGACAAAGATACTACTCTAAAAGTGAAGAAGAAAAAGAATAATTTATTCACAGTAAATCATAATACAATGAATATTCGAAATCATTATGGTGATTATACAGAAGAGGTAAAATTTTGTTGGAATATAAGTGAAGGTATGTTACGTACAAATACATTGCAGAAGGATAAATCGAGCTCTAAAAATTGTATTTTAAAAAACATGTGTAGTGCTTATGATTACTTTAACAATTATCATAATATAAACACAATTCAAAGGAACGGAATAAAAAGTCCTCACACTTATCATGTGAAGGTGAAAAAAATTAGCTTTGATAGCAAGAATCAAGTTTGTAAATTATGGGGGAATGAAGGAAATCTTAAAAATATACTTTTGTGCAATGCACATGATACAAATTTTAAAAGAATGACACTTAAAAATAAAAACATTGAAAGTTTTCACATATGTTCCATTAATTCTGCACGTATTGATGAATTGGAAAATGTAAATTATCGACATCAAATGGAAAACATTTGCATATTCCGTGACTTTTAATCTTCTCACGGATGTCCTTCTCGTGTTTTGTATTCGCTTTGAATCACGTAGACCTAGGGTGGGGGGAGGGGCGAGCATGCACGTGTGCACCGTTTCATATATGAGCACTTGCCTTAATGCATTGCATGTCCTGCATTTTAAAACGAAATCACAGTAGCAGCTGTAGATGGAGCTACTTGACAGGGTTCCTCTTTTGGTGAAGCTTACCTTGTCGGTTCTGTGCATTATAAAATTCCGCTGAGGGCACGGGATGACTATGTTCATGTTATTCTCCTCATTGCACCGATAAATGCCTATTATGATTGATCCCCTCTTAAGGTACTTCTGCGACGAATGGGAAAAAAAAAAAAAAAAACACACCATGAAATGAAGAAGCATAGACACACGGAAAGATGTAGGGAAAGAGTCAAGGAAAGAGACAAATAGCCTTACAAACGAACGGAATTATATGGAAGCAGTGTGCTGTATCTGGAAGGGCACGAGACGAAGTTGCTTGGTCAATTAAATGGGCGTGCAGAATGATAGTACTTTTTTTTTTTTTTTTTTTTTTTTTGCAAACCTGGAAGAGAAAGAAAAAATTCCTGGAGTGATACTTTGGGTTTATGTTTTTGAGGAGCAAATCTGTCTTTATTGTCTTAGAAGTGTCTGCATATGTACCATTTATGAATGCCTCAATTGTGTTAATGCTGAGAGAGTTGTTTTTAATGGGAAATGTGTATCCAATAAAATGATAAATAAGTTCGTCGATAAAAACACTGGCAGAAGTAAATTGTAAAAAATATAAATAAAAATAATAATTATCAACAAAGATATGTTCGATTTTTTTATAAATATTTTCTACTAGCAAATTTCCATATTTAAAAAAATGTATTTGTTTTTTATAATTTTCGATAAATAATAAGTTATGTGCTTTACTCATGTTCACCATTTTATTTCTTTTTTTTTTCAGAATGTCTACATTTGTGTACATTTCATTATTTAAGTATTGCACAGATAATGTATTATTTAATTCTATTAATAAGTAAATATTTCTCTTTATATTTTTATTCTTATTATTTCTCAAGTTGCTATATATTTTATCCATATTTTCATTTTGTGACAATTCCTCTTTCACATTTTGACAGTTTCCTCCTTCTACATGTTCATTTTCAAAATTTTTTTTTTTTTCTTGTTTTTTTTTTTTAAATAAATAATTATCATATCTATTTTTTTCTGTACTTTCTTCTTGTATGTAATAATCAACTAGAGAATCATTAATGTCTCTTCTTCGAAATATATTTTGTATATTATTAAAAATTATAATCAAATCACTATCATTACGTTCACACATGTAATCAAAATAATTTATATTTTCCGCCTTCTCATTATACGATATAATATTGTGATGCGAATTTAATTTTAAATAATTTTTAAAAATAATACATTTCTTACAACACAAAATTCCTGAAAGGATTAGGTTGAATAAGATTAGCGGTGACTTTTGTATATAGCAAATGTTATACTTAGGCAATTTATTGTTATGTATATACGATGGAATTTGATCGCTCAGTATGATAATATTGTGTTTTTTCCGTTTATGCAAAACTTTCAGAAATGTATTGATAGATTGAGGCCAATAAATTAATAAGATAAAATCCTCTTTTTGCTTTCTTCTTAACGCATTGGTTGCATTGGGATCAGATTCCTTGCACCCATGCTCCTGTCGATGGTTTATCTCTCCGTTTTGTTCACCCCTTGCAGATTTTCTTTCCTCGCGAGAGGCTTCTCCTTTATGTAAATTCAAAGACTCAGAATTCAATGGCTTAGAATTCAATGGCTTAGCATTTAATGACTTAGAATTTAATGACTCATAATTCAATGACTCATAATTCAATGGCTTAGAATTCAATGACTTAGAATTTAATGACTCATAATTCAATGGCTTAGAATTCAATGACTTAGAATTTAATGACTCAGAATTCAATGACTCAGAATTCAATGACTCATAATTCAATGACTCAGGGGGGTTATTTTTCCTCTTCTGTTGATGTAATATTCGATCATTTGAATGGTCATTTCTACTTGAAGTTCCTTTTTCCATGCATGGGTGATAAATACCTCTTTTAATGCGGAAAACTTCCAGAGCCAGTAAATAATTATCAACTCGAAATATATTCAAAACTGGATTGAAATAAATTCCATTTTGATTTTTCAATTTGTTCATTTCTATGTAGTAATCATGTTGGCTGTGAGACGGGGAGATTTCGTACTTGTGAGATTTTTTCTCTTTCGAGGGTTCATTTTTTTTTATTTTAACATAATCTATGTTGTTTAACCAATCAAGTTGCACCTTTTTAGTGTTTTGTATTTTTTGCAAAATGTTGTACTTGTCTGTTAGCAAAATGAATTGAACATCTAAAGAGTTGTAAACAAAATGAACTGGATTCAGTACTATTTCGTCGTACTTATTTATGATACCTATCAAGAAAGCATTATAATTCATGTACATATATTGAACGATAGATATAAAATGAAAATTCAGAAAGCTGCAAGGTAGTTTAATTTTGTAAATGTTGTATCTTATCCCTTTTATGTAGTGCATATAATTGTTGTAAGAATTGAAGCAAATATTTTCGTCAAAATCGTGAGATAGAAAACTTCGAAGCGGTATTTTCTTCTTTTTTCCATTTTGTGTTGCACATTTCATTCTTTTTAGAAAAGAAACGGAGTATCTAGCGCTTTTCCCTTTCTTAAAATGTACAGAATTCAGATCCGGATGATTTTCCTTCAGTCCAGCATTGTCACGTTTGTTTCTCTCCCACCCATCCCTGCTGCACCCATCTCTGTTGCACTCATCTCTACCATGCGCTGAGTTTTCCTCTCTTTCAGATTTCCTTGTTTTGAACTCAATTTTGCAAAAGTTACTCTCGTTATTTTTTCTGCTGGCAGTGCTGCTTTGTGAGGTCATTCTTTCCCCAGCTCGATCCTCTTCACTGTAATGCAAGTTATTTTTAAAGATAAAATTATGCATAGACTTAAAGTTACATTGTTTTTTCTTGTTATGTTTGATTTGCTTATCATTGTTTTGAACTCCTTTTCTGTCACTCTCACGTTGTTTAGTCTTGTGATTTTCCTGCTGAATATCCTCTTCATCTGATGAAGCAAAGAAAGAAATTTCTTGATTCAGTTTCATCTGCAAGTTATTGAAATACTTGCTCAAGATATAAGTATACTTAGACTTCAACTTTTGTGGGGTATTAATAAAAAATAAAAGGATTAGAAAGAACATACCAGGACAATCGTCCAATGTTTTTGCAAAAAGTTTCATCTTCAATTCGTTTAAACAAATTACATTTCTGTTACTTCTTTTGAGTAGAATATTATGGTTACACATGTTGTTGAGAAGCACAGATATATATTTGTTGAATGGTCCGAGAGAAGTAATTTCATTATGTCTTTTTAATGTTTCCATATCATTATTAATATTATGGTGAGTATTCATAACATTGTTGCATATAAAAATTCCTCTACTATATGAAATTATTTTTTTAATTTTCAAGGGAAAGGGCTTATTTAAATCATACAAACAAAGGCTAATTTGACAAGAACCTTTTTTATTTAACAATCGTATGATATTTAAATAAAATTTTACTGGTAGACTTGTTAAAAATATAATTTCATCCAAATTATTATAGGTAGATTGTAATTCGTTAATAATTACATATAAAGATATGGGTTTAATATGACCTATGATAACAAAATATCGTGCACCAATATTGGGTATTTTTCCATATATTTTTTTTTCTTCTACCATATGATTTTTCAAATATCTGATTTTGTAATGTATATATGTGAAAATCATAAAAATGTAAAATGTGTGTGTAATTTTCGCTTGTAATGTGTATGGAAAACATGTCCCTCTTCCCATAGCTGCAGTGGAAACTGTCTGCATTCCAGAAAAGATATAATCATATATTTGATAGTCACCTCTACATGGCTGTTCAATTAAAAAATGGATACATGCATATGTATATATGACAACTAATATCTGAATAGACAATGTAATAACTGGGAAATTTATCTTGTTGTGATTGTTACTTTGACCAAATAAATTTTCAATTCTCAAAAAGTTAAGAAATCGAAATGGACATGTTAAATACAGCCATCCATGTTTTTTAAAAGGACTATTTGTCACATACGATACGAGTATGTATAAAAATGGACTATTCATCAAATTTAATAAAAACCAAAAACTTAATATATGTTTAGCAGAAAAAAAAAGAAAAAATTTTATACACATGTCATAAAGAATAAAATATTGTATATATCCTTCGATAGTTGTAAAAATTGCTGGGATACTTTCAGTGTTCCAATTAAACATCCCTGTATCTGTATCTACATTATTTCGTTGCAAATATTTGTATACACTAAGCCAAGCAATATGTAGCATAAGAGTTATTATCAAATCAGAAATTATAAATGATGTATTCTTACAAAATTTCACAAATACCACTTGTATGTTTACTATTAATTTGAGAAGTAAGTTATGCCACCTTGAAAAATCCGTATCTTTTGGTATATGTTTATTTCTGTCATAAAAACTGTGTAATGTATACATATTTGTGTTGGACCGAAATCCAGAGAAGTAACTAGTTTTCCATTTTTTTATTTCTCTCTGTTTACGCAACATATTATTTAGCTTAAAACATAGGTATTTTTTTCTATCCTTTTCAAATCGGATATTTTCTTCCGTGTATTCTTCATTTTGTATGTTTAAATATTTTGTGTCATAAAGAAAAGATCCTATGTTCTTTTTATTCGCCTTAACATCTATCCCATTATGTGGGTTGTAATATTCTCCAAAATTTTTTCCATTAAATTTTAGCAGCATTTCATCCATTGCTACACCATCCACTGCTGCACCATCGGCTGCTTCAACATCCACATGTGCCTCCTTGGAATTTTCAGAATCGTTCAATTCTATATACTTTATAATTTTGTCTTTCATTTTTAAAGTTTTTCTTTGATCGTTCAGACATATCTTTTCAAATTCTTCGCAGCTATCTATGATATATTTTTTGTGTTTCCCTCTCTTATTTAGAACATAGTCGTTTATATCATTTTTTCGATACCTTTCTTTTTGTTTTCCTCTTTTTCGATGTCTTCTCTTGGTATCCCTATAGAATTCACTCGTCCCCTTGATGTTTGTATGGTATGGCTTGTTCACGTCTCCTACTGAAGAAGTTTCATCACTTAATTGAATCTTATCTGTGAAAAACGCGTAGGCTTCATCCCCTGAACAGTTCTCACTTGTTGTGTAACTATTATCACAATTAACCATTTGATAAGAGTCCTGATTCATGTACAGAAAATTGGTATCTATTAGATGATCGAGTTTGAGATCCCTGTCACTGTTCTTCCTTCTTGTCGATTCATCTTTTTTTAGTGAGTACGAATATATTTTTTGTTTTCTAGTTTTATAAAGCAAGGTATACTTTATGGAATTGCTTATTTCTGGTAGAATGGCCAAAAAATAGGATACAATGTATATTAGAAGGAGCGAGAAAAAACTTTTGTATCCAATAGAGACATCGTATATCTTCATGAAATCAATGAAGAATATTGTTGCACCAACAAGTATAGCAACGAATACTACTCGTTCTAAGAGGATACGAGTTGTTATCATTTTCTTTCTCTTTCTTTTGTTTCAAAATGAAGATGATGATATGTCAGTGGCATAAAGGTCACTATCGTATAAATAAAGGTTGGATCTGCAAATTGTTTAAGTATCAGTCCTCAATATAGACCTGTTTTTTTTTTTTTTTTTTAAATCTCTTGGTGGTGCATAAAATGGTGCACATGTATGTGTGTGTGTCGGAGACAACACACTTGTTACACATTCATGACGAGGAAAAATTTTTTTATTTACCTTATTTTACGATAAGAAAAAATAACTATGTCTTCACAAATTGAGACATGAAAATTAAACAAAATTGGGAAAAAGAACGGCTATCAAAAAAATGATACATTACAAATATTTTTGTCAAAAGTTTTTTTTTTTTTTTTTTCAGTTAACGCTGTGCTAAGCGGTGATCAGGCTTAGAGTCACCTCCTTCTTGTTCTTCTTCATGTTCTGCTTTTTATTCTTCTTCTTGTTCTTCTTCATGTTCTGCTTTTTATTCTTCTTTTTGTTCTTCTTTTTGTTCTTCTTCTTTTTCTGCTTTTTATTCTTCTTTTTGTTCTTCTTTTTGTTCTTCTTTTTGTTCTTCCTTTTTGTTCTTCTTTTTGTTCTTCTTTTTGTTCTTTTTTTTCTTCTTCTTTTTCTTCTTCTTCTTCTTTTTCTTCCCCTTCTCTTTTTTCTTCCCTCTCCCTTAACTGTTATCCGCCCACCCCCTTGTTAAACTTTTTCCGAATCTTTGCGCATTCGAGATATATCTCACTAAGGTTTGTCATGTATGAGTTAATATGTATATTTACACATATATGTTAGTAACGTTCAAAGTAGCCTCATAAAGAGAGGAGAAAAAGGAAAAAAAAAAAAAAAAAAAAAAAAAAAAAAAAGAAGAAACGAACGAACGAAAGAATGGAAATACAAAGTAAATTGATATATCTACCCAAAGTGGTGGAAAAAAATGCACCTAATAAATAAAAATGTAAAATGGGACAATGTGAACATATGTATTATTCTCCAAAAAGAGAAAAAAAAAAAAAAAAAAAAAAACCTGTATGTATACCATGACGCTGTATCAATAACATATTTTTAATTTCAGCCTGTACATTCATTTCTCCCCTTTGAAATTAACTTTTGCTGATTTAAAAAAATGCATGCTTTCAAAAAGCTCTTTTTGTACCATTGTTCAAAGTCATGAGAAAGTATATGTGCATTTGATTCTTGTACTTGTACTTGGACTTTTTTTTTTTTTTTTTTTTTTTTATATCAGGTTAGTCATTCTTTCCTTGTGTAACACATTCAGGTTACAATGATATGTTTCCCTGTTTTCAAGCATGTGTATTTGTATTTGTGTAAGAGTAGTAAATTTCCTTATATGCATATTCACAATTGCAATATATTTGTTTTATTCTTTTCTTTTCTTTTCTTTGCTTCCCTTTGCTTTGCTTTGCTTTTTTTTTGCTATCCCTATTCATTCCAGATATGGAAATTCACAGCCTTGTTTTTCTACATCATACATGACTCGGTTACCGTATGGGTGATATGGCTTACTTGGTTTATTCCGTTTATATCTTATATCAAATTATAATTGTGGATGTGCTAATAATTGGGAGAAATGTAGATAGATATGTTCTATTTTTATAGCGCGAAGTATATACTTTCACTACTTAAATCATTTTTTTTCCGTTTTTAATGTTTTATTTTGTCTTGTTTTGTTTTTTTGTAAAAATTTATAAACACATAAATGAATCAAAAGGGAACGTCAAGTACAAACATAAAATATATGCATAGCATGGTAGTATACGGGTGCGATGAAGGAATGATAAATATATCATGACATTTAAAAAATTTTTTTTTTTTTTTATTCCAAATTAAAAATATACATTTCAGAATAAGGGTTTAATAAACAAATGATGGTATACAAATTTGCGCTCGTACGTGTACATGTATCGGTAAATACATACTAGACATATATGTAACCCTTCCCACACCCATATACATACACATTGGATTTTTCTTTTATCTCTTTTTGACATATCAACAAAATAGATGACCAGTATGATGCATACATATATATTAAAAAAAAAAAAAAAAAATTAATTCGAAAAGATAGATAAGAAAAATGTGGATGAATGGAAAAAAAAACGATGCGTTCATAAATCAAAGATGTGCAATATGTATATACACACTTTCATATATTTGTTCGTATGCACGTGTATATGGATATATACATATGAACCTGTACACATAATGCCAAATATACACACATTCGTTGAGGGATGTACACACAGACGCGCATTAGTTTCACGTAGGGGAAAAAAAAATAACACAGTAATAAGGTACCGAAATAATGAATTGATCAATTAATAAAGTATAGACGCAATGAAATAATAAGGTCATTTCCATAGTTAGTAAAGTAGGGTTCGATTTTCCTTTTTTCTTTTTTCTTATACACTGTTGGAGTTACGTGCTCGGAGAAGTAGCCCTTTCAAGGTATTGTTCACTTTGGATAATCGTGATCGTGCGGATGAATGGACTAATATTCCCCTAATTCGGTATGATTATTCCTTCTTGCCTTTTCTTAGCTCTTCTTAAAGCTTTCAACATTTTGCGTGTTCGAATTAGCTAAGATAATAGTTGAGTAATATCTTGGTAGATTCGTTGAAGTTGTAATCCTGGGTCTGTTTCTTCTTCGATCGAACATCATGGAAATAATTACGAACTTCCTTAGCCAGAACTTTCCCCAATTCGACACCCCACTGATCGAAGCTGTTGACATTTAAAAGATAGCCTTCAGCAACAATTCTACATTCATATAATGAGAGGAGTAAACCGCAGGTGTAAAAATTTAATTCATCAAAAAGCAACAGAGTAGATGGCCTATTTCCTTTGAAAACCTTATGATTTAACAATTCAGGAGATATTTTTTTTTTACTTGTTTCATTTTCTTCTGCCACTTGTTCTAATGTTTTACCTATTGCTAATGCATCTGCTTGTGCAAAAAAGTTAGTCATTAATTCATCATGATTACTAACCTTTTCATTTGAAAGATGAAGTGGGAAATGGGAATGTTTAAATCCTATTAATTCTACAGGTATTATTTGACCTTGATGAATTAATTGATAAAAACTATGTTGTCCATTAGTTCCAGGTTCTCCGAAATATACCTGACATGTATTATAATCAACAAAATTGTTATATCTATCCACTTTTTTTCCATTGCTTTCCATAGCTAGCTGTTGTACATGTGCAGCAAATTTTAATAAATTTTGAAAATATGGTAATACGGCTACATTTTTACAATCGAAAAATTGATTATTATAAAAGCTTGTTAGGGCTGATAGAACTGGTATGTTATCTTCAAATTTTGTTTTTAAAAAATGCTCATCCATATCATGACACCCATTTAGGAACTGTCTCATATTTTTATATCCGAATGCAATGGATAGTGGAAGTATACCCACTGCACTTGTTACAGAAAATCTGCCACCAACCCAATCCCAAAATTCGAACACATTTTCTCTTAATATTCCAAATTCATCTGTTAATTTTAAATTTGTACTTACTGCAACCATGTGCTTACTTAAATCGTTAAAATCTTTAATTTTTAAACTCAGCCATTTTTTGATAGATCTTGCATTTAGCATGGTTTCAGCTGTTGTAAATGTTTTTGAAATAATTACAACTAATGTTTCTGTCTGATCTAAATTATGTATAGCTCTGTTTATATCATTTGGATCTACATTTGCTAAAAATTTTATATTAATTATCTCATCTGAGTTATAATTTATGTCAAAATTATTTGTCTCATCATTCTTGCCAGAACATTCGTCTGCTTTTTCGTTTTGTTTTTTGTTTTTTTTTTCTAACATCATGTTGTAATAATAATATTTCATTGCTTCGTATACAAATTCGGTACCTAAGTAGGATCCCCCTATACCTATACATATTAAATTTTTAAATTTTGTATTTTTACACGTTTTTATATTTCCGTTTCGAATATTGTCAGAATATGCTTCAATCTTTTTTAAAACATTATGTACATTTTCTAATATATTTTTTTCATCCAAAATAATTTTATGTGTATTTATCTTTTCAATTGGTATTCTCAATGCAGTATGTAAAACACTTCGATTTTCTGTTATATTCATTATTTCCCCTTTAAATGTTTTCTCTATTTTTTCCTTCAACTTTATTTCATCCGCATATTCAATTAACTTGTTTAATGTTTTGGAGCTATACCTCTGACGAGACAGGTCAATGTAAAAATTCTTAAATTTTTTTATAAGCAACTCTGATCTATCCTTATCCTTCAAGTAATCCTTTAAGTTTACCTTTTTCTCTTGCTCACTCAAGTGTTCCAGTTCTTTGTAACTCTTCAAGTTTGTCACATCCATTTTAATGTCGAAAAGGCGACTGATGCAAAATGAACGATCGGTCAGATGGAATGGTGGAAAGTTCGTCGTGAGATCAAGACGAAAAGAGGGTAAGATGATAAAGAAAGGATCAAGGCACTGTACGATGAAATATCAAAATGGGCATGGGCGAAATCAAAAATAAAATGTAGATTCCCTCTTTCCACCTTTCTAATTGCTCGTCCTGTGTTCCCGCGCTAAGCTTTTTTAAGGGATGGAATAAATATATGTCGCACGAGATAATACCCACGCGTGCATATATGTATATATATATGTATGCGTGCGTGTGCGGGAATATATATACACTCGGTCGTAATAGTATTGTAACTTGCACGTATTCATGTGTAGATATATGGAACAGTTCTGTTACACATATTGCTTTAATTTATCCCTCGCAAATGATACAAACATGTGTAAAATTAAAAAATATAGAAAAAAATAAAAAATGCGGATATTTCTATACTGTTCAAACACGACAGAAAGAGGATATGCAGGCCAAAAAAACGCATACTCAAGTTTATGTACATGTACACACACATGGATGTATGTGTGTGTGTGTATATATATATATATACACGCACACGTTCGTGTACGTTCGCTAACTTTCAATCAGAAAAAAAAAAAAAAAAATTAATAAATAAATGGGCAAATACATAAATAAATAAATAAAAAAATAAATGAAAAAATAAATAAACAAATAAATACACATGAAAATAAACAAAAATTTCTAATAATGAAACAGCACCAAATGTTCAACGAAGTAAGTGCGTAATTAAAAAAAAAAAAAAAAGAAAAGAATAGCCTTAATGATTAGTTTTTTTTTTTTTTTTTTTTTTTTATCTTTTATACAAATATTATTTTCTGTATTATTTTCTTGTATGTTCTGTAAAGATTTATTCACATGGGCATTCTAAGTGAATTTTAATAACTGCAAACGAATGTATAAATTTTCTTTCTTTTATAGGCATAAGTGTTTACCGATAAAATGTATATGCAAGATATATACGAAAAAATAGTATTATCACTTTTCTTAAATATGTTTTGTTGCTTCACATATGCACAATTTGTTAATGTTTCAAAAATATGCATAAAGTGTTAGATTGGTTATACTTGTGTACATAGATACATATTATATATGCAATTTGTGTTTATGTAATTTCGCAGTTGTTGCAATTCTTTTTTCATAACTAAAACTAGCCAAGTGGTGTTGTTTTATTTTTTTCTAGAATTCTGCTTTTTAGGAAAAAAATAAAATAATTCTAGATATAATAAAGTCATAAATGAAGGGAAAAAAAAAATAAGCTTGCCAAAATTTTCGCCAAATTGTAGATATGTTAGCTACTAATTCAAGGTTGTAATGTGGGAAGAGGGGGAAAAAATATTATTTTTTCCAAAAAAGGATATATCTGTATTTTTATATGCGTCGTTCAAGTGTCAGCTTTGTTTTGCCAAAAATTTTTTTCATATTTTTCGGAACATTGTCATTGCTGTGCATAATTTTGGCAAAAAAAAGTTACCCAAATTTTCATACATATATATAAATGCAAGTTTCAAACAAATGTTTAGCCCCAGTGCTCATATAGGTTTCACGTTCTTTTTTTTTGTTTTCTCTCCCGTTAATTTTTCTTCCTATTTTGAAGGACTCAATTTATGTATTACCACTTTTGCGCATATAACTTTTAATTCTTTGTACATAGGGTTAAAACTGTTTCGCATAATGTTGACACATTTAAAAAAGCAACGTGTAAAAAATGTGCATATCTCTAATGATGTCACATACACGGCGCACAATGGACTTTAATGATTATGTTTCGAATTCATACCACTTTCAGCAGAATTTTTCCAACTTATGTGAAAAAATTCATCAGTTTTTTAGTAGAAAAGGGGAAAATATATGTTTTGTGACTTAGCTATAAGAGGTGAGAAAAAAAAAAAAAAAATGGGAGAAATGAATTACAATTTTACGCCCCTTTTCTTCAAAGCCTAGTTTGAATTCCCCAAAAATTGCTTAAAAAATATATATATATAGTTCCTTGGATGGAAATGTCTTCACAAAATCCATGTAAATTTTTTCACAAATAAAAAGAGCCATAAAACAAAAAAAAAAAAAAAAAAAAAAAAAAAACCACATATTCTTTTCCATAACATTCTTTCAAATGCGAAAAAAATTTGAAGCATGGAGCTCGAGAAATAATATTATAAATTTCAATTTTTGCACGTGTGTAATATTAGCCCTTGTGTCATGTATTTTAGTATAGCACCTAAAAAACGAACAAAACATAACTAATTGTCAAGAAGTATTATATGAACATATATATAAAAATACATTTTTTTATTAGTGAGTGTAGAATCCCCTCTTGTGTACTCGCTTCCGTGATACCAATTTTTACCCCTATTACATTCTTAGCTATTTAATAACAAACTTAAGAGGTATTGTACCCATAGACCAATCAGAAAAAATAATTACGCATATATAGAGACAATGCTATTTAAAAAAATTGCTCAATTGTGAATTTGAAAAAAATCTGCTCATATGTATTCTTATATGAGTATAAACACACGTGTGTGAAAATTTTCCCTTATCCATGCCCATATTTACTATTATGCCCTTTGTACTAGCTAGTATTTTTACATGACCCAAAATGTAATGACGAAAAGGTGCGCCCTGAATGTTATATGTTACTAAAGAATTAAAATAATGTATTTTTGACTATAAAGGGAACACATAAAAGACCTAGATAATATTGTCAAAAGCTAAATTCAGCATGCCATGAACCCTATTGTATTGCATCCGAACTCATCTATATCCTTTTTGAATGTTCGGATTATGTAATGAAGAAAAAATTCGCCCAAGCATTCTTTCCAAAAAATGCATGGATGTAGTGTGCATATATTAATCTGCGCCTTTAGTGTACGTGTGTTAATATGCTCATTTAGTGTGCATATATTAATATACCCATTTAGTGTGCATATATTAATATACCCATTTAGTGTGCATATATTAATCTGCACCTTTAGTGTACGTGTGTTAATATGCCCATTGAGTGTACGTATTTAATGTGGGCAAAAATGAACCATTCAGTTGACACCAATTTGAACAAGCTTTTGGAGGAAAATGAATAAATGCGTGCTCCAAAGTTTCAGAAAGTACAAACTATTTGACATAATCAAAAGGTACAAATGCATAATCAATAATGAGCTTAATGAGAAAAATTTAAAATGGAAGACAACAAACGAATCGTACTGTGAATATATACTAACTCCTGAGGAGGAAAAGGAACTAAGACGCAATCATTTATTTATTGTTTCAAAGAATGATATAAATGTAGATGGGAATATAATTCATGAAAGCATTAAAAATTACAAGGGGAATACAAACATTTCTACTTATTATAAGAAATTAAATTCTAATCTAAATAATATAAAAAGTGCTAATAACCTCTTTGGTGAATTTTATGTGAAAATATTAAACAGTCTGATCCAAAAGTTTAAGGATGTTCCTATAGTAAATTATGTATACAATAATATTATTTTGAGGTACAGAACAAATATTCATGTTTTTGTTTCTCCACTATATGAAAGAATAAACAATGAAGAGCTATTTATTAAATTTCAGATAAATAAAAACAGTGTTCGTGAAATAGTATATTTTTTATGTTTGCATGTTTGGATATATTGTGCTAGATTAAATATGATGAATAATCGTTATTTAAAAATTCTTCTATGGGAAATTATATGGGACTATTATAGGGCATTACTTATAAAATACAAAATTTCTGAGTTCTCCTTCAATACTTATTTAATTAACCTGCAAGAATATTCCCTAGGATTTTGTATCGGATTAGATGAATGTATGGGTAAGGAATTATATGCAGGAAAAATATGTAACCTTCTTTTTAATCATATTTATAACGAAAACAACAAGTTTAAAAACTCCACAGAGTTAATAAATTTAACGGTTTATTGCATAAGGATGTATCACTTTGTTTGTCAGTTGCCAGAGGATAATTTTATGCAAGCTAGATTTATCTGGCCCGATCTAAAATAGATTTTCCCTGATCAATTTTCCCCTGGCTTTATTGTTAATTTTTAATTGCCACTTTTATCATTTTAAAGATATAATTGAAATTTTTATATTTGGGATTACATTTTAAATTGAAATAAATTGCGTTTTTTTTTTTTTTTTTTTTTTTGTGTGTGTGTACATGTATATACTTGTACGTACAAGTAGTATAGAACATTCCATTGTATGCTTTGCAAGGAAATGTGGCATGTACATATACAACAAATATAGACAAATGTCTTTCACAAATGTTTAGTTTATACATTAAGAGAACAAAAAAAAAAATAATAATAATAAATAATAATAAATAATAAAAATATTAAAAAAATTAATAAAATTGTGGATATTATAAATTGGTTTTGTTAACTTTAAAAAGAGCACCTTGTTAGAACGCATGTTTTTTTTTTTTATTATTTTATTTTTTTTTTTTTTTTGACTAGCTCGTATGATCAATAAAATTCCGCCTTGCCTGACTTGTTCAATCAAATTAATATACGCACTTTTTTGTATTCTAAGTGTGTGCACACATTTTAAGTGTTAACAGATTTCACATGAATATGCACATATACATTTTGGTCCCACAATTTTGTTAATTTATAAGACACATTTTTTCTCATGTTAATTATAAGCTTGTTATGAACACCACATATCATTTTAGCCACCTTTTGACTTTTCACAACAATTTGATATTCAATTATTAGAGAATTATTTAAATTTACACACCAGGATAGCATATGATGCTTAATTTTGTAAGGCACATCCTTATTAAACCAGCAATATAAATAGGTATTTATTAATTGTTCAACAATTTGTACTTTGGTTAAAGTTGTGCTTGTGTCCTTGGGATATACCCAAAATTGATTTTTTGCTTTAAACTTTGATATATATTCGAGTAGTTCTACCACTCCTTTGTTGTATTTTGCAGATATGAAAAATATATTGTCGAAATTTCCACTGCTCATAAATTCTTTGGCTCTTGCATTGGCCCATTTATTGTGTGTGCATAAGTCTACTTTATTTAAAACCAATATTACGGGTGGAACTATTTTTTTGTTTTCATCAATTGTCATGTCCTTATTTTTTGAGTCATTTTGATACGATTCAATAATTTTTTTTCTATTTTCAAATAAATTTTGCTTAACACTTTTATCGCTATACTTGTCTTCTTTTTCCATTTCAGCCGAAAAGTAATCTACAAACTTTTCCACATTTTCTTTTGTATCTTTATAAGGATTTCTCTTTTGAGTATAGTCATCCATATCATTTTGTTCTTTTTCCGCCCATTCGTAATGTTTACCTAGATTATTATTTTCATTAGGTGCATTAAAATTCTCTTCTTCCTTGTTATTAAGAGACACTTTGTATTGCTGTCCTTCTTCTTCATTATCATCTTCACTCTCACTGCTGTATGCTTCAACCTTTTTGGGTGCTAACATTCGTACTATATTTAGAACATCGTGTGTTGGTCTTTTCACCGTATCCACGATAAATAAAACCAAGTCTGCCTCTTCATAGCCTTTCCATGCATAACTTACTAATTCTTTACAAAATTTTTTTTTCTTGTGCGATGGAATGATACCAGGAGAATCAATAAATATTAACTGAACATTGTCTTTTGTATAGATACCTTTTATATCCTGTTTGGTTGTATTAATTTTGGGCGAAACTGCAGAAATCGTTTTATTCAAAATGGAATTTAATAAAGAGCTCTTTCCAGCATTAGGTGCACCAATTAGTGCGATTTTTAGAAATTTCGGATTTTTTGGTTGGTCTGGAATAACCCATGTGTTCATATAAGCACTTTTGGGTATTACTCCTCTGGTTATATTAGGGGGGTAATATTTACTATCTCTTTTTATATTGCTATTTTTCTCTTCTTCATTTAAATTCACTTCATTTATTTTTAATTCATTCGATAGCGGCTTTGCTCTTATATATCTTTCTAATATGGAAAAATTACGACTGCTCAAAAATGAAGTATATCTCGGTATTGCATTTAATAGAACAAATAAATACCTGTTACATTTCAGCATTTTGCCTTGCACATAAGTATTACATATAAAACACATGTGCGCTCATTTGATTTTTCCATTTATTGAGAAGGCCAGAAGTAGCTCGAGGTATATCCATTTCTATTTCTTCACAGAAGCAAACAAAAAAATAAAAATAGAGATAACATATATATCCTTTTTTTTTTTTTTTTATTTCACCAAGCGTGGAACATGTACTAGATTCCAAATTTTTCAACTGCACAAATATCACAGGTTTTTAAATATGCCTGATAATCCAACACATCTTGTTGTTTTAAAATTGTTACTACATGTTCTAATGGGATGTAAGAGTAGAGGAGGCATTTCCTTTCTTTATTTTCATGCTTCTAAGAGGTGCTTGTGGTCTTAAAACGGAATGCCGATCTTGAAAGCATGACATGTGTATAGCGTTTGTGCATTACGAAGAAGGGAAAAAAAAAAGAAAAAAACATTAGCTTCAAAATAAGGCTCTTAAAGTGTTTCTCTCTAACTTCTTACAAATGTGAGGTTGTTTTTTATTTATTAATTTTTTTTTTTTTTTTTTTTTTTAATTTTCTATCTTTACATTGTGTATGAATTATAAATAAAAATATTAATTTTTTGTTTTTAACAGTTTCAAGTTTGTAAATTTCCACTAATAATATTAAAATCCTTGTAAGGATAAAACTTTTCTCCCTTTATTATTTTTTTTTTTAATTTATTCTTTCTTTTATACTTTTCCAAACGGATAATACGTGTTAAAGTTGTGCATACATAACCTGTTGAGACCACATTCACTCCATAATGGGAATATATTTTTATGCGAGGCGACAAACGAAATGAAATAAAAAAATAATTAATTGATGTTATACCTGTTGTTCCTCTTCTTTTTGTTTTTGCACAAACTGTGTAGGAACCTTTTTTTTCTTATTATTTTAAAATGTACCTATGTGTCATGACGTTACCCGAATTTCTGAGTTCTTTATTTTTTTTTTTTTTTTTTTACACAAATTGGATCAATACTAAAGGTTCAGATTTATATATCTTTTTGGAAAATAAAAAGTGCAGAAAAAAGGAGAATAGCGTAACAAAAATTTTCATGTATGACAAAAAAAAAAAAAAAAAAAAAATGGCGCTTACAAGAGAGGAATAAAACTGTGGTATATTTTTTCAGGTTTAGAAATTTGAATGTCCATAATTTTTTTTTTTTTTTTTTCTTAGCAGTCGTTTATCTAAAATGAATGAGTGTGCAAATAAATTTTTTCAAAATGAGAAAAAAAAAAAAAAAAAATAGAAAAAAGCAAAGCAGGGAAAAACTTAAAGTTATGTTTGCCAAATCAAGCACATAGACTTTCCCCCATTTTATGAATAAGTGTCATACTGAATTCTACATGTACGTAAACTGTTAAACGCCTCACTTAAGACCTCATTCAGACATTGCTTTTTCCCAGAGGAGCTTTTTTTCATCCACTTTTTTAAATTATCATATATGTTACGCATACAATTATATACAATACACATGTGAGTGTACACATATACTCATGTATGTTATATAGCCATTTACGTACCACTACCCCAATCGAGTTTGTAACGTCTGTGTAGCGAAACGTTTATGGAACATTATATAAGAAATGTTTGAGGAACTTTAATGTGAGGAAAATTAGTCTTTATTGATTTAAAAAATTCGCTTTTTATTATTCCCACCCTACACACACTTTCCTTTCGAATATGAATTAGAAAATATTTGCAAATATTTTTGTGAACTAATGGTACACACGAGGAATAAGAATTTTGAGAATGTAAATATATACACATTTAAATACGGGTTTATGTGTATACACGCGATATATTTGTTGTATGTGTGCAATATACTAGGCAAAGGCATATATTTTTTCCCCCTGTGATATATTTTTTAATTGTAGAAAGATCATTCACGTGCTTTTTTACCCAAGTGACCAACTTAAAATTTTTTCGAATGTTTAGCAGGGAAAAAACATAGCTACAAGTTTTTTTTTTTTTTTTTTTTTTTTTTTTTTTTTTTTTTGTTGATTTGTAATTTTTTCCTTTTACTATTATGATAAAAACAAATTGCCACATAAAATAATCGCGTTATGTTGCATGTTGTTAAAGTAATTTTTTCATTTAGCTAAAAACTATTTGGAAACTTAAGAAAATGTAGCAATATTATTGCGTCAACACGTCAGTGATGTAGTGATTCAACAAGTATAAAAAAACATTAGTTTTTTTTTCCCCTCTCCCACACATAGTACTTTACATACAAGAATATCATGTATAAGATTTTACTGCATTATGAAAAAAATTTTAAGCATATTACAATAAAAAAAAAAAAAAAAAAAAAAAAAATGCCCACGTAAGAAATAGGCTTTAAATAGGATTTATTACTCCTTCAGTGGACTTTCGAAGGCATACTTTTTTGTGAACTATAAATATATGTATTTGTAAATGTAGGAAATTTTGTGCACATCCCTTTCATGAGCCCCTCAAAATTAACAGTTAACTCCGGGCATATAGATTTGACTTTAAGTTGTCGTTGTGGTAGTTATCAACTCGTATGTTCATTGCCATGATTATTAATGTGTATATTTTTCATGTGCATATTATTATTTCCCCTTTTTTTCCCCTAATTCTTACTCTTATTATTATTATTATCATTCACATTATTTTTTTTTTTTTTTTTTTTTAACACGGCGTGTATTCCTGTACATGTTCCCCTGTGTTCACGATACCGTAACGTTCACACACCTACGTCGTTACATAATTTTTTCATTATTTCATTTTATTTTTCTTTTTCATCTATTTGATTTTTTTTTTTTTTTTTTTTTTCTCCTTTTTTCATTTGATAAATAAACCAAGTTAGTGTAATTTTTACTTATTATCTATGCTTGTGTATTTGTTTTTTTGTTTGTTTGATTGCTTTGTTTTATTTTATTTTTTTTGTTTTGTTTTGCAATTTGCGCTGCTTATTTTATAAAATATTGTGGGGTTAAGTCCGTTTTGCTTACAGTTATGCCTATTCGACACTCAAAAGCAGAGATGATAAAATGCTCAATTGTGAAGAAGGGGAGTAACGCTTATAAGTTTTTTTTTTTTTTTTTTTTTGTATTAACACATATTAGTTGAACTGGTTAAAGGAAAAGCGGCAAAAAAAAAAAAAAAAAAAAACATATATACATACCGCACGGGGTACGTACCTGTAATTACGTTGTTTCTCAAGCTGCCACGCAGGCCGATGTGTGCAGCGCTTCGTACACCTCGAAGATATAGGAGCTCAAGTGAATTTTAAGGAAATCCATTTCTGTATTGTAAGAAAATATATAGAATTAAAACCAATAAGCACGCAAACTGGTTGCCTTAACTGACAATCTGGCCTACCTATTAGGCATTGGACTATCCCTCTAACTAATCAGATAATGAATTTACACTACAAATCAGATATCCCACGAGAGTAAGCAGAAAATGAAAAAAGCAAATCAGGGAAAATCACAGGATACACACAAAAGTGTAAACCAAGAGAGAATAGCTTACGTGATGAGCTGCCTCATAGGAAATGAAGTGAGTATTCATATGAAAGATGGTAACGAAATCAAGGGATTTTTTCACGCATATAATTGTGCTTATAAAGGGAATAAAAAAGAAATCGATATATCTTTAAATTATGCAAGGATTCTACCAAAAAAAGATCAAGTTAGTGGTCCAATAAATAAAGCAATGATCATACCAGAAAACTTATACACAATGATTGTTGGAAAAAATTTAAACCTTGATTTAAAAGATCCAGATGATATAAAAAGCGTGAAAGGAAAATTTCAAATTGATGCAGATATCTCGGAAAAAAGAAAAAAATATAATTCAAATACTGCTAATAGAGAATTAAAAAGATGGGTATGTGACAATTCAAATTTTAATGAAAATAAATTAAAACTAGATCACAATTTAAAAGAACCGTGGGACCAGTTTGAACATAATAGAAAATTATATGGTGTTACAACTACATATAAAGAAGAATTATATACTACCAATTTAGATGTTAACAAAATACCGCACCATGTAAAAATGCACGCAGATAAAATTGCAAAAGAATTAGAAAATAGAGGAATGCATCTTGACCCAGAAGATGCTGAAAGGGACAATAAAGATTTAGACGAAGAAGATTTATTTGGTGCAGTTAGACAAAACAAAGATAAATTTGTAAAGAACTTTAAATGTAAAAAGGAAGATGGGAAAGGTAGTCAACCACAAGGGAAATTTCATCAATTTACCATTAGAAACTTGAAGGAAAAAATTCAATCTGTCAAAATGGACAATGAAAAAAAATATCCAAGTAAATGAGTTCTCTAACCAATTTATTGTTTGTATTGTCATATGACACCACACTTTATTGCGACATTGTCTGAGAGTTTTAAAATGACTCCATTACGTGAATCAGTGTGCTATAACTTTTTTTTTTTTTTTTTTTTTTTTTTCTTCTTCTTACCATTGTCAAATAATTATTCCAGTGCACATGTTTGAGAATATGTAAACACATCTACCTTATGCACTTGGCACATTTCCCACTTTTTTTTTTTTTTTTTTTTACCTTCGTACGACGGCTCTCCTCCCTCCCCTTACCCACACACTCTCCATTTTATATTAAGCGAATAATCAAAAAAAAATAAATTTCTCATCATCACATGAGGGAAACAGTGATATCAAGGAGAAAAATGAAGACTCATCGAAACTTTCAGATAATAAAAATGCAGAATTCATTGTAAGATTTTAGAAGTTCAAAAAAAAAAAAAAAAAAAAAATGCATATTTAATCTTTTTTTTTTTTTTTTTTTTTTTTTTTTTTTTTTTTTTGTCGTAAATCACCTGGTGTAATTTCATTTGTGTGCAATTACACATATAATATGTTGCCTTTACATAACCGGTGTGTGCAACTGTGCGTAAGATAGCCTATGTGTGCAGGGTGGTGAATAGAGTAGTATATTATTGTATATTTGGATGTGTACACCATCGAATGCTTCTTTTTATTCATTTTTTGTTTTCTTTTTCAAATTCCGCCTGTGCAGGGAATTAACGCTCTAAATTTGGAACCAGCGTTACCAAGATTAGATGAGAAAACGAGAACCGAATGGATTATGTTCAAGAATAAAGCGAAAAACAAAATATCAAACAAAAAAGATAAGTTATCGGAAAAACAAGAATTTATAATAGCAGCAAAAGAGTTTAATGAAAAATTAGCCAAGTAATAAGAAAAAAAATAAAATAAAAAATAAAATAAAAAAATAGTGTAACTTTTAAATTGCACACATGAATACGACATGTATACAAATGTTGATATACATGTTTATGTATTTATATCCAATTCGATAACTTGGTGGAAGACATAGTTATGTAAGATTTATCTTTCCATATTTTCATCTAAATGTTTCAACACATAAACACCACATAAATAAATCTTTTTTTCTTTTTTTTTTTTTTATTTGCAATTTACAGCAAAATGAATGCAAATACACAGGAATCGCAAACAGAAGTAAATAATGATCAGACGCAAATGAACAACCCTCCACCTGAGATTCAGACAACTGTATCCAACCTGACAGGTTAAGCCTTTAGATATTCGTTTATCATACATATCCATCAAGGCAGCTGTGAATATTTTACATTTATTATGTTACTATATGTATTTTTTTTTTTTTTTTTTTCTTTTTTTTGATATTAAAAATACAACTGGACTATTTTTAGTGTTACATTTATTCACTCACTTTTAATTACCCATCTGCAGAGAACATTAACAATATCAATGAATATGAAACAGGTAAACAATAATGTATACCTTAGAGCCTGTGATGAAAGCTAATTTCGAAATGATCCCCAATTCATTTTACACCTGTTTTTTTTTTTTTTTTTTTTTTTTTTTTTTTTTTTTTTTTTTTTTTTCCTTTTTTTTTTTTTCCCCCCCTCCCCCCTGTTTCTATGAATAGATGAAATTAAATCTCAAGACAATGAAAACACAATAATAAAGAGCAAAAGTGCGAGTTTCACGAATTCGAGTATGCGCCCATATGATGCCTATGTTTTAAATTTTAACAATATCAGCAACTTGAACAGTTTCAACACTCTAAGTAGTTATAACAATATGAACAATCCTAGCAATTTTAGTAATGCTAACAGTCATAGTAATGTTAACAGTCTGAGTAATGTGAACAACCTTAGCATTGCTAACGATCCGAATCATTTTAATCACGTTAACCATTTCAGCAATATGAGCAATTTCAACCATATGAACAGTTTAAACCATGTGAACAATTTCAACGTGAAGCATGGCATGATTGGCCATAACGTGGGTATGCAAGAAGCATATGCAGTGATATTTGGGCGTATGTCCAAATATGCATCATGCTTATGTGTACATACATACGTACATGTATATATATATATATATATATTTACAAATTCATGTCGTCACTTTTCGCTGCGTATTTGTCTATTTTTACATATACCAAAATGCCATTCTCTCTCTCTCTCCCCCCCCTCATATCTCCACATACTCAGAGTATCGCCCAATTTTAACCCAATTTCCAAATACGATAAATCAAATATATGTTCCACCCGATTTATATGTGCGAAAAAATGTCGGAACGCAACCTTTATATGTAAGAGAAACAATATTGTACCCATGATCGCATATGTACAGAGAATAAATTGTTAACAGTGAACACTATTCTTATTATTACTCCACTTGTGTATATATTTTACTTTCCGTTATATTGAAGAATCTATGTATTTAATTTGAATTCAAAATATTTTATGCTAATAACTAATCCTGCACATGAATCGGTTCTACTAATACTGTACTAAAATATACGTGCACTTATTTATAACTGTTTTACACAAGCATAAGTGTATTACAAAGGTGCATTATTTTGTAAATTTTTATTTCCCCATTTATTCACACCTACCTCTTACGCTTTGCAGCCAAATATGAATGTAAATATGTTAATGAATAAATTTCACAACAATATTAACTACCAGAACAAGTATCCACATAATCGGAAGTACCAGAAGGAGTTACACCCATTTACAGTCGTAAGTTATTATAGTACATACCTTTGTCAAACATTTACGAATATGTATATGTAATATGTGTATATTCACTGCATTATTATCGATATCGCATATATATACAATAGAAAAAAAAAAAAAAAAAAAAAAAATCGCTCCAGAATTACGTGAGAATGTATACAAAAACGTTCATGTTAATATCTGTACATACGTTTGCCTCTAAAAATAATGCTAATGTTCATATACACATTTTTTTATCCAATTGATGCTACAGCGAGGGAACGGACCTAAGAAACAATTCGATACACTTATGAACAATACATTAAAAAATTCCAAAAGAGAGGATTCTGTAAAGAGTCCCATTCAATTTAGAAACACTAAACAACATAACTACAAAAATGATTTTAGAGGAACATCACCACATGCACCTGTTCATATATATAAAGAAGCAAATTACTTTCCAAGTAATACACCAGTACAACCAAATATGTCAAGTATATTAGTAAATGTCCCAGTAGTACCAGTTGTGCAACCAACAACGAGTGGCCCATTTATAGAACATCATCCTCATTATTATAATCCTTATTTTAGAAGCCATTATCCAAATAGCTCAATTTCGGCAAATTCAAATGGTTCATTTATTTATAATATACCCATAACAAACATTGACAGAAATTATTCATCAAATAAAAATATGGATTTATATCCCTTGGGAAATCCTCATGTACCAAATTTACATGTTCCCAATTCCCATGAACAATTTACACATGTGCAAAATGCCCCTATAAATTTTCCTGTAACACCATATATAGCAACACCAAGCATGAATTATGCAGTAACCACCCCACCCACGTCTCTGAATATAGCAAATAATGCAAATCTTCCAAATCCAAATATAAATGTCTCATCCTATCCACCAGAATTTGTTATTGTGAATCCTCATAAATACCCCAATTCACAGACAGTGCCTGTGCCCGTTTTTCCACAATACCAATATCAGAACTATTATCCATCATCAACTCATGGTATGAAGAATTCATAAACATTGCAGATAATTTTAGGAGATAGGCTTTTTTGTTTTATTATTATTATCATTATTATTATTATTATTATTATTTTATTTTATTATTTTTTTTTTCTTAACCTTGGCACACACACTTGTTTAGTAAATATAAAAGTGTACATTTAAATAACAAGTAATGTGTGTGATTGGGGTGAGTCTTCATTAGGAGAAGGTCGAGAATATGGATGTATGAATTGATTCTATTAGAAAAAAAAAAAAAAATAAATAAAAGGTCAGGGCTGTGTGGTATGATGGTGGAAAAAATTTGAATCTCCTGAAAGTTTAAAAAAATCGCACGAAAAAGTAACAAAGGAACAGAGCAGAAAAACATAATATTAAAAAAATGTTATAATTTTTGAAAAAGTTCAAGAGTTTTTTTTTTTTTTTTTTTGAAGGCTTCTTCAGGGTGTGATACATCGCTATGCACTGTTACAAAAGCGGTTTATTCGCCTTATAATTAACTCTATGTGTCCAACATATGAATGATGTAATTGAATTTGTGTTTCATTGCATTTCGTTTCATTCTTCTGCTTTTTCATTGTACTTTATTTCTTCTTCTAAGTAGAAATTTTAGCATGTGTAAAGCTATGCAAAAGATGTACATAATTATATGTTATAAGTACAAAATGGCATAGCTAACATCGAATGAAGAAAATTTTGCTTACAGTTAATTTTTTTTTTTTTTTTTTTTTTTTTTGCATATAAAAATATCCGTTTCATACCAAAAGAACACTCTAATTAAATTAATTTTTTAATATATATGAGAAAAGGATTATGTAAATTAATGTAACGTTCCATGTGTCAAATGTATAATTTGTGTATTACCCCAAGTGTTGGAAAATGTAATGCATTTCAAGATCTAGTGGTGTGTGTAGGTACACATATTATATACACTCATGAGTGTGCTAGTAAAAATGTATGTACAAGAAAAGGAAAATTTCACAATTTAAGTAATTTTTCACACTCATGATAATATATTCCCTCTCCCCACGTTCCCTATAATTGGGAACAACTTGTAACAAAATTAAAAAAAGTAAATGTCCTTTAAAGCCAAATGGACTGTTCATATATGATCAATAAAGTGTTAGGAAAGCAACATAACTAATTGCGGAAAAAATAAGGAAAGATAAGAAAAGTTGCAAGAAAACATCTTCTCATGTGAGGAATTTGAACTAATCTCTTTACAGCAATTTTATTCGAAATATAGGTATGTAATAAAGCATTCAGCTTCAACACGCTCTGTAATGTTTTTTTTTTTTTTTTTTTTTTTTTTACCCATTAGAATATGTGACATAAATGTAACATTGTAACCCAATTTGAGTATTGTGCATATGGTGTACCATAAATACGTCCAAGTAATAGTTGTATATATAATCAACGGTTCTGTTTTACATAAAATGCATAGGGATGCATATTCACAAAAGAGGTTGATACATGCATTCTCACACCTAGGATTTAAAACTCCCACAAAGGTGATTAATCAGGAATGTGTACATTTTCTGTAAAGGATTTTTTTTTTTTTTTTTTTCAACGGATTACAAGATAGAAAAAACGTTATTGATATTCCAATACATTGTGTACTATTATATTATTTCTTTTTTTCCTTTTTTTTTCTTTTTTATTTTCGATGCATCAAGGGGCCTTTTAACGTGTACCTATACTGGGCAATGTCCGAGAGATATATATATGTGTTATGTTTTCTCACAGTTATATATGTAGAAATACGGAATGTTCAGCTTTAGTAAGAAGTGTTTAAAAAAAGTCTTTATTTATTAGGCAATTCGCCCAATCGTCCATTCATTCATCCATTCATTTTTTTTTTTTTTTTTCAATGGCATAATTTCGATCGATAATATATATGTAATTTCAATGTTGTGAAAACAACAAAAAAGGGAAAATCATGTAGAATAATGTAACATGGCACAATGATCTTTTTTTCTATTTTTCCGCTTTTCTCCTAACAAAATGAGTTGCAGTTAAATACTTCATTTTGTTAAATTTATAAGCATCTATAAGTTTTGTTTTTCCTCAAAAGAATTAACAATTTTAAGTTATACAGAGGATAAGTAATAATACCATGATAATATACAAGATCGTGTTTATCGTTTTGTCTTTTTTTTTTTTTTTTTTTTTTTTTTTGCACGCACACAGGAAAAAAAGGTGAAATTTTGGATACGACAACAATCTATTTTTTTTTTTTTTTTACACATTTTACACTGGATATTTAAAAAAAAAAATAAAAAAAAAGAAGACTTGCAATTTTTTTATTCATTAAAAGAAATGATAATTTCACATAAAAAATGTTATGTTGATTTTAATTGGTAAAATAAAAATTTATCAAAAATTGCGAAAAATTACACAGTTTTTTATACATTGTTAATTTGTTATACGTTCACTTATAACGTAATCTACATTTTGTAGAAATTGTCGTTACTGTTTTTTTTTTTTTTTTTCTCCGCCTTCTACTCATTTCTGAACACTTAATTACACTTGTGTTTTTAACGAGTGTGCAACCAGGAGACATGGGATTATAACATGCAAAATTTGCTCGTTTGGTTGCGTGTAAAAGGGTTTATATATATATATATATATATATATATATATATATATATATATATATATATATATATATATATGTATATAAATGTGTATATATATCTGTGTATAAATGTGTTTATATATCTGTGTATAAATGTGTTTATATATCCGTGTATAAATGTGTATATATAAATGTGTGTGTATATATAGGCGAATACACACACGAGTATATTTTCTGGGCGCTGGAAGTCGCTCTTTCTCCACAGTTTCCATCCCACGAAATTGTTCTGGTTATAATAATTTTTTGACCATTATTGCTCTCAAAAATTGTATAAAAACATCATGTTCTAAATGGTAAATGCTGTGTAAACACATACAGTAGGCATATTCCATCAGAAATTATCTTTTTTGAATGAACATTGATACGTATAAACTATCTAATTTTCATGTTCTTATTTCTATGAGCATTTTTATTTTTCCTTTTATTTTTAAATTTTGTTTGATAAATTTCTACCTCTTCTGTTTTAAAAATTTTGTAATTTTCATATAAGAACAGAGTATATCTACGGAAAATTTTTTTTTTTTTTTTTTTTTTTTTTTTTTTTCAAGAATTTTTTTTTATTTTTTTTTTTTTTTTTTTCCCCCCCCCCCCCCCCACATTTTCCTCAACGTCCATTCTATCATTATGTGTATGTTTTGTTTCAGTTTTTTTTTTTTTTTGCTTTTTTCTCCGTTGTGACACTTTCCCTTTTGTTGTTATTTCCCCTGGAAATTCCAAAACTTTGGACCATTACAAACAATCTATAGCAGCATGTGAATTAACAATTCTACAAATAAAACTTTGTGAATTTTTTACAATCAACAATTTTCATGTTTTTAACGATTTTTTCTTGTCCACTCCTTGTCGTAAAAAAAAAAAAAAAAAAAAAATCACTCCACATGTAAAATTCCCAACTTTTTTTTTTTTTTTTTATATTTTATCTTCATCTCTCTGTTCAATTGTTTTTATAATGTAGATTGTTATATATTACACGTTTGTTTTTCTTTTTTTGTAAAATAATAAAGCACACCTGTGTATGTATACAATCGTGCATACCTACACGAACACGCTAGTAGGTATTTATGCATACGTTACAAAATGTATGAATACTTACACATGTGCGTTTCCACTTTTGGTACAATTCTTATCTCTTGCCATTTTTACCACTATTAATTTAATGACATTGACATTTCCTCAACTCATCCTTGTGCAAGTTTTCTACATGTATATACTATCATACAACCCACTTTGATGTTTCTTCAAAAAAAATTAAAGAATTTCTTTTGACATAAAAGTGTAATTATTTGTAACATGTTGTTCCATTAGTAAAAGGGACATAACTGATTAAAAAAATAAAAATAAAAATATATATATATATATATATATATATAAAATATACCACCATGCAGAACATAATTGATACTTATGAAATAATCGGAAAAATAGATGATCGGAAATCCATTTCTTCAAACAGTTTATTGAGCCATGAAGAATGTAATGACCCAACCAAGGGTGTGCAGGAGGATGATAAAATTTTTGTCAATGGGGAAAGGAGGGAAAAAAATAGTAGTGATAATAAGAAATGCATTGAAAGTATACAAGATAAACAATATGAATGGGCAGAAGCAGGAGTAGCAGGAGAGGATGGAGAAGCGGGGGGGACGAAAAAAGGTAAAGAAAACGTTTACGAGAGTAACAAAATAAAATGTCAGATGGGAAATGTGAATAAGTCCAAAAGTTCAACTTTGGAAAATATGAGAACTCATTTTCCAAAAGAGTTGGAAATAAAGAAAGACGAAGCAAATGTTTGTAATTTAAATAAGGGGGGTTATTCTAACTTGATACGCATTCAGAAGGAAATCACGAGACCCTTGCCAAATGGTGAAGAGTCGACGAATCAAGACTTGTCTGTAAAAGAAAAAAGAAAAAATTCCAAAAGTGAGATCCTTGAAAATGGGAATACTGATATTTTAGACATGCCGACAGTGGACAGTCCTAATGGCAGCTTCAAGTATGAGAAAACTTCCCAAATTAGTAGTTGCCAAAATAGATCTAAAAAACACTACAAAGTTTTGATACATGCACCAGCATGCTGGAAAGGAGAAAAATTTAATTCGACTCCTTTCATTTTTGTGTATGATAAATCAAGCAATTTTTTTACTTATAGTGAATCTCCATTAGAAATTGAAAAATATATAATCGATACAAGTGCAGAAGATTTTGAAAGTAGAGTATTAACAATAATATTTTACGATTCTGTTTTTGCATGCTCAACATCATCTCTTATGTTGAATAATAATAAAGCAGAATTGCAACATTTACCTAAACCCCTTAGTGTGTTTTATTTACCATTATGTAAACTAGATTTATGTAATGACTCTGTCAAATATAGATTGGGATTAAGAACTAATAGTATTTTATGTGATATAAATATAAAAGAAGCTATTAGCTTATTTAACAATAGCTCGAAAATAACAGGACCAAATGTGAATAAATTCAGTTTACATCTTATTTTGAAAAATAATAATTATTCTGATAGCCATACATATAATTATTTAAATTATCAAACCAAGTTTTATGGCGTTCCTCGATCGAATCTTTCATCATGTGTGCAAATATATAAAATGGGAAATAATGACAAGGTTCATAGCAATGTTGCTAATAGATATTTAATAAATTCCTCAAAAAGTCAAGTTAATACTTTCAAAAATCATCAAACAGATCCTAATCAGTTTATATCTCTTGAAAAATTAAAGAATAAATGGGAAAATTACACCCATATGAACAGGGCAAATAGCACAAATGGCACACACAACACTTTGAGAAAGAAGGAAACCAAACTTACTTCCTACTCAGGGAAAAATGAGAAAGATTCTGTTATCAGTAGAATTAAATCAGAAGTGCTCCTAACTCAGAACGGAGGTACAGTTGATTGTCGAACAGAAGGATACACAATTGCTAATTATGGGGAATCTGTCTGTGGAAGAGAAGAAAAGGTAACCAGTAATAATGCTCAGGGAAAAGGACAGTACAAAGAGAACACAGCCGAGAGCTCATACAAATATGACGGGACTAAATCGTTATATGATTTGATGCAAGGTAGTAATGAAAAAGCAGAAAATGATTTTGACGTGAAAGATGATGTTTTTCCAGAAGATAGCGCATCTATGATAAACGTTTTTGAAAAAGAATCGATTTTATCAGAACGAGGAAAGAAAACTGCTGAAAGGAGTAGGAGCACCTTAAATAGTAACTTCAAAACTGCTAATAGCATGTATTCATGTGTTAAGAGCCTTCTGAGGAAGAGAGGAGGAGAGATTGGGAATCCATCAGATGAGAACGTCAGAAAAATGATTGGCCATTCCAGCATCGAGATGAAGCAGGAGGATATGAACATTAATGTAAATAAAAATCATATGAATAGACAATACGAAGAGGAAGAGAATTGTAATCTACAAGACAAGAACAACACTCTGATGAACAACATTAAGGACAAATTTGGAGAAGATCGATCTGTGTGTTATTCACAAATCGAAAATTTAAGATATTTCAACACGAACAATTCTGTATGTTCATCCTACGGAAAAAATGACGAAAATCTCATCCTAGCAATGAAAGAAATTAAGCAATGGATGGAAAAGATAGAAGATAAAGTAAGTACCATATCATGTGATAAAAGTGAGTTAAATATAGGAAACGGAAATAACAATAATGATGATAAAAAGTATAATAAAATATTAACATTTTTAATTAAGAGTGTAAAAAATAATATAAAATTAAAGAATAAATGTATATACAGAAGTTGTTATTTAAATATAAGGAATTTATATTTATTAAAAAAAAATGATAAAGTAAAATTTGAAAATAAATTGTTACTAAGAAATTATGGGAATTTAAAATCAAAATATAAAAATGTATTGGTAAATCTTTGTAAAAAAAATTTGCTAATAAAATATTATTCAATAAAAGACAAATTTCACTACAGTAAGAAATATGAAAATATGATGAGACATTTACAACAAGAAAAAAATGATCTACTGCACATTATAGAAGAGAAAAAGTATGAACAGGAAAATAGCTTAAATATTAATTTAATGCTTTCTGAGGAATTAAAGAAAATGCAAGAAGATAAAGAGAGTATGTTGAATACAAACTTTCTATACAAAAGTGAGAAAGATAAAATTACCACCAAGTGTGAAATTCTTCTAAAAGACGTGGATCATATGAAAGAGGAGATCGAATATTTCAAGCTAGAAAATGAAAATATGAAAAAACAAATGGAAAAAATGAAACAGGAAAAAGAACAGATAAAACATGAAAAAGAACAGATAAAACATGAAAAGGAACAGATAAAACATGAAAAAGAATCCCTAATAAAAGAATTAGGAGATACAAAGGCGAAATATTTTAACCTTACTGGCATATTAGAAGGGGAAGAAAAAATGTACAGCAGAAAAGTAGAAGAATTAGAAAAAAAAATTGAAAATATTACAGAAGAAAAAAATACACTTATTAAGGAAATAAAAAATGAAATCGACAATTTTACAAAAATGTTAAGTGATAAAGAGGAAGAAAATGCCAGCATCAAAGAGAAATTAAAAGAATTAAAAAATATTGAAGAAAAGTATAAAGATACACAAATCAATTTTGATTCTCTCAAAAAAGAATTCGAAAAGTCATTCGATGAAGTACAAATTATTTTAAAAGAAATGATACAAAAAGAAAAGGAATATACAAAAAAGTATAACCACTCGATTAAATGCTTAGAAAATGAACATAAAGAAATTGTAGAAAAATTATTGAATGAAAAAGAATTATCATTAAATGAAACTAATTATTTCAAAGATATGTGTAAAAACCACTGCAATAAAATGACAACATTTGATGAAAACTTAACAACGGCAGAGAAATTATTAGATCATGTCTTGTCTCAATACCCGCAATTATTTAACGAATTTAAAATAAATTCTAGAAATAACGTTTTAAATAAATCTTTTGGAAAAATGCATTATGAAAATATACAAGCTGCACGAGATAATATTAAATTAATTAGGAAATCTTTAAGTCAATTTAAAATGAGCTTTAAAAATAGTTCATTTAATTTTCAAATAGCCTCAGATTATAGCAAAAAATATTGCACACAGAAAAAAATTAGCTACCCTTTAAGCCTGAGAAACAAAAGAATCATTAGCAATTTGAAGAATTACGAAGGTTTTTCTAAAGAACCAGATCATCACAGAGATTATCCATATCTGGATGAGGAATTTACACGGGAACAAGACCCAGAACCAGATCCAGACAGAAGGAGATCCATAAGTAATCACACTGCAAGAAATATATCTATAATTTCGAGTAGTAGGAAAAATATAAATCTGAAAAATAAAATAGATTCCTACAATACAAACATACAGAAACATTCTGCACAAAGTAGGTCAAGAAGCGGGTCTGTTTTTCAGAAATATAAATCAACACCAGTTTATGATGAATTAAAGAAAATCCAATATAATAGAAAAGATATACTCAATACAAATGCAATAAATGGGTATAGAAAAGACGACATATCAAATAATCATATAGCAAATGTAGCGAAAAGTGCTGTCGATATGAAAAAGGAAAAAGATGATGATATGACACAAAGGAATGTAATGCATCATCCAGATAAGGGTTCTCCTCTCAGGAAGGATGCAAAATGTGATACAATTTCAAAAGATGATAAACATACGGATAGCTTTTCCTACTGTTCTGAACATGACATTCATGATGATGTGTGCAAAATGGATAATGTCGAGGGAAAGAGGGAGGATTGGAATTTAGACCTAAGCAATGACGTAAACCAGCTTAACAATATGGACATTGTAAATATGTATGAAGAAAATGGCTATTTCAATGAAAACGTGGGAGAAAATATATTTCCTAATGTAGAAAATAATATCCAACCAAATATCGATTCAGACACATATGTGGAAAATAAAAAAAAAAAGGATCTTGACATAACCGAGGGAAGGATTAAACTCTCAAAGAGCGATTCAATCAAATCAGAAATAAAAAAAAATTCAAAAACTAAAGAAAATTATGAATTTGATAAAAATAATTTCAAAGAAATAATATCCTTTATTGAGCAGAATGTCATCAAAAATTCAGAATCTATAAATCAAAGTGAAAATGCTCCAAAAAATATAGACAGTATGAAAAAAACAGCTTCTAAAAAAGAATATCATGGTTTGGACTCATTGGATGATGATGATGATGATTATGATGACAGTAATGGAAGAGGAGAAGTAAATCACAATTCTGGGATAATGAACAAGTGTGCAAATGAATATGAAGGTTTAAACGGTCATGGTAAGGAAATCCTAAAGGAAGACTACAAAGATATAGACATAGACAAAGATAACAGTAACATAATTAGGGGTGATAAGAGATCACCAAGAAAAATTCAACAAATTAAGACAAATGAAAATTCTCCCATTATTTGTCAGAAATCATCCAACACAAGTAAGCAAAGTGGAATGTATAAAAATCCTGATAAAGCAAATAAATATACAGCTGATAACTTATGTTCTCAAACTGGTAGTAATACCTCCAAGGTTGTTGGAACACGGGGAATTGCAACATCGAACAATAAGAATTCCAATCCCAATGGCCATGCGAATGTACCTCAAGGTAATCGATCGAAGAATGCGAGTAATGTTGTATCTGTGACGAATCCGTTAGTAAGCACTTGGAGAAAAAACAGTTCAACAATTTATCGAAAAGCAAATGAAAGTGTCGTCTGTAGTAATAATAATGATGATGCATCCAAAATGCATATGAGTAAAAATTATAAATACAAACAAGCAGATGAATCTGTCAAAAATGTTAAAAAAGATAACTCCTATAATTTGAAATGTGTGAAATCTTCTATAATAAAAAAGAATTTAATTTTTGAAAAATCAAGAAATTTAAGTACCAACACAAAATAAACCAGCCTTTTTGAAAAATTAGTTAATAATGTTACTTTAGTGTGCATTGTCTTTTCTTTCCTCTTCCTATCAACACACAGTAAATAGCAAAAGTGAGGGGTTGGAGGAGGTAACTATTTTTTGAAGACTAACTTTTTTACATCCCATTTTTATGTGTAAATTTGCATGTACATGTTTCTATGTCAAATGTGGGGGAGAAAGTGTGGTCTTGTGTGTATGACCATGTGTGTATATTATTAGGATGAGAATAAAAATGTATCCTTTTTTAATATCTCATCGAAATGCGAATTTTTTTTTTTTTGCATTTTTTTGTAATGTGAAACTTAATTTTTTTTTTAACTTTTTTAAGAAAATTGATTCTTATATAATGTTCTAATGTTGAAGCGGCGCGGGAGGAGGTTCATGAGTATTGGAAGTTCATACGCGTGGGGACACTATAAATGTGTAACTTTACTAATATACCCAGACTTATAAAGCATGCGTATACCGCACAAGATCGGTTAGTTATATAACAAAAGTTAAGAGGCACCAAAAAAAAAAAAAAAAAAAAAAAAAAAAAAAAAAAAAAAATTTTGACTAGATTGCTGCACAGCGGAAGTAAGGATTTTTTTTTTTTTTTTTTTTTTCTATAAGGCGCGTTAAAAAGGAAAAAACATATAGGGTTGGTTTTGTGATATATTTTTGAGAACAAAGCATCATGAACCCTCACTTTTCATTAACTTTAAGAGAACCTGTTTCATTCTACTATTCTCTTTAAAATATTCCCCTTTGTCTAGATCTAAATATTGCGATATTTTTAACCAAGTTTTATTTTCTAGATTTTCTTCCTTTCTTTTTTCTTCATTTATTTTTTTTTTGGACAATTTTTTTTTTTCTTCGATTAGAATAGCCATTTCTTCATACCATTTTTTTAAATCTGCTGCAGCTTTTTTTTTTATTTCAATTTTTTTATTTTTTTCGTATTCTTTTCTTTCCTCAATTCTTTTTAATCTTTCGCTTTGCCAAGTGGTAGATACTTCTGTGTCTGATATATCAGATTCCTTTTCGTAAAATTGTTCATACGAATTTTCAAAAGACAGCTTTTTTTCTTTTCCAAAAAGTGAGTCGTACTTATTCATGCTGCAGTTATTAGAGCTGTCAACTTTGTTATCTCCAAATTTGTAATTATTGCTACTATTACTATAGCTTTCTTCTATTTCTCTTTTAGTAACATTCATGTCACTGTATATACTGTTAAGTGACATATTTATGTGGTTATAGTTATGGTCTTCCTCCATATGGTTATCATTCAGTTCATTTGATAAGCCTAATTCTTCATTAATGCTACGTTCCCCATTGTTCATAATGTTCTTTTCTCCAGTTACTACCCTATTGGTATCATCGTATGCGTTAAGGTTGAATTGATCGAAATCGTTCATTTCACTCATCTTGACTTAGGTATGCAGAGTGCATATGAACATTTGTCTATGTATATGTATATATATATATATATATATATATAAACCAACCAATGTTCTGTTTCCCTTTTTATTTCCCCACTGGATTACTGCATATTATGCTTAGGCTTCGCTCTCTTGAATAGTCTACTTTTTGCAAATCAGAAAAAACTTAAAAACATACACATATACACAAGAATAGATATGGAGGGGGGTGTTAGAAGGATAAAGCCGATAAATCCATAAATAGGAGCGAAACAAAAAAAATGTGTGTGTACGCTTACAAACAGTTCATGGGGCCATTTTACAACCACGCGTAATCGTAAAAATATGATAAAAAAAAATGATAAAAAATGATAAAGAATAGTGAACGCACGTGTGTTGTGTGGGAGAACGAGAGCCAGAGTAGTGTGGTTAATATAATAACAATCAAGAGACCGTGGACAGGATAACAAACAAAAAATGCATTGCTTATTCAGCGCTCTCGCAGATATATCTCATACATATGCGTAATTATGCAAATATATACAATTAATTTTTAAAAGAAAATTAAATCTGAACTGAACTTTTCCCATTACAAAAGGATAATCGCCCATTGAATGTGTTACATTACCTCTATTGCAACTTGTTTGTATTCCTAACCTCTGTTCTAACATGTTTGAGATGATGTGCAAGTACGATCACTTTATCATAACAGTTGCAAAATTTTATCAAAAAAAAGGGTGCGAAATGAAAAAAAAAAAAAAAAAATCAAGAAAAAATATAAATGGGCACAATAAAAAAGATAAAATATAATTGATAAAATAGATAAAAAAAAAAATCAATAAAACAGAATGGATAAAGCAAAATGGATAAAGCAAAATGGATAAAACAAAATCAATAAAACAGAATGGATAAAGCAAAACGGATATGGCAAAATGGATAAAATAAAATGGATAAGGGGAAACAAAAATTATGATAACACGAAATGTAAAGATAAGCTTGTGGAGCGCACTTAAATCAAACTGAAAAAATAATTTTGTTGACTCAACGATCTTGAAACACATGGAGTAAGTCGAGATCAGGGACTTATGCACACAGCACTGCAACGTGTAGTAAAAACTACATTTACAGAATTACTGCACTATGTTTTTCCATAAAGGATGTAGTGCTGTTAGTACTTGTGTTCATTAATCCCCATGCTACTTAGGCTCAAAAGAGGGAATATTGGAAGGTAGAGAAAATGTCCTACTACACCTTTGGGATTATGGCTTATATATTATGTGCCCTATATTTGAACCACGCAGTGTTATAATTTTGCTGCACTTACACTTATATATAAATATATGTATGAGTTCCCTTTCGTTTGCCACATATGATGCTATGTATATATATATATATATATATATATATATATATATATATATATGTATAATTGTTAAAAGGGCACCAAATCCTAAATCGGTATGGCGATGCATTATTGTAACCATGATAGCGGTACTGTGCCGACTTATTCCTGTCACATTTTTTTTTTTTTTTTTTCCATTTTAAAAAAATAAAAATATATTTTAAAATTCATCTTGAGAAGAGCCCCTTACATGATATTTTGTTTAATTAAAAATGAGAGTTCCTCTGATATCTTAATGTATTTTATTTATTTATCTTTTTTTTTTTTTTTTTTTTTCAAATTAAAAACTGTTATACATTTTTTGTATATAAAGAATTATAACTTAAGCCAGCTTCTCCGTGCAACCCACAAGAAAAGAAGTTGAGCACGAGGGAAATGAAAATAAAAAAGGGTTATCAAAATTGACCTTTAGCAGGGGAAGTGTCGAGAGTATATTAATACATAAATGCATTAATATATACACATGCGCATACTACATATTACATACATACGTTCGTATATACATATATATATATAGTTGTCCGCATATGTACATTATGCTTTGCTCACAATGCATAACTAATCATATAGTTGCTTTGGCTGAAATAATAAACTTTTCCCCCCCCATCTCTCCCCTCCAGTATTAATCAACATCGACCATTACAACATAGTTGCATGATATACAGATTATATATATATTTGAAACATATATGTATAAGCATGTGTTTATAACTTCCGCACGAAATTGTTTATAGTTGCAATATCTGTTCCAAGGAGGCCATATGTTTTAGCTTTTTTTTTTTTTTTTTTTTTTTTTTTTTTCAGCCTTACTTTTATTTTTGAACAGAATATTTTCAACCTATTGTACATGAAAACGGTGTTGCATGCAGGGATACATTTTTTTTATAGTTTTTAGCATACAAGCTTTTCATATTGTGAGATACTCATTTGCACACAAATTTCAAACTCAATTTATGCATCGACTTGGGGGAAAAAATTGAATGCATTCGAATAAATATGTGGTGTATACGTGGGCATACCTAGATTCACTCATAATGATCCGAGGAATTTTTCTTACGGAAATTACATGTTTTATTCGCTTTTAAAAGTAATCACTAACTTTTTATTTTTTTTTTTACCCATAATATACACAAATAGACACATATGTATGTATATATATGTATAATATACATTTATATATTTACATACCTGATCGCAGAAACTTCAAGAAAAGACGAGACATAAAATATACACAAAAAATTGGAGATTCACGTAAGGAGAAAATCGTGACTCACAGTAGTTGAGAACTTTTGCTATGTTCAATCTATTCTCCCCTGAAGATATTAACTATAGATACCCAATTTTCACATTTTAAAGAGAAAAATGAATAGATGGGAGTTCAATCTAAAAAAGTATGACGAGAAATGTGAAGAATTAACAGAACCGTTTGGATACAGATTTGAGAAGGATGTGAAGGGTGCCTATGGAAGTGGTGATAATTATTTAAAAGTTGAAAAGAATATAAATAATTTAAGTAAAATAAAAAAAAATGAAGTTAATAAATCAAGTGCATCACCAGCTATTAGCGAAAAGGTACTAGATAGGAAAGCATGGAGTATTTGTCTTAACACATTTAAAGGATTAATAATGAATATATTTGTAATGTTTATGTCAGGTGGGGCTTCAGGTATTTTTGGAATAATTTTTATCATATATTCAATTTATAACATTTTAAAATCTTTGCTTAACATTAATGATGCGTTCAAAAGTGTAGAAATTAATCCAAATCAAAAATTCTGGGCTCAGAAGTTCTGTTTTGCTCTTTTAAATTTTTTAGTTTTTCTTTATATTTTGAATGTTTGTTCCAATAGTGGCTTGCTACCTATACGATCTGCTGATTATTTTTATTTCATACCACATCAGACTATTCGACAGAAGACAATGACAACCGTTTTTTAGTGCCCCTACTCCCGCACCCACAAGTGCATGCATGCGCGTCTCCCCTTTGTGCCTATCAGTTTTGATAAATCTTATTTTTCAGCCTGATAACTTATATCACAGTTGCATATATTCATATATATATATATATATATATATCTTTATTCCTCTTTGCATAATTGACGTGCATTTTGTGAAGAATATTTTTATGATAATTTCTTTTTTTGCCAACCTTTTTACGTATTTTGTTTATTCCTTTTCCAATTTTTTTTTTTTTTTTTTTTTTGTACAAATTTAAGCCTAAACCATTATTTTTAACCCTTTAAAAAAATCTCAAATGAAATAGAATATGCTTGCACACACGCGCTCGCTTGTAATTTTTGGATATAAAATCTTTTACTCTCTTTTTCAAAAACTAATTTAAGAAATTTTAAAAAACTGTGTTCACTTTTTTCTGCATTTAATAGGCTCAATGTGCTTACACAAATTTTAAGACTTCAACTCTGTGAAGATCTTGCATACGTACGCGTCATGGAATGTGAGTTGGTCCTAATCAATACTTTTGAATATATTACTTGCACATGGGGTTAAAATGTATTGAGAAATACAAAAAAAAAAAAAAAAAAAAAAAAATCTCCAAAAAGAGTGATCAAGATGCGTTTTTTTTTTTTTTTTTTTTTTTTTTAAATTTAAAACCTTTCTTAAAAGAAGTCTCTCTCTTTGCATTTATATGACTTCACATTGGTGTATGTACTCTGCTTTTGTGTGTATATAAATAAAACGGGTATGTAAGGAAATAAGTATAAATACATGCATGTCCTTGCATATAACTTTTTTTTTTTTTTTTTTTTTTCCCTACGTTTTTGAGCTTATTCCTATAAAACATTAGTACCGATGTGTTCTCAGATTATTATGCAACCAATTTATTTACACATTTTTAGTAAGATCTAGAGCATTACTTATAAATTTCTTATGTTTTATTTTAAACCAAGCGAAAAGGGAAAAAAATAAAATAAAATAATAAGCATCCCCTTGAAAATTTATAAAATCCAAGCATATGAAAATTGTTACGATGCAATTCCAAACTTAACACGGGTGAGTTAAATTTTGTGTACTTATTTTCGTCATTGGAAAATTCGTAATTAACAAATTCGTAATTAACAAATTCGTAATTAACAAATTCGTAATTAACAAATTCGTAATTAACAAATTCGTAATTAATAAATTCGTAACTAACAAATTTGTAATTCACAAAATTGCAATTCACAAATTCGTAATTAATAAATTCGTAACTAACAAATTTGTAATTCACAAAATTGCAATTCACAAATTCGTAATTAATAAATTCGTAACTAACAAATTTGTAATTCACAAAATTGCAATTCACAAATTCGTAATTCACAAATTCGTAATTCACAAATTTGTTATTCGCAAATTTACAATTTACATATTCATAAGTAACATATTTGTACGTAACATATATGTACGTAACATACTCTCAAGTTACTGCTAACAAATTAAAGTGTACAATCAACCAAGCTGCAGAATCATACCCTTCAACCAATGCAAAGTTTTGAAACCAAAATTAATTCGGTATTCTGACGATTTTCACCAGCAATTTCCACCAGCATTTTCCACCAGCTCTGCTACACAACTATATGCGTGTGCGCATTTTTTTGTGAAAACTATTTGGGACAAATTGATTAAAGGCAAAAACGACAAAAAAGGATAGAAAAAAAAAAAAAAAAAAAAAAAACAGAAAAAGTTTACATATAATAGGGAAAACAAATTTACACAAAATAGGAAACAAAAATTTACGCAAAAAAAAGGAAACATAAATTTATGCAAAAAAAGCTAACAAAAAATTAAATAAAAAGGAAACAAAAAAATCTACGCAAAAAATAACATACATTCATATGCTGCTATTTTTTTTTCTTCGTGTTTGTAAAAAAAAGAATATACATGTTTAATCTATCAAATTAAATTGAAAAATTCAGATTCAACACTGTTCTGCCAATGGAAATGTTGTATGCAAAAAAGCTATAGCAAAAAATATAGCACAGATTCGGGGATATAATTGCACACTTACCTGTGTTAACACGTATGAGTGTGAATGTATGTATACATGTATGCGCATACAGATGTATACAATCACATGCGTCACTAGGTGAGCGTTAATTCGATTGTGTATACATGTATTTTCAAAAAAGTGTATTCACTACATTTCTGTTTCATACCCATCTAAACAGCTTAACATTTTGAAATTTTTTTTTTTTTTTTTTAACCCCTAAATTTTTTTTTTTTTTTTTTAACCCCTAAATTTTTTTTTTTTTTTTTTTTTTTGGTTTTAATTATTTAAGAAATAAACTTCAAAATTATTAATTAATATTTAGACTGTTTTATCTCTACAAAAAATTAAAGAATTTACAACATATAAAATACCTCTTCATTTCGCTACATTGGTGAATCCATGCCAACCTTTACAATTTTATGCAATTCGCATTTTTTTTTTTTTTTTTTTTTGTTTTTGTTCCTTTTAGCATATGCACGCTTTTATGTATACAAAAATATACCTTTTTTCATTTTTTCGTGCAATTTTTTTGTGTAAAAAAACTGGTGTGAAAAAATATTTTTGTCTGCACATAGGCTTTTCTTTCCCACATTGACACAAGTATCTCTGTTTTGTGTGCCTATATACTCTTGCACGTTTATTACAATCGAATATGATCCCACTACTACCCCATTTACACTCCATTAATTAGTCTTGCTATCCCCTCATGGTAGCATATCATTTTTTTTTTTTTTTTTTTTAATTTTAAGTCATTGTGCAAGATTGCTTAATTAGTGAACTTGACAGGTGCTTCGAAAAGTGTTATCTGATTCTTTCCTATTAGTAGATAGAAAGGAGGGGGGAGGAGTAAAATAACAAAGATGAAGAAAGAAAAGAAAGATGAATATGATGGTCAGAGTGAGAACAATCTCAACAGTTACGATGGTTGCAATAATTATGGTGATCTCAACGGTTACAAGATAAATGGAAAGTCACAAAGTGCGAAGAAGACGAAGCAGGTAGAAGGGGGGCTGTATGACAGCAGAAATGAAAAGGATGCATGTGGTGTGGGAGTCGTGGCAGACATAAATGGAAAAAGTTCAAGAAGTGTTATTCAGAAGGCTATGCAAATACTTCTTCGATTGAGTCATAGAGGTGGAGTGCAATCTAACAATGGTGACGGTGCAGGGATTTTAGTAGGAATACCACATGATTATTTTCAAATGCTGAGTGACACATGTCAATTACCATTTTTATTACCCGAAAAGGGTGAGTATGCTGTTGCACAAATTTTTTTACCTCATAATGAAGAAAGAAGATTATTTTTATACCATGAAATAGAAAAGGAGGTATACAATAATGGACTTGTTGTGTTAGGTTGGAGATCTCCAATTCCAGTTCGTAGTGATGTAATAAGTGCTGATGTAAAAAAAAGTGAACCTTTTATAGCACAGATGTTTGTATGTAAAAGATCAGTATTTAAGAATTACGACGATTTTAATATTTATCCATTTTCAGATATAGATTTTACAGATGATAGTAATTTGAATTTAAACAATTTACCAGATGATATAGAGTTATTAGCCTTTTTTATTAGGAAAAAATTGGTTCGCTATAATGATATGTATTTCTGTAGTTTCTCTTCAAGAACAATTGTATATAAAGGATTATTAACACCATCACAAATATACTTATATTTTGAAGATTTATTAAGCGAACAGTTCACGTCTTACTTAGCTATGGTTCATGTTAGATTTTCAACAAACACATCTCCTACGTGGTATGCTGCTCATCCTTTTAGAAGAATATGTCACAATGGAGAGATAAACACCATTAGCGTTAATTCTTTATTATTTCAGGAAAGAATGCAACTAGCGAAAGCACCTAACTTTTTCAAATCAGTATCTATAAAAGACTTGAGACCCATTAATGAAGAAAATTATGTTATATACGATAATGATGATGAAATAATAGAAAAAAGAGACACATTTGAAGATATTATGTTGACAAAAAATAGAATAAAAAAAAAATCAAGGAGAAGGTTACTTCTTCGATTAAAGAAAGATTTTACCTACAACAGTTCAGCTATTCATTATAAAATAAAAAGGGAATATATGAATTCAGATATTAATAGCAACTCAGAATTTCTAAGTAATGTGAACGAGGCTTCTGGGAGTTCATTCAACGATTCTATCGATGATCTAACAGATCAAGATGATAACAATGTACACTCCAGGTGCATTAAAGAAAAAAATGTATCATGGGATAAGAACAAAAATGAAAAGATATTTGGTCATTCTGTGAATACTCAACTAAAATATGGAAAATCGAAGAAAACGAAAGGTGCTATTAGTTACCCTTCAGATTCTTCCTTATTTGATAATGCTATCGATTTTCTCACGATGACAGGGAGAGAAATAGAACATGCAATTATGATGTTAATGCCAAGGGCATATCAAAAGGACCCAAATATAACCCCATTAGAAAAAGCTTTCTACGAATATCACACATGTTTAATGGAACCGTGGGATGGACCTGCATTAATAATTTTTACAGATGGAAATAAAGTAGGTGCTTCTTTGGATAGAAATGGATTAAGACCGGCTAGATATAGTATTACAAATTATGGATTATTTGTGTTGTCTAGCGAAACTGGAGTTGTGGATTTGTCTTACGACAAAATTACACATAAAGGCTGTGTATATCCAGGAAAAGTAGTTTTGATAGATTTCAAGGAGAAAAAATTTTTAAGACATGAAGATGTATTAAGTAAATTTTTAAAAGAAAAACCGTATAAAAAATGGTTAGATCATTATTCTATCCATTTGGATAATATTATAAAACCTGCTTCTAACATGGAAAATATACGTATGAATGCATATAAATATGGTGCTATTTTAAACAAAGAGAGTTACTATACTAGTAAAGACACAGATGATGCAGATGATCTGGATGATGCTTACGATGAATCCTTAATTAAAAAATTAAAAGCGTTTGGATATACATATGATGCTTTTAATATGATAATTTCTCCTATGGTAAAACATGCAGCAGATGGATTAGGAGCCATGGGAAATGACACAGCGTTGCCCTTTTTAAGTTACATACGGAGAAATTTATTATATTATTTTCAACAAACATTTGCACAAGTAACCAATCCAGCCATTGATCCTATAAGAGAAGAAAATATTATGTCTCTTATGAGTACCCTAGGAAAAGAAGGAGATTTATTACATTGCACATATACGAATTGTCAACGTATATTTATTAATGGCCCTATATTGAATGAAGCACTATATAACATGCTCCTTCAATTACCAGATTTCCCACATATCATAATTGACATGACAGTAGATTTGAGCAAATTAGAATCACTAATGTCTGGAGATGATGTATCAGATGAAATAAAATTTGATGTTGTTAAGAGTATGTCCTCACCAAAAAGATCTTACCACGCAGAAAATACAAATTATACTTTCAAAATGGATGATTACAAGTATAAGCATAATAAGGAAGAATTGAATAAATTGAAAAAAGAGAAAAAAAACAAAATGATTGCTTCAAAATATTTAATTAAATTTATAGATAGTGTGAATACCAAAGTAGAAAATGCTGTACGACGAGGAAGTCAACTAATTGTTTTATCCCATAGTAATATAAACGAAAAGAGAGTACCTATATTTTCTATCATAATTGTAGGTGCATTACATAAATATTTGTTAAGCAAAAATTTAAGAACCCAATGTTCTCTCATAGTTAAAGCTGGTGATTGTTTCGAAATTCATCACTTAGCTGTGCTCCTATCGTTTGGTGCTGATTGTATATATCCATTTATTCTATATGAAAGTTTGAGGTTTATAAAATATGGGGATAATGAAGCCAGATTGAGTAATCAACAAATGATAAGTAATTACAGACATGCAGCAAACTATGGTATTTTAAAAATAATGTCAAAAAATGGAATTTCTACCTTGCCTAGTTATAAAGGTTGTGGATTAATGCAGCCCCTAGGTATATCTAACGAAATTTTAAAAAAATGTTTCATAAATGTATGCGATTCTATTATTGGGGGTGTCACATTCGAATTTGTTGAAAAGGAAATTTTAAAAATGTTTTCTAATGCTTATCCTAAAAGAATATTAACGTTAAATATTAAAGACACGACAGAAGAGTTAGATGATTGTGGGGAATATCATTTTAGAAGTATAGGGAATACACAAATACATATGAATCATCCAGAAACTATTAGCTTATTACAAAAGGCAACAAGAACAGGAAATACAGACACATATAAAAAATATTCAGAATTACAGAACGAATTGATAAATCATTGTGAAATTAGAGGACAATTAGAAATAAATTATAAAAAGTGTCCTTCATATAATAAAAAAAAGAAAAAAAATGAACCCATAAATATACAATTAGTAGAACCTGTGAACAAAATTTTGCTAAGATTTTGTACTGGGGCTATGTCTTTTGGTTCATTATCAGAAGAAGCACATCTAACTGTTACCACTGCCATGAATAATATTGGACTAAAATCAAATACAGGAGAAGGAGGAGAAGCAGAAGATCGTATAAAATCTGATCCATATGAACCTAATACAAATTCAGCTGTTAAACAAATTGCTTCAGCTAGGTTTGGTGTTACAGCATATAGCTTGGTAAATGCACAAGAATTACAAATTAAGGTTGCTCAAGGATCAAAACCAGGAGAAGGGGGAGAATTGCCAGGATATAAAGTTAGTGCAAAAATTGCATCTGTTAGAAGAAGTACTCCAGGTGTTGGTTTAATTTCTCCACCTCCTCATCATGATATGTATTCTATTGAAGATGTTGGACAATTAGTATATGACTTGAAGAATATAAATAAAGAAGCGAAGATTTCTGTTAAATTAGTTTCGAAGCTAGGTATTGGTGTTATAACATCAGGAGTTGTGAAAGGGAATTGTGAACAAATTTTAATCAGTGGCATGTCTGGTGGTACTGGTGCATCTAAATGGACATCTATCAAGCATGCTGGACTTCCATGGGAAATCGGATTAGCTGAAGCACATCAAACATTATGTAAGTCAAAGTTAAGAAAAAGAGTTATTTTACAAATTGATGGACAATTGAAAACAGGGAGAGATGTTATTTTAGGTGCATTACTAGGTGCAGAATCGTTTAGCTTTTCGACACAACCACTTATTGCTTTGGGTTGCATCATGATGAGGAAATGTCATCTGAATATTTGCCCAGTTGGTATATGTACACAAGATCCTGAATTGAGAAAAAAATTCGCTGGAAAACCTGAATATATAATTAATTTTTTTTTCATGCTAGCTGAAGAAGTAAGGGAATATCTTGCTAGTATGGGATTCAGGAAATTTTCACAAATTATAGGAAGATCAGATTTACTCAAAAAAAAAGATCATCTGAAATATGACGAAAAGAGAAAGTTGTTAGATTTCTCAAAGTTGCTATTTCCAGGATGGAAATATTATGCAGAAGAAGAGATGAAAGATCACGTAAGCAAAAGCTACTCCAAGAATGTCAACGACAAGAAGAGAAAAACAACTGTGATGACTTCCCGCTATCCAAGTTACAAGTATAAAACATTTGGGACACACGGTACTAATATGAGTGTACTGGATAAAATGAGGAGAAAACAGGTCCTAATTAATGAAAATTACAACAAGATTAAGAAGTTCGAATTTGTGAAAACTGGCAAGGAGGAGTGTGTTCGTGCAGCAGAAGAAAATCAAGATAGTGTAAATAATGTTGGAACAGGTCTTTATGGTGAGACATGCTCATCTCCTGGGGAATATGACGAAGAGGATGCCGATGATGCAGAAGATGAAAGGGATGAGGAGGAGGAGGAGGAAGAAGAAGAGGAAAAGGTTGAAGATGATGAAGATGATGAAGAAGATGAAGATGATGAAGATGATGAAGATGAAGAAGATGAAGAAGATGATGAAGATGAAGAAGATGAAGAAGAAGAAGAAGAAGATGAAGAAGAAGAGGTTGAAGAAACGGACGAAGAAAAAGAAGCAGAAGAAGAGGTAGAAGAAACGGACGAAGAAAAAGCAGAGGGAGATGAAGTACATGGAGAAATGAATGCACCTGCCCATCCACACGGGAGAAAGCCGAGGAAATCAAAAAAGGAAAGAACGAAGAAGAGGATGCATAAATATTTTTTGGAAGAAAATGATCTGAATAATGAACATATAAAAAATGAAAGTGGAAAATATCAGTTAACAGCTAACGGGAGGAATGAAAAGAATGCAGCGGTGTGTACAACGAAGATGAAAAAAATGAAAATGAGTGAAAAGAAGATGCACGTGAAGAAAAAAGAGCCCAAACCCATGGCGATATTTTGTTGTGAAACACAGAATCATAAATTGTCAGATATCATTGATAGAGAATTGATAAGGAGATCCAAGATAGCTCTTCTGAATTGTACACCTGTAAATATAAAGATGCCTATTAAAAATACAGACAGAGCTGTAGGAGCCATGTTAAGTTATCATATAATCCAGAAATATGGGGAACCTGGATTACCAATGGATACAATAAAAGTGAAATTTCGAGGAACAGGAGGATTATCATTTGGAGTTTTCCTAACTAGTGGTGTTAATTTTGAATTAGAAGGAGATGCTAACGATTTTGTAGGAAAAGGACTATCAGGTGGTATTATTTCTGTACATTTTCCTAAAACATCATTATTCATAAATGATTGCCAAAAAAATATGATTGCAGGGAATTCAGTTTTGTATGGTGCTACAAAAGGAAGAGCTTTTTTTGCTGGACGAGCTGGAGAAAGATTTGCAGTTCGTAATTCTGGTGCTATTGCAGTTGTTGAAGGAGTTGGATGTCATGGGTGTGAATATATGACAAAAGGAATAGTTGTCGTTTTGGGAGAAATTGGTTGTAATTTTGCTGCTGGTATGAGTGGTGGTATTGCATATGTATTAGATATTAATAAAAAAAATGTAAATCATCAAATGGTCGATTTGAAAGTGTGTAAAACTATGGATGAAAAAATGACACTGGAAAAATTATTACATGAACATTATGAAAGAACAAATTCATATACAGCCAAGATGTTGTTACAAAATTTGGATGAAAATTTACAAAGGTTTACTAAAATTATTCCAAGAGATATTAAAAGAGTTTTAACTGAAGCATGTATCGAATTTGTAAAAACAGGAAATGAAGAAGCAGCTGCAATTTTAGATGATTGGGCATCGTTATTAAAAAATGTTGATCAACCAGAAAATATGTATAAAAAGGCAATGCAATTCTTTACTACGATTTCGGATGATATTTCAGGTTTACCAAAAACCTTAGCACTGAGAAATGTAGATGGGTTGATAATTTACGACATTTTGCAAGATAATCATAGTAGAAAATTATTAACAGTAAAAAATTATACACATGATTTGAATATGGTCCAAGAAAATGAAAATCATCAAGGTCATGCGAAAAAAAAAAAAATTTTCGATTTTGAAAGATTTATTCATAATTTAGAAATTTGCAGAAAAAATAATAGAAAATGGAGGAGATTTTCTGAAATACCATTTAAGTGTAGTGCTTTTGATGATTTTAAAAATATCTTTCCAAAAATTCTAGATGAAAAATCTAAAGAAATGATCAAAAAGTATATACTTAATGAGAAATATTTGCTAGATTTGCATCTGAAATCGCTCAATTCAAACACATTTATTGACAGCTTGATAATGAGAGACGAGGGGGAAGATTACATGAATATGACTCAGAACCAAATAAGTCCAAATGCCTACTCATTAAAAAATTTCCTTTATGCAAATGAAAAATCAGAGACAAACACTAAGGATGATCAGCAAAATGTGAAAATCCCTGAGCGTGGTAATAATTTACCTGTTTCTACTGCTTCTGCACACAGTATCACATGTGCTTCTGTATCATCAGTAGATCAAAGGGAATGTAGAAAAGTTGAGGAAATTTGCACCGGTTCAGTGTCTGCTGTAACAAATTGTGCTTCTTCTCCATCGAAGGATATGCGTCCCATAGTAACAAAAATAGTTACGCACACACAAGGTAGCTACGAAGGAGAAATAGTTGATTCAAACATCCCAAACATGAACCTAGCGAAACCGTTTTTAGCTGTAAATCCAAATAAAGTAACAGGATTTAAGGAATATGAAAGGTTATCTCATCCATTGAAAGATATCAGCAGTAGAGTATTGGATTATTCAGAAATTATAGTACCAATAAATGGAAAAAGTAAGTTACACAATCAATTATTAAAAACGCAAGCATCTAGATGTGTAGACTGTGGAACACCTACTTGTCATTATCCAAATTCTAGTGGGGGAGGATGTCCTTTAGGCAACAGAATATTTGATTGGAATAATTTAATATATGAAAATGAATGGAAAAAAGCGTTAGAAAGATTATTAGATACAAATAACTTTCCAGAAATTACAGGTCGAGTATGTCCAGCCCCGTGTGAAGATGCATGTGTTTTAAGCATTAATGAAAAACCAGTGTCCATAAAATTTATAGAATTATCGATCATCGAATGTGGTTTTTTAAAAAAATGGATTCAACCAATTATCCCACATAATAGGACAGGTAAAAAGGTGGCAATTGTCGGTTCAGGTCCAGCAGGGTTAACAGCAGCACAACAATTGAATAAAGCTGGACATGAAGTTTCCATTTTTGAGAAGGATGAATATTTTGGTGGATTACTAATGAATGGTATACCTAATGTACGGTTAGATAAGAAAATTATAGAAAGAAGGTTGATAATAATGAGAAAAGAAGGAATCATTATGAAAAATAACACAAACATAGGAACTGATATAACTTTGTCAGAACTGGCAACAAATTTTGATGCAGTTTTGTTATCAACTGGTTATAAAATTCCAAGGAAATTAAATATTCCAGGATCTCATTTAAATAACATTTATTTTGCTATGGATTTTTTAACAACTTGTCAAAAATCTCTTATGAAATCGGATCTAACAGATGATAATTATATAGATGTATCAGAGAAGCATGTTATCATATTAGGTGGTGGAAAAACAGCTGTTGACTGCATCAGTTTGGCCATTCGCATGGGTGCAGCTAGCGTTTTACAATTCACCAGACAAGATATTCCACCCATGAATAGTACAGAATCTGCATGGCCAGGATTAAAGCATATATTTAAGGTTGAATATTCACATGATGAAGCTATAATAATCCAAGGCAGAGACCCAAGAGAATTTTGTGTAAGGAGTATAGAATTTATCTCATCCAGTAAAGACCCCAAAAGAGTATCTGGAATTAGAGCTATAAAAGTAAAATTAAGAAAAACTCCGAAAGCTGAAATGAGAAAACCTCTACTTCTGCGTACGACCTCTGCAAAATCGACAGGCGCTTCTGTAGTTACATCGAGTACTACTGTTTCTACCATACCAAGTAACAATGGTATTTTGTCCAAATTGGAATCCAAAAAGCAAGTTCCCAAACTGGCTAAAAAAAAATGCCAAAAAAATGTTATCAGATCCACTGGAGCAGTAGCAGTAGTAGCAGCGGCAGAAACAGCTGAAAACGAAGCACCTGGGGGAGAAAACACGACTGCAATGACGACAAGGAAAAGCACAAGTTCTCATTCCTCTTCGCCAGGAGGTGCAAAGGGCATTATTAAAAACTATCAAACATCGAAAGAACAAAAGGAATACACAGATATTCCATTTACTGAAAGGATTTACAAAGCTGATGTTGTAATTTTGGCATTAGGATTTTCAAAAACAGATGATTCCATTTGGGAAAATGATTCCATTAAGGTTGAACTTAATAATAATAACTGTATAAAAACAAAAAACAGGACTTATCAAACTAATTACAAAAAGATATTTGCCTGTGGTGACTGTAGAGTAGGCCCTAGTACTGTTGTACAAGCAATAGCTGACGGGAGGGATGTGGCAGCAAAAATAGATGAATTTCTGATGAATACAAATTCAATTTTACCTTCTTGCAACACCTATTATTATTATCCCCCTAATTACAAGAACGTTCCTTTTGGTACAGCTCATTGGGGATGATGCTTCATTTGTTTCGTTGTGTCATATGTATGTATGTATGTGTGTATGTATGTGTGTACGTATGTATGTATATATGTATGTAATTTTTTTTTTTTTTTTTTTTTACACAATGGATAACTTGTGTGCGTTTTTATTTGTAATATTTTATTCATTCCTTTTATTACTTCAATTTTTTATTTCCTAAGTTTGATGTTAATTTTAATGTTCACGTGGGAAAGTTACTGTGTACCACTTTTTCCTAATTAATTTTTGCACACATCCTATTTAACATTATTTTGTTATAAAAAAGGGGGATGTATTTTATTTACATAAGGAAAAAAAATAAAAAAAAATAAAAGTAAAATAAAATAAAGAAATAAGAATAAAATAAAAAAATAAGAACAAAATAAAATAAAAAAATAAGAACAAAATAAAATAAAAAAATAAGAACAAAATAAAATAAAAAAATAAGAACAAAATAAAATAAAAAAATAAGAACAAAATAAAATAAAAAAATAAGAACAAAATAAAATAAAAAAATAAGAACAAAATAAAATAAAAAAATAAGAACAAAATAAAAGTAATATAAAATAATCACTACACAACAAAATTAACCATAAATATAAACCTATATCAGTGTGTATAAATTAAAAATATTCGTAAAGTTTGCAATAAAGAATAAATAAAAAAGACTCTAAGATGTTGCAAAGATTAAAATGAAAAGACAGCGTTACATGTGCTTAAGGTTAGGAACGCATTTACAAGCGTTTCTTTTTTGAGGTAAATTTAAAAAGAAGAAAAAAAAAAAGAAAAACACATTTTAACACACTTATCCAAGGGCACACTAAAAAAACGAACGAGCGAACGAACGAACGAAAGAAAGAACAACATTTGGGTGGGTACAATCTGCATGCATGGTAAAACACTTTTACACAAAGTCATGCTTGACATAGCTACACATAATGATAGGAGAAATGTTGTGTGCATACATTAATTCGGGCGGTATTCCAAACAAACGAAGTGAGACGGAAAAAATAAGAAAGACCACAGATTAGAGTATAAATGATCCAATAAATTATGTCATAAGTGCAGGCGTGGATGGCCATTTGGGAAGGAAAATAAGGAAATTCTTCTGCTTCGTCAAACAGGCATTTTGCGAAACGAACAAAATGAGGAACAGAAAATACTTACGAAATTCCATTATGAGCAGAAAAAATAAAACAAGGCAAAACAAAGCAAAACAAAGCAAAACAAAGCAAAACAAAGCAAAACAAGGAAAAACAAAACATACATTTTTAAGTTTCTCATCACAAACACAAAAAAAAATAAATAAACTAAAACATAAATTTTTAAGTTGCTTTTCGCACACAAAAAAAAAAGAAAAATAGAAAAACAATCACATAGTAACCACAAAATAGTCACATAGTAACCACAAAATAGTCACATAGTAACCACAAAATAATCACATAGTAATCACAAAATAATCACATAGTAATCACAAAATAATCGCAAAATAGTGACAAAATACATCTCATATGGAGGGCTCCTTTTAAACCAGTGAAGCAGGACTTCACTGCCCATGTTCATGTGTGTAATCGTTGGAGAGAAATATGATCACTTAACCAAAGTCCTGTTAAGATAAACTGTCCTATTTAATGTGCTATCCTTGTCTTTTGAGGAGGTTTTCATTTGCAAACTTCCCTTGGTACTCATAGATGACAAATTTGCATATCCTTCTTTTTTCTTTTTGTTTAAAGAATATATTTTCGAGCTAAATTTCTTATTGTTTTCGCTTATAAGTTCCGCAATTATATTATTTTTTTCACCTTTTTTTGAACGATTTACATTTTGCATCAAAAGGGATCCGTTATTCTCAGGAACAACTAATTTACTTCTGTTAGACTTAGAATACATAAACAAGTCATTGCGTTTCTCGTTAATTATTTTCTCTTGCTGAGCGTTTATAGTAGCAATTTCGTTGTTTAACTTTTCTATATATCCACGTCTTAACTCATCATGTTTTCCTTCTCTTAATTGGTTAGCATGTTTATGTTTGTTATAAATATCTCTCTTGTTCAAGACACGCATATTTTCCACTATCTCTACACCTTCCACTTCATCCATTAACCCCGATTCTTCCTCTCTTGTACTATTCATATCGTAATAGATATCTTCATCAAATTCGTTATCCTCTACAATGCAACTGTTACTATGTGGATGTTGATCATTGTCATGACCATTTTTTCCTTCATATTTTCCATTAGAACGAAAAGGATCATTTATAAATTGGGTTCTACCATATGACTCAAGGTCCTCTCCATTTTCTCCATAACAAGGATCGATATTTCCTCTCTTCTTCGTTTCTTTTAAAGTCATGGAATGCACCCCCTGAGCAGAATCGAAACTTGGGACAATTTCGACGTTGTTGGGTTCATCCTGCAGATAGGCGAAATGGTTTTGCTTTATTTCATTTATTATTATTATTTTTATTTTTTTTCAAAAGCAATTATATTAACACTATTTTATATTTTTGTGTTTTATTTAATTTTTTTTTTTCGAACATGGAGTCTGCACATTTTTGATTCCCTATTTTTTTTTAACCTGTTCCCTTTTTCTTGCTTTCATGTAATTCTTCCATTCTGATTCACTGAATCCAATTTTCTCGGCTACATCTGTGCATAAAATATCTTCAGGATTTAAAATTCTATAATTTCCTATCCACATTTTGGGTTTCATTTTATTTGGGTAATAAACAAATGTCCCTTGAACAGCATTCCCATCAACTGGAAAATGAGAGACAAAGGAACAAAAAAAAAAGAGAAATTAAAATGGTGCATTTTAGGCATGTGGAAGTGGTAGAAATGGTGAATGCACCGTATAGGTACTCATCTTGCGGAGTATGAAAAACATTAAAGTGAATTCATTATGATCATCAGAAAGGTAAGGTTAATTATTTTATTTTATTTTTTTTTTTAACAACTTTTATTTTATTTTTATTTTCATATATAATCCTTTTTACAATGTTCCAAATGAAGTCTATATTAAAATGAACAAATATCATAATAAATCAGTGCCTATAAATTGTTCAGGCGCTATTTTTCTTTTTTCTTTTTTTTTCGCATTTGTTTACTTGTCGTATTGTTACTTAGCGCTTCATTCATCATTTTCTGTGGGAAATCTGGATCTTCTATCATCTCAGGATCTCCCTATAAAAATGTGTGTAAAAAAAATATTTAGGATATATCTATTATTACACCCATAACGTATAAGCAATATGTGCACATACAAGCTTGAAAGTGATAAACAATATTTCCCCTTTTTGTACATAAGGGACAAGAAGTTTACATACATAAGTATGCTATTCTTTAGGATCGATATTCTTTATTTGTCTTTAAGAAGTTCCCTTCATTTGTTTTTCACTCCTTTGTGCATACCTCATTTATTGTTCTATACTCCCCAATTTTTGTGCTTAACTCAAGCATTGTTAGTGGCTTTTTTTGCTGTGCACAGGATATATTCCCCATTTGCAAACTGAAAAGGTCTCTTGTTGTATGCTTATTTTCACGTTTGGATAGGTACACTTTCCAACAATGTGTTATAGATGGTCTATATAAACATATATATATATATGTTACACGCTTCTTTTAAGAAAAAATGTACCGTGGGATAATCACAATTAGACATAAAAGGTTCCCTTTTGTTAATGTGTTTTTATTTATTTTATTATTATTTTTTTTTTTTTTTTATCCGTAGATTGGCACAATTTTTCACTAACTTTGAAATGTACACAAGTAACTCACAATACAAGGAAATTTAAAAACATTTTATTTCTTGAGTCTTACCTTTTTCATTATTTTCTTTTTTTCTTTTTTATATTTAAAAATGTTCTTACAGTTTTGTATAAATTGCGGGATTATTTTTTTTTTTTTTTTTTTTTTTTTTTTTTTTTTTTTTTTTTTTTTTGTTTGTATAGAATTTTATGAACTTGCCTTTTTTCAGCAGTAGTTTGTAGATCTGAATCATGTCTTTTTTTTTTTTTTTTTTTCTTTATGATTATAGATCAAAAGTTTAGGTGTAATAATAATAGTTCTTACAATTTGGTTGCATTGCCCTTTATACTATTAAGGAAAAAAGAGTTGTCTTAAGCAATACAATTATATTCATACGCACACAATTATTATGTATGTTTATATAAATATCCATGTAGTTTATTTTAATTTTTTTCAACTGTCTTCACTTTCCTGTTGCTCCTGCACAACATAAAAAAAAAAAAAATAAAATAGAAAACTGGATATAATTTTTAGAAAGCTTGTAATTGGGGGGGGTATACACAAAAGTGTACAAACCTTAGAGTTTTTCACAGAAGCAAATAGAGTTTTGTGTGGGAGATGCATTTTTTTAATACCCTTTTTTTTTTTTTTTTTTTTCAGTTACGTTTTTATAAAAACGTGATCATGATTCAATTTTTGAAAATTCCAATTTTATTTCCTCATAAGAAGTGAACAAATACACAGTACAAATGGGTACGAAGCTATTTTTTTTTTTTTTTTTTTTTGCCCCAATATTCCCATTTTGTTGCTACTTTTTAAACTTGTACGTGGAAAATCATTTAAATTTCCATAATTTCACATATCTGTGTAAAAGCATGCTACATAGCAGTGCTACTTTTTGTTACTCCCTTTTAAAAGTAATATATCTAACTTTAAGTGACAGAAAAAAAAAAAAAAATGAACCTTTACTGAATTGAGAAATGCTTAATACGTTGAAAAAATGCTAACACCCTGAAAATTGCATAACAAATTGAAATTATATACTGTTAATCACCTGATAATGTCGTGCAGACTAATGCAACATGAAATTTCTGTGTGTGCTTGTTCAAAATGACTTTTTAAATGGAGGAATATTCGCAGGAAAAATAAGCATATACATAACTATTACTACACTTTAAGGTTATGTACATGTGTCATACCTTGGATGAGGTAAATGTGGATTTCCTTTCGTGTCAAATTAACCAAAACAAATGAAGTAATGTTGGCATAAAAAAAAATGTGCAAAGTGTAATTACGTGCACAACAAATTGGGTTGCTCATGGGAACACACAGAGCAAAAAAAAAAAATAAAATAAAATAAAATAAAATAACAAAATAAAATTATGCTGTAAATGTGTTAAACATTTATTAAAAGGTACATTTTTTCTTCCTCTTTTTTTTCCTCTTTTTTTTCCTCTTTTTCTTCCTCCTTTTCTTCACCTTTTCTTTTTTCGTGTATCTGTTTAATCACACCTTCTACATTTCTTTTAATTTTCCAAATCGTGCGGTGCTTAATTTAACTCTCACTTTTTTTTTTTATTTGCCTCCGTTCATGCTGCACTTCTGTAAGTGCAAAAATGAGAATTCCTCTTGAATTCCCAACTAGTGCCACTTATAATGTTGATAGATTACCAAAAAGATGTGTTCAGTGGAATAGACACAAAAAACGTGTTGACACATACGAGGAACATTATTGTCACATGAAACAAATTTGTATATAGTAAACGAATTTACATTCCCTCCTCACACCTCTATGCAAATAATGAGCACAAGATGTGAAATTACTCACAAGGACTACATGAAAATACTTTCTAGAAAATGCTGGAACTGCATTCGCACCAAATGAACAGTGTGGTACTGGCACTTGTGTTTATGAAGATCCAAATAAATCCATATTTGTTTTGATACCTTTGTGGTTTTGTACATTTTTACTTATAATCATCAGTGGTACCTAATGGAGCACTTAAGTATAAATAAGACAATTACGTCATTTGGTATTTATATGTGACTTTTTCCCAATTGTATACACATCCACCAAAAAGGTTTCAAAAATAAAAATTTGTGGCATATTTGTGTAGAGGCTTAGGTAAACCAGTAAGCATATATACTTTTTTACATATATATGTCTATCATAATAAATGATTTTTTTTTTTTTTTTTTTTTTTTTTCGAGCATAGCGAGACATGAGTTTTTAACGTGTAGCTTAAATAAATACTATTTTTACATGATGAGCCTGAATGTTTTTCTTTTTTTTTTCTTTTTTTTTTTTTTGTTTACATCTAATTTATTTTCCTTCATCAAATTGTGCCTTTGTTTTTACCCATTTGTGGACACATTTTTCATTAATACCCAATCCTCGCTGGGGATGCTTAAATGGACTCACAAAAAATGTCAATAAGGTTTACACAAACATTTTCACTACTCACATTATTCTCACTAGTGGTATCTTGAATGGAATATGCATAATGACATGCACATATACTTGTGTGTCACACCCTGAGCTGAGATTATCATATGTTTACCTCGTAAGGTGAAAAAGTAATTTTATAGCACACGTATATATGTTTTTTATATACAAAAGGCCATTTTGTATGCAACTTTTCGAAAATAACTAAAAATAGGGAAAAAAAAAAAAAAAAAAAAAACCATTATATACTCCTTCAAGATTGATCGAAAAAAAAGTTAAATTATAGCCCTGTCACGATAACCACGAAAGAATAGAGAAAAAAATATGCACAAAGAGGCTTTTGTGTATTTTTTTACTTTACGCATTAATTTACTTATATATATATATATTTATTTACTAATTTACTTATCCATTTACAATTTATTCTTTAATTATTTTTTTTTGTTTTTTGAAGAAATAAGGTACACATTTTTTTTTTTTTTTTATAACGATGGACGAAGGAAAGAACGCATTTCTTTTTCACCTATTTTGCTCGAATGCAAATGATCAGACAATGGAAGAAGAAAGTAAAATAAGAAATTATAGATTCCTGAAATTACCAAGTATATCTGAACCTTGTAAATTAGTTTTATACTATTTTAATGACAAAAGTAATGAATTATATTTACTGGAACGAAATTATTACAACCCCAAAATTGAATCTATAAAACATGAAAATGATAAAATAAATAAAAGTTGTGTGTCTCTTTTTATAAATAACTACACTATACAGAATGAATGTTGTTTTTTTTGTTATCCCATTGATGTAATTTTTCTTTTTACAACCTTGATATATCAGAACTGCACAAGCAATACTTACACGACATTGGGAGATTATATAGACAATATATTAAGAAATAATGACATAAAACTAAAAAATGAAATAAAAAAAAATATTTTTTACATTTTAAACAAAAATATAAATAATGTAAAAGACAGATTAAAAAATGTATGTGATGAATTATACGAAATGGGGAAATTTTATTACAAACCAAATTTAAAAAAAGTAAAAAATTTTTATAACTTTAAATGTGTTATATTATTTAATTATATAATTGAAAATAAAATTGTTTTTTCTGATTACATGCAACAAATGGATAAAGAAATTTTAGAAAAATACAAAATTAACTTGAACTTGCATTCAATCAGTACAACGAAAATGAAAAACATGAATTTAAAACAAATCGATAAATACAATGAGTATAAAAAAAATGTTGATTCTTATGTGATACATTTTAATAAGAAATATTATAAATTCTGTGGATCTGATTTAAGGACTTTTGTTTGGTTAATTATGAAAGGATTTATGAGCTTATCTTTAAGTGAAAAAATCACCCCTCCCGATATCCATGAAAAATTAAGTAAAATGAAAGAGGACGACAAAATGAAAAAAATGCAACAAAATGAGACATTCACAAAAGGCAAGAAACATCCTCTACAGCCTCCTAGGAATCAGATGATGATAGAATCATTTTTTAAAAGGAAAAAGACGAATTGAAACATGCAAATGGCACAGCAGGATATAAGAAGAGGGAGAAGAAACAAAATATTATCTGCACGTTGCTTGAGAATATATGTAGGTACTACCGTTGTTTATGCCTTTACATGCGTGTGGATGTATATCTGTCTATATATTTCTCTATTCACCATTCATCTCTCTCCGTGTATACATGTAAATATATATATACATGTGCACACACTCAGGAGCAGGTTCTTACATATTATATCCCCCAGCAGAACCATGTTTTCGTAGTGAAAATATTTTGGTGGTTTGACTTTATCCCTCTCGTTATATTATTCTCCATCCATATGTTCACTCCAACTCACTACATTGATAATGTTCTCTAGATGATATACTAAATATTTATGCAAATGGATACGTCTAATCCTTCATACATTTTTTTTCAAATTTGATATTTTTAAAAAGGCGATATCTCAAAATTTTACGCCCCTATATATATATATACAGATGTGTGTACATTAAAGAACGTGTTAAGATGTAACTGAATTGATGAAAAGAAAAGTGGATGAATATTCTGCATTTCCCTTCACCCCACTTGGAAATATAGGGCGCAAATGTTTTGCCAAGATGAGTGAGTACCAAATTGAACAAATGAGGAAATGGAGATGGGGCAAAAAAGGAAAAATAAAACAATCGCGGACACATACGTGCATACATACGATGACACACTCATACGGACGGCTTAACTTTAAAATAGATGCATCATAATTCAGTAGAGCATCAAAAACGCCTAAACATTTGTTCTCACAAATTTTGTCTAATTTTTGTGAACGATCTTACAGCTGCTACAGAGGCTGCTACCGTATTTCAATCCAGGAAGTAGGCTGTTTTTTTTTTTTTTTTTTTTTTTTTTTTTTTTTTTTTTTTGACTTAAAAATGCTTGGTTGTAGAGTGAAAACGGGGGTAAATTTTTATGTGTATATAAGTGTGCATATTATACGTGAAAAGACTTATGTATCTTATGCACATCATGTCTGTCTCTTAAAACCGATATGTCCGTTTGATCAAATGTAGGAGAGTCGACAAAATGCAGAATCCTCCAAATTGGTGTACTAAGGCCAAGTGGATAGGCACGTGATGAACTAATGTGCTTATGCCGGTTAACATTTGCGCTGTTGTAATAAAGGGCAGAACGAAGAAGAGGCGTTTTGTTTTTTTACTTAGAGCAATTTTCTGTGAATAATAATATAAGAGAAAACTATTTAGGACAATGAGATAGCTTAGCATACGATGATTAAATTGTACGAGTGCAGTGTTTTCAAATAGCTGTTCATATTTTTTCTTTTTGCTGATATAAAAATTTTTTACATCATCGGGAATAAATTTATCTAACATTTTTGGCCAAGTATTATAAGCATATCCTGCATCATTTCCAGCTACAAAACCTCCATATAAAATATTTGAAAAAACTAAAAGGGTAAAAAAAAATAGACCTAATTTCATACCCCTGATGATATTTCTTTTCTCATACATTTCATGTATTAATTGGTTCCTCAAAAATTCAGGCCAAGTTTCAATTTGACTTTTACGATACTGTTTTCTCAACTTTCCTATTTCGATTAACGTTAATGAATTCAGAAAAATATAACTGTACGTTACTGTTGCACAAAATAGATGAAAAACTAGTCGGTATGGTGAAACTCTTGGTGTTTTATTTTCTGTTTGCGGTTTTTGAAATCCACTTTTGACCATCCACCAGCCTACAAATCCTTGAAATGTTCCTAATGCCAAAATAACGCTTAATTTTTTTATCATATTTTTTTTTAAATAATTTTTATATATAAAAAATCCTGCTCCACTAACAAAAAACAAACCTATAAAACGACCAAATGTTCTGTGTAACCATTCATTAAAAAATATTTTCTTATAATCATCTATCGAAATGTTATAATGCACTTCTTTATATTCTGGAGTTAATTTATATTCTTCAAATTCTTTTATCCATTCTTCTTCGTCCTTTGGATATTTGATACCGCGAAAATTCCAGTGCGTTATAGATAATCCACTTTCTGTTAATCTTGTGTACCCTCCTATACTTATCATAACTAATATTAATAAGCTGCACGTGTTTAGCCACATTCCCACTTTGAACTCCTGACCTTCTTTCACATAGTTCATGTATTTATTGGCCTTCTTGATTAAGAACGATTCTTCTTCCTTGCTTAATTTTGTGAATGTGCTAAAATGACGCTTATATTTCAACGTCTTGTTCTTGGTTGCATTTTCAAACACCCTCCTTATCTGGTGATGTCGTAAAAAGGAAAATTTGTTCAGATACATATTCAAACAGAACTTGATACGATTCCATACAGTTAGACGCAATTTTGATGTGCTCGAAATGTTTATTAAAAGTTTTTCCTTCCTTTATTCCGTTTAATAGCAGAAGCACTCATACACACATGTACACAAAAAAAAAGCATAAAAGAGAGAGGATCAAGCAAAGGTACTATTCATTCATGTCATGAATTGTAAAAAGTGCGTTTTTTTATAAATTGAGTATTACATTACTGCAAAATATGATATGCACAGGATGTCATAAAGGAAAAAGAAAATGTAGGAAGGGAGAAAAAGAAAAAAATAATAGTTGTGCCGATAATAATAATAAAAATATGATAAAGTGCCCCAATTTGCAAAAAATAACAAAAATACATTTCACAAAAGTGCAAATGTTGGGTATTTTTACAAGTGTACTCTACCCCCTCTATGGGAGTTATATTTATTGTTTTACAGAAGCTACTGTTTTGTTTATCCATCTATGTGATATCTTATTTTTGATTCCTTTGTATTTATACGTAAGTACAATAGGCTTTTCAAAAAATTTACTCAGAGTAGCAGGTGGTCGATAAAAAATATATATCTCTCTCACTCGTTTTGATTTTTCTCCCATTTTTCGTTCATAAACGTGCACAGATACTGTAGTTCGTTTTCTTATTTGATACAAAGGAAAAAAGTAGAAGCCTTCTTTGCCCACCTATTCACAAATGACATAAAATTTTAGCTAATTCAAAGTTTGTGTTATTTTATTGCTGGTCACATAACACATTTTGTTGCACATGCAAGAGTGCAAATATAAGTGGGCAGCAAAAGAGCATCTGACAGGGTAAAATAAAATTTCTTATGTTTTGTGTACAAGTGGGAAAATAGAATATATGTTATATATCATGCAAACATACACGGACGTGAATCAAATATAATTTTATAATCATTTAAACTGAGGTGAAGATAGCCTTGAGGCATTCTTTCATATACATTTTTTTTTTTTTTTTTTTCTCTACACCTATTTCACGTACACTTGTTTTATTAAAAAAAAAAAAAAAAAAGACGAACCAACAGTAGTTGTAGTAGTGCTTCTTCCACTGCTACTAACTGTGGTTGCCAAAATAAAGTAAAATAAAAATCTCTGTTATGACATTAAGCAGGAATGTTGCATAGTATTAACACTATGTTTCAATAAGGGTTGATACAATATAATAAGTGAAGTTAGCACGGGCCTATACATCAATGGCTAACCAATTTTTATGTATCCAATATTTCAGTACACGAGTGCTATGTTTTCTGTTGGAAAAAACTCTTACTAGCTTAAGTTGGGAATAACTGAAAAAAATCATATCATTTAGGTTTTCTTTTCAAAACACTTTGAATCACTGTAGGGGAACTAATGCGGGACTGTGACAATATGAAGTGGTCATACGATCTTGTCATAATGTATGTAGGAGAAATGTAAATACCAGCACTCCATAAAAAAAAAAAAAAATATATGTAACAAAACAATTAGAGGTAGGACAAAAGCAAAAATAAAAAAAAAAAAAAAAAAAAAAGAACCCAATCTCCAATCATTGCCGTCACACGACAGATAAAATATACACATCTTAAAAGGTTAAGTAATAATAAATTCCACGGATGGAAAACAAAGTTATTAATCCACCTTAAGTCAAGAATAAGCCGCATAATTTTCGGGACTTGTAATTTTTTGATCATTAGGGACATACTAATTACATCCCTCTACTTTGTATATATTATTTAACGATTTAACAATAACACGTTTTTTGACCTGGAAAAAAAAAAAAATAAAAATAAATAAATAAATGAATTGGGGTAAGATTGAGGTTCGTTGCAAATATATGAATTATAGTAATGTCATGTATTCTACGAAAAATAAATTTTGTGTGTATTTTGAGTTATGTTTTCCTTTGGTGATGCATTACCAAATTATGATGGCCTGGTAAATGATCAATATAATTTTTAGCACTTTTAGATTCTTTATTATTCAGAGGAAGATGAATCAAATAATTCCTTAAAGAAACGCTTTCCTCGTCGTTGTCATTTTTTATTATATAATCTCTTATGTAATTCATTTGTTCTGGGAAAGAGATAAACTCATCGGAATTTTTTTTTTGTTTATTTAAAATAGTTTCTGTGGATGATTGTGATAAAGCAGTTTGACCTACGAAAAAAAGGAGAAAAAAAAAAAAAAAAAAGGGGAAATTCTTTATCTTAAGCTTTAAAAGGCATAAAAAATAACATACTAGGGAAAACAGGGTTATGGGGAAAATATTTGTACTAATATATTTAAAAAGAAAAAATAAAATATATAAGCATATATTGTTTTACCTTTTAAAATATTCCTTGTGTGATTTAATGATATATCTCTGTAGTTGAAGCGAAGGTTGTACATTGCGTTTGTCTTCAAGTAGGATCGATTTAACGTTAGCATGTTTATAGGATAACAATTGTATGTGCCCTAAAATAAAAAAGAGGATGCATTTCTCTTATCATACATATTATTGCAGTATTAAGTGTGCATCTTAGAATTAATAATAAAAAAAAAAAAAAAAGGAATAAAAGTCTAATTCTGTTTTATTTGGACTAATTCATCTAGGAATTATTATGTCTCAAATGTTAATTATTCTGCTGCTACTTCAAGCAGAGACTCTTTTATTATTTTTTATTATTATTATTTTATTATTATTTTTTTTATTATATTATTATTATTATTTTTTTTTATTATATTATTATTATTATTTTTTTTATTATATTATTATTATTATTTTTATTATTATTTTATTATTATTATTATTTTATTATTATTATTATTTTATTATTATTATTATTTTATTATTTTTTTTTTTTCAAAAGAATATTTCAACTTGAACATTTTTCTAGGTGTAAAACAATTTCGTGTGAACACGCACATGTATCTGTGCATTATCTATATTTTTTGAAGTAAATTTTTTAGTACATTTTCCAATAAGACATACACGTAATTTTCTCCTATAAATTTTAAAAACTTTCCCTTCCCTTCAGGTGCTATGATTTCACACATATCATCCAACATTTCAGAAATTGGATCACTTCCTTTTACTGCTCTAGCCTTTACTTCCTTTTTGATATCATATGATATGTAACTACTTGGCTCCTTATCTCTTTGTAAATTTTCCATTGATTTTTTATTCTTATAGAAACATTTAGACTTCACTACACTTTCAACTTCTCCATAGCTTCCTTGTTTTATCGACTCTTTTAAATCGTTTGAACTGTTGGAAACACTTGATATATTGGACTGCGAAGTAGCTATATAGTCGTAGATTACTCCAAATTTGTTCTCGTTCTTAGCAGGATGTCTATTGAAAACTATACCATGCTCTTCATCACAATATTTTATTACTGCCTCAGCCATATCATTCTTGTTGCACATTTTTAGATAATCCACAAGGATAGCCTTTTTGCTTATTTCTCCCATACTTTTACATGTAAAATGATATTTTATTTTATTAAACGGACTTTATTTATGTTGTGTTTTGTGCAAAAGAGAAAAATTGTGTATTTAACATCTTTGTTAAAATGGTACATGTTCTTACAAAGAAAATTTAAATGTTATCCAGTGAGCACAATTTTTGGTATACCACGAAAAAAAATAAAATAAACCCATAAATGGATAATATACAGGTGTGATGAAAAAAAAAAAAAAAAAAAAAAAAAAAAAAATTAATAAATAATGCACACACAGCTGCAAATTAAGGAGAAATTTATTCTTTGGTTACATAAAAAGCCATTTTTTCATATTTCAAATTTATAAAAGAAAAAAAAAAATGGATACAATGGCTCGATTTTGTTCCGCATTTACCTGACATGTTCATAAAAAGCTGCATTTTTTTTTTTTTTCTTTATTTACCCTTTTTAAATCTTACGATGTTGTAAAACCAAAACTCAGCTTGTATTCACATTTTATCAAATTCGTGACGACACACACAAGCTTGTTTTGTTTGCACATTTTTATATTAAAGGAAATTATAACAAAAAAAAAAAAAAAAAAAAAAAAAAAACTGGCATAGTAATTTAAATTAATAATTTTCTATAAGACAAGTTGTCTATTACAGTTTATTCAAAGTGTTCAGTCATATTTCTCCATGAAAATAAGCTGTTAAAAAGGTTTTCTTAAATTGTGCTATTTCATAATTTATATTAATGTATAACACGTTGCATATAATGTAGGATTAACATTATATGAACAAGCAGTTTGTACACATATATATAAAAATAATTAATACATGTTATATGCACAATTTAAAAGGTTCAAAATGGGATAAAAAAATTAAGATTCAATAAAATTTGAAATATTCTGTAGCCATGACATGTATTCTCTTTGCTCTTTGTCAATGCTACATGAATCAATAAAATCACACAACTCTGAATCCACTCCTAAATTGGCTAACCATTCATCAAGCGAAGTTTGCAATGAGTCATCTAAATCCTCAAATTCAGGTCCATTATATGCTGATACGGAATTTTTTCCTTCTTCATTTCTATAGTACTTAACATTTCCAATCATATATCTAAATTTTTCATCATTCTGTAGGGTGGTACAATAAAAGGTAATACCTCCTTGTTTATTTGGTTTTTCAACGGTTACTGAGAAATCAGTCATTTCTGCTTGAGCTTCATTTTCTCCTTCTGCTTGAAATGGAGATACAAGTTGAAAATCGATTATGATTTTCATTCCATCCACGTTCTTGGTTAACACCATGTTGACATCTCCTTCTTGTTCCTCAAATTTCCATCCGGATGTTTGTAAAAACTTTTTAATATTATCTGGTGCTTCATAATTGGATTTCTCATGTTGCACCTCTGCCTTTACAACTTCTGATAATTTTTGTGCTTCACTTGAAGCAAATCGTTTCCCGTCAACAAGAGAGCTCGAATTTTTTGCTTGGTACCTATGGCCATATTTTCCAATGTTTGTTATATTGGTTATTTTTCTTTTATTTATATTGGCTAGATCGATTAGAGACTTGTTAAGGTGTTTTCCAAAAGTTTTGCCTTTACACAAATTACCAGCGTTTCTTCTTAGGAAATTCATTTTTTCGAAAATGTGGTTTAAAATAAAAAATGTACATGCACAATATTGTTTACTTATTTATAAGGTTTATTTATTTCTATAATTAAGATACGTACAAAAAAACAATTTCTGTTATTTAAAGAAAAAGAGGGAAAAAAAAAAAAGAAAAAAAATAGCGTTTGTTTGGCAGCAAGGGGGAAATGCATGTATAATAAAACTGGTGAGTGTATTTAATCATTCCAAGTAATGTAGCAAAAGCTCTACAATAGCATGTTATATTAATAATTGGCTGTGTGTTTTTTTTTTTTTTTTTTTTTTCCTTTTATTTTTTCTGTAAATATATAAGGAAAATACTGTTTAATAATAAAACTTCAGCATAATAATCGAGGGCTATTCTTAGCATGTAGGGGAAAAAAAAAAATGTTTCCTCCGTGTTAAATTTACCTGGGGTGATAAGTGTTAATCCTATGACATCATAATTTTACATGGTTTTTGTATTTTTATAATTTATCTTGTTAAACTTTGATTAAAAAAAAAAAAAGAAAAAAAAGATAAAACAAGTAATTTCGACATACATGTGCCTGTAATGTTTATTTATTTTCATACATATTTATAGATGTGTTTACTTATTTACACGTATGTATTAACCACATCGTAGCTCTCATTTTTTACTGCTGCATAGGTTAATCTTGTCACAGAATTCGCTCTTCACCAATGTGCACTAAACCTAAGGAGAAGAGTTGGGCTGAGGGGGAAAATGCACAGCCATGTGCTTTTTTTTTTTTTTTTTTTAAGCTAAAGAGGTGATTAAATGAAATTTTTTTTTTCAACAAATTGATCGATCCCCATGTGGGTCGTGAAAATGTATTACTCCGTTATCCCCTTAAGATGTGAATCCTATAATGAGAATATAAAACCTGAGTGTTGAAGATCCTTATATGTACGTATATACATTCCTTATGCATTCGGTATGTTGAATATTGCCATAATAGAGTAACGTTATTAATGCCCATTAAAAAAAAAAAAAGGCACTAAAAATTATTGCATATGATGAATACCATTAAACCATTGCAGCAAATGGATTATTACCAGTTCCCAATCATTCGTGTAGTGCCACGTTATTGTTTTGTTTGCCATATGAAGATAAACTACTGCATATATATACCCATATGCGTATCATTTAAAAAAAGTTGTTGTACACGCATATGTTCATACATGAATACGTGTACAAAGAATTTACGCATAAACATATATATATATATATATATATATATATATATATATATATATATATATATATATATACTTATTTATTCCCGTTTATCCCCCAATTAAAATTTCGAAATATAGCGAAATGTATATGCCTATAGGATCCCAATTTTATAGCAAATATCAAGGGCAACAAAACAAATTCATTTCATGTGAAGAGGATTAAAAAAAAAGAATATAAATGTTTTTATTTATTTATTTTTTTTTTTTTTTATGCCAATTTTGTATATTGTACACAATATTAAAAAATCCATTTAAGCAAATTATAAAAATTTTATTTTTAATTGACATGAGAGTGGAGTTTTTAACCCATTGTAAGAACTTTAAAATTAGGTCAAATGAAAACACAGATTTAAAGGATTTGTTTAAACAAGGATTTAATGCTACCAGGCCATATAATAATAAAAAGAAGCCATATAACATAAATAATTCATACCAAGATGACATATTATTCACTTAAAGAATAATGTGACAACAGCATTATGTATATACATTATGTGACTTTACCCCACGTCCAACTTGATACTTTAAAACTGTGCAATTATTGTACACATATATCGTGTAACAACAATATTTCTTTTAAATTGTGTCGAAGAATTTTTGTTGAAAAAGTGTTTCTATATAACGTGTTCACACCACGTTGGCAACATATTATAGGTATGTCTGTGTAAACATAAATGGTAAAACATTTAAACATAAGTAAGGCAGAGACGATATTTTGCAAGCCCATAGTTTGTCAAGGATTATGCCATAATTTTGTAGAATATCTGAAGTTACTTACGGATATATCTCTATTGAAAATTTTGTTCAGAATGAGTTCTTTGTGAAACCATATCCAAGTTATCTATATTCGAAGCAGTGGTTTTAAAAAAAAAGAAGGCAAAAAAGAAAAAAATAAAAAGAAAAAAAGAAGAAAAGAAGAAAATTTTATTTAATGTTCATATTGTATACATACAATCCCCCTTTTTTTTATTTGTTAATTTTTTTTTCAAGGGTGTGCCTCCTTTCACACAATTTTAAAACAAGATTTTGGTTTGAATTTTAATTTATTACCTTTTATGTAAAAGGAATATATTTATAAAGAGGTAAAATTGACACCTAAGGGAAGAAGTGGTGAGGGGTATAAATATGATGGTATATTTTTCATGGATTGTTAGAGTTTATATAATATATAAAGTTACACACAAATACTTTTATACATATATATATATATATATATATATAAAACCTTATGTTTATTTACACATATAACAAAAGAGAGATTTGTCAGATATAATTTATTCTAATTTTTAACATATTTTGGAGGTGTTGGACATTCAAGAACAGTCACAAAGTTCTCAGTAAGAATCGCTTGTACAGAAGAAAAGTAATATACTAATTTTTCCCCTTTTTTTTTTTTTTTTTTTTTTTTTTTTTTTGGGGGGTAGGTGATATGTTTTAGAAAATGTTACAAGAAAGAGATTTAGCAAGAGAACCATGTCCTGATAGAATTATAGAAGATATGGGTGGTGCATTTGGCATGGGATGTATAGGAGGATATATATGGCATTTTTTAAAGGGTGCAAGAAATAGCCCTAAGGGGGATGTATTAAGTGGTGCCTTATATAGTGGTCGTATGAGAGCACCTATTTTGGGTGGTAATTTTGCCGTATGGGGAGGCACATTTAGTTGTTTCGATTGCACATTTCAATATTTAAGAAAAAAAGAAGACCACTGGAATGCAATAGGTAGTGGTTTTTTCACGGGTGGGGTTTTAGCAATGAGAGGGGGGTGGAGGTCTGCTTCGAGAAATGCTATCGTTGGTGGTGTTTTACTGGCCATAATAGAAATTGTTTCTCTTGTATTAACACGTAAGACAACACCTACTCCTAGGCAACAATTTCAACAGCAAATGGAATTGGAAAAAAAAATGGCATCAAAAAATACCCGATAGTATCCTTTTATGCCTACGTATTTGTGGAATGTTATGATATATTTGTTTTGTGCATACCTAATATATATATTTATGTGCATATGTATATACATGTCTGAACATGAGTAGCACATTTTCTTACACACACACACACTCTATTCCCGTAGCCAATATTTGTATACCCCTTTAAGTTTTAATTAATAATGTTCTCACACGTAGGTACACACATATAACACCAGATTTTATGGGTAGGGCTTTTTTTTTTTTTCTTCTTTTTCTTTCTTACACTTCAACATGCGCTACCGTATGGTATGATGAATTTTTTTTTTTTTTTTTTTTTAATATTGTATCTAATCTTACCTGAGTGTTGTGTGCATGTACAGGTATGTTTATAGGTCAACGTGCATCGACTTGAATACTTCTTCATGCGAATGTCCCAACGTGTATATCTATATATATATATACATAGATACACATGAATGCCTTTTTTTTTTTTTTTTTTTACTCCTTTTTGCGCATTCATGATACCCCGCGTATTTTATCCCCCTTTTACTATTTTTAAAAAAAGTTGCATATTATAAAAATCTCCATTTCTGTTTTATTTTTAAGTGGAATTAATAACGATTTGTAGCCTTTCACAAGCAGATATGTGTGACGTTGTGTTGTGGGTGTGATTGTATGTTTCACGCGCACGCCTCTTTATGCGCCCACATATTCCCCTATTTATTGTCCCATTTATGATGCTCCTTGTGTGCATTGCAATCCAAACCTATTTATTTATTTATTTATTTATCCTTTTTTTTTTTCTTTTTTTTTTTTTTTTGTTGTCTATTATAATACACGAATTTTTTAATAACGAAGCCTTCCAAAAAAATGGAAGAATAAAAAATGTACTAAAATATTTTGGGTCTACGAATTTATAAATATATTGTTCGTAAATACACTTTGTAGAGGTTAAATAATTCCATTTTATTTTTTACTTCATTTTGTTCATATGATATAGCCTAGTAGGAATATGATAGCTCATGAAATTTACCGCATGCAAAAGTGATACTTTTAATTTTTTTTTTAATAACTCAGGAATAACAGTTTACGAAAATTAAAATAGTGTTTCTAATCGAATAGGTTATTGAAAAAAAAAATTAAATGCGTTTGTTAAAAATTGCTTTGGATGTAGCGGTTGTAGAATTCGATGTGGTCGTGTACATTCCCCAAACGCGGGGTTGAAACACAGCCCAGCAAAAAAATGTAGTAATGTGTCTGTTAAAAAAGACAAGGATGCCATTTTTCTGACGTGGGACATGGAGTAGGCACATTTGTGCTTACTGTTACACGGAGGCTATTCCCCATTCGATAATTAAAGACGTGGGAACCACATTATTTATATAATTTATTTATTTTATTTTACATAATCGGCAGGAAAGAATATACAAAATTATCTATATGCTATAACGAGACCGTATATATAAAACGCGATCTCGTCTGATATGCACATAAAGTAGCTAGGTATTCTAATGGGAACAGCAAGAGAGATATAATTGTGTGGAACGAAAATTTTGTTAAGCATGCTAGTTTATCCGTTAAAAAATGTTATGAAAATTTGTTGGAGATTCTCCTTTTTTTTTTTTTTTTTTTTTTTTTTTTTTTGGTTCTTTCCCTACCAGATAGCATCGCTTATGGAATGTGAAGGTTACAAGTCATGAGGTTAGAAATCGGGTCCTCTAGATAAAACTTCCTTACATGTTGGACGTAACAAAATGGTGTGTTCCATTTGCGAAGTAAAAGAATTTTTGATATCACATAAGGGAGGATATGGCTCTACAATATTTAAATCTACTAAAGTTTTTAAAGCCATGAAATGTCTGGTTTGTCCCAAGTCGTCTAACCATCTATGGCAAAATGGTAATGTATCAAAATGTTCATTAATTACTTTTAATAAAGTTTTTGCAGAACTGAGTCTAATTGGAACAAATTGTTTATCTGGATTTCTCATATAATGAGAACATTCATTATCATGAGTAACATAACCTTTTCCAGTAGATGCAAATGTTTCAATAGCAAATAATTCCCCTTCTTCCATTATTTCATTTTTTTCTCTTTGTCTAACAATAGGTACACATTTTCCACCATGTATAATATACTTGCTAATTGAATGACCTCTCAAATTAGAAATAGCTTTAATCGGATAAGTTCTTTGATTTAATTCAATTTCATATGATTCAATGGCTTCTTGGATAGCTTCTCCTATATCACACATTCTTGCATCAATTCCTGCTTCTCTAATACCTGTGTTTGTTCCGTCTTGTGTGGCCTTAATGAGGTTATCATATTTTTCGTTAAAAGCAATTGTGAATGCACAATCGATTATGTATCCATTTACATGTACCCCAAAATCTAACTTGCATACATCATCATATTTTAAAATTGTTTCATCTCCATAATTTGGAGTATAATGAGCAGCACAATGGTTTAATGAGCAACCTGTTGGGAATCCCCATCCACAATTTAATTTATGAGATAAAATTAATTCCTTTGTTTTTTTTTCTGTCTCTTTTACTATATCAATCATTTTTATTCCTGGTTTAACATATGACTGTATGTATTTTCTGACTTGTCTATGACATTCTGCAGCTTTTCTTAAATCTTCATAATAATCTATACTTAATTTTTCTTCTTCCTTTTTTTCTTTTAATGATTTACCACTTAATATGTCCTTATAATCTAAAATTTCTCCAAGTGGATAATTATTTCCTTGATAAACCATTTCAATTGGCACTGTTGCTGGGTTTGTTTGTATACTCTTTTCTATTTTCGGCCAATTATTTAATAATCTTATATGACTATTATCTTGTTCTTCCACTAAATGCTCTTTCAGCACCTTACTTTTTTTTATCATTTCTATTTCGAATTCATCAAAATCTATTTTGTTTTCCTTTTTCTCTTCTTGTCTTGATTGATTTTCTTGTGCTTTCATTTTATTCGGGTCTCCCCCTTGGCTTACTTCGTTTTTGAATTCGTTCAATATGAGGTCCAATTTGTCCACTTTTTTCTTGTTCTTGTTCTTCTTGCTATTTGTAGTCTTTTCCCCTGCTGTTTTTCCCCCTGCAGTTTTTTCCCCAGCAGTTTTTTCCCCAGCAGTTTTTCCCCCAGCAGCTTTTCCTTCTACTTCTACTCCTCCCTTTAGCGCCATCTGAGATTCTACACACTCCTCCCTCTTTTCGTTCTCAACTTGGTTTTTGCCCTTCCCTTCGTTTTGCTTCACATCCACCTTTCCTGAGTTTTTTACTTCGCCATTCTTAGGAACCTTATTCTTTTCATTACTAGAATGCGTTGTTTTTTTCTTTGTATTAGAATTGCTTCCCTTCGCACCTCCCTTGTTATTTTTCCTATTCATTTTTTTGAAACACTTCTATAAATGTGTGGCCTTACATATATGTATGCAGCTACGCTTGCAGTTATACATGCGTGTTCAGCTCAAGTGAACGTTATCATGTGATATAACTCCTAGGGAAATGTTTTTTAGCTTTTCCCCATATGTACCTCTAATTTTTATGCTTCTTTCCCCAAGCTTAATCGAATCACTTTTTTCTGCTTTTACCTCCTTTCCTCAATTTTGCAGTTTGTGGAAAAAAGGGAAAAAAAAAAAAATATATCTTTTTTTTTTTTTTTTTTCTCTTTTTGTTCAGGGCGTGCTACTATCTTGGGCTTCTCTTGTTTTGCCTACTCCCCCTTTTTTTTTTTTTCTTTTATTTTAACCTCTTTAAAAGAGAATAGATCCAAAAAAAAAAAAAAAAAAAAAAAAAAAAAGCGACAATATAGGTAGCACACTAAAGTATAATACATACACGTATGCATACATAAACATATATATGTGAACTTTTCTGCAGGTTGTTTCATTCAGGGAAATATATCTTCCTTTAAATTTTATTATTTTATTATTTTTTTTTTTTTTTTTCCCACTATCTCGGACTGGACTACTCCTTTTTGCGTGCAAACAAAATGTAACATACATAATTCTTATCTACATCTGTTGTACATATAACTTTGACTTCTGTTTTTTTTTTTTTTTTTTTTTTTTTTTTTTTTTTTTTTATTTTTTTTTTTTTTTTTATTCTTTACCCCCCTTTATTTTAAGTTACTCAACTTGCACGGAGTTACAATACATACGTAAGAAAACATAAACATCTTTGTATGTTTTATTTTTATTTTTATTTTATTTTTTTTAACAAAACTTATATGCCTTAATCTTAGCTTTCCATGTTTTGACTCTTTTTTTAAATAATTTCTCACAATCGAATTTGTGAATTTTTCATATGCAACCATTTAGAACTGTATTTTGAGTTTTGTATGAATACTCATAAACATGCGCACATTTAATATGCTGCTTGTTGCTCATAAAGAATTTTTTTTTTTTTTTTTTTCTTTTTTATAGCAACATATCCTGCGTGTCACTTATTGTTGATCACATTTTTGTGTACCCACCGTGGTTAGAATATATATATACATGGACATACTTTTTGTGTGAATCGCAATAATATAGTGCAAATAGAACATAATGCGTGTTCGTTTCTTATTTGTTTCACTTTTTTTCTCCTAATGTATTTTTGAATATTTCTGCAATAAGGAACTTTTACACATAGGACATGGTATACACTACATTTGCAAAATTAAAGAAATTTGTACAAGGGTGAGAAGGAGGAGAAGTGAATATCATTCGTCTAGAGAATGAAAACATAAGAAGAAAAAAAAAAAAAAAAAAAAAAAGAAAGAAAAATTTTTTAAATGTCACAAAAATGCATTTGGTATCATTGAGTATAAACAACTATATGTATGTTTAAGCCATACGTAGGTTTACACTATATGTAGGTTTATGCTATATGTTATATTATATACATACCTTTTACTTCTGTTCAAATTTTGTTTTCTCCATTTTGAACATCCCGCATTTAGTCACCACCATATATTCAATGTGTATGGCACTTCACATAAATGCACATAATATATACATATTCACGTATGTGTTTTAATTAAAAGTTACAATTTTCGTTTAATCAATTCAAGTGAAAAAAACATCCACATATAAGAAGTATAAAACAAGGGGTAACAGTAACCCAAGCTTTGGAGAGTGGAACCTAGAGAAAACGAGACAATTAAGCACAAGATACAAACTTTTTATTAATTTCAAGACTATTAACCTGCCGAGTGTCACTTATTAACGCATAGCTGCAGATAGAAAAGAGAAAATTTTTAATTTATATCAGGGGAACAAATCGCCGTTCTCTCAACCCTCTCCCCCTCCCCTGACACACAACAGTTTTATTTATTTTCCATTCGTGCAAAATTCGTTACAACCGTGGGAATCACATGAACATAAACATGAACAGGTACATATACAAATCTATCCCCATTTTGATTAATTTTTTGAAAGTTTAAAAAAAAAAAAAAAAAATGAAGAATACAACAGATAAAAGGATACTTTTGTGGTGTGAAGAAGTAATAAATAATATAAGAGCAACGAAAAACTCTATTCGTAGGAATAGGATTAAATGGAAAAACAAAGAGAATCAAACAGAAGAATCTTCACAGAAAAGCAGAAACATAGAAAGGAGATGGACACATGAACAGTGTAAGTATGTTAAGTATATTTACAAAAATTGTCTGTTTTTGCAGAAAATTCTTCATTACAAAGTGCACTCTACACGGTTTAAAAAAATTAAATTTTTTCCTCAAAAACCAAGTGAACATTTTATAAATGGAAACATTTATGTTAATGCAAATGTGAGAGAAGACATTCATCTTGTTGATACAGAATATGCTCCAGATAATGCCACAGTCAAAATATTGCACAGGAAGAAAGATATAAAATGGGGAAAAAGTGATATACATGGTTTTAAGCAACGTAAAATTCCTCATAACCTAGTTGAATGCGTACAAAATGGAGCTTATAAAGACAAAGTAGATTTAATAGTAATTCAGACCATCATCCTTACCCTCTTCGAACCTGCATTGTTGAAAATTTCTCTAAAACATTTTAACTTCCTAACCGCTTCTATAGTGAATCATATTTTTGAAGAAGTTCTCCTTTTGGCTAGATACAATTACGGGGAAGTCGCAAATGTAAAGGAAGAACTATCCAATATTTCAGTTAGAGAAGCTAATCTTATCTCCTCAATGGGAGAAGAAACTGTCATAGAAAGAGAGTTACTGGGAAAAGATGACATTAGTAGAATGAAGAAAAGAAAAAAAAAAATTGATAAATCATGCCTGAAAGAGGACAAGAACCCCCTTCCTGCTTTGCACATATATAATTATATCAAAAAATACAACATAGATATAGAAATTTATTTTTGCATGATATGCATGAATAGTATACTTTTTAGTAAGGAATTATTTTTCAAAAATGCTATCGATTACTTTTTCAAGGAAGTATTTCCAAAATCTGAACATTGTTACAATTATTTAAACACGATTGTTATGAAGTACGTGAAGGAGCAAGATGCTTCTAGGGGAAAAGGAAAAAATATCAGTTTCATGGTGAACGAAGTCACAAGTAGAACCATACCTCCTTTTCCTTATTGCATAGAAAGTAGCAATGTTTGCTACTCCTCTGCGTCCATCTACCGTATCTATTGTGGTAAAATTTTGTTAATTTTTTATTATTTAAATGTGGAGAAAGCACTTCACAAAACGTACCTGAATCTGCTTCCAGAAATTTTAAAGTGCAAAAAGAGAAACCCATTTTTCGAGGATCTAATTTATTTAATTTATTTGCACTATCACGAAATTGGGAGTTTTAGATGTGAAGAAAGAATTTTTATCAATCAACTCATACGAGAAGGAAGACTACCCATAAATTGCAAAAGTGTATCTCTAATTGATAAGAAGAAGTGCATACCACCTGACTTCTCCATTTTTAGTAGAAACAATCATGATCTCGTAAATTATGTTTCGCGTGACATTACCCATAAGGTTTCTTTGGAGGGAAAAAAAGATGAAACGCTAGATATCCATCACATTTTACTAAAGCATAAGCAGAACATGAAAGACTTGAAAAATTTGTACATTGAAAAATTTCGATTAAATATTGCAGAAATTGGATTTTTCAAATTTTTTGTTAATATAGAATCAGTATTGTATCCATCATTTTGCTTAAAAGATAAACAAATTGAAAAGGAATCAAAAGTAGAATCGAATTTTGTTGTCACGAAAAGGTTAATTAGGATTATTGAAATGTTAGCAACGAACATTTATAACAACAAGCCAACAATAATAATAGGAAATCAAGGTTCTGGTAAAACATCTTTAATAAAATATATATATAAAAAAATTTTCGAAAATGAAAAGGAAAAAAATGAAAATATTATAAGCTTATATTTAGACGATGTGACAGACTCTAAATCCATTCTAGGTATATGGGAAAGTAATGAGAAATGTTTTGAATTTAAATATGGTATATTAGCAAAAGCTATGAAATGTGGAAACTGGATCATTTTTGAAAATGTAAATAATATTTCAAACAGTGTAGTGGAGAAGCTGTACGAACTAACTAGCAAGGGTTATATATACCTATCCGAAAAGGGTGAAAATATATATCCGCACAAAAATTTTAGACTCTTTGCTACCATCACGATGGATAAAACAAATACTAGAATGGATGATTTATGTAACTCTTCAGAAGGGCATAAAAATTATGAACAAAAGTGCGATCCCATAAGTGGGGGTAATGATAAGAGAGATTATTTCAAAAAACGGGAAAATAAACTGCAGGCGAAAAGACCAAGGGAACGGACAGATAACAACAAGGAACTGAATGAACTAATTCTGCTGAACCATAGACCAAACAATTTAAGTGATATGTTTAACAAATGGCACAGTGTGCATGTTGGGAATTATAGTGAGAGTGAAATAAAAGAAATTGCTTTTAAAAGATTGAAAAATGGGATGAATGAAAATTATATAAACATATTGTTAAAATGTTACAGTTGCATTAAATCATTTTTGGAAAATTATCATATACTGCGAAATATTAACATGCACGATTTAGTGAAAATTATAAAAAGGGTTAAGAAAAAGTGGATATTTATGCACGAAAATGAGAAAACCAAAGTGATACTATTTCAGACGTGCAAATCGATATTCATTTCTCACATACCAAATGCCAATTTAAGATTGTACTTTTTAAAAATTCTAATTAAAATATTTGGTCTAGATGAAAAAAGTGTTATCAAGTGGTTAAAGTCGTACACAGTTACTGATTATATAAACCAATTTAATGAAACACTGAAAAAGAAAAATCAGAAAATTTCTTTGAATTTTCATAAAATTGACAATTATTCTTTCTTTTTAACATCAGTGCATAAATCAATTTTGTATGAAATAATCGAAGGTGTATACAACAAGGAGAGTATACTACTGATAGGAGACACGGGAGTTGGAAAAACAGCACTGATAGACTACATTTCGAAAATTTTTGAAAAAAAATTACACGTTTTTGTTTTCAGTGAACAGTCAGAAGCATCAGATCTTATTGGTAATTACTACCCATTCAATATAAGCGTAAAAACCAATGAATTATTTGAAGAGTTAAAATGTTTGAATAGCAAAATTAGTGATTATTTATGCCCAAAAGAGTTACACATATTTTACCTTAAATTGAGAATAATTTTAAGTGAAAAAAAATTTATCACCTTTTTAAATACTTGTCATAATTTTGCGAAATGTCTTATAGACAACTTTGAAAATGATACCACCATCTTTGATATGCACATTGTTAAGAAGTATAGGATTTTTCAACATGACTGTAAGGGAGTTGTGGATTTTTGGAATTCCAGCATCACCACTGGTGATCGAAGTGGTAAAGATAAAGCGGTCAATGCTGCTAGGGGTTCTATTGAGTTCCCTGCACTGAAATACAATTTTGAAAAATTTTTCAAAAAAGGGAATCAAAGACATAATAAGGATCTAGTTCAAAATGGATACCTCAATAGAAATAAACAAAATGAGGGAAAGACCTTTCACGGGAATGGTATCGTGAAGAAGAAACAGAACGAACAATGGGAGGGTGAGCAGGAGGAGGAGAAATGGAACCCTACTATGAACGAACTCATTTTCCGTTTTCATGATGGTATACTAATAGACTGTATCAAGAACGGATATTGGCTCCTGCTAGACGAAATAAACCTAGCCCAGACAGAAATCCTGCAGAGGTTACAGGGAATACTAGATTTGTCTAACAAATATTTCGATGTGGTAGAAAAAGGGAATGAGAAGATTAAAATTCATCCAAACTTTCGTCTTTTCGCGTGTATGAATCCACCAATCATTCCAAATTTGAAGAAGAGTCAAAATAGTAGCAGCGGGAAGCGTAGTAACAATGGGAATAGCAACAATGGGAATAGCAGCAATGGGAATAGCAACAATGGGAATAGCAATAATGGGAATAATAATATAACGAAGAAAAGTGCGACGGTGGGAGGAAGCACCCCAGGTGACGATTCAAGCCAAGCGAGTGGTAGAAAAGACACCCACCAAGCTGACACGGTTAATAACATAAGTAAGGGTGCTACAGAAGAGGAATCGAATTTGAAGGGTGAGACAGATCATCATATAGATCTGTACAACAGCTCCATATCTTCTGGGAAAAAAGAACTTCCACCTATTATCAGGAATAAATTCACGGAAATATTTTTAGATGAAATTTTAGAATACGACGATGTGGAAATGATTGTTAAAAATCTTTTGAAGGGTATAACATGTGATAATTCTTTATTAAAAAATATTACTAACTGCTATTTGGAAATAAAAAAAGAAAGCTTGAAAAATATGAACAATTCAGAAAATAAACCCATTTTTTTTTCTACGAGGAATTTAGTGAGGGCAATACATTTTGCAGTTTCTGTACATAAAAGAAAATTTAAACCATTACCATTACAGAGTGCAATTAGAAACGGATTTGTGTGTAATTTTTTAAGCTGTGCAAATGTTGATAATCAGAAAATAATTGAACATATTTTTAACAAATATTTCAAATGTGCACATGAGAAAAGTACTCAACAATGTAATGGCGTCCTTAAGGATGATAGAAGTATGCAAATTGAAAAAACAGGAATGATTAATTATTCCATGTTGGAAAATTACTATCAGTATACATATTTTGATAAGAAGAATGGAGTTAAAGGAGAAAAGAACTTACACTCGTTATTTATAAAAAATAAAAATGACATAAATAATGGCGGAGAAGCAGAAAAGAATCATTTGGAAGGTAAAAGAGGCAGGAATAAGGATCAAATGGAAAAATATATATGCGTAGAAAATAACTGGATATTATGTGGAAAGGAAGAAATAAATATTCTTAACATTTTATCTAATTTTATAATTACAAAGAATGTAAAGGAAAATATAAAAAAATTAGCCTTATGTTTAAGCGGCACAAAAACACCGATTCTGCTTGAAGGAAATACATCAGTTGGGAAAACATCTTTAGTAAAATTTTTTGCAGATATAACTGGCCATAAATTTGTAAGAATAAATAATCATATGAATACAGATATAAATGAGTATTATGGGCAATTTGTTAATGACAAGAATAGTGGAAATTTAATATTTGAAGAAGGGGTATTTGTAAAGGCTGTTAGGTATGGATATTGGGTTGTGCTGGACGAATTAAATTTAGCGCCTTCCGAAGTTTTAGAATCATTGAACAGAATATTAGATGATAACAAAGAGTTGTATATTCCTGAATTGAAACGTTATGTTAAGGCACATAAAGATTTCATGCTGTTTGCAACCCAAAACCCAGCTAATAACAATAACTACTTGGGAAGAAAAGAATTATCCAAAGCTTTTAGAAGTAGATTCATAGAATTTCATATAAACGATTTTGAAGATAACGAATTAGAAATTATTCTACATAGAAGATGTGCCATATCTCCTAGTGTTTCTAAAAAAATGATACAAGTGTATACTGAACTGAGATCTGTTAAATCCAACTACAATTGTTTTAATGATAATTTAATGACTCTAAGGGATTTAATTAAATGGGGTAATAGACACCCAAGTAATAATTCCGATGCGTGCTTACATGGATATTACATAATTGCTGAAAAGTTAAGAAATGAGAAAGATAAAAAAAGGGTGAAAGATATTTTAAGCAAGATTTTTCTGTGCAAAGGGGAAGAGTTATCGGTGCAATATGAGGACGATCATGACCTTCACACTTTTAAGGATGCCTTTTTGAAGAAGATTTCTTGTTTAAGTAATTTGTCTCACAAATCGAGAGGGTTAAATACATGTGACAATGTCAATGTGAAAATGAAGAAAAGAATAAATTGTGATGATGTAAAGAGACTCCAATATCTTAAGAAGATGCATTTGGGAAATAATACAAGTAGAATATTATGTCTTTTGCTAAAATGCTTCAAGTACAAAGAATCTGTTTTACTCATAGGAGAAACGGGATGCGGAAAAACGACATGTTGTGAATTGGTAAGTTTTGTAAAAAATTTGAAACTGAATATTTTAAATTGCAACGAAAGTACAGATGTGTATGACATCATAGGTAGCCTCAAATTAGTGAAAAATAAAAAAGAGAATTATGAAAAGTTAAAAAAAAATTGTATCGAATTGTATAACGAAATTTCACAAAATTATGCTGATGCATTTGCGGCTAATTTTTTGAGCGGAATTATACATGATCAAATTGGAGAAGTAAAAAAGGAAGATTTTTTAATATTCTGTTTATATTTACAGAAAAAATATAATTTAAATGAAAATATAAAAAACAAATTGATCAAAATGGAAAAATCGATAAACAATTTAAAATCTGTTTTTACATGGTTTGATGGTATATTAGTTGCATCATTAAAAAGAGGAGATATTTTCTTAATGGATGAAATATCTCTAGTTGAATCAGCTGTTATTGAAAGATTAAACTCTGTTTTAGAGTATGAAAGAACTTTGTTATTAACAGAAAAAGGAGGAAAAAATATAAAAAATTTAAAGGCCCACGAGCAGTTTTCTTTTATAGGTACCATGAACCCAAGTGGTGATTTTGGAAAAAAAGAAATCTCACAAACGTTGAAAAATAGATTCACAGAAATTTTCGTACCAACATTTTCCTACGAATCGGATGATTTTTACTTCCTAATTATGAAACAAATGAAATTTACCAAAATGAAAAAACTCAAGCATGCAACTGCCAATTGTCTGTGTAAGCTTTTTCATCAGATTTCTCAAAATAAAGCTTTTTCAAATTATTTTACCCTCTCCATAAGAGATGCAATAAAGTGGATTTCCTTCATGAATATATATATTACAGGAAGGAAAGAAATATGTGTCAACAAAGGGAGAGAACTATTTATTGAGAAAGACAAAATCTCAAAGAGCACGAAGCTGCCAAAGAGGAGACTGAAAAGGTACATATCAATAAGCTTCTACCACAGCGGGTGCTTAATACTAATAGACGGAAATGAAGACATGAAAACGAAGCAAATTTTAAAACAAATTATGATGAAAACTTTGGAAGAGTTATGCTTTTCAATCAATTATCAATTGACGAACGAGAAGAGAGAAAAAAATGGAAAGGAAATTCTGGAAAAATATTTCGACAAAACGTGCAATTTTAAATTTAAAAAAAAATACCTCCAAGTGAATGATCTTCGAATTAAATTTAGGAGAAAATTATCCGCTCATATTAATAAATTTGCGAAAAATTCTAATTTCGTGTTTGACACACCAAATATTAAAAAAAATTTATTCAAAATTGTAAGAGCAATGCAGTTGGATAATTCCATACTACTGGAAGGTTCCCCAGGAGTTGGAAAAACATGCATAATAAATATCCTAGCAAAATTGACGAATAATAAATTGATTCGAATAAATTTATCGGAGTGTACGGATATTTATGATTTTATAGGATCCTATTTCCCAGTAAAGGATGAAAAGAAAGCACCCAAAAATGGGAACTGCGTTAAGGAAACTAATATTAAACCACGACTTGGAGGAGAAACAAATGGAAAGAAAGTAGAACAAAGAAAAGAACCATACATTGCAACTGATATTGAAGATAAAAAGGGGCCGAAGAAAGACGCACTGTCGTTTCAATATTTTTGGAAAGACGGGAAACTTATCGAATGCATGAAAAAGGGATATTGGATACTGATAGATGAAATAAATTTAGCCAATCAACAAACATTGGAAGGTTTAAATTCCATATTGGATCATAGGAAGGAAATATTTATTCCAGAAACGAATGAAACTGTTAAGAGTCATAAAAATTTTAGATTATTCTGTTGCCAAAATCCGTATAGTGAAGGTGGAGGAAGAAAAGGATTACCAAAATCATTTCTGAATAGATTTTCAAAAATTTATTTTGACGAGTTAAAGGAAGAAGATTATATCAGTATTGTTGAAAAGTTGTATGGTACTTACATCTCCGAGGAAAATATCAAAAAAATAATAAGCATCACATTTTTAATAAAAAAAATAAACCACCTACTTAAGGAAAGTGATTGCTGGGTATGGAACTTAAGAGACATTTTGCGAATATGCAAATTTATCAAGTATAGTAGAACAAGTGAAGCAAATTTTCTTGCTATTTGTGACATGCTCATTTGCAGTAGATTGACATGTTCTCAGGACAGAGAAATAGTACGGTGTGTTATACTTAATGCATATAATGCCAGCTCCTACAGTAGAAATGGGGAACAAGAATTTTTAAAAAGTATTTCCAAAGTTACAACTAGGGAGGGATTACTTTCCCTTGTAAGAAATAGTGAATTGAAAATGTGGAGCGCCTTTTTTACAAGTTTGTATTATAACGAGATTAATTTTTTCTTTCCAAATAGAAAAGGAAAAAAAAATTCAATTTCAGACAAGTGGGGACAAATACAGAGGCACATGACACGGTCAACTCTAATATTATCAAAAGATGAAAAAACATTTTATGCATGCGAAGCAGGAATTAGACTAAATATTCCTATCCTTTTGAATGGGAAGAATAATGCAGGAAAATCGTCTTTTGTTCATAATTTGGCATACATATTTCAAAAAAAGATATTCGAATTTTCTCTAACAAATGACATGGACACATTTGATTTATTTGGTTCATATGAACAAAATAGTCGAGATAATGTGATAAAAAAAATGGAAAGAAAAATATTTAGATTAAATAAGCTCATTTTAAAACATATTTTTAAGAAAAGGAACTTTAAAAAGTTTTACTGTAGCTATTTTAAGAAAAGAGAAAGCCAAAATAAAACGAAGCAGATGAAAATAAGAATTATGGAAAGAATAAGTTATCTCTCGGAAATTTTTATTAACTCGTTAAAGGAAAATACTCCATCAAATGAGGAGGATGCAACTAATGCAGATACAGCATCTGTTGAGCAGCCTTACTTACATTTTATTCATATTAGCATGATGACCATGAGGAGAAGTAGAAGACGAAACAGAATCAATGAAACCCTTTTGAATGTAACTCATCTTTTTAAAATGATTAGAGACAATCACATTAACGAAAATGTTTATGTTTATAATGAAGGGAATTTTATTAAAGCAATTAAAAATGGGCATTGGGTTTTGATTAAACATCTTCATCTTTCTACGCCATCGTTACTGGATAGACTCAATAGTCTCTTTGAAGAAAATGGATATATACTTTTACACGAATTTGGGAAAAAGAAAAAAATTAAACCACATAAAAATTTTCAAATTTTTTTAACCCTAAATTCTGAAGAACATTATAAAATTAGTAGAGCATTGCGAAATCGATGTTTTGAGATACATTTTGGAGATTATTCCTGTGAATATGTTGGCAATTCTATAAATTTGTATGACCGGTCAGGTGCTAGTGTTTTTTCCCAACTTGACCATTCCCCACTTTTACATTCTAATAAAAAAAGTGAACAGCTAAAAGTGACGAAGCATGATGAGATGATGCTCTCACTTGATGGTGAAATTCTGCATGAGGAAGAATCAAAGGGTTATTCTGCAAAGGGTTACTCTGCGAAGGAAGAATATCATTATACACATATTGCAACAAATGGATGTCAAACCAAATTGAACAATTCTAACGATGAGTACACAAGAAATAGCTTTCTCCTGCACTTGATGAATTTATGCTTTAATGAGAATAATGATTTTACAAATGATGAAGAAAAAATGGATAATTGGAACAGCAGGAATAACTCTTATGTTGTGAAGAAAGTGGGAGAGGATGATGAATATGTAAACATTATCAAAAATGGAAATGTATTCTACCATATTATGAAGGTTTTTTTAAAGAAGATTCAAAAGGAAGGTAGGAATGTAAGCATTAAAGTCCTTACTGACTTTAATGTGGAAGATGGTAGTAAACTGAGCGAAGACTTGAAAACCGAACTGATAACACTTTTCTTCAACAAAGAAGAAATAAAAATAAATTGCACCAAAATTCTGGATTATGTGAACTACTGCTGTAATTGCTTTGTAAGTATGTATGGGGTAAGACTAACCGCAAACATTATATGTTTCTGCATAATCATATCTCTTACGACTTATATTATTGAGTATATGCTTCAGGAAGAAGTGGTGATGGAGATAAGGCAGATGTTGAGGAAGGAAGAGAAGAAGGAGAGGAAAGCAAATTGTCCTCAAAATTTCAAAAATAATATAAACGCATTATTTAATCACAAATTCGAAAACAATTTTTATTATATAGACAAATACATAATGCATATTTGTAGTAACTTTTTATTAGCACGACAGAGTAGCAAAAGGGGAGGTAGTAATATTGGTGGTGTGTTCCTCAGCTCCAATCAATATCAGTCAATATTTTCGAACACATTTGTAATTTTTTACTGTCAAATATTTTCAAAATTAAATGCCAAAGCACAATTGTTCTTTTATCCCCTTTTTGAATGCCTTAACAATTGTGTAATAAAAACGGTCTTGAATCTAAAAATGGGCATCCGCAATTTTGTAAAAGATAAGAACCGAATACTAGATGCATTTATACTCAGAACAAACAACAGCAGCAAATTTGTTCACAGAATAAAATCGAAATATTTTATATACTTCTACTTTCTTACATTCATTAATTATGTTAATAATTATTACAATAGTTACTCAAAGGAGCAGAAGAAATGTACATTCGTGGATGAAGAAAGTGTATATCCATCTGTTCATATATCAAAAGAAATCGCTTTGATTAATTCCTTGAGTCAATTAAAATTAAACAAATTTTTCTGTCATTCAGTGTATTGCTTTTTGCAGAATTTTTCCTTCAAAGACATATTTTACAGATATGAGCATCTCTTGAATCTTAAAAATAGGATTATCATTCGAAGGAGATCCAATACAAGGGTGGGAAATTACGACACCGAAATAGTGAGATACCTTGAATTTGTTACGAATAAAGTTATTAGCAAAAATATGGCATATTTTGGAATAATGAGGGATTGTATATACAATGCAATTTATGGAAAAATTTGGTGTGATACAAAAAAGCAGAAGCAGGGAAATGAAAAAATAGAGAAATGTGTTGCCATGTCAGATAGATTCATACATAATGATGATGATGACGAAAAAAAATATATGAGGGATTCTCTGAGACCTCTTTGTGCAGGAAGAAAATACCTTCTGATGCATGAAGACACAAAAGTGGAGAAAATGATGCAATTATTTGAAACATTTTTGAAGTATAACTTGAGCTACGAATATTTTGCAAAATGTGATCCTATAGAGAAGGGGAAAAAGAAACATGCACCTTCTGTGCTCTTGATGAATAAGTTCTTAATGCAAGTAGAAAAACTGATTTTCCAGATAATAAAAAATAGAAGGAATTGCTATGATGAAGACGACCAGAATGACGGAAAGGAGGATGTGTTCAATTACTACCTCTTTATATACCTATTCACATTTCACGAATTTTTCAATTTTAAAGATGACAACATTTATGTGAAAATTATATTCCTAGTGGATGTTTTGAAATATACATTTAAGTGGGATAAATATAATAAAAAAAATTGTAGACTAATGAAATTTTTACAAAAGGCAAAGACGGCAGTTGCTCAAAGGAATTTATGGAACTCTCCCGTGGATGGTAATAACAAAACATTGGATTACTTTGATGAAATAGATAACTCCTCTTTGAATGACGTGAACATGATTAAGAATAGAATGGTAAGATGGAAGAAGAATAAGAACGAAGAGTTAATGATAACATTTACAAATATGTACTTTTACAACAAATGGGTAAGAAACATATTCGAAGTTGTAAATAACATATATATTAGCCATTTTGTACATACATTAAACATAAGTAGCTACTATTGCGAGATGTTGAATCATTCGATAAGTAGCGTGAAAAAGGAGAAGAAAGCAAATATGATATACAATTTTATTATGAACAAAAGAGAAAGAAAAAGTTTTAAAGACAATATGGAAAATTTACTCATACAGACGAAGTCCTTTTCTCATGCTTTAAAAGTTTTACATAATGATTATTTAAAAATTGCAAATATAGAAAAATTAATTATGAAAAATTTAGCTAATAAAAATGAAATATTAAACATGAACATGTTTAGCCATATCAAAGAATCTGATCCTGCGAAATGTTACCAGAATGTTAGTGCTTGGAAAATATCGTTAGAACGTATAAGAAATGACAATAAATTGGATGGAAAAGGGAATCAGCTCTTATTTTATTATCAGTTCATTCTTTTTAACATTCATTTGAAGTATTTGCATAATGCATTCGTATATTTGCTGAACATGTACATGTGTTTAAAAAGAAAGCAATTTGGGGGGTGCGAACAAAAGGGATTAAATTTTGAGAATTCTCAAAATTGTGATTTCTATACATGTAAAGAAAGCCCAGACGCGAGAGAACCCAAATGTTCTGTAGAAATTGTTAAAGAGGCTATAAAACAAATGTACGATTATCTGAACAGCATGGAAAATACCATATTTATACATGAAGAAAAAATCGAAATTTTAAGTTTGCTAAAGGAAAAATATGGTATATTGGAATATTCTCAGAAAAAACAAGCAATGAACAAATGTAAGACAAATTTTGATTTTGATGTTGCGTTTGTCATTATAGAAGAATTGCTGAACTTACTCTTTTGCTTCCTGCTGAATGTGTATATGGTGAAGGATAAAAATTACCAATATGTAAAGGAGGATATGAATAAATTGGATAGAACTAAAACCAGAGGAATATGTTTTAAATTTAACAACTGTAAGGATGAGGCGATGAATTACGGATATACCTCACCGCGAGGGGATTGCGAAGCATATCAGAAGGAGACATTTTCAAGTGATACCAATTTTTTACCTAGATTGTCTAAACGATGCAGCAGTAACAGTGCTAATGATGGGAATAATGATGAACTGGATTTATATAAAAAGAGAGTTAAACAAATGGATAACGAAAGGGAGAAGGGGCTGCGGATTCACAGACTGAGGATGCACGACCATTCGATAGATGATGAAGTAACAGGGAATAACATAACGTACGAAGCATACACAGTATTTAAAGATATCTACATAAACAAATGTTTTAACGAAACGCGTACATTGAACATATACTCTTATGTATGCACATCTATATTTAACAAAACAGTTATATTTGATTCTGTTGTAAATATATATCAAGAGCTGAAAAGAAAAAAAATTACCCTTTATTATTTACACATGAGTAAATGTATCTTTGAGAGTTTGAAAAATAGCTATTATGAATATATAACAAAAATGACATTCGACACTGTGACAGGACCATCTCAGGTTTTGCAAAAAGAAGAAATGCATTCAGTAAATAAGGAATCTCTAAATAGTAGAGGAAAAAATACGATGCGTTACTATTTCTCCTTTCACACATTTATTATATTTTTTAACATAATAAATAGGGATTCTTTAAAAAAGAATATAGAAGAGAAGAACAACAAATTGCTCATGCGAACTTTTGAAATATTCCATTTTATCAATGACAAAAGAGGGAATGTATCCCTTGAAATGTTGCTACATTTGTTGGATCTACACAAATTAATGTGCAATAGTTTGAGTGATGAAATTCGTGATGTTAAAAAGATTCAAAGGTACGCCTTCGTATTGTTATTTATCCTGTTTAAAGTGATTATAAAAAGTTGGAAAGAGCAAAATAAAAGAGACAAACAAAAATTGGCAGTGCGAAGCGATTCCAATTTCATATATGCATCAGATGACAATCCTTTGCAAGGAACAACCCTTCATCAGATTTATTCAACTACCCATGGAAGTTTTTTTCGTAAAGGTTCTATTTGTCACATGAACAAATGGAAAAGTAGTGAAGAAGGAACTTTTACAACATTTAACACTGTAGAAGAAACAAAAAAGGAATCAAATGAGACTCCTGAACATGTGCACTGTTATATATATGACTATGTTAGTAAACAGATAAGTATGAGAAACATGGAAGAGCTAGAAAAAGCATTAGATTTTCTCTTTTCTGAGAACAAAGTAGTAACAGATTTGACTAAAAAATATCAAGAGGAAGATTTCCTATTTACATTGGGCTGTTTTTACATATCTCATTACTTTTTAAATGTTATTTGTTCAAAAATAAGAAAAGAAGTTAAAGATATTTTTAAACAAATGGAAGGAAAAAACTATCTCAAAAAATTAGCTGCATCATTGAGGGAAGAAGTATATATGAGTTCTCAGCACAACATGTATATTGAAAAGGTGAATATATTTGAAAAAATTCCTCATGGAGATTTTTTCAGAATTAAAAAGAAGAAACAACTTAACAAACATATAAGTAGTATAAAAAGGAACTTACCACTACTGCCCAAGGTTTTAAAAAATATGAATAAAAAAAAAAGAAAAAAACTGGAAACTTTTGTGTCTAAATGTAGCAAGAGCAACAGTTCATGTGCATATTTCATTACAGAATATATAAATAAAAACATTTTAGAAAATGTACAAACATTGTATATAAAATTAAAAAATGACTATAAGCAATTTTTAAAAAATATATTATCTTTACACAATATAGAAAATAACGTATTATACTCTTTAACAAATTCGATTAATTTTATTAATTTTTCACTTGTAAACACCTGTCTCAATTTCATTCATCACTTGAAGGAAAACTATAGCTTGATATCAAAGTTTACAGAAGCTGCTACTCATGGATTGTGTGTGTTCATACATTCTGTGCATAGCATAAATTTCTGCTTATTAAAGTGGAGGGAAAATAACAAAACTGAAGAAGTGGAAGAATTGGACGAAGAAGAAAAAATTAAAGGTAAAAAAAAGTCCACATTTAGCATGCTTCGACTCGAAGGCCCGAAGAAGAAAACGAACGATTTGTACAAATGTATAAAATTCCCAATAAATTTTAATAATATTTTAAACTTAAAAAAAACGTCTTATGAAAATAAATTAAACGATTTAGAATATCTCCATTTTGTTTCGAAACTTTTAAAAAAACCGAAGAATATTTTTACACAATTTGATATGGCCTCTTTGTTAAAAATGTTAAAACGTCTGTGTAGGAATGTTGTATTTTTTAATGAAAGAGATGAAAATAGTAACATGAACGAGTTTTTCAAAATAGAACAATTTAAAATGAAGACCTTGAAGGAGAAACATGAATATATGCTTCATAAAGATTCTATAGAAAAATATATCGAAAAAGAGTTAGATGATGTGTTCTATTCTTACACTCTTTTTTCGAACCAGATGAGTGATCAAGTGGGACATGTATTCACCCAAGTGGACGATACTTGGAACGAATGGAATAATTCTACTCATAATCAAAATGAGCAACATGCAATCGATGTGGATGTAGAAGAAGGTGTAGAGGAGGATGAATATCACATTAGGTACTGTGATACAAAAAAGGACAGTTCACTCCAAGATGCTAATTATGTTGAGAAGGGAAGGTCTAACAAAATTGCGACTGACAAGATGGAGAAATCCAAAAATGTATTGGACGGAGTAGAAGAAGGGGAACGAGTGAACGAAGTACTGTTTAACAAAATTGTTTACAAAATGTCTAAATTGTTTAAGGATGGTAATATTTTTGATTGCAAGAGAAAAAAAGATCACAACGAAATTGAAAGAACAAAAGAAATCATAAGACATACTCTGGATATGTTAATAAGACTTAATGGAGAATCCAAATGGAATAAGAACTGTGACAATTGTGGTAGTGTTAACAATGTAGTCCCATCCATAGGTACCAGGGAGGAAGAAAAAGATTGCACTTTTTTATTAGAAAAAAAGAGTGAAGAGAAGAGATTACTTATTTTTACAGTTAACATGATAAACCAATTTAACGATATGACAAAATGTAATGATGAAAAATTTTCAAATTTTAAAATGAAAATATCGGAAATTTTGGAAAAGAATAAACAAAGAAATCATGCATATATAAATAAATACATGAGTTTATTGGATTATAATTTTATGGAATACATATTTGGAGCATTAAATGACTTGTGCTTTTATCTCATCCATTTGAAGAACGAGTTTGGAATAATTTACAACGAAAGTAATAATATCAATATATGGAACATATTAAATGCTATTAATAATGTGTTAGATTTTCCTATAAATAACATTCAAAATGAGATAGAGAAAATAATCCAAAAACTAGAACACCTGGTTAGTCTCATAAACACACTCAAAAATGACAATTACATAAATTTTGATGATGCAAGTATGAGTCGTGTCAAAAACTTGATGAAAAATAACATACTAGAACAGTTGCTTATATATACTGTCTATTTCAGGTTATACAAATTGAAGGAAATAAAAAATATTCGAAAAAATCTAAGTCGAAAAATTGTCAAAAATAGAACTCTGAATTTATTTTCTTACTTGTTTTACCTATGTTATGATGATAGCGAACAGGATGAGGAATTACAAGATGTGTCAATAAAGAAGGATAAGAAGAGAAATATGACGCAGAGATTTAACTCGTTAAGGAATTATAATAATAATACATCCGATTGTGATATTAGAACGAAGATAAAAATTGTTAAAACCTTCGAATCATTAGTTATCTTTTTAAGGGATTCAATGATAAGTGAATTCCCAGTGCGGTTAAGACTGACATATTTCATTTCTCATTTGTTCAAAAATTCAGAAAAAGAAAGCGAAAAAATGATGAGCAATGTATTTTCAAATGTGTATAATTATATGCTAATATATCTACCACTAATAAAAAAAAAAATTCAAAATTCGAAAAACTATTTTGATATTCAGTTAAAAAAGGCGCTGGAAAAAATTAACTTTGATTTGGTAGATGTAGAAGCATATAAATTGTCTATAATTAAATTAAAAAAAAAAATAGCCTATTTCACCAAATTGTATTTTCAACAAATAAGCGTCACAGTGGATAAGTTTATCCTCGAAAATGATTTCTCCTTTTCATTAGAAATGAAAAAAGTGGAAGGAAGCAGAAATAATAAGAATAGAAATTCCGAACTTGATGATACAAACCAATTGACAGAGGAAATGAGTAGTAATAAGGTGCACTCCGATTTGGAAAATTCAAGTGAAACATCATCAAGTTGCGAGGGAGAAGAACAAAATAACGCTGAAATTGATTCAGCTGAGGAGGAGAAGCAGAAACAGAAGGATGCTCATACTGGTGATGATGCTGATGAAAGAACCCGACTTGACGACATGAACAGCTCTGTTGTGGTGAATGATAAAAAGGAAGGGAGCGAGGAAAATTCAGATGCAGGAGAAAAACAAAATTGTATTTACAACCAACTGAATGAATTGAGAGAATCTCTTACCAAATTGAGAAAAAAAATAAAAAATAAAAAAAGCATGGATTATTTTTTAATCAAAATAGAATTTTTTAACAGCTTTGAAGATGTATCAAATAGTTATGTTAACGAAATAAAACACATATTAAATGTCCAGTGTTCAAATGCTAATATAAATCAGAAGAAGAGATGGATTTATATACTAAAACATTTTTTGTCGAAAAAGTTAAACATTTCCCCCTTGAATGATTTGAATAATTTTAATTTCTTTGCTAACCTTTTTCAAAATGACATACAATTTTGTGATAATATTGGGTGTAATTTTTTCACATTAGAATATAATTCTCCTACGGAAATTTTGACACATTTGAGAAATTGCTTAGCATACATGATTGAACAGGATAATTCATTAATTGACGACAAAGTGAGAACTAATGAGATTAACAAATTGAATGAAGACATGTTACATATTGAAGATGTTTTACAGAAAGAAATGAAAAGAAACAAAATATACACTCTCGAATTCTTGGATAAAATGAACGACATTCTAAATCATAATGAAAAGAAAAGTGCTAAAGTTTTATATTTAACCATATATATAAAATCTTTGAATGTGCATGAAGATATGCGAAATGATCAAGTTTTATACTACCTTTTTAATGCAATAAATTATGAATATTTTAATTTAAGAAATGAAATATATATCTTCTACCACCATTTTGTCTTCTACTACCTACTCGTTATATCTTTCTTGTGTGAAAAGAAGTATGAATTGGATTTTGTTCAAGTCAACTTTGAAAAATTTGAATGCTTTTTAGAAAATTGTAACCTTATCAAGAGTGCACTATTGCAAATGTTAAGTAGCGACACCAGTATGTTATGCAAATCTTATACACACAACATTTCAAGTAGCAGTTTTTTCAAAAAATTACTCCAGTGCATTTACAAAATTGCCTATATAATACACTTCTCAAATGAATTTAGAATATTCACGTATTTTAAGAAGTTTAATATGAAAAGGTCAAACGTGATGGAAGAATTAGATATCAATCCTTCACATATGAAACTCAAAATGAACGTAAATTTCTTGAAATGTATTGAAAGGTGTGTAGAATTTTTGGAAAAAAATTTAATTGAAATATACTCTTTAAATATTGCTCCTTATTTTAAGTATAAGATTTACGTCCTTATTGAGAAATTTGTCAAGTTATTTTACGAGATGAAAGATGGATTAGAGTCCACTACTGCAGAAGGTGATGGGTACTCCATTAGTCGGAGCTGTACTACATATGATGAAGTAGAAAAATTGAATGATCAAATTTGGAATTTCATAAGAAACATTGTTTATAAGAAATCTATCATATATAAAAAGGAATATCCGAATTTTCAGGATCTCAAAAATGTTAATGAAATATATTGTATGAAAAATATCATAAAGTTATATCTATTGGCAGATAATAAATATGCGTGGCTGAAAGGAAAACAAAAATCGAATAAGCCAATTCAAATATTCCATTATTTAAGCAAAAACTTGTTTTATTTTATAAAGTGCATATTTTTATACTCGTTGGACATATTTCTTGGATTCTCAAATATATCGCTTTACTTTTTAAAGGTCCTAAAAATTCTGTACAGTAAGGGTCTCTGTAGGCAAGTCGCAAGTGGAGATACAAATGGAGATAAGAATGGAGTTACGGATGAAGATGAACAAAAAACAGGCAAAGAAATGGATAACGAAATTTTTCATAAAACGGACTTTTTGAAAGGAATAGGATTAGGAGAAGGAAAAGGAATTAAAAATATTTCCAACCAAGTGGACAATGAAGATCTGGATAATATGTTTAATGAGGACGAGAATAATTTTAGTCAAGATGAAAATGATTTTAATGAAGAGGCGATTGAAGCAACTTATAATTTCCAGAAATTTTGTGAAAAGGAATTAAATTCGCTTGAGCAGCAGCTGGCAGATGGTAGTAATACATGCAAGTTGGAGAATGAGATAGACAATTTAAACATGGAAAAAAAGCAAAATAAGAGTGAGGAAAAGAATCCAAATGATATAAACAAACATCGAAGTGATGAAAATGATGGAACATGTCCACAAGAAGGGGAGAAAAATAATGACATTGGAAAGGAGGATGAGGAACATGATAGATCAAATTTGGACGAGAACCACATTGATGACATTTTTGAAAAGCATAACAGCAACAACCAGTGTGATTTAAGTGAGAATAGGGATGATTTGAAGGATGTTTTAAATGGGGATAATCAAGAGGAAAAAGAAGTAGACGAACAGAAAGGAAAGAAGCCGCATAACCAAGAGGAAAAAGGAGTAGACGAACAGACGGGAAAGGAGCTGCACAACCAAGAGGAAAAAGAAGTAGGAGGAGATTCCACTAATAACGCACCAATGAATCAACAAGATGTTAACACGAATGAAGCTGACCAAATGAACACAGACGAATTTGCACAAGGAGAAAAAAGTAACAACTCTGATTTTACAAACTTGCAGCAAGATTATAATTGGAAAGAGAATCATATGAATGATCCAATGGGTAAAGAGCAGGAAAATCTAAATGAGGGAAATCCAGAAAGAGGAAACGGATCTGACTTTAATTTAGATTCCGATTTTGAAATAGAATCCAATGATTTTTCCAAAAGTTGCAGTGAAAGGTCCATTGCAAGCAGGGAAGATAATTTTGAAGATCATTCAGATGAAGAGATGGAATACAAAAATCATACAAATGATGCGAAAATGGAAGAAGGAAAAAATATGAACCGTAGGAATGAGCAAGATTTTGTAGAACAGGATCACGAAGTTGATACCCATCACGAATTAGATGAATTCAATAAACTTCCCTCCCTCGATGAGGAGGAGGGGCAACAGCAGCAACAGCTGGAGGAGGAGGAGGCTATGGCAGACTCAGATGACATGTATGATGGAGATCAGTTAGAGCAGGATCATTTTGATATGGACAAAAAGAAGAATGATCGAAAAGGCCAGGGGTTCAAGACTGGTCAGGTAGAACCGAAAGATGATGACACAGATGTTCTCAACAGGGAGCCCAATGTAGCTGAAGCAGGAAAGGGCGACGATCAGGGAAGCAGAGACATCGACGATGACGCAGATGCTGCTGATGATTCGGATGGTGTGGATGCTGCTGATGATGCGGATGGTGTGGATGCTGCTGATGATTCGGATGGTGTGGATGCTGCTGATGATGCGTATGCTGCTAATGATGCTGATGATGCGTATGCTGCTAATGATGCTGATGATTCGGATGAGGAGACGACTAAAGAAAACTCGAAGGAAATCAGTGATGCATTATTCCCCCCAAGAGATCCTTCATCTAATCCTACTGATGATCCAGCCGAGGCCCAGAAACGCAATACCTCAGATGAGAAGAGAGGAGTGGAAGGCAAGGAGGATCGAAATAACTGTGAAGTGCAAATCGAAAGGAAGGATAATAATTGCGTGGAAAATGAAAGTAAAAGATACAACAAAGGTAAGGAAATAACAGAGAATAATTTGGAAGGAAGGGAAGATGCTTTAGATGAATCATACGACGAGGGGAAAAGAGAAATACAACCTAACACCCCCCAAGTACATTCCAAGGATTTAGAGATGAAGAACTATGAAATGCAGAAGGCTATGAACGATTTTGATGATAGAGGGGAAAATAATCAAAATGTGTTTCCAAAATCGGAAAGTGGGAAAACAGACGTCAAAAGTATGCACAGAGAAATGGATAAGAATAACGATAAAAGGGGAGAGGATGTCACAGATGATGATATGGTAAATTCAAATGATTTTTCATTTTCAGTTGACAAGTGCAACATATATACGGAAAATTTTGTTGATATTACAAATTTTATAGATAAAATTAATGAAAAGTTGCTAAAAATGAATGAGAATGATACCCATTTAGAATGTGAAAAACTGAACGAAAATCTAGAAAATATAAAAGAAAATTATAATATAACAAAAGAAGATGACAAACGTCTAAGTAAGGATGAAAAAACAAATTGTACAGATATGAACATAGATTTTGCTAGCAGTGGTGAAAGATATCCAATCGAGAAGATGAGAGAAAACGATTTTGATCATACAGAAAAGGAATCAATGGAGGGGAAGTCAAATGTCAAGGAAGAGATAGAATACGTCCAGGAAGATAAAAAAGGAAATAAAAATTCGAATGAGATGAATACAAAAACGGACATGCGTCTTGGAAAAAGTGCTATTGACATGATAAACGTGCAAAGTGTAAACAACGTACAAGGTGATGCTGAGGAGGAAGGAGAAAAAATAGACCAATTTGAGGATCACATGAGTGACACTGCTTCTAAGGAAAGTGCCACAATAAATAAGATCCAAACAGATGCAGAGATTTTGTACGGGACAGACGGTGAAGAAAAGTATAATAAGGATACAGAAAGGGGAAAAAAAGGGAGTAGCGATTCAGAGACAGATTCGTATTATCATTTCCAGAATTATGAAGAAGAAGGAAGCGTACGAAAGGATGAATGTTATCATAAAGTACATGAAAATGAAAAGGTGCTGGAAATGAAGTATATTGCAGAAGATAATCCAGAAAACACGCACAGCAGTAGAGAAATGAAGATGGTAGTTCCACAGCATAGCGAACTTCATAGCGAAGGACATAACGAAGCATATGAAGAAATATATGATCAGATTAACAACGAAACAGAAATTATGTCAAGTCACCTTTGTGAACAATTAAAAATAATTTTAGAACCAACGGTTCGAAATAAATATGAAGGAGATTACAAATCAGGAAAGAAATTAAATATAAAAAAATTAGTAAACTATTTTGCAAGTGACTTTAGAAATAATAAAATATGGAAAAGAAGAACGAAATTAAACAAAAGAGACTATAACATTGTAATTGCTATTGATAACACAAAAAGCATGAAAATAAATAATTTACAAAAAATGACATTAAATGCTATATTTCTAGTTGCGAAAGCTTTTGAAAAATTACAAGTAGGAAGAATAGGGATATGTTCTTTTGGAGAAAATGAAGAAGGAATTAATTCAAATAATATTGTGTGTTCTATGACGAACAGTTTGAATAAGCAAGATTTCCTAAAGATTTTAAATCATTTTCAGTTTAATCACGATACGCAAAATTCTTTTGATAATGCTATGTTAAATGCATTAAAAATATGCAGTTATATTTTAAAAGACGCACACAATAATAGTACTGCACAAAAAAGTGCTTTGAAAAATTCAATCAACCATTTAATGCTCATAATAAGTGATGGAAGATTCAACAAAAGTACTGTTAAAGCAGAAATTTATAAATGTATAAGAAATAATTTTATCCCAGTTCTTATGATTATCGATACACAATTATCAAACAATAAGGCACAATCAATATTTAATTTAAAACAAACATATTATAAAAATAATAAATTACATATAGTTCCATATTTACACGATTTCCCTATTCCTTATTATGTCGTCGTTAGTGACATAAATGACATCCCCACACTCATTTGTGATGTCATCAGACAATGGTTCCAGACTCTTAACAATAGGTAGACTGAATCGAGTACATATATATCTTAACAGCAATATGTGGGCCATGAAAAGACGCACGATGAACGCTGTTAGTCAAGTGTACGAAATTGGTGACTATATTTAAACGGGAATAACTCCGCCTCGTTGAGGAAACCATACGGAGCAGACTATGTACACATACGTACATATATATATGTATGTGTATGTATATGTATATGTATATGAATGCATATGTATGTATCCCACTCCCCATTTAAGTCCTGAAACTATGAAATAAGTCCTTAGAAAAAATTCCACTCCTTCAAGCAAAAGGGGGAGTGGTGGAAATTATATTGGGAGATTTGTCTGCACACGAGCTGGTGAAGAGGTCAAAATTTTTAAAAAGGAGAAAACACATACAATTTTTCGCTAATTTTTCTGTAGATATAAAGTATTTATTAAAATGTTGGCTGAAAACTTTTCTTTAATTTTGTTGTTTTTGAAAAAGTTAATATACAATTATAGCTTGTGCATATTTCACAGTGTTTTTTTTTTTTTTTTTTTTTTTTTTTTTTTTTTTTTCCTGCACTCGGAATAATTCGTTTTCTTAACCTTATCCTTTATTCCCCACACTTTGTTCATCTGTATGAGCTTACAGGAGGAGTAGCACATTTACATGACATTGTGCGTCTACCTCGTTCTGCAACAAGTTAACATCAATCAAGTATAAATATTTGTTTGTTAAATGTACACATTTGTTGAATAAAAGAGTTGTCATTTTTTTGTACCCTTTTTAAATTCTTTAATTTACAAAAAAAATAAAAGAGAAAAGGGGAAAAAAGAGGAAAAACTTGTTGGGTATTTCATTTTGTCCCCCGTCTCCACCACTTCCAAGTGTAAATAAACAATTTCAACTTTACGAATGATTTATGTTTAATTTGAAGGGAAATAAGTAACTCTACAAATATTTTTTTTTTAAAATAAATTCCACTTAAAAATAAAAATAGTTTTTTTCCGTTTGATCAAGTAGGGTTAATGTTTGTCCTAAATATATCTGCACATGTGAGTACACATTCATGTGCATATACGTATACATATACATGCATTTTTTCTTTATGACAGCAGGGTTATCGAACGCAAAAGTGTGCCGTTAGAAGGAGAAAGAAGATATATACCAAATGTGAAGCATATATATATGTATATATATATATATATATATATATCCATGCATGTGCAACATCTTGGTTATATTCCAACGCATTACGAACAGATTTGCATAGTAAAAAATTTTTCTTTTTTGATTGTCAGGAATAATTTTAAAAAAACAGCTAAATTGGGTGAACAAATTTTTTTTTTCTCTGGTGATATGTCAAATTTAAGCAGTTCCGTGGGGTAAGTTAAAATTTTTTTCAAGTGTTCTTAAAATTTTTACATTTTAACTACGCCAACTTTAACATTTTAAAATTTAACAAAGTGAAGAATTGTTCTGTTGTCATACATGTTTTAACTTGCCATTTTTATTATCATTATTGTCACTATTGTTATTATTATTAATTTTTTTTTTTTTTATACACTTCGTAATTGTTTGTACATTCACAAATGCAAATATATATAAACGCATAGATGTATCCAGATGTTTATCTTTCTTTGCGCATTTTTTACGCATTTTTTTTACACATTTTGTACACTTTTTTATCATAAATTTCAGCACAACATTGTATACAATTTTTACTTGTTTTTTTTTTTTTTTTTTTTTTAAATGTAAATTTTTAATTGAATTTTTTTTTTTTTTTTTTTTTTTTTTTCCTCTCATATTAAAGGTTGTGAGAGAAAAGAATTGTAACCGTGGTTGTTGCTTGCGTTATGTCTATTACTTTTCAACACATACATATTTGCATTCACATTTGAAGTTCAAATCTGATGTCTTCATGTGAATCCCACAGCTGAACTTAAGTTCTCTCTTGAATATTGCAATCACGATCACTTATGATCTCATTTTGTCTCAACCATTTCTCTCCACGGAACTATTTGAAACAAAAAAACTAAATGAAATATATTTAAATATTTGTGCAAAGTTTTTTTTAAAATATGAAAGAAAAAAAAAGCACGTAAAAAAAAAAAAAAAAAAAAAAAAAAATATCGACAAATTATTGCGAAGTGAAATGTTACCGCAGCAGTTATTTTTTGAAAATGAATTTATACCTTTTACTACTAAATTGTTTAATTTTTGGTAAGAACAAATAAGGTTTGGGAAAAAAAAATGAGAGAGTATTGTGAACAGATGTGTGTATGTGTCTTTATTTTTGTTTAGATATTTTAAAAACCCTCGTTTGGATGCGAAATTTTGCATATGTGAATGTGTAAAAAATATTTCAAGCTCCTGAATGCATACTCTTAAATCTAAAGTAGATGGGTAACCATAACCATCATTCTTGTTGCAACTTTTGTAGGTAATTTAAGAGGATCTCAAAGCAGGAGTACAATAAATAATGAAGGTTTGTATTAAATTTGCACTTGTCTCACATGAAAAGGGTTGCGCACGCATGTGTAAACAAGACATACGTGCTTATGATGTACACACTTATGATGCAAACAATCATGCTCCCCCTTCGTCCTTCATTTCACTTGAACCCTTTACAGACACAATTGGCGTTTCTGAGGAAGCGATAAAAAAACTAAAAGAAATTAAAAAACTAGAATTGGATATTCTGAACGACTTTGTGAAGAAGGACACGACACATGCAGACATATACAAACGATACCACTGCATAGCAAGTGATTATATCTCATACGATTCAAAATCAACAACAGGTAAAAAGAAAGTGTATGCAAGAGTTAGTTCGAATTCGGGTGTATACACACAATTGAAGAGGAGATTTTATATAAATGCATGTGGAAGAACATAATTACTACTGGTCAAACCTCTCTGCAAAAAAAAAAAAAAAAAAAAAAATATTAATAATTAATGATATTTTTACCCTAACATGTGCACACAACTCATTTTCGAAATGGGAAATGTGATATGCATTTCATGTACAAATTTCTGATATGGCTACTGTTTCCATGATATCTTCGCAAATATGTTTTACCATTCTTTAATTTTTTTTTTCTTTTTTTTGGCCTCTCCCTCATTACTACTCAGAATTCCAAAAAAATAGCAATACCAGAAATGGTAAATCAAGTGATGTTCCCAGGGATATAAAAACGAACGAACAAAATTTAAATGAAAAAGGCGAAAATTCAAAAAGTTTTGTTGAAAAAATTATGTCCTTTGTAGGAATATTCAACTATAATAATGTAAGTAACATATTTTCTGAACAAGACCAGAAAATACATCAAAGAATAAAAATTGATGGTGATGGAAATGGTAGTGAAAGCACAAATAAGGAAGAAAAAAAAGCCGAAATAACAAAAAATAAAAATCCAAATTCATATATGCAATTATCATCATCCCTCAGTTTAACAAAAAGAAATATGTTCTTGGGAGGTAAAGAAAATTCTAGTGAACATTTCGAAGTAGGTAACTTGGGATCTTTTTATATGATTTTTGGTGCTCGTAATACAGATTACCCATGGGCATGCACATGTGATCCCCTTCAATTAATAGATTACAAGGAAAAAAAGCGAAATTACGTGTTATGTAGTAACCAAGTAGATATGTCTATACAGAACTCCGATTTGTTTTGTAACCCCAAAAACTCTTCGCGTTATTTTTACTTGTCTTACATTTTTATGTTCCTTATTGTGATTGTTTGTTTTTGAGCATGGAAAAAAAAGGGAGGAACAAAGCAAATAAGAGCGAAGAAAACTTAATAAAATAAAACAAAATGACATACCTTCCCCACTTCCTTTTTCTTTTTATCCTCCCCTTATGTACGTGTGTCTGCACACGTGTGTACATGTTTTACATGTGCTATGTTTTCTCCAAATGGAGTATGGACCAACCTACATAGGTGTGCCTCAAACTATGTGTGTTTGTTCACAAAAATAAATAATTAAACGTAAAAATTAAAAATGATTCGAAGAAAAAGAATAAAAAGAAGCACATGTATTTTTGGTGCAGCAAATTGAAGTTTTCCCCAAATGTGAGAAAGTTATTTTGTCCAGTTGTTGAGAACTTTTGGGGCGCAAAAAAAAAAAAAAAATAGAAAAAAAAAACAGGGCAATTTTTTATTTTTTTATTTTTCCCCTTCTCTCTATTTCTTCCTTTTTTCTACTTCTCTGTCATACGAAAAATACGGTCCTTTTTAAATTCATCTGAAAAACCTTCTCTCCACATGCGCCTGACATTTACTCAGTTGACTTTTTGTTCAACATGAAAAAAGGAAAAATAGAGTAAATTAAATACACTGCATGAGAAGGTTATGTTAAACTAAGCTGTTATCGTAGGAATGCTACAAATGGGCATGTTCTACTACTACGCCTCTTAAATTATGATAAAATGATTGAATAAAGAAAATTGTCAAACGTGCTACAAGCGAAAGAACCCCGTTTGAATGTACACCAGAATTGTGATAAAATATTTTTGTGTCTAATCATGTGTCAATTAGAAGTTTATTTTATTTTGTTTTTCTACGTTCGTATTTGTTAATTTTTTTTTTTTTTTTTTTTTTTTTTGTATGGAAGAAGGTTTAATTAGAGGGGAAAAAAAAACTTCTCAAACATGGGACTGCTACAATTAATGGGGGGCGAGCATGGAGAAGAGGAATTATTACTTTTTCATGTAAGTATAAAAAGGAGATCGAATTTAAAAAGAAAAAAAATGAGGAAGAAAAAAAAAAAAAGAAATAAAGTGTGCTCAAACGATATCATACAAGGTGCATTTCATGAATATAAAATTAGCCTTTTTTTTTTTTTTTTTAACTCATATTATAGTATAGTAGCATGGATTATCTATGCATGTATAACACAAATACTTTTTTAAGCAAAGTAGTAAGGGTATTCCCCCTCTATCGAACTTTCAATATTCCTGCAGCAATAAGTTTTTGTAAGCCATTGAAAATTTTTGGATCCTTTATGTACTCCGATATGGAATTTGGATTTTCATTGAGTCTTTGCAAAATTATTTGAAACTGGGGATCAGAAATGATTTGTTGAATTTCTGGATCAGACATGGATTTTTTGAATTGCTCTTCATCAACCTTTTCTGACTTTGACATTTCGTCAATTTTGTATGCACATCTTTGATATCCCTCTAAGCATTCTTTATTATTAGGATCTAACTCTAACCCTTTATTGTACGCTTGCAAAGCTTTGTAATAATCTTTCATAAAAAAGTGTAAATTTCCTTTTCTGCTATATGCCTTTACAAAATTAGGATCCAGTTCAAGGGCTTTCATAACATCTTCTAATGCTGATGGATATTCTATCAGTTTCGTTAACGCTGCAGCTCTGTTCGAATATAATTTGGCATCATTTGGATTTCTTCTAATAGCTTCGTCATATTCCTTTTTAGCATTTGGAAAATCATTATTTTTAAAATATTCATTACCTTTATTCTTATGTTCTTCAGCCTTTGCTGGATCAATATATGCTTCTCTTTCTTCTTTTTCTTTTTTTCTTTCTAATTCTTTTAGGGCATTTCTAGTAGCTCTATTGTTGTCTTCTACTAATGATTTTCTATATGCTTCGATAGCTTTATCATAATTTTTTATATTGGCATAACTAATGGCTAATCTGTTATACACCTTTGCTACCTGTGCAAAATCAGCTTTAAAATCATATCTATTTTCTATTGCGTATAGACATGTCTCAATGGATTTTTCGAATATTTTCATTTCCATATATACAGCTGCCTTGTTATAATAGTACATAATATCTTTTGGATTTGCTTTAATAGCTTCATCATATTCTTTCAATGCCTCTTCAAATTTTTTTTGTTTATAAAATTCATTTCCTTTCTGTTTATGTTCATCCCCTAGTATTTCTTCTGGTGATCTATTTTTTTTTCTTCTTTCTTCTTCTTCTTTTTCTTCCTGTTTTTTTTTTTTTATTTTTTCTTCTTCTATTTTTCTCTGTCTTTCCCTTTCTCTTTCTTCGTCATTTGTAGAATCTTCATTAAATTTTAATCCAAAAAATTTTTCTACTCCTTCACTTATTTTTCTGTTACAGGAAGATAATATGAATCGAATGTTCATAGGGTTAGCATTAATAGCTTTTATAGTATTTAAAAGTTCATTTGGATAATTTTCATTTTCTTCTTTATAAGATTTTAAATTTCTGTCATTTTCAATAATGGTGTTTATGTGATTAATATATTCCATATTTTCTGCTAATTTTTCTTTTCTCACATTTTCTAATGCATCTTTTAATGATTTATTATTTGGATCTATTTTAAGTCCTTCTAGATAGGTTTTTTCTGAATTGTCAAGTTGTCTTAATCCATGTTCTGCGCAACCTTTTCTTATGTATCCCTTTGGCCAATCCTTTTTTAAACTTATGCATTTATTTGCATTTTCTAATGCTTCATAGAATCTCCCTAAACTTGCAAATGCCCCAGACAAATTGGAATACAAAACATGATCTTGTGGATCATTTTTAATTGCATTCGTGAAATGATTAACAGCTTCTTCAAATTTTCCTTCTTGAAAACACTTGTTACCTAATTCCTTTAACCTCAAAGCCTCTTCTTTGTTTATCATTTTTCGTACGTTCAAGGTCTCAGCAGGGGTGTACAGGTGAACAAGCGTTAAGCACTATTTGCAGGCAAATATATGTGTCGTGTAATTGTACCTTAATAACTACTAGAATATAAATATATTTATATGTTTATGCATATACACACCCAGGTATGCGCGACAAAACGGGGTAACATGTGTGTATGTATGTATGTATATATATATATGTTCCTTCTTTATTTCGAATATGGTGAAAATGCTCACATAAGGCTTCTACTAATTCTGCACTAAATTTTTTTTTTTTTTTTTTTTATTTGTAAAATGTTTTTACTGCCGTGTAGATATGTTTTGATTAAATGTTTGGTTTAGATCAAAGTTGTTCTCTTAATTTGGCGTGAAATATATGCATGAAAAGATTCTTATTTATGAAGCCCATTTATCCGTTATATACTTCTACAATGATGGCGCTTTTTTTTTTTTTTTTTTTATATTAATTTTTATCAGCTGTTTATTTATATTATTAAAATTCGTGATTTCCAAAGGTGAATTTGGGTGTGAATTGAATGTTTTTTTTTTTTTTTTTTTTACTTGGAACATGCGTTATTACAAAATTTTTATAAACACATTTTATTGTTATTTTTATTTATTTTACTATTATTATTTTTTTTTAAGTACCAGTATGACTTGTTTTGGATTGAGATACACAGATATAATTTTTAAATTATGTTGCTTCTATGTACATTTTCCTCAAATATGCTCCCTCCTTCCTGCGTAAGTGGTTATGCTCATATATGGATTATGTAGATATGAAAAAGTTGGTATATTAAACATTATAGCATCTCATATCAGTGTAAATAAGTACGCGTATGTTATAAATATATATAATACATACGATGTGATACATTTATTATATATATTTAATATGCTATATATGGACATGCATGCATTTTCTCTTGTGAGTATGAATGGCAGACGACTCACTGAAAAAAATATTTCCTCTTCCTTTTATTCTTATTCGGAGCATCTCCCAGCCATGTTTAATTTTCTCCCTTACATGCAGCATGCCTAGGAGGCTAATATTATATATATATATATATATATATATATATATATATATATATATATATATATATATATATATATATATATGTGTGTTTTATTTATTAACACATAATTTTCAATGACCCGTAATATAATTTTTTTTTTTTTTTTTTTTTTTTTTTTTTTCATTACAATATTTTTAAGTTCCATACATAATATTGTTCCCTTTTAAGTGAACTTCTAAAGGGGGTGTAGGTTATTATATGTGGTAGGGGATCACACCGCTTTGCAAATTTATAATTCGTATAATCACCATGAAGAGAGTTATTCCCATAAAAGTACTTATGAAATTTGTACAAGACCTTTTTGTAAACTTCATATTATTTTGTGCCATACATATATAACATATAATATGTAATACCTAATATGTAATATTCATGGAATATTTTTTTTTTTAGTTTTTTTTTTTTTTTTTTTTTAAAGCTTTTAAAAAACTTATTACAGTTATGGATTCTGTAATATTTGCATACATTGTACGTACTTGTATATATGGGCTTGCATATTGGATTTATTTATTTATTTTTTTTTTTTTTTTTATCACTGAGTTACTGAAGTTGCACATTAATGACTGTTGCATTATGTATTTACAACATCATGAGAGCAGTTATAGTTATTTTCCATTATACTTTGAAAAGAAGCTCATTATGTTGAGAACATTAAATGTTGGAACAACATACGCAAGGGTAAAAATCCAGTGGGGTTAGAAAAGATGTAAAAATGTACATATATATGTTTACGCATGCGTACATTTGTTATGTTTCCATCTTTGCCTTTATGGACGACGTTACATTCAGGATTAGTGGCTCCCTCCGCTCTCTACTTCAGACGAATGACACATGCCACAAATTTTGTTTTTCATATGAAAATCTGCGAATACGTGAGATAAGAAACATATTTCTAGCTATTATACAAAATGAAAAGTGTCACTTTGGAAAAATGCTAATTAGAAAAAAAAAAAAAAATGATTTCTTTTACAGATTCATCCACCAATCTATCATCATCATCACCACCAGCATCATTACCATCATCATCATTTTTTTTTTTTTTTTCGTGAAAACAAAATAGGTCTACATTTCGAACAAGTACAAATTTATTTTCACTTGTTATAATGCGTTCAAACGCGTGCTAAAAAATGTACCCATAAATTACTACTCTACTCTTGTCAAAGGGAAAAATTTCATGTGGAAATGAGGGGCAAAAATAAATGTGAAATGTTTCTCAAAATTTAAAGGAACGAAAGAGCATTTTTCTCCAATTTTTCCAAAGTACAATGTGTTTAACAGTGAAGCATTCAAAGTTCCTAAAGTCCTTTTGGTTAATGTGTATTTCGCAAATTTTTAAAAAGGAAAAGAAACTGTTTAAAAGGAGGGGCCACCTGTTTTTATTATCCTTTTATTCATTTACATATTTAATTATGCATTCATTTATAATTTGATTATATATTTGTATATTTATTTATTTTTCCATTTTCGTTGTTCATCACACTTTGTAAGAAGCTCTTTTCACGGCACATATTTCTGTTCGTAAGATATTTCCAACACTTCACATTTTGGTGGATAATCCCTTTTTGGTCTTTGTATTTTAAAAACCTGGGCCTTTGAATGACCCTGTCATGAATGTGTTAAATGAGGAAGGGCCCGAAATAAAAATGCATAACATGGCAAATAAATGGACATGTAATCATGACACAGAACACAGTAGTAAACATGTAGGGGAGTAAAATATGTCACACATGTTAACCGTGCGTTGAAACACAAATATCGTCGCACAAGGAAAAGATAAAAATGTGTCAAAATCGTTATGCTACAAAATAATCTTATGTAGCAGAACTCTCAAATTTTATGTCAAATATATTATAACAAATACAGAAATTCGCAGCTCTTATTATCATGGGAATTCCTGTATAGCATAAACGCAAGGTCGGAAAAAATCCTTTTTCAACAATAATTTTTAAAAGAAAGATTAAAACCTCACTTAAATTTTACTCTCAAAAAAAAAAAAAAAATAAAAAAAAAAAAGGGAATTTCCAAAAGGAAAAATAAATCCTATTTTGTTCCGCTAATAACAAACGATAAATTTCTCGAAGCGCATAGTTTGCGGAAGAAAAAAAAAAAAAAAAAAAAAAAAAAAGTGGGGAGGGTGGCAAAGGGGTAATTCTTATTAGGGGAATTTTCAAATGTGCACAAAGAAAATTTTCATTAAAAACAAAAAATGTGGGCTTAAATGTTTCGCTTTTACCTCAATGAAAGGGGGACACACATTTATGTGTATATATACATATATATATATATATATATATATATATATATATGTATATAAAACATTCATTACACATTTGTACATGTTACTTATTAAACCTTTTTTTGTGTTCGTTCCATTTTTCACAGATATATTTTTACCTTTTCTTTTTCTTTTTTTTTTTTATTTACACTGATGATTTTCGTACAACTTTATACTTAAAAAAAAAAAAAAAAAAAAAAAAAAAAAAAAAAAAAAAAAAAATACAGTATACCTTATCGGAAACTACATATAAAAGGACGAAAATAGAAAAACCAACTTTTGGAAAAATAAAAAGATTTTGCATACGGTTTACATGCATTACATTTCAACTAAAAGAAAGAAAAGGAACAAAGGGCAGAAAATTTCTGCTGGAAATTATTTGTTTAACCGAATAGCGCAATGGCAGACAAGCTAACGGAAGAGCAGATCTCTGAATTCAAGGAAGCCTTCAGCTTGTTTGACAAGGATGGCGATGGAAGTAAAACGAGAAATATACTAAAATGAGAAAAGGCTAAAATGAGAAAGGGCTAAAATGAAGAGAGGCTAAAATGAAAAGAGGCTAAAATGAAAAAAAGGCTAAAGTGTGAAAGTGTAAAAGGGCACGTAGACATTTTTACTGCCTATTAACCAACTTACAAATTTCGCATTCATCCACACTGAAAAGCGCATAAGACATTCGCATAATAACACATGATAGGTGTTGCATACATGCATGCGCAAGAATAGTTCATAAAACCATTTTAATTATTTATCAGAATGGATAAAATAATTATGAACTATTAATAAACTTTTATTCAAAGATTAAAAAAAAAAAAAAAAAATATAATAAAATAAAGAACTTGAGTACGCTAGCTATTTCAAAACATTACCCAGTTAGCCAAAATAGAAAAAAAAAAATCATCTAACTGTTCATATATATATGTAGATATATATATATATATATATGTACATATATTTTTTTTTTTTTTTTTTTTTTCTCTCTTCCAAATAGCTATAACAACGAAAGAATTGGGGACTGTCATGAGATCACTGGGACAAAACCCAACTGAAGCAGAGTTGCAAGACATGATAAACGAAATAGACACAGATGGTAATGGAACAATCGATTTCCCTGAATTTTTAACATTGATGGCGAGAAAAATGAAGGATACTGATACTGAAGAGGAGCTCATTGAAGCATTTAGAGTTTTCGATCGAGACGGCGATGGATATATAAGTGCAGATGAACTAAGACACGTAATGACCAATTTGGGTGAAAAGTTAACTAATGAGGAAGTGGATGAAATGATACGGGAGGCAGACATAGACGGAGACGGTCAAATTAATTATGAGGAGTTTGTTAAAATGATGATAGCCAAGTAATTTTGTTATCCCTTGCGGAATTTCAACATAGAGACTAATGTAATCCCGTATCTTTGCAAAAGGTGTTTATAAACGCCTACAATTATGTACCTTTTTATTCTCATATCTATATTCGTACGTATATTCGCATGTTTATATGCTGCTAGATACAAACCCGTAAATGTGTATATGTGTGTAAATCATGCGAATTGGGGCGCTCCTTCGCCTACATTTTCACTTACTAAAATTTTTCTTTCCATTTTAACCATAAGAAAACCTATATTTTGTTTTACCAGAAATTAACCTTAATATTCATTCGAAAGAAAAATGTGGAGAATACCACATAAATGTGCACACGGAGGAAAATTAAAACATGTTGCATGTTGTTGTTTTCCTTCGTAACCAAATACTTTGCAGAAAAAAAAAAAAAAAAATTCTTTGCAACTCTTCCCAAGGAAGGTTTTAATCGACATGCCGCTCACTAAGATTATCAATCGAATGTAACCTTTTAGGTCGAGTTGCATATGCGCGCTTTAGATATAATGTTCCATATTTTTATTTATTCTCTATTGTGCTATTAAAAGCTGGAAAATTAAAACTAATTAACCAAAATGTTATTTTAAATAAAAATAAAGCAAGACAAAGTAAAACAAATAATAGCAAAAAAAAAAAAATAAAATAAAATAAGACAAAAGCACAAATTTAATTTGAACAAATTTGTTAACGTGTCGAAATCATTCGAAATGAAGAAATGTGTAACAAATAGTGGAATATGTAACTAAAGTTGTATGCGAGCGGCGCAAGTTTTAAATGTACGTATGCTTGTGTGTGTAAGCGGGGTGTGCATGTAAGGATATAAAGAAAGGAATTCAAAAGAGTAGTACACCCATCGAGTGAAAATGTTTCTAATTTTTAATAAAAATTCATTTGCGGTGTAGAGTACATAGGTAAATGTCCAACACGACGATACCTTTTTCTTTTTCTTCCATTTTTACTCGTTCAATCATGGGAACATAATCCTGTGCTATGTTTTACACGATGGTTCCACTCCTCTTCGTTAATAATTGTGTAATATGGAGACAAATAAGTGCTCGTCCTTTTTTACAAGTTCAATTGATGATGTTCAATGAACCAACTGATATAACACAAAAAATTATTATTTTTAATTTGATTTTGAATTTCTTGAAAAAACAAACTATATATGTGAATATTGTGATACGTTAATATAACATTAGCCGTTAGCTCTTGGCACTTTAGTAAATGATGTATATACGATCTGCTTTCATTTCTGGGTGAATTATTAGTTATAGTGGAATAATCCATATTATATTTTGAGTCATTTAAATCTATAATAAAAATTTCTTCATTTTTAAAATTTATGATATTAATGTGGTGTACTTTGCTTACATCACTTGCTGATGTTTCCATTTTGATATCCATATTAATAGCCTTTCCACTTCTTGCTAATTCGTACGGAAAATTTGATTCGATAATATCTATTCCATGAAAAACGGAATGCAAAATTTCGATGGGGGAACCTATACTTAGTTGAATAAGCTTCAATTTGTTACTTGGTAGAACACTTAAAACATTTTTTAAATGGTTGGTTCTCACTTGATTTGATTCTTCGTAGCCTATTCCACTTAATAGATACCCATCTATAACAGAGTTATACTTATTTAACGTTTCTTCCATTAGATCTTTGTTTAAATTAATTGTTGAGGGGACGGATAAAATGCAAAGAGATTCACATATTATTTGTTTATCTTTCAACATTTTAATTTTTTTTAAAAATTCATTCATTAGTGTTATTATACGTATTTTTTTTTTTTTTCCAACATCTTCATTTATTTTCACTTCTTCTGATGGAATACAAAAAATGTCTGGCTCAAAAATTTCAACACATTTGGAAAAATCGTCTATTGAAAATACAATTGTGCAATTATTCTGTTTTATCGTTATGTTTTTATTAATATTTAGGGAAAAAGAATTTGTCAAAACATTTCTTACATTCATATATCTATAGCTATTATCAAAATCGGCAAAGTTGTGTAGGTAGTTTCTTGTCACATTTTCATTATTTCTGTTTTTAGAATAATATTCTTTTGCTTTTTCAAATATTTCCAAATTTTTATATACTTCAAATAGGGGACAATTTACAATAAACTTTTTTTCTATCTTTCTCAGCAACTCAAAATTTATATATTCAGGTTGTATGTCATTCGTCAGTATAGTAGTAGTTGGAGTTTCGATGTCCTTCATTTTGTTTAAGCGATATTTCCCTTCTTCATTCATCTTGAGAACTTTACGATTTGCGACAAAATTGGGTGAAGTGAGATTTTATATGCCTTATGTGAGAATTCGACCTGAAACGTTGTAGGCACTCATTTAAGACGTTATAGACACTCACCTGAAATATTATATGTATTCAACTTATCAGATTTTCGCTAACTTGGATGAAGTAAAAACAACATTCGCTATTATGTCCTTATACATGCATGAATTAATTTTTCAAAATCAAAAAAATGACTCCTAACAATAAGCATATTATAATATACAATCATCCAGATTTATCGTACAAATGTGTAAAAAAAAAAAAAAAAATAGCACAGCTGAATGAGGGCATAATTCACTAACGCAGTAGATACATTGGAGAATTGATTTCTTAAAAAACAAGGGATAAAAAGAAAAAAAAAAAAACAATAATTCTATATGAAACAATGATATTACCTCCCACAGTATACTTTTGCAATATCCAGATAAAACCCATGGAACCAATTTGCAAGAACAAAATTGTTGAAATGGGAGTAAAGTATTCTCCATATCAGATCAAATACCCTGTGTTATGTCCCTGCAGCACGAGAGCGGGTGGTTCTTGAGCATAATTGTATGATTTTGTGCTGCGCATAGGAGAAATTGCAGTAAAATGTAAAGTAATGGTGAGTAGATAAATAGAGTATGTCATTTTTTTTTTTTTTTTTTTTGCTTTTTCTTGCTATTTTTACTTCAATTTCGACATTGGATAGAAAAAAAAAAAAAAAGAGCTCCGAAAACTCTTGAACAATTATTACTAATTAGAAATAATAATAAACAGATCTGATTATGTGCATGTTGTAATACCATGCATATAAACTACGAATATATATCATATGATCAAAAAAGGAGTTTCATCAAGAAAATATGTTTTTTTTTTTTTTTTTTTTTTTTTTCTGTATACCCCTTTTCACACCCAATGAACGAAATAGTAATAAAAAACTTAAGTTATAATTATTACAATCGAATAAAAAATACGAGCACACCAGCACTCGAAAATGTAACTTTGTCATTTGGCCGAGGTATGAGAATTGTAGTTTGCGGGAAAAATGGTGCAGGAAAAAGTACTCTGTTGAGTATCATAGCAGGAAAAAAGGTAGCATTTTTTTGGATAAGAGTGAAAATGACATGCCATACATTTGTGTAGCACGAGGTTGGGGGATAGAGGAATAGGATTAACACACATACCCACATACATGCATCTGTATATAACTACATTTAACATGTGTATAAATATATCTATATCTATCTATATATATATATATATATTTTTGCACATGTGGACGCATTAACGTTGGCCAGATGTATCATTTGTTCATTTACCAAATGTCTACCTAAACACGTACTCTCACATCCTTCAGCTTGTAAAAGAGGAAGATATTTTGGTATTCAACAAACCCGCATTTCATGACACTACACTGTCAAGTAGAATCGGATTCGTAGGGGAGTGGTGGAGTGATGGTATTAAAAATGAATATCCCATTTGTCACTTTTTTTATAAGGATGTCAAAAGAGATCCCTAAAAAATTGACATTTTTTATACGTTGTATTTTTGTCTCATAAGTTTGTTAATATGAGGTAAACTATATCCATAATCAATTTATTTTACGTTACATTACGTTACGTTTCATTTTTTTTTTTTTTTTTTTTTTCTTTCTCTTTGCTTTACAAGACTACGCAATGAACATCACAGTGAAGAATTTCTTTTCTCAGTATAGAGATTCGAAAAGGTACCAGAAATTGCTGAAATTATTCGATATCAACGAAGACAAACTTATATCCTCTGTCTCAAAGGGTGAAAAGAAAAAGATTCAAATTTTGGGAAATTTAATTACGAGAAAGGAAGTTTACATTTTTGACGAAGCAACAGAATCGTTAGATTTGATATCTCGGAAACTTCTGTTGGAGTAGGTTTTCCACTCATTGCACTATCACACTTGATTACAAGTGTATGCATGGACTTTAGCAACTTATGTATATCCCTCCCCCACACAAACACTCAATCGACATTTCACCATAAATGGGATGTATGTATATGGGTGTATTAGATATGCGTGAAAATTCGAACGCACATTTTATATCCACCCCGTACTTCACTCATATCACTAATATCCAGGTTTTTAAAGAGGGAATGTATAAAATACAACTCCATCATAATTTATTCAACTCACATTTTTGATTATATGGAAAAATGGTGTAGCCATATTTTATACCTGTCCAAAGGAACAGTTACTTTTTTTTCAGACATACACACTATTACGAGGTAATACCCCAAGATAAAAGGAGGTGAAAGAGAGTGGAAATTGTGTAAATAAAAAAGCAAAACAAAGTGTGCTCTTTCTCGAATTGCGTCACAATGGTGACTTTATTTATTTGTTATTCCAGATCTTCTATTAATAACCATTCTGCACATTATATTATAATTACACTACTTTCATATTTACCCATTTTCTTTGTCCCCCCTACCCGTTGCAGCGCCAACAACTACACTTCTTTAGCCGATTACATTTTCGACCATATGATGAATGAGACGAAGGACAATGCACAACTTAACAACATGGATGGTATGCTACCTTGAGCTGTGCGATATTATTGTATGTGTTTTTCCAAATGTGTTCACTTTTTATTGTATAAAAATTTTTTGTAACAAAAATGAATTTAAAAAAAAAAAAAAAAAAAAAAAACATTGTTTTTACGGTCTCAGGTTTATTAGTAAATGATTCGAATTAAATATAGAATTTCCTTCACAAAAAAAAAAAAAAAAAAAACTTAAAAAGAGGAAAAACCGTTTAGTGATAATTAGAATGGATAAACAACACATAATACATCCCCAGGTTAATGTTATGTACCATGAGGAAAGTTAAGCATAACTAGGTATTAGTGCAGAAATAAAAAAAAAAAAAAATTAATTCATTATGTTTGAGTGAATAATTGGACACTTCACAAATGAAGCGGTTGGATATAAAAATACCGTTTCTCACTACCATTTTCATCCATTCAAAGATGAATGAGAAATTGCATGAGTACGAAACCTAAAGAACTGGCTTAGTACTGTACACATGCAACTATAACTATCAATACACATCCATCCTGTGCTTTTTTCTTTAGGTGTGAAACTTTTCATCGCCCAGGGTTTCATGCCCAGAATGTTGTAATGGTGAAAAAGGTGAAATTTATATAATGTTGCGCATAATTACGCGCAGTAAATCCATGTCCATTTCTGACAAAGATATAGACTGAGACCGTCTTGTTTGCAAAAAGAAGAACAACTCAACTGGGTTTACTCTAAAATTGATACACAAAAAAAAAAATAAAAAAATGTTTGAAAAATTGTAAGAAGCATATGTGTTTATTTTCTGAATGGAAGTAAAACAGTGTTTACTTTTTTCAATTCCCAAAATAAAAAAAAACCTTTATTTTTTTTTATCCGTGGAATTGGCTAGCTGATGAATTTTCTTCTGAACATTCATAAAAAAAAAAAAAAATAAAATAAACAAAATTTTTTAGCTTATTTTTATAAATCTTCATTTTGCTAAATTTACAAAAATGACTACTGCACACATGATTGCATTCCCCCATAGATAGCTTATTAAGGTGCTTGTAAAATTGTTTTTTTGTATTTTTGTTTCTCTTATAAAATAATATTTTTTTTAAATACAAGGTGGGAATATATGTAATATGCCTCTTCCTCTGATTATAAAAAGAAATTAACGTATTATTCATAATGAGAGGAAAAACAAAAATTGAGTCTTCACAAAAATTTGGTAAATTGATAAACTCGGTTGTATCTTTATCCATGAGAGTAATGAAATAAATATTCCCTACATTTAGTATGTTGTGCTTGGCTAGCCCTTTTAATATCATTTTGACATTTTGCACATTTTCGAATGGGTGATGTTTAACATCTGATGGGTCACTCAACCTGAGAGGAAATTCTCCATATTGTCCATTCTTCATAACGGTGCAAAATGTGCACTTTTTTTTTTCATTGGTTGAAATTTTATTCCCGTGCTGGAATTTTATAACGGAAGGGGCACGAAATTGGACTTCGTTAAGTGAATCATACCCTGTCCCTTCTGTCATTTTCTGAAAAAAGAAAGGTCGATTATTCACTTCACACATTGGAACAATAATTACACCCATTGCGTATGTAGGCTTGGTCGTTTTCCGGTATCATGACGTCTGTAAATTTATTATTCACACATGTCCCTACAAGTTTTTTTAACAATTCAATAAGTTTCTTCATCTTTTTAACATAATAATGATAAAGAAGATTACTCTGTGCATATATTTCTTCAAGACTTTTCCTCTTGTTCGGATCGAATTGGAAGAAAAAAGTAAAAAAATTTTGAATTTTCTTCATGTTTTTACCAATTTTTTTTTTAACAATTTTATCCAGTAGATATCTCCTTTCACATATTTTTATGTACAAAAAAAAATTATATTCATTTGTTAATGTTTCATTTGTAATCATTTCGAAAAGTAAGAAACCAATTAACCATACATCACTTTTTTGTATATCCCTTCTTCTTTTCTGAAATATTCGTTCCTTTGTTAACTTCCTTTTTAGTCGTGTTTTTATTTTTTCTATGTGTTTGCAAAATCGAAAGGAAGATAATTTTCGAATAGTGCAGTAGGAGATGCCCTTTTTTCCTGCATTTACTTTGTTCTTTTTTTTTTTCGAACAGGTAATGTTTTGGCTGTTTTCCATTCGAATAGAAAATTTAAAACTCGCTGGATTGGTGATTTCGAATTTTAGGAAAAGCGGTTTCTCTGTCCAATTTGTTATTACATCCATAGTTCTATTTATTCCCATGAGCCTTTCATCGGTGCTGTTCCATTTCTTTGTGGTTTTACCTGTACCCCTTTTCATCAGTTCAGGAGCCGCCATCAGTTCGTTTCCCCTATTTTTCCGAAAAAAGAGAAAATCCTTATTACTAAAAAAAGTTTTACATTCTCCAAAGTCGCTAATGACAATGTGTGGGACATCGTTAACATGTCCCGTTCTGAGGATCTTTCTACCTTCCACAAAGTGTGTGTGATTTTTCCAATTTGGAAGATGATTTCTTATGTCCTTCAGATTGACCACCTTTTTTCTGCTACTTCTAATATATTTTGCTTTTTTTGTTGTGTCTATCATTTTTTTCTCCTTTTCTGAGTTCGTCCGATTTATTCCATTTGCCTCTCTTCTAGCTTTCGTTCCGTTTTTCATTTTTCTTCTTTTTTGGGAATGGATTGGACAACCCATTGTGGATACAAAAGCGGTGGGAGACCGAAAACAGTGCATTTGGGAGATACGGTTGCCCTCCGTGGGATATCCAATCTGACGACATGTATACTGGGAGAAAAGATTTTTTTCATATAATGGTGAAGAATTAGATATAGCATAATTTATCAAAATGTTACTAGAGTTAATGTCAAAATGGATTATTCTGTTTCTATGTAAGCACATAAGTGCATTTACAATTTGAGAAAATATTCTCAAAACTGTTGTTACGTACTGCAACTGAATTGTCCTTAGATGAATGCATTTGTACAGGATATTATCATAAAATGATAAATTCCATTTTTTCCATTTTTTATATTTTATTTCTCCTCTCCAGTGAGACATTTTATTTGTTAATTTTTTTATAATTTTATTTTTTCTGAAAAATAAATAAACATTTTTTTTCATCTCTTTGTCGTCAAAAAGAAAAGGTTTATCATCCATAATTTTTTTTCTGTTCATTAAATAATTTACATGTAGATAATTTATAAAATTTTTTAAATTGTTATCATAACAATTCATAAGAATATAATATGTGAAGGTTCTGCAATCATCATTTCTTTTAACACCGTATTGATACATTTGACATATTCTTCTATTCATGTATTGAAATTTTAAGAGACATTTTATTTCATTAAATATATTTTTAAAAATGTAATTTTCGTTAATGTCTTTCTGTATGTTTATTAATTTTATGATGAAACGTTTATCCGGAAAAATTTTGTGCGAACACATGTAAATGCTTCCATTTCCATCTTCATTTATTTTTCTCAAAAGATGTAAATTTTTCATGCTGCTAATAACAGTGAGATTGTATAGCATTTCCAGTGTTTTAAATCCCTGTGCGTGTTTCTTTAAGTGATGCAAAATTTTTCTCCTACCCTTCATTTGACTAAAATGAAGCTGCAAGACTTTCATGATAGGTATCTCCTCAGCACTTAATAGCATCTTGAGGGGAATATACTTGTGTACAAGTGTTGTAAAACTACATGTCTTTCTCTTCGTCTTATAGTTACGCTTGGATGTGTTTTTTCTGTCATATTTCGACACAAAATTATGAATTTTCTCTACCACTTGTTGATGATCACCATAATAATTTTCAATGAAGTAGAAACAGTTCAAATCTTTTTTATCATACGACGTACAAAGGGAAAAAATTAGGAGGATTACCCACATGGAAAAATCGGTATTTTTGTAAATATTTTCAAATTGTTTCCTTCTTTTTGCCTTTTTTTTTTTTTCTTCTTCTATGCATACATGTCTACTTGACATGGGAGATTCTGTTCTTTCAAATGAAGAAAAAGGAATTGTGTTTATTCTGTGTGATGATTTATGATGAATATGATGATATATTTTTGGAGAAGCAGCACTGCACAATTTTTCAGAATGTTCCATCCAAATGATGGGCTTCTTTTGGACTAGGCAATTTGGAGAATAATTCTGAAGGCGGTTTAATACAATTGGGTGGATAAAAAATGGTCTTCTCTCCTCATTGCTTTGAATGTTATTTGTGCTTCTTCCTAATTGGGAATTCCAAAGTCCGAGTTGGTTACGTTCTGCTTCTAAGATTTCCCCTTTTCCTGCCTCTTCTTCCTCCCCTATGATATGCTTTTTTTCCTTTAAATGAAATGAATTCTTGACCTCATTATTGTACGTTTTTTTCGATTCTGAAAAAGGCGAAGAGAAATGGCAGCACCTTTCACCTTTGCTGTTGTCAGCAGTAGTAAGAATGTGCAACATGAATTCCAAAATTCTCATTTTGTAAAAATAAAATTGCAAAATGAAGTTTTTCTGTTCCGATAGAAGAAAAAGAATTTTTACAAATAACATCAAAAAGCTGTAAACCCTTTTTAATTTTTTTTTTTTTGCAGAGAACAAAATTGTGAAGAATAGAAAATATTTTTTCCCCATGTAGATGTAAAATTCGTTTTTCACTTTTCTGAATTTCTCTTTAAAATAGTGTAACGAATTTTCTTTACCCTTTTTGAGAAACTTTTTTTCCTCATATTGCAATAAATATAAGTTCCTTTTCTGGACAGGTACTGCTTTTTCCACTTTCAAAATGGTACGCTTTTTAATATACCTAAGAAATTGTAAATATGTCTTGTAATACTTGTAAAGACAAATTCGTTTGTTCCTCCCTTGGTTCAAAATTTCGTAAATAACATTTTCTTCCCATTTGAAGTGATTCTTATTTGGAGAATTCTTCTTTTGTTCTTCATTATGTATAAGAAATTCTTCAAAGTGTGAATAAAAAAATTTTTTTAAAAGGATGCATAAAATTTGTTCCTCAACTAGGTGAACTAGTGTATTGATTTTTAAATTATATTTTGTTCTTCTTTCATTTTTTTTTTTTTTTTCTTTAAAGTTGGAATTTTTCACCTTTTCGTGACTTTTATTTATAATACTTAAGATGGTTAGAAGAAGGTGTATAAGGACACGTTTTGTATTCCCCACGTTGGACTCGTTTTTAAAAAATGAAATAAAAATAAAGTTGGTGATTTTCTCATTCTTCACAATGCCATACATAAGGGAAATAAACAAATTTTTATAGTATGTTTTTTCACCTTTAGGTACAATATCCCCGTTTCTTAAGGAATGAAGTTTGACACTTGTCTCGATCGGAATGTGATTCTGTTTTTTCCCTTTAGGAGATATTCCAAAAGTGTTGACAAGCACAATTTTTAGCAGTATGTATCTTTTTCGAGTATTTTTTTTATACTTACGAATGGCATAAAAAAACAAATATACATACGATGTAAACACATGCATAAAGATATAAACAAAGGTGAAGAGCATTTTGATATGGACACTGTTGTCTATGTATGATGATGCATCAATGATGGTGGATCTGTTAATATCGCAAGTGTAATCCTTTCCCCTAAGCTGACTCGGTTCGCTACATGATATTACTACATTAGAACTTTTTTGAGAAAACACATCAGATCGTTGAAGAAAATTCAAAATGTTCATAAAGGTCTCTCCATATGTGTAAGTGAATTTGTTGAGAGTTATCATGTGTTTTGTGATAATTTCAAAATGTTCACATTCGATACAAAATATTATATTTTTAACTTTTTCACAAAATTTAAAAAATTTTTTTTTTTCGCTTATTAGATAAATTATAAGATCGTTTGGGATATAGCAATGCTGCCTTTTTCGACTTTTAAAATGGGGAAAAATATATGAAAATTTGTTTAATTCATGTAGAAATCTTTTTAACATATGACCGTGTCCAGTTGTGTAAGAAATTATTATATGATTCATCATAAATTTATTGTATATGAATGCAGGTTCAGGCTTCTTCCCTGCACTTAACAAATCAGTGTGTCGAAATTTTTTGAACAAAAAATTGATAAAAGTGTTTTCCCTTTTTTTATCATCGTATATAAGTTTCATAGTTTGTTTCTTCCCTTTTAAAATATTGTACATTGCCCATTCGCAGAATGAGCATTTTTTAAGAAGTTTCATTTTGAGTTTGCTGTCTTCTTCCTTTGTATTTTTCCTTTTTGAACTGAATGGACTGGATATATAGATGGAACTCTGTTTATCATTTCTACGTATAACAGTTTGTGTGTGAAAGTATGAAATTAGTACCCGTTTATTCGAGTTATCATCTTTACAACTTATACAGACGGAATGAGAATAAATTACTTCCCTCTTTGTGCTTAAAATGGATCTTATTAATACGGTCCCAAATTTTCGCATATGAGGTTCCTGTAAATTGTGAGAATAATAATTTTTATTTTTCCTCTTGGATTTAATAAATGGGATGGAATGATCATCAGCAGAATGATTTTTTTTACATATCTTAACCATTTTCTTGCGTGTAGATGCGATTTTTTTGATATTTTTTAAAATATAGGAACAGATAATAATTGTAAATTTTTTAGACAGGTTTCTTTTAAATATTTCTCTTCTGAGGAGACACAAGAAGTGAGTCATTAGCATTCTAGATGGCTTGTAGTTGACAATGTTGTCTTGTATGTTTTCCTTTATAAAATATATTACATGCCAAAAAAAAATTTTACATTGAAAGAAAAATCTTTTCCTGCAAATAATGATGGGGGTATAACTAAAATCTCTTCGTGTCTGTCTTGTGGTTCTTCCGTGGTGCAGTAAAAGGCGAAATGAAGAATAACTCCTCGTAGACTTATGAAGACTGCTTTTATTTTTTAAAAGTGCGTGTTTTTCTCTTTTTTTATGAAATTCCTTCTTGAGTTGTGTAGCAGGGGAAAATTTGAGAAGGTTCAAAAGGGGAGAGTAACCAGATGGGTCGTCAGAAATATTCCAATTGTCAGAATCAGGGGGAGAGTAACCAGATGGATGGTCAGAATTATTCCAATTGGCAGCATCGGGGGGGTGAATATCACACGGAGCGTGTTTCTGATAAAGCTGATCCGAAGGAGGGAGTGTATATAGACTCCTCCTAACTTTATGTGACATGTATGCATAAATAATGCTATATATACTTATCAAGTGTGACCTTATGAACATACACTGCATGGAATTTCTTAAAGGTGCATAGGTAGGTCGAAATAAATTATTCCTGTGTATACAAATTTTCCCTTTTTTGCACTTGTTCATGAATAATTTGTTGCTTACAAGGGAAAACACCGACTGAAGATACTTAAGAATAAATCCATTTAAAAAGGATGAAACAATTTTTGATAAATTATTCCTATTCTTATGAATAATTATGTATATAATTCTAATTATATATACATGCTTTTTCATATGATATATTCTTGTTCCACTTTTAAATAGATATGTTTTTAAAAAAAAATTTACAATTTTCCTCAGCTTATGTATATTGTTTTGTTTTATTTTTTTATTAAAATATATTTGCTTCATCTTTTTGTCCATTAAAATATATTCTTTTTCAAAAGTGGCATTATTTTGATTATTATCCCTCGGGCAGAAGGCCCAGGGAGGCACGAAATTTTCCCTCATTTTTAGTTCTGTCACAACGGTATAATGTGCTTTATATCTGTTTGTCTTTTTTAGGATGCGTAATTTTTTTTTTTTTTTTTTTTTTTTTTTTTTAAAATGGCAGATTTTAAAAAATGGGGGTGGGTGGGGAAAATCTATAGCACTGTAAACATCTTTGTTCATTTTAAATACTGGATTACTTGTGCTGTGTTTCTGTCTTAATACTGAACCTTTCAACGGTCAGTTTCACCATAACTTGGTGTATCATAGTACTTCCCTATACCTAACCTTTCATCCTTCTGTTTCGTTATTTGTTCATGGTCGGTGTTTTTTTTTTTTTTTTTTTTTTTTTTTTTTTTATTTTTTTTTTTTTTTTTTTTTTTTTTTTTTTTTTTTTTTTTTTTTTTCGTTCAAAAAAAAGTTGACTTCTTCAGAAGCTAGTGACTATTAGTGTTCAAAAAGAAAATGGAGTAAGAAAATTTCAGCTCGTGGGTGGGTAGAGTACGTGTCAAGAGAGTATATGTATCTCTCCTCAATGTGCATATTGAAAAGTTTTGATCATCTATGCATGTAGTAAATTTGAAAATTTGGGGAAAAAATTAAAATAAAAGATAGGGGGAGATATAGGAAAAAAAAAAAAAAAAAAATAAGGTAAAATAAAATAACTGCACATATGCAAACTTGAATGGCATACATACGTGAATAAACGAACGAATGGATGAGTGCGTGGAGAAGTAGAGTAACTTTTTGGCTTTCACGTCTTGTGAAAAATGACGTGCATTCAGTGCTTGCAATATTAATTGTTCCAATTTGAAACAAAAAAAAAAAAAAAAAAAAAATCATAATGTTCTTTCCCCTCCCCCACACCCAAAAGAGTTGTATTATCCCTCTATCTGTTTTTTTATAAATAGAGGAAAAACTGTCATGTGGAGATAACAAACAAGCTCATGTCCATTTTGGTAAGCCGAAAAAATTGATTACAAAGAAAAAAAATAAAACAAAACAAAATATGTGGAGAAAAATGAGAGTAATCACTTTTGCAGCCAATGTCAGGGTTGTATACGTTTGCTTAAACACTTGTGCATATTTTTACATTCCCATAGAGTGACCCCGAAATTTCCCATTTTTTTTCTTTTACCACACCTTGTGGTTCCTTCTACCATATTTATTAAGACATGGGTACTACTACCCTCCCCCACCCCCCACTGCCAATAAAGATGGTTGCATATTTAAAGTGACACAAAAATGTGAATATGATCTTGTGATCGATCATGTTAAAGTTTAACTCATAGAATTATTTTTTCGCTCGCACATTTAACATACTCATTCCTGCACGGTATGCAAAGAAAGAAAACAAAGGAGAAGAGTAAAAACTTCAAAAATATCAATGTTCACATGGATTACATTACTTTTCACATAAAATTATTGTGCCATACCCTTTTTTGAAAAAACCTCATAATCCTTTTATTTATGTTCGTATGTGTGTTTCCTAATGGGTATCCTTCTTTTCGTATTTAGTTGAACTTTTCTTTTTTTTTCTTTTTTTTTTTTTTTTTAATCTATCTTTTCGTTTTTTTTCTTTTTAAAATTTGTTAATCAATTTTACTAGTCCATCTTTCACTACATTTCCCTTTCCCCCTCACTTTTTATTTTTTTTTTTTTTTTTGTCTTTCGCAAATTTCCACTCGAATGCATATATTTCCATTTCTTTCATCCGTTGAAACAATTTGTAAATTTTAAACGTATCAAAAGAGGTTTTTTTTTTTTTTTTTTTTTTTTTTTTTTTTTTTTTTTCATAATCACAATAAATTGCTATTTCTGTTTGAAGCTTTCTTATTCCCGTGCGTAGTTGACCATGCTAGAAAAACATAGTAAGTCCACTATTACTTTGAGTTAAGTGTATATAGTTGGTCTCTGTCGATGTAAGTCTTTTCCATTGTGCAAATTTGTCAATTAAGCTAGAGCGTGTTTATTTTCCTTAGCACTTTTTTTTTTTTTCTCCTCCTCCCTTTTGTGTACCCAATTTATGGCACGTCTCATTTTTATGGGGCTCAAAATTTGTGTATGGGGGGAAAAAAAAATAATAATAAAAAATAAATAAAATAAAAATAAATAAAATAAAATAGTTATTTGTACTCCATGACAAAAGCTTGTGTGCACAGAAATGTAAGTACAAGTGTGTTAACAACCTTTTTTTCACTTTATCGTTTTCATCAAATGTGATGAATAAGACGATCACACTCCTTTGTGCGGACAGTTGCATGATACGGCAAGATGGGATGGAGAAAACAAGAGCAAAAAAAAAAAAAAGAAAAAAAAGAAAAAAGAAACGATTTAAATAAAATCTATTCGTGTGAAAAGAACTGAAGTCATACCAAATCATACCCAAATTGTGAACAAAAAAAAAGTGGTGCTGAAACAATTGCTACCCACGCACTACACAGGATCATTCGTGGACAATCAGAAAAAAAAAGAAAAAGGAAAATGAATCATCATAGGAGGACAAAGCGAAAATGCAAAGTAAATTGCATAGACATAGAACTGGAGGCCTTTATATTTGGATGTTTTTTCTACACATGGAATCAAATATTTTCAGAAAATGTTAATCAAAAGAAGAATATTAACAAAAAGAGCACAACTAGCGTAAACAGAATTATCTCTAGAGTAAGTAATAGCGTAAAAATTACAAATACAGCAAAAAGGAAATCCAATCTGATCGATACCACTAAAAAGACACATCTGAATAAATATTCAAACGTCCTAGAGGTACCAAGTTTGGAGAATAATAAAAGTAGAAAAAGCTTTTGTCACAATCAGAGTGCTTTGACAGATACACCAGATAACGAAATCAGATGCAAATTAAATGAAGAGTTTCAAAAAAAAAACAAAATAAGCATTAGCGAACTGAATAAACAATTATTACAATTTGTTAAATTGAACTTTTGTTTGAATAACAAAGACATTTATATATTCCACGATTTGTACTCTTTTTACCAACACTTAAAAGAGGAGAAGAAGTATGAGCAAGTTAATTTACATCACTACTTTTTTAGAGGGCGACACAATTTACATAAGAAGCCGAAGGAAGCAACGATGGCCACATCGAGAGGAAGCACTAGAAGAAGTACATCCTCCATGGGAAACACGAGAGGAACAGTAAAGAGAGGAAGCACACCTATGACAAATACAATTGTTGGTAAGAACAGATGGAGGGAAAAACATGAAGGAAAAATACACGAAAGAGGAATATCAACTGGAAAGACAGAAAACCATGGGTTGAAATGTAATCCTAAAGAAATAACCAGATTTTACAAGATGGATGAAACTAAAATGATGAACTCCAAAAATGGAAAATCAAATTGTCCATTTTGTGAAATGTCACTAAGCAAAGATAAACGTAAGAAGTGGATGAAAATGCAAAAGTTTGCTCACGCATGCATAAGAAAAGTGTATGGAGAAAAAAATCTAGAGATAGTAAACAAGTGCATTATAAACATAAAAACATTTGATGACAGCTTTGTTCATTCTATTACAATTGAACGATTATTTAGTTATATATATGATAAAAATGATAAAAATTTGGTATTTTTTTGGTACAGATTTTTAAATGTCTTAATAAATGTAACAATCAATAAGGAACTAATGATCAAAGTTTTTTTTTTCTTTTGTGTAAAAAATTTATTAATTTCTTCTTATTTTAATACAGAATTGATGATGGGAAATGATGAATTTTCAGTCTGCAGAAGTTTTTCAACACAAGGACAAGAAAAAAATGCTTTCTTAGCAAAATTTTTAAAAAAATATAAATATGAGAATATTAGCAACATTGTTTTAAATAATAATTATATGCTTTTACAAAACCTTTTTGATTATTTTTTCATGATATGTTCAACACAGAGCATAAAGTTTTATGACAATTTTTTTTTAAATGTGCAAATGATTAATTTTGTGTACATTGTACAGCTGAATTTCTTTCACTACTTCTACCTCGGTCTGCATTCCAAGTATCGCAAATGTGAAGCATCGAATCAGATGTACGCGCATAAATTATGTACTAATGCAACCATTACTACAACCACTAATGTGATCACTACTGTGCCCACTCCTACAACCAATCCTACAACCAATCCTACAACCAATCCTACAACCACATCTATAACCACTACTTCTATTATCAAATGTGACAATAGTTTTACTTCTCAAAGTGATAATAGGTACATAATTCGTGGGCCGAATAGGGTAGATCTACGTGAATACTACAAAGGAAAGAATCTAAACGGGGGTAAGAGGAACACTTCTGTAAGCTGCTTAAGAAAAAGGAATGTGGAGACGTCAAATGGTGCAATTCTTTGTAGTGTTAAAAAAGAGCTTAAGAAAGATGCTATTCTTCGTGCAAAATATAGAAGGATGAATGGCTTGGAGATCAACAATAATGCTGAATGTGTCGAGATTAACAACCATGCTGAGAAGTTGAAGAGGACAAATCCTATGCAAAACCTAGGAATTATTTACACAGGAGAAGAATATTGTAAAAACAGGAGGACACATAAAGGAAGCGGTTTTTATAGCACCTTCGTGGGAAAAAATTACAATGCAAGAATAAAATATTATTCTAATTTCAATCTCAGTCATACAAATTACATGCAACGTGAGTCGTTCATAAATGAAAATATTAACGATTATGTGGAGAATAGGATAAAGGAAAGAGAACATGAATGTGTTAGACGAAATTTTCATCTGAGAGGAGAAAATTACTCCGTAGATGAGAATAAGACAAGCATAATGCATAAGAAAAAAAAAAAATTTATAAGAAATTTAAAAATATTTTTTAGCAGATCTTATAAGTTCTTGAATAAATATATAAGTTCCAAAGAACTAACAAAACAAAGTAACATTTTTTCATTTTTGTTCGATGCCCTTCCATCAGAAAATGTACGAAATAATTTTAATGAGACATTGGAGCCATATATATTTTCTATATTTTCTCAATATGAATTTATGGAGGTACATAATTTTATAGAAAATTTAAAAAATTTATATAATTTGAAAAGAAGAAAGAGAAGAGGGAAAAAAAGAATTTTGCGAAGTGTGGAAGAACCAAATGTAAAATTTTTAAATGATACACAAGGGTTTAATTATATTTATCACAATTTAAAAAATGATTATCTTATTTTAGCAGAAAATTTATATCTTGATATTAGAGGAGAAAAAGAGAAAGAGAAAAAAAAAAAAAAAAAAAAAAAAAAAAATATGATAGGAGAAAATGAAGATAGGTTTAAATACAACAAAATAAGGATTTCAAAATTAATTCAAAATGATAAGACAGATAAATATAAAAATGTGTCTATTTATAGATTTTCTTCAAAACAGTTAAGTATGCAACATAATTTATTTAACATATATCTTGAATGCAATTTGTTAAATAAGGCATACAAATTAGTGATGATTGATTTTGATTTCTCTTTTTCCCTAACTGCAGAAATTATCTTTTTATATAAAATTTATTTAATAGAATTAAAAAAAAAAAACATACTAAACGCGTTTGATCTTCTCAGTATGACATTTCATAAATGTTTTGTACTATTGAAAAAATATTTATGCAACACAACCTCTTTCAAATTGTTGTCTCTCATATGCATCAATTTTAGTAGTCTTATTTTTAATTATCCCTTTTTAAGGAAATATCTCTACTTCTCTCCAAATGAAAAAATAAAATTCATAATGAATAACATAATTAGACCTCAGAATATAACTGAAAACTCGTATTATAATGATTATTTTAGACAAACCTATGAAGATGATGCATTAAAAATTTTATATAACAACCAGAGGGACACACAAAGACAGCACAGTATACTACACACATACCCCAAAGCAAGCATCAGGAGTGCAATTGTGGGGGACGAAAGTTCCAGTTATTGTGACACGAATGTTGGAAAAGCGAGAAATTCGAGGGAAGAAAAAAACGATGAAAAGGAAAAAAAGTGGAGAGATGAGAAAAATTATGAAGACGAAAAGAATGAGAGAGATGAGAAAAATTATGAAGACAAAAAGAATGGGAGAGATGAGAAAAATTATGAAAAGGAAAAAAAGTGTAGAGACGAGAAAAATTATGAAGAGGAAACATTTTTGAGTAATGAATTCAACTTCTATGCCAACTCACATTTCCCCCTTTCAGTTAATTCACCTGTGAGAGAGAGAAAATTTTCACTTAGGGCTAACCAAGAGGACATAGAAGGAAAGAAAAGAAATACATACGAGAAACAATACGAAGAGGAAGGAGGAAATATGGACAGATATTTAGATTCCCCTTCGAATCGAGGGTTCCTATATGATGAGCAGATATTCTGCTTAAATAGATCTATGAATATTTACAACAATATGGTTAGAGTGGATGGTTTGACCAGAGAGGAAGACATGCATAGAAATGGATCTCTCAGAAATAATTCCAAAGTGAACCATAAAAGGTATAATAATTGGATCAACGATTCTTCTTATTTTGGAGAAAAGGAAGAACATGAGTACATGTTTGATAGGTACGAAAATTTTCACATAAACAAAATTATACAAAGTTTCAATTTTATTTTTAACATATTGGAAAAAGCAGTAACTAGCTGTGAAGTATCCCTCATGAATTACAACAACAGGGGAGCACTGTCTATTGATCGTCCCCCAATGTACAGGAGACACATTCTAACCTACAACAACTACAAAGAAAGTGTATGTAACATCACAAATTTTATAAAAGAAATGGTGAATAAATTAGACCTGTATTTTAGAAGAAAGTTTTTCAAAAAGAAAGAAAAAAGAGGCATTAAGGAAAGCATTAGAAAACATATAAAAGATTTGGACGATGAAAAATGTAGAAATTTTTTACACGATTCGAGTGTTATAAGATCATTAAAGAAATCACATGAAGAGTCCTTTTTCTCATGTCTAGAATTTTTGTTCCTATCGTATGTATGTTCCAACTATTTTTCTGATAATGTGTCGAAAAATTATAAATATTTTTTAAAAACTTTTAATTTTAATAACATATGGCTTAGTAATGAACAAATAAAAGTGAAAATATTACTAGGTCTAATACATTTGCTTTTATACGAAATAAATTTGATAGATTTGAATGAATTTTTTTTGCAAATTTTGAAAATAATTCTCCACAAATTTTACAACTATTTGGATTATAATGATTTGCAGATCTTTCAATATATATACATGAACATTTCCAATGATACATTATTTTCTTCTTTCTCTCTCTGTGATGATATTAACAATGTTATTAAAATAAACTTTGCAAAATTTCCAGAATTCTTTTACATCTTTCACATGTCCAAAATGAAAAAGGCCTTTTCCCACCATCACAAAGATAGTAGAAGATGGAAATTTTGTCAAGATATTTTCATAGCTGACTTTTTGTCTTTCATCTGTGAGTTATTTGGGGGGAAGCAAGTTGGGAGAAAGAAAATTGGAGGAAGTCCAACCTTGGATTTGACAAATGAAGGTGTGACAAGTGATGGATGCCCATTTGTGGGTCTACCAAATGAAGGTGTGACAAATGAAGGATGCCCAGTTGGGGATCTACCAAATGAAGGATGGTTAATCGAGGATGAGGCGACAGGGAAGGATCTCATCGGAAGGGGGTTCAACGAAACAATCCTTTGGGATGACCCATTTATTGAAGATGTAAATTCAAAGGATGAATGGATCCCAAATGAAACGCTTAATGATGGTTTAGTTGTAGATCGTGGAGCGTGGGATGATGAATTGGAAGTTCAAAAGTGGAAGTGCGAAGATGAGGAGAGGGAGACATCCATCCATGAGGTGATGGATAAAGAATATGAAAGTTTCCTAGATCATGAATTGGATTGTTTTAAAAGTGAGAAATGTTTTGAGAAGAATGATTTTGTTTTTTTTAAGAGAAATAAAAAAAAGATAAAAGGAAAGGAAGCATTAGGATGTGGAAGTGACTTTTTTGATAAGATTTTATCACAAATAGGAAAAAAAAACAAGAAGGAAAAAAATGTTAATAGAAAAAAAACTCCATTGAGGATAGTTAGAACTTGTGAAGTACGTGTTGAAGAATACGATGATTTACAATTGGAAGATAGAAAAAAAACAGCTACCACAAATTTCCCCATCGATGAGAATACTAAATTTAAGGAAAAGGACAATTCCGATTATTTAGAACAAAATATTGAAGACAGGTATGAACGCATTCTTAACAATTTCAAAATTAGGAAAGAGACATATATAGAAAAGTATATGAACAAGAAGAATGAATCATTTATACGCTTACAAACTTTTAGGGATAGATATCATTATTATCAAAATATGAAACCTAATAATTATGAGGCTTACAATTTTGAGAAGTGTTATTACTTATCAGAAGAAATATGTGAAACAAATTGTTTCATTCTAGCTGAACATAAAAATAAGATGGGAGATAATTTTACTCTCGAAAAAAATAGCTACATTTATATATGCTTAAATTTATTAAGTATGATAGATTTGTACATGGAGTATAAAGTAAATATATATAACAAACCTCTTTATTTTGTAAAACACTTAATTATTACATGTGCAAATATTAGCTATTCGAAGAATTTATCTGTCTTATACATACATACGCTAATACGATTATGCCTTTTCGAAATGAGGATGCATAATGTTCTTATTTCAGCCAACATTCTTCTTGAAATTTTAAATAATTTTGAAAAAATAAAAAATTACAAAAATATTCTCGGTATAATTTTCTACTTGTGTGGTTATCTTCTTATACACCAATTAAATTTTGAATCCGAACGTATGCGCGATGAAAAAAGAAAAGAGGGATTAATACAGGAATATAACTATTATGCAAATTTAAAAAAAAATTATATATGTACCTTTCAGAAAAATAAATTAGACGAGAGAAAATTTGTTAAAAATTATACAATGTCCGACATTTCTTTTGTTAAAACAAGTGTATTACGTTCTCAGGCTCGGGAAAATGTATATTCTGGCATTTCAGAAAGTACAGATGGGGAAGATCAGATAGGTTTAGACATTTACACTGTTCCTTTACAAAGTTCTCAAGTGGAGGATAATGGATTTTTTACAAAAAAATGTATCGATTCTGATGGGTATATCAATCCTGAGGGGGTATCAAGTGGAAGTCACGCCAATTGGGATCATACAATGCGTATGCGGACCCCTTGCAGCAAAAATAATTACATAATGCCATTTCTTCGAGAAAAAGAAAAACTTAATTCAGACATGTGTGAATATACAGGGAAAAAAAAGAAAAATATTTGTAAGAAAAACAACAACTTGTCAAAATTAGGAACAACAAAATGCGTAAAGAAGCTAATCCCGTTAGTTAAGAACCAAATAAAAATCACGAATTACTTCTGCAATGTAAAAAATGAAAAATTGCAAGATGTATCATCGGATGAAAATTCTGCAATTCTTGATAACAGTACAAACGTGAACAATTCAAGCAAAAATTATGTAAAGAAAAGAAAAAAAAATGATGGATTAACAGATCATGTAGTTATTGAGAAAGGAAATTTTCCCTCGGATCCAAATTTTGAAGAAATGAAAAATCACCCATATGACTTATTTGAGCAGATAAATAAAAAGCAATTTTGTTTACTCCTAATATGTTTCTATATGAAACAGTCTTTGCAATATTGGAAGTGTAGTGGTGATGTTGTAGGAATTTTCAATGGAATTCAGCAAAAAAAAAGGGTAAAAGATGCCTTTTTTTTCCTCATGTCGTCCTATAAATTTTTTTATAAATCCTCTCTCTTTCTGTCAAAACAGAGCTGCATTCAGAATTATAAATACCCATTTTTCAATTACGAACTGTTTAGGGAATATCACAAATTTTATATCTTTTACCGGAGAGCCTTTCGCAGGTGTTGTAACGAGAACGTTGTCAATGTCTTTTGGGAATGTGGCCATGACCAACATGGTTTTTAGATTTTTTGGCACCACAACAACGCAGCCAAGGGGGAAGAGGTCAAGAGGGAAGAGGTAAAGAGGGAAGAGGTCAAGAGGTATGAAATTAATAGGTATACAATCAAGAGGTAATCTATAACGAAACATATATCCACCAAGCGTGTTAGTATATATACATTCAATTCCCTGTGAGAAACTTTGATATATGTCTGGAGCGCATGCATATATAATTTGACGAAAATGAAAGAGTGCTAAAGTGGGAAGTTCAGAAGAAAAAATGAAGAGGCATGTTAACATAAGCTATCATTACTGCATGGATGAAAAATAAACAACATACCTCATCTTCAAGTGGCAAATCTTACGTATTTTTACAGCCCCCCCATTTTGTACGCCCATTTATCTATATATATATTTTTTTTTTCTATTGATCATTTGGCAATGCGTATATAAAACATAATTCCTACCATTTTTTTTTTTTGTTTTTTTTTTTTTGCATACGAGAAAAACTACTATGTTGCATGGGTCCCCACTATATATATATATATATATATATATATATATATATAAATGTGTATATGTATACCCTTCCGTACTCAAACCTATTTGAACTAAGTCATTCGTATGCACGAGACGCAACTCTTTTTTTTTTTTTCATACCCCCTTATAAATGAACAAACTGGAGGAAGAACGCGACTATGTCTGAACATGTCACAATGTGGCCACTTCGCCATTTAATCCAAATGATCGCTACACATTGCTACTTTCCTATTTTGACTATAAAAAAATATATGAAAGTATTGACACACGATTTTATGCATTCTTTATCATTTGTATTACAAAAAAAAAAAAAAAAAAAAAAAAATACAAGCATAAGTGTGGGTGTGTTCAATATGCAATTCAAAGGAGGAAGAGATTTTACGTATATGTAGAATTCTCTCTGAAGCTGCACATGTGTATATATATATATATACATGTTTACACTTTGTTAGAGAAAAAAAAAAATTACATATCTTTTGTTATTTTTCTTAATATTTAAAGAATAGCACAAGGTGTACTCTTTCTTCTGTGCAGCTTTCGAATTTTATTTTATTTCATTTTATTTCATTTTTTTTAAATTGTAGATCTCAAATGTAGGGGTTGTTTTTTTTTTTGTTCACAAAATTTTTGCCAAAGTACAGAGGTGGCTAGGCTTTACAATCGCGTCAAGTAAATGTACATGGTATTTTGGAAGTGAGGAAAATGGGGGGGGGGGGTGAAATGAGTAAACAAAAAAAAAAATTATAATGTGAAAATAGATTGGAGAAATGTGGAGAAAAATGAGCACAAAAAGTAGTATAAGAGTTGCGCAGAATTGGCACAAAAAGTAAAATAAAAGTTTGCGGAAAATGAGAAGAATAAAAATTACGCCAAACGGCAGTGTAGGAAAAAAAAAAAACTCCTCCATTTTTCTTTCAAAGGGAAGGTGCAAATTGACTTGAATAAATTTTCCACAAGCATGCAAACATGACGTTGTAATTTGTAGAAACAAAAACTGACACAGCGTGAAAACGAGGGAATGTATATTCCTCAAGAGGGTCAATAATGTATTTTATGGATACATATCCATTTGTATTCCCCTGTTTTTATTTTATTTTATTTTTTTTTATGGTGTGTATATATATATGGATATACTTATACATATCCCTGCCACACTACCTACTTCCATTTTTACATTAAAAATGATTTCGTAACAGTCATTAAGGAGGGTGAAATGATGATATATATATATATATATATTGTAGACATTTCGGTATATAATATGTATAAACGAATTGTAAGAATATATTTTTTTTTTTTTTATCTTTTTTGGGAGGGATGGAAATATTGCAAAAGATTTCATCCAAGTGTTTATGTCTTCACTCTGTATGGTCGCACACGTATTTATATATATATATTTCTCGTAACATATGATAACCAATTTAACATGAAAAAATGTTGAAGAATTATGTGTCCCTTTTTTTTTTTCTTTTTTTTTATAAAATGAAATGATATTTTACTTGTTCATTTTTATTATTTTGTCTTGGTTATCAAAAAAATGCAGATTTCATTTTTGCAATTTCAATAAAGATAAAAGCAAATATTTATTATCACCACTTATTGATTTTAACAAAAATGAAAGAAATTATGGATTTCTTAGGAAAAGGGGGAATTTAGATTCTCTTTTTTCATGGAACACCAAAAAAAACATATCTCGATGGCTATTAAGAAATAGTAAGATCCTTTCAATAACCAAACAAAATCATCAAGTACGAAATCACATCAGGTTAAATTCTGTGTATTTTGTTAGAAATTACTCCCTCTTTCGAACAATCATATGCACGAGAAATATTAACAAGAGATGGAGAAACAAAACGATTTATGGTGAGGGAGTTAAATATAATGCTGAAAAAGATAACATATCACATCACAGAAAGAATGAAAATTATATCATATACAAAGAGAAATCGTATTTTTTAAGGAAAAAAAAGTTCAGGATTTCTATGCTTAGAAAATGTGACATGGTTTTTAGAAATGATAATGGAATAAACACTATTCTTAGCGAGATCAAGGACTCGCTGTATTATGAACAAACCAAAGGGAATAGACTATATGCGAATAGAGAGAGGGAAAACATTCAGAAGCAGTTGGAGAAAAGTCCATTGAAGGTAAGCAGATCGGATTGCATTTGTCTTGTGAGCAAACCGTTTAGGAGTTCCGAAAATTCCCCTCATAGTAATATCTCAGAAGAATACACTAAACTCGTTATAGACAATATTTTGAAGGACAGCTGGATACATAACTGCACAAAAAATGATTATCTGAGAAAAATATTAAAGGAAATACAATTATTACTTTGCAAATTAAAAGCCTACGATTACGAATATGAACACCAAGGAAATAAAATGCTAGATGTCCATTTAGTCACTACAGATGAGAAAACTGTAAAAAGAGGTGAACACAAAATGGAAGATAAATACGAGACAAGGAGGAGTGACATTTTTGTGTGTAACAGCCTGAACAAGTCAGACGATTTTTCAAGAAGGGATAAACTTCCGACATTTGACAAACACATTTCTGTTTGCTCGTCTTTTCCAGAATGTATATTTAAAACATGGATATCACCACTTAATTCGATGTTCATTAAGTTGTGGATTGGAAAAATTGTAAAATCTATTTTTGTAGACAATTATGCTGAAGAAGAATTTGCAAAAAATAATAACATTTTTGTTAAGATCGAAAATAATAATCAGAAAAAATTATTTTTCTATTTAGTGTGCTTTTATTCATTTCTTACAAATTCGAATGGGGCCAACTGCAATTGGTTAAGCGATAATAAAAACATAACAGAGGAATTGAAAAAGGAGATAATTATATACCTTTACAAACATAACGAAGAAGAGGCAGAGAAATTTTACAACTGTTTGAAAAACGTATATAACAAGGAATGTATCAGTTTTTTTAGTTACAACAAGTATATACATAATGACAAATTTTCGTCCATAATTTTTTTGTCGTATGAGGAATTTTTTAACTTGACTGTTCATATTGTTAATAAAACACCCAATGATTTGGAAACATACCTGAACAACAAGGTAAATTGGAAATCCGGATATCTCAACCTGTATAGTTTTTTTTCAAATCTTCTTGTGAATTCGCCCAGTTGCAACATTGATAATGGTAAAGCAAAAGGAAACAAAATGCAATACACATTTAAAATATTTTTGAATGATTTTAATATAAAGTACAATTATGAAAAAGGTGTGATAGAGAAAAATCTATATGAACACATTTTTTCTGCAATTAATATGAATAATGAGGAGAAGAGGAAAAACATTACTTTTTACTTTTTTTCAAGAACAAATTTTCACACACAGTGGTTTAAAATTTGGTTGGAGCAGATTCACAAAAGTTGCTATTTTGTAAATCTACAAAAAAAGAAAAAAATGTTTATTTTACACAAAAAATTTATTTTTCCATTGAAGGAAAAAATTGATCATCATTTTACAATGCAGTATAGTGATATCAATTTGGAAAGGTGGGGTAGGCAGAAAAAAAAAAAAACTATTCAAGAGAACAAGGGGATAAGCCCAAGTTTGTACCCATTTTTCGAATATATAAAAAATAAGAAAAGAAATTTTATAAACCAAGAGGTAGAAAACTATATGTCAATTTTCAATAAATATAGAAAAGGAATTATAGTAGAATATTTGAAAAGGAACAATTTATATAATACAAATAAATTAAAAAAAAAAGACAAAAAAATAAAAAGAAAATTTAATATTGCTAGGAGATTTTTAAAAAAAAAAAAAAAAAATTTACATAACTTGGATACCTCTCACTATATAAATTTTTTAATTAATAAAAAAAAAAAAGGAAATATATTATTTAAAAAAAAAGTTATTGATCATGATTATGTTGTAAAAAAGGAATGTTTACAGATTTGTGACAAAGTCCAAATATTAACAAACAATGTATCCGTTTTGTATCGCAAATGTGGACATGAACAGTTAAGTGAGAAATTACAAGAAGAGAGATTTCTTCCATTATATAGTAATGGAACATCTCTGTGGGGAAAAACCCGTCTCGATTTCTCGTGGCCACGACATGAACAGTTCAATGGTCAGAAAGAGTATGGTAGAAAAAATCAACTGGGTAAATATAAAAAAGAATATTCTGACATAAATGATGCACAATTATATTTGCAAAATGAGGGACAAGCAATTTCATACTATGATAAGCACATGGGTGTCAAAAATGAAGTAAAATATTTTTATTCTAAAAAGGAAGAAGGAGAAAATGGAAAATTAATCAAGTTCAACAGCATACCAGTCTATCCATGCATATATTACATATTCGATAAGGACATATTTGAAAAATTTTCAAAAGAATTATACACATCGCTCACATTTTTACCTGAACAGTTAATGCAAAAATGGAGAAATGTGCTAAAACGATTTTATCAAGTAGTATATCCAAATGTTGACTTTAAAAAATATATGCTAAAGGGATTATTTTTAGTTAAACAAAAATTAAACCAATTTGAAAAGGACTTTGTTGAAGAATTATTGAAGAACAAACTTATTAAAATAATTTTGTCTTGTGTGAATATTTCTTCGTACGGCTTTAATGTGAAGACTGTTTTTGTTGAAGATGTACAGGTCCATGTTAAGGATAATATTCCAAACTACAATCAGCTAATTGATATGATTAACAGTGTACACAAGAAAATATTCAGAACATTGGATGGAATCGATATGGTGAAAAAAAAGTCCCCCTTTGAAAAAACTGACTTGTTGGATGAAGAAAAACGTGATAATGTTGACGACTTGAAGGATGACATGTATAGGCTTCATTTTGTTAAATATTTTATGTTCTTAAACTTTTCTAAAATATTTAGAAAGTACACTATGTCAAACAATGATTTGCTGAATTTATTCACAAATTGCACAAATTGCTTTTTAATTCCAAAAAGATATGAAGATATTTCGATTTTTTTAAATCTTCAAAGTGACAATTATATAAACATGTCCCATTTATGCAATCCACTACATAACGATTTTTACTTTAATTTGCACAACTTGAGTATTGATAAGGGTGTGTCTTTTTACCTGAACGGTTCAGGTGAAATGATGAACATTGTTGCTGCAGCAAGAAATTTGCAAACCAAATTTGCTGATTTCGCGAGAAGTGAAAAAAGTCAACATGATAACATAAAAAAATTCCATCCCAAAAAAAAGACCTATCGATTTTTTTCTACACAAGGAAATGGTGATGAACAGGAAGAAAATTTGTTCGTCCACAGGAACATATGTTTCTATACCATGAAAACAGCACTGGATGTTCATAAAATTTATAAATACAAAGAAACCAATGAATCAATTTTTCTGAACAGTTACCTAAATGTAATGAATGAAATAACCTATTCTGTTAGCTATTTCGAATTTTTATATTTTTATTTTACTATGAATAAAAATATGGAACTATTAGAAAGCCACTTAGAGAATAGCATTTTCGAATTTTATTCATTGAAAAGGAAAGAATATGAAAAGGAATTTGTAAAATACAACAGGGAATTCAAAATGAATGCATATCAGGAAAAGGCTGAAAAAATAAAAAAATATTTTGATGAGAATTATGCATATATGTATTACGATACATATGTAAAATATAACAGAATTAAAAGAGATATAAGGCAAAAGTTGAAAATAATGTACAAGCACAAGTACAATATGCTTTATCAAAATATTAAGGAATGGAATCAAAACAGCTTGGTCCTAACTTCAGTTGATTCAGAACAATGTGTAATTTTGGATGTTTATAAAAATGAAGGGCTCAGGCCGAAAAAGAAAAAACACACAAATGAACAGGAAGAAGAAGATTTATACATTTGTGTAAACAGTAGGAATGAATTATTCATATGCAATATATTTTTCTTTGATAGGGTTATAATGGATAAAAAATTGAATCATTTCATTAGGCAGCAAAACAAGCACCTAAGTTACGTCGATTATTTATTTACTAAGAGAGAAGTAATTGATTACAAGCTCTTCATTGAGGAACACGATTTCGTCTTTGACATTTGTTGTGCAGATTGTACAGGCGGAGCAGATTGCACAAGCAGTGCAAAGTGTACAGATGACACATGTGGAACCGCATGGGGGGAGAAGAATTGTACCCACTCCAGTGAAACGAAAAAAAAAAAAAAAAAATTCTCTCATTTTATAGTTAACAAAATAAAAATGAACAAAAAATTACCCAATTTGCAAAATGCTGGTGATAACAGAACGGAAGAAATTTCTCTAGAACAGGAGACAACCAAAATGATAAATCTCGATGATATGTTTTTACATTCATACAATGAAAATTTATACGCTTGCAAAAGAAGTTTAGCTCTTTACTGGAAAAAACTGAGAAGTATGAAAAGAGAAATGCTTGAACAGTGCGCGAAGAGTGTAGGTAATATGACAGAAAAGGTAACAGCTAATAAGCAAAAAAATACACTCCCATGCCGATCTTGCTCCTTAAGCATGAGCGACAGTTTTGTAGAAACACATTTATTTAACACACGAACAAATGGTTATTTGGAACAGGAAAAAAGATTTCATATGCACAGTGCTAATAAGTTAACGAAAGGTGAAGGAAATAATTCTATACTAAGCAACAGAAGCAACGGATGGAACAAAGCGGGTTCCAAAAAAATAATGAGCGCGAAAATTATGAAGATGTTGAATATATATAAAAAAAGGAAAAACAGTGGTAATAGAAATAGTTATACAAATGAATTAAACAAATTGGATAGAATATTTGGAAATAAACGAAAGACAATCATAGAAGAATTTAAAAACATTTTTTATTTTCTTCATCACCTTAATCTTATCGATATATTGAGGAGATATTCAAATCCGTACATACAAAACACCATGTGGCTTTACATTATAACTTTGTATATTAACCAACAATATGAGATGAACACAGAAAAGTTTTATGCACAACCGGAACTGTTGATAATTATTTTTTACATTTGTTTTTGCAAAAAAGAACACGATTATGTGGAGAATTATTTATCCTCCTTTCAAATCCAAAATGACCAATTGCTGGATATCGTCGTGGACATATTCGCCTACAAACAGTTGCTGTCTTTTGTTCAGAAGAGGTTTGGCTAGAGATTCAGGAGATGCTGGTTTTTCCAAGTGGGTAAATTGGCACACCTGGACACCTCCAGTACATACGAGAGAAACTGAACTGCATTTCAAATTTTGCATGTCCAAATATGACCCACTTTTGCATGTCCAAATATGACCCACTTTTGCAGGTTCAAAATTAACATGGATATCACGCTGAACCTGGAGGGAATACAAAAAATTTACATCGGATTAATTAAATTAAAAGAAAAAAAATTTATGGAAGTAGGAAAAGAGGTAGAGGACAAGTTGCATGAACTCAGCATGATCTTACATGCAAGCATATCCACCAATTTTAACAAAAGCATAAATGGAATTATTTTAAGTTTTATTGGTTATCTGAACGAGTTGAAGAGAAACAAGAAAATGACATAGAATAGAGGTGATATAAATCGTAAAAAGAAAAAAAAAAAAAAAAAAAAAAAATTGATAGAACGGAGATGTATAAAAAGGCAAATTATGTAATGACAACATCTGTACATTAGAATTTAAGTGATACATAAAAATGCATATCATTAGCAGTCTTCCCCTTACTCATGTGCTATGTACTTTTATTATTTTATAGCTTACACTTTATTCTGTGCACCTTATACTTATTCATTTTTCATTTTTTTTTTTTTTTTTTTATCTTTTCTTTTTATCGTGGAGGGAATTGCCAGCACGTTCCCACTGAATATTGTTCTTGTTGTACATGGGCCAAGTGGGCATGATTAACTGCAAACAAAAAAAAAAAAAAAAAAAAAGGGGGAATAAAGCATGCAAAGTGTGGAAATAAGAATTGCATGATTTTTGTTTTGACGTGTCCACTTGACGCACAGGAATGAGTGGATGTGTATGTTCTTATGTATGCGTATATGATGTGCATATAAGTGGAAGACGATAACAATATAAGTGACATGTGTTCGCAACACATTCAGCAGGTTGCGTGTCGTGTTTGTGGAAAAATTCAGTTGAGCGTGTGGTGCGTTTCATGCATGCTTACAAGTACTGTTAATGCAGATCCAGCTAAAATGATATACGCACTCAAAGCCAAGTCTTGCTTGTAATAACCAACTACAATTGAGACAATTGTACTAATGGTGAAAATTATATTTTTAATTAAAAATGCCAACTTTTGCCCGTGGAAATCCTGTGATTGGGTTGAAATAAGAGAGTGGCAAGGTAAGTCAGAGAGAACGTTGTCATCAGTTAGTTCGTATTACAATGTTGTCTCTCTTGGCGTTGCGGCAGTTTCTCGAAATTTTTTCGTAATTTTTTCGTAATTTTTTCGCAATTTTTTCGTAATTTTTTTGCAATTTTCTCGGAAGTATCACTCGGGTTCCTTCTTAACGTGATGTTTTGACCCATCCACCCCTTGGTACATAATACTGTCATGTTATTGTAACAGTGTACAGGGGAAGTATGTGTTAAGACATATTTACCATTTGATTTCTCCGGAGACACTCAAAGGTGTCCTTTATCATACTTTTAATCGAGCTAAGTACGCCCATCAGGAAAACAGGTTGGGATATAAAAGGTGAAAATAAAATGATATCTCCGTTTTTGTTCTTATATTATTAAATCTCAATGTTGCATCAGATTATATTTTAACCCTTGGAGTATATATAATACAATAATGTTTGTTTAAATTTTCTAATCAATGTATATATACATAAATACATACATATGTAAGTATTAAAGCCATGAAGCAAATATTTTTTTTTTTTTTTTTTTTTTTAATAATCATAGGGTATATTGTGTATGCATACGGTTCAATGATACAAATTCTCGTGCAGTTGAATGTACGTTGGTATTTATACATGTATACATAACCTTTCCTTGTGTTTATTTATTTACAAAATTGCATACCCAATGTTAACATTTTAAATGTCACATTCGTGGCAATGTGTTATATGAAGCTTTCCATGTGATTATTGATTCAATTTTTAGGTTTTTCTTGATTTTGTTCTCATTTGAGTGAAGTTCAAAAAAAAAAAAAAAAAAAATACACAGTGGGGAAAAGTAAATACCTTACTATAACATTTGCTAACAAATAAAAAGTGGAGTGCCTTTTTTTATGGGCACACCAAATTTTTGCAGTATATGGGAGTAATGGATATAAACTTTACGATATACATTAATTAAGATTTCCTTAAGATATAATTATTCAATGATTTATGATTTAAAATTTCAATTAATAGAGAACCTTCTTACACAACATGATAAATTTGTTTGGAACCAAAGCAAGCACTTATGGAAGAGTTACAAATGTTTGTTGTAAAAGCCTTTTGAGTTAAAGCTAAAAATGGAAAATGTAAAAAATATAAGCAAAACTGATATATAATTTATGAACACTTGTGGGTGTGAGAGGGATATTTGATCAAATTAGTGAGAAGAACTTTTTATAATGGAGGCCCCAAGGCGAAGAGGGTGGAGTTAATCGATAATGTAAAATGAGGAGTGATAAACAGAGGGAGAAAGTGCGAATGGAATAAATTTCCAAAAAAAAAAAAAAAAAAAAAAAGAAAAAGTTTAGCATTGTTTTAAATTGTTGTAAAGGTGCCAAGAGGATACACAAACGGCAAAGTGAATGACATAGGATTCTCCCATAAGCCTACGTATAGAGAAGGGGAAATGTCGTTGTAGCATTTATATATATATATATATATATATATATATACCCCTTAAAGTTAAAGTTTATAAAAGTGTGATTAAATATAAGCAAATAACCCATGCAGTAATTTTTAATGACTTTGTAAGATGAATATCTTTTCTTCTTTCCAATTTGTGAAATGGAAAAAGTACTGCTTTGAAATATTACACGTAATAAAAAAAAAATGAATAAAACAGAAATGCCCTCCCCACAAATGTGAAATTTAGTAAGGAATATTTGAGAAGACTCTAAATGTTAAAGGTATCACGGGTTTGGGGTAGTAGGGGGATTATAAACATATGCATATATATGTAACCCACGCGTGTTAGGCACATGAGTGGGAGACAAAAAAATAAAAAAAAAAGACATGTGTGTCGAACTGTTTCTAAGTGTAAGGTCAATCATTGTGTCTTTGGAATTTTTTTTTTTTTTTTTCTCAAATCCCACATTTCGTCAAAAATTGAAAAAGTTTTGTTTTTAGTAATGCAAAAAAGTAGTAAGGAAAAGAATTTTTTTTTTTTTTTTTTTTTCCCTTCCTCTTTTTTCAACATAATTGCCGCATTTGTATCTTAACATATATACACTATTTATAATTATAAAGCATTTTTAATATTTGGCAAACATTTCTTACATGTATAAACATAAAATTTACAAATTGGCATTTTTTTTTTTTTTTTTTTTTTTTTCGTTTTCTTAGCATTTTAAAGTTGAGTTTTAATAATGGAATTTTTGAATGATCTTTTTTAGAATTTACCATGTGAAGCCTTTGCTCATTCGTGTTAGATTTGCGTATTAGGTTCACATCTGTAGTATTAGTCATCACATGATACATTAAATATAATATACACACTATCTTTTTTCCTTATTACCTTCAATGTGTTGCATTTATTTTTATTTACTTCCTTGCTTAGCTTGAATTTTTTTACCCTGTTTTTCAATCAGGATTCTTCCTCTTTTAGAATAGATTTTGCTGGGCATTTTTTCTCATCCCGACGTGTGTGTGTACATTTGTCATGTATGCATATACATACATACATACATACATGCATACATACATACATACATGCATACATACATACATACATGCATACGTACATGCATACATACATACATGCATACATACATGCATACATACATACATATACCCACATTCATGCATATATTTCTTTTTCACCATTATATGCGTGATGAAGAATTTTTTTTTTTATTTTAATTATCACATGGACACGAAAAAGTGAACACGAACAGGTGAACACCATGTGATTCTTTTTTTACCCATTTGTGTAAAACACTTGTGAAAAAAGTACTTAATTTTTTTTCCCTTTTTTCAAAAATAGTGAGTAAAATTTTTTAGTACAAATTGGTACATATTAGAACATCACGCATCAATATACATTAATACACATTAATATGAATTAATATGGACTAACATGAATTCATATTAATTAATATGGGGTCAATATTAGTTAATACACATTAATATATATTAATTTTTTTTTTTTTTTTCTTTTGTTTTGTTTACACCCACAATATCGGCAGTTTAAACTTTATGCATAAAATGAACATTATTAACGGAATAACCCGTGTGACAATAATGTATAACACATAGTGTAATATAGCAAGAAGAAGAACAAATATATATATTTTAAATCAAAGGAAAATTCTTTTTCCTTTTTTCTCATTTTTTTTCACAATTTTGTGCAATTTTTACCACGTACAATCGCTTAGTGATTGCAGTAAAAAGATGTGTCAGAACTTACGTGATACTGTCAATAAGGAATGCGCATCTACTACCACATAATATATGCATGTACACATGCACATATTTCTATATTAATATATGAATATATATATATATATATATATATACATATATAACGCTATTATTTATTGGAAAACCTGCAACGCGTATGCCAAACTTTTTTTTATTATGAACACATTTTTAATTTGTAAAATAATATATATACCATGTTTTCGTTTCCACACCATAATTTAATATTTCATCAGTTCCCCGCTGAATCACCTGTCGCAATTCAGCAAATCAAATGAAATAAACACAGAAGATTGAACACATAAAAAGGGGGTGGGTGGAAAAGCATCTCCATATTTAGATGCCTGTGTTGGTTTTTCGTTAACTTTCATTTTCTTTGCACCCTTCACTGTACATCATTCTTCACGTATACCATTCTTCACGTATACCATTCTTCACGTATACCATTCTTCACTGTACATCATTCATTATATGTTATTAATCGTTGCCATTTTATCAGTTTCATTTCGTCGCTTTATATTTTATTTTTTTACACTGCTCTTTGCTTCATTTTTTGCTAATATTTGACCCAATTTCGGGTCCAATTTTTTTGCCTAACTTTTGGCAAAATTTTTTTCACTCCTTTTTTACCTTTTTTTTTTCTTTTTTTTTTCCTTTTTTTTTTCCTTTTTTTTTCTTTTTTTTTTCTTTTTTTTTTCCTTTTTTTTTTTTTTCCTTTTTTTCCTTTTTCCCATATTTTAATTTTTTTTCGTATTTTATCCCCACGGTGACCACCCTAAAGCACAGAAGTATTTTTAACCGCCTGGGTACCAAGTCAATTGTGACGTGCTTGTGCAGGTAGATGCACAGGCATGCGTATCTATGCTGTCTTTGTACTTATACTACATTTTCTTTTTTTATATGTATCAATTTCTATGCTCAAGTGGGGTTTATTCTTTTCCTACATACAGAGTATAACCCTTTGCTTAGGTATGCACGTGCTCATCCTCTTCATATTCATGGGATTACGTGGAACTTGGGTTTTGAGTGTCCCTGAAGAGGTGGAAAATAACACCTGTTTCGTTACTTCCCATGAAGCATAAATGTTACGAATTTAAAGGAGTTTTATAAATGGCTTTTAGTTAATCCCTTCCACAGTTGTTTCGTCAACTTTTCACTACCTTGACAAATTATATCACTATTTTTTTCATTTGTTTTCATTAATTTTTTTTATTAATTCTTACATCCATTTTATTATTAATTTTTACACTAATTTTATTATTAATTTTTACACCAGTTTTATTATTAGTTTTTACACCAATTTTATTATTAATTTTTATACCAATTTTATTATTAATTTTTACACCAGTTTTATTATTAGTTTTTACACCAATTTTATTATTAATTTTTACACCAATTTTATTATTAATTTTTTTTTTTTTTTTTCCCTATTTCTAATTACCCTTTACTACACAATTCTTCCGCACCTGTTGTCACACGTTTATGAATCATTTATGTTTACACATTCCACGCAACACATACATGTGAAATATATATATATACATATATACACATTTCAAAAGCCGTGTTCTACCGTAGAGGGATAGTCATTTATTTTATGGATACAAATAAAGCGTGGGTAGATACATAAATGTGCGACCTCTAAAATGAAAAAGGAAATTTGCGTGCATTAATGACACCTCAGGAACTTGCATTTTTTTATTACTTCTTTTTTTTGAAAATTGTGTTTAAAAAGCACACGGATGCACTGGAAAATGGGTGTATGTAGGCTCATATTATTAAAAAGATCCTAAGCACATGTATAAGACGTACACACATATATATATATACATACACATATCAATATAGCCGTGATATCTCCACATCTGAGAATATTTTAAAGCAGTGGCATAGCGAGACGCAGATGCATTAAAGCACTCACACTCGCATTAGTAAACGCATATGGATTTTTGTTTACCCGAGGCCACATATACACTTGTCCCATCATATCCCAAAAGGAAACTCACAAAGGGTGCACTCATAGGAATGCACATATGTTATACATTTTCACAAGAGGGGAGAAAATAAGTGTAAATTTATTTATATTTGATTGTAAGAGACATACACGGATTTGCATCAAAGAAAAAAAAAAAAAAAAAAAAAAAAATTCTTCGTATATTTTCCAAGTGAAAAAATTCTTTGAATTTACACATTATAATCATTACACACAGCTGAAGTTCGCATGGATAAGAATTACCATTGCCTCATGTAGTAACGGTAGAGTAGGATTCAGTAGCCAAAGTTTTTAGTGATTTCTCTCGTTTCTCGTTTCTTGTTTTTTTTTTTTTTTTTTTTTTTTTTTTTTTTTTCTCTCTCTTTTCCTTTCATTCCCCGTTTTTCATCCTATCTATCATAAGAACAATGTCGAAGAACAAATCAATTGAAGAGAGGTACCAAAAGAAATCTCAAATAGAACATATTTTGCTGAGACCAGACACGTATATAGGAAGTGTTGAAATGCACACACAGCTACTATGGGTATGGAATAAAGAAAGGAATCGGATGATACAGAAAAGTATTACATATGTACCTGGATTGTATAAAATTTTTGACGAAATTATTGTAAACGCTGCAGATGTAAAAGCTAGAGAAAAGGAGAAAAGTGAGAATCCTATGACTTGCATAAAAATAGAAATTAATAAGGAACAAAAGAAAATAAGTGTATATAATGATGGAGAGGGAATTCCTGTAGAAATACATAAAGAAATGAATATATATGTTCCCCATATGATTTTTGGGGAATTACTAACTTCAGATAATTATGATGATGCAGAGGATAGAATAACAGGTGGTAGAAATGGATTCGGTGCAAAACTAACGAATATTTTTAGCAAAGAATTTGTAGTTCAATGTGGTGATAGTTCAAGAAAAAAAGAATTTAAAATGGTATGGACTGATAATATGTCTAAAATTTCTGAACCACTTATAAAAAATTACAATGGAAAGGACTATGTTAAGGTTACTTTCAAACCAGATTTATCAAAATTTGGTATGACTGAAATGGACGATGATATTGAGAGTTTATTGTGTAAAAGAGTGTATGATTTGGCTGGAACGTGTAGTGTTCGTGTATATTTGAATGGAAATCGATTAGGTATTAAAGATTTCAAAAGTTATGTTGATTTATATTTGAAAGATAATGCTGGTGTAAATACTGGAAAGAGCAATGCAAATAATGGTAATAAGGATGATCAGACAGTAGAAGGTGGAGAAAAAAGCATAAACTTAGATTTAAGTGCAAATCAAACAATGGAAAATTTAGATAATAGCTTATTACAAAATTCTGGGGATGCAACACCAGCAAAGAGTAATGCAGGAAATGGTAATAACAATAATGATGAAGAGGAGGTTGTAAAGATACATGAGAAACAACATCGATGGGAAATTGTTGTTTCTAAGACAGATGGTTCACAATTCCAACAAGTATCTTTTGTTAATAGTATATGTACAACCAAAGGTGGGTCACATGTAAATTATATTGTAGAACAGTTATTAAATTCCCTTAGTAAAAAAGCGAATGCTAAGAATAAAGGAGGAATGGAAATTAAAGCAGGTCATATAAAAAATCATTTATGGGTTTTTGTAAACTGTTTAATTGTAAACCCAACATTCGATTCTCAGACAAAAGAAACATTAACAACCAAACCGGCCAAATTTGGCAGTAAATGTATACTAACAGATAGGACTATAAATAGTGTATTGAAAAGTCCCATATTGAGTAATATTTTATTATGGGCCCAAGCAAAAGCTCAGGTTGAATTAAGAAAAAAAATGAAAGCAGGTTCATCAAAGGCTAGAGAAAGAATCATAGGAATTCCTAAGTTAGAAGATGCAAATGATGCAGGTAGTAAGCATAGTCAAGATTGCACTTTAATACTTACAGAAGGGGATAGTGCAAAGACATCATGCTTAGCTGGTTTGTCAATTGTTGGTAGAGACAAGTATGGTGTATTTCCACTTAAAGGAAAATTACTAAATGTTAGGGATGCATCTTTTAAGCAATTAATGGATAATAAGGAGATCCAAAATATTTTTAAGATTATGGGATTAGACATAACAGATAAGAATAAAGATGATTTAAAGGGCCTTAGATATGGTTCTCTTATGATTATGACAGATCAAGATTACGATGGTTCACATATTAAAGGGTTACTAATTAATATGATTCATAAATTTTGGCCTAGTTTATTAAAACATAAAGGTTTTCTTAGTGAATTTGTAACTCCAATTGTGAAAGTTCAAAAGGGAAATCAAGAATATTCATTTTTCACTATAGCAGAATATGAACAATGGAAAGAAAATACTAATTTACTTGGATGGAAAATAAAATATTACAAAGGACTTGGTACATCTACAGATAAAGAATTTAAACAATACTTTTCTGATATTAAAAACCATAAGATAATGTTCCTTTGGACAGGTGATAGAGATGGTGATTCTATTGACATGGCTTTTAGTAAGAAACGAATTGAAGACAGAAAATTATGGTTACAAAATTTTATTATTGGTTCTTATGTAGATCATAAGGAAAAGGATTTGTCATACTATGATTTTGTCAATAAGGAACTTATTTATTATTCTAGATATGATACAGAGAGAAGTATTCCAAATATAATGGATGGGTGGAAACCCGGACAGAGGAAAGTGCTCTATGGTTGTTTCAAGAGAAATTTAAAAAATGAATGTAAAGTTGCACAGCTTGTTGGTTACATAGCGGAGCATAGTGCATATCATCATGGAGAATCATCTCTACAACAAACTATTATTAACATGGCGCAGACTTTTGTTGGGTCTAATAATATAAACTTTTTAGAACCATGTGGGCAATTTGGTAGCAGAAAAGAGGGAGGAAAAGATGCATCTGCAGCAAGGTATATTTTTACAAAATTAGCTACCTCTACTAGAAGTATATTTAACGAGTATGATGATCCAATATTGAGATATCTAAACGAGGAAGGTCAAAAAATAGAACCACAATATTACATTCCAGTTATTCCAACAATTCTAGTCAACGGCTGTGAAGGTATTGGAACGGGTTACTCTTCCTCCATACCCAATTATAACTATAAAGATATTATTGAAAATATTAAGCGTTATATTAACAAAGAACCACTACTACCCATGATCCCTTGGTACAAGGATTTCAAAGGAAGAATAGAATATAATGGAAAGACTGGATATGAGACCATAGGAATAATTAACAAAATAGATGATGAAACGTTGGAAATTACAGAATTGCCCATTAAGAAATGGACACAGGATTATAAAGAATTTTTAGAGGAATTATTAACAGATGAAAAACATCAGTTGATAGTAGATTACATAGATAACAGTTCACACGAAGACATATGTTTTACTATTAAAATGGATCCAGCTAAGCTAAAAAAAGCTGAAGAAGAAGGATTAGAAAAAGTATTCAAATTGAAAAGTACATTAACTACTACAAATATGACTTTGTTTGATCCCAATCTGAAACTACAAAGATATTCTACTGAACTTGACATTTTGAAAGAATTTTGCTTTCAAAGATTGAAGGCGTATGAAAATAGAAAAAGCTATTTAATTTCCAAATTAGAAAAAGAAAAAAAAATTATTTCAAATAAGAGCAAATTCATTCTAGCAATTGTTAATAATGAGCTTATTGTTAATAAAAAAAAAAAAAAAGTTCTTGTAGAAGAATTGTATAGAAAAGGCTATGATCCATATAAAGACATTAACAAAATTAAGAAGGAAGAAATTTTTGAACAAGAATTACAAGAAGCTGCTGAAAATCCAGATGATAATGAAGAAATTATAGCAGGAATTTCAGTCAAAGATTATGACTATTTATTAAGTATGCCCATATTCAGTCTTACCCTTGAAAAGGTTGAAGAACTGCTAACTCAACATAAAGAAAAAGAAAGAGAATTAGAAATTTTGAGAAATATTACTGTTGAGACGATGTGGTTAAAGGATATTGAAAAAGTAGAAGAAGCAATTGAATTCCAGAGAAATGTAGAACTAGCCAATAGAGAAGAAAGTAACAGATTTAAAGTTGCCAAAAAACAAAATGCAAATGCTTTCAGAAAAAAAAAAAAAAAAAAAAAATTATCCAGTGATGAAGAATCTGAAGGTGATTCATCTGATAGTAGTGAATTCTTAATTCACACACTTAACATTAAAAAAAATAAAAAGCCACCAAACAATAATGCTACTAGTAGTACTACAAGAAAAAGATTAAAGAAAATAGATGATACTAATGAGACTCCTATTTTAGTAAATGACGATTTAGATAATAGTGTATCTTACTCTAAGGCAGCTGATGATTTACTTTCAAGCAATTTTGATGTAACACCCATGTTAAATAAAAACATAACTAATTATGACTCAGATGCTAGTCTCATAACTAATCAAAATAATCTTAATAGTACTAATCGAGCTACAAAAAATAATATAAGAAATAGTAGTAGTAAGCAATCAAGAAAAAAAAAGGCATCCTCTCCAGATTTGTCATTAGAAAGTAGTGACATTAACGTTAAGGCAAATAATTCCGGTGCAGGCAATAACATCCTTGACAAGACACCCAATAAACCTCTAGGCATCAATGAGAATATTACAATTTCTCCTAACAGCACCATAAACATCAACGAATTCTCTGGAATCAAAAGCAAGCTCCTTGAGCTTGGTACTCACTATGCACTTCTGCTTCTCTGGCTGTTTATGCATCCTTCTATGCAAATACTTGTTGAGTGGTTTATGCATCATTCTATACAAATACTTATTGAGTGGTTTATGCATCATACTATGCAAATACTTGTTGGGTGGTTTATTATGCATCGTTCTATGCAAATACTTATTGAGTGGTTTATGCATCATACTATGCAAATACTTGTTGGGTGGTTTATTATGCATCGTTCTGTGCAAATACTTATTGAGTGGTTTATGCATCATGCTATGCAAATACTTGTTGAGTGGTTTATGCATCTTGCTATGCAAATACTTGTTGAATGGTTTATCATGCATCGTTCTATGCAACTACTTGTTGAGTGGTTTATACACTCATGTGCACATTTTCCTTTTCTTACCTTTCAGAAAATAAGAAGAAGCCTCGCTTGACCTTGGCTGAGAAGGTTAAGCAGAAGAACAATGAGAAAAAAACAACTCCAGCGAAGGAAAGTATCGGTGGAAAAACTCCATCCCAAAGAAAAAAAGTAAAATATGAAGAGATAAAAGCACCAGTAACAGTTGGAATAAAATTTCACGTGTCTTTTGTTTATTTTTGTTAAAAAAAAATGGATACCTATTTTTATATATTTTTATTTGTTTATTTTATTCTATTTTATTTGTTTATATTATTTTATTTTATTCCATTTTATTTTATTTTATTTTATTCTATTTTATTATTTATTTATTATTTTTTTTTTTTTTTGCTGCATTTTTACCTCCCTTTTTTATGACCATTCATACATTTCAACTTACCTCCCCGTAGAGCAATTTACTGGATAGTTCAAAGTCCAAAAAAGGATCTAAGTTTGACAGCGACGATTCAAGTAAAGATGTAAGTAACAGCAATTATAGAGATGAATGAATTATCGTCATTCTTCCATAAGCAAAACTAGCTATTTTATTAAGTATCCATTTGTTATTCGTTGCTTTTTTTTTTTTTTTTTTTATTTTTGTGAAACCATTATTTTTTTATTTTTAACAATTGAGTCCTTAGTAATGTATGCTCTTCCATTTCCCTCTTTTTTTTTTTTTTTTTTTTTTTTTTTTTAACAGTTTGTTTCATCAGATGACAGTGATAGCTCATACAATATCTAAAAGAGATGCCTTTGAAATGTCTTATTATTCGATTGACGGTTACTCGTACAGTGAAGGAGTATTTTTTTTTTTTTTTTTTAATTGCACCAAAATGGAGAAATATTAAGGGATCATTATTTATATAATTATATAATTATGTATTTATATATTTACACATTTACATACTTATGTATTTTACATATTTATGTATATACCTTTTTCTTTTATTTTGACCTTCCTTTTTTTCTTTTATATTGTTTTTTTTTTTTTTTTTTTCTTTTATATTTGGCTTTTTTTTTTTTTTTTTTTTTTTTTTTTTTTTTTTTTTTTTTTTTTTTTTTTTTTTTTTTTTTTTTTTTTTTTTTTTTTTTTTTTTTTTTTTTTTTTTTTTTTTTTTTTTTTTTTTTTTTTTGTATGTGTGTGTGCACCACTTTGCTTCCATGTTGCGTTTACTGTGCTTCTACGTTGGGTCTATTTTCGTCCTACTTTTCTTCTTTCCTTTTATGATGCACATGTATTTTCCCTTTCTCTTTTAAATAGGGAAATTTTTTTTTTTTTTTTTTCCAATGATGTATGCATCTTTTCATTTTGCAAGCTCAAACGGAGTTCTCTCCTAGTTAGGCTGTTTTTATTTAAAGTAGAAAAAATGGGGGGTGCACAAAAATGGATCTATATGATTGGCTGTACTTCTGGTTTTGAACCGAATTAACGAAATTCATTACTTTAAAACTTGGGTTTGTAAAAAATACTGGCATCTGGAACAGTTCCCTTTGGAGTCTGTGCAAAAGGGTTGCTATTTCCCTGATATGTTATTATCACAAAATGAGATACTATTTCATAAATGATCCTTTTATGTTTAATAAAAATGGAAATCTCACTTAACTTCTGTCCATGGAATGCTATATATGCTATTCTTGGGAAAAGTCAGAGATCGCATGCATTTTTTTTTTTTTTTTTTTTTCCTACAGGTCTTAAGGTTTGTGTGCATAAATTTGACACTCCTTCCCCAATGTGAAGTAGCGAAAAGAGAAGAAAAAAAAAAAAAAAAAAAAATGATAATAATAAATAAAAAATAAAAATAACGCCACACGAGATTGCATTTGCTTTGTCTGTAATTTGCATTCTGCTATATTAAGCTACATCAAAATTACCATGCGATAAAGAAAACACAATTAATGTTTTTTTTTTTTTTTTCTTCTTTTGACGAACCAAAATGTCTATGTCTATCGTTTTCAGATGTCATGGTACATCATAAACTTAGTAAACATAATCAAAGGACACATTCCCTCTTTTTTTTTTTTTTTTTTTTTTTTTTTTTTTTTGCTTGTGTGTCTAAAATAAAATATAAAAGAAAAGTTAGAAGAGGTATAGGGAAGTATGAAAGAAGTTTTACTTACAATTTAGTATCATATAGAGAGCATCTCTACAAAGGATGTCCATTTTCGTTACGACGTCTGATGATGATTTGTTTGACCCTTCCTTAAGTCTACAGCATAATAAACTAGTAAAAATGTGTGTGAAAAAATGCTTTGCCAATGTGCTTAGAAAATATGCAATTTGTTAAGCATAAGTGAGGACCATTTCATTGTAGAGGAGTTTACATGAGAAGATGTTCACAAGAACGGAGGAATTGCAATGACATGTTTGTGTGCTTGTTGGAAGACACAAGAATTATCTGAGGGGGGATGATCAGGGATGGTCATGAAAAAGTTGGTCAAAATTGTAAGTAGCGCAGTCATGCAAAAGTCGTCAAAAATGCCATTAAAATAATTTTAATAAATTATTTTGAACCAATGTATCAATAAAATTAACTGCCAACTTGCCAACCAAAACCTCAGTGAGTCATGTGAATAACCTCTTATGACAGTTACCTATGTCATGAATGTATATCAGCAAAGAATGGATAATGAGAAAAATTTTGAGATTTTAACCTTATGCTTTATATATGTGTGCACAAAAAAAAAAAAAAAAAAAAAGGAGTTACACATCAGCAGACGGCTAACACCCAGGAATATTCCAATATGGTGATTATTTTGTTAGAAATTCCGTAAAGAGGATAAACATAATCAGTTTTTTTGTACTGCTGAAGGTTATGCAAGAACTTATTAAATTTTTTCCTTCTTCTGTTATTTTACGTAACAGAAGATTTATGAAGCTACATTACTTGCCGATTCTCTTATATATTCCTCTTATTTTTAAAAGATGGCAAAGGAAACGACATGGAAGAATTTTGAGAATATTATGAAAAATGGTATGAAGATATTTAGAGTTCCCCTGAGTGTAGATGAAATTGTGGCTATTTTTATGATACTTTTGGTTTTGGGAGGTATGCAAAATAAGACACTAAATTTTTGGATTCCGATTTTTGTGAATTTACAATAACTCTTTTCTTTTCTTTTCTTTTCTTTTCTTTTCTTTTCTTTTAAAATGAGTTTATATGAACGTTGGGAAAATAGTTAACATAAATTTTGATGACACGGAGAAGAATACAAGTGTGGGAGAGATTTTTGTTCCGAAAATAAAATGATAATTGAGGCAAAGCTTAAGTACGTGCAAATTGGTTAGTTGCGTTTAGCTTATTAAACCTTCCCCCCTTTTACGTTATTTTGTTTTTTCATTTAAAATGAAGAATACACTTAGGCAAATGTGCATATCACAGTGGATCACGAGCTTGGAGCTTCTATCCTTTTCAGAAGGTCACACATTTACATACACACAAAAAAAGAAAAGAAGAAAAAAAAAAAAATATTAATCTGTTGTAACAAAACTTGGCTTAGTTGTATTGATATTATGTACAGGCATAAATAAGAATGGGAATCCTAGTAATGGGTATATGTATGAACATTTTTTGTATGCAAAATAACAGGTGGTGCGTGGATTTGATAGTTACAATAAAATGATGAATATCCTTACTCATTTAATTCTACATATTTATAATTTCTCCCTTTTTTTAATATCTTCTTTTTATTCATGAAGAACTGGCCACTTATTTTAAACGTCAAAAAATAGGTGAAAGTATATATATATGGAGTAAGAAAATAAAGGGATATCCCTTTGTAGTGGTGTATGGATTGTGGGTAATATGTGTATGATGCATGAAAATCTAAATTACACCCACTCGGGTAACTGCCTCGTACTGTTACGATAAAGAAATGTTTTCATGCAAAAGGAAGAATAAAAATATATGAAAAAAAAAAAAAAAAAAAAAAAAAAAAAAGGAAAATGACATTTTTAAAGTTTCTTATAAGATATTTTAAAATAGAAAATACTCTTTCTTCCTTTTTTTCCCTTTTTTTTTTTTTTTTCTGTGTGCGTATGTGCATGCTCGTGTGTGTGTGCACGCATGTATACTTAAGTGAAACCTTTTTTACGTGAAAAGGATAAAAATACTTGTTTTCATTTTTTTTTTTTTTTTTTTTTTTTTTTTTTGGTACATATATTTGTGTTTATTTGTGTTTTATTTATGTTTATTTTGTTTTACTTTTTCTTTTTGTAAATTCTGAAGGGTTCTTTTCTTTTTGATCAATGTTCTCCGTATATGCCTGTTCGGCCCCCGCATACACAATTTTTGCATACCCGAAACTCTGGGCACGTACTTTTTCAATTTTGCTCAATCAAAATAGCAAGTGCGAAATATACATTTATGCAGTGTGTGCAGGAACGAGTATGTAATGAATAAAATTACTCCTGCTTTATACAGACAACTAATTCTTAGTATTCGCGTGTGCATACATTTTTATGTGCTGAAGAGTAGTTCGTGCATATATATACACACATATGTATATAATATATGTATGTGTGTATTTATGCACAAACTACTTACCCAGACTATCCCCCTTACGCCTGCCTATTTCGAGTGTATGCTTTTATTATAGTGTTTTATTATTCCTATTCAGTCTATTATTCTCATTACCCGTATTTGCTCTTATGGTACGGTTGCATGCAGTTTTTATCATTTGAATATGCGAAAAGATACGTAAAAAGAAAAAAAAAGTAAAAAAAAATAAAAAAAGAAAAAAAAAGAAAAAAAAAGAAAAAAAAAGAAAAAAAAAGAAAAAAAAAAGAAAAAAAAAGAAAAAAAAAAGAAAAAAATACTGTGTAAATATAAACATAAATGTGAAATATGCTTATAGTGTCGTGCATACCTCAGTGACATTAAAAAAAAAAAAAAAAAAAGTGTTTTCATTTTCCATCATCATTTTCACCTTTTTTTTTTTTTTTTTTTTTAAATCACATATGGTCTCATGTTTCCGCCCGAATGAAAAAGAGCAAAGAGAGAATAATAACTTGCACACGCAACCAACCAAGCTCGATTTCTTTTTTCATCAATTTGGGATTTATTTATCGCCTTATTTCTTTCTACCTTTTACTCCAATTTTGTTTACTCCCTTTTTTTTGTCCTCATTATTTTGGTTCCATTTTTTTGCACCCTTATTTTGCGTCCATTAATTTGTTACCATCACTTTGCTCTCATTATTTTTCTCCCCATTATTTTTCTCGCATTTTTTTCTCCCATTATTTTCCCCCCAATTTTTGCTAATTTTTTTTTTATTTTACGACAAATTTTGTTCACTTTTCCTTTTTTTGGTTCCTACTTTCACCATTACGTAATGACCTTTTGCTCCAATCCTTGTGCAACATTTCTGCTTCCATTATTGTGCAGAATTACTGGTTCACATTTTTGTGCAAATCATTTTTCTGCTCCTATTTACGCACGTGTACAAGCATGTTTTATGTATATACATTTCCACCTATTTTTCCAATCCACTTTTCTTTCCACTTCCTCATCCCACTTTCGAATATTCTTTACGTTTAAAAGCACACTTCACACCTTTCTCATTTTTCCTTCATTGATCTTACTCTATTTCACACTTATATGTATAATTTTTTTTTTTTTTTTTTTTCCCTATCTATTCATCATTCCTATTTTTATCATCCTCATTTTAAAAATTTAATATTTTTTTTTTTTTTTTTTTTTTTTTTTTGCATTGTAATTTTTTATGGAATAATTTGGGATTGCACGTGTTTGTGCATTTTTCAGAGTTACATATGTTAGAATATGTACATAACTGTTTATAAAGTATATACATATGATAACTTGTCAATATATTTATGCGCATTTTGTATGGCATATTAGCAGTATTGATATTATCCTTCATTTAAGCATTTTTATTTTTTGTGCTTACATGTAATTACAAACTTTTCACACATTTTAAAGTTAAAAAGGGGTAATAACTATATCTTCTTTCCCCCTTTTGTCCGCCAAGATCTTTTTCTTTTTCCATTCCTTTTTCGTTTTTTTTTAAGAGAGACTTTCATTATTGAGCAAGCTTTTTTAAAATGTCAATGGAAGAAAAAAAAAAAAAAAAAAAGAAAAAAAAAAAAAAGAGCTAATGCAGTATAACAGTGAACTTATTTCACAGGAGCATTACAGTGATAACATTAGAACAGAGAATTGATATTTTTGAAGCAACAAAGTTGTATCACCTGAGAAAAAAAACATACATTAGAAAGAGAGTCAGAACATAAAAGTAAAGTTTGAGGGTTGGGAAATACTTAAGAGAGAAAAAAAAAAAAAAAAAAAAAAAAAAAAAAAACGTTTGATATGATAGCATAAAAACGTATAAACCGTTCAAAATGAGTTCTGTTCAAGGCTCTAATGTATATAGAGTGATTCATGGGAATAAAACAAATTTTACATTTGCGCATATTCTTGCTTCTGAAGATATGCAAAATGTTAGAAGAAAGATGAGCAAGTCTGCCGAATGGAATATGGAAAATTATGATTATCAATTGTCCAAGAAAAGCGGACACAATATGATCAAAAATACAAAAATATGCCTATTTCTTATGCGCCACGTATTAAATAAAAGTTATGATAATCAGAATTACAATTATGAAGTGGAGAAGAAAATTAATTTTTTAAAAGATGTCAATCATGATGTTTTACTCTTGCTAGTGTTATATAAGAATAGGAAGAAGGCAAATCTCGCTTTGGCAGTTTCACTGAATCCGGAATTTCTCCACACATCCCTATCACATGGGGTCGAAACATGCGACAGTGGTGATTCTTCTTGTAATATTGATTCTTCTCGTAATAATGATTCTTCTCGTAATATTGATTCTTCTCGTAATAATGATTCTTCTCGTAATAATGATTCTTCTCGTAATATTGATTCTTCTCTTAATGATGATTCTTCTCGTAATATTGATTCTTCTCTTAATGATGATTCCTCTCCCAATGGTGATTCTCCGCACAGCGCTTATCAGAGTGAAAATTCAGAAGGAAAAATTTCTTCTATGGACAAAAGAGATACTTATTTTTTAAAAAATAAAAAGAGGAATAGCATGTTCCTATTGTGTACAAATGACAACTGTGTAAAGGAAAAAAAAAAAAATAAAATATATCAGAAGAGATCAAAGAATATGATAATTATACATGAGCAAAATTATCGGAAGGATATCATAAAAAAACCATGCTATTTCATAAAGGAAGAAGAAGAGACGGGAAATGAGCACAATATATATTTACATGGTAAATGGAAGAATTATGAGTGTTCAAGCATTACTATGCAGAAGATAAATGTTATTAAGGTACGAAGAACAAGGAGCATAATTATGCCAAGTACGAGTTGTTATAATTACATGAAAATAAACAACGCATTGGTTGTGAGTGCATTGAATGGGTCCTATGGCTCACAATGCATTAGAGATATAAATATAGTGAAGAAACTTCAAAGATGTTACTTCGCTTTGCTCAATCATTCAAATTTGTGTATGAAAAATGAACAGAATTTATTATTATCATGTTCCCATGTTGATATCCAAGGTACACAATTAAAAGTGGATTTTAAAAATGATGAAATGATTTATTTTTTCTTGTGTTTTCCCTATTTGAAGGGAAGAAATTTTAAATTTTTGGATAAAAGTGAAAAAATGTTATTTTTTGTGTTTCTGAAGAAGAACAAAACAGTCGATATTATATCTTTTCCTGATTCCGAAATGCCAAAAGGTAAAAGAAAAATATTTTTGAATTTGTGGAATTTTAAAATGAGGAAGAATTTCGTTAGAACTCATTGGCATATTGATGAGAATTTTTTTAGGAACCACATAATATCTCTTTCTCGCTTAATTAGTTGGTTTGAATCCAACGTGTTAGTAATCATGACAATTGTAGAAGTAATAACGATACATATTTTCATTTCCACATTACTATATATGCATTTTGTTACGTGGATATCGCAATTGACAGTTGTAACATATGCTATTATAGTCTCCTTAGTGATTGCATTACTAGGAATATTAATGTTTGTAAATTTTTTGTGCTACCAACTCGTAGTATGCACAATGATGAGTAGCAGTTTTTCCGTTAACATGAAGAGGAGAACTAAGAAAATGACAGGTTCAGTAAAACATTATGATTTCTTTTATAAATATAACAAATTAATGTATTCATATAAAAAGGAAAAACCTATGATTGAAAAGAAATGTTTAATGAATGAATTAATATCCGTTGTCCATAATGGAAATACACGAAAATTAATATCAAGGTGTAATTCGTCAAATTTGATAAGGAAAGAAAATTTCTATTTCCAAGTTTATAAATTTTCATTGTTAATTATATTACATGCATATTTGAAGAAAAAAGAAAAAATAATATTGGATTTTATGATAACACGTAACAAATATTATTCAAAAAGTAAGCAGTGTTTGTGTTTTATGTACAAAACTTTTTTACTACATAATAGATGTTGTACGAAGATTGTATTATTAATAATGTTTATGTTGGGAAAGCATAACATTGTGAAAATAATTTCTTCATTATTCATTATGAGAGGAAGACGTAAGCATGAAATGAGATGCCATGCTTTTCCATTTTTTATTATATGTGATATATGTTGGAAAAGTGAAAAAATTCCCCCAATTGGCTCTTTTCTTCCCATTGTTTATGTTAGAGGTAGAAGAAGTGGTCGCAGTAGAATGTGCTTCTTTTTTCATCATGAGGACGCATCGTTTCGCGTATTTATGATAGGTTTAATGAATCATTTTTTGTCTTGCAAAAATGAATGTATAGGAAAAAATTTCAACTATTGTTTGCATGTTCTTCATTTACATTTTGCATGCATGAAACTATTGGGGCATTTTAATAGCAGTGAAAATTTTCTCCTTTTTTTTAATTTTTATTTTGCACGCATTTGTATATGTTTATTAAATTTTATTTGTATGGAAAATTGCTTGACACATTGTATCAGTTTAGAATCTAATGAGACATTGGATAGGTTCATATATATATTTTTTTTTTTTGTAATCTATTTGATATCCGTTTTTTTTTGTATAATATTCTTGTTAGAGTATATAAATAAGGAAGTTGATGTAGCATTATTTTTTTTATATTCAAACAACAATGTTTCAAGTGTAATATTTACACATTTACCGTTTATTCGTTTAGTTAATTTTTCGGGAGAGTATTTCAGGATAAATTTTCATGGACGATTTTTTTTTTATATGAAAAATAATGCAGGTAAATTAATTCATAGACATATGAATCAGTATGAAAATAGAAAATTAGGAAGAAATTTTAGCATTGATTATAGTTTGATAAATTTTTTACCAAGTTTACATTACTACATTTTTATGATAATTATGCTTTTTTTCTTTTACACAGGAATAAGAACCTTGTATTTCTTTTTTGTTTATATGGTTGGAAGTACCAAAAAGATGATTATGATATCATTTTTTGTAATGCTAAGAATAATTGGAATATATAAAAATCAGAACGTGACGAGTAATGTTAATGAATTTGTATATTCATTGTCTTATTGTCAAAAGAAAGATGGTGAGGAAGTAGGGGTTGACAAGAGTGATTTATATGGGGATAATTTTTATGTTACAGATCGTCGTTTGTCTGATGAGAAAAATTCAAACGATGGCAGTACTCGGCATATGCAAGAATCTAACAATAACCATAGTGAAGGTGGCAAGAGAAGAAGTGACAATTATCAAGGAAGTAAAGAAAGGCGTGAAAATGGTGGCACTAATGGGAATAGTGGAAATGTTGGAAATGATGGAAGTTTTGGAAGTAGTGGAAATAATGGAAATTTTGCAAGTTTTGGAAGTAGTGGGAATGATGGAAATTTGGGAAATTTTGGAGGCAGTGGAAATGATGGGAATGATGAGAATGACAATAACAATGGGAAAGATTTCCCAGAGGAGGATAAGAATATGGTGGAAGATCAAAATGGAAAAACGAGAAAAAAAAGGAATAAGAGGCTAAATGAAAAAAGCAGAAATATTAATAAAGCTAACAATGGAAGGAAAGGACGAAAAAAGGTGGACTCACTAAACGGAATTCAAGAAGAAAATAATATGATGTTGAATAATTATGGCAATGTGAAAAATATGAATTACATGAACTTTAGGAACATGAATAATGCCTCCTTTTTATACGATAATGATAATAACAATAGTAGTAGTAATGCGAATGATATCTGTAGTAGTACCAGTATTCTTGGTAACACCATCACCAATGATAATATTGGTAAATTAAATTTTAAGCTGGGTGCATACTCAAATAAGCTAATTGATGAAACGAATTACCAGATGAGGGGTCGTGCTGGATGCAATGTAGGAACTCATATGGGTAGTCAGTTGGGAAGCCTCGTGATGAATCGGGTGGACAATCTGATAGAAAACAACATAGGAAGTCAAATGGAAAATCAGGTAAATAGTGGAAATATCGGAAATAACGTAAATAATGGAAACAATGGAAACAATGGAAATAATGGAAACAATGGAAATAATGGAAACAATGGAAACAATGGAAACAATGGAAACAATGGAAACAATGGAAACAATGGAAACAATGGAAACAATGGAAACAATGGAAACAATGGAAACAATGGAAATTATAGTATGTACCTTAATAATCGTGGAAATATGAAATATATGCAAAATTATTCGAATTCGAACAACTCCATCTCATCTAATATGAACAGTGGAATGAGAGGATCCATGAACGGGTCATTAAGCAGCATAGGAAATGGTTTGCCAAATGATTCAATGAAAAATGGTTATATGAACAGTCCCATGAATAATCAAATGCACAATACAATGTTTCACATGAACAGTAGTTTTGGAAATAACATGTTGAAAAATAATATCAGCCAAATGAATCGAATGGGGCCTACTACAAACCCAGTAAATGCACAATTAACAAATAACAATCTATGTAACAATATGAAGAATTACGGATTGCACTTAAACCAACAAAAAGGGAATACAATGAATAATCAGATGGATAATAAAGGAAATTATCATATGAATGGCCAAATGGGAGGAAGTATTGGTGGAGGTAAGACCACCTTCTCAATTCCCATGAATAGTCATGTAGGAAATACAGTGAGTAACATAACTAATTCTGGAAATAATATAAACATGCATATGGATACGTCTAGCATAAATGGAAATATTAATAAGAAGACTCATTTTAATATGAACCAAACAGCAACGAAAATGACCACAGGTCCATTGAGCACCCAATTGGGAAATCATGTAAATGCAAATCCAAGATCAAATATTAATAGTCACCTGCATAATCAAATAGGTGGGAAACACATGTCGACGAACCAATTTCCACATTATATGAACAAATCTTTTTCTCCTGCCTTAAATATTAATAATATGAATATCTGTTCGAGTATTCCAAATGGAAATGTTAATATGAACATGCGTATGATGAAACATATGACAAATTATATGAATACAAATGTGAATAGAAATTCATTGTCCAATAATATTACTAATATGAATCCATCTGGTGGTGGTATGAATAAAAATAAGGTTAAAGATACTGTTATTAATAACAGTACATATAGAAGTAATAGCCTTTTAAGAGATAATTTAATGAGCTCTAATATGTATGACCAAAGCAACACAATTAACAGCAACATGGCCTCGTGTGATAGATTCTGTGGTGATGTTATCCCAAGCAATAAGATCCAGAGTAACATGATGAGAGGTGATATGATGAAAGGTGATATAATGAGATGTGATATGATGATAGGTGATATAATGAGAGGTGATATGATGAGAGGTCATATGATGAAAGTGGATATGATGAAAGGTGATATGATGAGAGGTGATATGATGAAAGTGGATATGATGAAAGGTGATATGATGAGAGGTGATATGGTGAAAGGTGATATGATGAAAGGTGATATGATGAGAATTGATATGATGAATAATAGTCAGAACCCACGTATGAGGATGATGGGTTCGAACTTTGGTAATATAAATGCAGGAATAAGCACGCCTAACAATCTAAATCATATGAACAATGTAAGAAGCGGAAATTGTGGAAGCACTATGAAATTGGCATCTGAAAAGTATCCCATTAATAAAATAGGCTTGAGTAATAGTAGCAACAGTAACTGCAATAGTAACAGTAACAGTAACTCCAATATTATGATGATACCTATGAACAGAGAAATGAGTGACATTAATAACAATACAGATGTGATGAACTACATAAGTAACAATAATTATATGAATAAAAATATGAAAATTTTCAAGATGGAGAATAATTACCCCTTTGAACAAATGTCATTGAGGAGTGATCAAATTCTTAATGTGAATACAAATAATGTCAACATGAGAAATCCATTTGCAAATGTTAATAATGAAAAAATTCACCTAAACAGACAGTTGAGTAATGAAAAATCGTTTCGTGGAAATTACGCACTAGATGAAAGTAATAATTTGTGTTCATATCAAAGTGTCCCAAATGAAACATGTGGAAATGTGCATGAGAATAATGATAGAATGAGTACTTTTGGAGAGAACCTTGACGCTGAAGAAATTACAAGTGTGTGTTGTACTGCAAAGGATATATGTAGTACGAATGCAAATCAGAACAATCCCCTTATTAACAGTAAGAAAAACAATAAAAATAATTTGAAGAATGGAAAAGATGATGAATTAAATAATAGTCAAAATTTGAGAAGTGTAAAAATTAATTGGAGTAAATATGATAACATTTTTAAAAAAATTAAATTAGAAAAAGATTATGAAAAATTTATTAATCTAGATGAGAAGAAGAAGAACATATCAGATGCTGACACAGAAGACAAATCAGATTGGGATAAGGAATCAGATCCTGGAATTAATGATTTGATGAATATAAATTTTAGATCCTTTATTCATGACTATAATGATGTTTTAAATAAACTAAATTCAATTAAAGTAAATGATAAGAATGCATTTAAAAATAATTCTTATACTCAGTTGTATGAAGAAATATTTTTAAATATCGAAAAGTTTTTAGATATATCTCAACTGAAACATGAAAATAATTTCACACACACAAATTTTTATAAAAATAGCCTCGGTCGTGTCAATGCAAATAGAAGTGGTGGTTGTGGTTTCGATTGTGAGTATGATGATGCAGAGATTCCTTCTGCAAATGCTGTTGGAACTATAACTGACATGATGGATAGTGCCATTCCATGCAATTCTACTAACATTGTTAATATGAAGAAGCACATTGATAAAACAAAAAAAGTGGGGAGTAATAGAGGTGTTTCCCAAATGAATTTCATCACAAAAAATGATCATGTTCATGATGAATACAACAATATGAAAGAAGGAAAAGAAAACTTTTTCCAAAGCATATCGATGAGTGCAGCAAATAATTCTATTTTTGAGATGTTATTAAATAAGAAAAAAGAATTCGATAAAATATGTATTCAAAACAATTTTGATTCTGTTTTTCCAGATGAAGAATTTCTTCACTTAAAGTCAGATAACTGCAAGAATCTGTTGCAGAACAATTTGCAACCAGCTTCTATGACAAGCAAGATATCCGTTTCAGAAATAGATTGTAAGAATATCACTACAAATATGACGAATGCAACTATGCATGATGGGATGAAAAATGTACCAATTTTTAACACAAGAAATACGGAAAATTGTAATATGCTGATGGAGAAAGGAAGATATGGAAATGAGAACACATTTGGAAACAACAGAAAAGGTTGTAATGAAAGTAAAAATGTAATGTATCAAAATTATTTTATTGAAAAGATATTGTCAAAAAGATATAGAACATATTCCATTAACGAATTTGTTAATGTCGAATTGAATGAAAATTTGAGAGAACTAATTGACATATATAAGAAAAATCTTTGTTGCAATATAAGAAGAATACTGAAGGAAAAAATAAATTATCAGAAGAGGCATTTCGAATGGTACTATAACAACAGAGGAAAAAGATCATTAAGGAGAAAATATTGGAATGGAAAAAAATCTCAAATGCACAAAGGAAGGAAGAGAAAAAGGAGAAAAGTGACGCAAGAATGCAAGGAATTTTCTAGCAAAAAATATAATTTTACGAATGAAACAAAGAACCATGTTAATGATATGGCAAACGAGGAAAATTTATGTAATAAATTAATGAATGAAAATAATGTAACAAAATTGAAAAATATGTCCGAAGAGAACTCAGAAAAGCCCTTTTTTTTTTTCACATCTGGTAATTCTAAAAAGAAAAAACAGCTTGATGTTGAAAATTCTTACAGTGCCAGCAGTAGTACTCCCTGCAAGAGCGAAGGAATTAATGATGCTGGAATTTTATCTTTAGACAAATGTGGCCAAGTGTCGAAATTAGAACAGGAGAATTATACTGAGGTTGCACTACTTGAGGGAACTAAAGTAGAAGTGAAAAAAGAACAAGATGAACAGCAAGTGAGGAAAGAAGATACAGGAAAGAATGATGAGATAGTTCAAAATAGCAATTCCACTACTGGAATTAACAAGATTGTGAATACATTATCGTTCGGATTTTTTAGAAACAAAATGTCTCCTCCTATGAAAGAAGAAGATACGAGAAGTAAAACAGACAGTAAGGTAGGTAGTGGTGCGGTAGACAACAATGGTGATATTAACGTGTACATAGAAAAGAAAATGATGCATAAAGAATTTTTGAAAAGGAATCAAAGCATGAGATTTACCTTAATAATGGAAACGACAAATCTATCAATTCATAGATTGGAAGATAAAATGTACGAAGAAATACGAAAGAGAAAAATGAAAAAACAAAAAAAAATTATGAATCTAAAATATAAAACAAATGCAATAATTGATTTTGGAGATAAGATTGTTTGGGTTTCATTCGAATTTAACCATTTAGATGTGCTCAAGAAAATAAGAAATAATATATTTAATTTGTACAATTTGAATAAAATTCAAAATATGAATGAATCAGAAATAAAATTAGAAAAGTGTATTACCAATGAAATGAAAAAATATAAAAATGTAAAAATAAAATTTTATAAATTTCTTAGTTATTACGATTTTGTTTTTTTAAAAAATCGTTTGAATTTTATTAAAATTAAATATAATAAGAGCGAACCCAAAGTTTCAAAACATGAACTAAGTGCCTCTACTTCTGGTGGAACTTCTCTTACGCAAGCCTTTAACATTATGCACTTTCCAAGTACATCTACAAAGAAAATTCCAGAGGAAAATTATAATCCAAATGGTACAAGTACATTGGGAACATTAAATAATAGAAGTGATAATGCCTTTTTAAATGTACAACCTGTACATAATAATACTGAATGTTTGACTGAAAAATGTAAAGATAAGAATAATAATATATCAAACAATGGTGATTGTAATAGTAAGGAAAATTTAAACATTGTGAATAACTATGACAATGTTAATTTTGAACCAATTGTGATGAATGAATGTGCAACATGTTTACCAGTTATTGGATGTGCTACAAAAAAGGAAGAAAAAAATGAGTCAACAAACAAAATTAATTTAAGGAATAAAAATTATTACTCTAAATATGATTATTTTTTTATGAAAAATAAAATTGGAAAAAAAGAAGTAACATGTTCAAAGCTTCGATTTTCTAAAAGTACAGAAGATGAAATGAATCGTTTATTAAATAATGTGAAGGAGTTATACATAGAACCGAATGATGAGATGATTAAAAAGAATAAGTTAAGAAAAGACATTTCATTATACCCATTGATAGATAAAAAGAAGTTGAACACATTTATAAATTTGAATTTAAATATAGATGTGAAAAATGAAATTGTTGTACCAAGTAACAGTAATCGTGTGGTAGAAAAAGAAATGAATATTCTTAATAAATATTTGAATACAAACATGAAATTAGAGAAACTAGAATTTTCTAAAATTGGATCAGGTGTCTTAGGGTCATCAAATATGACACCCAATTCAGGGACAAGTATAGTTGTAGGTGTTATACCTGGATGTAATTTTGAAAATTATGATAATTTAAAAAATAATATTCGTGGTGAAAAATATAATGAATCGAATTGTGTACTTATTGATAATTACGTATGGTCAAATAATCCAACCTTGTTTAACATTTTTGAGAAATATTATCTTTTGTTAAAAATGCAAAAGTACATACTGCAGTATAGATATTTTTCAAAAAATAATATTAAAAAAAAGTTAAGTTCAGAATCGAATTGCGATATTTACTCCAGTTCTAATTCATTGATTTGTTCCTCTACCAGTAATGTAAGGAGAAGAAGACGATATATCAAAAGAGCTAATAATCAAGGTAAAGAGCTAGAATGCAAATTAGATGCAAAACATGCTAGTGCAAAAGATGATGTATCTACAGAATTTGCTCATCTGTCAGTAGATGCCACTGTTAATAATGTTGCATCTGCTAAAAAAGATGCAGCTGTTCTTGTTGTCATGAAAAAGAGGCGCAGAAAAAGTAGAATCTCGAAGCTTCATTGTAGAAAAGATGTAACAAATTCGACAAGTGCTGCAGATTTAACTTGTAAAAAAGGTGAAGAAAAAGATCTCAGTTCAACATGTGGAATGAAGGAAGAAGAAGTAGAAGAAGAAGAAAAAGAAAAAGAAAAAGAAGAAGATGAGACTAATATTAAATCTAGATTTATGGAGAATAAGAATGATGAATTAAATAGAATGAATGAGATTGTAAAATCAGAACAAAATAATACACAAATGTGTATCAATTTAGTTCAAAGGAACCAACGGATGATGAGTTCTTCAGAAAAATGTGATCAACAAGACAATGCAATTGTTTTAAGGGAAGAATTTAAAAACAGTATAGAAATTTCAAATGAGAAAAGCGATGTAACATTTCCTATTGTGAAGAACGAATTAGAAGAAAATGAAGCAGCAAGAAAAGGAAACATTCATCATACTAATAATATAGATTATGAACCATCACCAAAGAAGAAAATAATACACAATGACAACGTGATGCTTGAGATGAAAACAATTAAAACTGGTAGAAGTGGAAGTAACAGAAGTATCAGTAGTAAGAAGAATTTCCCTACTTCTGCAGTTGATATTACAAAGAAAGAGGTTACTTTTCTTGATGATGAAGTAAAAATTGCAAAAGAAGCTGAAGAGGCAGACACAGAATTTGAATTAGAAGTAGGTGTTGATGGAGCAGAAGAAAAAAAGAAAAGAGGTCGAAAAAAAGGGAAAAAAAGAGGAAGAAAAAAAGGAGGTAGAAATAAAAGCAAATTAATGGAGGGAGGTGGGGGAGGTGATCATCATCAAGTCAAAGAAGGAGAAATAAATAAGATGGATTTGAAGAGAACTAAACTGGAAAGTGAGAAAAAAGAATTGGATGATAAGACATATGTTGTTGGATATTTGAATAATAAAGAAGATAGACTAGAAGAAATAGAAAAGGAAATATTAGAAAATGAAAGTATTCCAATCGATAAAGATATAATTATAGATTTATTATGTGAAGAGGAAAAGTTGGTAGAAAGTTACATTAAAAATTCTCGATTTGTAGATAAAAATTTAATATGTTTATTAATTTATTTAAATACTGTTCAGAAAAGATTAAGTAGCATTTCTAATAGATTACTGAAAAAAGTTATTAAAGAGAATAAAATGCCAGTTAGAATTAGTGAAAATGTTAAAAAAAGTGATGAAATAACATATAAATATCTCATGTTTGAAAGGTGGAACCAATTAAGATATTCTCTTTTTTATAACATAAATTGTTCATATAACAACAATAGTTTTAGTGGTACTATTATAAAGGTACATGAAAAAAGTAGTCAATCCATTTCTCAAAAAAATATGAACATTCATACTATTTTCGATTTACATAAATTTTCTGGAAAATATAAAAAACAAAAGTTGCCACCATTTGAATACAGCATATTTTTAAAATATAAAATTTTTAAAAACAATAAGACTTGTATTACTAATGAAAATGAGGATATTTATTTTGGATACAAGAAAAAAACACAAGGATTGAAAGAACCTGAAGATGAGGAATCTCAATTCATTAATAATGAAGAAAATTTCTGTGGATTTTCCAACAACACGGATCTGAATATCACACCTGTTTTGTCATACTGTTGCGTGTGTTTTAATGATGATTACAATAGCACACAGATTAGTGAACAAGGAGATATTGTCCAAAATGTTTCTAGAAATAATTCCATTTCCAATTCGGTTGTAGATGTGAAGAATCAATGTATTGATAAATCACAGGAGAAGAGTCAAATATTTTCAAGTATAAAAAGAGAATCTATCGAAATGGAGCATAGGAAAGATTCACAAAATGATGAGAAGATCACTTCTCAGGTGGCAATTTCCATGGATAACCAGATGAATAACAGTAACTTGAAGGGAAGTAATCAAAATAATTTCGTCTCGAGTGGAAGTAAAAAAAAAATCAATACTATCAATAGCGGAAAGGAACTTGCTGTTATTGAGAAAAATATAAAGAGTAATCGTAATCAGATGATGAAATGTGGAAGATGTTACATGCATGTTCATAAATTTTGTTACATTTCTACTAAGAAGACAGAGGAATGTGCATCTACCTATGCGCAAGCTAGCGCTCCTATAAGTTCGAATGAGTGGTTATGTCAAAGATGTGAATTTGAAAAGAAAGCATTAGGGAATAATTATTTGTATTTGTTTGATAACAACATTAAATGTTATATATGTATAGAGAGAGGTGGTGCTTTTATTCAAATGACTAGCGAGATATTTGTACATACATTTTGTGCTATATTTTGTGTACCAGACATGTTAGTTAATGTTAATGTGAATTTAGAAAATTTGGATGAATACTTGAAATTAAATAACCTTTCTCTAACCCAAGAAGTTTTATCAATTTTTGAGAGAAAAAGGAGAAAAATGATTACGACCAAAGCTTGCAAGCAGATGGGAGAGGTACAGACGCAGGAGTGGCAGCAAAAAGATGTGACTGTGAAAGATGTATATGCAAAGGAGATAGCGGGGAAGAAGGATATAGAAGAAAAAGAAAAAAAAAAAAAAAAAGAATTCCTGATCACACAAAATAGTTACAAGTTGGATTTCTGTAGCGAAACCCTGAATAATTATAACCGTTCCCCTAGTTTTTCCACGAGTAACACTTCACGCAGCATAATAAATCGAGAGGAAAATAAAGCAAAATTCACAAATTTTAACAACAACAATGATCTTAAGGATGCAAGAAATTCAGTTTTAAGTAGCTCGAAGGAGCATGTACAAGATTTTACAGATGATAACAACTACAGCATTCCTACAGGTGACGTAAAGGATGGATATCGATCAAAGAACAAAATTATTAAATCCATTTTTTCCAAAAATTATATTTCCACTTCGAGGAAAGGTTCTATGAAAAATATTGAAATGAGTACTGGTGATAGTACCCACTTGAGGGACACCAAAATTTATGATTTTTTTTCATTTGTGAAGGATGATAAGAAGAAAAGAGGAAATGAAGATATTAACCAAGTTGAAAATTTAAAAAAAAAAAAAAAAAAACTCGCCAATGATAGTGATTACAATAAGGATAGCAATGGGGATAACAAGGTGGAAGGGACAGTAGAAACACTTTATGATAAAGGTGAAAGAAATAACATAGTGACGTACAGTGGAAATATGACGACTAAACATGTATATAAGGAGAATAATCCGTTTTTACCAAAAAAAGGGGAAGGAAAGACTAGCCCAATTCATCGAACTTGGAAAAGAAAAACAAAAGGTGGTGATGGTTTTTCTGATACTGATATGATTAGAACTGAATCAAACGAAATGATGAAAGGTGAAGATTTGGAAGGAAGAAACCATAACATTATTAGCGATAATAATTACACATCGGGTGAATATTGTTCAACCTCGTCGTCCTGCTCCTTGACAGAATGTTCTATGTACTCAGACTCGACATTCTCAAAAATGAATAATTTGAAAGTAGAAAAGAAGAGCAATGGGACGATGAGGTGTCCAAACAGAGGAGGCATACAATACACTTCAGACAGACAAGACACACGGTTAAGGTGTTCAAGTGGGAAGGGAAGTTTTAACAAAAAAGTATGCTGTAGCCCATATATAATTAACGGTTATGTAGAGGAAAAAACTAGGTGTGATGTATGTTTGAAAAAAAAAGGAATATTTATAAAATGTGAAAATTTAAAATGTGAAAAGTATATTCACCCATTATGTGCATTTATGTGTGGTTTATATATAAAATGTAAAAACTCGAACAAGAAATTTTTGAAATTTCAAAACAAAATAGATTACTGTTTTCCAAGAATTTTCTTCTTCACCAAGTGTATACACCATTCCATTAAAAAATGTGGAGTTATAAGAATATATGATGAAATTATCAAACGAAGAACCAAGTATCTGAACCGAGATTTATATCCAAATATCTATGAAAACAATAAGAAGGAAAGGAAGCAGAAAAATTCTGTAAAGTATAAAAATCGTAACAATTCTAGTAATAATAAAAAAGGTGGAAATGCTATTATAGGAGCAGGTCCTGGACTATCCGTTGGAGAAGGAAATGCTGATATTTATGAAATGCTGGCTTTTAATTTTAACTATATAGGTTCATATCAGTACAATATTTTCTTATTACCATCCATTGATTATATAAAGAATGATATTTGTTTAGTTTGTTTTACATCCCATAAGGAGAAAAAATTACTCTATTGTAAATATTGTAATATGTGCGTTCATAAGAACTGTTATTTAGTTGATTCGGATTACTTGGAATATCATTTTTATAGACGAAATAGGAGATCTTATACCTCTTTAATGCACAACAAGCAGCAGAAAGTGAAGAACTTACGCATCCAAGTCGAGGAAAAAAAGGATGCACTTCTCACCATTTTGCGTGAAGAGAAAACTTCTTTTAATTATGACAACGAGGCGATGAAGCACGAAAAGGTGGAGAATGCTGAATGTGAGGTGAAGGTGGAGAATACTGAATGTGAGGTAAAGATGGAGAATACTAAACAATCGTTAGGACACCATTGTACTAGGCACAACACTGAAGACTCGAGTAATGTTCAGGTAGGAGGTTTTACTACTCAAAGTTGCACAATCAATGGTAGAAATGAGGAAGGGATATCTGAACTTGTTGAATCCATTTCTTTAGAAAAATTTCCACGGACTCATACTCCTATTGTCATGGATACTAACGGGACGCAAGGTATTACAGCAGAGAATACATACAAATGCAGAAGTGCAATAGACTCTGATAAGGAAATAAAAGAATCAAACATGTTTAAGGAACTACTGAAGAACGAGATTATAAACTGTTTGTATACAGGGGAATATTTTCAGAATGTGGAAATTATACATAGATTAAAAGAGTTTAAGAAAAAACAAGGATATAACTACCGAAGCGATAAGAATTACCTAATTGAAGGTGAAGAAGAAAAGTGTGTAACTGATTTGGATGATATAGAAGAGAGAAAATTATTTGTTTGTGATTTGTGTGCTAATAATTATTCTCATGAAAATGTGAATTGCATATTATGTAGTAGAAGAGGAGGTGCTATAAAATTAATAAAAATTAATGATTATATGAAAAATGATAAGAATAAAAATAAAAAAAGTGCATTTATGAAACAAGAAAAGGATTTTGTGTTTGCACATATGCAGTGTGCATTATATGCTCCTCAAATAATTATTCAAGACATTGGAGAGGAATATTATCAAATTTTTAATTATGACAATTTTTCTGTGAATGATTATGATGAAATGATTCATATGAAAGAAAAGCATTTTTTGTCAGATACTGAAGTTCGGGTTCTAAACAATGAATGCGAATATGATGAAAAACAATCCTTCCTTGGTGAGTTCTTTTATAGGAATTCAACGAGTACCACAATGAGGAAGTGCAATAGAAATATCCAGAAGGTTACATCCAAGAAGAGCAGTACTAGTTCAGTTAGTCATTTGCCGGTGTCTGGTTTGAAGCATGACAAGATGGAGAAACGTAGCGTTTCTATTGCCCCTATCGCTGCTTCTACCTGCACACAGCTAGGAAAAAAAGAGCTAGTCGAGAAAGCAGATAATAATGAACCAGTTGAAGGAGCTGAAGAAAAGAAAACAGAACAGGGTGAAAAGGAGAATGCTGAAAAAGTACAATTATTACAAATTGGTGAGAATTGTAGTGACATCCAAACGAAGGAGGAAAAATCATTGGAATGTCAAGAAGGAGATTGTAAAATACAAAAAAAATTAATTTTTGATGCAACGGAGAAAGAGAATAATGAAAAGAAAAATGTATTTGATTTTATTAAAAAAGAAAGCGAAGAGTGCCAACATGAGAATGACAATAATAGCAACGTGGATGAAGTTTTTGACCAAGACACAAATAAGAATTCGTTTCTATCCTTCCATGGAAAGAATGGATTGATGAACTTTAATTTAATAAACCAGAGAGGTGGTACAATGGAGGGCATGGAAATAGAGAGATGTGGTATGTTCCAAAATAGCAACAAAAGCAGTAACAACAATAATAGTAGTAGCAACAAAAGCAGTAACAACAATAATAGTAGTAGCAATAATAACAGTAACAACAAGAGCAAGGAAGGTACCTGTAACCCTAATTCGATTTTGAACAAAATAGACAAGTATGAAAAGAGATTCAGAAGAGGAAAAGAAATTTTATCGTACAGCAAATCTGGAAGTATGATAGGAGACAACAGCAAGAGATTAATTGTAACATCATCGACACATGTTGGATTTTCAAATAAGAAAACGACAAATCTTTATTATTACAATTTTAATAGAAAAAAGAATAATTATAAAATTATTATAAAAGATAAATTAAAAAAATATTTAAATAAGAATATCTGTTACATATGTAATTTGACATATGGATATACTCAAAAATGTATAGAAACAAATTGTAATCATTATTTTCATATATCATGTGCAAAAATACATAAACTCTTTTTCGAATTTGATTATACCTTTTTAAAAATCTATCCAAATGTAATGAATGTGGATATTTCAAAGTTGCCCAATTCTGCTCCTCCCAACACGGTCATATTTTGTGAATTCCACTCAAAAATAAGGAGAAGGGCAAAACCCTCAATAAAATTATTTTCTAAGTTAAGATCATTTTTAGAACTCGCTCGTATAATTGTAGGACAGATGAAGAAAAGGGAAGACATAAAGAATGCATGGATAAAAGAAAAGCACAAAAGAGATTTAACGTGCGGGGGAGAAGAGGGAGACGACGACGAAGAGGAGGAGGAGCAGCAGGAGCAGCAACACACGCAGGATGATGATGATGATGAGATGCAACATACACAGGATGATGATGAGGACGATGGAAATGGCAGTGACAGTGGAAATTTGGACCCCTCGGATTACTCCAACCATTGCGAAGGTTCTGATAGCTCCGATAATTCAGATAAATCTGATAAGTCAGACAAGTCCGACAAATCGAACGAATCAAACAAATCAGACGAATCAGACAAATCAAACAATTCCGGTCGTTCCAGCCACTGTTCCAACTCCATCCATTTTAATGATATGCACGTGTTAAGTGGACGAAACAAAGGTGTCAACAGAAATGGCAGATTGCTACACGAACGTATGGGTGATGCAGAAAAGACGGAGATTAATTCCACGCGAGTAAAGAGTACCTTATTTGATAATGATTCTAATGTTGCAGATAGAAGGAGTAGTGATCCTAATGATACGTTTGACAGAATGCACGACAGCATTGCATGTAGTAGTGACAATGGAAATAGTAGCATAATCATTAGCGATAATAAAGGTGATGATGATGGCAGAAGTAATATTCAAATGAACAATAGGCGTACGCAAATATTTGATGCAAATCCCATGCTGGACTCGTCACAAATGGAGAAAAATGAACTTGTTAGGAAGAAGAACTCACCACTAATCAAAGACAGTGATGGAAGAAAGAATCACGATTCTTTTGGCCCAATAAGGAAGTTTACGAGGACGGGCACGCAGGAAGGCGAGGCAGAAGTAGAAGCAGAAGTAGAAGCAGAAGTAGGAGCAGAAGCGGATGATGTATATGGTAGCGACTGTCATTACGTCCAGGAGAACGAAACACACTCAGATAGCCACGAGAAAGAAATGGAAAATGTCTAAATTAGAAAATGTCCCAGGGTGGAAGCATCTCTCGAGTGAATGGAAAAAGGAAAATAAAAAAAAAAAAAAAAAAAAGAGACAACCCTAGCCCAACCAAAAAAATAAATTATTATATATATATATATATATATATATATATATATATTTACACACACAATGTGTACGATGTGTACATATTTTTCTTTCTGAGTATACACCCTGCATACGTCCATGTTCGTTAGTGAGCCTGTGCATTATTCGCTTTCATGATTATTAAAAAAAACTACGAATTGAAGTATTCCGTTTTATTCATTTATTTCTGTATATTTGCACTGGAGAACGTACGAGAAGGTTTTTTTTGAAAGGGTAGTATATATACACAACCCGTAAAAGAAAAAAGGAATAAACATGGGCGAGCGCATAATAATACCCTCCATAGATCATGTGCAAGATACTGTTGTGCCCGTTGCTTTGTTTTATTTGCTGCAACCATTCTCATTCTTTCTTGTTACGTATTGATTTTATTTTTTAATAACAAAAAAAAGGAATAATTATGTTATGAAGTAATAAACAAACTTCAATTTTCCTTTAATAATAAAATTCACCAAAAAATAAAATAATAAAATTAAATACAGTGCTAAATGCAATGGTAAAATCACTTTTTTAGCTTGTTACACAGCACGCAAAAAAAAAAAAAAAAAAAAAAGAAAAGAAAATTAATAAGTTTTGAATGTTTAAAAAAAGGGAAAAAAAAAAAAAAAAAAAAGTGGAACAATAAATCAGAAGGATATATGGGGTTTACGTAATAGTTGGATGCAGAAGAATTGTCAAAATAGAGACAATTTTTTTAAAACAATAAGGATAACAAAACAAATAACACAAAAATGTGTATGCATGTCATGGGGGGGGGTAGGGAATAAGAAAAAAAATAATAATAAATAATAAATAATAAATAATAAAGTAATAAAATAATAATAAAGTAATAATAAAGAATAATAAAGAATAATAAAGTAAAAATTTTTGCACATCTTCAAATGCTGATAACTAAAAAAAAAAAAAAAAAAAAAAATTTTTTAAAAACAAATTAATAACGATAAAAGTAGGTGCATCATGCACACACGTTTCGGATTTATGTTCACATGTGTGTGTACATATAAAAGTATACACAACATAATTATACACGCATTATATGCGTCTTTGGGTAAGTGTGTCCTTTTGGCTATTCCACTTCAGTATCGTCATATGTGTCTGAAGCGTCTTCGTAGGCTTGTCTGGATGGCTGCCATATGTGGAGTGTATTGTCTTCACTTATGGAGGAAATCATCTGACAAAAATGGAATATGAAAAAAGTGTGGGGATCAAAAAGGTGATAGCTTCATTTCTTAAAAGGCAATATAATTATCACACTCCGTACACATCTAGCGAATGACAAATGTGGTTAAGTACACATCTAGCGAATGACAAATGTGGTTATGAACTGCTAAACCCAGTTGAACAAAAGCAAAAGCAGTTAAACCAATTTTAAACGCAACCCAGAATAGAAGGCAAAAAAAAACACAAAGGTCGTTTTCCTCTAACCATTGAGTATGACGAGTTAAGGGAGAAATCCAAAATGTTAGAAGCGTGTCCTCCATGAATAAAAATAAGTTCGGGGGGGCCATCCTGAGAGTCTTCGTAGGTCTGTTCTATGCCTATTTTGTTCGTATCAAAAAAATAAATATATTTGTCACTTGAGGAGGATGACAAAATACCAGGTTGATATTTATCCCATTGTAGTTTTATAATTGTTTCCTTATGCGATATAATTCTATGTAATGATTTATTAGTAAAACGTATATCCCATAAATCAATTTCTTTATTAGTCCCTCCCGTAGCAAATATATTTTTATTGTGTGGATTTACATCAATAGAATTTAAAGTACAGCTAGTAGCTTTTATAGAACTTACTGCACTTTTATTTCGAATATCATAGATATTTATGTGTCCATTATCTGATACGGTTAATACATTATTATCCTTCCAACAGCAGTCTTGTAATGGCACATTATCATTAAAAAATTTTATTAATGGATGTACTACACCACCACTACCACCTCCTCCTCCTTTGCTACTTGCACTGTTAGAATTCATAACATTTAAATCACCACCACTATTAATAGTAATAGAATTTACACCAGAATTATTCGCATTTCCTAACATTCCTACAGAACCTGAGAATCCTCCTACTCCACCAGCAGCACCAGCACCAGCACCAGTAGCGCTCGCAGCAGAAATGCTACAAGCATTAAAAGAACCACTAGCCGTTGGAGTATTATTAACATTCGTACTATTAGTTGTATATGTTGCACTTGAATTTATATCCCATATACATAAATAAGAATCATCAGCACATGATGATATTAAATTATTTTCAACACCCCATTGAATACCCCATCCTTGATATAAATGGCCTTTCAAAGTATAATCAAATGTAACCACGGAATTATTTTTGGGTTCACTCTCTTCATATTTATAATTATTTAAATTTAAAATGTTTATATTTCCATCAGATGAGAAACATGCTATTACATCTTTATTTTGGGGACTACAACTAATTTTATTTATTTCACATTCGTGATATATTTTATTTTTCATTTTGAAATTTTTACTTGTGTCATTGCAAATGTGTCGATAATCGCTTATCTTTTCATAGTACAAATTGGAATGCGACAATTGTTCACTAGGAAGACTCACCTAGGAGTGTATAAAAATATTTGTGAAAAAGGTGGTGTATGTAAGGGCGAACTGGGTATGAAATAAAATTGAGAAACGGGAGTTGAGAAAGTTATTAGAAATGCAGTTATGAATATGTCCAAAGAGGTAGGGGAGAATGGGGGATACGCGTGCATGCAAAATCGAGACTTGGTGTAAAATGGTATGGCAGATGAGAGAGACACAGATGTGTCTTCATCGCTTTTTCTCTATTTCTCTCTCCTTACCTCCAAAATCAATATGTAATTATTTTTCTCAGTGGTGTAGGATCCCAATATGAGGTCCTGACTGTAAACGCCTTCATCTCCTCTAATATTTACAACGTGTTGTAGAGAGAAAACAGAGAATACATTTGTAATTATCGCATGGAAATGGAGGGAATTATTCTCAAAAAATTAAGATGCAAAGCATAAAGAAGCAAGGAATAAATAAAGACTGCACGCAGTTTGCAATCGATGGGTAGATCAAACTAATGTATAGTGCTTCACATCTTATATCAAATCTACCCCGAGATGGAATATTTAACATACCTACAGATACTCGGCACCCATTCAATAAACAAGGAGGGCCACTCACAAGTATATATCATAATAACATTGTAAAGTAAAAGAGTGTTATACTGCCAATACTTATGATTATCCACAGTGGAATTTACGTAGTTTTGTTTTGAATCCTCATTTTGATTATTTATATCATTTAGAGTGTTCATAGTACTTCCCTGTTTTTTCATTTTATTTCTATTTTCTGCATGCATATAGGCACGTACTAAAGTAATGCACACTTTTTTGTGCAATTATGAATATTTGTCTGTGTATGTGTGCGATGCTAGGAGAGTCCCAATTGAGTGTTCATACAACACACTGTATGCATCGTAAGGTCACAAGGGAAAGAAAGATCCGTTCTGCATGGATTCAGCGCATGCTCCTATCCGATGTATTCTAGACGTGTTTGATCTCGTGTGTATGATCGCGTGTGCATGATCATGTGCGTATGATCATGTGTGTAATCGACTGTGTGCATACTTATGTAACACAGTGCAGTGCCCACATACACTAATACGGATGATTGAGGAATTATCTCACTTGGATAAAAGTGACTAAAGGTTCAATATTATATCACATATTAATCGCAAAGCTTGCAAAAAAATAAAAAGTAACTAAAAAACGGGAATAAATAAAAGGTTACGGGATGAAGGAAAGTAAAGAAAAAAAAAAAAAAAAAAATTAAGCAGAAGGATAAATTTTAAAATAAACTGTAAAATTGAAGAAAAGGGAACTTTCCAATTCCCCAGAACGTAGCTCCATTCGTTTCAATCGCTTTCATCACCTTTCCAAAAAAAAAAAAAAAAAAATGCTAACGTATATGTATATATATATATATATATATGTGTGTATAAATATATGTGTATAAATATATATGTGTATAAATATATATGTGTATAAATATATATGTGTATAAATATATATGTGTGCATTTAATGCTTCACACAAAGAAGCAAATATAATGAAAACAGATAAGGACTAAAAAATTGTAAATCCATATTTCTTATAACTTTCTTTGCACTCTCCATAAACCTGTTTTTTTTTTTTTTTTTTTTTTTCTATTCTTACTAGTTTGGGGTGAGAAGCACAAACAAAGGATTGTTAGGTCGTGTACAATGCTAGTGACAATGTTTTTACTTTCATACTCTTACACGCATAAAATGGTATATTTTTCATCCATCATTTTTATCTGTATGTTTTTTCCTGAATGTAATTTTTATTTTGGTAGATTGTGAAGAAGAAAAGAAAGAAAAAGGAAGGGGCGCGAAAATTTTGCTTAATGTGGTGGAAAAATGCTGGAAAAAAATACGCCGGAAAAGTAGAGTTCAAATATACGGTTGAAAAATACTGCTAAAAAATACTGCTGAAAAATACTGCTGAAAAATACTGCTGAAAAGTACTGCTGAAAAGTACTTCTGAAAAATACTGCTGAAAAATTCAGTTTTAAAACACATCACCCTCCCCTACCCCAGCACGTGTCAAATGAAATACAAAATAAAGTGTGAAATCCCACACAAATGCACGTGACGCAAATAAAGATTTACGAATTCTTGCATGCATTATGAAAATGGGGTGTGTGTGTTTGTATTTGGGTTTGTTTGCTAATGAGGAATATTTTTAAGAATCTCATTTTGTGGGTGGTGATAAGTTTGTGTTTGCACCGACTTGATCAGGTTGTATGCTTACACTGTGGTGAAATGATTACATGCGTTAATTTATATACCTAAAATAAATGATGTGACTATTGTATATAATCCTGTGTGAATGCCAATTTGTACTTATTCTAAAAAAAACAAAAAAAAAAAAAAAAAAAAAAAAAAAATCACCAAGAATATGCGAAAATGGAATGAACTTTATGTCAAAAAAAGAAAGGGTGCGTGTGTGTGTGTGTGGTGGTAGTGGTGGTGGAGTTTGGAGGTTGAGTTCAAGGGGAAAGATTGAGAGTTAAAACTTTTGCACAGAACACAACAGAAAATTCTCGTGAAACTGCTTCACGCACAATCTCTTGTGAATGTAAATTTCAAAAATCATAGTATATAAAGGCACTATGTATATTACAATTTGTTCCGTGCTTGGGGACAATTCGATGTAAAGCAGGTTAAAGCAACTCGATTTAATTTCTACGAATAAGAATAATTATATAACTGAATTTTTATAAGCTTATTAAATTCCAACTATTTTAAAATTTCCACATGAAACGCACCATTGCGACATCTTATTCTAACCTCACCCTTTTGCCTTATCCGTAATGTCATATGGGATGTTATTGCCATGTCAAAATGGAGGGGAAAAAAAAAAAAAAAAAAAAAAAATTAAAATGATCAACTCATGATATATTAACTTTCTACGAAATTATATTTATCGGAATAAATGATTAACCCAAATTTCTCTTTTGACTATAATATTTAAGATAAGGTTTCCTTATTCTAAAACACAAAAAAAAGAAAAAGACGTTTAAAAATTTTCTTACATTGGATCATGTAGAATGTGTATATGGTTGGATGGAAAGGTGAAAATGTTATGTTTTATTTTTAGGCAGGAGAAATATAGTGAAATTTTAAAAAAAAAAGGTGTAATAAATGTTTTGTGTGTATGTGGTGAAGTTATTTTATTTTTGTATGTTCGCTAGTCTGTTCTACCTATCTTGACTTTTATTTATTTTATTATTTTATTTTTTTTTTTTTTTTTTTGTTATATTCTATCGATTTGGTAACATTATTTCGTACACATATGTAAAATCATGAATTTTCATGATATTGTTTCAATATTCATCGTTCAAAACAGTTGTATGTCTTTCCCAAATGTGACAAACACATGGGTAGAACACGCACAGCCATTCAGGTATAACATACAAAGGGAGGGGAGACACATATAGAAATTCAAAACGTGAAAACAAAAAAAAAAAATAATATAAATAAATAAATGAAGTAAATAAAATGAATAAATAAAATGAATAAATAAAATGAATAAATAAAATGAATAAATAAAATGAATAAATAAAATGAATAAATAAAATAAGTATCCATCCGCATCGAAGTCGAACAAGCAAAAAGCACGAAATATAGGGATCACTACGCGTGTGCAGCACAAAGCCCTTTTTCTCCGAAAAATAAAATAAATAAGTTCTACTCCATCCTCAAAATGTATTTAAAAAAAAGTAAAATAAAACAAAACAATGAATAAAATAAAATTACAACATGCACGATGCAAATGAAATACTCATGGCATGATCAAATGTGAGGACGTGCACAATCAAGTGAGGGATTGTCTAGCAATGTGTGTCCTATATCGCCATTCCCTCACATACCATATTACCGTGTGCACATCTCGTTCAGATACCCGCAATGAGTGAAAAAAGTGCAAAACGGATTCCAAAAAGGGATCGCAAAACTGATTCCAAAAAGGGACTGCAAAACGGAGCACAGAAAAAATAATAGATGAGTGGATAGATGAGTGGATAGATGTGCGGATTGGTAAGTAGAAAAACAAATTAAAGATTCAAAAAAAGCACATTCATGTAGAAACCCCAAAAAAAAAAAGGGGGTTAGTGATTAATTAGGAAAAACTCCAAATAGACGAATGAAAGATGAAATACTAGCTTTGTATAGAACTCTTGCAGAAGAAGCTCTACGAAAATTTTCTTCTTCGTGAAAAAAAGGGAATGAATAGATGAGTGAACAACCAGAGGAGTATCATAATGCCTTAAATTTCTGCACAAATAGACGGAGAAGTGGAGAGAAAGAGAGAGGCATAAGGAATGGATATCACATGTCATGCAATGGCGTGGGGTGTGGAAAAAAAAAATAAACTCTGAGTATACGTGTGCAAGCCAAAGTCTGCATATTGAGAAGACATATATTATGCACATGTATGTTTTTTTTTTTTTTTTTTTTTTTTTTACAGGAATATATGCATAATGTACTTTTCTTCTGGGCATATTTCCATTTTCCTTATTCCGTTTCACTCACTTGTATGATCTGCACCACATGTACTACTATCCAGAAATATACAGTACAATCGAGAGAAGAGGATGAATGAAAACAAAAAGCTAGACATAATTCGGAACATGTTGCACACCCTTCTTGTGAACCCAGAGAAAGAAAAGAAAGATGTTGATGATAATCGGAAAGAAGACAAGGAGGAAACCAATTCAGTCAGATGTGATGAGGAAGTTGAGAAATTAAACGCTTGCCATGATTCGAAGGAGGAAAAGGATTGGGAAATTTTAAAGAAAAAATATATAAAAAAATCCAAAGATATAATTTTTTTTTACCGAAATTACATGAACAAGTCAGAACAAAAAGAGCTGGAAAAGTTCTCCAACTTGTATGATATTATTTTAAAGAATCCCTTTGAGTACTCAGAAAGGGACAGTATAGACACGTATATGTATTGCACTGTTTTTCCTATGCTAAAGAAAACATTTGATTCTTTCGTTTTGTATATTGATAAGTTAGTTAGCCATAAAAATGATAATTCATATAAAAATGTCATAAAAAAAATAGATCCAATTTTGTTATTCTCCCAATATATAATACGTTTATCCGATGAAGATTTTTCTCAAAGTAATGATAGCAGTATTACCATGTTTGATGAAAATATGAGTCATTACTCCTGCACAGATATAGAAGAAATTAATGGAAAAAAAATTCTCGAGTTGAATAAAATGATCAATGATGAATGCTGTGATGTCATTGAGACGCTAGTTACAAGTAGTGGAAATATGTGTGACATTCCAACAGCGAGGGAAAAAATGAATGGGGAAATGTCAGAAATAGAAAAAGAAATTAACAATTTTTATAACAAATATGATATAATAATGGAAGAAAACAGACAAAAAAAGAGACAAAAAAAAAATGAAATTTTAAAATCAATTTATAGTAAAAAAAATGTACTCTCAGAAGAAGAAATAGCACTTTATGATAAATACTATGAAGAAAATATAAATGTTAAAAGTAAAAAACTAAAGAATGGTAATCCCAATTCATCTCTCAGTATGAACCTTTGTGAAACAAATTCTTTCTGCAGCATTTCAGTACCTCCGAATGCGTTTAACATAACGTTCGATTTGAAGGAGCGGGGAACAAGTACCATGGGATGTGTGTTCATAAATAAGTGGAAAAATGGAATCATAATTGCTCCCCCCATTGGAGGAGAGAACAATATGAATAATCCCAACATCTGTGATAGAGAGAATACCGACGTGGGGTGTGAACACCTGGATGAGTTAATAAAAGAACTTGAGAGAAAAGAAAGCTCGTATTTTGAAAAGAGAATCCATTTTCTGCTACATAAGTGGGTTCGAGAAGAAGATGGAAGAAGACTTATAATAAACCAGAAATCGAAAATTGAATCATTATTTAATGATTTCAAAAAAAAAAACTATACCATAACAGACAAGGACATTATATCGTTAATATTTTTTATAGACAAGAATTTATATTTAAATTATTCTCTTGTGCACCAGTATAATTATAACAGTTTTTATTACATATTTCACATGCATTCATCTTTTTATTGCTCAGATACAAATAGTATCACATTTGAAGAGTTTTGGAATTTCCTCATTTCCAACTTACCATTAAATGGTCATTTGTACAAAGAGGACATTCAAATTGGCTTAAAAAAATTTTATAAGAAAAAACAAGTCGTTAAAAATTTTCAATTCACCATTACATTTGTCAAAAATTTTTTATTATTCCTTTTAATGGACATGTTCTTATATGTCTCTCATTTTGCTAAGAAGGAATTAAACACTCATCCTATATTCCCAATTCATCACAGTGTTTCCGAAGTTGAAATACCCTTTTCCACGAATTTCTATCTGTATATAGATTCGCTTTCTCGGTTCTACTCCTCCTCTGAGGCTACAACCACTTCGATTGAAAATTCTACATTGATTAGCAATCAAGTAAGCGAGCATGTTCCCACTGAGATGAACATAACCATAAAACATATTACTCCATTTGAACAAAAAAAAGGAGAAGAATTTTCGAAAAAAGAAAGTGAACAAATTTGTTCAAAAATGTATTCCCAGGAAGAGGAGAAAAAGAACGGAAAGAGAAACGTGCTTCTCTACCTGTTGATGCTCCTTTGGGGAATCAACATAAAGATGAATGATTTTCAAGACGAGCTTTTCATTTCTGATGAGTTATCCACAGATATGGAGACGGATGGGATTAATGAGATGGATAAGACTAATGAGAGGGATGCCAATCGAAGGGGAAGAAAACGGATTGGGGGAGCACGAACATGTGATGGTATGAAGCAACATGAGGTTTCAACATGCGATGGTATGAAGCAACATGAGGTTTCAACATGCGATGGTATGAAGCAACATGAGGTTTCGCATAAAAAGAAGAACCACAACATCGATATTGCAGATGTAAGGAACTCAAGGGAAATGGGAAACAAATTATTGCAAAAAGAAATCGACGAAGAATATTATGATATAAGAAAAAGGAAGACTGGTATAGGAACATGCCAAAGTGATGGAGGGTCAATAAAAAAAAGAGTTATAAAAAAAACATTTCAAGGGATGAGAAGTTTATCAACTAACGAAGGGAACACAAAGTACAGTTTAAAGAAAAAAAAAATAATGGAAAGCACAATAAAGAATAAGAAAAAAATAAATGTCGATGAATTAAAAAGAGAAAAAAAAAAAAAAAATGAAAAATATGAAGACGATTTTTATTTGTTAAGAAAAAGGTACAAAAAAAAAAATTACAAAACAACGATTTTAACATTAGTGCATTCTATTGTTAAAAATATCAAACCTAGAAAAAAAAATTATTATAATAAGATTCTTGAAATGATGAGCAATGGTACGAGGCAACAAGTATTTTTCACTTTATTTTCTTTCCTTCCTGGTAACAATAACCAATTTAACGAACAACAAGACAATGTGTTCACACAGCACCCCAGCGCTTCTTCCACCATGGGTTACATCCCTACCTGGACTGACGAGCAATACCTATTTGGTAAAACAGTCAGTGATGAGAAAATTACCAACAGATGGTTAAACAGTAGCAAGGGTGGGAATGACAACAGACGTTTATCGCATCCCTGTAATTATCATACGATGAAGGGAGTAGTAGGATATCCCCCATTATCCATTTTTACACAAACTGAAATTTTTCCCCAAGTAGAAAATTTCATTCAAACATACATTAAAAACAAAAAGAAAAAAAAATCATCTGAACATGATAGCAAAGCTAGTGATACGAAAAAGGACGAAATAAAATTAATTTCATCTTCAAAAAAAAGTAAACAAGTTACTAGTTCCATCCGCTTACTATGCAACTTCAAACTGTACAAAAAAAAATTTCTCAATAAATTTACAACGGAGCATATTTACATGCTAATCCTTTTTGTGTGTTATGTCAATACAATCATGGACTCTCTTTTTTTTTTCTAGCACCAATGTGATACCAAAAAAAAAAAAAAAAAAAGTGGAAAATACACTATACTGTGAGGGGGAGAAAAAGTGAATATGTCCCAAATTGTAGCTTCAAAAATCATTCAGCACATCTTTGCCATCATCCAACCATCCCTCATCAATAAAAAAAAAAAAAAAAAGAAAAAAAAGATATACTTAATGATGTTGCGCGAAAACATTTTTTGTTACTTAGTAATGTATTGTCTATTTATATCCCCTTCTCGTTTTATTGCATGTTAATTTTTCGGATTCCGTTATCGCTTTATTTTGTTTCATCGAAGAATTCACAAAAAAAAAATACGCTACATGGCATATTAAAAACTGTGTGTTTTCATATTTGTAAAATCATAAAAACGCAAAAAAAAAAAAAAAAAAAAAAAAAAAATTCCCAATTTTTTAAATATAAAAATATCCAAGCTTATGGAGTCACAAATTCGCAAAATCCTATGGTAAAAATATGCTTAACTTCCACGTGATGGATAATTCGGAATGTACGTAAAGGGAAGTATGCAAACGTGTATAGATATACACAAACATATATACATATGGCAGTTTAGATTTGTGTAATGTCTCAATCTGCTAGTTTTTTTTTTGCTCTGATTTGGTGCAGCATTGGTATATCTTACCTTTGAACTTGGTCAGGCGTAGGCGCAACTGACCTCTACACACGCACGTAAAAACACATATATATATATATATGTATATATATATACTGCTCATAAACTAAAATATGAACTTAATTCCACTATTTATGAACAGATTTTCCTTATACAAGTGAAAAAACAGGATAAAATATATGTAGCTAGTAACCCATTTAGACAAAAGAATATTCTTCTCATATTTTCTTATTATGAAAGGGATTTTATAATTTTTTATAGTAGAACAATGGTGTTTAATTAAATCTACAACATCGTTATAGTCTAGTATTTCCTTCTCGTCGCACTCTTCTTCAATCTAAAGTGAAAGGAGAGGTGTGTGTTGTGTGTTTGCGTGTGTGTATGTATGTGGTTTTAATGAACATGGAAATGTTTTAACTAAATAGGTTAATAGGTTCCACACATGTGGTAATGAAAGGTATGAACTAATGCAGTATGATATATGCACACTCCAAAATGTTGCAGCGAAAAGTATGAGCCAGCCATTCCGAATGAACTCGAAACCACGGAAGCAAAATACATATGTGGTTAAATGAATAAAACAAAATTAGAAATGTTGATAGAAAAAGGTCTGCTTCCATTTTGTGGATTAATTACCAAATTCGCCAAATCGTATATTATGCTGTTGATGAACTGCATTGGTAGCTTATTTTTCCAGTTGACTAACCAACTTTCCGTTGGTACCCAGTAATCTGTATGAACGGCAAGGAATAAAAAAAAAAATAAATAAATAAAATGAAGCAAAATAGGCAAATGTATAAAACGGGAAAGCAAAATAATAAATTCATAACTTGCCAAAAAGAGCACTTGACCTTGCACCACTTTTGGCTAGCTCAAAAAAAAAAAAAAAAAAAAAAAAAAAAACGATTGAACAAACAAACAAACAAACAAACAAACAAACAAACAAACAAACGAACGAACGAACGAACGAACGAACGAACGAACGAACGAACGAACGAACGAACGAACGAACGAACGAACGAACGAACTTACCGATAGGGGTGCTGGAGGAAAAGAGACAATTGCTTTTTAATACTTGATCCAAGTTATGAATGGAAAAAAAAACATCTTTATTCTTTATAATCATATAAATGAAATTGTGATTATCATTTAAGTTGTGCGATAAAATGTTGTTTATAAAATCCAGTATAAGAAATAGTGCGTAATAATGATTCTGGGAAGATAAAATCCATTCCTTCTTTAAAACTTTTTTTAAAATACTAATTATACATTCGCAAGAATAGGTGTTCATTGATTTTATATAAACACTCACATTTGTGAGAATGGTAATTGACATATCTATAATACGCTCAAATTTTAAAAAAAAAATGTTGTCATTTATTAGCATACATAAGGAGTACACTAGGAAATCCACATAAGAGTCAAATTGATACACATTTCTTAATTGAAAATTTACCTTTATTTTCTGATCATACTTTTGATTCAGATTTTTACAAATAGTAGAATTGGATGACACTTTAAGGATTATGAAAAGGCAAATGTAAATCAATCCGTCTATTTTGCGAATATTGAAATCGTCGCATTTTCTTGATTCATTGAAGTTTTCATTGTTGTAGATAAACTGATCATTGTTATCCTCGATGATAGTTGTGTTCATAGTTTTATTTTCCAATTTTGTACTTGCCATCCTTATATGCACTCTTGGTGTGGATATGCAATCTGCCTCCTTCTGATTCTTCCTCATGTTAGCCAATGCTTGCATTTCTCTTCTTCTCTGATGATTGAAACATATCAGTATGTACAGAATGTGAAAGAGGAATACGCTGCTACTATGATTTTTCATGTGCTTGATAAAAAGCCTGTTGTTATTCATCAAGTGCCATAGTAAACATAAGTAGTTATGGATAAATAAAACATTTTCGTTATAATTTTCATAATATAATTTGTAGCTTATCAATATGTTTAACGCTCCTTTGTATATATATTCAATATTGCTTGCATCCAATTTACGCAGCATTTCTATATATACATTATTGGTATGCAATTTTTTCCACTTTTGTTTTTTTAAAAAATCATAATAGTATTCCTCCTTCTTCTCCTTCTTCTCATTTGAATTCTTCTCCACTCCATTAATTTCTTTTAAGTAAAATTTTCGATTTCTCAAAACATGTTCTAAATGTGGAATTTTTTTTTTTCTTTTTTTTTTTTTTTGAATTTCACACGTGCCCATATCATTGTTCTGTTTTCTGTCTGTGCAGGTACTAGATGAGTTACATGTAGACTCATCAAGGGAATCATTAAAAATAATAAAATCAACAGGTGAATTTGCAAATTCTTCATAAATTCTTTGTTCATCTTTGTCATTCTGGTGGTGTTCTTCCTTTGTTCTATCCTCACAGTGGTAGTAGTTGTAGGCATCCCTACCACCACCGCCACTATCCCCAGAGTCACTATCACTACTGGCACTATCACCACTAGCATTATCACCACTAGCATTATCACCACTAGCACTATCACCACTAGCACTATCACTAATATCACTATCACCACAGGTCACTAACTCGTCACCCCAATTTATGGAATCCTTTCCGTTTTTGCTTAACGATTCATTATTGGATAAACAGGTACTTTCAAATGGTGCATCACTGACATGTTCCCTGAGCTCGTATCCCGTCCGCTTAACATCCTGACGTGAGATGCTGTAAAAGTATCGCACTGTGTCGTTCATATAATGAATCTTCTTATTATTTTCCAAAATAAAAGGATTAAAATCAATTAATATGTTCATAAGGTGAATACATATATTGTAAAATTCTAAATATGTGTTGTCATAAAAGAAAAAATTAAAGTAATTAAATTCGTTGTCATATATGACGTTTAGAAGGGAAAAAAAAAAGTTAGCTGTGTAGCACACTTCTCCACTTGTAAAAAGAAACAAAAAAAAATTTTTCTCTTTTAAATATTTCCTTTCATCAAGATATATGTACGAACTTAATAGAATTAATAGACATTTTAAAATGATAGTTCTGTTTTTTATTAGTTCTAGGTTTATGTCACTATCAAGTGATGGTATTTCAATGTCAGCACTAGTTAAGTTCTTCAAATTTGATGTAGCATTTTCATCCACTTCATAATGTTTTAAGCACCTTTGACCTTTCGAAAATCCGTAGTCTGGGTTCATTTCTTCAAGAGAAGAATTACCGTTCCTTTTTCCATTCTCACATGTGCATTCTTGGAACACTTTGGAATTCTTTATATCAAGATCATCACCACTACAAATGACTCGCTTGTTTCCATTGGATGGGGAATTTCCTTGTTTCTTCATACACTGGTTATGTGCATTATTTTGAATGTTCTGTGTATTATTCCTACTTTTTACACATTGGTTCTGAGAATGAATTGAAAATTTGTGTATCCATAATTTGCACACATCAATTGCGTCTATCGAAATGGTGTTTTCATTCCATTTTGATAGAGCATTCTTCCCATTGCAACTTCTTCTTTTTTTAATGCATATATCTTCAGTGAACAAGGTGATTAAGAAGAAATTGTACATGTGTAGAATTATAATATTGTTAGTGTATATATAATTCTGCTCAATTGGTCTTTTTACATTATTTTCTTTCCACAATAAATTAAAAACCTCTTTTTTCTGATAGTTATACTGTATTACTGGAAGTACCATAAGCCATATTTTTACGCATGCCTTGCACTCATCTATGTATCCACAGGAATCTGGAGGTAATAAAAAAAAAAAAAAAAAGGAAGAACTAATTTGAGTGATAATATAATATGTATACGCATATGCACAATGTGTCATTTTTTGGTGGTGCTGATGGTGGTGCTTGTATTGGTGGGGTAAAATGCCTCACAACTCAGGGGTTGCCTAATTTGCAAATCTCTCGAACTGTTCTATCTCATAATGTTGAGGCGAATGATCTGTCGCGCAGCGTGACCTATATGCAGGTGTCGATAAATAAATGTCTTACCCTTGAGCACCAACTTCCTCAGCGTGCTCATTAAGAATTTAAATAGCGTATATATGCTTCGTTCATCATCTACAATTTTTTTAACTACGAAAAAATCTTTATCATTGCACAAATTGTTACCCAGAGATGATAATTCGGTGCACAAGTCTGATTCTTTAAAGTTTTTGTCATTCAATTTTTCTAAAACGGAATTAATTCTTTTGCTGTTTTTATGTCCCATGGATGCAGGTTGTCACGTTTTATTCTTTAAAGGATTTATGTAGCTAGAAAAAAAAAAAAAAAAAATCACCCAAGAATATAAGCCAAGCGAATTTGTTGTATCGTTGCAGAATAGGTATTTCGATGGGGGTGGCTAAAGGTGTGAATAACCACGTCACAAAATATATACGCACGCGTTTGAAGGGCGTGAAATGTCATATCATTCTGCGTTATAATACATATATATATATATATATATGTGCATTGTGCTATGTTCGATTGGAAAATGAATGGAAAAAATTCACAAGGCCACTAAGTGATGGATTAACGGTGGTAAGAAAATTACTCGGGGCAACTCACTTTGATATGCAATACACATGTTTGTGTATACATTTTCGACATGGATGTGAAAATGTTATATATCTGCCTTTGTGCTCTTCTAGAAGCTCCGGGGTGAAGAAGTGCCGTGTGGGGGAATACGTTTTGGTCTCAAAAAAAAAAAAAAAAATAAATGTAAAAAAAAAAAAAAAAAAAAAATAAAATAAAATAAAATAAAATAAAATAAAATAAAATAAAATAGTAATAAGAAGAAAAAATATAAGAGTGGGAAAAAAATAAAAAACTCAAGTCCTTAAATCGCGAAATCGGCAATCCCTTAAAAAAAAAAAAGAAAAGAAGAAACAATCAACCAAACAACGATAAATTTAGGAAAAAAACAATTTCACCTGAACTGTTAAGAAACTTTTTTTTTTTTTTTTTTTTTTTTTTTATATTTTATACTAATATTTTTCCCCCGCCTTGCTTAGCCGCAGGCTTTTTATCTACAAATAAAAGAGAATAATTTTTTTTACGAAAATATGTACATGCTAAGATACTACTTGGATAGTAATGGGAAGAGGGTATATACGATTAAGGTAAGGTGATGAAAAGAATGGACCTAATTGCGTTTGTTTTTGGAGTGCATTGGTTTTTGTTTCGCTTATTTTATTTTTTTTTTTTTTTGTTTTATTTTTTCTTATTTAATATATATACACTTTTTTTTTTTTTATTCTTCCCCCCAGGCCGTGGTTGATGGAAAGGTGACTTTTTCGGCTCACCCCTGCCGATTTTCACCGGATGACAAATTTTCTTCGCAAAGAATAACTCTGAAGAAAAGACTAAATTTGTTATAAATTTAAATGAGGAAAGAAATGTGTGCACGGAGTATAGATATGTAATCAGAACCGTGTGTGTCGTCCAAATTGAATTTTCCCCGAATCAGGTTCCATTGCACCAGTTGCTCACATGTAGTATGCCACATGGCCTTAACAAATTAGAAATTAGAAGGGTCAATGAAAAAGGCTGTTGTATATATATATATATATATATATATATATATATGTTTGTATATATGTATTTGTGTTTACGTTTGTGGGGATGGGGGAATGTAGTCCATCAAATAAATAAGAACACGAAAACATATGCAAAAATATACACACATATACAACTCATTAACTAACATACCCACCCTGTGAACTGCATTCATTTTATGTTCGTCCGGTTTTTGCGTTAGAACAAAAATATCACGTGAAGAGGGAACATTCAAAGAAATGAAGAAATGTGTCAAGGTGGACAAAATTGAATGAAGTAAAATAAAGTGAAGTAAAATAAAGTGAAGTAAAATGAAGTGAAGTTAAATGAAGTGAAGTAAAATGAAGTGAAGTTAAATGAAGTGAAGTAAAATGAAGTGAAGTTAAATGAAGTGAAGTAAAATGAAATGAAGCAAAATGAAGTGAATTTTTTATGGTCCTATTTTTAGTATTTTTTTTTTTTCCTGTTTATTTTTGTGCACCTGAGAGAGAAACTTAAAAAATTTATTCTGTCTTTTATACCCCAATACTGTTTGATTGTCAAACAAGAAATGGGCTATCCACTCCCTTTGGCATATACAGATATTACTTGGATCAGAATAGCAATACATTCTCGCCGATATCACAGAACCATTTTAAGCTTGTGGCTTAGTTGACAAGTGGTATTTTTGTTTTTGCAGTATTATATTCATGCAATAGCTCGTAGTCTGTTTTTTTCACAACAATGTCACTACCTCTTTTTTCCTACACCGTTTTTACCATAAGGGAGATTTATATATTTTTAATTTTACTTTTTGCAATTTGTAAAGACAGAAGAGTTGAACTCGCTTAATCAAATTCAATTCAATTGAAGTTTTTTTTTTTTTTTTTTTTTTTTTTTTTAAAATAGTTGTTGTAAATGCTTTTTTTTTGTTTTAGAAAAAATTAAAAAAAAAAAAAAAAAAAAAATACACATAATGTTAACCAATCTGCAAAATGTATATCAGCATGCGGAAATACAAAAGGGAAAAAAAAAAAAAAAAAAAAAAAATTCCCAAATGATAATCCATCAAGTGCATAAATGAAAAGATACTAATGACATGGAACTGCACACTTTGCAGAATTTTTTTTTTTAAGGGAAAAACATTTACAACAATTGTTTTGTCTAAACAGGAAAATTTAAAAATGTGTTTCCGCTCTTTTTTTCCTCACGCGCCTATTCTCTTTTTTTTTTTTTTTTTTTTTTTTATTTATTTATATATTTATTTTTTTTATTTTATTTTTTTTTTTTTTTTTTCCCTCTCTTTCCGATTTGCTCATTTATCAAGAAAGAAAAAAAAGCCAGTTTAGACATATATATATATATATATATATATATACGTTTTACACTGATTAGAGGTGGTACTAATTATGAGATAGGATGAAAATGCTGAAAATCTTTTGTGTATTCTCCCCCTTTCGTGTTTGTATATTCAAATGTACATGTCTGTATGCTCACCTTTATGCATCCATTTTAGCTTAAACATAAGGAATACATTTTAGCACTAGTAGTGCACGACTTATTCATATTTCTCTTTTTTCGACACCCACCCATCTACCCCTCCCCCCCCTTTTTTTTTTTCCAAACACACACACGGAGAGACAAACAGATACACACACATTTTGTCCCTTCTTGGATACGTTTGTGCACTTCTTTTTCGGAATTTTTGTTTGTTGCACATTGTTGAGTAGGTATGATTCATTAGCACTTGTCCAAATGTTGGAAAGCAGCGAACATTACTGTGTGTCTGAAGGAAATGACACATGCAGCTTAGAGAACGAGAGGATAATGAGAGGGGATTTGAATTTCTTTGGAGAATCGAATGTGTTAGATGAAGAAATGGAGAATAAATTGGAATCTAAAAACTTTTATAAAGAATTAAGATATGATTTGGTGCGAATTGAAAGGAATATAAATATAGAGGTAAAAAAAAGGATTGAAGCTAATAGAAATATTCAACAGTTAATTGAACACACAGCAAATGATATGATCAACAATGTTCTTAATAAAATAACAACAAGAATAGAAAATATATCTTTTGATTTAGATAAAATCATAAAAAAATGTGATGAATTAGAACAAATGATAGGTCAGATTAGAGTAAATTTACCTACAAAAATACAAACAGAAATGATAAGCTTAAAACGAGAAGTTTCGGACTTTTTTATAATTCTCAGTAAATATGCAAATAACAAAAAGAAAAGAAATAATATACTCTTTGCCAAGATAGAAAATATGAATGCATACATTGGAACGAAAATTCAAAGTGAAGTTTCTTTCAAAGATCAAGATTTCATTTTTTTCAAAACAGAAAGTGACAAAATAATTCTTTACGATTCTGATAATGAAAATAGTTTTAAAAATGTCTTTCTTCATCAAGTTCAAGAAATTAAAGATGCACTGGACTTAACTATAAAGGCTCGCGAGCAATCGGACGACGATATCATCCAGGTTTTTTTTTTTTTTTTTTTTTTTTTTTTTCAAAAACATTATTCTCAAAATGAAATTAAGATAGACTATGAAATATTTACAACACCGTCTTTTTTTTTTTTTTTTTTTTTTTTTTTTTTTTCCCCTCTCTCTTTTTTGCTCAAAATCGTCCAATCATTCCATATATGTTTATTTTTCATCTTCATTTCCTCTTCTCCTCTTTTCATGCATATATCTACATTACACATACAACATCCAAACATTGTATCACCATTTTTCCTTCGTAGGCCATGAACAAGTACACAAGCATCTTGCAGAAAGCACTACATTCCGTTATCACAAGTAATCACTAAAGCAGGAGATGTTAAAAAAAATGTGTGCACGGGTCCTTCCACCTCCCCTGTCAGAGGTTTAAAAGGTCAGTCCAAACGAGTGCAAAAAAATATATCACTCTCTTTCCATATATATATACATATATATATATATATATTATATACACATATGTATACGCATGTATACAACTGTTTATCTCTGTTGCCAAGGGCACGATAACTTCCCAAGATTAAAATAACCGCTCAATATGGTTAAATTTATATACGTGTCTCCCATTAATTACCCCATGTTTGTCCTTCACAATCCACGCTTTTTCACATGAAAGGCATATGAATATAAACGTGCATTTACACAGCTATGTGTGTGTACATGTAAAAACAATGACTAGAGGAGCATATGGGAGTGGAATGTTTTTTTTTCCCTTCTTCGGGGGTATGCACATATTAAAATTATGTTGTATAAATGTTGCGTTACGTGATATATAAAATGAGGTTTAAAATGTTTTGTCTCGTGTGCACCTCGATTATTTTTATTTTATTTTTTTTTTTTTTTTGATATATTACTTCTCAGTTTTGTAACAAAATAAACAAACATGTGGGCTAGGTCAAACACGTTGAGTTGAGTATGTTTTTTGCTCTTATATATAGTAATTTTTTTTTCTTTTTTTTTTTTTTTTTGCTGTTTTTTTTTTTTTTTTTTTTTTTTTTTTTGTTTTTTTTTTTTTTTTTTTTTTTTTTTTTTTTTTTTTTTTTTTTTTTTTTTTTTTTTTTTTTTTTTTTTTTTTTTTTTTTTTTTTTTTTTTTTTTTTTTTTTTTTTTTTTTTTTTTTTTTTTTTTTTTTTTTTTTTTTTTTTTTTTTGTTGCTGATTATTTTTTTTTTTCTTTTTTTTTTGTTGCTGATTTTTTTTGTTTTCTTTTTCTTTTGGGTATGTTATTTCTCATACCAGCACGCACACCAGTTTGTGTTTAATTTTTTTTTTTTTTTTATTTATTTTTACGCTCTGATTTGTTTGTAACACTGATTAACTTTTAACTGAACCTGAAATGTATAACACCTTTATGCAAAAGGTCAAAACGAAATAATACTTGAATCACCTGCATCNNTTAAAAAAAAGATGAAAATGTTATATTTTAAAATTTTTTTTTTTTTTTTTTTTTTTACCAGTTAATTAGTTTATTTTTTTGTTGTATATATTTATATAGTTTTGTCGAATAAGGGTATTATCCAAATGTTTACTTTGAAAAAGATGGTTTAGCATGTAAGAAGAATTTTAGAAGAAATATGTAAGGTGATTTTTTTTTTTTTTTTTTTTTTTTTTTTTTTTTTTTTTTTTTTTTTTTTTTTTTTTTTTTTTTTTTTTTTTTTTTTTTTTTTTTTTTTTTTTTTTTTTTTTTTTTTTTTTTTTTTTTTTTTTTGTTGATTATTTTTTTTTTTCTTTTTTTTTTGTTGCTGATTATTTTTTTTTTTCTTTTTTTTTTGTTGCTGATTTTTTTTGTTTTTTTTTTCTTTTGGGTATGTTTTTTCTCATACCAGCACGCACACCAGTTTGTGTTTAATTTTTTTTTTTTTTTTTTTTATTTTTACGCTCTGATTTTTTTTTAACACTGTTTAATTTTTAACTGAACCTTAAATGGAAAACACCTTTATGCAAAAGGTCAAAACTTGCGTTACGTGATATATAAAAATGAGGTTTAAAATGTTTTGTCTCGTGTGCACCTCGATTATTTTTATTTTATTTTTTTTTTTTTTTTGATATATTACTTCTCAGTTTTGTAACAAAATAAACAAACATGTGGGCTAGGTCAAACACGTTGAGTTGAGTATGTTTTTTGCTCTTATATATAGTAATTTTTTTTTCTTTTTTTTTTTTTTTTGCTGATTATTTTTTTTTTTCTTTTTTTTTTGTTGCTGATTATTTTTTTTTTTTTTTTTTTTTTTTTGTTGTTGTTTTTTTTTTTTTTTTTTTTTTTTTTGTTGCTGATTTTTTTTGTTTTCTTTTTCTTTTGGGTATGTTATTTCTCATACCAGCACGCACACCAGTTTGTGTTTAATTTTTTTTTTTTTTTTATTTATTTTTACGCTCTGATTTGTTTGTAACACTGATTAACTTTTAACTGAACCTGAAATGTATAACACCTTTATGCAAAAGGTCAAAACGAAATAATACTTGAATCACCTGCATCATGAGTGTTCCCCGTGAGGTCAAGTATTTACCTTGGCTCATTTTCGAAACTCATTGTTTTCCACTTCCCTAAAGTAAAGGGTGTGGAGGTGTCGGGATAACCTGAAAAGAGAGATTGATATACACGGAAAAAATATACGCGAAGGGGGCTACATTTGTATATATTATGAATGCATGTATTATGCATGTATATTTGTATGTACATATATATATATATATATATATATATATATATATATATCAAGACTGCATCATCTTTTGCAAAACTCTCCACAGAAGGGAAAAAATGCTTAGCTACCACAACCTCTCGGCTTCGCATCCCTGCTTAACTATTTTTTTTTTAATTTTTTAAGAGGGATATTCCTTTTTTTTTTCTTTCTTCTTTTCCACATTTTATTCTATTTATTCTTCATTTCTTCCATTGTGGGAAAAAAAAAAAAAAAAAAAAAAAAAAAAAATATGAGCATTTTTTTTGGTGGGACAGGTCACCTCAGGAGAAGTAAGAAAAACGGGGCACCTTTCTTCATAAAGCCAGAGGTTTAATTTTTATTTCAGGTGAACTTGAGGGACCTTTGCGTATGTACTTGTGTATATATATATGCATACACGTGAATGTATGTACATTCCTGCATTGTACATATTGCTTACGCATAATATGTATGTAATTTTTCTGCTGACAATCTCCCATTACTCCCTTAACCCTTTTTTTTCAAAAGAAGAGAGGATAAGTAAATAAATTGAAGAAGCAAGTCCTCTCCTCTGTCGCTGATTTGTTTTTGTACTCAGGAATCACGAATCGCATGTACAGAGGGGGAAAGACTGGAAAACGGATAGATGAATATATATATGTGTACATATATGTGCACATATATATGCACATATCGAAAAAGAAATTGTGCTACAACCGTTACGCCTCCCCTGACCCGGTGAAATGTCTATATGCTCAGGGTGTGGAACCGAGACAGATGCCACCATTTGCTGCCCCATCTGCTTACAAAACAACAAGAAAATATTTTACTGCACCCAAGAATGCTTTGAAAAAAATTACAGAGAACACAAAAAAATTCATTACTTTATAAAAATGACAAGCAGTGAACAAATGCAGAATAGGATGCTTGAACAGGAGGAAAGGAGTAAAAAAGGAAATTTACCTGTGATAATATTAGCAGATGAAAATGGAGGTGTGAATGTTGGAGAAATAGTAGAGAGACCTACATTCTCAAGTGATGACATATCACTGAATAATGGGGGGAATACAAATGGAAATGCAGGTTATGATAATTATAATTATGAAATTAGTGACACCCAGATGGATAGCAAGGAATACAAGAAAAATGGAAAAAATAGTAAATTTGAGAATTTTTACAGAAAAAAAAATAACAATAAATATAAAAGCATTAGCAAGAATGAACATTTATTTGATGAAAAGAGTGAACAAAATGAAAATAATAATGAATCGTATAAGGGAAATTATAAAAGGAGCAAAATATCTACATATATGAACAAGTTGTCTGGATATTTATTTTGGAATAAGTACCATATGATTTTGCCTTATTATAACGATATATCAGTTAATCTAGATAAGATTAATTCGAAAAATATAAAAGGGAAACATAAACTTAGTGATAAAAAAATATTAGAAATAAAAAAGCAATTAAAAATGAAAAAATTTGTTCAACTCACCATTTTGTTGGTAGTCATTTCAGTTATTGTCATTTTGGCTACCTGCATATTTTCTTACATATTAGAAACATCACAAAAAAATATCCAAATAAATTCAGAAAATTTATTAAATAAACATAATACTGCTAAAAATTTAGATATGTTAGAAATGAAATCCTACATAAATGTGATAGAAGATTTACGAAAAGAAATATATGAAATGAAGGAAGTGTTATATATGCATAATGTATTTTTAAACAAAAATTTTAACCTGAACACTTCTTACACCCTTTTTAACAATTTTAGTAAAAAGAAACCAAGCGCTTCTACAGCACATGGGAAAAAGACTGCTGACAAATTGGGAAGTCTAACATCTCATCTGTTTTATGATAACCAACCCTCCTCCTCGGATGGCGTTTATAATAATGGAAATGTTGAAGAAGACAGGAAAAATGATTCATTAGATGTTAATTCCATTTTGCTTACACAACATCGTTATGACATCAATGATATTCATGAAATAAATAATACTATTGAAGGGGGAATTACTAACGAGCAAGGAAATAAAAAAACATATGAACTGTTTAGCAAAGATGAGGAACAGACACACCAACCTCAAATGAGAGACGTAACTGAAACGTTTAGATCTAACGAGGTGGAATATACAGAGAATAATTTAAAGGAAAGTGTCATTCATACAAATGGTGAAATGGAAATTGGACAATCGAAGGAACATACAGATGATAGACGACACATGATAGGAAACGAAAAGTATTTTCATATCGAAAAAGCAAATGAGAAAAGTGAAGATTCATTCGCAGATGAAAATGAAATTGTTCAGGAAAATGTTAAAAATTTTATAAAAAATCACAACATACCTAACAATTTTGAGCAAGCAACAATAAGTAATGTAATTGTGAATGAAGAAAAATTCATAAATTCCAAAAATATGATATCAGAAAATAAAGACACAACAACAAGAGATGAAAACATGGACGTAAAAAAGAAACTCAATGAAAATGTTATAAATAGTCATGAGACCCAGCTGAAACATAAAAAATACAATTCCAAGGTGGAGGACGATCTAGGTGGAGATAGTACAGAAAGGAAGTTCATCGGTAGTAAACTCAACAAAAAGAAGCAAAACACGATTTGAGAAAATTAAGTACATATGTAAATTCGAGTGAATGTAAAAAGCACAAATTAGTGTTCATAAAACTGGGAGAAATAAAAAAAAAAAAAAAAAAATACACATATTACATAATAGTAAAAGTAAATAGTAGTAGCAATACAGAGGAACGTTTCTGCCTGAATAAGTCATGCGAATTACAATAGCGTTTTAGCTAGCTGAGGAAGAAGCCTACAACATGCGGGGTGCATCCCGTTCTACAAACTTTTTCGCACACACGTCACAGGTGTATGTATATGTGTATATATTCACCTTTTGTTATGGACCACATGGCGTAGCGAAGAGGAAGAGGTTGGCAAGTTTCGAGAACAAGGGAAGAAAAAAAATAAATAAGTGCACATATATATACACATTGATATGCACACCGATATGCACATGGGGCGTACACATAACACTGGTATAAATGAACACGGCAGACGTAATGTAGAGCTTCATCTGTAGAAGAAAAGTTCGCCATCGTTTGTGCAAAAGGATGCAATTCGAATGGTACTGTTTCGTTCTTCTGTGTGTCTGTGCATATGTATGGAGATATAGAATGTGTGAAAATAAACGCAGGATTTTGTTATATGTTTAAAATATTTTTCTTTTTTGACACATACGTCTGTATAGTAATTCTCCCCTTGTCTTATTTCAACCCCATAACCGATATTTTGTACTTTTGGAATAAGAAGAGTAATTGAGTGTATTATTTTCAGCATTCTTTCTATTTTTTTCGTAGTGGTCCTGGTTAGATCATTTTTTTTTTTTTTTTTCATTTTATCGCCAGTTTGCAGTTCGTTTTGTATTTTTTTTTTTTTTTTTTTTTTTTTTTTTTTTTCTTTTTTTTTTTTTTTTTTTTTTTTTCTTTTTTTTTTTTTTTTTTTTTTTTTTTTTTTTTTTTTTTTTTTTTTTTTTTTTTTTTTTTTTTTTTTTTTTTTTTTTTTTTTTTTTTTTTTTTTTTTTTTTTTTTTTTTTTCATCCATTTTTGAGCTGTTCATATTATTTCCCTTTTTTTATTTTTTCATTTTTTCCGCAACCTTATTCGCACAAAAAAAAAAAAAAAAAAAAAATGTCTCCCTCTCCCCCATTTTATCCCTTTTAACATTAAAAGGTAGTAATATATTTTAAAGCTTAGCAAATATTTGCATAGTCTCGATTGTTGTAATGTGATATGTTAACGTATGCTTATTTAAAAAACAATAAAACTTTCAGAAAAGTGTGCAAAAATAATATTAAGTAATGAAATTCCCCTTTTTCTATTTTAGATCAGCATATTACAATTTTGCTTCTCTTCATTGTGCTTGCGTACGTCCGTATTTCCTTACTTTGTTACACGTCCTCACGTTTTTGCACGCTGCCTTATCTCAACCTTTTTTTTTTTTTTTTGCGAATAGTTATTTAAGACAAGACCAGAGAAACAGTCATGGTGTATTCACCCCTTAAACAAGCTATTTATGTTTCATGTAGTGAACCATCGAAAGAAAAAACTACAATTGTATAATAAGCTTGCTCCTGAGTATGTAGTAATGTAAGTCTGATATGTGACACTTCAAAGGGGTAGATGTTCCCTAGGGTGTATGTGTTGCAAACACGTGAGTTATGCTCATGTAGGGAGGATACTCATCTGTGGACATTCATGTAGGGAGACATTCATTTGAGGTTTGTTCAATAGGAAATTTGAATACTCGTCCATGCATATATATGCAGATACATGTGTCACCATATATGAATTCCCTTACATAGCGCTAAAGATCTGTGCAGGTTCCATATCAAAATTTTTATTCTCAATGTGCCATAATTTGGATCTTCTGTACTTAGTAGTCAAAAGAGTGCTCTTATGAGTGTTTTTTTTTTTTTTTTTTTTTTTTTTCTGCTCAATACAAGGAACGAAATTGTATTGAGGTGTTATCCATGCGATGCCAAGTTTAAAAGAAAAAGTAAAAAATAAATAAATAACAAAACTGTGAAATGTGAAGTATGAAGTGTGAAGTGTGAAGTGTGAAGTGTGAAGTGTGAAGTGTGAAGTGTGAAGTGTGAAGTGTGAAGTGTGAAGTGTGAAGTGTGAAGTGTGAAGTGTGAAGCGTGAAGTGTTAATTGTGAAATGTGAAGTGTGGAGTGTGAAGCTTGAAGTGTGGAGTGTTAATTGTGAAGTGTGAAGTATGAAATCTGATGTGTAAAACATTAAATACATTTGAGAAAAAAAAAAAAAAATTGAATAAAAAAAAATTCAGTAAAAATAAAAAGTCAAAAAGTTGAAAAACCCAAAAGCTGAAGAAAAAAAAAAAAAAAAAAAAAAAAAAAAAACCAAAGTGTGAGGAAGGTCAACGAAGCAAAAAAAAATGCACTGTCGAATCCTTAATTTTCTTATTTATAAAGCATTTTTTAGTAAAAGTTTCCATGCATCAAATGAATTAACATCAGAATCAAAAGTGAGAAATTTGTTATTTTGCAGGCCACTATATAAGGTGAGGAAACTGCTCTCTCTAAAGCATACCAAAAATAAATTTCCAAAATTCACAAATAGAAAATTTGTGAAAAATACGAGAATGAGCAGTATGTACACCCTAGAAGAGAATAATCACAAGAGCTTAATTGACAGTCTTAAGAATAGGGGAATAATTGACGATGAAGAAGTATACGAGACGATGCTACAGGTATGTGCGGATTGTTTTTCCACTGTTGAGACAGTTGAAGAGATCAAATGGTGTGTGGTGAGAGGGAAAATTAAAATGTAGCAAAAAAAAAAAAAAAAAAAAAAAAAAAGGAAAAGCAACTTAAAAAAGGAAAAACAGCTTAAAAAAGGAAAAGCAACTTAAAAACGAATAATATTTCCGCATGAGAAACATCTCAACATTCTTAACTTTTAAACCTTAGAGTGTGTAAGGGTCCACATCTCTACTGGAGCACAAAGCAGTATGTTTTGCACCCATTGCTTGCCAGAGTTGCTTGGTCCTAGCCGACACAACATCTGCATGTATATATATACATGCACATACGGATGAGTAGAAACCCCTTTCCTTCATGGACACACACACACACACACACAATCTACATGTCCAAAATCCACATGCTCAAAATCCAGACACGCGTTACACATGTTTACCTTTTCAGGTGGATAGGGGGAAATACATAAAGGAAAAACCCTATGTGGACACTCCTGTCTATATTAGTCATGGTGTTACAATATCATCACCACACATGCACGCTCTTTCCTTGAAGCGATTAATGAATGTGTTGAAGCCGGGTTCTAGGGCCATTGATGTAGGTAAGTTTTTGCAAGCATAAAAGGAGAAAGAGTGAAAAAAAAAAAAAAAAAAAAAAAAAAAAAAAAATGAGAGATGTATGACTAAACTAAACGCATTACGTCTTTATTCTATTGCTTTCATAAGTGAATTGAATGGAAGAGTGTATTCTGTTGGCACGTTTATGTCAATGTATCTATTTTTCATAAGAGAGATTTCATTTGCATCCCATCGCGCTTTCAATTATGTGTTCGACATTTTTATTTTTTGTCTTGCGTGTTTTTTTCTTACTTGTTTTTTCTTGCGTGTTTTTTTCTTACTTGTTTTGTCTGGCGTGTTTTTGTCTTGCTTGTTTTATCTTGCTTATTTTATCTTGCTTGTTTTGTCTTGCTTGTTTTGTCTTGCTTGTTTTGTCTTGCTTGCTCTGTCTTGCTTGCTCTGTTTTTCTTGCTCTGTTTTGCATCTGGTCGAATCCCTTCTCCCATACGAACCCTGAATGGAAACAGGTTCAGGTTCTGGCTACCTAACTGTGTGTATGGCCATGAGGACAAAGGTTCTTGAAAACAAGGATTCCTTTGTGATAGGTCTGGAGAGAGTAAAAGATGTTGCAAACTATTCGATTGAAAACATAAAACGAGATAAACCTGAGTTATTGCATTTGGAAAATTTTAAGATAATTCATAAAAATATATATCAAGTGAATGAAGAAGAAAAAGAAAAGTTAGGATTGTTTGATGCAATTCATGTCGGTGCATCAGCAAGTGAACTACCAGAAATTTTAATAGATTTATTGGCAGAGAATGGAAAGTTGATTATACCACTGGATGAGGGATATACACAAGTATTATATGAAATTACAAAGAAAAATGGTAAAATAATAAAGGATAGACTCTTTGATGTTTGTTTTGTAACCTTAAAGAAAAATTAAGGGCTATATATGGTTTTTTTTTTTTTTTTTTTTTTTTTTTTTTTTGTATGTCATCTACATGGGTTCACACGTAGTAGCATACATGGTGTTACATTTTGATATCATGTAGTTTTAGTAAATTTAGAAAAAGGGAGTAACAACGTGATGAACCTTCTCTCCCTTTTTCCCCACTCCCCTTTTTTTGTATCCCCTTTTATGGGTCTATTTTATTATCCTTCCCTTTTCTTTACCATCGTCCGATTGATGCATATCAAATTTGCAGTAATATATATTACTGTCCATGTATATTTGTTTTATTTCCCTTGTTGTACGTCAAGTGGAAATGGCTACTACATTGGTTTCTTCTCGAGTTTGTAATTTCATAGTGAAGTAGATGTCAACCTGTTGCAGAGGAGGAGCTAATTGAACCTACTCCATGTCAGTATAATTCATAAGTTCTTCATTATTACTCGTATTATTGGCATTACTATGATTTCCCCATCCGCACGGTTGTAAATCATCAAGATCCATTAGAAGCCACTTTGGGTGGAGTGAGAAGAACGAATAGGTATACACCCTACTTTTAACATCAATTTGAAGGATGGTGAAGAAATATGAAATTATGCAAAGGAATATTTTTGTATCCCCATTTTTGACACACACTCACACGGAGAAGCACATACAGAGAAGCGCATACAGAGAAGCACATATAGTGACACACTTATAGAGGTGCACAAAAAATTCTTCCGTTCACACTTTTCCGTGGTTTCTTTTAGTTTTCATTTAACCACATATTTAACTACATTTTATTTTATCTTATTATATCACATTATGTTATATTATATATTTGCTTCTTTTTTTTTTTTTTTTTTCCACATTTTTTCTCCCTTTTTTTTTTTTTTTTTTGATTTTCTATTTTAAAAAATCATACATTGTATGCATGTGTAAAAGGGAATTCGTTCGACGGGAAAACACTGACACCAGAAGATTCATAAAATGAATTGTCCCAAACGAATGAACTGTTTACTAACAGCACCACCAGCTGTCTATTCGTAAGTCTAAAAAAAAAAAAAAAAAAAGTGTGAAAATTTTGTGTATTATATATTATATAGCTTTAATAGTAGATATGTGTTTTCATAACATCAGCAAACTCCTCTCTTGCTGGCCGTGTATTTTCGTTTAAGTTTCATTGGCCATGTGCACATATATATAATTACAAATGTAAGAAAACACACATACGTACTTTTAAACGTGTTGTGTCAGTTTAAGGGCACACGTACCCTATCAGCATAGTAGGAGAGATAGAGAGATAAGGACTATGCAGGGATGTAGAAGTTAGTGAATCCAACATCTTTTCCTTGCAGCTGCACGTGTGACGTTCACAATCCATTTATTTTGTCCATCACCCAATCAATTGGTTTACGTGATTTTGATTTATAGTTATGTATATGCAGCTTTGTTATTTCATTTTCGCCCTAAGAATATGTGTATATGTACATATACATAATACATATTTTTTTTTTTTTTTTTTTTTTGCTATCCTCTGTTTTCTATTGCATTTTTTTTTCCTTTATTTACTTATTTATTTATTTTATTTTTTTTTTTTTTTTTTTTTTTTTTTTTTTTTTTTTTTTATAACGGCTTAACTGTAACATTTCTGAACTGTGCAATCTTCCGTTTGGATTTTTTTTTTTTTTTTTTTTTCTTCTACCAATTCGTTATTTGAATAATGAAAAGAAAAGAAAAAAAAAAAAAAATTCAAGGCTCATATTTGTAGGCATATGCATAAGGACAATCCATTTACCTTTTAAGCATTTTTCCACTCACTATTGGTTTTTGATAATTTTTTACTTTACACTTATATGTATATTTTATGTACATTAATATGTGCACTATATACATACATTTGTGATAATCATCCTTAGAGTCAGTAGAAAAGCCTTAGTGTGTTCACTGTCCATTATCATAGAAGGGAGAAGAGAAAGAAACACTTAAAATGTTGAAACTTGTATTTTCATGATTGACCAAAGTAATCCTTTGGATGGAAATGTTTGAGTCTGATGAGCGTAATCACGAGTGTGCATCTAAAAGTGTACGTGCATATGTGTGTAGAGGAGAGGAGAGAGTTTCCTGGAGGTAGAAAAGAATGAGAAATGGTTTCCAATTTGGTGTAGTAAAAAAATCCACGAAGAAATAAAGAAGTGGGAAAACAGAAAGGGTAACGCGGTCAGGTAAAAAGGGAAAAGTGGCCAATCAAAATAAACAACAAAATCACGAGGATCATCGTCTTTCGCTCCCGTGAAAGGGCTCAGAATTGTATAAACCTATCCACTTATGAGGAACTTATACATCCATACATACGTTCATCAATTAGCCCAACTCATCAGTTGACCTCCTTATCAGTTGACCTCCTTATCAGTTGACCTCCTTATCAGCTGACCTCCTTATCAGTTGACCTCCTTATCAGCTGACCTCCTTATCAGTTGACCTCCTTATCAGCTGACCTCCTTATCAGCTGACCTCCTTACCAGTTAACCCAACTCATCCACTCTTTTGTGCACTTGTAAAACAAATGGACGAGAACAGCAGAAAGACAAAGACGACATCCCCCAAAACAGAAGTGAACGAAATTGACAGGGAACTTTTTGGAGAAGAGGAACTGCAAATATTGCAAAACAAAACTGTGTCAAGTGATGGGAATCAAAAAGAGGAAGAACTTTTAGGAAATATTGAATTGCTAGTAGCTGACGAAGATGATTTTATTAACTTCGAAGGGTTGAGCAGCAACGAAAATGATACAAGTGCTAATGGAAGTTCCGATTCTGATGTGCAGATTGTAGAAGAGATAACAAAATTGAAAAAGGAGAGTCCCAAAACAAAGGGTAAAAAAAAAAAGAAAGAAAGAAAACATAGTGTTTATAATAAGGATAATTCTGAGACGGAAAGAAATGAAAGCGAAGGGGAAGATGATAGTTGTAATGAGGAAAAGACAAAAACTTTATCTATTGAAAATATAAAAAATTTCAAAGAGATGCAAATTAAAAATATGAAAAAAAAGATTGAAGAGAATAAACTAATTACTTATATGCTCTGTTGGATTTGTCACCTTCAATTCTTGAACGGCATTTGTAATGACAAATTAGTCCAAGCATTAATATATTCTGTATATGTAAATTATCAAAAGGGTAAAAATAGAAAGTTGTATAAGGACCCGATTTACCTATTCATGTTTGTGAAGAATTCATTTAATTTGATTATGGATGAAAAATCATGGATATCGGGAGAAAAATATATTTCCAGAAATGTTCGTGGTTCGATTATATTTCGATTGTTAAGAAGTATACAAAGAAAAAGAGGTAACAATGTTATGATAAATTTAATTTTTATTGCTTTATGCAGATGTTTAAATATACCTAGCCGTATATGTTTAACTTTGCCATTTTTAAAAACTGATATAGATATTGAACATGAAAATCGATTTTTAAAAAAGTGCTATGAGACTTATCATTCCAATTTTAGTAAAAGTATTTTTTATCGCCACTTCATCGATTCATTGAATGATGAATACAATGAAGATGATAATGTATCTAGTCCTCTTGTCAATCGGGGTGGTAATAAAAATGAAGAAAATATCCATGTTGACGATGTCATTATCATTGACAGGGAAGATGAGTTCTTTCAAAGGGATTACCACTATGCAGCAGGAATAGCAAAAAAACAAAATCAGAGTCGAAATGAAAAGAATGGAAATAATTCACGTAAAATCAATAAAGATGAAACTGCCCAATTTAACATATTTTCAGAATGTTACTCAACAAGCTTCAACAAGTGGATATCCTTCTTTTTTTGTTACAATGTGTATTATTTTAACTTTTTTAATTTTTCAAAACATGATAACTCTTCTACAAATGAAGATAAAATTTTCCACGTTCTTCTACCTTTGCCAAAAAATCCAGAAGAAATAAAAACATACAGGAATCAAAGGAGGACTCGTTCCTTGGGAGGCTTTGCGAGGTCGCTGTTCATATTCAACAGGGGAAAAGCCACTAGAAAGGGCAGTTCTGGAAGTGATAGAATTGATCGAAGTGGTGGAAGTGATCGAAGTGGTGGAAGTGATCGAAGTGGTGGAAGTGATCGAAGTGGTGGAAGTGATAGAAGTGGTGGAAGTGATAGAAGTGGTGGAAGTGATAGAAGTGGTGGAAATGATCGAAGTGATCGAAGTGATAGAAGTGGTGGAAATGATCGAAGTGATAGAAGTGGTGGAAATGATCGAAGTGATGGGCTTGGTGGGCCAGATCAGAATAAACCCCAAATAAGGATATACAAAAAGAGAAACAAAAGGAGAAGTGATCACATAGATGTACCAATCGAAAAAGGAAAGGATACCAAATGTTGTGTAAATGAAATGGAAGGAAATGAAGTAAACAAAGGGAATTGCTTATCAAGCCAAAGTAGTAATACATGCATAGGAAAAAAATTGTCTAGCTCGAAATTCGAAATTCTGATCGATGATCATAGGGGGAAAATGTACATCGAACGGGATAACAAGTTTTTTATAGTTGACCAAAAGAGTAAGAAAGTGGTTAGAATTGTATACGTGGAACAAAAGAATCGTAATAATGATAATCAGAACGGTGATAATATCAAAGGAGGGGTGAAGGAGAAGGCACAGGAAGAGAAGGAGAAATGTGTAAAAAATAAACCAAAGGAACAGGAAAACACCCTATACAACTTTGAAAAAGAGGAAGAAAACAGCGAAATCGTGAATTCATTGGTTAATATCTACAGATCGAGTGGAAAAAAGAATTCTCTGCTGAGTCAGATCAAAGAATTGCGTTTAGCGAATGGTAAATTACGAGACGATGCTGTTAGCACCAGCAGATATCCCTCTGCTCCTACTTCTACTGCTGCTACTGCGACTACTACCCATCCTGGTACTATGGGGAGAAAGAAACTTCTTGGGGATGAGGTGTGGGATCATGGAGAAATAATATATGATAAGTTTGCGAATCCAATGAATGCCTCTTCTGAAGAGGCAAAATACATAAAGGTGTTTATAAATAGCCATGTTTATAGATATTTACAGAATTTAGATCACTACAACTTATATATGTGTGTGAATGGGTGTGGAATAGTGAGGGATGTTAGTGTACGTCACAAATTGAGATATAGCAGAGGGGGGAATAGTGATGGAAATAGTGGAAGAAACAGAGGAAATAGCAACAATGCTATAATTAAGGGAGATAGATATTGTAACATTGTGAGAAATCACTTCAGACGAATAGCATACGACATTAATAAAAAACAAAAATATAATCACTTTGAACAAGCACTAGATAAATTAGATGATGAATATTTATACAATCTTTACATAACCAATATGATACCTACAGAAAAATCAGACTTCCTCAAATCCAGTTATTATATATTAAAATCTATGTTAAAGAAAAACCAAGTTATATATCCAAATAATCCGGTTGGACTGTTTAAAGGAGAAAATGTTTATCTGAAGGAACATTTTTACAACTTAATGAGACGAGAATGTTTAGAAAGTAAACATTACTACATTAGCGATAGTGAAAAACCACTAAGTTACGAATTTGATGAGTATAATAAGGTGAAAGTGCCTCTATACGCTCAATTTCAATTAAAAAAGAAAAAAAATGAGACCACCAACAAAGTTTGCAAACCGCTTTTGCTCGGCTCAAATGAGAACGCTGAATTGGGCAACAATGTTAATGCTGATGAGGAAAATAATAAAGATAATGGCATCATCGTCACTGGAAATGGTAACACGCATAGATTGGACAATATGCAAATGTGCACTTTCTTGGATGAAGAAAATTTTGACTACATATACAACAAGAAAGACAAATTGCACATTCTGAAAACAAAATTGTTTGCACACTCAAAAGCGAGCAACTTAATCGAACTGAATAATGACGATATATGTATTTATAACATTAAATTGAAATACGTCTTCAAACATTTAAGAGGAACAATTCCTTATAAAATTGTGTACAATAGTTCTTACTTTTTTAATAAATTTCGAAAAAAACCTAATGCAGTAACAGATGCTGACAAACTTATTATAAAAAAAAAACATATGACACAATTCCAAAATTTGTACATGCCACAAAAACGAATGGAAGACGAATTTTTAATAAATGATAAATCCAAGCAAATCAAAAATTTATGGAAGGTACTCTGCAAGAGTGTCCTATACGAGCAAGAAAACAAAAAGGTTTCTCAAAATAGGGAGAGGGCGAAAACAATTTACAAAATGAAAGAATTCAATACAGACGTAGATAGATACTTTCAAATTTGATATTTTCTATATTGTATATGTTTCCTGTTATGAAGAAATATCAAATGACTATTCCAATAAAAGTGATTTTTAGGTGTTCCTTTTTACCTGAACAGGTCATATCAAAAAGCCTTTTTTTTTTTTTTTTTTTTTTTTTTTTTCTTGGCTAGCCATTTTGAAAAAAGTTGATTTGGATAAACTATATTTGAAAAATCAAGCCCAAAATATTTATACACTTCAAAGGGGTGAATTGGCTGGACGATAATTTCGCTTGTGTTCGAACGGTTTTATTTGGTATGTTCGCCTACGTGGGGCTGTGCTGTTATCTTTCAAGTGACAATTTTTCCCTTCCCCCCTGCCAAGATGTACACATGCAAATGTAAGTGCAAATGTATATACACACACATATGTACATACATGTGCACGCACAGTGCTATGTAAGAATATGGTGAAACAAAGATAACGTTATAGCTATGGCCTCCTCGGTTCGTATTGTCCTGGAAGTTTGGTATGGGCATGTATTAATGAACATGTGGAACTTTTTTAACACTTTGTTTAAAATTTTGGTTTTCTTTTCTGCACTGTAGTTTTTATTTTTCTCTTCCTCCCGTTCCTTGATGAACAGATCCTCTAGCCCTTGCTTGTTTCCGAACACGATAAGTATGGAGCTGAAATTGTCGTGGGGTAGAAATGCGTACAAGAGATGGTCAAAAAGGAACAATTGCTTTGGTTGCTCGGGTTCGTATGAACACGTGCATATGTACAATGTGTGCATATACCATGTGTGCATATACCATGTGTGCATATACCATGTGTGCATATACCATGTGTGCATATACCATGTGTGCATATACCATGTGTGCATATACAATGTGTGCATATATAATGTGTGTACATATACTATGTGTGCATATACACTGTGTACATATACACTGTGTACATATACACTGTGTACATATATATTATGTGCACATATAAATTATGTGCACATATATACATATGTATGAGTGCACACGTGCGTTCGTTCGCACCCACCTGGCACTCTTAAGGGAAGAAGTCACATCGCCCAAGAACTTTCCTCGCTCGGAGGTGCCTACAATGCAATCCACACGTAGAGCAAAAATGTCACTGAGTCTTTTTAGGAGTTCAACAGAATATCCCCAATACAGGTCATACAATTTTGGTGTTATGGGGTTAATTAATTTTCCAGAGAATAAAATGTTTGCATTTTTCTTTTGAAATAATTGGAACGAATTTGGATGAAACATAACTGTAACTCGTGTACCGACATCTACATTATTTATATTATCTATTAGTGCATTTGCAAACAATCCAACATCAACAATAATACTATTTAATTTTTTTTTTATTACAACTCCTTCACGAAATGGAAGCCACTCATCACTTCTCAAATGATGAGGAGCATCCACAGGATTCATAATTCCAGAATTTTTTAAAAAATTAGTTATTGGAAAAAGATGTTTTCTTAAATATTGTGGTGTTTCTAAATACTGTAAATTGTAATGTAAATACTGACACAGATAGGAATATTCAGAATTTTTTTCTTTTTTTTCTTCTTCTTTTTCATGTGAACAAGTATAATAATTTTTTCCCGTCAATTGATTGTTATTAATCCCTCCTCTATCGATGTGATAGTTTTTGTTTTTTTCTTGCGTCTTGTGATAATAATCACTCTGATTTGGGATTACACTTTTCTGCTTTTTCTCACAACGTTCAAGCATACATTGATCATCATATATATACACTTTTGAAATCGAAAAAACTGTAAATATCCTTGCTAAATAGCTTGTCAAGTAGGATTTTATAACATCACTCCTGTTGTTTATAATGGAAGATGGTATGGCTACATATACATCAACTTTTAAATTTCTACTAACATTTGGTATTCTTTTCTCTATACATGCTTTTATTTCTTCATTCAAAGTAAATTTTTTTTCACCCACAGTGTCCACTCCTTCCTTTTCAGTGATGTGTATAGTCCCGCTATCTGTTTCCTGATTATGTGATTGGAAAATCTTCCCCTTGATTTGCGTCTCATCTTCCATTTCATCATTCTTCTCTTCACCCTTAGCATTCTTGGCCTCACACGTTTTCACTCTCTTATCAATAAACTTTTTGGCCTTCTTTGCCTTATCCATCATGACTCAGAAATCATCTTTTTTTTTTTTTTTTTTTTTTTTTTTTTTCATTTACATAGCTTACATACGAGCTTTCCGTATGTCACTGACTTTTTACATAATGTGCATTTGGCTAAAAAAAATTATGTATACTTTTGTGTTGGTCCCTTCTTCATTTATTCCTGAATCCCTTGTTGTTGTTCTTCTTCTTCTTATCATTATTATTTTATTTCATTTTATTTTGTTTTGCTTTTTTTAATTTCATTTTACTTAATTCTACTTCATTTCATTTTATTTCATTTTATTTCATTTCATTTTTTATTCCTCCTTGTGCATTCAAAGTATGATCAGGGGATAGGGTTAATCCCCAGGGGTGACTTACTACTGGCATAAATGATAAATGCGCTTGAACAGCAGTAAATAAATGAAAACAAAAACGAAAAAAATTGTGTTACAGATAAATACAAACAAATAGAAGCATACATTGTCTACGTCCATAATTAAAATTGGCCACGAGTACACTCCATGGCAGTGGTAAGCTGGGCAAAACATGAATAAATCTCTCTCTCTCTCTCTCTCTCTCTCTATATATATATATATATATATATATATATATACATAAATGCATACATAAACATGTGTGTAAATTTCCCAGATGATAACTTTTTGCCAAAATTTCACGTCGCTTTCCATGCAGAAGATGGTGGTGCTCTCAACCCACCCGTTTGTGCTAATCCAGCTTTATTAATCCCATTTTGTATTTGTATTTCTATTTCTGTTTCTGTTTCTATTTCTGTTTCTGTTTCTGTTTCTGTTTCTGTTTCTGTTTCTATTTCTGTTTCTGTTTCTGTTTCTATTTCTATTTCTATTTCTATTTCTATTTTTTTTTTTTTTTTTTTTTTTTTTGCGTGTCACTCATGGAATGCACAAGATGACTTATTTTCTACCGCAGGCTAAAAAAAAAAAAAAAATAAAAGTACATGAAATAGGGACAAAAAGTGCACATAGAGAAGAAGAAGAAGTAGAAGTGGAAAGAATGTTTAAAATAATTCCAGAATTATCGCACACATATAACACTATATTGCTTTTGTGTCTATATGGCATGTTTTTCGCACACTTATCCCATGCTTAACCCGTGCACTAACCCATGCTCAACTACTCTATACATACCCATATGATTCTTCCTCACTTTTGTGAAGCTTTTGCACTTTCTTCTCTTTGCAGATAAGGAAACATGAGGTGAGGGGAGTTCAAGAGAGTTAAAGCCATGAGTGCAGAAATTTCCATTACTCTTATCCCAGGTGCGCAGCAAGGAGGAATAATAACATCAGAATTATAAGTAAAAGGAGGAGACACTAAAAGGAATGGGAACAAAAAAGAAACAAAAAAAAAAAAAAAAATTTGGGTTTAAAAGCAAGATTTACAAACCATATTTATAAACCCAGTTGTGAACACCATAGTAGCACATAAGTTTTGTGCCACATCACACCAATTATGCGTCAAATTGCCTTATGAGATCTCTCTCTTTTTTTTCTTTTCCCAAGAACTGTTTTAAGCTAGTTCCAAAATTGTAGACTCTTTAAAATGGAGGCACCAACAGATAAAGAGGAGTATACAATAATGCGATAAGAACAAAAGAATGAAGCAAAAAATGAAGCAAAAAAATGAAGCAAAAAATGAAATAAAAAAATGAAGCAAAAAAACGAATGGAACCCAAAGCTAGGGACAATTCCTAGCAGATGCAATGGACACTGCGCATCTACACAAGCAACATCTACCGAATTTTCTTTTTTTCTTTTTTTTTTTTTTTTTTTGTTTTGTCTTTGCAGAGACTATATAAAATTAGTGAAATCCTCAAATAATGTTGAATTTAAGACAAATGAGGAAATAGACATGTTAGAGATTTGTATGGAGAAATCTATCAACTTAAAAATGTTTCAACATTTTGTAAATATAAAAGAGTTGTACTTGATAAAAAACAACATCACTGATATAACACCATTATTTGAATGCAAACATTTGAAGGTTTTATTTTTACAAATAAATAAAATAAAGAGTATTCTAGGTAAAAAAAAAAAAAAAAAAAAAAAGGATGCGTAGTGTGGAACATATGTTCAATTTTACACCAGGATGTAGCTTCTTTTTTTTTCAGAACCAAAATAGTTCTTCAAATTAACATTAGTACTAGTTGAACGATAAGCATCAGTTGTAGAGGAAAGAAAATGTTCAGCAGCACAGTGCTTTTCCAGCTTCTTAGCAACTGTCACTTTTTTTTTTTTTATTTTATTTTATTTTTTTTTTTTCTCCCACTTCCCCTTTTTTACTTCCCGCACAGGATTAGGCAGATTAAAAAAACTTGAAAAACTAAACTTATTTTGCAATGAATTGACTGAGGATTTCATCAAATTAGAGGAAAACAAAAATTTACATTACATCGATTTGAGTGATAATGAAATAGAAAATGTAGATTTCTTTTCAACTACCTCTTCATTTACATCCATAAATTTAGCCAATAATCGGATTAGGAACTTAGATCCACTGAGGAATAACTCCAACTTAGAATACTTAAATGTCAGTGGGAACAGGTTCGCTTCTCGTCATCAGCTTCATTTAGAATGATGTTACACACATCTTGAGTGGCACCTGATAGATGGCCTAACACACACGACCTCTAGTAGTACCCCGATGCATGGCATAACGCAGCTCCTCGAGTGACACCCATATATTGTCTCGCGCACTTCCCTCATTGACACTTTCCTTTTGAAGACTCGAACATTTTGAAGACATCCAAGTTCTTAACCATCTACAAAATGTTAAGGAGCTATACCTGAGTTCAATCTACTACAGTAATAGATTGTGGAATAAGAGAGATTTTTCTTTTCCTGCTGTATCGAATGTTATGCACACATTTGTATGAACACATAGGATCACAATTCCAATATGGTACATTATGCACACGTGAATGCAAAAAATATGTATTCACTTTTTCGAAGGAAGTAATATACTTAAAGATGGCTTGTTGTATAAACACTACTTTTTTACTAATTTTCCAAATTTGCAAGTAAGGAGAATGATGCGAGACACTTTAAGTTTCTTTTCCTCGCGTCTGACTCTTTTTTAATCTTTGTGACGTGTCCTACACTTTGTGATAGATTGTTCATCTCTGTGCATCGTCGAATGGAACGTGCACATAGGGAGAATACATATAGAGGCATAAATATATATATATACATACCCTACATGTATATTATGCCACCCCGATGTACACACTAGATTTTAGACCATCAAACGGTCAGCAACAAAGAGAGAAATCTAGCTGTCCGTGATATGGAAATACTGAAAAGCATCGTCGATTTCAAAATAAATTTGATTGAAGAAAAGTACAAGAAAGAAAAGCATTATATTTTATTTATTAATAACAAGAACATTTCTTACCTAAGGGAGGTCTTGTGGCCCATTCATTTTTACTACAATATGGAAGAATTCCCTAGGAAAAACGTAAATTTTGCGTGTGCATATTGTTTGCACATTTATTTAGATTTTCGGAAAAAACGCCTGAACTGTTCATACGAAAGTTACATGCAAATGCTGTGTGCAAAATGCGACGCTTGATTTATTTTACACACACAAACGCATATACATCCTTTGTTTAAAGAACATGGAAAGGGAACATGATCGAATATGTGAAATAAAACAGGAGATATCTTTTTTACTTAGTGCATATATTTCTAGGTGAGCAAAACCCCATTGTGTTTTTTTTTTTTTTTTTTTTCTTTTCTTTTTTCCGCCGTGTCATTTCACATGTGGCAGAAAAGGGAGAAAAGCAAATCACACACCAGACACACACATGTGAAGGGTCTCACACAGAAACACTTATAAATACTACCCCTTCAACAGTAACACATGCTATCGATGAAATATTGGAACTCTTTTACACAATACAGATTTAATTACATAATGAAAAGGCTGAAAGAAGAACGGAACCTGCAAATCAAATACATAACGACATCGATGAATTCCTATTTCAACATTTTTTTTCAAGTTCTAACTAAGCAAGAGATGGAGTGAGACATATGAGAGAGAAACGCTCCATGTTTGTGTATGCAAATTTTAAAAAAAAATTTGTTTATTCATTTCACATGTTCATAAGAAGGAAGGGGAAATTATTACACATATATGGATGGCAAAAGCATATTTCATCCCTCTGCTTCACAAACATGCTTTTAATCAGGTATGCAAAAGTTGAACAGTTTCTGAAAGGAAATTTCAACTCAGAGTCCCTAAAGAGTTATTTTGTAGAAGACATAAAAATTGAAAACATCATAAAAGTAAAAAAATTGAATAATGTTTACCTGAACACGTTAATGTAAGTTCTTTTTATGAGCCGCAGCTGAACAGTTCCTCCAAGTTCTATACATATGTACTAATGTGCAATCAACATGTATTTCTCATCATTTTTAACTGATGTAGCTAATTTTTTCATAATTTTTAACCTATGTAGCTAATTTTTTTTTTTTTTTTTTTTCTTTGTCTAGAGAAAATCACCTGAACAGTGTAATATATAAAAAGAATTTACTCCTTTTGCACCCGTACAATTAGTAATAAAAAAAGAAAAGGAACAGAAGAAATCGAAAGAGGAAATGAAATAGAATAAAAAAAAAAAAATAAAATAAATAAGAAAAAAAAAAAAAAAAAAAAAAAAAAAAAAAAAAAAAAAAAAAAAAAAAAAAAAAAAAAAAAAAAAAAAAAAAAAAATAAATAAGAAAAAAAAAAAAAAATAAATAAATAAGAAAAAAAAGAAAAAATGCTGAACCAGTTCCAACGGTTCGCATGGAATACACACATATGGTTTACACGTACCTACTTGTGCAGCTGCACTTTTACCTAGTCTTCCCGATATCCATTTGTCATACCTCCAAATTTCAAATCTTCAGCTGTAAAATTAACGAGTTCTTTGAGTTTGATGAAAAGGAAGCTGAAGTGGAAGACCCTGAGAGGAAGAAGTTCTTTGAGAAAAATTTCGTATGCTCATGTTGTAGCTTAAATCATGTGTTGAAGACTGTTATAAGGTAGTTTGGAAAAAAGGGATTCGCCATTAGAGGTGCATGTATTATGTGTGATTGTTAAAACGAGAGAGAGGAGAGGACTAGGGGTGTGAGTTTGTGTGTGTGGAGGAGTGGGGGGGAAACTTTTGCCTTTCCACAAAACGCATGCACACGTTAAGGTAATAAAATATCTCATCTCACAGAACATTTCTAAATGAGGACGAAAAAGACGGACTAGTACACCCAATTTACTACAAAAGTAGAGGATATGGAACTCCAACAAATAAAGCAGGTGACGAAAGTTGCTCACCGTGGGCAAGTGACATGAATATGAAAAAGAAAATCGTGAGAAACAAGAAATTTGATTTCCCTCCATTCATCATATACATCGTGGAGAATTACTTTTTCCCGAATGAATATCATGAAGTGACAGCATACAGTTCCCAAAATTGTAAAGAGAACAAGCAAAATGATGAAACGAAATTTAAAATTTATTACACTCTACCAAGACATACGAACTTGAAATACATAGTTAATATAAATTTGATAAATAATAATACAAAAAGACCTGATGAGGGGAGAGAAATAAGCAGGGTAAATTCTTTTACTAAGGGAAATGATCATGAAAAAAATATAAAAAAAAAAAAAAAAAAAAAAAATTTCTTAAATTATGTAAAAATAGACGATGAATCTCCTTTAACAAAATTTTCAAGCTTAAGTAAAAAAATTAAAGAAGATTTTTATGACTATCTGTTAACATTTAATTCCGTTAACTTTTTTCATATTACGAAATATTTTATCAAGTTAAGTAAAGTCATTTGTGAAATTAAAAAATGTGTGTGTATCCTTTTATCGAAAAATAAATTAAAATGTCTCCTTGACATGAGTAGCAAAAATTTTCACGAAAAGATGGAAATCAGTTTGCCTGAACATGTTCATGTTTTAAAGAATAAAAAAATCAATGTTTCTCTCCTCATCCATCAGTCATCTGATAGGGAAAGTGATAATACCACTGTGTCCACACTGTCTGAGAGGTGTCTCCAGGAATATAATACAACGGGGACCTTATACTTAAACAGTTTGTATATATGCAAAATTGATTTACACATTATAGAGGACCATTTTAAAAATATAAAGAAATTATGTCTTGTAAATAATAACATAAGTGATTTGAATGTACTTTTTCAATTTTCTGAAGAGGAGATGAATATTCCTTCTTTAGTGCACCTCGACCTTTCATTTAATTGTATCACCAGTTTGATTCCTATATGTAACAAATTCAGAAATTTAACACATTTAGATGTATCCTTTAATTATATTTTTGATTACATGGAAATTATGGTGTTCAGTAAAAATCACAAGAAGATTGAATTCTTATCTATCATTAGTAATCCTATGTATATGAAGCCTGCACATTATTCAAATATACATCTTCTCTTCCCTCGTATCGAATGTTTCAATGGTGTACACCTAACCTCGAGGCCAGAGTTCGATTTGGATTCTCATTCTTTTGTGCCGTGCCACGGGGAAATTTTTCTTTATCAAGACGGTAAAAAAATTCATGCATGAGTCGGTGCAAGATTTATCAGAACATGTATGTCTGCACCTGTGAAGAGCGTGTGTCTAGGTATCCATTTTCCCGCTTTTCCCCTTGCTTCCTTCACGTGCAGACCACACTGCCCACACAAGTGTAAGAGACTTAGAGAAAAAGCCAGAGATAATCTTTAAAGAACCAATTTTGGATAAGCAGGATTTGAGTCAAGTAAAAATAATAAACTTGTCAGACCTGTACACACCCATGGTCATTATTTGTGATTTTTCAAAATTGTCAAATTTGGAAATTTTAAATTTGTCAAACAATGGAATAGACAATTTAGAGAAGCTGAAATTGCCAACAAGTTTAAAAATCTTAAATTTAAAAAATAACAAAATTCAAAACATAAATTTTTTAAGAAATAATTTAAACATAGAGAAGATAATTCTAGATAATAACAAATTAGTTAATATAGAAAAAATAAGTTCATTAAAAAAATTAAAAGTATTAAGATGCGCATACAACAAATTGTTGAATATTCCATTAATACAAAATACCCAGTTGGTAGAATTAAATATACATGACAATATGATAAAGGATATTACTCATTTGGTTCTTATGAAATATAAAAAGTCTTTAACATCGATAAATATATATAATAATAAAATAAACTTTCCCAATCTGGACATATATTTAATTCATACATTTTGCAATTTATTAATTTTAAATAATAATTATGTTGAAAGAAATGAAAATATAGATAAATTTTTTAAAAATATTTACACCATCAATGTCTTTTTTGACATATATAATATATATCCACCCTACACTGCTCTGCAACACCTTGAAATAAAAAATATGAAAATCAAAAGTATCATGTTTACCATTAACAATGACAATTTCGCCAATCTCCATCACTTGGATATTTCTAACAATTTAATAAGTACCATTGCTAACATAGGTCCTCTGGACAATCTCAAGGTAGGATCTGCGTGGGAACCCGGGAACCCGTAGGGTGACGGGGATCACATTTCAGCACGGCTAGCCAGAGTTATATCTAATTTTCACCTACACACGTGAGGCAAATTTGTTACCACTCAAATCGGACCACTAATTTGCTTATACTTGTTTTTGCCAATTTCTACGCTTCTCCATTTGTGCGAACGCACATATGTAGGTCCTGATAATGAACAACAACAAACATATCAGTGACGAGTCCTTCACAGGGAAAGATGAAACCAGTGTCTTAAATTCGTTTAAATGTTTGGAGGTTAGGAAGTGCACACTACAGTGTCTACTGCAGCGTCTATTGCAGTGTCTATTGCAGTGTCTATTGCAGCATCTATTAAATCACCTATCACAGTGGTGTATTAACATGATTATATGCAGACGATTCATTCTTCCACACAACCAATTTGGATAAGCACCAAGAGGAACCCACGTTTTTCACACCGATATGGATTTTTTTTTTTTTTTTTTTTTTTTTTTTTTTTCTGAATGCATGCATCTATCCATGCGTCCTTTTACATCTAGGAATTAGACATAAGCTATTGCATGGTAGCTAGGACGAATTTCCTAAACAAGTGCACAAATCTGAAAAACCTGAAGAAACTGAACCTAGAAGGAAATAACATAAATTCAGTGAAACATTTGTCCCATTTGGAAATCCTAAAAGATTTAAATCTTTCTAACAACAAAATATCGAAAATGAGTCCAGACACCTTTCCCGTTTTGCTTCAGAGTTTGAACTTATCCAACAATCTTATCAGGTTAGGAGGCGGAAAAGGAGCAGAAAAGGGAGCTGAGAAGTTCCTAGTAAATACGGGAAAATATATGCATCTAGACAGATCCATCTAAACATATGCACCTAGACAGATTCATATAAACATATGCACCTAGACAGATTCATATAAACATATGCACCTAGACAGATTCATATAAACATATGCACCTAGACAGATTCATATAAACATATGCACCTAGACAGATTCATCTAAACATATGTACCTAGACAGATTCATCTAAACATATGTACCTAGACAGATTCACCCCATAGAGCCTCCCTCCTCTGTCCTTCCAACGCTGCAGGAACTTGAGTCCACTTTCCACGCTGAAGAATTTAGAAACCCTAGATCTTCGAGTTAACCGCATAGATAATATCGAAGAATTCAAATTTTTAAAAGACATGAATAACTTAAAAACACTATACTTAAATGGAAACAGAAAAATAAAAGAATCTTTTCCAAATATAAGAAATATCCTAAGGCAAGTAGACACTTTTGACATGAAAATTATGAAAGATCATGATGAAATGGTACAACATGTAGTAGAGAAAAAAGAATGCACTCGGGGTACCCGGGAGGTTAATAACAAGGAATTTTGCGTGGAAAGCATCAAAGAGATTCATAAAGAAGTTACAAGAAAAGGAGTGCCAATTCATGTACAGGTGAGTCATAGCAATAGTGTTCAAACTTCCCTACGTGAATGGATCTCTCTCTCTTGGTTTTGTCTTTTGCTTATTACCTCATTATGTGCAACAATGGGGAAAAATTTGCTGTTCCCCTTTATGTCATATTTTTTTGTCAAACTTTATGATTATCCATTTTAGACCAAAGTGCACCGAACCCCCATGAAGAAAGATTCCTTTGACGAGGTAATTACAAGAAAAACAAAAAATAAAGCAGAATAAAATGGAATGAAACTGAATGAAAAAAAAAAAAAAAATAAAAAGTTGATGCACGTTTGATCTATCCATTAAAATATGTATACCTTTATAAGCACATAAATTCCGTTTCGCAAGGGAAAAAAAAAAAAAAAAAAAAATTTCCATTTTTCACGTCTGTGCATAAATTGTAAATTTTCTTCTTATTTCACCGTGTTGTTAACAAATTCATAGTTGCAAATAGAATTTTTTTTTTTTTTTTTTTTGTATCTTCTTTTTCACAATTGCGTTTTTTTCTGTATCGATACCTTTTTTTTTTTTTTTTATGTCTTTCTCCTTCGTCTACTTTAGCGAATTAAGAATGATAGTTTTATCATAATAGGACGAAAGATTGACAAAAGCGGGGATTACTAAAAGGGTGTAAAGAGCAGGCACCTCTCCAATTGAACTCTACATTTGAATGAAAAAAAAAAATAAAATAAAAGCGAATGGATAACCAAATGGTGATAAATATATTCTTACAGACGTTATATATAGAGAGAGAATGATTTTTTTTTTTTTTCTTTTTTTTTCCGTTCGGGTTTGCCGCTCCTTTTCCACCACTTCCACTATTTCCACTTCTTCCTTTTTTTTTTTTTTTTTTTAAATGATGGTAACGAATGGCATACACTCATATGTGTAATATGTCTAGGTGTGGGCCTGATATTTGTGTGCCCAAACAACACACATTCGTTTATAGATAGACAACCATGATGTTTTCTGTGCTCTGGAACTTGTGAATTATTTCAAGTCTCATAGATATAAAATTTTCTTTATAAAGTGCATGCTAAAAAAAGAAAAAAAAAAAAAAAACGTTCTGATTACAAACATTCCCCCTCATTTGTAACTTGTGCATATACATATATATATATATGGTTGTCACTTTTTCCTTCTATGTTTTTTTTTTTTTTTTTTTTTTCTTTTACTTTTTAATCAATTTTTCTTTTCCAATGTGCGGATGGATGTGGTAGTTGGTCAACTGAGGCCAAAAGAAAATTCACAAAGGGTGTTTTTTTATTATGTCGTGTGAGTATTATACATTTTATGGATTTACTAATGCGTATATGTGGGCCTTTAATTTTGCATACTATTCTGTTTTTTTTTTTTTTTTTTTCTTTATTTTTCTTTTCTTACGCAAGTCTAAAAACGGTTAAACAGGGAGGAATGAACTTAACCGAAATGAAATGAACTTAACTGAACTGAAATGAATATGAGGATGTGCGAACTTTTTTTTAAAATGGGTCAATCAAAAATGCGTTACTTCGCATATGCATATAAAACCTTTTCAAATTTATGCATACGTGAAGACTTGGACTTATAGTTTTATATGTTCTCTTATGTATGTTTAAAAGGAAAAAGATAAAAAAAAAAAAAAAAAAATGAGGGAAACTTTTTAAGGCCCTCAAATGGAGTGCCATGTTTTGCCTCACAGGAAATGGGGAATTCTGTGAAGGAAAAAAAAGAAGAAGAAAAAAAAAAAAAAAAAAAAAAAATTACTGGGAATTGTGAGGGATAGGAAATTTATCAAAAATGTGCCATAAAATATGTGCCAAAAATGCGCCAAAAAATATGTGCCAAAAATGCGCCAAAAAATATGTGCCAAATATGCGCCAAAAAATATGCGCCAAAAATGTGCCAAAAAATATGTACACCAAAAAAGTGTACGTACAGGTATAAATAGAGGTACATGTACATATGCATAGATACATATATAAGTATACGTACTTACATATACACATGTACATGCGCTGATTACTCTTCACACGTGAGACGGAGGCTGCAAACAAGTTTTAAGCGGATCGCGAATAGAGAGATGCTCCTATCCACTCCTACACGTAACTCTACATTTTTATTAAAAAAAAAGAAAACCATTATATGTAACTGGTACGTAGGTGGACTTATGGAGGCAGCATACAAGCAGGAGTGATCGTTATTGGATCACACACGTGCTCATACCGATGCCACACATGCATGAAATAAATCATATGTATCATGCAAATTATCATTTTACATGTTTTCACATTTGTAAATCCGGGTACATACATCATTTTTGTACATGTACCCTTTTTTTTTTTTTTTTTTTTTTTTTTTTCTTCTTGCTGCACGTGCTTATATGTGACGTTCTACCTCTTCCCACCCAAGCCCGAAACTGTTGGAAGAACAGAACTGCTTGTTGCACGCATAACAAATAGAGGCTGAATAGAGAAGGTGGAATTTCTTATTTTTATTTCATCTTAGTTTTATTTCGTCTTATTTTTATTTTATTTGTTTTGAGCTTACGAAAGAAAAGACCACTCTCAGGGTTAGAGGAACATGGAGGAGGGGGAGGAGAATCTCTCAGCGTACGTGGGACACACAGATGATCCTGCTCAACTGCAGCAACGGCATCAGCAAGAACCGCTTCTACAACAACAAGAATCACTTCTACAACAGAAAGAACCACTTCTACAACAACAAGAACCGCTGCTTCTCCAAGAAACGGCTAGCTCAACTGTGTCGATGATGCAGGGGCTCGCACATGAGGGGCACCGAAAAATTGTAGATGTGCTGTACGACACATGGTCAAATGATGAGAACCGTAGAAAGGAAGCAGAGAAAATTCTCAGTGAATTGGAAAAAGAAGAAGATTTCATTTTGCATTTATTGGAAATATGCTGCTACAGAGATGTGCACTACAATGTGAGGAAGTTGGCTATCATATATTCTAAAAACTTGGTGTGTCGATTTTGGAGCTGTAAAGATGCATTTCATTTAAGCAATGAAGTAAAAGGCATGGTAAAGAAGAAAATTTTAGATATGCTTAATAATCTTGAATATGTTGGTGAATATTATAAAGAGTTTTGTATTTTGTTGAGAAAAGTAGCTAGATATGAATTAGTTCATAATTTCCCAGAGTTATTAAATTTTTTTCTGAACAATATGAATATACATAAGAATAACCTCCATATTCTGTACATGTACATGTATTTATTATATAAAGTGTTAAGAGAGCAATACACGAAGAAATTATTAAAAGATAAGAGAGAAACATTTGACATTTCTGAAAAGTTTATTAACTACTTGTATCCCTTCTGGAAAAACAATATGAATATGTGTTTCAAAAAGGAGAATACAGAACCTTGTGCATGTAGCAATGAGTCCAATTGCAATAAATGCTATGGTGAATACAGTATAGTAATGGAACATGAGAAACAACTTACATTTTTCTTCAATTCGTCCAGTACAGAATCGAATAACCTAGAAGAAGAAAAAAACAACAACAATCATCAGCATAATAGTAACAATTCTTACCAGGAGTTTTCCAGTGATATGAATTCTGGAAAGAGTGAAGAGGCAGCTTACTGTTCCCACTTCAACAGTGACAGTTATAAGAAAATAAAAATTCTCAAATTTGTTGACAGCATTATGCTTAATTTGATAATAATTCGGAATGACGTCCAGAAGGCCTTCGTTCGTGCGAGAGTTGGCACCCGAATTGGCAACGCTGCTCATGCGGATGGGGATGCTGCCACTTCTCCATGTACTTCTACTCCTGCTGATGTTGCCACTTCTCCATATACTTCTACTCCTGCTGATGTTGCCACTTCTCCATATACTTCTACTCCTGCTGATGTTGCCACTTCTCCATATACTTCTACTCCTGCTGATGTTGCCACTTCTCCATATACTTCTACTCATGCTGATGCTGCCACTTCTGACAAGGAAGGCACAGAAATGGGTAAACGCTTTGAGATGAAGAAGAAATTCTTCAACTGTCTAACAAACAAGACAATATTTTATCTAAAATTTGTCAGTAATAAATCGACGCAGTATTACTTGAAATATTTGAAGTTTTTGTTGGGAATTTTTTTACATATAGTGGAATTTCAGAATTCCTTTCATGAGTACTTAAAAAGAGACACTATTGAAAAGTTTATATGTCTATTTTTAAAAAAGCACTTGAATAAGAATATTTACATTAACAGTGACCATTACGAGAATAAATTTTTGGAAATTATAAATTTATGTATATCAATTTTGAAATCGTTATTTTATCACTTTTGTTTAAGCCAATATAACTTGATTAAGCAGAAAAAGATAAGAGAAAATTATTTAAATGTAAAAAACATTATGAACAATAATCAGAATGTTTTTTTTGGCAATTATAATGAGAAAAGTTCGTTGGAATCGAAAATAATAAACAATTTAGTTGTGAATATTAATAATATGGAATGTGAAAATAAGAGTGGTAGATTTAATAAAAATTATTCTTTTAAAGATATTTTAACTTACATACGAGAAGAAGTAAAAAATGCATTGACAAATGACAATTATATACTCATGCATAATCAAAAAGCATTAGAAATATTTGATTTTTTAAGAGTATATTGTATTAACATGTCAGCAGAGCAAATTATTGATATTATATTAAATAGTAAAGATAAAGATGCTTATCAAGTAGAAGAAAATATTTTTTACTCAACTGCAAGAGAATGTATCATTGAAATATCTTCTGAACCTTTTTTATTTTCTATTTTTAGTCACTTTTTTGAACCATTAATTAATGCATTTCACAATTATGCACATATGATTAAAGCCCTACCAAATAATTTAAAAGACATACAAATTCCACAATTCTCAGAAGCCATTATTCATCTAGATGGATACTTAAATATTTATTACATCTTATATCCTTCCATTCATAGAAGAATTAAAATTGAACATATTCTTTGCATGATACACTTTTTTATGGATTTTCTAGAGATACAATATACCCACCCCTTAATCAGCTATCGTATTGCACTCATTATAAAAGTTTGGATTAAAAATTATAAGGCCTCCTTTCCTTTCATTGATGAAATTGCCTTGCTTATCTTCGAAAATATTCGACTTATCGACATGCATATCTCACAGAAATATGCCCAAGCTTCTCCAGCTCAAGGAAATGCACACCCAGAGCAGTATCCACCATCTATGCCTTCTGCAGAATATGCAGCATCTGTGCTATCACCAAAGAATCATAATAAAACCATTTCCAACTCGATTCTTCCCACGGATGTTCATTCCTCAGTTCCCAGCTCTTCTCCAATTCATTATGCCTCTAAATCCTCCAATTTCCTTCCTCTTGTCTTCTTCAAATTTGTGTGTCTATTCAGATACATGTTCAAGTATGAATATGTGTACGAGAATTATGATTACTTCAATGAGTTCCTTGTCGTGCCTTTGATAAGTCTCCTCACCAAGGTACGTCTCATAATGGAGAAGCAAAGATGAGGGAAAGAGAAAAAAAAAAAAATAAAATAAAATAAAATAATACACTCTTCTTCTATTCCATTTTGTGCTCCTTCTTGCTGTCCCCACGACACAGAAGCGATTTTATTATTACGACTCATTGGGGACAAGTTTGGCCCATTTTGACCCATTTCGACCCCACCACATATACCTCTCCATTCTCTATCTCTCTCTTTGCACTAAAACGTTTCACAGATTACCTATCCCAAGAGTATTCAGAAGATCCTGCAGATCCTAAGTCACATCGTGTTCATGAGTAACAAAGAAAAAGACATAACAATTTTCAAAGAAAATTACAACTTTCTTTTGGATTTGTACATGACGAGCAACATATCTATAAAGGAATACCTGTTGAATATTGTTGTGCAGATATTAAATAAGAATTATGATGAGTACACTTCAGGTGTGTCTACACATATGAACCGTAACCAAAGTCGAAGCGATAGCCCAGGTGATGTTAGCACTTATGTTAGTCATAGTAGTGATCATATCAATTGGCATAGTAGTGATCATAGCAATTGGCATAGTAGTGATCATAGCAATTGGCATAGTAGTGGCTTTTACCAGGGAGAGAATGGGCACTTAGGGGCTGGGTGGAGGGGAGAGAACAGAATTGGCACGGGATCGAAAGACAAAGGGAGAGATGATTTGATTTTATTTTATTTCAGTTTTGACATAATTGCTTATACTATATTAGGAAAGATAAAGGAAGAAAATATTTCCCAGATGTACGAGGGATACAAGAGAAATGCACTTTTCCTAAATGTTGGTGATCCAAATAATGTTAACTGTAATGGCAGATACATGATCGATCATGGCCAGCTAGCTAGAGAAATAAATTTATATATAGATCAAACAATTAGCGACAATTTGTACACCCTATGGTTATGCAATTTGAAACTAACATTCAAAATGTGTACTCCTAAAAATGAAGAAATAGTGAAAAAGATTTGTTCTTTGTATGTACGGATGACCCTTTTCATGAATGAACATTTTAAAAAAAAGAATTCTAATGAAATGGAACACGAAATAAATAACGCATGTTTTGATGTTCTGATGGAATATATGTGCTTGTTCATCCTTCATGAAACGCACGATTTTTATTTAACATACGAATCGATTGCAACAAATGTATTAACAAATGACATTTTAAAAATGAAATTTTTAACAATTATTAAAAATAATTTTATGCTCCATGATGAAGGGAACATAGAGAGGTGCATATACATTCTGCATGTTTGTATAGGTATATATAAAAATACTATAAAAAGCGAAATGCCAATTCTCTATTCCTACATGGCCAATTTTGTCATAGTATATTTAATAAAGTTGATGTTGAAATATATGGACAAATATTTTTCCGTGCAAAAGGGTTTTGAGGGAACACCCAATGGGGAATGTAGACGCAGCGATGGGAATTCTTACGAGAGGGGTTCTAATGAGAAGGTATCAATTGGGAGGGATTCTAACGAGAGGGTATCAATTGGGAGGGATTCTAACGAGAGAGGCATCATCGAAGGAATTTTTGAGAAGGGAATCGAACCCATGAGAAAAATTGGCACTGCAATTGGGGATGAACAGTTGCAGGGAGGAGAAAGGGCACCAAGCAATAGTAAGGAAGAAATGAACTACAAATTCACGAACTATAAGGAAAAACAAATGAAACATATTTATGATAACATAGTGACGTATGAACGTGAAGAAAACTTCCACAAAGGATTTGAAATATTTCAAAATGATATGAAACAAATGTTAGGAGTAGAATATTTAAAGGATTATAACATAGGAGAAGCATTTAAAATTTTTAATTTTTTTACAATAAATGAAGATAATTATAGCTACATAAATAAACACAGCGTGTTTACACTAATAGCAATTCTATCCATATATGAATCTAACTTTCTGAACTATATTTTAATTTCATTTCTAGTATATTTCAAAATCAATGTTCCCACGTTTGCATCGACCATTTTTTATTATGCCCACTATATACATAATAAAAACAGCATGATGTCAATAATGTTATTTATACATGTACTTACAGAGAATTATTTTTTTACCGACCTTATCCCTTCCCTTGTCAACTCTCATTTTTCAACGTGTAGTAGAGGTGGTAGCGGTGGTAGCGGTGGTAGCAGTAGTACTAGTACACATATAAAATATATTCTTTATGATAAAAATAAATCCGATAATTTATTTTTATGCACAAAGGACGATTACACATATCTGATTATACAACTCCTTAAACTTATAAATACCATTCTGAACACGAGCACAGACATATACATTGAAAAGAAAAACATTCTGCACCTCAATACCGTCTCCTCAAACTTTACTGCTACTAAAATGTATCACTCTGCTAATTACAATTTGGTTCTCAAGAGTGTTTTGAAGCACGAAGACCTTCCACGTAAGTCCCTGACCCTGACACGTGCTACACATGCATGGTCGTGCGTACATATATATGACTCTCTTTTGCATAGATTGCACCCGCCCCTTATCCATTTATTGTAAAATACTTGTCAATCTTTACGTCATATTGAAAACCCCCACATCAATTGCTTACCCCTCGCAGATGTTTGTGATAAAGCGCTGGAGAATATACTTACTTACTTGTTGGATGTGAAAGATCATGATGAATGGCAGAGAACAAACATAATTGTTAATTATATGAGAGAGAATATAGAGGGCATGAACATCGCTTTGGTTGATATGTATAAGAAATATATGAGTTATCAGGAGGGAAAAGTCTTACCCCCATGATATGTGTACCTTTTGCTATGTTTTTGACAACGAGACACCTACCCGAACATACATAATATGTAGTAGATATGTAGTAGATATATGTATACATACATATATACACCTAGTGCATATGCATATATATGCATACCCTTAAGTGCAAACTGGGGAAAATATACGTGAGAATAATAGAGGATCACCGGTGCAGATTAATATGGTAAGGTATATATATATATATATATATATATATATATATATAAAGTTACCTTGCTGTACAATATACACTTTTGAACATACCTGTAGCAGTTGTGTATCCATGGGGTAAAATTTCCCTTTTGAAGAATTTTGCGTTTGAAAATTAACCGAACTCATCCCCAATAGAGTCATTTCGGTACCAACTTGGCACGCACGCATGCACACATGTACAATGACACAGGTACGTCCATGCAGTTAAGCCGATGCAGTTACGTCGATGCAGATATAGATATACATACCTACGTGCACACCTGAATTTGATTCCTTAATAAGAAACATCCAACGGAAATGTGAACTAGGAAAACGCGACTATGTGCTTGTGCAGAAAAAGTTAAACATTCTTATGAAAAGTGGCAAGGGTGGAAAAACATATTGCTTTAACAGATCATGTGAACGTTGCAAAAAAGGGTGAAAAAATATATATGCATGTATGTATGTACGCGCATGTATACGTGTTTAATGCATGTACGCGCATGTATACGTGTTTAATGTATGTACACACATGTGTACTTGTGGATGCATATAGCTATCTAGCTAGCCAATTGTTGGCAAAACACCGTTCTATACTTCTATATCACCTGAACAGTAAGGTGGATTAAGGAGAGGAAGACGACAAAAAAAAAAAAAAAAAAAAAAAAAAAAAATCAGTTGCTAATATTTTCCAAGATACCACATTCGCACACACTACACCAGTAGTAAATATACAAGAGTTGCAAAATGATGAGGTTGTTGTATTTTTCTTTATTCATGTGATCCGTATCATTGTTAACATTATCAGATTTCCCATTCTTGTTTTTTGCTTGACATGAGGAAAGTGGTGAAGTGTTGCTAAAGAGAAAATCATCTTCCATATGTAGAAGAAAACACATGTTTGGATTTTTTCGAAAAAGAAACTTAACAATTTGGTTATAACCAGAATTCTTGGGAGTAGGAGGAGGGGTGTTAAGAAAGTGCGACTGAATGTAATTTATGAAAATGTTTTCAAAATTTTTTTTATTTTTAAATTCAGTTATGTAATTAATTTTGTTTTTTTTCCGTTTCATTACATCAAAGATTGGTATATTAATATCCACGAGGGAGAAATGAAAGATGGCTTTATTATTTTTTCTCCGCTTTTCATTTTTACATCCACTTGGACTTTCCTCATGTAAGAACAGCTCCAATTTTATGAGAAAAATGATTGTATGTTTTTTAAATTTATTTATATTTTTATAATTTATGCACCTTTTTATGCTCCCAATTTTTTTTAAGTCAATGTACTGTAAGTATAGATTGGTCCTGTTGCCACTTCCCTCCGTCTCAACATTACTGTGTTGTCTGTGTAAATTTCCATGCTTATTCTTTTCTTTCGTCCCTGTTTTATTTTGTTCATTCCATGTGTCCGTAGCAGCAATAGAAGTGGTAGCAATAGTAGTGCTCACGTCTGCATGAGAAGTAATTGTTCTTCCCTCGACACTACCGGCACACACACGAGCTTTGCACCCATCAGTCTCACGCGATATGCACTCCATATGATCGTGTGCAAATTCCCCTGTATTAACAGCACTCTTGAATACACACTCACCAATATTAAAAAGGCGTTCCATGCCACGCTGGGCATATATATGTAATGTTAAGTTGTATGCATTATCAACATACATATTATTCGCTCTTTTTTTTAATTCATTTACAATTTTTGTTAACATTGTTTTTTTTTTTCTTCCATTCATCATGTAAGACACTTTTTTTTTCTCAGTTCTGGCACTTGTTGCTTTTTCCCCCTTTTCCTCTTTTATGTCTTTTGCCTTTTTGGTATCCTTCGATGCACTAGCATAATTGACATATGTACTTTTTCTGTTAATCCTTTTTCTTTGAAACTTATTTGAACGTGTATATAAATGCACGTCTTTATGAGAAGCATACCACTTCCACGTTTCGTCCTCCCGTTGGAAGAAGTTATTAGTGTTCCCTTTTTCCATTCTTCTTTGCTTGATATTTCTATTTGTAATTTTTTCCTCTTTTTCTGTGTCATAGATTTTCTCTTCACGGGTGCTTGTTCCGCGTGAGTTAGTGTTTTTGTGCAGGTGCGGATTTTCCTTCAACTGAGAATTTCTCCACCGCTGATCATTTGTATCTCTGCTCCTTCCGTGGGCTTTCTCAACGTCGAAATAATCACTAAAGGAACTCAAAAAAGACATTTTTTTTTTTGTCGTTGAAAAGTTAAGGGAGAAACTAAACAAGGCCACGTTGTTCTGATTCACGAAGTCGTCTATATACTTGCATATAACAGAAGACATAAATCCGTTGCAAAAAATGTTATTTATAAATATGGAATCGAAATAATATACCTCCCGTAGGAAAAGCAACGAATGTTTGTTCACAATTTCAATCTTATCATTGGACAGCAAAAACTTTTCAAGGTTTTTTTTTTTAATATCTAAAATGCATACTGTCTCAGGAACAGGGAAGAGAGTCGTACTTTTTCTGCTCTTTTGGAGAAAAGATCTTTCTTCTCTGATTATTAATTTTTTTTCATCTACTGGTGCATTATGATGGTACATTTTTATTGGAATTCTATTTTTAGGAGTTTTGTTTAAATTACGAATTATTTTGTTTATTTTCTTTTCATATAAAAATAGTTTTATTTTATTTAAGGTATCAAAAGTTTGTATTTCATTTAATGGTCTATTTTTATTGTTGAATCGGTTACAAAGAATAGTCAATATTTTCATGAGAGATTGTATATCAGTGCTAAAATTTTCATACATAACATGCAAGTAAAATAATTCGTTATTTTTTTTTTTTGTGAATGATATATTGTTTCTTTTATGTTTTTCGAAAGTCCAATTTTTTAAATAATTTTTAATTTCAATTATGCTTCTTTTTGGATAGTCTTCTCGTTCTGTTAGTGCGTTTCCAAGCTCTTTATGAACCTGGTCTATTATTCTGTGCACTTCCTTTACATTGTCCATTTTCTCAAAATTATTTATTTTGTTTTCTAGCAATATTTGCACGCGTCTTAACAGTTTTCTCTTGGTGTATATTCCTTTGTTTACATCACATTCATTGGCAGTACTTCCGTAGTGCAATCTGAATCTCCTCTTGATGTTTTCCACCTCTTCGTTTGCAGCCTTGTGGGGGTGAGAAGCATGTGTGCATAAGGCAGATACGAAGTAAGGACTCTCAATGCAGACACGAAGTAAAGACTCTCAATGCAGATACGAAGTAAAGACTCTCAATGCAGATACGAAGTAAAGACTCTCAGTGCAGATATGAAGTAAGGACTCTCAATGCAGACACGAAGTAAGGACTCTCAATGCAGACACGAAGTAAGGACTCTCAATGCAGACACGAAGTAAGGACTCTCAATGCAGACACGAAGTAAAGACTCTCAATGCAGACACGAAGTAAAGACTCTCAATGCAGATACGAAGTAAAAACTCTCAATGCAGGTGCTTGGACATATTTCCCTCTTTTATTACATTCGAATGAACGACTCGTTCATAAGGAGCAACATTTGAAATGTTCCATTTTATAGCACGTGTCTATCATATTTATGGCAAGTGTGATGATTTGCTGCATACTCAGATTTTACCTGCAAGGTGCTGTATAAACGATCTACCTCCTTTTGTTGTCGCTGTAGATAACGCATATAATACAAGAACATATTCCCCCTCGTGTGATACTTCTTAACAGTTTTGTTCATGTTAATATGATTTAATTTTATATCATAATTTTTTAATTGATGAAATGATGTTTGTATTTTTCCATTTTTCAGTTGTAGAAGACTATGTATTATTGTCTCATTGAAAGTGCTCAGAATCTTTTCTTCCATTTCATTCTCAGCATTTAGCTTGTTCTCCTCTTCATTTTTCGTTAATATTTTTCTGATAATTTTTGAGCTTTTCGTTTTGCTTCCATCTAGCGATTTTGTGGGCGCTTCATTTGGAGAGACGCAGCCAAGTCGCAACTCATCCGGTAGCAACTCATCCGGTAGCAACTCATCCGGTAGCAATTCATCAGGTAGCAACTCATCAGGTAGCAACTCATCAGGTAGCAACTCATCAGGTAGCAATTCATCAGGTAGCAATTCATCAGGTAGCAATTCATCAGGTAGCAACTCATCAGGTAGCAATTCATCAGGTAGCAACTCATCGGGTAGCAACTCATCGGGTAGCAATTCATCAGGTAGCAATTCATCACTTGGATACTCGCAAATGTTTGCAACTTTTTCTATGGTAACCTCACTGGTACACATGCTCCCCTCCTTCTCCTCCTCCCCTACCGCTGCTTCCTTCTCTTCAAATTTTCTCCTATTTCCATCCCCCTTCATGTTTTCATAGTCTGACTTATCAGACTCTACATCTACTACCTCCACTTGTTGTTTAATCAGATACCCCTCTTGTTGCCCCTCCAGGAAAAGAAACTCAGGTTTCCTTTCTTTGTATTTTTCTTTTCCATTCGGTTCTCCCACATCTTTCACTTCGTCCACTTGTTCAGCTTCGTCAACTTCGTCCACTTGTTCAGCTTCGTCAACTTCGTCCACTTGTTCAGCTTCGTCAACTTCGTCCACTTCTTCAACTTCGTCCACTTTTTCCACTTCTTCAACTTCTTCCACTTCTTCAACTTCTTCCACTTCTTCAACTTCTTCCACTTCGTCAACTTCTTCCACTTCACTACTTCTAGGAAGGGCTAAGTGTCCCCCTGCATGGACACACACATGGGAGAACAAGTTGACGTGTTCTTTTCCTTGCCTATTGGAAGAAGTGTTAAGGCAGTTTTCATCCTCTGCATGACTTAGCTTGTAGATGTTTTTTTTTTCCTTTTCACTTTCCCATGGAACCTCAGTTGGAAGAGTGACATCAACATGGCTAGAAATTTCGAGGAAACTCCGATCGACATTTTGAACGCATTCGGAATTTTCGGACTTCTTATTTCCAGTTTCTGTGAAAATGGATTTCCTTATTTCTTTATCCTTTCCTGTTGAGCTATTGTGGTATTCAATGTGCGAGGTTGCAAATGGTGCAGCAGGTTCGGCATCTTGCTTTATATTATAGCTGTTTCGGTCTGCGCAATGGTTATTTCCGCCTGCACAATCGCTATTCCCCCCTGCACAATCGCTATTCCCCCCTGCACAATCGCTATTCCCGCCTGCACAATCGCTATTCCCGCCTGTACAATCGCTATTCCCGCCTGTACAATCGCTATTCCCGCCTGTACAATCGCTATTCCCGCCTGTACAATCGCTATTCCCCCCTGCACAATCGCTATTCCAATTTTCCTTCTGGTGAAGACCCCCCAATTTTGTAATAAGATCGGAAAAGGGAAGGGTATACCTTGCGAAGATGCGACTATTCTTAAAAACGAGAGTTTGTTGGTAATTCAAGTAAAGGTATAAATTTTTAAGACAAAAGTTCATATTAACAAAATAGTTTAAAAATACATCCGAATGTAAATTATGATTTGATTCATATTTAGCTAATGATATAATTATTTTTAATTCCTTCTTGGCCACATCTAGATGCAGTTCTCTGTGCTCCACCAAGTCAGTCTTTTTATCTGAACAGGTGCATATTACGCACGATGTTGTAGAATTCTCTGGAAAGTGTAAACTAAAACAGGAAATACAAACCACTGGATTGAAATTAATTAAATTCATGAAAGTAAAAAAACATGATGCACACATGTGTTTTACTGTATTCATAGGGAAGAGCTTTTTTTTTATTTTTCTCATTAAGGATGTTTTTGAGCACAGTGTGCATTGTTCGGCGTTATTCTTTTCTTGGTGGTTCATCCAACTGGTTCCTTCTTCTCCGCCTCTATGGTTCATCCAATTGGTTCCTTCTTCCCCGTCCTGATGATCCGAATTTCTACCAGAGTATGCTCTGTCTAAGCACTCCCCAAATGACACATGATCGGTTCCCGAATGTGACCCCACTTGGCAAATATGACTCATAGATGGAACTGTCCCTTCTTTTAGAAAGGAACGGCCATATATGGAATTCTTTTTAACAGATTTCAAATTAGGATGTTGTAAACTTGGAGTGGAATAAGATTCAAATGAATTCTCCAACCAATGATCATCAGAGAGTATGTTCTTTTTTTTATTGTATCTTTTTTCCTTTTTATGTTTTCCTTTTTTTCTCTTGTCTATTTCTTCATCTCTTTCTTCATCTCTTTCTTCATCTCTTTCTTTGTCTCTTTCACTTTGCTCACTGTCAAAACATGCATCATTCCTTCTTTCAGTATATTCCTTTATATTGTTACTTATACACCAAGCGTATTTTTTTCTTTTCTTTTTTTTTTTTTTTTTTTCGCTTCTCTCCTTTTCTCCAGATTTCTTCCTTTGCGCTTTACTATTAAAAATGTCATTCTTATTTTTCTGTACATGGTCAGAATTATTTTTCGAGTTTTTTTTTTTTTTTTTTTTTTTCATACTTTGCAAATTGAAGGAGGAGTTATTGTCTGTGGCAGAGAAATAAGAAGACAAGTCATTTTCATGTCTCTGCTCTTCCTCATCCCAAGTGAACAGAGAGTAGTCTCCGCTTGATTTTGAGCTATCAGTGGATAGAATGTCATGATTATCGTTTAGAATTTTCCTTAGTGTCACGTATTTATCCGGCATTATTGCATTCCTGTTGCTTCCTGTACATGGGTATGTGTTCGCGCCTGTGCCTGCATATGCTTATGCACTATCGTGGCAGTACACTATTGTAGCAATACACTATCTTGGGAATGCACTATTGTGAGCTTGTATGAACGTTCATATGAATTAAGGCACACATGCATCAAGGTACACATATATAAAGGGGCCTACTCGTGTGAACTTTTATTTCATCCAACACTTACGCCGTGCTTCCAGTTTCTGCAGTTGGACAATAACATATTTTTATTATTCCAAAAAAAATCGTGTCACAAAATACACTTGTTAGAGTTGTTCTCGCGCTGTTTTCCACAATTCATCATAACAGGTATCGCTAAAGACATGCACACAAAAAAAAAAAAAAAAAAAAAAAAAATAAGCAAAAATAAGGAAGTAAAAATTAGCAAGCAAAAATTAGCAAACAAAAATTAGCAAGCAAAAATTAGCAAACAAAAATTAGCAAGCAAAAATTAGCAAACAAAAATTAGCAAGCAAAAATAAACAAATTAAGTGATGCCAAAGCAACAGTTTATAAATGCCAAAAACATGCGAACGCTCTGTTCCGTCAACAGGAAAAAGATCGCGGAAAAAAAAAAAAAAAAAGAATAACAAAAATAGAAAAATAAATGGACAAATGCGTGTGACCTCAAAATGGATCTTCCAAACCTTCCAAAACTTCCAAACCTTCCAAAACTTCCAAACCTTCCAAAACTTCCAAACCTTCCAAAACTTCCAAACCTTCCATACCTTCCATACCTTCCAACGAATATAATTTGAGCGTAGGGAGGGGGAGAAAGGAGGTTTGGCACGCCAAACAAAAAGACACACTCAGTAGCAGTATGCAGCAGTTTGCTTTAGTCTGCGTAAGTTTGTGGCAATCGACCTCTTTTTATTCCACCACTTGCTAGTCCACTTTGGTGCACCCCTTTGCTCGGGCAGTGGGTAACCTGCTTAGGGATTTCAATCCGAAAAAGGAACGAGACGAGACGGTGGATATTTAAGGTCTGAAGTTACTTCAAGTGTGCTTACATTTTAAGCCCCAAATTAAGGTGCATCAATTGTTTATCTCTCATCAATGCTTAAGTCATCTCTTTAAAATGAAAAGACATGAGTAACTTATCCAAAGCAGTAGACAACTTGAACATAACATATGCATGAGTATGTGCCAAGGGACTCAAAATATAACAGCAATTAATTAAGCAAATCGAAATATATGCACCCCAAATACATGGAAGAGAAGATGGAATTTATTGTCTCGTTTCACCATTTAAGCAGAAAGGCAAAAAGGAAAAAAAAAAAAAAAAAAAAAAAAAAAAAAAAAAATATTAAAATGTTAAAACAATAGAATGCTAAAACAGTAAAATGCTAAAACAGTAAAATGCTAAAACAGTAAAATGCTAAAACAGTAAAATGCTAAAACAGTAAAATAACAACTTCTTGTTTAAATAGTTTAAAGTTTTATTTGTTTTTCTCCTTTTTTTAAAAAATAATGGTAGAATTTTTCAAAAGGGTGTAAAAAAAAAAAAAAAAAAAATCTTCTAAAAACTAATTTGCTAAAAAATATGTGCAATATGAATACACATTATTTGTAAGTATTAAAAATGGTATCATAAATATACGGCACGATTTAAATTATTACACTGAAGAAGATGATATACACCTTTTTGTCTTAATTAATCCCCTTTTTTTTTTTTTTTTTTTTTTTTTTCTCCTTTTGTTTCTACATTAAGCATATCTTATCCATGTAAGAGAAGAAGATTCGAAAGCAATGTATTAAGATTTTAAATATAACTTTACTCCAAATTTGGTACTATCTGGAAGAGACATTTTTGTAACATCGACCTGTGAAAACACATTGGGAGGGAAAAGATGAAGACAAAGGAACGGATGAAAAGTAAATGTCGACATGACTTAGTATATATATACACACACGTATGCTGCCCCTCCTCCTTCCTGTGCAAGGGGATGGTTCCACCATCTGTTCATATATATATGTACTGTCATACAGATAGACAGCTTTTCCACCTGTGCATGTTTTTTTTTTTTTTTTTTTTTTTTTTTTTTTTTTTTCACCACTCGATTACACATATAACTCTCTCGTCTTGTAGTAATTTAGATATAAGCACACTGCAATTTGCTTTTATTTTTACCTGCGAACCCACTGAGACAGTAACAAATTCATTATACTTATGCGTTAGAGACAATGCAACCTTTGTATCATTACTGATTTTTGTCTTGATTGCTGTACTCTTATTGTTTAAGTACCAAATGGACGCTACGTTTATATTTGCTTTCCTTTCAATGATGTTTTGGATAAGTTCTATACTTACAGAATTATCATTTATGTTTTTGTTTTGAAAAAATAAATTCACAGCTACACTTCCGTACACGTGTTTGTTGCTTGGGATACTGTCAAGGGGGTTGGGAAATGTAAAAAAATGACAAGTATGTTGTTGTGAGGAATTAAAAATGTGTAACACTGTATCATTATACGATGGGTCATTAGAGATGCCATTAGAGGTGACACTAGAGATGCCATTAGAGATGCCATTAGAGGTGACACTAGAGATGCCATTAGAGGTGACACTAGAGATGCCATTAGAGGTGACACTAGAGATGCCATTAGAGGTTGTTTTCACGGCAGCAGGAACAGCTGAAAGCTCAGCTGGTCTCTGTTTCTCCTGTTGGGCAATCTTGCACATTCAGGAAGAAGGACAAAAGTGGCACGCAGAAATGAAATATTACGATCTGATAGAAAAGATGTATTGATTGTCGTGTTTATTATTCGTGTATGCCCCTCCGAATGAGTACTGAAGATTTTTTATGTCTAAATTCCCTTGCACGAGACCTTAAAAAAAAAAAAAAAAAAGATATGCACGTGTGAGATACTCTGCATGTGTGAGATACTCTGCACGTGTGAGATACTCTGCACGTGTGAGATACTTTGCATGTGAGAGGTTACACGTAGGAGTGAGGTTGGTACTTGCATATCATTTATGGGCAACTGTTAATTGTTTATGCAGGTTTTGAAAAAATGAACAAAAAAAAAAAAAAAAAAAAAAAAAAAATACACTGAGTAGTTGCAATATATACATATCCCTACCTCCAAACTTGAACTCTGGATACTTCGGATGTGAACCAACGTGAACATACTTAAAAAAAAAATTCCTTACATTAACAGAAGAAAATATGTTCATGTTGTCTGAAGTATACTCACTGTATACTTCGAATGAGTCATCTCCTTTTAAATTATTTTTTGTGTATTTTCCACATAGGTTTAGGTTTTTCACATAATTTGGCTGTGGCACAGGAGTGTGTGTAGGGATGGTGGTGGTGGAGGGGTGTATATTATGTTCACACACAGGGATACGTGCGTGTAATACGTATATGTACATACATACATGCATACATATGTATGTATATTTATTCTGCTATCCCCACATTTGCTTTCTATTGCATTATTTTGCTTAATTTTATTTTTTTCTTCTCATCAGTGCACACGCAAGTGGCAATAGAAAATTACCTGATACTTGACATCGAGTAGACTTATCCCTGTGTTATCAAATTTTAATTCATTTTTCGTGTTGTAAATGTTGTTTTTGAAATTTGTGTACACACTATACGTGTTATTGGAAAATGTAAATCCACTCTTCAGGAGCTGAGAAATGGTTGCGTGGGAAGGTAGATATGCGGGTAGGTGGATGTGTGGGTAGGCTGGACACCCGAGTGGTATCTATGCAAAAAGCTTAAAAAAGAAGAATCCCGCACTCTTTCACTTTGTTTTGAAAAAAATGTAGAGAAGTATTAGTGATAGTTATTCCACTTTTTTTTTTTTTTTTTTTTTTTTTTTTTTTTTTCTCTCCGCTTTGCAATTACCGGTTGCTTTGAAACGCTGGTGTGTTCTAATTCAAATTTATTGGCATGGGGAAAGTCATTTTTAAGTAGATCTGTGTGAAAATGAACATGTTTTAGATGTATGTGTTATGGGTAATTGGCAGTGAGTAAAATATTTTTGCATTTTTTGGAGTGGAAACAACTTTTTTTATATTGGTTTGGATCAAGCGAGTGCATCTGCCTCTAGCCCTACACTCTGTGTTACTTTCTACATTACGCACAGGGTGGTATATGACACGTGCATGAAATGTGTATGAATATGTAGTTGTTCATACGTATGTTCTCCCATGTGTCGTACATAGGTGTGGCAAATACAAGTACATACATATGCACATATTCAAGAACCGGTTCGGTTGTTACCTAAGGATGGCTTGTTTAACAGCTTTGGGAAATCCATGGTTGTCGATTATAAGAATGAAGCGATGTACTTGTAGATGGGGTGGAGGTGCTAGGGGCTGCAAGCAAAGCACAGTGCTGCTACATGCATACATAAGCACATACATAAATAGGTACATACATGCATGTATACATATCTATAAATACACAACTAACAAAATAGCGAATATCATGCGTGGGTACATTTCTTATGCATGTATAATATACTTTGTGGAAACGCATGTGACCTTTCGTGTTATATTCTCGATGTAAGTTTTTTTCTCTTCTTTCACAGTTAATATTATTTTATTTTATTTTTTTTTTTTTTCTCTTTTTTTATATTTTAATTGGAAGGGAAAAGTGTACATGTATAACATTAACAAATTGAAAAATGTTTCCAAAAAAAAAAAAAGTAATTTAATATATGGATCCTTTTGCACCATTCTTTGGATCATTCCTTTGCACGATGTTGTCGTGCTTCTTTTCTAGTGCATTTTACTGTGCCTTCTTTGTTTCCTTTATTATGTTACTTTATTTTGTTACTTTATTTTGTTATCTTATGACATGTTGTGTTATGCTGTGCTATGCTATAGTTATTTAACTCATTTTGTTATTTTAATTTTTTTTATTTTTGGTATGAGCTTTTCCAAATGGGGAAAGAGGTACGAGTTATATTTTTTTTTTTTTTTTTTTTCTTTTTTTCTTTTTTTCTTTTTTTCTTTTTTTCTTTTTTTCTTTTTTTTCTCTTCTTTTTCTTTTTTAACTTTTTTTTTTTTTTGCTGATCCGGCCTTGCATCATCTCCAAGTAGCAAAGATACGTGAAAAACCTCACTTTGTGTGTTTCCAAATATGTAATTATATACACGAGAGGTTTGTATTTTCTTTTTTCCTTCCCATTTTACATTTTATGTTAAACAAAGATTTGTACTTGCGGAGGGTGTGGGGTGTCAATAAGTACGTCCCTAAGTGTGCACACATCTTACTCTCTTGAATAAGATTATATGCACACGGTACACAACAATTATACGGCCTTTTAAGTAGTTGTTTTTTTTTTTTTTTTTTACTACCACCAACACATCCATTTGAAGCCTACACACTCAGACACAATATAAATGATTCAGAGCAGGTGAGATAAACCAAATTCCATATCTCTCTCTACACACTTCTAAGAAAAGAACCATAAAAAAAAAAAAATAAATTTTTTAATTGGGAACTTTAAAATGAACAAGTTGTAATAAGCCGGTAGAAAAGAACATTCACAAAAACGAGAGATTTAAAGAAAAAAAAAAAAAAAAAAAAAAAAATCAATGTTTTTACCGTAATGATAGTATAAAACTGTTACTGATTTTACTTGGTGGAACTTTTTTTTTTTTTTTTTTTTCCCATAATTGGTGGGTAAATTGTGTCAGTGCGAGGGAAAGTATGGAGAGTCCTTCGTCTGGAAATGCATATCTCATATCTCTTCTCCCGTGGGTGTAGGTAGGTTTTAATGTATATACCATTTGCTTTTTCATTTAATATTCACATTTTGATACTATGCTTTTGAGTTACTTTTCAATTGATCCTGAATTTTTCCACTTATTTTCAATTTCTTCCAATGCTCCACAATTTTTCCACTTATTTTTAATTTCTTCCAATTTTTTTTTTTGGTTTCTGTATGTATATAATATTTTAAGGCACAGATTCCCCACTCTGTGCTTACATGTAATGCACATAATTGAGGTCGATTGCAGATTGTTCATTTTGGATAAAAATACAAATAATAACTACGTGTGATATTATACATGTATATAATGTATGAATATATATATATATATATATTTTCAATGCGAAGGGATGGAAAGTACCAGAATATTTTTAAAATGAAGAAAGGTTTTTTTTTTTTTTTTTTTTTTTTTTTTTTTCTCCTTTTATAGTTGACACACCATTTGTTGTGTTTGTACAAAAGTATGTATAGCGCAACGTTGATAAAAATTTTTACATGTTCTGAATTTGAATTTCTCATTAGAGTTCTTACCCATCTTATGTAAAACCTTTTCTTTTTCATCCAATCGAAGGACATGAAGAACTGAAAATCAGCTCCCCACCGATAGCTCCTTTTTTGCTAAGAGCCAAGGCATTTTCGAATGTATGCAGTTATGTACATATATGTACAACGTATATGAGTATATATATAGGTATATATAAATATATATATATGTATATATAAATATATATATATATGTATATATAAATATATATATGTATATATATATTTTTTAATCTTTCCTTTGCTCCTTTCTTCTCTCGTTTCTTCTCTCGTTCCTTCTTTCGCTTCTTCTCTCGTTTCTTCTTTCGCCTCTTCTCTCGTTTCTTCTTTCGCCTCTTCTCTCGTTTCTTCTTTCGCCTCTTCTCTCGTTTCTTCTTTCGCCTCTTCTCTCGTTTCTTCTTTCGCCTCTTCTCTCGTTTCTTCTCTCTTGTTGCTTCTTTTTCTTCTGCTTCCATTCCCATGTAGCGTTTGTGCTAGATCATCGTTGAAATTGTTCATGTGTATGCAAAATTGTACAATTGTGAAAAATATGGAGTAGGGTTTTTTTCACAAAAGGGGATGAAAGAAAAGAAAAAGAAAAAAAAAAAAAAAAAATTCATACTCAGTTGACCTTATTATTATAGCAAAAATAGAGCAGTTTGTTGTAACTTGTAGGGTGGTAGGAACCCGAATAACTATTTTTATGAGCGAGGAATGAGAAGGAGATCTATGATAATTCAGAAGGGCGAGACAGGGGAAAGAGAATGTACATACATACATGCATATATATGGATGCGTACAAATAAAACATATCGATAGAGGAGTAAAAAAAAAAAAAACAAAGGAAAGGTGGATGACCCAATGGAAGACATTTTGAATGAAATAATTTCTTTAAGTGAGAAGAAGCGTATGGAGAGGTCTCAGGAAGGCAGCACAAGAGAAAGTGTCAAATTTGGAATGAACCAACAGAAGAAGAAACAGGATGATTGTGTAACAAAGTTAAGTGGAAAATCATATCATAGTAGTAAGAGTGCAACAATATGGAGTAGACACATGGTTGGTGAGAAACATCAAACTGGGGAGAAGCCTCCAACTGGGGAGAAGCCTCCAACTGGGGAGAGCAGAGGTGAGTCGGATGATCTGGGGAATCAGTGGGACTCGTCGACAGTGTGTTCTGTGGAAGATGACATATGTGAAGAGAAAGCACATTTGTTTAAGAAAATAATTAACCAAAGAAATAAAGCAAATAGGGTAAAATCGAATGAGAATGAGGAAATATCGGGAGCAGAGGCGGAGATTTATTTTAAAGATCTTGAGAAGAATGTAGATGAAGAGACTATTCCGTTATGTGAAAATAGGAGTGCACTAAATTCATACTTAATAAATGTAAATGAAATTAATACAGACATTTCATGTTTGTATACAAATATGGACAAAATGAACATTTTAAAAAAGAAAATTGACCTGAATATTTATGACAATGAAGAGTTGAATGGGAAGATTAATTCAATTATTTCCAATTGCGAAGAAATAATTGCAAAAGTGAAAATAAGAATAAACAGATTAAATGAAGAAAATATAATATTTGAAAAAAATAGTAACCTTGTGAGTGAAATTAAATTACGCATAAACATCTTCATTGATATTGTAAATAAATATAAAATGTGTATTAATAAATATAAAAATATATGTAACCACTATTATGAATATATAAATAAAAATCTAATAAAACATTATAAATTGATTATTCCAAATATAAATGATCTGATGGAGGGGAAAAAGAGTACTAGTTCAAGATTCCACAATAAATTCCTGACAAGAGGTAAAACAACACCAGTACTACTACCATATGAAGATATAGAAAATTTCTTAAATTCAGAAAAAACAAATAAAAACATGTACCAAAATTGTGGATATAATAACATGTACACAACAAATATGGAACAAGTAAATATACAAAAAATGAAAGAAAAATATAAAGAATTAAAACAATTAGAAAAAAATATTTCTGCATTGAATGAATTATACATAGAACTTGCTTATGTCATAAAGAAAAGAAAAAATTACATTAATAATATTGAAAATAATGTCTACCATGTCAAAGATTATACTCAGGATGCACTCCACAATATTATACAAGCCAATAGATACAATACTCTTATTAAAAAAAAAATTTTCTATTTTAGCATTTTCCTCTTAGTTATTGCCTTAATTATTTTGTTTCCTATTTTTTTCAATTATACTCTACTCCATTGATGTACAAAAATACCAACACGTTCTTCATCCCCTCCTCTCCACTTCTGCTTGTCCTTTTGTAATTACATATTTAAAACGCCTTTTATCACGTTCATTTGGTCAAGACCTACAAAAGGTTTCATCTCTGTGTCCTAGTGCTCCATATATTTTGATGACTCGAGTCTGTATTTTTCCTCTCTCACGACGACCATCACCCTTCGCAGTTCTTAAGTAGGACCCTATTTTTGTTTTGTTTTTCCACTCTTCATTCTGTTTGTGTAGCTCAACGGTATATTAAACAGCTCGTCTGATCATATTTCGTGCGCATCACATTTCGTGTGCATCATATTTCGTGTGCATCACATTTCGTACGCAACACATTTCGTACGCATCACATTTCGTACGCATCACATTTCTTTCTCACCATATTCCTCTTCTGAGAGGAAAAATGTAGGGAGGTTATAACCTCCACCTACCAATTTTTTTAATTTTTCTTTTTCTCTCCTGCTCGTGTCTTTTCATTTGTCTGCGTTAGTAATGGGCACAAGTATCACACGTCGAGTATCGTGAACATTTTTTTACGCACTTTAAGTATTAATTTATTTTGCACTTGTGTATTTATTTATTTATTTTTTTTTTTCCATCCTATTTAGTTAGATGTCACTTCTTCTGCTACACCACCTAGGTGCAACATTGCTGTTTTTTTTTTTTTTTTTTTTTTTTTTTTTTTTCCTTTTTTTGTTTACGCATGTATTTTTGCATGCTTGCAATCACATGCTCATGGGCACGAGCAAATTTTTAACGCGATGATGTAACTTTATTTTTCACAGAATTTTCAACCCACTTCCACCTGCAAACACATTGTAGCAACATAGAGAGATGTCATATGTATAGCTATGTAGATGCATTATATTACAATCGCGTAGGTGTACAGGGTGTAGATGTAATTTTCCACAACAAACAGAACGATGTTCACGCTTCACGGTCTCCCATGTGAATAGAATCCACTCATTTTGTAAATCACCTAAATGTCTCACTCGTTTGATGTAACTGAACTGAGGATATGTATTATTATCGAACTTGTAAAAAAAAGAGTGTGGGACAAAAATTGTCAGATGCTTGTGTCATTTACAAGATTTTTTTTCTTATTATTTTATTTCTTACTATTTTATTTCTTATTATTTTATTTCTTACTATTTTATTTCTTACTATTTTATTTCTTACTATTTTATTTCTTACTATTTTATTTCTTACTATTTTATTTCTTACTATTTTATTTCTTATGATTTTATTTCTTATTATTTTATTTCTTACGATTTTATTTCTTACTATTTTATTTCTTATTTGTTTCATTTTTGGGATGTAGAGAAGTATCATCCACCTCAGACAGAGATACGTGCTGTAGAGGTACACATAGCAAAATAGAACCAAAGAAAAAGAAAAAAAAAAAAATTGACAGTTTAAAATGGAACGAAAAGTGTATCCGTAAAAATTAAAGCTCTATGTTTTGGAAAACATGCACATGTTCATGTATGTATGTATGTATGTGTGTGTACGTCCCTCTGTCTACATGTATAAGTTCTTGTGTGTGTGGTTTCCGGTCAGTGTTGTGAGAGATGACACAAATGGAAAAGAAAACTGAAGGTGCAAAGGATTCGAGCGAGCGTGGACTGTTAAACAAACGGGTTAATCAAATGGCTAAGTGAAACGCACGCACATATACATATACATATACATACATATACATACTTATACATACATATACATACTTATACATACATATACATACATATACATACTCATACATACACACACACACACACACACACACACACACACACTGAAAAAGGAAAAAACAGGAGTAGGAAAAATTCACAAGGGAGTGTTATAGTCTTGGTATATTTCTAATATTAATTCTTTTAAAAGTGGTGGGGTATATATTTTTCTCAAAGGGTTTTCATCAATCATCTGCTTTTGGTAACATTCACATATAAAACAATATAAAATGCTATCTGTTATAGTTGATATAATTGTGATAAAGTAGGATGTTATCTCTCCACACAGCACTCCAATAATCTGTGAGATGAGGTTTTGTAAACAGAGAAGGAGTTGATAAAAGATGAGAACGTTGAAGATGTATATCATTAACTTTCAATGCAAATATAATATCTCTACATGTAGGTTGTCTGTTCAATCTCTACATCAAGTGTTCACCAATTGGGTATCCCCTTTTTTATTTTATTATGTTTTTTTTTTTTTTTTTTTCATTATCTTTTTTATTATTATTATTTTTTTTTTATTATTATCTTTTTTATATTATTATCTTTTTTATATTATTATCTTTTTTATTATTATCCTTTTTGTGCGTTTACAAATGATGCAAAAAACGGATTGGGAACAAAACTCGGGGAGACCAAATCTCTATATCGTTCAAAATTGTTAAAAATCTGGTGAGTGAAAAAAAAAAAAAAAAAAAATGACAAGAATAGTATCAGTTATGACTCTGGATTTAGCCCTAGCAGTAGCTGCGATTGCAATGGTGGAATGACTGACGTATCCAGTTTTCTCTGTCGCCTTAACTGAAGGAAAATAATTTTTTTTTTTTTTTTTTTTTTTTTCCCCTCTCTTCTCTCTTTCCGATTTGTACATTGAATGAGACGAATGTAACTATTAAGGTTGTTAAGCACGGGAATATGATATTCACTATGTAGGTTATCTGTAGGGGATGAGGTGGGGGGTAAAAAATGGGCATAAAAAAAATAAACACTTGATTGTGTCCATTTATGTAGACGTGTACGTGTGAGTGTCTCCATAGGAGTGAATCATTTTTTTTAACACTCACTGGATTGTACTTTTTTCTCCTTACCCCATGTAAAGATGCCGCTGGTGAAGTTGAGTTTATTAATTTTTTTGACGACGCATAACAGCTGAATAAATATGGGTACGAGGTCATGGATATCTGTAAAAAGGAAATTATTATAACTCATTTGTTCTCGGGTTGGGTAGACATATATTAAAATAGTGATATCATGAAAATTTGTTTTTGTTTACATTTTTTTTTTATTTTTATTTTTGATAAGGAGGTAAGAGGTTTCATTTTTCCTTTTTTTTTTTTTTTTTTTTTTTTTTTGAACTTGTCCTTTTTTGCTTTCCCCTCCGTTTCTTCCTTGCCACATGTTTATTTGTTTTTAATTTTAAAAGTGGATATATACCTCACAATACGCAACCACTGTATGTTTATCAATTAAATTCGAAATAGGTCTTAAAAAAAGAGCTGAATTGTTGGGAATGATGCAAGGGAAGAATAGATAATATGTTGTGCAGCATTAAGGTTTGCGTTGAGGAAAGACAGGTAAATATGTTGTGCAACATTAAAGTTCTGTTGAAGGATCTAGATGATTATATGCTTATGTATGCTCCCGTCTGTGCTAACTAATGTTAGCATGCGTTAGAAAGTAATAGTAATTGAAAAAAAAAAAAAAAAAAAAAAAAAAAAAACTCTTTGGAGCTGAGGGACTTCCATTTATTGTGCTTACAAAACCGTTCCTTTAAGTTATGAATTGTTTCATTAGAGAAAAATGGAAGAGACAAAGTGCTGTTCGTCCAAAAAAACAAAACACGTAAATGCTTCGTGCACAAGTTAATAAAACTTGATAAAATCAAACTACCCAAGTGATAATTTAATATTGTCTCTGTAAGGAGGGGAGAAAAAAAAAAAAAAAAAAAAAAAAAATGAACTGCGTGAACTTTTATGTTTTTCCATATTATGGATTCCTTGTCGAGTTTGACGTGAATTTGAAAATGGAAAAATTACTCATAGTTGCTTGAGCACTAAGATTATAATTCACGCTGTTCTTGTCGCAAAAGTACCATACAGCTCCTGCAAAGAATAACATTGTGTATATGTATAAAAATTAACGAATATGCAGCGAATGTGCAGAAAATATGCAGCAAATGTGTAGAGAACGTGCTGAAATATGTTTGAATACATTCCCTAAATCAAGGCAGAAAATGTTCAGATACCTAAATAACTTATAGTGAACTGGTTTAACGACTGCAATATTTCACAAACGAAGAAATAGGAATAAATCCAAAATCTGAGGAGAGGAGAAGAAAAAAAAACAAAAAAAAAAAAAAAAAAAAAAAAAGGTGTGCAAATAGTGTACACATATGCTGAGACAATTTGTATCATTTCCTCTTAGATCTTTGTGCGTGCTTTTTTCCTTTTTATTTTATTTTTCTTCTCCTTCCCAACCCCACATACAACAAGTGGATCTGTCTTACATTGAAAATATATAGGAGCTTCTGAAATAGTGAAAGACCTTCTGAAGGGACACAATTTCGCTGTTTCCATTCTTATCCAGTTCCAATTGCAGCTGTAAAAGTGAGAAAAAAAAATATATTCATTTTTTTCTCTTGCATAAGTTGATGCCTTTTACTTCGGGAAGAATGAGCTGCTGCCACAGTTGCAGTTGCAGCTGTAGCTGCTGGTGAAAGTGCCGCTTTACGCCTGAACAGGTAATAATTTCATGAAGAAAAAAAAAAAAAAAAAAAAAAAAACTAGCTATCTAGCTAAAAAAATCTAACGAACTAAATACCCGTTCATGCAAATACGAATACTAAAATTTTAATCCTTTTTGCAAAATTACCCTCTTCTCGTGAAGCGCACCAGCGGTCATTATATATATATAGCCATACATCCAAATAAAAAACCACAGAAAAGAAAAAACTGAAACAATGAATGGTGAATACAACACGTTGGATACATTATTGATAAAGTTCAACGTAACCGTAATTAATCTGTGTGTGTATTTGTATGTATTTTTGTATAAATATAATATGAACAGATAAATAATTCCATGAGCCAGTAGAACAAAACAAACAAAAATGGATGTTAAATAATGATACGAAAAAAATGTACCCTTTATGGGATTAAATAAGAGGTATAAATGTTTGTGAATAAAATATATAGGATAAAAGAACATTGAACAAATGAATAAAGTTAGAGATAAATGAAAAGTAGCGGCTGGTATGTAATACAAGGAAAATAAATAAATAAAGCATAAAATAATAGTCAGGAAAACAAAGAGAAAGACATAAAATACTGCATTGTGAAAGGAAAATAAATTAACAAGAGTTTTATATCTATCTGTAAATACTATATTTATAACTTTCTGTCTTAATACTTTATCCCTTGGATAACATATATTCATGATATTAACTGTATCATAATATGGGGAATTTAAAGAATATTCAACATACAAGTTGTTATGTAAACTTTTTGTGTAATCACCATACACTACGTTGGTTGTTCTGTTTCCCTTCTTGTCCACAATTGTTTCTTTTTTGGTTTTATCAAAAAATGAAAATGGATTCTCAAAAAAACTCTCCTTTGATTTTGCCCCTCCGCTGAGATTCGTCTCTGCTATTTCTTCTTTTTGTTTTTCCTCTTTTTTTCTTTCTTCCAATGTCGGACATGACTCCAGGCATTTCCCATACTTGCTCAATATTTCCATTTTTGGCAGTTTCGGTGACAAGGGAAAATATAAATAAGAATAATTTTTCATGTGCCTTCCACATATTTTACCATTGTAATTAGTGCCATATAACACTCTCGCATAATCTCCATGATAAAAATAATAAAGTATACATATGAATAAAACAAATATGTATGTAAAAAAATATACAGAATATTTAACATCCGTGTGTAATCTTTTATTTCCCTCAATATGTTCATAATTCATAGGTTGTCCTCCGACATATTCTCCTTCATTTCCAACTATATACGTTAAAGGTGTACCCAATGGTACATTCTCATTTTCGCTGCTCTGATTGTTTATATTTTTTCCACACTTCAAATTATTTCTATTTAGGTTATCATCAAAATCATGTGTGTTTATGTTCATATTATCTCCCTTATCTGTACGCTCAATAAGGGATGCATATTCTCCCTTCCTCCTCTCATCACTATAGTTCATGAGCGCTGCAAAAATTCGTTAATAGAGAAGAGTAGATCTAGTACAGGATTTCAACGAGCGAATATGGGGCACAAATTTAGCAAAGTGGAAATTGTAACATGTATCAGGAAAAGCGTAGCTAAGTTGCCAAATTTTTGAACTCCTAAAATTAAAAAGGAAAAAATAAAGAAAAAAAAAAATATACTGCTTCGCTAGCGCACACGCAAAAAACAAAAAAAAAAAAAAAAAAAAAAAAAAGAAAAAAGAAAAAATAGGGGTATAGTTGTAAACGAATAATAATCAGTGTGTCTCATCGGTTATTCGTGGCGAATACGTCAACATTTGGGCATACAATGGGTACATACATACATATATATGTATATAAATATATATGTGTAATTTTTTTTTCTGATGGGTGTGGAGAAAATTTATTTTAACCTGACCTTGACAGGTAATTTGTGGAACAGTATTTTTCCTTCTTTCTGAAATAGCACTTCTATAATGTCTGTTGTTTCGTGAGGATAATAACATTAGGACATTTTGTAAATATCCTTAAATTGTGCACTAATAGGAAATGATTTGCATTTCTGCTTTCATTTTAAATTCGCGATAATAAAAAAAAAATAAAAAAAAAACATTGAAAATATGAAGGAGAGCCTCCTTTAATTTGGTCAATTTTTATGTACACTCGTTCGTGCATATATTTCTTCTTCTTCTTTTTTTTTTTTTTTTTTTTTTACATATTTTTTTATGATAAAATGTGCTATGAGATTGCAAAAGTGTCAATTGTAGAAAGCGTGAAAAAGGAGTGCACCTCACTTTTTGTCTTATCTTATTTGTACCTCTCAGTGATATATTCCTTGTGTGAAGTTGTGTGCACACACATGAGGAAGCAATGTGTGTGTATGCACTTATATATGAATACATGTATGAGCGCATGTACGAGTGCATAGGCATCAATGTCGATTAGTCAATCTCCTAAGAATATTTCCATTCCTTGAGGACGTACCTTACATCGAGAATAAATATATCTGTATACATATACATAAGTAGACATATAGGAACGTGCATATGTTCATATGGCAAAAATTATGTGTTCTCGTTAAATTACAGTTTTTTTTTTTTTTTTTTTTTTTTTTTTTTTTTTTTTTTTTTTTTTTTTTTTTTTAAAGATGATACTCATA